AAATATCTTTTATTGTAAATAAAAATGGCCCACTCAGTGGCTGCATATTGTAAAATTTTCATGCACTCAATCCTGTCAGTGGCAGTATACCTTTATCTCATGGGTGACATCAACCAGATGTTGTCTATCCATAGTATAGCTGTACCATCCTGATACAGCTCCAAAAAGTCCTTCTGGCACATCTCTCATGCCTTTCTTGCCAACTCTTCTTTATATGTGCATATATTGAACATGCTTCTCCACTCAAAAAGAGGATCCTTAACTTCCTTGTTGAAATCCTCTTTCTCATCATCTTTGTTGATGGTTTTGCTTGTGTCTCTCTCTAGGAGAAAACTGTCATGCAGGTTGTAAACCTCCAAAATAACCATATTAGAGCTGGCTGCTGGATCCAATGTCATTGGGTCCAGATCAAAGAGTAGGCTCCCACTGAGACTGCCTCTCTTTCTGCTCTCACCACTATTGCTCTGTGATATTGGCAGAAGTTCTGATAGAATCTAAGTTGGAGGAAAAGGGCAGCAAAGTTCCTGTTGAGAAACTATCTGATATCACCAGTAGAATCAATGTTTTTGTCATCTCCTCTAATGGTTTCTTAGTCTGCCAATATGCCATTTCCCCAGATAAAGATATTGTCAGTCTTAGCAATGATATTGGTCCCATAGGATAATAGGCAGTCATCATCAAGGTTGAGCAATGCTCATCAGTGAATGTCACCCATATGGGTGACTCTCTTGGCTGGCTCTGTCTAGAAATCAGACTCAGTGGTGGGAGTGCTAGGTTTCTGAAATGGAGTGTTGGATGCACTGTTGATAGTAGTTCCAACAAGAATACTGATTCTGGAGCTCTCCAAGCCCCTTCTTCAGCCTGCTGTGTCTCAGGCTTGGAGATACTGCTCAAAGAGGGTGTTTTTCTTTGCCACCTCATACTTGACACATATCTGCTTCTGGACATACTCAGCAATAGTGTTGGCACATCAAACTTTGTCCTTTCAGAAGAGAATCAGGTCAATGATATTGGCTTATTGTGCTGCACATAATAGCATTTGTATGCAGCCTGTTCTGCTTGCAGTGTGACTAGCCATGCACTGCTCCAGTCTGTTTGCTTCTTGGGCAGTGGTATGCCAATACTGATGCTCATCACTGTTGTTATCAAAGTAGAGGTCATCATCAATCTCTGTCCTGTTGTTAGTGTTCCCACTTCATGCCATCATGGCACATCAGGATCTATGCATGCTGATACTTCTGGTCTCTTAAGCCACTCAAATGGCATCAAGAGAATCTCTGGCATGGCATCCAACACCAGAGCCAGAGATGAGGGTTGCAGTCTTTGTTGCAGGGATGTTGTGCTTGGAGGACAAGATGGGAGTGTCAGGTTTGGGTCATCAAAACCCTGTAGCCTAAGAGTTTCCAGGGTCTCAGATAACTGCTGTTGGAGGTTGTAGAGGGTATTGGTGCTGCTGCTGCTGCTGCTGCTGCTGCTCCTCTTCTTTCTTAGAATGCCCTTTAGTCAGGCTCTCAGAGACAATTTCAGATATGGATTCTTTCACAGATCAGAAGGACTGTTGGGCAGAGGCAGGGAGGTTGTGAAGGGGGAGGTCTGGTGTGATATTGTAGAGGATGATGCAAATACATTGAAACTCTTGATAATGACAGATAATTCAGGCAGTAACTGATTAGCATCTATGGCACAGCTGTATAATCACTAATAAGCCTATCAATATTCCAATGATAGAAGCAAAGAGTTTGAAGAACTCATGGGTAAAGTTTAGGTCTGAAGGGTTAAGCATAGAGGGCATTCAGTTTCTCAGCACAATTAGGCTTGAGAAAGAGAAGCTAGAAGCTTTGAGCTAATTGTTAAGCCTAAATTCCATATGACTAATAACATGTGATAAACTGATACAATCTCACACTTCAGGTTAGAATGTTAGAGTCCACTTGATGTGTTTGATAGCACTGTGTTGTTAAGGCATTGCAAGTCACTCAAGATAAGATAGTGAAAGAATAAACTTTAACTCAAAGCTGGAATTACTATAGTGAGAGCTATGCTACTTATATACTAATTGTCATCCATCCTAAATATATAACTATCTAATTGTTCTTCCTGGTGCTGTAGAGTGTTTTGTCCAGAGTTGCCAAGCTACCTACAAAAGAGTATTGTCTGCTGTTGAGCTGTTACTGCTGTTACTGCTGCACAATAACAAAAGAGGCACTTTTGTCATTATGCTGCTGTGAGGCTTCACAGCAGTGCAGTAGAACCTGAGCAGTGCTGCTGACTAAGCCTTCCCACAGTCCTAAGTGCCAGTCTAGGTGCTCTGACTAAGCAGAAATAGAGGTCAATTCCCAAATAAATCAAGTAAAAAGAAAAGAAAATAGGAAAAATCATAACAGGAAATCCTTTGGCTTTGCAACTTGTTCACAGAGTTTGGCTGTTCATTCACCAATGCTTCAGTCCTCTATATTGACAATGAGTCTGCTCTATCAGTTGCTCAGAATTCTGAGCATCATAGCCAAATTAAATATCTTGACCTTTGATTCTATTGGCTGCACAATGAAGTTGAGAAGGAGCACATCCATATGGTTCACTTACAAACTGATAATATGCCAGCCAATGTCTTGACAAAGGAATTGGGAAGAGAGAAGCTCAGATACATGATTACCTTACTTGGACTTGTCTCAATACCTCTATAGACATGTTTGGTCAAGGAGAAGTATTGAAGTGGAACACTCTCCATGTTGCTCTTATCTTATATAATTGTAGCTACTAATACTGGAGATCAAAGGTCAATGCTTACCAGCTTTTGACCTTTGACTCCAGATCTAGCTTCTTCTGCTACACTATACAACCTGCTTTCAACATATAGATAGAGTGCAACAGAGTGTAATTCAAAGACATATATTGCAGTTTGTTTGAACAAAGCTGTCTGTGTCATTGAACACAACAAAACCCATCTCAAATAGTCTGCCTGATGCAGTTTCTGGACTGATATGATGTATCTGATTGTGACTTATACACAATACTGACTGTTCTAAACTGTCTCAGATCTGTCTGACTGTCTGATATAAACTTTCAGTTGCTTTCTATAGATTCTTGCACAAAACAAAGTGATCTGGTCACCACAATACTATTCAGATTGAGTCTATGACTCAAAGCTCTTAGCCAAATACAACTCATACTATTTGCTTGGTAGCATTCCAGAGGGTCAGAAACCTGATCACCCTTTATACATGATTGGTATTTATACTTTCTGGCTGCTTATTTCTGACCAATATAATAACCTACTGACTAATATACTTGCTGATCCAACCAGGTAAGCTAAACTCATTTCCTGGCAGATGTGAGCTCATATGTGGCTATCTGGTTGATCAATCTGGCTGGACCATGGTTCTTGCTAATATGCTGATCATTTGTGTTTCTATTTCCAGACCTGAGAATCTCACATACTAAACAAAGAGATCTGCTAGCACTTCAGTCTCTGCTAGATACTAATACATCATGCTCAATGGGATTGTGCTATCACTAAGCAATTTCTTACTTATCATGTCTTACTGTGGTAGGTACAATGTGGCTAACTTGGTAGAAAAATGATAAATATATTCACTTTTCTACCTGGTACAGCTGCCTGGCATATCAATGGCTTGCTGGAAGCAGAGATGAAAGCTGCTATTTTAGAGGCTGCATCAGAAAGACCTTCAAGTTCCTCATCCATGGTTCACATTTCAGTTGTTCTGGCTGTATATGATATTGTAATATCTTGTCTTCATAAACAATTCAGCACTGTGGTCAAAGGCATGTTGTTTTTAATAATTTACCAGTCTAAGACATTAGTTATGAAGTTAGACTGAAGGGCTTTCCACTACTCACTTGGGCATATTTTAGCAAGTATTTGAGGTTGATATAATTGATTATAAGTGAGAGTCACTTCTAATATAAGATGAAATGGGCACAGCAAGCAGAGTAATGATAACCATCCTCACAGTGGCACTTCAACTTGAAGTGACTACCAAAGATGTACTAGAATGGTTATTTATTATACTAGGGCAATGACAATGTACAAGATAAAGGAGTAGGGCTCAAAATTTACACGTAACATCACGCAAAAGGTTTGTGAGGGTGCACCTGCCTGTTGTGTATGGCGTGGAAAGTAATAACTACAGTGGGAATAACAAATAGTATTAAAACTCCGATTAGCAGGCACCAGCATGAGTAACGACCCAAAATGTGCCGCGGCCTCACGGTAAGCTGCGGGACTAATCACTCGTCGTCCTAGACTCTGCATTTGCCTTCGGCAAAGCTGCAGTACCGTCTACTTATGATGACAATCATGCCTGTGCGACAAATATTTAGCGTCACTTGACAGCGCTGGTGCTTGCCAGCGCGTGGCCTGTGAGATATTTTGTAACTCGTTTGCATACGACTCATGATGGTGATTCAGAATTTTCTGGTACCAGGTCTCGCCTGGTATACGATAAACGTTATTGTTAGCGCCGAGAAGGCTTCAGGCTTCAGCTGAGCCCGAATTCGACTGAGCATGTGGCAATACGTTTGGCTCCATTGCAATCATTGACAAAACTGTTCCGATGCGAAATAAGGGGTCTCGCTCCGTGATTTGTAGCGGCTCAGCTAGGCTGAACATATTTAGCGGTCTATCATTTCGCAACGCGGTTACGGATAGTTTCGGTGCAGCTTCCATCTTGTCCAAGTCGTGACTTTGATTCTTGTTGCAACATGGACGCACTTTACCAGACAATTTCTGACAAGGTACAGCGGCGCGAAATCCATCGTCCGATCTTCCCGGTGCGTCATAGGTTGTGGTGTATGAAGCATGAGGCATGATTCCATCAGAGACTCATAATTTGATTAGGCATGCTTCTACTTTGGCCCAGCGGCAGAAACTCCACTGCGATGACACCTCTTTCCATTCTAAACGGAAAATCTAATCATATAAAGCTCTCCACACCCCCGCGTTACTCCTCCCCGAACTTCTCCAGTATTCCCCCTGCACCATGACTATTAGTACTACCGAGAAGCCTTCCGTGGAAAAACGTGACTCGGACTTATTTCACGAGTACAGCAACACCGCCGACCGTAAAGTTGACTCTACCCGGAACATCAATGCCAAGCTCGCTAATCCTCTTGCTGGACTATCCCATGAACAGTTAATCCAGGATGCAAAGGACTTCGCGGCACGTTATGGTTTGGATGATCTATCGCTCGAGTTACAGAAGGGTGCTCTCATCGCGCAGGACACTACTCTCTTCGAGACTCTGCCCCTGCTAGATGAGGACGATAAGATCGCTCTTAGGCGGGAACTCACTCATCGGTGGGACCAGCCAAAGATGTTGTATTATCTGGTCATTCTGTGCTCTGTCGCCGCAGCCGTACAAGGCGTATGCATAAGCTACTATTCGTCCTTTTTCTATCTCTTTTGCTCATTCGCTTCCAGATGGATGAAACTGTCATCAACGGCGCTCAACTTTTCTTTCCGAAGCAATTTGGCATCGATCCCAATACCACGGACGGTAATGCCAGTAAGAACCAATGGCTCGTTGGCCTGGTCAACTCTGCACCTTATTTATGCTGTGCCGTCCTGGGTTGTTGGTTAACCCATCCGGTAGGTTTTGATGCTTTACTCTTTGGCACATATAGTAACCTATTTACGTAGCTAAACCAATGGTTTGGACGTCGGGGAACTATCTTCATAACGGCACTATTTTCGTTCCTCACTTGCATATGGCAAGGCGTCACCAACTCCTGGGAACATCTTTTCGTTGCTAGATTCATCCTTGGCATCGGCATTGGTCCTAAGAGTGCAACAGTTCCTGTATATGCAGCGGAGTGCACGCCTCCACCCATTCGTGGTGCCCTCGTAATGATGTGGTATGTTTCCGCCTCCTAGCCACCCTCAAAGCCGTTTCGTCTAATATTTGGGGACAGGCAAACTTGGACAGCCTTCGGTATCATGCTCGGTTTTGTTGCTGACCTGGCTTTTTATAGAGTCCCCGACAAGCCAAATATCACGGGTCTCAACTGGCGTCTTATGTTAAGTAGCGTAAGTAGCAACTAACTAGTCCAGACTCTGGTCGTCTAACTTCAACCAAGGCTGGTATTCCCGCTCTCTGCATTGTGCTTCAAGTGTTTCTGTGTCCCGAATCTCCTCGATGGTATATGATGAAAGGTCGCTACAGGGACGCGTACAACTCCCTCTCAAGATTGCGTCATAAACCTATCCAGGCCGCCAGAGATTTGTACTGTATGTTTGTATATTTTGCCGAGGTCAAACCTTAACAGTCCTCAGATATTCACGTTCAGCTCGAAACTGAGAAGCAGATTACTCGAGATCGGAACAAACTGTGGGAGCTATTTACCGTCCCACGGAATCGTCGTGCTACACTTGCATCTGGTATCGTCATGTTCATGTGAGTACATATTTTCTCGGTTGGCGCGCGGTTCTCAGTGTAGCTTTCAGGCAACAATTGTAAGTTGACGATGTTTTATCTGCGTTCATTGCGATATAAACATACTTTTAGCTGCGGTATCAATGTCATCGCATACTATTCAGTAAGCTGACCTTGACATGTGTGGAGATATCATGGAACTAACTTCACGCATGTAGTCCAATATTTTTTCGGAGGCCAACTTCAGCGAGATTCAAGCACTGTTGGCATCGTGGGGCTTTGGCATGGTCAACTGGTTGTTTGCTTTCCCGGCCGTATGGACCATCGACACTTTCGGTCGCCGCAACTTACTCCTTACGACTTTCCCGTTGATGACTGTCTTCTTGCTTCTGACCGGCTTTGCATTGTAAGTGTATCAAGTCTCATATAAATCACAAAATTCACGAGGTCCGTTTTAGCTGGATTCCTGAAGAGAACGAACATGCAAGGATCGGTGTCATCGCTCTGGGCATCTACCTGTTTACGATGGCGTACTCTCCTGGAGAGGGTCCGGTGCCATTTACGGTAAGTAGATCGAAGAGGTATGGAAACAGAAAGCATCAGCTTATTGTTTTCTGCAGTATTCCGCTGAGGCATTTTCTCTATACATCCGTGACTTGGGAATGTCGTATGCTACTGTGAGAATTCAACAGTTTTTACTTCCGTACGTCCTTCTGATTTGGTGCTGTTATTTTAGGCAACGCTTTGGTTCTTGTGAGTGTGTTGCTATCAAGCTATGAATACATTGTTAACGGTGTACAGCAACTTTGTTGTCTCCATTACATTCCCTCGGCTTCTTGGGGCGTTTAAGCCTCAAGGCGCTTTCGGTTGGTATGCCGCATGGAAGTAAGTGTGTTTCGGTTCTTCTTCAACGCTGTTTTGATGTGCTGTTCCTAGCGTCTTTGGGTTCTTTGCTATATTATTATTCCTCCCCGAGACGAAGGCGCTTTCCTTGGAAGAGCTGGACCAAGGTATTTTCGTGCTTTTCATTTCTCTTTACATTCTCGTAACGATCGTCGCTACAGTTTTCAGCGTTCCGACGCATGTACACGCTGCGTACCAGATTAAAGCCCTTCCACACAACATCAAGAAGTATATCTTTAGAATGAACGTGCCAGACCTTCCACCGTTGTATGATCATGAACAAGGAACTCATAAAACGTACGCGCCTGGAGGGGCGGGCCATGCATGATTAATATTACGTGCACATGGATAATTTGATGGGAAGAACATGGATGTAGAAATCTCACGACTCGACGCTTGATAAAGTAAAGGTGTTTCGTACTTCAAATGTATAATGTTTGTATATAGAATTTCTCCGAACTCTTAAGATCATAGCCACACGAGCAACTTGTATTATACCACCATCTCCCTATGACATCGTACACCCCTGGCTGATACTTCCATGACCCAAACAACATTTCTTCAATACGAGGCCCCTTGTGCGTATCCAGGTCGTGGCCAAATTTCTCGGTATTGACATCCTGGTAGGGTCCGTGCACAGCTTAGACTGGTGTAAGTCGGCCGCGCCAGGACAGCAACTCTGGCCACGTTCCGCCTACCGTATTGGCATCGCTTCATTCACTGAAAATTACAACAACCGTATCGCAGTCATCGGTCTACAGGATGAGCGGGTCCTTGTCGAAGACGATTTCACAGACCAATACCCCGACTTTGCCACGCTCTGTGAAGCACCTCATGGATATCCAGCCACCAGTTTGCAGTGGCAACCAGCTTCAGCGACGAGCCATTCATGGACACAGAAATCGCCAACAACAGAGTTACTCGCGACTACGGGTGATGCGCTTAGGGTATGGGAGTACGCGAGCGATGCTTCTTCACAGATGTCGAGTTATGTGGGTCGGCAGTCAGCTGCCATGTCGCATAGCCTTACGTTGAAGACTGCGTTGTCGGGGGTGCGTCGCTGTCCACTATTCTTGTTCCAGAATTGACCATGCCTTTCCAGCAATCCAAAGTGCAGAATCAGTCAACCGGTGCTCCTTTGACCAACTTCTCATGGAACGAGAAAGTTCCCAGTCTTATTGTGACCTCTTCCATCGATACAACGTGCACGGTGTGGAACATAGATACTGCAGCGGCCATAACACAACTCATTGCCCATGACCGCGAGGTTTACGATGTTGCATGGTTGCCAGGCTCAACTGATATCTTCGTATCTGTTGGAGCAGATGGCAGTCTTCGCGCCTTTGACTTGAGGAGCTTGGAGCACTCCACGATTCTGTACGAAACACCAGCTCCAAAGAACATTCCAGTCCCCTCTGTGTCGCCTTCTTCTTCTGCACGACCACCGACTTCCCCTCTGCTGAGAATCGCATTCAATCCTTCGGATTCGAACTATATGTCTACATTCCATATGGACGGCTCTGAGGTACAGATATTAGACATGCGGAGTCCTGGCCAGCCGGTCATAGAGCTGAAGGCCCACCATGCGCCGGTCAACGCGTTAGGATGGGGGTCCGCCGAACACCCTCTGCTAGCAACTGCCGGTTAGTGACTAGCTCCTTCCGTAGTGGCAAACATTTGACTCTGTAACAGCCGACGATTGCCAGCTTCTGTTGTGGGATCTGGCAAGTTACACGCAGACAGGTGCCTCACCCAGAAGCGCCGGATCGCGGTTGAATTCCCCGAGACCCGATATAAAGAAACGGATAGTTACTGAGCCCGTGATGGCGTACACTGCGCCAAGTCAGATAACAAACTTGGCCTGGTCTCCTTTGATTAAAGGGATGACGATGAACACGGGTCACACTACTGGGACTGGTGAATGGGTGGCCATTGCCAGCGGTAAGTCCATCCGCGCGTTGAAAGTATGATAAGAGCCTTGATAGGCGTATCGACAAATCCGTCCTATCTACGACCCCATGGGCTTTAATTACTGGTTGAACTATTGCCATATGCTTATCGCGCTGCGCGACACCAGGACTCACCCTTCAATGTATCTGGGGACAGGCTAATATAATTCTTGGCCATCTTGATTACACTGAGATAAACGTTTATGCAATCTGCGCGGCGTTGTCGTAGCATGTGGACCAAAATCCTATCGTGTCATGTTAAGTATCCCGCCGTGCACACCATGCATCTTATCCTTTGTAGCTCCAATTTATGTTGGCCACCGGGGCTATCGCTCAGGCACTCTGGACTAATCTGTATCACCTGAATAATCCTGAATCTCGTAATTCTTTGTCCTGTATCTCAGTCTAGTCCTGGTGTCGTGACGGCATTGATGAACCATATGGATGGAATACATCTTCGGATAACACCCGATTTAGCCCACACTTCACTTCTTCCTTTAAATAGATTAGAAAGCTGCAAGAGGATAAGGCTTGCTTCTTGTCCCTGCGACGCCCTTCTCCGGTTTCTGTAATGGCCGACACTCAGGCGACCGAGGTCCATCCCTATGCATCCCCCTTGATCACTTCAGATCAGACCGCCATACGACGCAAGACAACGAGCTCGTCTATGTCCTTCGACGAGAAAAAGCATCATGCTGCTAAAGATCCTGAGGTTGTCACGCCCAAGGAGAAGGAGGAAGATGAGACTACCACTTTTTATCAGAGGTTCCGCCCGTTCATCCTAGGAGCGGTTGCAATTGTCATCTTGGGGTGGTGGATAAGTGCTACGGTGTTGAAAGCCACACGCCATCGCTGGTAAGTGCTTCCCCTCTTTAATATCCAGTTTCTTTAGAGACTGGGCTTAGGATTGTCCAAACACTCTTTGCTTGGTTCTTTCTCTTTGTCATCGCTTTCCGGTTTATTCCCAACCGTGTTGTATCGGAGCCTGTCAGCGCAATATGGATGCCATTCGTCCAGGAGCCATGGTACAGGTTGAACCGCAGTTTACGACTGACAATCGGTTGGTTGTGTCTCCTCGGCATTGTCTTCGGTTCTGCTTTTGGTTTCAAACTCGAGAATGTGAGATTAAGCCGGCCTTCATTATATCGGTCCTTGACGAAAAATCCAGGGTTCCAACTATGGTGATCGTGCAATTTCTGTCCTCGGATTGTTCATCTTCCAATGCGGCTTTGTGGTTTCGTCAAAGTCGCGTTCCACAATTCCCTGGTAGGTGCTGGGTCATTATATATATCTTTTACCTATATTACTGCGCAGGCCTACCGTTATCGTTGGTTTATTCATACAACAGGCTATCGCTCTCTTTGTGCTCAAGAGTGGAGCCGGATTCTCAATCTTCAACTGGATCGCGACTCTGGCTGCTGATTTTCTCAGCCAATCCAAAGCTGGTGCAACCTTCTTCTTTGATGCTGACACTGTAGCGAAAAGCTGGTTCTTCGTGAACACTGTACGACCAAGTTGTCGAAGTTCACGTTGTTTTTGACTCATCTAACGTTCAGCTCGCCGCGATTATCTTTTTCGTTGCATTTGTGCAAATGATGTACTACCTTGGGGTGATGCAATGGATACTCAAAAACTTGTATGTATCGTGTCTTTGTCTTTACTTTCAGTCAATCTGACTACTCCACTTCTCTACTCAGCGCCTGGTTCTTCTTCAAATTATTGGACGTGTCCGGTGCTGAGGCAGTTGTGGCTGCTTCATCTCCATGGATTGGTCAGGGGGAGTCTGCTTGTTTGGTTAGACCATACGTTGACCGTACGTGATTAATTGCAGATCGTCTGGTCTGACTAACGTATCTTCGTATATCTATCTAGTCATGACGGATTCGGAGTTGCGTGAGTCCTTTACTTTCTCTTTTTTCCCCGCGCTGATCCTATGCTGAAACAGACTTGACAATGACTTCTGGATTCTCAACGATTGCTGGGTCTGTTATGTCCGCTTACATCTCCTTGGGGGTCCCACCGGAGAATTTAGTGACGTCTTCTGTGATGAGTATCCCGGCATCCATTGCCATAAGTAAGATTCGAATGCCGGAGTGCGAGGAGCCCGTTACTCGCGGTAACATTGTCATTGATCGCGGCGAAGGCCAGGAGAAAGCGCCGGTACGTATTACGACATCTGTTCGGTTTGTGCTCATCGTGTCACAGAGCAACGCCCTTCACGCATTTAGTCAGGGCGCTGTTTTCGGCCTCATAGTTGCCGGCCAGATTCTGTGAGCTTCTTCATCTAGGTCTTCTTATCGAGACAGACATATCCTGACGGCTCTCTCCAAGGACTAACGTTCTTACCGTCCTTTCTCTGGTATCTGCGTACGTCTACAATCTACATTATATATATGGTGTCCTAAACATGTCCACTCTTGTAGTATCAACGGCCTTCTTACGTGGATCGGCCACGGATTTGGAATCCACCAGTTGACTCTCCAACTCATTATTGGTTACATATTCTACCCTGTCACATTCTTCTTGGGTGTTCCCCGCAACGAGATCCTTCAAGTTTCCCAGTTGCTTGCGACAAAATTGGTCGCAAATGAGTTCTCTGCATACGAGAAGCTCCAAACATTGATGGCTAGTGATAATGCACTTTCGCAGCGAGGATATACAATTGCTTCGTATGCGCTTTGTGGGTTTGCCAATCTTGGTTCTCTCGGTATCCAGATTGGCGTGCTCGGCGCACTGGCACCTTCTAAGAACAAGGTTATTGCTCGCATTGCAGTCTCAGCGATGATTTGCGGATTTTTGTCTACGCTCCAGACTGCTAGTATTGCGTATGTGCTGTCCACTGTCCATATGGTTCGAGTACTGATGATCACTCTAGCGGAATGCTTGTATGAGAAGGGTTTCTGTCCCAATTTTTTTTTAAAAAACAGAGGGTATGTATTTGACTTGTAGTTTACGTCGACATGATAAGTAGATGATGTTAATGAATAACTAGTCTTTGTAAACCAGACCCAATGATCCGTATGAAGAGAAGTCGTTAGAGTTAACTCTATTACGTAATGTCAACTGCTTTGTGTAATGGACGACATACTCGAGCAACCTAGTTCTGAAGCTCCTCCACCAAAATTCGACGACAATCCCGATGAACAGTCATCTGAAGACGAGGATGAAGGCCTCGACTGGACCAAGTTGAAGTCCGTCATCTTCGCTCTCAGTAACGCAGCGTTTGTGCTGAACGGCGTCCAAGGACAGGAATTTCTCGCCCCGTCATCCCCAAGCGCGGTGAAAAAGAACATGAACCTGCTGCCGGTGGTGAGAGTGGATTACAGCAACATATTCTGCAACGGTCACGAAATGCGATGTTTGATGCGTTGAGAGCGACCCGGACGATCTCCAGGTGTGTCACACATCTTTCTTTCCATCTCCTTTGCTGACCATTCTCAAAGCAAGACAGTAAGCTATGGGATTTGGCATCCATCCCTGGTGCGTGTCTCTGTACATGTTGCCCGAGGAACCCACTTTTCAAGTATGGGTCATTCTGCGTCACGTCCGGTGAAGGGCAAAGAAAGGCCTACAAAACGTACAGAGTTACTCCCAGAAGAGGCTATTTATCTGATTGAGCGGGGATCCCTTTTCTGCTGGAAGGAGATTGACATTGACCTGTCTGGAATGGAAGACGTTTCTGGAGCCCCAATGAGTGTGCAACAGGCATACGCTGAAATGATTGGGACAGAGGATGTTACCCTGGAGAAATATCAGGTCCATAAACTGATTCTGCCCTATTGTCTGATCTGACCTATTGTAGGTTTACTCCTACCTCAGGCGACTGGGATACGTCGTCACTAGGACCGTACCACCTACGTCAGAATATCCGGCGGCAGCACCTTTTTTGAAGATGGGCCAACTTGGACAGCCAAGATGTTCTATTTTTGAGCGAATCCGGTCAGCTTTCTCTAGCTGGATACTCAAACTCTTCACATCTACCTTCAACTGGTGGAAACCTCTGGGTATAAGCCGTTGGCTCTATCATGACAAAAATTATGGTTTGTTTTTTTTTTCAGCCTCTCCTCAGCATGGATGATAACCCGTTTTGTGTAGAACATATCTTTCGTTCTCTAAGATTCATGCCGGCAGGACATCAGCTACCGTTACGCCAAACAAAGGAGGATAGTTCTCCTTACAAACCATTCTACAACCTTTACAAGCCACCTACGCCATTCAAGAAAACATTACCTCCGCCTCCCGATTTTCAGATCGTCGTGATCAAGTAGGTGCAAATGGACTCTGAGTCCGGTACCTCTCTTACAATACGTTTTCATTTTAAGCACCCGAACAACGTCCATGCCTTCCCTTCAAGAATTGACTGATCTCTTCGATATATCGCCTGAATTGCCCATACCTTTGCCAAAAAGGTCACCTCCACCTCGTCCAGCACCTACCCCTCTCTCCTGGTGGCGAGCGGTTCTGCCCTTCCTACGTCGCGACCTGGGACCACCTGCGCGCCGACCGAATCCCTTTGCCGCGCTTAGGGCAGGGAAGAAAACCGTAATCGTCGCTGCAGTGGATTCAGGAAACATAAGTTTCTTTCGATTCATGCAGGGCGCATTTATGGACTGGCCAATGGCGTAGCATGACACTCGGTAAAAGGATGTATTGCGTATCTTGTAGAGCACTAACTCAGCTGTATCCCTCTAACATGAATGCGAGACTGACTTTATAAAGACGATCGTGCGCCCGCTATTTGAGCCAGAAACGTCTTCAAAATGCTTTTGCGAAGCTCGTAAACGATATCTAGTGTGCCCGAAATTTCAGACATGGGCAGAACCGTGGAAGCCTCTATTTGGACGTGTTATTGCGTAACCACTTGGATGATGCTAACGACCGTGCTGTGTTCATTTCTTCATCAGTCCGCTTGAATTTGAGCATCTCTCATGACTCTGGACGGCGGAGAGGAGAACCAAAATTGGAGGCATGTTGCTTGATGTATGAGAGGAACTCCGTTTGCGTTGTACAACAAGTCCTTCATGTATCTTAACCCTTGCTGCCTCCCGTCCCATTGTTGAAGACTTAAGAGATGGACGGCCAGAACATATAACACAACTCCGATCTCTTACGTAGGATATCTGGAGTTTTCGATAAAAATGAACTTCCAGACGTTGAACTGTAAGTATGTACCAAACAACTGTTTACACTCACCTTCGGGTTTCTAAAGAGATCTGGAGTTCTTATCTGACACAAGTTGTACGCAAAGCGCCAAATGTATGCATATGTATACAGCATATATCTGGGCGTTGACATGTTCTTACCTCTTACCTGTAACGTTCCTATCGCGTACATCTTATTCAACGTGGAATCTAGAAAATCCAGGGTCTCTTCCTAAGGATATCATTACACGATAGCACGTCTCTTAGAGACCGGTTTACTACGTTTGCGCTTCTTTCCCTGAGAGAACGCGTTGGCACTTTTGAGATCTCGACCAAGATCATCTTCCTTCTTCACTTGGTAAATTCTGACAATCCAGTTCTCCGAAGTGAATGCCTCATCTACTCCAGTGTTAGCAAGTAGAAGTCTACAATTTTAGAATTTCATACCTAAATAATCCAATGTAGGTCCCACTTTAGGCACTTGTTGATTTCGCACGCGATCAACTGCTTGCCCGGAACCACCAAATAATTCAGCGAAGCTGTAATAGAAGGCATCACGAATATAGCAGATCTCAGCGTACGAGGATACTCACCGATGATACGTCATTTTATACATCAAACTATTCTTCATGGCATTGGAAGCCCGTTCGTCGATTCTATATTCACCTTGAGGGGTAAAATAATTCGGTTCCTGTATCTCATCCGGCCATACACCTTGTGCTATGCGAACCATCCAAAGGAACTTGTTGATATCGTCTCCGGAGTAACCGATGAGTCCGCCGAATATGATTAGCACATAGTCCACATCATGCTTGCGCAAAATGGGGTATGCTATTTCCTCTGGACTTGCCATAGCTTTACCAACAGTAGCAATATGTGCTACGGTCTGCATTAGCGAGGTAGCTCATGAATAAAATTGGATCTCGTACTGTTATTCCACGTATTGTTGTCAACAAGGGTAGGCCGGTCCGCCATACCAGCGATTTGGTATCCGTAATCCCACCAGCTCATGACAACAGCTGTTTCCGGCGTGTTTTGTCTGAGCCAGTAATACGCCTCACGGTAATCGTCAATGATGTGTTGACTTCCATCAGGATTGCTTGAAGCTAGCACAACCGATGGTGACGAGTATGCGTTGGAAGTCACCCAGGTACAGTGGAATACGAAGAACGCCAGCATCCCAAAGGCATTGAATATGATAATCATGCGGGTGTCGAGTCCGAAGATACCCTTGGGAGCAGAGCGGGCACCAGGCTTTGTGGTGTTGGCTGTAGCGGCAGCGACGACATCTTCAAGAGTAGTGTTACCACCATTCTGTGGGTTTCGAGGGACGTCTGGCTCAGCAGGATCGATGTAGGTGTCTAGCAGCGAGGAGAAGGCCACCGCGGAAGCCACACATACACAAGGCGTAAGGGTAAGCATCAAACGAACCATCACCCCTGCGAAGTAACTGGCCATCACAGCGTAGATGATGACGAAGACATGTTCGTCGCGAAGTTCGCGGAAACACAAGATGACACCAGCGGGAAAGAGGAAAATGAGCAATTGAAGATCCATGAAGAATGAAGGCCAAGCAGTTGGCTGATGCTCTGAAACCGAAGCGATGATAGGGATATATCTGAGGAAGTGTAAACCAAATAAGTTAGTAACTTCAAAGATAAGATCTCACTTCTTGGCATATCCCGTATCCCAGAGGGAGTAGAAGCGACCAGTCCATGGCGCAATCCAACCTTTGTAGGTTAAGCCGACAAATACGAAGGTGCCTAAAATTCCCGTTGTTACAACTGAATAAAACAGGAGGTTTTGGAACTGTTTGGAGGATAGATATGACCGGATTAGTTGAGCAAAAGCGACAATCTGGAGGAGCCCAAATACGCCAAGGGCTACCATATGTTCACTAGTCCGCACAGGCTGAAAGCCAACAAAAGGAACTTGCATGCTCGCAAGTGTTCCGATTGCATACCAGGATGAATAGGCTACATAGAGTCGGCTAGTGAAACGTCCCATTAATATCAGCACCAGGGCATGAAGAGGGATCATGTTGGTGATAAAGACGTAGCCACCTAAAGACATTATATTGTAATGGTTACATGAGAAAGGGAATGGAAGGACATACCCCAAGCAGCGACCATGTAGAAGTAGAATACGGCCGCGACTGTACCGAACAGAGCACTACCGAGTTTCAAAGCTTTGATCCAGCAGAAAAATGTGAACATGAGCAGAAAGATTGCAATGGCCTCGTTATCGTATGACCCTGCAACAGAACGAGAGATGTAGCCAGGAACAATACCGATGAATGCTGCGGCCAACAAGCCTGCGCTGGCGTCTTTCATCTCTTTGGTGAACCTGTCTGCATTAGTTTACTGAACATACTGTGAAAATAACGACATACATGTAGGTCGCCCAAGCTGTCAGAGCACTGAAACCTGGGGCCAACAGCACGCAGATATTTCGTATATCTACCGGAAGGTTGAGAGCATGCAAAATGTTATAGAAGACGCTGCTCGTCGCCATGAGACCAGGATAGACAGTTCCACCAACGACGCGACCTAGGGGATACCTATCCAATTATTAGCAAGAGACATGTAATACTGTGGGAAAAGGGAAACAACCAGGCGCTTGCATCGAACCAGTTGTAGAATGCCTGGGCCAAAATGGATAAAGTAAATTATGATCTAAAAGGGAGTACTCACATAGAATCCTTCGGACGCCAAGACCTTGGTGGCACGACTAAATGGCCATACAATCAATTCACAGAAGCATAACGACAACTATATGATCTACTGACAAGTTGAACCACGGGTCACTGGGAAATAAAATGAGAGAAAGGACCGGAACGGCGTCAAGAGACTCACAATTCGTGTATAATACTCTCAAAGTTTATTACAGCGAATAATCGAGAAGCAATAGCAGCACCAGATATGAGAGCCAGAGCGATAATGCGCAGCAGGGAGGCGGTATTAGCAACCGTCGCTGGCGAGACATTGGTAGGGAGCGGATAGGCCGCAGGCATGGCCAGCTATAATTTGTTCTTTGTGGAGCTGGAAGGGAGTCGAGAGACCGCCAAGATGAGTGTAGAGGAAGAAAAGTCGCGGAGATCGTGACCTTGACGTGACTTGGAACTATACGTGTCCCAAAGTGGGATGGCAATCGCCACGTCGTCCTTGCCGTCGTCCTCACCATCACTCAACTTCAACTTCAATTACATCTTTCTCGACCAGTCAGACATCGAGTAAGTCACTCATAGCGATGCCAGTGAATCCAGTACTGCGCCGGAGGGCAAGGGCTCTCGCTACTTCAATCAATTCCCACCGTATTCTCCTATATGGCACGCTTTCTACTGTCGCGGTATGTGCCGCCATCGCCAATGCCCTGAAGAACTACAGCAACTTCTACTCCGTCGCGATATATCTCTCCAAAAGCAGCCGTAGTGTTCTTGTGAGCTGTGTCGTCCATGTGTTGTTTTACGACAGACCACCAATTCCTCGCAGGTTTTCGCCAACTTTGCTTTCATTATCGCCTTAATGTGCGGTCATGTACTTCAGAGGATATTCTTTGGCAGTTTAAGGCCGAATGAAGTAGAAGTATGTGCTATAGATTCACTGTAGCCCCGCACTCACTTATGTCTTACAGCGTCTGTATGACCGTCTTTGGTTCTTCGTGACGGAATCGTTGCTGGCGTTCACCATTTTTCGCGATGAATTCGACGCTCCTTTCGCTACCATGTTCGGGTTCCTTCTCTTTGTCAAGTCATTTCATTGGTTGGCCAGTGATCGCATTGAATGGGTGGGTAAATGCCATGTTTGAAAGTACTTCATTTTCACTCAACTCGCGTGCTTCAGATGGATCAGCGCCCGTATCCAGGACCATCCTTACTTTTCCACGTTCGGATATCAACTTTATTCGTGATATTATGGACGACGGATTTGCTCATGCTGTTGTTTGCGGTCGAAAACACGCTCGAATATGGTGTCGGAGGCATGGTTCTCTTTGCATGCGAGGCGAGTCAACATTGTTTTTCTGCGCCAAATATGTGCTTATCCAAACGATGACGGTTAGTACGGTATATTGATGGCTAGCGTCGCGAACGCTATCGCCAAGTACACTTTGTCGGCTTATGATTTCCGAAGAGCAAGCACACGTGGTGGTGACAATGCTCCCCCTTGGGAACAGAAAAGCATGTGGACTTTCTACATTGAACTGATTACTGGTGAGTCTTTCTTTCAGGCTGTGGCCAGTTGCACTCGCCAATGCCATGCCTAGACTTCAGCAAATTGACGACCTACCTCTGCTTTTTTGCCATCATTGTCACCTTCTATGGCTTGCCATTGAACATTGTTCGGGATATTTACTTTACGGCGCGCTCGTTCGTGACGCGGCTAAGAGCGCTTCATCGATACCAAACTGCGACCAGAAATATGGACCAGAGATACCCAAATGCTACTCAAGAAGAGCTATCCTCGACCGACCATACGTGTATCATTTGTCGCGAGGAAATGGTGCTTCCTCAGACGCCAACGGGGCCTGCACCTGAGGGACCAAATATGACGCCCAAGAAGCTACCCTGCGGTCATATATTTCATTTCCATTGTTTGCGTTCCTGGCTTGAGCGGCAGCAGAGCTGTCCTACTTGGTCTGTGGATGTCTTAGTATTGATATCTGTACGTACTGAATATCCGGTCTCACAGCCGTCGCACTGTTCTAGAGACCAATCCTCCAGGTGTCCAAGGTGGAAGAGACCGCAGAGTTGCTGGTCTACAGGCACAAAGGAACGCTCCTGCACCGAATCGTAACAACGCAGTAGCGAACAATGGCGCTGGTAATACGATAGATTTGCTACGCCGCCTCCTTAACAACCCAAATGCACCAAATCGGCCCCTAGACGTTGGTAACCATGCAGTAAACGTGGTTATTCAATACGACATCCACAACTACCCGCCACAAAACACTCTCAATCCGGGTGATCAGCCACCATCGCAGCCACGGCCATTGCAACCCCCTCCACAGTTCGTCGGCTTCTACGGTCCTGGCGGTGTATGGCAGCCATGGTCTGAGCATGCTACGCCAGCACCCGCCCAAAATGGCGCCTCTGATGCATCAACTTCCTCTGCTGGCCCTGGGCCGTCAACTGGTACTTCAGCTCCTCCTACAACTAATGCCCCAGCTTCTTCTGCAGCTGATGAGCCCCTGCTGTCTTCAGAGACCAGAAGCGCCAGTGAAGCTGCTGCACTCGCCGCGTTTCGGCGTTTGAATCGCAAGGATCCACCTCATGATAGGGCTTCCAGTACAACGTCTGAGTCTTCTCCTACTACTTCTTCAATATCAAGCACCACACCAGAGAGTAGTGACGGAGAAACATCGCAAATGAACGAACCTATTTCTATCTCGGACGCCACCTCGACAGCGCACGTAGTCGTCCCTTCATTAATACCTCTTGATTACATACAATCAGAATCTGGATCAGTACGCAGGCCACCATTAAACTCACAAGATCGCAACCCTAGTCGGCCCTCCAGCGAGATATCAATCTCACAATTACCTCCCACGTTGACAGAAGACCAATTGGCTGTTCTGGATAGGGTCACCAGGGAGGCCATTGATGAGCGGATACGTGTCCTTGAAGGAGTATCGGGGGCACTTTATCGGTGTATCGACGAGCTTATGCGAGTACGGAGTGCCCTTCCTCCACAACCAACCACAACTCCTACTCCCAGGGCTCCTAATCCGACAGATAATGATTCTCCAGGGAGGGAAGAAGATTCCAATGAGTGAAAAGGGATTCAGTTTTATATGCCTGAAGTGTACACATAGTTATGCAATGGATTTTATTCCTGGACACAGTAAACATTAGCGGTCCAAGAACCAAGCTACTTTTGAGGTAGAAGAATATCTAGTCGTTGTTTTACAAGGGGCGTGTCAACCCCAGACTTGTCCACAGCCGCGTAGAAGGCCTTCATAATTTTTCCAGCGCTCTTCCGTGGGTCATTGTCGGCAGAGATACCTTCCGCTTCGATAGCAGCGCGCAGTCGAGTGTCTATCTCTGCCTCGGATAGTAGTGGAGGTAGAAATGCTGCCAACGCGGTGGCTTCTTTGGACTCTTTGTCGACGAGATCTTGCCTGTTGGCTTTCGTATATTGGTCGATAGCTTCATTCTGAGATGTGATTACCCCGGTGCCACGAACGGTACAAATGTGAGATTTACCCGACGAGCAACAGCTTTCCGCATGATGGAAACTATGGTAGATTGGGAAACGGGACCTTTAGCCTTGTCTGCGGCATACACTTCGGAAAGAACAGACTAGAGGTGAAGTTGGTATGGAAGATACGGAGAAGAGGATGTGACGAACGCGAAGTAATGTTGAGGTAAACGGATCCTTGTTCTTCAATGCATTTTTTACGCCAGCAGTCAATTGTTCTCGAATGGTAGGAGCTATGGGTCTGTGAGGCAGGGTAGTTGATATAGAATAGCACTGACGGTGGACGGTGGTAGTGTACAGACGGAGAAGTGGACGCTGTAGGAAAAAACGGGCCGCATAGAAGCTGGCCATTGGCATGAAAGAAAGAATGGAATTTGCACGTGATGTCCGACGAGCGTATAACGAGAGCCCTATACGACGCCAATTATACGATGAGTGTTCCGTTTCCAGCGTCTGGTTTATTCATCGAATCCGTTCGTGAGTCTGCCCGTAAAGCACGAACTGATAACAAAATCTCTGTAATGTATCATCGCTAGTATGTTGCATACTGACTGATCTCCCCATTGCAGGTCACCAATGGATCAATTTCCCGTCTTCTAACTTCACCTGCATTTACCCTGTCCTTCGCTGGCGTGAGCAAGTCGCATGGCCTTTCCATGCCGCTCAATTTCTCGTCGCCCCTCGCAGAGCTAAATGTTCTTGCTATCCTCTCTTTGTTGAATTTTGGCTCGGGTTACCGTGTACCCCTTCATGAAGCAACTGGGCGTGGCGCGTGGGATTCAATGCGTGCTCTGGTGCTATCGATGTATATTGCCGATGATGGACTGCTCACCGCACGGGGAATGCAATCTGTGGACGTCGGCAAGGTTGCGGAGCTGATGTGTGTCAACATTCATGTTGAGAAAGCGCATGAGTCAATTCCGGGCGTGACGGTGGGCGAGCTTGGGGGCGCAATGTATGAACTCACAACCTTGATTACGGGCGTCCTGAATGAGACGGGAGATGTTTTGGTCACAGCAGGGTATCCTGATCTTGGAACGTTTGTTGCACAGTGCCTGGAAGCCAGGGATGCACAAGTCATTCTTGAACGGGTAAGTTTTAAAAAAAAATATCACTATACAGTTCTTGCTGGATTTACTTTTTCTGATGAGCCGCATTGATAGCTTGTTCGTGCGATCCCAGCATTCAGAGACATGGCTCTCGTCAACGGACATCCCATTTACTGTTTCAAAAAAGCCCTGTTTTTGATCAACGGTATCCGCGTCCGTTTCGGTGCTGCATCTTCGTTCCCATTCCCGTTTCCAATCCCTTCCACTTCCCATCTGCCCATCTTTAGTGACAACGTTATTCCATCCTTGCTCATCCATCTGGGTGTCATTGATCTCTCAGCATCCCCGATACTGCAAGGAGTCTTCTTGGAGGCACACTCTGAGCAGAAAATAGCGTCTCTGTTGAAGACCAGCAACGTTTCCAGCCGGCACAAGTCTCGGGGGTTGCTTCGGGAAGGGCCTAAATTAACGGCCGAACAGTCATTCGTTTTACGTGCTGCTGCGATTGATGCTTGCGAAATGATTGTGTCGGCAGCTGAATCATCGTCTTTAGGGATTACCTTGAGCGACCTTGATGCGTGGCTCTGGCAGATTGCTAAGGATCGAGATGATTATCGACAGTTGGAAAGGTTCGCTGAGAAGGAGACGGTATTTTTTTGATGCAGAGCATGCTGGAATCTGATAGAATGCAACGCGGGCGATATATATATATATATAAAATATGTGTTGTTAAGCGAGCTTAAGGTATATTCTTGAATAAAAGGTGCCTGCCCTGGCCATTTGTTTCTTCCCTCAATGTCCTTGTCCCCAGATGCTGACACTTTCTCGACGCCTCCAGCATCGCCGTTCGATGCCTTCGTTCGTCCTTCGCTCTCAAGGAAGAGCAGCAGGCCTTCGTCCTTACGTCTAGACTCAACTCGTACCGAATGGCCTAACAATATCATTCTGGAGACATCAGGTGCTGCACAGGGGTATATATTGACCAGCAATGAAACAATGACGCCAACTTCAGCCGTTCCTTCCTCCTCCCGTATGGATGCTCAGCCAATCTCCAATAGCAATGGCATCCCTCACCAGCCAATGCATTCCCCTTGTTTCGTTCACTCTCACCTCGACAAAGGCGCTTCCCTCACCGAGTGGCTGCGAAATAAGCAAACCGCCCTTATCCCAGACGTTGGTGTCGCCCATTCTCTCCAGCGCAATGGAATCAACGGCAGTAATCGCAGCGACTACCAAATATCATCACCGCCTAGTTCTGGCTCTAGTTCTGTTATCAGCAGCAGCAATGACGATGACGACGAGTATGGTGCCAGTCTCACCAAACAGCTTGCTGAGACCGCCGTTGGTGTCCGCGAGATGAGCAAGCAGCTTGGTGTGTTCCATTATCTGCACTTCTGCTCAAATCTTTGTCTTACATCCATTTTATAGGCCGTGCTCGTGTTCGGTCAAGTATACAAAACGTTCTCATCATCACCAAAGCCAGGGACAATCGTCTTATCAAGCTCACCAGAGAGTTGGCCTTGTATCTCATGCTGAAACCTCGGAATGGCCAGCAACGCGGTCTCGTTGTGTGCGTGCGCTATTACGCTCCTACATAATACCCGTTCATCATGTCCTTCAGATACGTGGATAATCAACTGCGGCATTCTCGACGATTTGACGCAGAGAGTATCGAACGCGATCATCCCCAGCTCTTTGTCCCATTCCCTCGCCGCCGTACTTCCAGCAGCACATCGTTGTCATCTCTCGCCTCCGCACCTCTTCCAAAGGAAGAGCTTTATCTCAAAGAAGAAGGTCAGCTACGGTATTGGACCAGCCATATGTGCAGCCACAGTCCTCATCTCTTTGATTTTGTCGTCACGGTATGTTTTCGGCATCGTTCCTGATGCTGCTACCTCATATCTGTCGATAGCTTGGTGGTGATGGAACCGTGCTCTTTACCTCATGGCTCTTTCAACGAATCGTCCCTCCCGTCCTCCCATTTGCTCTCGGCTCACTAGGATTCCTTACCAATTTTGACTTTGCCGATCACCAGGCTGTCATGGACTCTGCGATCGATTCCGGTATACGCGTCAATTTACGAATGCGGTTCACTTGCACAGTGTACCGCGCTGTCACCAACGAAAGCAAATGTCGGAAAGCTGTGAAGAAGGGGGAAACAGGAGAGATTATGATGAGAAACATTGAGAAAGATGGCTGGGAAGCTCTTGAAGGCAGTTGGAGTGGTGGCATTGCATATACTGAAGGCTGCAAGAATGCAAAGGACAAGGAAATAATGTGTTTCACGACACGCCCGGTAGAAACTTTCGAAGTGCTCAACGATCTCGTAGTTGACCGAGGTCCCAGTCCTTTTGTCAGTCTTCTGGAGCTCTTTGGTATCGTTACGCCTTTCGTATTTGGATATCTCTACTCAATCCCGTGTCTTGATAGGTGACGAGCACCATATGACGACAGTTCAAGCGGATGGTCTTACTGTATCAACTCCAACAGGATCAACGGCGTATTCGGTATCTTCATATTTACTTACCTTTGGTTATATGACATGTTTACTATTAATATCATTCTATCCAGCTATCTGCGGGAGGTTCTCTCGTTCACCCCGAGATCCCCGCCATTCTCATTACGCCCATATGTCCCCATACTCTCTCCTTCAGACCCATGCTTCTCCCAGATAGCATGGAGTTACGAATATGTGTCCCATTCAATTCTCGAAGCACTGCGTGGGCCTCTTTCGATGGTCGAGGACGGGTCGAGCTGAAGCGTGAGTTTTTTTTTTTTTTCGCCGGATGACACGATGATGCTCATAGTGCCTTTAGAAGGGGATCATATTAAAGTGACTGCATCGAAATACCCCTTCCCAACTGTATGTGCCGACAAGCAGTCGACCGACTGGTTCCACGCCATCTCTCGCACACTCAAATGGAACGAACGTGAACGGCAAAAGTCATTTGTGATGGTGGAAGAGGGTCCATCGAAGCCAACCAAACGGAGCAAACATAGGAATGCTTCATCAGAGGTATCTGGCACCATCACACCAGAAGTCGTGCAAGAGGAGACTCCGGAAGATGAGGGTGAGAATGAGGAAACTGTGGAAGACGAGGAAGAGGATGAGGTGTCTGATGAAGAACGCGACGATGGCAAATTTGATATAGATGATTCCTCTCCCGAAGCCGCCATGTCCAAAGCATTGAACCTCCTGGGATTAGATGCAGAGACGATTGGGCAAGAAAAGGCACAGGAAATAATAGCGGAAGATCAACTGCACAAAGCTCTCGTGCGACCCGCCACTTCCGTATTGCAGAAGGAACATAAACGATGGAAATCACGTTCACGTTCACGCTCACGAGCACGTTCACATTCTCGACCGGGCTATCATTCTGGGGTAGAGACACCCGGTCGATATGCAGGTCCTGAGCCTCATCCTCCTATCATCTCTCCTCGCCGGGTAGAGTTTAGTGTTCATGGACCTTCATTCCACATGGATTCTACAGATTCCGGGATGTCAGACTCAGGACATCGTGGCGCAAGAGATGATATACATTCTTCAAGGAGGTTGAGTGGAAAGAGCAGGATACCCAAGGATAGAGATTTGGACACCGAGGCTATCCAGACACCTACTGTTGGCAATTTGCCTTATAATCATGGGCATTCCCGATCACAGTCTCGAGATGCTTCGGGGCATCGAGCATTTGCTGTTTGGGGTCAAGATGAGAGTGATAGCACCACAAGTGATAGTGACACATAGGCCATTTGTATAATTTTTGCACATCTTGCATTTTTTTGGTGGTGTGTACATTCTCAAAGTCTGTAACTGAGAGATATATAAATATAGCATGTTAGCTTCCTATTGACCCTCAGTCAAAAGTTTCCAAGCATTTGTGATTGTTTGATCATCACCTGACATGCTGCACCAAGGGGAATATCACTATCGGGACATGCTTCAGACATGCATGAATTGAACCTATGTGCCTATGGGGCCAAGGCTTTCTAGTACTGTATTTAAGATGATAGTTTACATCCTGTAACCATAGTCTTGAGCTAAGGTTTAATACAACTGACTAAACTCTTTGGCTCTCAGTGCCTCACCTACCTGGTAGTGAATTTCCCTTTTCCTCTTCAATCCTTTTCTCTCCCTTTTCTCTCACCTTTCTTCAGTTAGTGCCAGACCCTGGCAACTGTAGACCATTATATTTGCAGTTGTTTAATTATCACCTGCCATGTTTTTGATGCAGGCCTCCCTGTTCTTAATGGGGTCTCCACATTCTTAAGAGAATCATACATGGCGATAGATCTATGGTACACAAAATATACTTTTACCTATATACCTTCACCACATTACAGTCCGACAATGCCTGTCCGCATGTCTATACAGTCTACAATGCAGTATCCACCCTGAGGAACATATTGTCTAGTAATCATTTTGATAGCCTCTTGTGCAACGAGACCACCCAGCATGGCTGCAGTATTAGGCAGATCAGCTGTAGGAGATCGCGTACTGCAAAAAACAAGTGTAAGTGTAAGAGGAATAGGCATCGCGAGAAACATACATCTCTCCAATGGCCTTATCTATCTCTTCACCGAGCTCTGTGTCAGGCGGTAGCATGCCCACAATGTGCATCTTAATCTCCTCTGCCGATACATTGGCGCTTGCGCCTTCACTAGCGCCGCTGTTTTCTAGGGCCTCTCTGACTGCCCTGAGCGCCAAATGCACGCTTGTATCTTTGGGGCTGACAACCAACGCCTCACCAACTCGGTTCACATCTTTGTCAAATGCGCCCCACTGTTCCCCCACAAAGACTTGCACTCCATGAGCATTCCGGATGAACGTCTCGATAAGATCGTCTGGAATCTCACCCGGATTCGGAGGGATTAGTGATTTAAACATCTCCTTGTCGGAATTGAATTGGTCCTTGTACATCCTCTGCAGATGAATGTACGTTTCCGTCGAAGCCTTCATATCTGGCAACCCAGGAGACACAGGCAGTACGTGTGGCTCCCGCTCCGTGAATCGCCGGAGTGCCGTCAGAAGGGCATGCATAATGCCTGGGATGGCAGGCGGAGCAAGCTTGGTATCAAGATGTGGGAAGATGTCTTGGGTGAGAGAGGAAGGAAGAGATGTCGGTGTCCAGACGCGGTATGCCTGAGCATGTGCCTCGTCAAAATTCTCCTCATCCTGCTTGAACTTGAGTGAGAGAATGAGAGTTTTGAACGCATTTTTCTCTTCCTGGGTCTTTGGGTCGTGAGGGACGAGTGATCTGGCGTGTATGAGAATGGGAATATATGGAATATGAGCATGCTCCGTAGGGTCTAATTCAGAAAGTTTGAGAGACTTGGAATGTTCAAGTAAAGCTGGGAACGGATCACGTATTCGCAAAGAAGGAGGCGTCTCGGTGTGAGATTCAATGATGGGGTGCGGATGATGTTGAATGAAAAATTCGGCAAAAAAACCGGACGAAGAGACAGCCAGTAGAGCAGGTGCCGTAGGCGACGACCACAATGTGTCGGAGAGGGTCTGCAGTTGACTTGGAGGCAGATTATGAGTGATAATAAGGGTGAATTTACTAAGAAAATTGAGCGACGACACCACGCTGGCCACAGGTGTCGAAGTCACTGCCTCCCCCGTTACGCTATCATTCAGCTCGGCCAAAAGACGTACGGCTTCAGATGCACGGCGTTTCCCTATTGAAGAAGGCCCTTCAAGGAAGAAGTTATTACCAGCATCAGCAGCGCTGGTAATGGCATCATCGAGAATGGTAAAGTGGCCAATCCCTGGTAGGACTAGATTCTTAAGGATCGATGTTGATGTGGCTGACGAAGACAAGACCAAAATTCGCGATTCTTCGAGCAAAGTTTGACCAGAGGATGCCCACAGTCTGAGCTGACGGTCATACCGACGAGTTTTGCTGTCTGGTTGAGCGCTGCAAGTCCTCAGCATCTGTGCGAACCAGGATTTGTAAGACTACTCACCTGATGATCTCTGGCGATTCTGTTAATGACATCGTAGCAGTCAAGTATGCTGACAGATCCGTCTAACAAGGACCACAGAAAGGAAAAAAGAGAAGGACGGTGAGGTAAGAGGGAAAGCAATCGGCCAGCGTCACGGTGGTCGACTGAGAACCAAATAACTGAATACAACGCACTCACTCTCTGCCCATACCGCAATAATGGATCCTGGGCCACCTCTCGTCGTCGACAATGGTACCGGTGTAGGTGAATTCCATTCTTGGTTCTGAGGACGCGCTCATCCTCTGTCCAGTTCGTCAAGGTCGGGTATGCAGGCTCTAACTTTCCCGAGCATGGTACGCCCCGAGCTTGTTTTCCCTGCCTCTCATCGCCCTTACAATGCTTCAGTATTTCCTTCCATTGTTGGTCGCCCCATCCTCCGAGCTGAAGAACGAGTTGGCGACGCGACTATTAAAGATATCATGATCGGCGATGAAGCAGCAGAGAACCGAAACTACCTCCAGATAACACAACCAATGGAGCATGGAATCGTGCGGAACTGGGAGGATATGAAACATCTATGGGACTATACCTTTGATGAGAAGCTCAGAGTCGATCCGAGAGGGAGGAAGGTGCTTTTGACAGAGCCGCCGATGAATCCCAAGGTGAACAGGCAGAGGATGTGCCAAGTCATGTTCGAGGAATACGGTTTTGAGGGGGTGTATGTGGCCATACAAGCAGTGTTGACACTGTATGCCCAGGGTGCGTTGCTTCGCCGTCATTTCTGATTCTGCGCTCATCTTTTGAAAGGTTTGACAACTGGCGTCGTCGTCGACTCTGGCGACGGCGTGACTCATATTGTTCCGGTATACGACGGGTTTGCGATGCCCCATCTGACACGGCGACTCGATATTGCTGGGCGGGACGTGACCAAGTATCTGATCAAACTGCTGCTCAGGAGAGGATATGCGTTGAATCGAACGGCAGACTTTGAGACTGTGCGAGCGATCAAGGAGAAACTCTGCTATGTTAGGTGCGCTCTTCTGTTCCTCTATGAGGATCGCTGTTGGTGACTTTTCGTCAGCTACGACTTGGAGCTAGATACACGGCTTTCAGAGGAGACTACGGTGCTAGTCGAAAGCTATCAGGTTAGCGTCCTCAACGTCCATAGCTCTAAACTAATCAAGTAAACAGCTTCCTGACGGACGCACAATCAAAGTTGCAGAGGAGCGTTTCGAAGCTCCAGAATGCATGTTCCAACCCCACCTCATTGACGTAGAACAGCCTGGCGTCGCAGGTAACACTCTATATCATCTTCTACATTCGTTTCTTAACATCGTCGATGTAGAAATGCTTTTTCAAACTATCCAGGCCGCCGCTGTCGATGTTCGCTCAGAGCTTTACAAGCACATCGTTCTTTCCGGTGGATCGAGTATGTACCCGGGACTGCCTAGCCGACTGGAAAAGGAGATGAAGCAGCTCTATCTTGTCGAGGTTCTTAAGGAGGATCCTTCGCGGTTGAACGCGAGTATCTATTTCATGACGCTTGACAATGCTGACAGTCCTTTGCGCTACAGAAATTCAAAATCAAAATCGAGGACCCTCCTCGCCGGAAGCACATGGTATTCCTTGGAGGCGCTGTCCTAGCAGATATCATGAAAGGTCGAGAGGAGTTCTGGATAACGCGCGAAGAGTGGTTCGAGCAGGGGATTCGCTCGCTAGATAAGCTTGGAAGAGGAGATTAGGTTAAAGTAGACGAAGGACGGACGGGTTTCCTAAGAGTAGTTTACAATCTCATTGTATTGAAATTACTGCCGACTCATGTTTGTTAACAATGGCGCAGCTGCTACTATTACTACTATTACTACTACTACTCCTACCACCACAGCACGTTCGCTCTACAGGCAAGATTCTCGTTAATCATACAGAACCTAGTCACTCCATTCTGAGCTACGGAAATAAAAGGAAAATCCGCGATGCATACTGAAAACAAGGACATTGAAAAGGCGACAGAAAAAGATTCCCACAAACAAAAGGCATATCCAAATCCTTACCACCGAGGCAGTGCGACCTATATCCACTGAGCTCTATCCCAACCGGGATCTTGAAGGAAAGCACACAACACTTTGCTACCCGTTTGTAGCAGCGGATGCCCAGCCACTACGCTCAGGAACCTGAATGAAGAAATAATTGACATAGAGCGGTCAGAGGGCTGCCAAAAGCGCACCTCTCCAGTCCTTCTCTCCGTCCTTCGATAACCTCTTCGCTAAATCGATTGGTGAACACCTTTCCCGGGAGTGGTGGAATGTTCACGCGTGTGCTCTCCCGCTCAAGTATATCTCTGAATGCTTCGAAGTCACTGTATCTTCGTCGAACCAGACTATGGCGCAATTTGAAAGCCGGAATGTTAGTCTACAGGAATTTTAGCGGGATGGGACAAGAATGGCGAATCCGCTACATACCTTGCAGACTATCTCATAGTCAGTATACATCTTCCTCCCAAAGCCATGTGTCTGAGGATTACGGACCTCGATTTCGAGGAAGCTTTCGGGGACACTGTACATTTCCTCTATCTACAGGAGAGGTGAGTGTAGGACGGGGAATTGAAGGGAAAAGACTAACAGTCTGCTCACGGCCTGGGATGCGTGTATCTTCAAAGGCGCTGCTCCGGGCAAAGGGAGATACGGTCGTCATTGTTGAATGAAGTAAGAGTTTTGAGAGCCCAGTTCGGGCGATTGATGTGTAGTATTTTAGACTCCGCCTAAATTGGCTTACCCGGCACTACTATTGACGGTCGTTCTCTGTCGGCTTGCATACTCTTTCTTCCTAGCCGTCCATGGCGTTACCTCCCATGGATGAGGGCAAGCATCTCAGCGAGGCCCTTAACACCGTAAAAATTCAGTTTCAACAGATGAAGCGGAACTTGGTACATGCGCAGTTGCTCCTAGACTACTCACTGTACTTACCTTCTCCGTCCCTTTCGCAGGAGTTGGATCAGCTCATGGACGCGTTGAAGAGCGCCAGTTTGATGCTTGCTGAGCTCAGGACGTCGTCGCTCTCACCGAAGCAGTATTACGAACTCTGTGCGTAGCCTTGACGCGACCAGTATTCTTTTTATTCAATCTTCTCCCAAGATATGGCTGTATTCGATGCGCTACGACATCTCACCAACTATCTCTACGATGCTCACACGCAAGGACGTCACCACCTAGCCGACCTTTACGAGCTAGTCCAGTACGCTGGCAACATCATTCCCCGTCTTTATCTCATGATTACCGTCGGCGCCGTGTACATGTCCATTCCCGATGCTCCAGTAAAGGAAATTATGAAGGATATGATGGAAATGTCCCGAGGAGTCCTCCATCCTATTCGGGGATTATTTCTGAGGCACTACCTGAGCGGGCAGACCAGAGACTATCTGCCGGTTGGTACTGAAGAAGGGTCAGTCTTTCTCATTCTTCCTTGGTTTTTGATACTTATCTGGGTGCTATGCAATTAGCCCTGCCGGGAGTCTACAAGACACCATTTCATTTGTCCTCACTAACTTCATCGAAATGAACAAGTTATGGGTTCGCCTGCAGCACCAAGGGCATTCACGGGACCGTGAAAAGCGCGAGATGGAACGACGCGAATTACGGATTCTTGTTGGCACAAATCTCGTTCGGCTCAGTCAACTTGATGGCGTTGACCTCGAAATGTACGAACGCCTCATCCTTCCGGGTATCCTTGAACAAGTCGTAAACTGCAAGGATGTCATTGCTCAGGAGTATCTAATGGAGGTCGTCATCCAAGTGTTCACTGATGAATTTCACCTACACACCCTTGGTCCATTCCTCTCAGCCACCGCCCAGTTGCACCCCAAGGTCAACATCAAATCTATCGTAATTGCTCTCATCGACCGTTTGGCGGCTTACGCTGCGCGGGAAGCAGAAAGCGAAGATCCAGAAGAGACAAAGCGGCAAGAGGAAGCGGCCGCTCGGCGTTTGGCGGAAAAAGTGAAACTCCAGAAAGCCAAAACTCGAGAGAATGGTTCTGTATCAACTTCGTCTGTGGAAGAAAATGCATGGGGGGGTTCTACTTCACCGACAACGGCCAGCGTATTGGAAGCGGAAAAGATACCAGTAAAGGGTTCCAGTCCCCAGCGGAAAGGTAAAGACAAGGAAGGTTCTCCAGTGCGCAAGTTCAGGGGAGTTCCGGAGGACGTTCAGCTTTTTGAGGTCTTCTGGAAGCAGGTCGTAGAGCTCATCAAGGCGCGGCCGGATCTCTCTATCCAGGATATCACGGCGTTGTTCGTTTCTTTGACAAATCTTTCTCTCAGTTGCTACCCGGACAGACTAGAATATGTGGACCAGGTGCTTGGTTACGCCGCCGAGAAGATCAAGGAATATTCCGACAGTCCTGATTTGCATGCCCAGCAGACTACCTCTAATCTGGCCGCTCTTTTGGTCGCACCTATAAACTCTTACCAGTCCGTACTCACATTGCTGGCTATCCCGAACTATGCCCCCCTGTTAACGAAACAGCTTTTTTCTACGCGCCGATCAATAGCGCATTCCATTATATCGTCCGTGTTAAAGAACGAAACTGTTGTTGAAACACCGGAAGATGTGGATGGGGTGTTGGAACTGTGTCACGTTCTCGTCAAGGACCAGTCGGATGCTGGAGGGGGAGTTAGTGTCAACGGTTCACAGCCCAATATAAAGGATGTCAGGAGACAAGGGCCGTATTCCATAGAACGTGAGGAGATGGCTGAGGAACAGGGATGGGTCGCGCGAATGGTGCATTTGTTCCGAGCAGATTCTCTAAGTGTCCAGTTTGAAGTGAGCGGCGTTTTTTTTGGTGTCCTTCTCGCTGACATAGCCGGTCTAGTTACTGCAAATGGCTCGAAAGCATTTTGATGCAGGCGGGGAGCGGATGCGATTCACTTTCCCTGCTCTAATAACATCATCAATAAAACTATGCAGACGGTATAAGAACAGAGAACACCTGGTAAGCTCACTGTCCATCAAGGTCGTCGTTCGGCTAAGTAACTTTGGAATAGGAAGAAGACTGGGAAACACAAGTTTCCTCCATCCTTAAATTTGTTCGACAGCTAACTTCGATTCTCGCGACTCAAGTAGACGCGCCAAGCATTGCTTTGCGGTTATTTCTACTGTCGGCGCAGATTGCTGATGAATGCGGGTTTGAAGACTTGACGTATGACCTCTATGTGCAGGCGTTCAGTGTGTACGAAGACAATATATCGGACTCCAGAGCGCAGCTTCAGGCAATAACCCTCATTATTGGGACATTGTCGGGCGCCAAGGTGTTTGGGACAGATAACTATGATACGCTGATCACAAAAGCGGCCTTACACGGAGCCAAATTGTTGAAGAAGAGCCACCAGGCGACAGCTGTTGGATTGGCGAGTCATCTATGGTGGCAGGATCTCCCGACATCGTCAGAGGCGGCTGACGGCGAAGCAAAAGCGGAAGTTAATGAGAAAACGAAGGAGGACGGTGGAGAGAGTACTGTCAAAGCTGTAAGTGTGCCGCTTTTGTGCAATGTTTGTGCTTATCGCTTGTTTCAAGTATCCGCACCGCGATAGTAAGCGTGTGCTGGAATGTTTACAGAAAGCTCTCCGTATTGCGAACTCTGCCATTGAGGAGATCGTGACGGTCCAGTTATACTGCGACACACTTGATCATTATCTTTATTATCTCTACCACAATGCGCCAGCGGTGAGTTTCTTCGCCTCATTTTGTCAACGAACACTGAGACCTTGACTTGTATCGACAGGTCGCTCCGAAGTTTATCAATAGCTTGGTTGAGCTAATTTCCACGAGCATTGGAAACATCTCGTCGCCCGATGTACATCCTTCTCAGCGCGCACCTCCCGGTATTCTGGACGGAGTACAGACGCCTGAGATGATTACACGGCATTTCCGAAATACTCTTATACATATTCAGACCCGAAAAGATGTTGCACCGGAGGGGCCGTGGGGAGAAGTAGATGTAATTGGTGCTATGCTGAAGATGGGTCTGGGACGGTGATAGTGCTCGATTATTTTATATTGTACATGGCTTTTTTTGCCTCTCTTTAGTACCGCTTTGAACAGGATCTGGAACTGACGATTACCAATTATGTAAGCTCCATTACACTTTTTTTCGGATCGTCCTGCCGGAGTGGAACAGGACGTCTACCGTAACTGTCATGCCCACACGCCTTGCTAGCGACAGTCTCGCCCAAAAGTACCGCAAAAATGACACTGCTGCTCCCCGACAGGCCGTACAATGGATGAATGTCAGTGACGATGAAGACCGAACGCGGAAGACACCTTTCAAGGTTCATTCCAATGGACAAACGAACGGTCGAAAACGCCTTCGAACATCACAGAATGGATGCGCTACTAGCATGCCGCCATCGACGATACAGGAGCAGAGAAACAGCTTGCCTATCGCCAAAGGTGCGCCTCGAGCTTTCTTCCGTTCTCACAACTAATGCTCTGCGCAGGCAAAGCTGCTATCATAGAAGAAATTCGAAGCAACGACGTGACTGTACTGATTGGAGAGACTGGTTCTGGGAAAACTACTCGTAAGTCGGTCAATGATCGCGACTTCTCCATCTCATCATATTCAGAGGTCCCCCAGTATATCCTGGAGTCTGGGCTGGCAAGAGATGGACTGATTGCTGTGACCCAGCCGCGAAGAGTTGCTGCTACGTCTCTTGCCACACGCGTGGCAGTGGAACAGAATACCACCGTCGGAAGACTGGTTGGCTATTCCGTTCGTTTCGATGAACGTTCAAGCCCCTCTACCCGCGTCAAGTATCTCACGGACGGCATGATTGTTCGGGAGCTGCTGGCAGACCCACTTCTCACTAAGTACAGCGTTGTAATTGTCGACGAGGCTCACGAAAGGACACTCAGAACTGATTTGCTACTCAGTCACCTCAAGTCTATTCAGAAGCAGCGCGTCCCATCTCCCGACGGTAAAGGTAAAGGCAAGGAGAGAGACGCTTCAGGCCGCCAGCTTAAAATTGTTGTGATGAGCGCTACGCTTGACGCAGAAAAGTTCAGCAAGTACTTTGCGGAGTAAGTGGTGTCTATACTCGTCGTTCTCCGTATATTCGTTGATTTATTTCCATCAGAGCCAAAATATTATACGTGAAGGGACGTCAACATCCTGTGAAGATCTATCATTCTGCCACAGATCAGATGGACTATCTGGATGCAGCTTTGCGAACTTTTTTTCAGATTCATACGGACCAACCTCCTGGAGATGTTCTTATATTTTTGCCGGGTACTCATCATTCAATCTTGTGTCTCGCATACATACAAATGCATCTCTCCAGGTCAAGAAGACATTGAAAGTCTTGAAAAATCAATACAGGCGTTAAATCGGAGACTACCCTCTGGTCGAATGGAGGTGAGTTGTTCTCTCAGTGACTCATAAGTTCGGTCCATGCTGAAATGTGCCTTTTTCTGTAGGTTCTCGTCTGTTCCATGTACGCTGCTCAAGCTCCCGGACAGAATGCAAAAGCGTTTTCTCCATCGCCGTCGAACACACGCAAGTGTATACTTGCGACGAATATTGCTGAGACGTCTATCACAATACCCGGCGTGAAGTATGTCATTGATACAGGAAAATGCAAAGAAAAGCGATACCTAACGAGTGACACTGGTGGAGGTGTGTCTATCTGTTGAAAACACGGCCAGTGGTGAATTGCAGCATTCAGGTTTTGACACCCTTTTAACAAGGGACATCACTCAATCTTCAGCCATGCAGCGAACCGGACGTGCCGGGAGAGAGGTAAATAAACGATTATCATTCTGCGCACTCAGACCTCATTCCTTGGTAAACAGGGGACGGGGCATTGTTATCGATTGTATACGGAAGCCTCATTTAAAAAGATGGCGCTGTCCGCGGAGCCTGAGATATTACGATGCGGACTTACATCAAGTCTTCTTCAGCTTCGATGCATAGGGCAAGAGCTGGAGAACTTGGACCTGATGGATAAGCCTGAAGAAGATTCAAGTAAGTGTACCTGTGGCATGTTTTTACCAGCATTGACATCTTGCAAGTCAAAGCCGCGTTCAAGACACTGTTCATCATTGATGGCATTGACAGGAAGAAAGAACTTACACAAATTGGACGAAGCATGGCCGTCTTTCCACTGGAACCCATCCACGCGCGCGCTATCCTTGCCTCAAAGGATTACGGCTGCACATCCGAAATCCTTTCCATCATTTCTATTCTCTCCGCGTCCTCTAAACTTTATATTGATAATTCTGAACTACGAGAATCGATCACAGACTCGCGGCGCAAGTTTCGACATCCGAGCGGAGACCACCTTACTCTTCTTAATGTTGTACGTGCCTATGAGGAGGTTGCTGCATCTGAGAGCAAGGTCTCTAGGAAAGGGTGGTGCAAGAAGCATTTCTTAAACGAGAGGACCCTACTTGAGGCGAAGGAGATCAGAGCGCAGCTAAAGCAAGTGTGTGTACGAGTACAAATGGATCCAAGCGTGTCTTGTGAGGACGAGGGACCGATTTTGAAGAGTCTAGGACGCGGCCTTGTACACAACTCGGCTTTTTTGCAACCCGATGGGTCTTATAAGCAGACAATGGGGCCATCGGTCAGCTGTCCGGAATATTTTTTGACTGAAAGCTGACTATGATGACAGATTGTTAAAATTCATCCTGGCTCTTCTATGTTCGAGAAAAAGGTTCCTGCACTGATCTATGATGAACTTGTGGGTCCATATTTCCTGCTTGTCCTCCGATGGCTTGAAAGTTCTCAGATTTATACCAATCACATATACGCTCGGGGGGTCTCTTCAATACCGAAGGATTTCTTTCAAACATTAGGTGCCCTCAACCAACGCACGGCATGAGCAGTACGGACTAAGTAGATGCCAAATTTATGTTTGCTATAAAACCATCTTTAAGACTAACTATAATGACATGAGACTACGTTACAGTGGACAGAAGACTTCACCTACCGAATTAGATAAAATGTAATAAATCAACAAACGAAAGAAAGAGGTTGAGATGGGAATGGAGGTACTATTCTAGACGACAAATTTGCTACACATTACTTCTTTCCGAGAGTCAGATTCCTCATACTCTCCTCCAACAGCAAGCACACATCCTTTGGTTCACTCTTGGGTTCTGTCCTTCTCCTCATTCCTCCCACTTCTTTCCGAGGTGCATTCGGCTCCTCAATATCAACAACCTTCACGACGGCTTTGCCTTCCAAGACCCTCCTGACCTTATCGGTATCAATCCTAACTGACGACGAAGCATTGCCTGGTGAAGATCCACCTCCACCAGCGAAGGCGTCCCAGAACGCACTGCCCAAGCGTTTCAACAAGGTTTGACCGGCCAAAGCAGCAATCATGGCCTGCTGCTGCTGTTCCTTTTCTCTCTGTTGATCTTTGGCTATGACCGACAGTAATCTGGTAGAAGAAGGGCTGGAAGGGTGATATTTTCCAGCCAGAAGTGTGCTCAACGTAGTTCCCAGCATTGGGAGCGGCGACCTGTCCTGTGCCGGGGGCAAGTGGGCCTTGTTCGACGCTTGGAAGAATTTGGGTCCCAGAGACGACGCAAGTCCATGAAGAGATGTGGAATTAGAGTATGGAGAGCCTGTGAGATAAGGAAGTGAAGGATTTGTGAACGGAGAAGGGGAAAAGAGAGGATTTGGCGTAGGTGGCGACGAGGGCACTGAGATAGGGGAAGACGTCGGGTGCGGTGCTTGCTGAGATGCCATTTTGGTCCATAGTTGCATGCGATATCTGTGATGAACGAGTAAACATCGACGATCAATTAAGATACTGAAAAATAGATACTGACGAATCAAGACTTTTCAACGTAAACAAATGGCCGTCGGCGAAACCATCAAAGCCACTAAGCATTCCGAAAGCTGGAGTCCTGGGTTTATCCTTTCCGTTGAGAGTAGGGTTGATATTCTCTTGCAACCTACCACAAGCCACCTCAGGAATGAGCACTGTATGTACAGGTGTAACGCCTCCACCCATTCGAGATACACCACCCCAAAAGCCACCTGAGTGCGACGACGCGAGATCTTTCTGGGTGTTCGGTGTGATGAGTGAAGGAAACGAGGTGGGAGGAGTAGCTGGTTGAGGAATCGGACCAGGAGGAGGAAGGTTGAGGACGGGAATGTCGTCAACTGTGAGCTCAGATGTGGCTCGGCCTTCGAGAAGAGCCTTCTTCAATGCAGTTATCTCTTGACGAAGAGCATGATTTTCCGACTGCGAGGACCCTAACTCCGTCCGAATCGCTTGGAGAAGCCTGTCTCGCTCTGCAATATCAAGTTCGAGAGTAGAAATGTATTCTATCGAAGAATAAGATAAGCCATAACAAAACAGACAGAGAAAATGAACAAACCCTTTCTTCGAACGCGGAAGTTCCTGGCACTAATCTTGTTACGAAGCTGACGCTTCTCTTTACTGGACATCTTGGCGTAGACCTCTGGAGGTGGCCGCCAATCAGCAAGAAAGTCGTCATCGTCCATGTTATCATTCTCCTTAGAGGATGTAGAGCTGACAGCTTTGGAAACTGTGGCCGGCGGATGCATTGAGGGAGACTTCTTTACGATGCCGCCACTTTGCACGGTGCCCTTGCGGGCCTTGCCATGACCACCAACTTTAATGGGTGCAATGGTAACGGACATTGCATCTCGATTTGACAGTTCCTCTTCATCTGTTTCTTCCGTTTTACTAGATGATGTTGTCATGAGTTGGGGATCGATGGCAAATGTGGCTTGCATGTCAGGCGTAGAGCTGGTACTGAGCGCGCCGACAAAGTCGTACGGAGCCGAGGACGTTGGAAACGGCTCGACGAGCTTGAGTTCATCTTCAAGAAAGTTGAAGAAATTATTAGAGTTGGGAGAGTCATATACATCAGGAAATGAAGTCGGAAGCGAGGACTGCGGTGGAGTCAAGAGGGACTGAAACGGGGATTGGGGTGACGAAGCTCGAGACGAGGAGGACCCCGCTGACGAGGAGGAGGGTATACTGGGCGTGAATAGGTCGGCATGGAGATATTCAGAAAGGTCTGTGGGAGAAAAGGCGAAGGAAGATACTGGATTGTCGACCAACATGACTGTTGAGAGCAAGAGGCGCGAATGGACACAGCTTGCGTTTGTACCTCTGCCGTTTCCCACGCCTTGTTCACGGCAGGACGGACGGAAAATGACTAATACATGTGGCATACATCCGACATGACATGAAACTAATGACGTGATCATTATACTACTATACGTCCCAGATAATCCTGCCAGAGGTCATCTACAAACTTTTTATCCGTCTGCAGAAAAAAGGTCAGCATGTATCCATTCAGAACATTAATGATACTCACATGAATCAAAGTCAGTACCTCTCGCACAAACTCATTCCTATCTACATGTCCTCCTCCAGGGATGACAGCGTCCAAGATACTCTCTTTCACCGCGTTGGAATCCAGTCCTGCAACTGCTACCTTTCCATTCACATTCATCGACTCATCGGTAGCCATCTTCGGAACAAATGTCGTTTTCGCTGTCGTCGGTGCACTCCTTGTCTCGGTAGACAGAGGTGGGGACGGTGAAAGTGATGGTGATGCTGGGACAGCCGGAGGTAAAGAGACCGGAACATCCCAGCTACGTTCGATCGCATCTCTTTGCTCTCTACCATTGGCCTTTCCTTTCTTCTTTTGATTCGTATATTCGTTTCTCCTCTTAGCATTCATCTCAGCCTCCCTGAACGCATCTGCGTCACTCAATGCACTCGTGTCTTCGAAATCCAGCTCCAGAATTTCCTCCTCCTGATCTTCGTCAATTGGTGCTCTTGGATAAGGCCACAGACTTGGGTCTGGTTCATCAAATGGCACCAGACGTCTGCCGTTGCTATTACCGTTCAGAGGGACTACATCTGCTCGGACTGGTGGTGCTGTAGGTGCGGCATCCCCGGACCGCAACGTTGAAAGTACATGTTGTACTGTAGTATCTGACCAAGATGTCTTCATTGGCGGGGGGCATGCATGACATGCGGCTATGTGCGGCACAGATCCTAGCCGCGGTAACGGAGCGCGGGGCGTCACATCCCCGTTCACCCGTTCATGACTGTTTGATCCTAGTAGGCCGGTGGGGAACTCTCTGCTCAGTAACGGTCGCCCTGCACTGGCACCTGCCGCTTGCAGCTCCATGTCTAGCTCTGCCTCTAGATCCAGCACGGTGCTCGATTCGGAATATCCTGCATCCGAACAATCTCCCTCACGCGAGCTTGGATGTGAGCGCGAATTACTACTATGAGATGTAGATGTTGATATAGAGGTCGCTGCTGAGTCTGTCCGAGAAGGTGGTAGGCCCAGAAGGGTAGAAATAACGTCTTGATTTAAAATCTGGGGTAATGCAGTACTGGTGGGAATGGGTGAATGAATGATGGGCTCCGTTACGGAAGACGGATGTATCGTGGCTGCGACCGACGAGACTGAAGAGGACGGTGGGTCAGAACCATTTGAAGTAGAGACAGGAGTTGCCGACGCGAATATCGAATCCAATAATGGGATGCCGGTCGTGCTTGTGGGTGGCAGTCGTGCAGGAGCATCCTGCGAAATACCATCTCCGCTCAAAGCTGCAAACAACGAGTCTACGGTGAGTTTTGAAGAACTGCCAGAAGACGGAGAGACTGTTGGGTGCGTTATGCGCGAAGGTGAAGGCAAGGGCGGTATCTGAGCGCCCAGCTTAGCAAGTAATGAGTTGAAGGCAGGAGTACCATGGGCATCAACATTGTTATTTGGCCCAGCACTTGAAGTAGATGCTAGCTGGGATTCGGCTAGCCATAAGTCAGCTTATTAAGAGAAATAGAGAACACAAAGGATTGACCTTGTGTAAAAGGAGAAGTCGTTGTTGTGCGTAGATGTGGATTAGGTGGAGGTGGTTTGTTGGGGCCATATCTGAACTCTTCGGGATATGGTTCATTCCTCTTTATATATTTATGCAAACTTCAGTGGCATCAGAAGTAAGCATGTCACTGCTAAATAAATTACCGCACCGTGTCATCACAACAGATAGAGGTTCCCGGGCGTCAGTGGCAAATATCCAAAGACCCACTGTCTTGGTGCCATAAAGGGTCTTGTCCTTGGTTGAGAGTGGAGGTACTGGCAGACGATAAACATCATCGAATTTGTCTGGACACTGTAGAGGATGCTGCTCTTTTGCACGGGCTATTCTTTCGGACGTATACTCGGGATAAGATTGAAGCATCAGGTAACTCCCATGCAGGCCAATATCGTCCTCTGGGTGGATTCGTTGGATATAGTCATCCATTCCCATGCGGTTGAGAATGTAGAAACCATATGGCGGGTACGATTCTCTGTTTGCGAATAAGAGCTATTCATACAAAAGGAGTAAAGTCAACATGCCTTTCATAGAGAAACATACTGCCCTCGTATCCTAGCTTTTCCCACTTGGATCCGTTGTGATGATAGACACAGACATGACTAAACTGATCAAATATTGTCGTTATTGAAGGATCTCTCCGCCGTAGGACTTTGAGATTATGGTTGTATCTGGACATTGGGGACATTCCTAGGTTCGGTTTCGCTTGTGGCGCCGGCGGTGGTGGTGTGGAATCGGAAGATTGAGGTCTAGCGCGCTGGTTTTTCTGTACCCTTGGAGAGTCTGACCTTCCATTTTTCGAGGTGCCGGTGTTGTGGATGGATGGTGCTCGCCGGTGTGTCATTGTAAGAGGAAAGTGGACGATGTCACAGTTAGTGTCACACCGTCAGCGCCAGCGCCACTCCGGCCCGTAAACATCAGGGAGTTAATTTTAAGTTAATTTCAAACACGTATCTATAAGTAGTACAGAATAAATCTCTATTGACAATCATGTTTAAATTTCTTCGCACCACTTGCGAGCACTTTGGAACAATCTGAACCAAGGCCCACTCCCATGCCATTCCTTCCTGAACGAAGCTGGATACCAACTGTTACTTTCCAATGCTACCACTCTCTCGGGATGCGGCATAAGCGCAAGAACTCTCCCATCTGGTGTTTGGACTCCAGTAATTCCCCCAGGACTACCATTTGGATTCAAAGGATACCTCTCTGTCGGAGCACCCTTTGAATCGACATACCGCACTGCGATGAGCCCTTCCCCTTCTAAGACCCTTCTCTGTTTATCAGAACTGAACGCTACACGTCCCTCTCCATGAGCCACGGCAACCGACAGTCTCGAACCTTGCATCTCTCTCAAGAATACGGACGATGCTGTGCACTTGTTCGCCACGATCTCCACAGTGACTGCCCGTCCTTCAAATCGTTCGCTGTAGTTGGACTTGAAATCTGGCCAGTCTTGTGCTCCAGGAATTATAGAACGGAGATGGCTGAGGAACTGGCAGCCGTTGCATATAGCGAGCGTGAATGTGTCGCTTCGGTTGAAGAATGAGGAAAATTGTCCCCTTGTGGTGGGATGCAAGAGGACAGAGTGTGCCCATCCTTTCCCGGCACCAAGGACGTCTCCATAGGAAAATCCACCCGCCGCGGCAATACCCCGGAATGAATCAAGACTGACAACACCACTTAGAATATCAGACATATGCACGTCGACGGCATCAAAACCGGCCGCAGTGAATGCCCATGCTAGCTCTAACTGACCATTGACACCCTGTTCCCGAAGAATAGCGACCTTGGGACGGGAGTGATATGTTGGCGTCGGAGTGTAGGAGAAGGTAAGATCATAGGTTATCCCACTGTACGAGTGATCATCAATAAGGTCGAACTCCTCCTTCGCCGTCAGCAGATTGTCGCGTAGCTCTTGCATTTTGAAAGACGTCTCTGACCATTTCTTCTGTAATTCACTTCTTTGACTGGCGAAGAGCGTTTGGAGGCCACGCTTGACCCGGACGGTCTGATCAGCATTGAGCACGCCGACAATATGGATATAATGATTGGGAAAGCCTGTGTCGCCAAAGAACTTGTGAAGCTTTTCCACATCGCGTCGTCTCACCTGCACGATAGCTCCGAGCTCCTCGTTGAACAAGAAAGATAATGGATCGGCGGCATCCTCGTCCCTCAGAATGATGTCCGCTCCGACATGGCCAGCAAATGCCATCTCCGCAACAGTAGTAAAGAGGCCACCATCTGAACGATCGTGATAAGCCAACACAACGTCTGGACTATCCATCTTGATTGCTTGACAGCCTACGAGAAAGGCCTTGAGGAGAGCAGCATCATCGACGTCTGGTGCTTCGTCTCCAACTTCTTTGAAGACCTGGGCCAGGGCAGATCCACCCATCCTCCGCTCTCCCTTGGCAATGTCGAACAAAACCAATACAGTATCCTCCACCGCTTGGAGCTGGGGCGTCCAGGTTAACTCCACATTGACCACAGGAGCGAATGCTGTAACAATCAAGGACAGGGGCGCCGTAACTTCCCTCTCTTTCCCTTCCTGCGTCCACCTCATCCCCATTGACATTGAGTCTTTACCAACGGGAATGCCAACCCCCAGTTGTGGGCACAATTCCAGACCCACGGCTTTCACGGCCTCATATAAGCCAGCGCCCTCGCCGCCTTTGCCAGCAGCACACATCCAATTGGCACTTAGCTTGACTCTTCCGATATCCTCGATGCAGGCCGCGCTAAGATTTGTCAACGCTTCAGCAACCGCTATTCGCGCAGACGCAGCGGGTCGAAGAATTGCAAGCGGTGTTCGCTCACCGATGCTCATGGCTTCTCCACTGAGGACATTGAAACCGAACGACGTACGTGTAACAGCGACGTCCGCGACGGGCACCTGGTAAGGACCGACCATCTGGTCGCGGGTGACAAGGCCCGTGATGGAACGATCTCCAATGGTGATGAGGAAGGACTTGGAGGCCACAGACGGGAGATGCAAGACACGATCTACAGCCTCTGATAGGATGTCCACCTTTGGGGTGACATATTTGGATAGTGTCGTATCGAACGCATGCAAGCCACTTCGTCTCGAAGTGTCCGTCCGTGACATCTTCGGCGGTTTCCCAAAGAGAGTCGACATCTTAAGGCGTATGACATCGTTTCCAAACAGTCGATCTGTCACCACCAGCTCGTCCTCCTTGGTAGCAACACCAACTACGCCGAAAGGACACCGTTCTCTCTTCACAATGTCCTCAAAGTCGTTGATTTTATCAGCGGAGATAGCTAGAACATATCGTTCTTGACTTTCATTACACCAAATCTCCATTGGACTCATCGACGCATCCGCCACTGGAACGTCCCGTATCTCAAAGACAGCTCCCAGACCAGAATCGTGGACAAGTTCAGGTAGGGCATTCGACAGACCGCCAGCTCCAACGTCATGAATGCTCTCGATTAGGTCGCCCTCTCCGGCACAAGCATCAATAACCTGTTGGCACCGTCTCTGCATTTCAGCGTTGTCCCTCTGCACACTTGCAAAGTCTAGTTCAGCTGAGCTCGCCCCTGATATCTGACTTGATGCTGCACCTCCGCCAAGACCGATCAACAGTCCGGGACCACCGAGAACCACAATCTTCGCACCCTCACTAATCCTTCCCTTGTACACGTTCTGAGGTCGCACATTGCCGTAGCCACCAGCAATCATGATTGGTTTATGATAACCCTTCACCTCCCCACCAACTCGTTCACAGAACGTACGAAAATATCCCGCCAGCGCTGGGCGACCAAACTCGTTATTGAAACCACTGGCACCGAGCGGAGCCTCAATCATGATATCCAGAGCAGATGAAATGTGACCTGGACGCCCAACGTCCGTTTCCCAGGCCTGCTGAAAGTCCGGGATAAGAAGATTGGAAACCGTGAAGCCTGCCATGCCAGCTTTCGGTTTCGATCCACGACCCACCGCACCCTCATCACGAATCTCACCCCCAGAGCCGGTAGCAGCACCAGGATATGGAGAAACGGCAGTAGGATGATTGTGCGTCTCCACTTTGACAAGAATATGCACGTCTTCCTGTTGAGAACTGTACAGACCCTTGTGAGGGCAGAATCGCGGGGCAGAATGTCCCTCTAAAACGGCAGCATTATCCGAATACGCTGACAACGTGCCCTTATTAGAGATATTCTCAGTATTTCGGATCATCTGGAAGAGGGAGCACGGCTGAGGGACCCCGTCGATAGTCCACGACGCGTTGAATATCTTATGGCGACAATGTTCAGAGTTGACCTGGGCGAACATGAAGAGCTCAGCATCCGTGGGACTGCGGTTGATTGAGATGTAAGCGTCTAGCAGGTATTCAATCTCATCTGGAGATAAGGCGAGACCCAGATCTTTATTTGCCTGGATGAAGATGCCCTTGGGAGATGGGCCGGAGAGATCGACCGTGCGTAGGAGTTTAGGCTCGTTGTGCGAGAATATAGTGTCTTCGGAAGGAAGGTGCTGATAGAAAGCCTGTGTCATGCGGTCATGAAGCAAATGGGAAATTGCTTCGACTTCATCCTTAGTTAGGACCTTCCCTTCAGTGGTACCGAAGGCGTAGGCAGCACCCCGTTCCAACCTTTCTACGAGCCCGCCCAAGTCGCAAATGATCGAAATATCCGTCGCCTTGCTTGACCACGGTGAAATGGACCCCATTCGTGGAAGCACGTAGATCACATTATGGGATGTGAAGTCTGTGCCAGCCAATTGAACATTACTACCATAGGTCAAGAGGTGATCCAGGTTCTTCCTTGACGCAGATTGAAGATCTGATAGTTCAGACTCGGCTGACTTGGAACGGCACTTGACGATGTGTAACCACACGGCATCAACGGAGACAATGGTAGGAACTATTGACTGGATTGCACGGAGCAAAATATCCCTCTTTTGGACAGAGATAGAGGAAGACCCAAAGAGGACGAGCATTCTACAAGAAAACGATAAGGGTATCTATTGAAGGACGTACAGGTGTCCTTACTTTGGACGACGCTGGCCTGTTGCTGTTCGCGATCACGGTAGATGGTGGTCGGGAAAAAAAAAAGGGCGGGTCCGTCCCGATGATCGACGTCGGACACCTATTTTTGTGACAGTTAATTATTTAAATATTTCTCTCGCCTTCCTCCCACCATGACTCCCGCCAATGCTAAGAATCAAGACAATGGCGACGAGTTCAGCTTCATGACGTCGCAGGCAAGCAATGGCAGCGACGACCACATGTACGTCGCTGGACAGGTACCTTTCTGTTAATCTCATCATCATCCAGGCTTCAGCAGGCTCTCGCCGAACGCGTCTTTGGTCAGTCTCCTCCAGCTTAGTCGACGCCGATGTATAACGCGTCTCGTAGCTGCCAAGGAAAAGAAAAAGAAAGAAATGGAAAAAAAGTTTCTTGCTGCAGGCCAACAGCATCTTGTGAAGGAGGTACTCCTTCACCGACCTTGTCTTTTCCTAATCGTTCACTGCCATAGACCGCGAACACGTCGACAAACATTCAATCTACGTATCAGGCGGCGTACTGATCACGACCCAATTTTCACCAATCACGCTGATGCAATTTTTTTTTAGCAACGAGGAATTGCAACGGTTCATAATGGAATACGTGTCCGTAGAAGACAAGATACGCGCGCTATGGGATCAACTCCGCCGAGAACAGCAGTCGCTTGCGGTACGTCGATACATCATTGTGGGCTACCTAGCATATACTGATTTTGGTGCAGAGCATAGCTGAGAAACGACGAATGACGCTGCAAGCATCAGCTCAAGGATGCGAAGCAAAGCACATCAAGGCAATGGGTCTCGTGAAAGAAGCCTGTTACGGTATACGGGAGCCCTTTCCAGATGATCGCATAACACGACTGACGCTCCCTCACAGAAAATGAAAGAATAGTCAACAGCTTGAACCCCCGGGATACTTGAACTTGACTGCTTGTCCATTGCTGCTGTACCATTTAAATAGTGTATCCTATACGCTGTCGTCGCGTAGAACTATGAATTATCCTTCACTGGTTTTTTCTGAGGATCGAAATCAGTACAGCCAACAGCGATGGGCATGCCAGACTCACATATGCGACTGCATCAAAATCATATTGGATACCCGCCCCCTCGAGCTTGCGTTTCCGTTGGTTCTGCCTTTTCAACAGTCGTTTTGATGCCTTTTGCTGCTCTTCGGCGGTGCGAGGCTGGGTAGAAGGGTCAATAAGGAGAGAATAGACCAACAGACAAGAGCATACCCTGTTGTGATCCACTCGGACCACACGATCCATAGGGACCACTCTCCACTTGCGGTTGCTTCCTACCCATAGCTGAGGATGCACTTCTTCCTTGGGTATGACCTTGCACCGCAAAATGTGGCCCATGAGCAGGTAGTTGTCCATCGTCTCAGCAACGATTTGCGCGACAGATGCAGAGTCGAATTCGATGAATCCATAATGTTTTGAACGACCCGTCTGCAGCGAGATGAGCCCTTGCAAACACAAAGAAAACAAACAGTTCGGTACCGTTTTGTTTCTCGAGATACGTATACGAGTGACGTTGCCAAACTGCGAAAAGTAGGCCTTCATCTGTTCTTCGTAGAAGCCGTGGGGTATTCTGCCTATGTACAATACGCCTCGGTCGTTCGACTGCAAAATATGTAGTCGAAGTGACAATAGACAAAGAGAGTACACACCGGCAACCGCTTTGCCCTTTCTAATCGTCGTTTCACATTCGCATCGTCCTTGGCAATGGTAGGAAGTTTTTCCACGTCTATGGGAGTGAGCGTCGGCTCGTCTTCGTCTGAAGAATCGTCGTCGTCGTCTGAAGACAGCCCATGCAATGGTATCTCAATTTCCTCCTCCTCCTCGTCACTGGCTCCTTTCTCCTTTCCAAATTTTTGCGACAATTTTGAGGTGAGCATGGTGAGTGAAGGAAGAGAGAGAAAATGTTTGGATCTGTTGCCTTTTCCGGCTTGTCCTCTTTCAACGATGTTAAGGCTGCCTCTTCGCCGCATCCGCTTCCCTGCCATTCCATCATGCAGAAGACTCAATTCCAGTGATGCAAAGTAAGCTCTGCATGACGCGTTCGTGCAAGTGCTGACGAACGGTAGGGTGGCAGAAAATGATGCGGATGCTCTCCCGTTGGCCGACTCCAAGGAGGAATTGGACAAGAAAATGGAAGAAATTATATTAAAGTATGTACAATTTCTTTTCTTCGGCTCTGGTTAACTGTTCATCTCCAGGGAATGGGAAGCCTCTGGCCTGACCGATGAGCATTCGACAGGATCTGAGTTCAAGTCTCCTTCCTTGTGCGCCTCTCTCTTTCCTTCACCCAATCAAAGGGTATATTGACTTCAGTCGTATGCAGACCTGCACAGAATGCAAAAGAACTGTTTAATACCGGGCGACGGTTACTCCAGGGTGATTCCAATGTTCAAAGCCGTGTTCGACTCGGGCGAAAAGCAGTCGAGTTGGAGGTCAAGGATGCGGATGAGGAGGCGAAAATGTTACCAATATCTGCCGATTCTCTGGGCACGGATTTCACTGAACGAGAATATGCCTCTGCACTGATTCACGGGCGAAGCTTCCATCTACCGTACTATCATCCACATACGCATTCGATACCAGTGGCGTCTCTTCAATTCCGTTCACACTTTCCCCGTCTTCTGGATCTGTTCACGCATTTCGCCTCGCATGCAGCGTCGTCGCTTGCGATACCGATATCGCGGGTGGTGATGCTGCCGACGCAGCGTTCAATGTGGACTGTCCCTCGGAGTCCGTTTGCGTACAAAAAGTCGCAAGAAAATTTTGAACGCAAAGTGCACAAACGAATGATCAAGGCATGGGACGCGGATGAAGAGGTTGTGCGACGATGGATCCTGTACTTGGAACGACACAATATGGGAGGAGTAGGTATGCGAATTACGACATGGGAACGGTTACCGCTTGGTGTGGGTGGTGGTATGGAGAGTACGAGGGTAAGAGTGCAGGTGACAGAGGCAAGTGAGAAAATCAAGCAACTTGGGGAGAAGATTGTGAAGGAGGAGCTGGCGGCGTTATCGGGCCGTGGCACATGATGTAGATATCACCTGACCGTATTTGATAATGTTACCTAACGGGCACGTCCAATCACCGCCCTCCGCTCGCAGCCAATCATGTCGATGGAGGAGCACGTCGTCGATCAGCTCTTTCCTGGCCCGTATCCTCTCCAAAATTGGGAAAATAGCCCGCCCATTGACGGCGGGCTTGATACTCAAACCGATGGGCAGCTGAACCCTGCGCCTTCCCTGGACAACTCGCAGGGGTCGAATGCAGTGTACCCATCGTTCCAGCACCACATCAGCGAAGCTCTCGAAGGGAGTGTAGATGACGAGCCGCTTTATGTCAATGCGAAGCAATATTTTCGTATTCTGAAACGTCGGGTGGCCCGTGCGCGACTGGACGAGGTCCATCGTCTGTCTCGTCAACGAAAGGTGCGAGTCTGCCTGTTTTTTTTTTTTTTCCTCTTATTGGTTGTTGATTGTTGGCGCAGCCCTATCTGCACGAGTCGCGTCACAAGCATGCGATGCGACGACCGCGAGGACCTGGGGGTCGTTTTCTGACTGCAGAGGAGATTGCTGCTCAAAAGGCGGTAAATGGGGACGAGGTTGTAGCAGAGGCAGGGCCGTCGTCTGCGCTGGTTGATGAGGATGATGACGGGGATGGTGGCTCGCCAATGCAGCAGGATCCATCGCCTCAATTGCCTCCCAAGCGGCCTCCTCAGCAGCAGCATATGGCACCGCCTCATGCTCGGCCTCCTCAGCAGCAGCATATGGCACCGCCTCATGCTCGGCATCAGCAGCAGCAGCAGCAACCACCACCACCACCACCACCACCACCGCAGGGGCAGCACCACCATTCCCATTCATCGTCACGGATGATGAGCACGAACCTTCATGGACCAGAGACGGAAGCATACATGTCTGGGGAGTCAATGGGGATGATGAACATGGGATATGGGCAGACGGTGCAGGCGATGAACATGGGAATGGGGCAGACAGGAAACAAGATGGCTGGGCCGATGTACTCACAAATGCGGTCGGCGGGAGGGATGGGAACATCGCAGGGGGGGTCGTCGATCACGCTGAGTTCGCCGTATGGGACGCCTGTGCAAATGCATCACGTTCCTCACCCTCATGCTCATGCGCGACACCGGCACTCGCAGCTGAACTATGCACAGGGACTGTATGCGCAGATGAACACGTCGATGCAGGCACGGTCTGAGGATGTTGGGCCATGTAATGGAGGTGGTAGTTAGATAGTAATTTCAGACAGGTTTGTATTGTACGGGATTTTAGTTAGATTGTACAAATATCAGTATTCCACGTCCATGGCATCGTCGTCGTTGTTATCTTTGGGTTGTTGTGGTTGTGGTTGTGGTTGTGGCTGCTGGTGCTGCTTGGCTGGCTGTTCTGTGGTGGGAATGGGTGCTGGTAGAGGGTGGTAGAGCACCAAGGCAGTAGAAGCGGGAGTGGGGAGCGAGGAAACGAGCTGACGGGAGCGGATGCGGTCTATGAGTGCAGGGGATATCGAGAGTGCAGGGTCTTTGTCGTTGTCGTTGTCGTTGTCATTGTCGTTGTCGTCGTCGGACGAGTCGAGGTCAGTGACGACGATACCTGTGGGGCGGATGATGAGTGGGGGGGGGCGGTCGTCATCGGGGAGGTAGGCTTACGGTCAGGCTGAGGCTCGTACCAAGTGGATCGCTTCATTTTTACGTCATGAGGAGCGGTGGTGGTGTTGTTGAGAGACAGGTTGGAAAGTGTACGCTCGAGGCGGCAGAGGCGAGCGCGTTTAGGTGTCACTGAACGGCCTTCATCGCTCTCTCGCTGTTTGCGCTTCATTGAAAGGACAAGTAAAAGGAATACTTGTTATCATCAACATCAACATCACGTGCTATAAACTACTAATTATTATCTAGCCACGCTTTTTGGACACACCAACAGTCTTGCCACGCCGCCCTGAAATCATTTAAATATGTTAGTTATTTTGTCTTCTCCCACAACCAAATAAATTCCACTCACCAGTCGTCTTCGTGTGCTGTCCACGCACACGCAGGCCCCAGTAGTGTCGCAATCCACGGTGTGCCCTGATCTTCTTCAACCGCTCAAGATCATCACGCAGCTTCGAGTCAACTCCGTTCGACAGAATCTGCGAGTTTTTGCCGTCCACAATATCTTTTTGTCTGTTCAAGAACCACGTCGGAATCTTGAACTGTGTCGGGTTTTGAATGATCGTCACAATCCGCTCCAGCTCATCAGAGTTGAGCTCTCCCGCCCTGTTTCATAATAAGAATCTTCAATCCAATCCTCCTCCTTCCCTACTCACCGCTTGTTGAGATCAACATCAGCCTTTTTACACACCAAGTTGGAGTATCGTCGTCCAACACCCTTAATCTCAGTCAGCGCGTACATGATTTTGCGCTTTCCATCGACGTTGGTGTTCAAAAGTCGAAGAATGTGCTGCAACAACATTTTAGTCACTCTCCCTTCCACTCCAGGAAAAACTACCCACTTGGAACTGCTGGTGAGCCTCCGGAACAACGAGAGACATCGTCGCTAGTCGTATGCCTGCACAACCCGAAAAAATCAGCATCAAGTACATCCTCACCCCACACTCTCCATCCAGCTTCAAATCTACAGTTTTCCTCCTGTCAATCTCCTTGTCGTCCCATATACCCATGCAGCATCCCTTTCACATCTAGAAATAGACTCACCTGAGAGTAGATTAGCCTTGCGGTGAACGTCGTCTGTATTTTCCCTGCAAGGAAGAGAGATCTTTTGCGTGCTCTATTTGGCTCAGTGTGACACGTTGTGACAAGCACTCTATAAAAAGGGGCCTATAAAAGGGCCCTTGTAAATAAAAAGTACACATGATTACAAGTAGTTTGATAAATATGCTTCAGCAACGACGACAGCTTCTTTCACTCGCAAAACATTCACCCCTACCCCTTGCGCAGAATCCTCCTTCCCACCCGCCTAAAAACCGGTCAATTTGGAGCACACCCCCCAAATACGAGTTTACTTTACCTTGCCACCAAGCACCTCACCAACCTTTGACGCCCATGTCCGTGCATCTGCTCCCTTTTCCTTCAATGAAATCGGTACATAGTTCACATGCCCCACCTTCCCCCCTTCCTCATCAACGCTGAAAACGTATACCACTTTCCCCACTTTTCGTCCTTGCAAAACAATATTTTGAAGAATCTTTAATGCCGACATCAGCATTGGGAACACAAGCAAATCAAGCTCTTCTGACCTTTGAACTACCATTGACATCAACCACTGCGATATACGACGACGCTCCACCCTTGAAATGCTGCTGTACTCGATCAACAGCCTAAGGACAGCAGTCAGTCAGTACTGAACCATGAACACCGTCATCTCGCACACCTCCTTGTTCATTGCCGTTTCCTTCTCCCTAATCTGCTTGTCGAATGTTTTCCGCATCACAACGAGTCTTTCCTTCAGCTCGGCCTTCTTGACCGCAGAAATATCGGTTTGGCCCAGTTCCTGTATTTGCAAAAAAAAAAATTTAGCATAGACCCCATCAATCAGACACATACTTACAACTCCCAAAGCTTTCATCCCCGCATCCTTGTCTTTTCCAGAAATCTGCTCCAGCCGATCCAACCTCACTTGAAAATCATTGGCGATACGACTGACTTGTGCAGCTTCGTGTCCGGTGACTGCGATGATTCGGCGTATCCCTTTTGCGATTCCAGACTCTTCGAGGATCACAAAGTCCTTGATGTCTCCAGTCTTCGCCACATGTCTATCCGTCAGCTCGACAAGTGCTCCGTCTACCATAAAGCATCCTACTCACGTCCCACCACAGAATTCGACACTTGTACCCCGCCACTTGGGATTTTCAACATCTCTGGCAATTTCATCCACATCGTACTCTAGGGTCACCACCCTCACAGGATCAGGATACGTCTCACCAAAAACTGCACGAAGACCCGGGATTTTCTCGGCATTCCGTAGATCCAGTTCTTTGCTGAAAACCTTCACGTCCCGCTTGATCCAGTCCTTTGACATGGCTTCAATCTTCGACAGTTCTGGGAGACCAATAGATGCTTTGTGCGAAAAGTCAAAACGTAGTTTTGTCGGCGCAACCAGTGATCCCTTTTGGTCAATATGGTCGCCAAGTGCTTCACGGAGGCAGAAATTGAGAATGTGAGTCGCAGTGTGATTGTTCCGCAGCGGCCAACGACGAAGCTACATACCACTAAGAACAGAAACAGTACATGTGACGCCTCACTCACTTCATCATATGACGATACTACAGTATCATCCACTGAGAGATTTCCATATTTTAGGCGACCAGTGTGTAGAACATAGCCATTGTAAACCTGGACGTCAGTCACCTCAAAATCAGCAACACCATCAATCACAATGTTCCCAGTGTCGTATTCTTGACCACCTGACTCTGCGTAGAAGCTTGTCTTGTCCAGAAGCAAACCAAAATAGACATCACGAGGTATGGATTCTGTCGATGCGACAAACGACCTGTTGTAGAATATAGCTTTTATCGAGGCGTCAATGTTTCCGATACCTGCAAAGCCATTCATTGTACCAGAAAAGACCAAACCAACTGTTACGCATACCGAATTTCGCAGAGTCGTCCGTTTTAGGTACTGCACCCATCTTTTCAAGGGAAGCAATGTCGTGCACGTCCAACTTCACCTGGACTTTGCTTTCCGTCTTCCCGGATGCCTTGCTAGCCTCCTTTGAATGAGCCTGGGCTTCTTCAAATTCAGCATCATTCACCCCGAGACCAAGTTCCTCTGCCATCAAACGCGTGAGGTCGACAGGGAAACCAAAGGTATCGTATAACTGCCAGACATCCTTCCCGTTCAACTCTTTAGTCCCTTGTTCTTTTGCGCGTGCCGCGTATTGCTCGAAAAGCTTTTCACCGCGGTCAAGAGTCCGCGAAAAAGATTCTTCTTCCTCGTCAAGGATTTCCTTGATTTCGGCGACTTTCCGGGTTATTTCGGGAAATGTCTGACCCTGAACACAATAAGATGGAGAACAGCCTCTACGGAATAAATCGTACCATGGTCTCGACAACGACAGGCATCAAAGACGAAAAGAAGGAGCCGATAGTTACCCCGAGTTTCTTTCGGGCATACCGTGCTCCCCGACGTAGGATTCGTCGCAGTACGTACCCTCGACCGTCCTTATTTGGGACACCTCCGTCGCTGAGAGCAAACGTGAGCGTTCTGACATGGTCTGCGACTACCCGGTAGGCAGTGTCGACGCCGTCAGCATCATCGTCTCCAAATCTACCTTCATACGGGCGTACTCCCGTGAGCTCCTGCACTTTGGCAAATATGGGGGTGAAGACATCGGTGTCATAATTTGAGCGCTTGTCCTGGATAGCGGATACAAGCCGCTCGAAACCCATACCGGTATCGACATGTTTGGATGGAAGCGACTTTAGGGAACCGTCACCTTCGCGATTGAACTGGATGAAGACGTTGTTCCATATTTCAACTACGTCAGGATCATCTTGATTAACCAGACTTGCGGCATTCCTTCCGCCTATTCGATCGAAGTGAATTTCACTGTAGGGGAAATAATAAAAAAGTAGTCTTAAAAAGCAGAGCACTATACATACCTGCACGGTCCGCACGGTCCAGTAGCACCCATTTCTGCAAGATACATGAGGAATAATTTCAAAGAAAAAAACACGAAGATGCATACCCCAAAAGTTGTCTTTGGCGTTTCCTGGAAGAATATGGTCTTCTGGGACACCTTGGCTTAACCAGTACATCTTGGCCTCCAAATCAGCCTCGAGATTGATTTTGAGGTCTCCCTCAAAGTAAGTCACGTATAGGCGATCCTTCGGTAGCTTGTAAACCTCAGTTAGGAGTTCCCAAGAGTAAGCTATGGCCTCTTTCTAAAAGAGGTGTCTAGCTTATGCAAGGATAGAGTGGACATGTGTTGCACACCTTGAAGTAATCTCCAAAAGACCAGTTGCCAAGCATTTCAAAAAAAGTATGATGATATGAATCCTTGCCGACATCGTCGAGATCTGCAAAGCATGAGAATGGCAATACGTGAGATGGTGACAGCGTACCGTTGTGTTTCCCTCCTGCCCTTATGCACTAAAATCAAATCAGACATACTGTAGGTGAATATCGAGTGTCTAGAAGACCTTTTGGGTATTAAACGCGCGCTTCAGTTTAGACATTTCTGAATGCGGATCGACCGTGCCAAGAAAGATGGATTTGTACTGGAGTCTGGTGAGCCAGTAGATAAACGGAACTTTCGGAATTCATACCTGATTCATTCCGGCATTGGCAAAGAGCAAAGTGGGATCGTCGAATGGAATGGTCGGTGAGGAGGGCACAAAAGTGTGCTCCTTGGACCTGAAGAAATTGAAGAACTGGTCGCGAATTGTAATGGCGGTCCAAGGACCATCATACGGCTGGGAAGACATAGTCCTAATGGAGCGGCGGTAGGGAGAGAGGTGGTGGTAGACGATACGGATCGATGGTGGTCGAAGGCGCATTGACTCGACCAAGTCACGTGTGCATTATTATTTTTATTTTTCTTATTTAATTAATCGTTGGTTCAATGCCTCGAGTACCTCCCGGCCTGCTGCAACTGCTGGCGCGTCCTCCGCGTCTCTCTACTGTGTTATCTCTCTCACGGCCTCGCACTCTTCAGCACCACAATGCTCCCATAATATCCTTCGCCAGAGCCATCCCCTTCCTTGCGCAATCCCTCGCCAACCCTTCACCCACCCTAGGATCCTTGCAGCAGCTCCGTTTCGCCCAGATGGGCACTGAATATCAGCCGTCACAGAGAAAGAGGAAGCGTAGACATGGCTTTCTGGCACGGCTCAAGTCCCGAGGAGGAAGGAAGATATTAGCTAGGCGCAGGGCGAAGCACAGGAAATATCTCTCGCATTGAGGGTATGTTTGTCGACGCTTAGCGTTTACATGTATCTCACATTTACGTTGACAGGAAATTGCTTCATTGCCAATGTGTCTATTACAACTCTTCCATATTGAATACGTATATGAAGCTATCTACTTATTGATTAAGAACGTGAGTGTATACGGCAATGAAGCGACCTCTGGACCACATCTGCTACCTCCATTCGTTCTCGCCCTCAGCAACCATTAAATGTGGCCTATCCATCGGCCAAGCATGCATGATTTTCTCCGCTCCAGAATCCGACGAGACACCGAACAGTGTTTTGGGTTGCAGAGGGAACGGCGTGGCCATGTTACTTGCATTATTCATCCCCAGAGGGTATGATAGATACGATATTGGTGGAGACAGAGGCGAAACCGGCGTAAGTAGGAACCCTTGCTCTATCGAAGACAGCAAAGCCGAAATGGGAGTTTTTTGCAGCTTTACCACATTATCTCCTTGACTTGACGGCGGTGTGGCAGGAGCATCCACCGAAAACGGAGACGGTCTTGCAACGATGATTTGCAGTGGGATGTTCTTGACAGTATCCGTTGCTTCTTCAGCTTTCACAGTTTCGTTCGAACTGTCAGGAGCTCCCTCATCGGGTGCTTCATCGTCATGATCAGATGAAATGGGGGGTGTTGACTGTGGCTCTAGGACGTTGTTTTCATCTTCGTGTACACGTTCTGCAGCGTCCTCGACAGGGACGCTGGCACCTTCAGCATCAGCCTGTGCCTTGTCCCCCACGTCCTCGCCAGTACTTCCCTCCTTAGCGTCCTTCGACGAGGACGCTTCCGTTTTTGCAGATGACGCTGTCGTTGTCCGAGAACGCACAGGAACACTTCTGCTGGGGAGGGGATGTTTCGGGACCGGTGGTTTGGCAGGTCGTCTACCCCACATTGGCTTCCCGATCGCTGCTGCTTTCTCTGGCTTCTTCTGAGCCACAGGTGGTCGTTTACTAGCAGTTGACGCTTCTGCTTTGGCCACAGGGTTCACCGAGGGCTTTGTCTTTACTTTGCTGTCAGCATATGTCGGTTTCATGGTCAATTGAGGCAACTCAGGCTTCTGGCCAATGATGATCTTGGGTCTATCATTCGACGAAGCAGATCGAGTCGCTTGGAACGCAGTTGACTGCTGAATAGATCGAATACTTCTCATTGATCTGCCATTGTCAGACTCATCGTTGCGCACTGTGCCTGGTAATGGTAATGGTGCCCGCTGGGCTCGGCTGTTTGGCGCTGACGGATGTTGCGAAGGTATAACTTCCCTTCGAGGTCCGCGAGTGACGACACTACCTAAATGCGCGGGTGCAGATTTGAGATTTATTGCTGGGCGGAAGGCTGGCATGCATGGTCGTAACGGCGGGGTAGGCTTCTTGTCACTGCTAGCTGACGGGACTGAAGTAGATTTCAAAGGCGGGACCGGATGCCGTAAAGGCTGCGTAGGTCTTGTAGGAATGGTATCTGGAGGCGGCATGCTTCCCTTCTTAGGGCCCGACACCTCGACTGGTTTCATGTCCTTTGGAACAGTGCGAGAACGTGAACTTGCCCTACTCGACGATGCCGAATGGGTCAACATTGGAGCGGGTCGTGACTCACTCGATTTGGATTGCAAAGATGAAGATGAAAGGGCAGATGTAGAACGAGACAAGTGACTCTTCGTGTTGTCGGAGGTCGAGGCATGTAGTGATGGGAGAGGCAGTACACCTTTGGGGGGGCCAATGTCCAGATACTTCTTGATTGTTGGTGTAAGGGGAGCGATGAAACTAGAACGAACGTTAATAACGCAGTGACCGGTTGTAGATAGTCAACGTACTTGTCCACTCTATCAGGCAATAAAACTTTAAAGGCCTCAAAAACTTTTCTTCCAGTTTTTCTAACATCTGCATTTGCATCCCTTGTCGTCGCCTTGATCAGATTCTCGATTTCTTTTGCACGAACCTCCTTCTCCAAGTCTGGTGGATTAAGGCAATTCATGCACGTCAAGACACCTATTGCAGCCACCAGTCTCAGCGACGTCGACTTGTCCTTGATAGAGTGAACGAAATATGGCAGAATTGAAGGGAGTTGCGTGGACTCGATGATGACGAGAATGCAGGCTCGAGCGCGAGTCACGAAGACTTTGTTTGTACGTGCACATACTGAAAGGAGGGTCGGAAAAAATGCTGGAAGAAGGGATTCGAAGGATGTGCCAAGACCAGTAGCCAATTCCGTGATACAGTCGATGGCCACACCCGACAACCGTGTTCGTTCCGATTTGATAGCGCTAGTAATTGGAATCGACAGCGCACGTAGAGAGGGAACTATTGTTTCTGGATAGTCACAGCCACCATCCCGGCATACTTGTGTAATAGTGGTTATCGAGGTGGCAATGGCGTCCCAAGATTCCTCCGTTTCGATAAGGGTGAGACGGGGAATGATGGACTCGATGCGAAGCTTGACGTCGTTTGCAGACGAAATCTGGAAAGATGGTAGTACGTCTTTCGGCAGAAAGAGGAGAGACTGACCTGCAGGGACATGCTGGTATTGGTTCGAGTACAAGGTGTAGCGGAACGACAGCAAGCGGGACACCAAACATCACGTGCCCGCGGTAGCAGTGCACTGCCACCACGAAATCAATTTCGAAATTAAATGACCATTAAGTTCATTCAAGTTTCCGGTCAATTTGGTTGTACCTTTGCCCTAGGACCTGCATTATTCAGCCCTGGAACTACAAGTACACTGTACTTGGAAATAATTGTTGACAGCAATGAGTACTGATCCTCGCACAACTGATCTTGGTTATCCCGGTGCTGCCTGGACGTATACCTTACTTTCTGAGCCAGATCTCTCCTACGAGCTCGCTCGTTTGGCTTCTACCAACACGCACGGCTCGACGGATTCGGTTTCCTTCCAGCCATCCCCCAACCCAGAGTGCTACAGTCAGGATCGGTATGTGGTACAGGATTGGAATCTCTCCACTGGCATCTGGTACTTCCATGCTGTCTTTGATGGTGACTATCAAATTCTTTTCTGCCGTAGCCATTGGACTGACAAACCCCCCAGGGCATGCTGGAGAAGAAACTGCCGACTATGCCGTCCAAATGCTGCCCTCTATCGTGAAGCAACACATCCAAGGTTTCCTGGATAATCACATAGATTACAGTCCAACGTCTATCTCGGATGTGCTCGTCAACGCTATCTCATCACTAGACAATGCTATTGCCCATGACCTCCTCGAGATATTTCCGGACCCTCAAGCCTTGGGCAGACTCTCTGATGCCGCCATTAGGGACATTATCAATGACTCGGATCGAGGCAGCCAGAACATTGCCAAGGTGCTGCATTGCATGAGGGGAACTACTGTCCTAGTCTCCCTTGTAGACCCCGCCAAGACGCACCTTTGGGTGGCAAGCTTGGGGGACTGCCAAGCAGGTGTGTTTTAGTTTTCTGCGGCAACGTTTGTTTCACGATAACAAGTTTACGGCAGGCAAGACGAGTCTGGGGGCTGGGATGCTATTCTCTTAAGCTCTAATCACAATGCTGCTGAAAGCAGCGAAGTGGAGAGAATCAGGCAAGAGCACCCAGACGAACCCGAATGCATACTGAGGCATAGGGTTCTCGGAGCCATTGCTGTCACGCGGGGTAAGTTCACGAGTATTTTGCCGACGAAAGATATCTGATCTCAGCGCTTCCAGCTCTGGGTGACCATGAGTTCAAACTACCCCGAGTATATACTGAACGTGTGTTCTTGAACGCAGCTCCTGGCTTCCGTACTCAGCAGTCGGTCGGGGAATTCATAAAAAGGAGTTTCACGCCGCCATATGTATCCAACATTGCCGACGTCAGACACCTTACGCTAGACCCAAACAGCAAAGCGAGGGCCTGTCTCGTGATGTGCACAGATGGATTGATGGATCTTTCTGAGGGTGACAGCCGAGACGGTGGTACCCTCGATATTTCGGCACTTGGAAAATGGTGGCTGGAGATAATTGGACCTGTAGTCTGGACTAAGGGCACGAACGCAGCCTTGTATCTCTTGCGAGCCGCCCTTGGGGGCGCAGATGAGGATAAAGTATCTCAGATGATGACCGTAGAACGCACGGACCGGTGGATGGATGACACGACCATCCTGATTCAGCGCCTGTGATGAGTAATTGAAATATTTAGTTATATATATAATATATAATAAGTATGATAAATTTCCTATGTAATAGTCTCTGACGCATACTTACTACCAGCTCCCTTTTTAGCCATGGATTCATCTCAGCAATCCCTCTTTACCTGCATATCATGTTCCATTGCATTCCTCTCTGCTCAGGAACAAAGTCGGCGCCCTTTCCTCCTCGTTCTAACTGTCTCTTAACTTGAAAATTAGGAATGCATTACAGGTCGGACCACCACAGATACAACATGAAGCGTCGTGTCGCATCTCTGCCTCCTGTCAGTGCTGCGGTCTTCAACGAAAAAGTACTAGAGCGAAGGGCTGAGACTGCAGTGATGTCGTCTCCGAATGGGTCCAGTTGCAATGTATGCAAGTAAGTTTTCCTCTACATCCCAAACGTTTCATTTTTTTTTACTTACCTTCGTAGCAAAACGTATTCCACTGAGAATGCTTATCGATCCCATTTGAATTCTAAACGACACAAGGATAATGAGCTACGATCTGTTACCAGGGGATCATTAAGCCAGGACGCTCCTACAAACCAAGACATCCCAAAATCTCTACCAGTATCCTCATCTCCGGCAACACTCATTGTCGACGATGCGGCCTCGGATGATGAAATTAACCAAACCATCGATGCAAAAATTGCGGCCGCTCGTTCACGGATATCGCGAACCCAGTGCCTATTCTGCCCAGAGGAAGCAGACTCATTGGAGAATAATCTCACCCATATGTCCTCTGCACACTCATTTTTTATTCCCGATGCAGACTATCTGGTTGACCTGCCAGGTCTAATCGACTATCTCGGGGAGAAAATAGCCATCGGAAGCGTTTGTATCCACTGCAACGGCAAAGGTCGAGAGTTCCGTACTCTTGAGGCGGTCCGAAAACACATGCAGGATAAGGCTCATTGCAAAATCGCGTACGACACCGAAACGGATCGGCTCGAGTTCTCCGATTACTATGACTTCACCAGCTCCTATACTAATGCAGCGAGCAAGGAAGAGGATGGCGAATGGGAAGATGTTGAGGGTGATGACATTGAAGATGCAGATCAAGTCGTCGAAGACGTAGAGTCAGAAGACGGGAGCGCAGATGACCTATCCGACAACCAGCTCGCCTATGGGGATTCTCACTATGAGCTCGTCCTTCCGTCAGGTGCACGCATAGGGCATCGTAGTATGCGTCGGTACTATGCCCAATCCTTTGCGGCCCTTTCAAGACGTAAAGATGAGGATCCGAATTCCGGCAAAGCTCTCGTGCGACAATTGTTAGCGGACAAACATTCAGTACTGGTGCCACGAAAGGGCGGCTTCGGCGCATTTGGCAGCGGTACGGATGTTGTGAAAGCGAGAAATCGTGGCGAAGCACGTGAGGCTGGGAAACATGTTCGAGAGTTTAGAGACCAGAAGCGACGTGAAGATTTCAAGACCAAAGTCGGTTTCATCAACAACCACCAGAAACACTACAGAGACCCATGTAGGTGCCACCTCATTTCTATCATCTATCCATCACTTATCTCTGTGTGCAGTGCTCCAGGCGAATATTTTAATTCTCTGCCCGATACTTCTTACTAACTACCGATTTACAGTGATCAATGATTTTTGTTGTCCAGATCCCAATAGACATATTGATGATATGTTCTCACTCGCTCCTATCATGTATCAATGCTTCAGAACAATTGTCTACAGTATAAGGCGTGATTTCTTACTGATTGGTAATGGAATAGAGCACCGCTACTGGTCCTACCACCGTTCCTCCTAGTATCCACTGAGTACCGACTATCAGATATTGAGATCTCTGACTGGCCTTGCCAATGATGAATCGGATGGCAGAGGACGGCCCGTGGTGAGTGAGAAAGCAGTAGGCCAATGTGAGGGTCAGGCATTTGACTTTGCGGGTACGGATTTCATGAATTGTTCGAGTGAGGCATGATGCTTAGAATATCTAAGTAATTACAGTTACGAATTTCCCAGCACAGCATCCGAGTCTAGTAGATATACTAGTAGCCCCCCTTCATAACAGTAGCTTGAGGTCCTCTTCCTTTATCAGAGTAGGCGTATTTGAACGATGGTCACATGCTGTATGTATGAGGACCTCATAGGGCAGGGAAGCATGAGGAAGGCAGAATTCGATATACGTTAAAGCTGACAGTCACGAATAAGCAAGATCTACCCCGACAGTAGTGAACATAATGTCATTGACTTAATAATTACACTCCAAACAACCAAAGCGACGACTAGGTACTATAATAATGGATAGCAGATTTGGTAAACCGTCAATAAGAAAAAGAAATCGTGATGGGGTATATATATATGTAACAATGCAAGCGACAAATAAACGATTGGAATATCCAGGAGCGGTCTAATACAAATACGCAGCTGGCACTACCCCTTCCTGACCAGTTCGTACATCACGCGCATACCACCAGCTGTTCATAAACATTAGTTTCCTTCAAGTAAACAGAAGGTCGCTACTCACGCGGTGTCTCTATCATCAAGCACTTCCACCTCAGCACCTGCAGTGAGAGGCAGTTCGCCCTCGCCTGCTCCATCAAAAGAATATCTTGCGTGCGCAGGTCGACTCGTATCTTCTCCCATGAGTCCACCCATGGCGTCAGAGGGTGTCTCTGCCCGCAGATAGTTGCTCCCATCTGGACCAAAAGGATCCGCATCTGGTGTAGGTGATGGTGCATCGCGCTGGATCTTCTCCTCCTCCTTGTCATCATACTGGTCATATGCAGCCCCGCCTAACACAGTAGCTCTTGTTGCTGCGTTGATGTGCTCAAGCAGAGATGAAGGTCGATGATGTGTTGAATCGTCATCGTCATCCACAACATCAAGTTTATTGAGCTTCTCGTCGCGCCTAGAGAAAAGAGTCCACAAAATTCCAATCAGGGCCAACAAAAACACGACGCCGGCCGCGATTGCAATGGATATCAAGATAACCACGCCAGTAGCCAAGAAATCTGCAGATAGTTAATGACCTGCAAGGAGAAAGAAATTGAACACGGCGCTCACGGTGCTGAGTAAAATTGAATGAAGCGAAAGAATGGAATAAGGCCGCTACGGCACCCGTCGACCCTGTGTTGGATGACGATACGATATAAGGTATGTATGATTGTCCATCGTATAGAGCAGAAGATGCATTGCCAAAAGAGGGGTCGTCCAAGGAACCAGATATCATGAGCATGCGGTCAGATTCAATAACCCCTGAGCTGGCGTGCGTATCTTGCAAAGGGACCATTATGAGCTGCGTAACAATTGTGGTGCTCTCGAAGGTCGAGGCTAAAGAAAAGGTTGAGATTTTGTACTTTGTAAGAGATAACTAGAGAATTCGCACAGAGGGTATTCCAGGTCTGACCATTCCAGAAGGTTAAAAACGATGCACCATCAGAAGTTCTAGTTCACAGTTTGAGTGGATAGATGAGAAAGTAAGGTGTGTAACTCACTTTCCGGCTGCGAATATGCTACTCGAATTCGCCGAATTTACTTCCAGCGCGGTGACAGGCCCAGGGATGTCATCTCCGGATCCGACAGTTGCCCATGATGAATTCGAGAAGCTAAACAGCGCGACGTTGGCTTCTGTGTTGTCAGAGAGCGCAATGGAGCCTGCCGCAACCAGCAACTCTTCATTATCCTGTTAAAGAAGGCAAATAAGTGTGGCGCACGCCGATATTTTTCAAAATTCACGCACTCCAGCATATGAAACGGAAGACACCTCTCCCTGAATGCCCTCCCCCAATATGTTCCACTGTTTGGAAGTGGTGTCCATAGAACATATACCTTGACAAGGTAGGGATCCGGCCTGAGCGAAAGAACCTGCTACGATGATCGTATTATCCTTGAATGCCGATGTGGTGATAGAATACACGGTGACGGTGGAACCAGAGTCTGCCTGGAAGCTTTGGAGGCCGGAAATGTCCCATTCCTGACTGACTAAGTTGTAGATAGCGAAACCATTGACACTGGTTGCTGAAATCGTAAATTGGCCACCTATATAAAGCACGTCACCGTCTACGAGAAGCGTTCGCACTGTGCCGTTGATCTGGGAGCCATTTAACCTATTCAGAGATCCTGAATCCGCGTCGTAGATGGCGACCGCGAACGCTTCCGTTCCTCCATTGGTGAAAGAAAAGTTTCCACCAATGATGGCAACCTCTACAGACGACGTACTATTCGTCCAGAAGGCCCCTGCCAGAACAGACGGTGCAGACGCGGAGATGGGTGTAGGTAACGACGTTACTCTGACGGATGAAGACGACTGTCGGGACCAGAACCGCGAAAGTGCAACATAAGGCATCCAAGGAGATGCCCTCGAGTGATGTTCCCGGCGTCGTTTGGATGCCATTGAAGAGGAAGATGATGCATTGTTCACATTGGAATCGAGTTCTACGCTTAACGGTGTTACCGCAGGAGTATCACTGTCGCTGTTTTGCAAAAAAACCATGCCGCTGGCACCGTACCTTTGTGACGCAGCAACGTTTCCTGATATGAACTGCTGCGAGCCTGTGCCATTACCGACAAAGGAGAGGTCCCCAACGATGAATCCGCCGCTATTGACCCATGACAACTTCGCAATGTCCCAAACCGCAAATCCACCGGCACTAGTGCCGGAAACGCCGAGTGAGGACATCACTTCGGTAAATTCGCCAGCAACCAGGACTTGGCCATCCGAATATCCCAAGGAAGTAACTTTGCCATTTACACCACCTCCCAGACGACTCCACTCATCTGTTTGAACATCATACGCAGCGATACTAGACAGCCCTGTGGCAGTAGTGGCCGTTGTGTCGTCGAAGGATCCCCCCACGTATAGGGTGTTCTCAACCAAAACGAAGGCCGTGACTGGTCCATTCAAACCTCCACCATTCAGTCCTAGAAGCTCTGAATTTCTGTACACTGCTATGTTTCTAGCGCCTGATGCGCTACCAGACGATAGCGTAAAATTGCCGCCAACGAATAAACCGGAGGTATGATGAGCAACCGTCACGATTGCAGAATTAGACGAGGTCAAACTGCTGATGCTTCCAACGGCAGTATCGATTCCGAAGCCAACTCCGTCTAGAGAGGTCTCTGTTGAGTTAGGAAGGGTGGCGGTTGCGTCGTTGGTGGAGTCAGAATCTAGAGGCCATTCGAAGAATCCGAAGCTGTTTCTAGTCCCCGACGTCGTTAAACTTCCATTTGAACTAGTATTGCTGGAGTTGGATGTGATGTTCGCCGAGGTAAGAACCAACTCGATGCGATCGGCAACTAACTCGTACTGTCCTCCTTGTCCAGTACCAGTCGGGTTATCAGACAACGTCATAGACACGGTGGTGACGAAATTCGGAGATGATGGGATGACTGGACCACTGTATATAAGAACAACTGCGTCATCGCTGTTCTGCTGCGAAACCTGTGTCACCCAAGGATCCAAGCCTTCACCTGGGAAGACAGTGACTTCAACAGAAGTGCGCATGTCGCAGTCTTGGAAATTGGTGCATCCCGGGACCAACATGTTCATCACGTATTCACCAGAGGCGGATACATATGGAGCCCATGTTACGCTTGGTCCATTCGCCGCCGAAGTTCCTACGTCAACCGTCGACACTAAGATAGACTGGGTGGTCCCTGAAATATTTGTGTTGGCAATCTTCACTTGCCAATCGCCAGTGTGGGTAGCATTGGAAGCATTTGGGGCGTAGCACGATTGGCTGTTTTCAGAATCAACGGCAGAAGCAAAGGCACCCGATGAAAGGAGTTGGAAAATATGGAGCCCGGGTCCATTACCCGTCCATTCTGACAACTTCACTTCTACACCAGTTATAGACAAACTGTTGTCCTCGAACAGAAAGTCTTGATAGAGGAGAGAAGAATTGGTAGACAACGAGCAGGGATCAATGCAGGTAACATTCTCGTTTGTCGTGGGATCTAGATAGCGTAGCGTCTGCACGGTGTTATCTGGGATGGTAGTGACACTGTAATGATTTTCAGGAGGATGCCAACGCAGCAAGACAAGAAGCTCATACCTGAAACCTGTCGTGCCATGATTATCCAAGAAAGTGTTTCCTAGACGAATGCCGTCGGCATTAATGAAGGAGAATGTGCGCGCGGTAATCACAGCAGTATTCTGGTCTGCTGCAAACCAGGTGTTTCCGGCACCATCCTCACCCGCGGGGCACAAAACGTTGGTTATATTGCTGAAATCGGCGTCTGTAGATGATGGAGAGGCGACGAGCTCGGCACTCTGGAGAGGGATGGGAACGAGAGACGAGGAAAAAGGGGTGGCGCCCGCGGAGAAGGGAACGTTTGGATTATTTGTGCTGTTGATGATGGTCCCGTTGCCTTCAAAAGATATAATAAAGGAGCCGGAAAAGAAAAGACTAGACTCGGAGGAGTTGGTGGTAATTGAAAGCACCCGCGCATTTGCACCTGTAACGCCCTTGAACGGAGGTGCCGACCATGAGCTTGCACTGGGATCCCAAACAGCGATAGAGGAGCCCGGGGAGTTAAAAGATCCTCCGACCCACACCTTCTTGTTCTTGTCATCGCAGAACACCGCGTCGACTTGGCCGTTGGGCCCGCTGCTACCCAGAGCAGCAAATTGGTCAGACGAGGCGGTATACGACGCGACATTTACAGCAGACGCTGAACCAATGGATGAGAATAGACCGCCAAAATAGAAAACGTTGTCGAGCACGCAGCCGGCCACAATGCGGCCGCCTGTATTGGTGGCAGCGAGAATAGATAGTTCGCCGTCATCGGAACGGGACAGTAAGGTAGCGGTCGATGCGTCGAGCGTCGAGGAAGAGTTTTGGAAAAAGTCGAGACCAGCAAAGGTGCCTACAAGACCGACTTTGCCCATACGGTTAAAGTCGACAAGTGGAAACGCTGCTAAAACGGCATTCGCAAAGATAGGAAAAAGGCAGCGACGAAGGAGCCGCATGGCGAGGGTTTAAGCGCCGTTGCAGTTGCGCACAACGATGGCGCGGTTGCCCAGGTTGACGACGACGGCGACGGCGGCAACGTAAATGACGACGAGGAACGTTGAAGACGTCTGACAAGTGTTTTTTTTTCCAACCTGCCAACGGGGCACGTGACATAATTAATGGCAAAAGAATGGTAATAGGTCCAGTACAGATGCTCTATTCTACCGCCTCTCTCGCTAGTTGTGCTTCACCTTGACAGCCCTCAAATCGCTGGTCAGCCCTACTGGAACATTAAAGGGTGAACCGTTGTCGAGCATCCTGCATGGCCATCAGGCTAACTGTCCGCATTCATGAATAATAAGACCTTACTGAGGGAATCGATACCGGTTGATGACAGGGCGCTTTGCTTCAGCAAAAAACAGCCGTTCGTTTGACTGTTCTTGCGTCAGGATGGTGTGATTGAGATTTCTTTCAAAGTCTTGATTAACGGGAGCCTGTCGTTCGGCCATCCAACGAGTAAGCAATGCATCTTCGCCTGGAGATGGTGCGTATTTGTAGGTGACAGCGACGGCAAAGGCACCAAGGACCGCATTCCTCCACCCTGCACCGAAACCTAGATGCCGTTTCAGTCAGGCAGCTGCGAAATAGAAAAGGGAGCAGCACGAACCTTCCTTGGGATACACGGTGGTATCTTCTTCATGATGATGTTCGTGGGAATGGGAATCAGAATACGCTCTGATTTTCGACAGAGCAGCGCGACGAGGGGAGGGTCGAGAAAGACGCGCCGCCGTTGCAAGCGACATTGGACGGACAAGATGGATGAGTGAACGAAAGGTCTAGCAATTACCGGCCCCATCGGAAAGGACCGGCACCGGACCGGGAACCGAAACATTAGACTCGGCAAGATCTCCCTCCTCGTCTCTGGATATAAGCGACGCTTACATCCACTACACAAAAAACCGGATACTAGCCTCAAAACCGCACCCTTACCCTCTTTTTTTATCTCATATTACGCCTTCTTAACTGGCTACTACTATTCATATCGTTCCCAGCTGTAGCAGCACAGGTGCCCAATTTACGCAGTTTCACAATTTCTTTTGTAATCGGTTTGATTGACCATGGTCATCATCACGGGCAAGTCACGGTCACCTAACTAAGCACTACTCTTTCATTCAAACGTTAATCATCCACAATGCGTATGTTCTCGTTATGTCCTCCAGAACATAGTTGGAAGTAAATCACTTGCAGCATCTCGACCCGAGCACACTCGCCAGCCCTCTCTCAACCCAGACGCGATGCACAACCTCGAGAAACGCCTCAGTGAACGTCCTGACAAGAACGAGTTAGTAGAGCGTAATATCCTGAAGGGTACGTCTATCGCCATCTCTGATATCTATTTCTCGCGGCGACCGAGTTCCAACTGTCAGACGACAGGGGCATTGCCCCTGCCCTCGTAGCGGCCAAGGAGAAACTACAAAGATCGCAGCTCGAGGTTCGTATGTGCACTTGTACAATGTATCCACTACATCTGAACGATATAGGATAAACTCGATCATGCGTTACAGCAGCGCCCTAAGGCGGAGGAGCTCATCAAGGGCGGTATCTTGCTTGGTGTGCCAATTATCCGCTATTCATGGCCCACATCTGATCAACACCAGCAGACAGTGAAGCACCTGTCGAGAAAGAATAAACGAGGCATTATCATTTTGAGTTGTAGCAATAATAACTGTTATGCATATATGAGCAGCAGAATTCATGGATGGAAAGACGTTAATCTCACTTTATGTTACTATGACCGGCTATTTCGTCGCAGCTTGTCCCTCATCTCCGTCGCCGCCCTTCTCGTTCCAGCACCTCCTGTCCATCCCCTTTGCCTCAGCCAACCAACCAATTTGGGCGTCAGGCCGGCAGTGAGTCCAATACGAACAGGAAAGAAAACGGTTTTGTGAATGGTGTATGCAAGTACAATCATTGCATAGAGACCCTCATTTCCACCCTGCTCGATGCCTCTGACGGCGGAATCCATGTCTTCCTGACCGGGATCAGGCGGCCGAGAGTAGACAAGACTGACGACTGCCTCCTTTGCCGATGCCGCCAGTTGGGACACTTGTTGAGCACCAATAAGGTTGATGGCTGCAAATGAGATGCCAAAGTCGACGGCAGAGAGAACAAGGTAGACACCAAACGCATACCAGCCGTACGATTTGATGAGATATTTCAATCGTTCGGAAAGTGTCGCATTTGGAGGCAAGTCTGATAAAGGGCGAGGCGACGACGAGAGCCGGGCTGGAAAATGGGAAAAAAGACGGGAATGAGATATTCGAGGGCTATTCTGGAGGACGCCAGGCCGTAATACAGGCAGTAATGGCGCTGATAATCTGGGAACAACGCTACGCAGAAATGGTAGACGGAAAATACGACGGGACATGGAAGACAATGCAAGACCGTGACGAGGACATTCGGCAAGTTCTGTGACAGTCACACCACGTGCTTACCGTATCGGATATCACCGCCCGCTTTCCAAAATGATTTTTTCGACCAGTTTTTTTTCTTCATCTCATGCATCCACAGCCTTTCGTCGCAAAGTCTCATTTATATCCTCCTCCTCGATAGCATCTGCCAGTGAATGGAACAGCACACAGGCTCTGCTCCCTTTGAAGGCCCTGAAAAACTCCTCGAGATCTGGTTTGCACCGTCTCCAGCTCATCTTCCCGACACCAACAGTTCTGCGGATGGTAAAGTTGGCCTCAGGAAGGTCGAACGAGCAGTATGGGAGGACATGCTCGACATCGTCAAGTGCAGTGTCCTCAGCGTGGTATCTGGCGCCGACTTCGACGCCTATCTGCTAAGGTAACCGTCACTTCCCATGAAGCCCTTGCCGTCGCATTTAGTGTCAAACTGCCAGCGAATCTTCTCTATTCGTTTCACCTCACCGCCTCATTTTGAAGACATGCGGTACTACCCTTAATCTTCTCGGGCTTCCCCGTATCCTGGAGATTGCCGCAGTGCATGCCAATCTGTCCACCGTCTACCGCTGTTTCTATTCTCGCAAGTCATTCATGTTTCCGGATCGCCAGCACGGTCCCCATCGTGACTGGAAATATGAAGTTGAATTTCTTGACAATATCTTTGCCAACGGCGCCGCCTATACCGTCGGAAAGGTGAATGGTGATCACTGGCTTCTCTACCTCACCAATCCAGAGGAGGAAGTCTCCATATCTTTATCTGTACCACCGGCTATCAATACCATCTACGATCTTGAATTCCCCGACTACACCATAGAGATTCTCATGAGCGACCTTTCACCCTCGGCGCGCGAGCGTTTCTTCCTTTCCTCCCCTACAGATGATCCATCCCTCCAAGCTGTGGCCTTGTCCCAATCTTTAGGTATCACCGAAATCTTTCCGTCACACCTCACCACTCTTGATGCATATTCCTTTTCTCCATGTGGATACTCCTCAAATGCGCTTATCAAGTGGGGCGAAGACTCGTCTTTCGTGGCCTGCCCGAACGGCACCAATACCCATCCTGGTGAAGGGTATTATACCATCCACGTCACTCCGGAAGAGGGCTGGTCTTATGCCAGTTTTGAATGCAACGTTCCACTGCCCCCCTCCCGTCTATCACCTAACGATCCTCACGCAATTCCAGACTTGGAAACGCTCATCCAACGCGTCGTTTCTATTTTCGAGCCTGGCAGGCTCACCCTCACACTCTTCATTTCTTGCGAAGAGAACGAAGTCGATAGAGGAGAGAAGAATCCTGCCGAAGCTGCCCAGCGCGCTTTCCGTGCTGCGCTCGGCGCACCCATCGGCAAGCAGCACAAAAAGCTCAACGGCATTCAACCGGATGGCCCATCTCCCAGAAACTACAAAAGGACGGACAAGATTAACTACGAATTTGGAGGGTATGACCTTGCATTTGCTAGCTTTGAGTTAGTATCGTAAATCATGGATTGTGATTGTACAATGCAATAGATACGTCTTAAAGATACACAATGATTACAGCTACGATGCGTTTACTCAATCTCTAGTTGTCTCTCAGACTCTCCCTTTACTTGGACGGAAGATGATATCTTCTTCCTGCTCGTGCAATGCGGACAGAGACTGTTGAACATGTCAACCATTGGCCAGGTGATATTCGCCTAGAACCCTGTTGTAAACTCATCCCATTCGGCACAACGAGACGACTCACGAAATATAAGCCTCGAAGTTCTCGAAGCATTTCGTACGACGCGGAATGATTGCGGTGTGTGTACGTCAAGATATCCCACATTTGGCTTCGAACGGGAACACGTTCAAAAGCGTTCCGCCAATCAGCGATCCCTTCTTCTTTGTCGGGGGCCGCATCAACATCAACGGAAGGTAGCGGAGCAGTCCCAGTTCCGTCTGTGTGGTTTCTATACTGACGAAGAAGGGTTTCCTCGTCCCAGTCGGCCGATTGAAAAACGATGTCACGAGGAATGAGAAGAAGACTGTACTTGTTCGATCCGGAGCGAACATGATGATGTGCCATCCATTCGCGGATATGAGATGCAAACCTAGTTACTCCCTTCCCCGCCAGGTAGTTGGCAACTGCAGAATACATTTCTGGAGACATCGGCGCTGTATCGCGAAGGTTCGGTATAAGACCATTGAGGAAGTTGTCTAACGCATCTTCAAACCTCATCTTTACGGGCATTTGTTCCGGATCGACCTTCATCAATCCCTGTAAGATTGTAGGTGGTAGCGGAAGGATGGATGGATGGGACCATGGTTGAAGGGGGACACGATTTTTTACCATCGCGGGCATATCCTTCTTCAGGAATGACACCGATGATGGAGAGTGATAAAAGGCGGACGGAGTCGAATGTTGTGACCGTTGCTGTGGTGCAACATCAGTTCTAGATACTGACGCCCGGCTGCTGCTCTCTGCACGGATAGACGAGGATGGTGCACTAGAGCTAGGCGCCCGTGGTGGTGGTGGATCTTGGTCTGCATTGGCTTTTGGTGCAATGGAAGCCACAGACGTCTCTGTCGTAGACGTCTTGCTCCTCCGTTTAGGCGAATAAACACAGTTGGGATTATTATCCATTTGACATTGATCGCAAACAGGGACATTCCTGTCGCACTACAAAAAAGGAAAGTTCAGAGACATGGTGTGCAAATGCAATTGCAATTGCGAACCTTCAAATTATTCAGTCGACAAGAATCGCATCTGGGAATGCCTCGATGAGCAGGAGTTGGTAGAGGAGTATATTTGCACTCTCGTCCTGGTACCCAGGTGCACTGATTGCAGCTTGGCTGAACCCTATCGCACTGACTTTTGTGTCAGATGATAAGATCAAAAGTAAGATGGAAGAAAAACCTTCAAATTATGTGCCCGGCAAGAATCGCAACGAAGTTTACCACGTCGTCCCACCCAAAGCGACTGGCGAGCCATATAGACTTTCGGGTTGGGTATGCGTATAGTCAACTGTGCATCATCTGACCCGTCCACTGATGTACTTCGAGATGGTTTGTTGTCCATTTCAGGACGGGAATCAATGGTACTCATGGCGTTCGATGAGACTGAGACGAGGAAACCACTTCCCTCAGATACGGGTCAGCCCACCTACAAAGGTCAATTAAGCATAAAACATTTATGGTAGATTCAAAATGGGTAGACATGGTATCTGTGCTGGCAAAAGCAAGCTGCCCCCGGCCTCAACAACATTTACGGCGGTGTAGGATGATTACCGAAACAAAGCCATTTAACGAAAGCTCACCTGTATAATTGTGGCAAAACAAAATTTCAAGGCTGCAGATAGATGAAATAGAAGAAGAAAAATAGTAGAAAATTGACGGAGAGTCGTAAAAGGATGATACACTGATGAAGCGCAGAGGTCGCTGAACCACGTCCGTTCCTGTGACACTGACGTGACTTTCACCTTCGTACCGTCACGCAGAATGGCCCCGCAGACTTAGACCCAAATGTATGTGACCTATTACTTGAAGGATGTCGATTTTTCTTTTCTGTCTAATATTTGTATGCCGGCCCTACCTTCCTTTGATCCCAACTTCTTATCACTCACAGGTGGTATTTACTCCAATTTGCCAAAAATACCAGCCGTTCCGCCTGTCATATGGGTTGGACTTACGAGGGCCATGGTGTGCAATCGTCATGTTCTTAGTTTACAGATCTAAACTATTCCTTACCGTCGCATCCCTGATGCACAGCGTATACGGTCATCACATATAAGGCCAGCTAGCCTACGGGCACCAAGGTACTGAGCTGGCTTGCTGGACTCTTTGACGATCTAGCCAAGGCTACTGTCCCTCATGGGTACAAGCCAGAGTCGGTTATCGCCACCTACAGGCTACGCGATGGCACTGTCAGTTTTGTACCAAAGTTGTACAGGCATTCTCGAATCTACATGTGTCGGCTGGCACCCCTCAGACTACGAAGTGTAGCCAACACTATTAACACATCGCCAAGCAGTATACTCGAGTCCTAAAGACCTCTCTCGATTTCGATGCAGTATGACTTCTGTGATTGCTGTATATGCTACAATGAGGAATGTTTAAACAAAACTAGAGAGAATAGAAATAATACGATTTGTAAAACAACAAAGAAGATAAGGGTGGTGAGTGATATACTCAAAAAACCGAGTTCATATGCAAAAACTAAGCATGTACCAATGCAAGTATATCTATTCGTCATCGTCATTGCGGAGACATTCCTCCCCCTGCTCTTCCCGTTGCTGGTCAGCCTCAACTTCCACGCGTGTTCGACGTCTGACTCGGGACAAGACAAAATCTAAGGAAGAAAAATTGGCGGCGTTCTTGGCATATTTGTCGTGTTTCTTCGTTTTCACGTGCTAGAAGCATAATCAATGTGCTGTGAAATCGATACATGTACACCTACTATTTTGAAATCGTCGAACTTGATTCGACAGGACTCGCAATATCCTGGTTTACTGCCTTCCTCCCGCTTTGGTAGCCGTAGACTGTTGGTACTTCGGCTCTTCCTGAGCCCGCTTCTGGTAGGAATATAAGCAGGCGGTCCCATTGTATTTTTACCATCACCATCTTTGGTAACCGAGGCCAACTTCCGAGATGTGGTCACCTCATTACCTATCTGTGCACGTAAAGACGGAGGAAGGGGACGTGACCGCGAGTAACCAGCGGTCGAGGTTGTACCAGTAGTAGATGTGATGCTGACACTATTCCCAGAAGCTGCAACATAGGTACCAGATCCCAGATATCCCGATGCATTTGCCGAGTCAATATTGTCATCGCCCAAGACCTCCCCGAAATCTTGCTCTTCAAGTACACTTCTCCGGTGTAAATTATTCATTGATGCGGAGCGTCGAAGATCGCCAGGAACTTTGCTCTGAACTTGAGCACGAGCTTTACGTTTCATCGCCTCTAAGCGCAGTAACTTCTTCTGCTCTTGAGCCTAATAAAGACCGAATGAAACACAATTTATGGGCTCTCCATACCAACATACCCGTTCATCCTGCTGCTCCATCTCTTCCCTTCTGGTCCTTTCCCAACGTCTCTTCTCCCTATCATCGAAAGGAATGAACGGCCCTCTTGCGTGAGGATGACAGTAAGCAACAGGCCAAGACCCCCTTACACTTGAGTCCCGCCCCTTGGTTACTTCGTACTCGTGGGCTGCAATAGTAGCTAATTCCTGCCGCATATCTTCAACGAGGACCCAATAACTGCCACGGCTAAAATAAGTGAAATCATAACGTTTCTGGGTCGGATCGCGCTCTGTGGAGCCATGAACACGTTCCGATTGCAATAGGCGTGCAAGAGAGCGATGGGGTTGAACAGGATTCGTCAGTTGTAAAGCATTTATCGTCCGGGAAGGGTTTAAAGCCGTCAGCATGGGGACCTCCAGACATCGTGAGAGAACGCTATCAAGTTTAGCTGTGCTCCATGTTTTCATCTTCCATTCCATGGCCTTGGTGATAAGCCCGTATATAGGACTGTCCTCGACGACGACACTGTCAAACGGTGAGTGGCAAGCAACGAAAAAACCAGATAGTACACACCGAGTTCGCGATTTACTTGGACTTTTGACGGTCAAGATCATCTTCGAAATAGCGCCTTTCGGGTTATTTTCCTTGTCGGCGTCGTCGTCTCCTTCCCCTTTCTGATTGGTAATGAGGTGGGTCACATCTTTGGAAAAAAAGTCGTCGATAATCTAAGGCTCCCGACATTTGAGTAGGTATAAATACGTAAAGGTGCACATTTACCCCGCCGAGCTGCGTTATACGAGCCTCGAGGCTCTTCCGGAGACCCGTATCAGGTTCCAGATTGCTCAGGTCGAAATGAAAGGTAAAGGTGGGAAACGCGCGCGAGTATTTGTCCTTGAATTCCTTGTCCTTCTGAGCCCGCTCTGTGTGTCTGCGCTCCTTGTCTTTGTGTTTTGGTGCAGAGACATTAGGGCCTATGGCACGTTGGCGTTTGAATTCCACAGCAGCATCAATGTATGCTTCAGGAGAGTGAGGGCGCTTGGTACTAGAGGCTGCCCGTGCCCATTTCTGGCCCAACGACATAGAGGTGGCACGGTTGGCGAGAGGAGCACGATTATCGATGGTCGTTGACATTGAGGCAGAAGACAAGGAGTCGCGACGAAAAAACGCGCAAACAAACAGGTCATCATTTGGGTCATGTGATCGAGTGATGTTGCGTCGTGACATTGTGGAAATTGTCACGCTAGTGCTGTTTTGTGCTGCCCTCCCAGCATTCCTCTATTATTGTGGCCATGTCGACATACGGGACTACGCGACACCACCATTCACCGGCGGCCCAGGTATTCTCTGCGCGTGAAAGGGTCACAGACTACCACACCACTCTATTTCGAAGGCTCATCTGGGACGGTACTGTTCCTCTTGAAATCCGTGTTGATACCAAGGAACTACCTGCCAACTCGGATAGAGGTCTCGAGTCGTATTTTATCCAGGCTCCCCGCGCGAGCTATCTGCCGCTCTTGATGCCAGAAATTCGTCGATTTTTCACTGACCTTGTTTTCGATGAAACGTCGGCGAAAGACCTAAAGGATGATGATTGGTGGTTTGACACGCCAGATGGGACATTACTCAAGTGGTCGGTCAAATTTCTGGTCGCTGCATGTGTATTTATCTTTTTTCAGGCATTGGCCCATCGGCCTCATATATGACAATTATACCATCTCCACATCTGTAAAGAATCCGACCTTCCTTCCGTCTTCGACAGTATCTCCGTTGCGTTTGATGCTGCACCTTGCCTCTCCCCCTCAGGATAAGCTGCTTCTATCGCCCAGTGTAGAAGCATGCAAGCAGGCTTTTATGGGTCAATTGAAGGAGGCCGACTTCATACGATGGGGAAATACCAAACGAATTACGGGCCTCAGAAAACAGGACCAGGATGGCATCTGGGAAGGAATAAAAGAACGTACGCTCCATCTGTCCATCCATCCATTTTTTCCCCTATGATATTCGTTCAGATAATTTTGATGACTTCTGGCGCATTGCGTCAAAAGTGACCCCGACTTCAGCACCTAATCGTACACAGTCACCAGGGCCGCCATCATCGGCGGCATCGATGCATGCCCGTCCCCCATCTGCGGAACCTTCGGGCTCATCGGACCGTGAAGGCGCGTACAACGTGAGAAGTGTGCCTGTTAGGTTGTATCTTCCTGATGGTCCCGTTATACAAGACCTGGTCCCCCCCCTTCTGGAAGACGGCGAGTCTTATGCTTCACTTCTTGGACAGATGCTGACTGCACTCATCCAGGTACCCCGCACACTTTGTCTCGTTATTTGTCAATGCATGTGCCATTGCTTTTCCCTCCACGACCACCAGCGCCTCCTCCCTCACGGACGAATCCCAATCCTCAGCCTCCTCTTGTACCACAGTTAGCATATGCATTAATTCAGGGTGTAGTCACTCCCCTTGAATCTGAAATGGCGTGGCTCGGCGCCTGCATGGCAGGCGCTGATGGTTGGGTGAATGTATGTGTCGGTATTAATAATGGCTGATTGTAAAATATAGTATACATATACCCATCCTAATTCACAGCAAGGTAAAATTACACATCAAATTTGACAACCTGCTCACCACCTCCTCTCTCAATCTTTACCAACCTCTTGGCTACACATCCGTAAAGCACCCGAGTCGTTCCTTGCCCAGCAACCAGAGCTGCACTTCCTCCAGTACTGGCCTTGACGGCCAACGATTCTTTCAGCTTGTTGAGAGGCATTGAAAATTTGGGTGGGCATGATAAGAGTGTTAGTAGCAAATGAGCAGTGAGAATTTGGTGGGGAGTTGGCTGTGATGGTGCTGCATTAGCAGACAAGAGACTCGACTGAGAAGGAGATGATGGCGTCGGAACTAATGCGGACACGGATTGGAGATGCGCACTAATCGATTATAACGTTAGCTAGCCCGCCGTGCTCTATTGAGTATACACACATTGTTTGTTTTGCTCTGGGAGGCTTTGAACCGTCTCCTGCGGTGCGGTAGGGATGACCAGGCATAATTACATCGCCCATTGTAGCCCAAATCTTTGCCTGTGAACGATAAGCTTAGTACTCGCGCTGAAGATGAGAACATCACCACTATTCTCTCAACCTCTGTATTGATGCGCAATCTAGCCTTGGTCCCTGGTGTTTCCGGCTCAGGAACCCTTGTTAGTGGTATATCAGCTGCCGGAGGTTCGGATGAACTACCGGCAGGTGTTGCTGCTGGTTCGACATGGAGGATTTCGTTGATTACATCTTCCACGACAGGCGATGGATCCCGTAATTCGCAAGCGTCTTGCGAATCCTCGGCAATTTTGGCAGCTACTTCAGCCAAAGGTTGCGGGATCGAACGTTTATGAGTGGAAGGCGAAGGCGCTGGAGGACTTGACATAGACGCAACCGACAGCTCGCCGATATCGACTTGCTCGTGCAACAGATTTTCGGAGGTAAATGCACGTCCAGGTGTTGCCCAAAATGATTCCTCTTCTGCATCCGCACGAGAGGGAACAACGGGAGTTATTGGGCGAGGTGGCGGCGCGTTTTTCTTACCCGCGATCGCTGTACGTGAAGAGCGCTTCGCTTGAGTTGTAAGTAAATCCCTCTGCAAGATATCGTAAGGGTGACGGCTAGGAGTAGATGATGGACATACGCGTTTCCTGAGCGCGTCAACTTTCTTTTCGTAATGATGCAATGACCGCTCTTCGCTATCAATCATGGACTTTATTGAAGGACCGTCCGTAACTTGATTCTGGATCTCGTTGGACATATATGCAGGATAGATAGACTTTCTGGTCGACTCACGGACTGAAGTAGCTCTATAGTTTCCTGTATGCTATCGCGCGTCAACTGTAGTTCTTCGAGAAGAGCAACGACCTGAGAATATGCACGGGGCATGGGTCTGATAATCTGGCTGCTCGATGTAAGCAGGACGCAGAACAAAAAAAACACGGCGTACTACCGGTCAATGTATTTGAGGGCGGCATGAGCATATACCTCTGGGTCTACTTCGCGTCGCGTCGGCTTTAGTGGCGTCGCACCTGGAAACCTTGACCGAGCCAACTTAGATATAACACCCCGAGAATCCTGCTCAGATTGAGGTACTACGAGGGAAAACAAGCCGAGTTCGGATGGATCTATATCACGAATCAAATCGCCCAGCTGAGTGTCGAGGACTGCGGTGGAGAAGGGCGCGACGTCGGGGGAGGCAGCGACGGTGGCGGAGGCAATGGCGATGGCCTTGGTCGTTCTCGAGAGACGGTATATCTGGTCTGGAAGAGAGGCCATGGGACACGGAAGAATAGGGAGGACAAATACGTACATACCGTAGATTGATTCCGTCGTGCTCTCTCTTCATCATTGGTCCAGGTATCCCTTTCTCTCGTCGTCCTGCGTCTTCACTGACCTCTTCTCAAGTGAGTAGTCGTCGTCGCCATCGGCGTCACACATGTGGGAACCTCTACCCTTGATCGTCTACGGACATGCGGTGCATCCTCTAAGTCCCTCCCGTCGCGACACACGATGGTCTAGTCGAAATCGCGACCGTCTCTCCGTCGTTACCGAGGCTTCCTCCGACGACCAGCTCGTCTACCGCGATGTCGTTGCATTGGAAGTTGGAGACGAAGTCTACGCTTTTGAAAAGTATGTGCCCAAAGGGAGAGAGGTTGAAGGTACTTGGTATAGAGGGTGCGTCTCCTGCTGCTTCTTCCAGTATAAATAACTAAATATCTCCGAGGTATGTCGTGTGTACGACTCGCAGACCGCCTGTTACCTGGGCTGTCTCCGGCGACTCCTCACTGACCAAGTCACCCCCCAAATCTGAGGAACCACAACAAGTCTTCATTGGCATCTTTCCCGCCTCCCATATTTTCCTTCGTGACGAGCTTTCTGATGCAGAAGGTCGCCTGCACGACTATGTCACCTCAGTAAACGGTTCCGCGACCAGCAATGGTATCGGTCATTTTAAGCAAGCTTCAAGCTCGACCGAAACGTTTTCTCAATGGGCCAAAGACAAGGGTGGCTCCAGTATGCATACACTGAGGGAGGAAGATGAAGATTTTGACCGTCTCACCACGGCTAGTAGACGCTCCTTCAGGCTTGGTCCACCTCCTGAGCAGGCGAGCTCTTTGCGCGCCGGTTTACCAGTTTATTCCAATAGCCTTCGCTCGTCGTCGCCTGCAGATTCTCAGTTGATGAAACCACTACCTCCCCGTCCGTCTCTTAAATCTGGAGACGACACTGCATCAGGTGCAGCTCAGCCAATAATCGACGAAATTGCTTCAGCTCTTCGCGAATGGCACACCCTGATGTTCCAGTATCTTGCCCGGAGAGACTACAAATTATTCCACATAGTTAAAGGCCACATTGAGGCACTCCATCTCGGGCGACTACAACTTTTAGCTGAAACGCTAAGCGCTGAAGAAACAGTTAACATGCGGCGTGACTGTGTTACCAGACTGGTCAGCGGTAACCTCGTGCAAAGATTGGATGTCATTGTGCGACATCCGTCTTGGGGGGGCCTGGTCACAGTTGACGTTGAAGGTGATGTAGACGAAAGAAGTTGGGTTAGTGCCGTTCGAATGTTCGCAATGCAGAGCTCCCTTGCATATCTCGATGTCTCGGTAGATGAATCCCTGTCGCCGCGGCCTTATCTTGTCGGTTCAAGTATGGATTACCTGTCCTCGGCACCATTGCCCACCCCAGCCCACTCCGCATTTTCCGATTCCACCTATCCCCGTAACCAAAATCGTATTCGCCCTTCGGGTTATTTGAGTCCACCGATCGATTCTAGCCCCGACACGGCCAAGTTCTATCATGTCTTCCTAGACCTGAGAGCATTTGTTGCCTCCCCGTGTGCCCCTGGTGAAACAGCCGAACTATTCTTCTCCCTCTATAGACACAAAGACAATCAATTCATAACTGAAGAATTTTGCACCATCCTGAACCACAATGGAGTTTCCGCTCGCTATCCATCTAACCGTATCCGCACTTTGTTCATCGACTTGGCACATTCAGACATCCAGGATCCCACATATCTTGTGTGTCGTATTATTCGAAATGGCTCTTTGAAGATAGGAAACGGTTTGAACTCAACTACATCTCTAGAAGGGAGGCGAGGGTCAGAGGCGTCAGTAAGGACAGATGCTGGCGCTTCGACAGGATGGATCGATAATAATGGTACACAACTGCGTGCTCCGACAGACATTTTGGGTCAATTTCGACGACCGTTTGGCTGTGCCATACTGGAGCTAACGCAACTGGGTCAGATAGCTACAGAGGGAGGCAGTGTATCTGCCATGAGAGAGTACAGCATGCCGATCTATGTGCCCACAAATGAGGTTGCGTTCTCCATGATACATCAAAATATCATCAACAATGCGGCCAAGAAATTTGAGAAATCTTCCCGGTATGCTACTCCCTCTATTGTACAAGGTACAAACATTGAATGTTTTTAAAAGGGCGGAAATGTTGGCTGTCTCGGTCAAAGCGTTTCGTGGAGATACTATCACCGTCGTGAAAGAAAATACTTCCCTTCTCCAAGATATTCCTCAAACCCTTCGCCTTGGCTTCCCTGACGTCGTGTTTCCTGGCGATGTTCGAAATGAACTCTACGTCAAGTTGTGGTCAGGAGACTTCATGTCAATGAATGGGGCTTCTGGACGGATCAGTGTATCGAGCTTCACACGTAGCCCTTTGGCTTCTGCCTCCAGTAACGTCCAAGTCACAGTCGAAGTCAGGGACCAAGATGGCAGAACTGTGGAATCAGTTATATCTCAAGGAAGCGGGGAGCCTCTTGTGACACACTTCCATTCGATGGTTTTTCAGAGATGCAGCGAACCCACATTTGGAGAACTCATCAAAATTCGATTGCCTCTTAGCGGTATTCCACAGTGGCATCTCTTTTTTACTTTCAGGAACCGTTCTGGCCGAGAAAGAGGAAATTGGGCGACGCCCGAATCGGATCGTCCATTTGCGTTCGCCTTCCAACAGCTTTTCCCTGATACCCGCGCATTTGTTGAAGACGGGAGTCACAGGCTGATCATGTACAAAGCGGACAAACTTGGAACGCTCAGCCCCGATATATATCTGAACGCACCTTCATCCCTACCTGGTGGTCAGAAGTTAGATCAACTCGTCTTTCCAGAGATGCTCCGCGTCGCTCCTCCGACGAGGGACACGTTAACCGTCCGCACATCGTTATGCTCCACCAAATTTACCCAAAACCCAGTTCTATTGAGCCTTCTCAACTGGGAAAAGGTCGCAGATCAAGGATTTCTATCGACAGTCCTCACCAAATTCACATTTGTTGGGGAAGGCGAAATAGTAAAATTCCTTCCCGACATTTTCGACTCTTTATTTGGTATCATGGTCTCTCCTAATAACCAGGCCTGCGAAATGGATCCTCTGGTCTTCAATGCACTGGTCACCGTTTTAGGCATTGTACAAGACCGCCGGTTCAGCAATTTCCAGCCGGTTTTGGACGTTTATATCGAAAAACATTTCAACTGTGCATTGGCGTCATCGCATATGATCCAATCCATGAATCGTCTTCTCGCCAATCCTACATCCACAGAAACTGCATCTCCACTTCGAGCAGCATTGAAGGTTTGGCACTATGTCATGAAATTCATAGCTAAGTCAAGAGAGCTGCAGAAGGCAAAGGAGCTTGGCGTCGGAGGTGGAGTAACCGCGGAACATCTCGAGGCTACTTTTAAGCGTGAACTTCGGTCCCACTTGACGGAGGTTACCCGTTTAATGTCGACATCTTCACCCCTGTCAATCGTTGGAACCCAAACAATTGCCCTGCAGCATTTCACATCGATCCTCCCTGAACTGGCCAAGATATTCTCCATTGTTGACTTGGTATCCATTGTAACGACCTTCGCCACAAATGCGGCCACTGCAGCGAGGGGCAAGATAGTCGTTTGGAAGCTTATTATGTACCTTCAAATCGTGAAGGGCTTCCTTTTTGACAACCCGCAGTCTCGACCGCTACTTGTGGAAGCTGTCGTACAGTGGATCAGGCCTCACTTTGGTCGATACGATGAGTATGCTCAGACGCAAGGCGCTGATTCAGAGGGCGCTCGCGATTCCGCGCGCGTGGCTTGGTTGGAAAACATTCGGTTGTGTGTCGCAATCATTGCTGTGATGTTGGACAAGCTCCAGACGAGTCTGGTGTCTCCATCGGTCATCGAAGATCAGCCCAGGTTACGCATGGAACAAGAAAATGTGGAAAATCTCCTTCCCCTTCTACCAAGGTTCGCCTTCCCCTATTCACTCTTACAGGTCTTTCAATAATCTGACAGGTTACTTGACTCTTACCGAGAATTTCAAAGTTCAGAGGCCGCGAAAGCCTTGGAGCGTACTCGATCGCCAAAAACGGCCCTTCCTGTCATTTTCCCAGAGTCCTACCCATTCTCGTTGCTATCCTACCTTCCAAGCTTGTCCCGGAGCTCGTTGAGGACGGGAAAATCTGATGAAGTCTTCAATGCTGGTTTGGGCGAGACAGCCATCGTCTTTCTAGTTCTTGCTTTGTCATCGCCCTCGAAGCATATTCTTGGCTTTCTAGAGTCGAGTCTTGACATTGAAGGACAGGATCGTTTTGTCGCATTGATGTCACAGTTTTTTAAGGTGGCTACCTCGATTCTAGGAAATGATGCATTCCCGAAGTCTTGGCTGAATGTCAATATCATGGCGCACAAGGTTCTGGTTAAAATGATGGTTCCTATTTCAACTATCCTGGAGAAAGAGTTTATCCCGCCTCAGGATTCAGAAGCTCGATTCGATGCTCGGCTGTGGCGCGAAGCTTTCTTCATGCTTCTGAAGTTGCTATCTTCTGATCAATTGGTTATCGAAGACTTTAGCCCTCAGGCGAGTTGCCTCTCTCTCTTTCCCTCACTCAGGTACAAATCGTTGACGGATTGTGCAGAAACGGCGCGCAGTATGGCGATTAGCCGGTGATATCCGAGGTGAAGGAGCTTCTATCATGCTGTCGCTATGGCAAGCGTTAGGTTGGGCGGAGCAACTTACTAATACTGGCGAACCTGTTGCCCGTTACGGGGTATGTTTCTTCCGCTGTTACTAGCCTGTGAACTAATGGTCGTGACAGGGATATCAAGTATATCTCAACGCTCTTGTTGGTCATGTTGTCAACCTTTGTCTTAGCCACCACGAACAGCTTAGGAACAATGCCGTTCATATGCTATACTGCATGATTGTTTCGGAATACCACCAGGCCGGCAATTTCGATGAAATCGAAATCGAACTTGTAACGAGACTGGATTCTCTGTTCATGTCTGATAGCAAAGGCGATGACATCTCCGGCGGTTTCTTCGTCACTCAACTCAGGCATATGTTCGAAAACTCGGACGTTGATGAAAGTTTGCGGGAGCGCGTTGCAACATTTTTGGATTCCGTAGATCTCTTCTTGGAACTACTACTGAGCCTTCGTGCACTTCCAGAAGGAGAGGAGTTCGCAGACGAACGCGTCATTGCCACTGTGAGTCAATTTCTCGTGTGTGTGTGTACTTCTACTGAGGATTCGAAGCTGCGGTTGATGAACTTCATTCGACGAATTGGGAGGGACGAGATTTATATCAAATACGTGCATCAGCTTGTCAATGTGAGCTGCTCTATCTTCCAGTCCAGACAGTGCAATAAATCAGCTATCTTTAGATGCATCTGCAATCCCAAAATTACGTTGAGGCTGCATTAACATTGAAACTGCACTCTGACCTCCATCAATGGGACTTGAATACTTTTGTCAATGCAATGGATGACTTAGGTCTTCCGCAGCAGTCTCAGTTCCACCGAAAGGAGACTCTTTGTTTGCTGATTTTAGACTATTTGGGTAAGGTTGAATTTCCTCGTGTTCATTGTGATGCTCAATGTTACTGCTATCAGGTAAAGGGAAGGCGTGGGAGCGGGCTGTTGACATCTGCAAGGAGCTTGCTTACCAGCATGCTGAGGTCACATTTAACTAGCACGTATCCAACGATCTCAGAGCCTTTCTTGCACACTTACATGTGTCTCACACAGCGGTCGTCTGTCCGAGATTCTTCGCCACCAAGCGACACTTCTCGAACACATTATTACAGAGCAGCGATATTATTCCGACTACTATCTGGTAACATTTTATGGTAAATTTCCCGCTGCAATCCGGGACAAACGTTTCATCGTGAGTAACTACAATGATTGATGAAGTTAATTACTGATATCTACTTTAGTATCGCGGATACGAATGGGAGAAATATGGTGCATTTTGTGAACGAATGCTCAACAAACATTCAGGAGCGCAACTGCTTAAAATCATTGGCGATCCTCCGGTCGACATCCGTTTTGGCACGGATCAGTATATCCAGTGCACAGCAGTAACACCAGAGCCTGATCGAACACTGCCTATCTTCACAAATCCTGACGTGCCGACCGCAGTCCGTGAGTACTATGAACACAGTGCGATCAACTTCTTCAGTACATCGCGACAAGTCAAGAAGCTTGGGCGAGACGGGTCTGACGAAGTTTGGGTGGAAAAGACCTACTTCACAACAGAGGAGACTTTCCCAACCGTTTTACGCCGTTCCCAGGTCATCGGATTGGAGATTGTTGAGCTCTCTCCTGTTGAGAACGCTTTGACTGAGGTCGAGATCAAGACCAAAGATCTTGCGGTGCTCAGGATTCGTTATGAATCCCTTGCTAAGACTGCTCAGTCCGTATCGACCAACGCGCTGTCAATGGCACTTAACAGTGCCGTGGATGCACCCCTAAACACAGGTGTAGCATCATACCGCCAGATGTTCTTCAACGGGGACTACGTCGCACGCAATCCTGATCGAGCGGAGGTGGTCGAACGTCTCAGAGTCGCTATAGATGAGGAGGTACGTGCTACGCTGGTTCTTCCAGTCGTTTTGGCTCAATTCATTGTCAGGTCCGTACGATTGATGCGTGCCTCAAGCTCCATGGTCACTTATGTCCTTCTGAATTCTATCCATTCCACGAAACACTAGAGAAGTTTTTTAGGAAAAACTTCCGGGAGGAGATTCGACGGTTAGGAATCGATGAAACGAGTACACTTCCCACTTCCTCTGTGTATGAGCAATCGGTCATAAGATCGATGTCTTCGACTTCGACGAGGCGTGCACCGATCATCCCTCCCATTTCACTGCCTTTCAAGCGTAAGACGTCGTCCCCCCCGCCCATCTCACCAGTAGATGGAATACCAGGTGTGCCACGGCAGACACTGCTTCAACGGCACCTCGCACATTTGGCGCGGCATGGGATTAATGGGGTGGCCTCATCGCCAGGGGATATGGGCGGGGGCATGACGGGCGGAAGCGACTCAGTAAGTGTCGAATCCCCCGATACATCACTTGTCAACGTCAACAGCGGGACTGCAGAGCCCTCGGGGTCGTCCGTAATGACATCCCTAGGCTCTCTGGGTTCCCTCAAGGGTCGCTTTTCGCGTTTCGGGAGTCTTAGCTTTGCTAGGCGTGGTGCTTCTCATTCATAGTTATATTTGTTTGCGGATTTCTTTGATCTTTGTAAAGTAGTTCATGTAATGTGTGTGTGTGTCTTTGTTCATTATATCATATGTAAGCTCTCTGCGATATATGCGACTAGATATATGGTGCAGTGTAGATCAACTTCTGTTTCCTCTGCCGCCCAGTGTTTTCACTCAGCTCGAAAGCCGATAAGTGTTCGAGATATCTGCTCAGGACACATACTGTTGCTTTTGTCTGGAATTTTTTGAGCTGTTGTTCACACAAAAGGAGCCCAGCAAAGGACACTTTAGAAGAGAATTCTGCGTCTGTCCTCCTGTTCTAATGATGTATAGTCACCTATCCAGTCCAACTGTGTCGGAAAGAATTAGTCCTCGTTCTTTACTATTTCTACGCTCAATGTTTCTGTAAACTTGGAAGATTTTCTTGGTCTTGTGGGTGTTTACCGTGTCAGGTACAATATCATGACAAATAGATATTTATTTCAAGGGACTCGGACGCGTGTCATCGACTTCTCGAGCTGTACCGCCGGCCCCTTGCAATTATTGTCTCCTGCCCTTATATATATTTATAAATATCATACTGTTGAATCTCGCTGATAAGCCTCCTGTTTCCAAGCCCTGCACGGATATGGTGAGCTTATTCACTAAAAAAAAAAAACAAAAAAGTGGATAACCATACAATTGATGTCGACGGGATAACGGTGGGATGTGATGTGTGATGTGCTACACGTGTACAGAAATAGGAAATTTGTCCGCCTTGTCTTGTAGAGATGAGGTCTTCAGAATGTACAAATACAAATCCAACGAGAAAAAATATAGCGATAAGAACCCGAGAGATGAAAGAACGATAGAAATTGATACCATGCATGAACGATGGTTAGGTCTGATGCGGCCAGTAGAAGTCCAACGGTGGCTCCAACGGATATCCTGTTACACCATGCAAGTCGTTCAACGCTAATGCCGCTGGGTGCTGCTCCGTCCCTGACCAGGGTGTATTGTAGTCATACACTGGCTCCGCCGGAGTGACGCAACCTGAACTATCATGCGAAGCAGACAAAAGGATAGTATCAGGAAGGTTCTGGAATTTATCAGGAATGGGGAGTGGGTCATGGTAAAGTCGGCTGTCGACAGATGATGATTGTGGGTCTGCGGGAAGGGAGGCTGTTGAATCGGTGGGTGAATCTGATGTGTAGACAGACTGTAACGGTCCTCAGAATTCAAAAGAGAAAGACGACGTGAGAGAATAGCTTACATATTTAGACAGGATTTTGTCAAGCGCCTGTCCAAGAAGCGACCACTCAAACACTTTGAGGTCTTTCTCAATATTCCGGGGCTTGGGATCAGGGAACTCCATGATGCGGTGGAAGAAGACCTCAAACCCATGTTTGTGTTTGCTGACGGTTGTCGGCCTCAACCCCTCCAAATTGCGCCTTATGCGGTTTTTCTCCTCGACAGGAAAGTCGTCGTTGGTGAGCCTCTCGAGCAGATAAATGATATCCACGCTGGTGACATAGCATAGGCGGTCTTCATTCCTGAAAATACAGGAAATGACAGTGTCTGTGTCGCAGTAGTCATCCTGGCGGATAGCTTCGCAGGAAACAATGACTTTGCAACCGTCTTGGATCTTGTGAAAACGAACGAGTCGACGACCCATGCGGTCTTCGGAGGCATCCCAACCGGTGCACATAGTGTCAAGAGGGGTTGTGATCTGGAGAATAGGCGTCTGGGGATGGAGGTGGATGTCCTCTGGAGAGCCACGGTTAGCGCGCATGAGGGAATTCGCGCGAATGCGGCGTGATCCTGGTCTGCGGTCCGAAAGAGTCGGAGAAGAAGCTGACGATGCGTTGTGTATACTGGTGGTAGTATTGGCCCGTCGACGGAGCACGGGCCCTTGGGAAGCCACTACTGGCTGTGAAGCCACTATTGGCTGCGAAGCTATCCGAGATGGCTGAGAGACCACGACTGGCGGATTCTGCACGGGAAGATCGGGTTCCCAGTAGGTAAACTCGCCAAAGCAGACAGCATCGAGAACGGTGTTGGCCGAGTCAACTGCCTCGACGCTGAGGGGAGCCTTCCGTTCATGCCTTCTGTGCGGAATCGTAGCATGAAGCTTATAAAGGCCATATTTTTCTGCAGATATCTGGGAGACTTGAGTGCTGACTGCTGTCGAGCCAACTTTTAGACGTAGATATACTTTTTCTGGGGCAGGATGGTGGAAATCAATGTGGACGGAAATAGGGACGCCGACCTCGCCTTCGGAGGGATGGTAGTTGACGATAGAGATGAGTCCTGCCGGAGAGACCACAAGCGACGATAGGCAGGACATGGCGGTCGGGGGAAGAAAGAGAGGCGGGAACTGGCAGAAAGGATGCCCAGCCAAAGCCATCCGCATTCTCTAAAATCAGAGGAGGATAGGGGTATTGACGCCTATTTATTTCCATTTCTGGTCTAGCGTCGATTACCGATCGTTATAGGCAGGTGACGGGGGTCCATATCACACACGAAGACCCACTTTTTGTTTTTGTGCTCGAAATATTATTATATGTGCCCGATCTATTCGATTTCCGTCATTTTAATTTTGGCCAAAAAGATGACAGGTAAGATGTCGGCATTCCCAACGTCCGTCTATCCAAATTAGGCTCACCGGCGGCACGTGCCCTTCGCCCGATAAGACCCGGCCGCAGAAAGAGCAGCGGGCAACAAAGAGTCCCCCGTACGCCTCCAGTGTGGATACGACCTCCGCCACCCCTGCTCCTCCGGCCCGGGCCGCCATCCCGTTCACCCGCTCAGTGACGAGCCTGAACACATCAAATACCGAAGTCGCGTGTGGCACCTGTTTTTCCCTCGGGCCAAAGACGCTCACTGCCTCGACGCTCAGCTCATCGCGTCGGCCAGCGCCCAGGAAAAGATATGCTTGGAGCACGTCGGGGATGACGACGCGCACAATATCGTCGCCAGTGTCGCCCCGTCTCGCGCGCCAGAGATGCACTTTACCGCTGTGGTCACGATTCCAAGTCTGCATCCATGCCTTGAGTTCCTCGGTCGTGTTGATCACAATTCCGTCAGGAAAAATATTCTTCTTTGTCTTCTTTTCGGCGACATATGGCTGCGGTGACCTTGACCTGGACTGGATTAGTTATAGATGCACAGGAACGTGCTGCCTACCTTCGTTTAACGCTGCCTCGCATCACATCTACCCCAGATCCGTCTTTTTTCTCACTCGATGCCGCGTGTTCTAGCGCTTGTTGTACCTGCCTGCTCTCCACTGCTTCCTTTGCCCTTTGCACCGGCTCCAGCTTGGTCTGCAGTCGCACATCCTTCTTCGCATTCCCATTCAATAAATCATGAGGCACCCTTCGCAGCCTGCCCACATGTCCCTGCAGTTCCTTGAGCGCCGAAATCTCTTTTTGGAGCTCCTCGACGTTGGAAGCCATCATGTCTACATGTCTAGTATACATGCACAAATAACCCGACAAATTCAAATTCAGTCCATTGTGTGTTGTCCGAACAATGATAAAGCTGAAAGCTTGACAGCTGGCCATCACCAATCCCTTTATGATAGCCGATTCTTTTGTTTCTGACCATCTTTCAAATTTCACAGCGACCGCAAGAAAGCACCCGAATTGTTGCTTTGTTCGAAAAAAAAAATGTCATAGTATTCTTGCGCGGAAGATACCGCGGTCTCCGATCTCCGACAATGCATCCACTTCCGCAAGCAACATATTCCTACAATCTAGGTTCCTCCATCCGCACAGTCAGCAAATCGACCCATCGGCGTGGGTTATCTGTGTAGTAAATGTTTCAAAACTTCACCCCAAGGACTTGGGTCATCGAGCTGTGACCCCCAATGTCACATTTTGCCAATAAAATTAATTGATTACTCGATATCCCCGGGCCGAGACTGTCCAAGGAAGATCACAAAGGTTTCATGAAAACACGAGTCATGGTCAGAGAAATTCTTTCTGCTCATCTACAACTCAGAGGAAAGAAATTCTAAAAATGTCAAGATGACAATAAAATATTGCAATTGTGGTCCTGGTCAAAGTTCTGTCATGCTTGGATTTCATCCAGGCGTTTGAACAACCTGTTCATTCTACCTTCCAGACTTTCAACATTCCCTTTCACAACGCCTCTATTTTCTTCCAAACCCTTCAACACACCCTCGACAGCACCCTCAAGCTCAGCAAGCCTGTCCTTTACCTCACGCTGTCCTTCCTCCAGTCCCTTCAACGTTGTCTCAAACTCACCAGCTGCCCCATGTAATGCTGACAGCGTCCTAAGCCTCACCAAGACATGCGGAATCTGAGGAAGGCTTGACCCCAATCTATTTAAAAGGGGGACTAACTGCTCAGCGGTAGTTGCCCCTACCGCAGTTGACTGAGACCCCTGCCGTCGATGTGAATGTGCCGCTGTCCGATCCAAGTCTGATAGAAGAAGTTTAAGTCGGCGAGAGATAGAGTCAATATGTCTTGGCTGCGTTAGTAGCGTGAGCTGCGCATTGAGACGTGTAATAAGAGGGACCAGTGGTGGAGGCAATGGGCTCAGTTCATCAAGTGCAGTCGTTGACGAGCCGACAAGTTTTTCGAGCTGTCCGACCCTCTCGTCCATCTCGACTAGTCCAAAAGACGGCTGCTTTTCTGAGGCATCCTTCTCGTCAATGTCTGCATCTTCGTCTTGAGTTTCTTTGACGCCATGGTCCTTGAGCACAACACCCACTAATCGCCCCCTTCCTTCCTTCCCCTTTCTTATACGTTCAAGGCGGCCCCGAACGTCGACGAGGCCACGAATGAGCTCCCCAGGATCCTTTTCCTTGCTCACCTGAGGATTCGTAGGATCGGCTATCTCAGTCTCCAGCGCACCAAGCTCAATCTGTAGGGCCTGGAGTCTATTGCTCAATGTTAGCTTTGTGGGCTCATCGTCATCTTCATACGTAGTACGTAGTCGTTCTATCACCTAGCATTAATGTGCGATAATGAAAGAAAGATTGCACGTACCTCTTCTCTGTTCAGCCTTTCTGAATCTCAAGCTAGCGGCATCCATCGCGATAAGACTACTTGAATCCAGTTCTTCCCAATTTCCAGGCTCCCCATGTTTACGGGGCCGCTCTCTTTCGTCGTCACTCCCGCCGCCCTTCTACAACGGTATCAGTTGGCAACCATCGACGCCAACACGGGTATGTACTGACATTTCCTTGTTCAGCTGCGTGCACATCCTCCGTTTCGTACACATCGGGCGCTGTGTCCTATATCAGATGAGCATTCGAAGTCGGGCAAAATGAGGAGGGACGAACAATATCAGGGAGATTCGCGTACTTGGCGGAGTTCATGATGTGGGGCGAGCAAAAAACGATAATGGCGACAATAAGCGCTGCCGAAATTCGGCTTCTTTATTTTTTTAAATTTTTTTTTTTTTGGTGCAGCTTTGATGACAATCGGCAACTAACAATGTTAGTCCCAATTGCCAGCTAGGTGGCAGGGATTTTCACCCCGCTGGACCAGGGTAGGAATGCATTTGCGCACGAACAGCTTGAAGACTGAACAGTGTGGGATTCGCCATTCAGCACTACCCACTAAACCTCCCAATGGAGCTGCAGACCCACCCATCTTCGGTTCACCTAAAAAAGAATCGTCACCTTAGAGATTCGAACTCTAGCGGGCAAAGCCCAACCGCTTAGCAGGCGATCCCGTTAACCACTCCGGCAAAGTGACTTGCCTTTCCTCTGCGATTAATATTATTATATATCACCTTTGAATTTAATAGGTATCCCTCGTCTCGCCGCAGGCAAAGTTTGCCTATCATCTTGACGCTTTTACACTCATGTCCTTAGAGAAACCCACCTTCAGTGCGAACTCAAAATTCGTCCTTGTCGTCCATGGGGGTGCTGGAACCATGTCTCGAGCGAACTCAACACCCGAGAAAGAAGCCGCGTATCATGCAGGTCTTCGTGCCGCCCTCGAGGCTGGCTATCAAGTCCTGAAAGATGGCGGGGAAGCAATGGACGCGGCCGTTACTGCCGTCACTGTATTCGAAGGCGGGCGTTCTTTCTTCTTTCAGTCAAATATTATACGATGATTGAGGTTGTAGACAATATCCTGTTCAACGCAGGCAAAGGTGCCGTTTTTACCACGACGGGACACAATGAACTCGAGGCATCTCTCATGCTGTCAAGACCACCTTCCACTCACCCCGAAATTCTGGCAACGCGCCGTGGGCTGGGACTTACACTTTTAACGCGTATCCGGAATCCTTCCCAGCTTGTGAGATCCCTGTACCTATCTCCTTTCAAAGTTCCCCATGTCTTCCTATCTGCTACGCACGCAGAGGAACTTGCAGTTCAACAAGGCTTCCAGCTCGTCAATGCGTCATACTTCTTTAGCCTCAAACGTTGGAAAGAGCATCGGGAAGGATTGGGGCTCCCTGTTCTACCTCTCCCATCCGGGGTTGAAACTGGTGGAGATGAAGATGACATGAGTATGAATCCCAAGGGTACTGTCGGCGCTGTAGCCCTTGATGTCAGGGGATGCATTGCCACCGTGACGTCTACCGGCGGTCGAACCAACAAGCTCCCAGGAAGAATTGGCGATACTCCGCACATGGGGTCTGGGTTCTGGGCTGAGGAATGGCCCGTAAAGGGATGGATACGGCGCGAGTGGAACAAACTATGGAGAGGCAAGGACACACAGGCGGTAGGAATATCGGGAACGGGCGATGGCGATGTCAGGAAACTTTCTTGACGTCACGTTCTTTGTGATTCTGATTTATGCGACCTTTCAGTACTTCATCAGGCACGCAGCGGCGGTGGCGATGTGTCATAGAGTCAAATTCATGGGGGAGACCCTGGATAGCGCCGCTCAGCATACCGTAGAAGATTTGTTGAAGGATGGGGGCACGGGAGGTCTCATTGCTTTGGATGTCGATGGTAACGGTATGTGTCCTCGTGTCTTTCACTGTGTCTAACACAGACTTTTGTTTGTTGAAGTTGCAATGGCGCTAAACTGCGAAGGTATGTATCGCGGAGTCATCAGGGAGGATGGTGTGGCAAAGACAGCAATCTTTAGTGATGATAAATTGCAATAGATACTTAGAATAAGATATCATAGAATGATAAATATGTATGGTCACTTTGCCGGAGTGGTTAACGGGATCGCCTGCTAAGCGGTTGGGCTTTGCCCGCTAGAGTTCGAATCTCTAAGGTGACGATTCTTTTTGGCTGCTACGTCGGGTCCATTATCCGGTGGGCCGGGCCTGAGTAATCTTACCTTCGTCCATAACAGCCAAGTCGTCGGTATGGCTACCCAAGATCCAGTCCAGCCAGGAAATGCTGCAGCACCAGTTCTGCTTGATTTTCTCAGTTCTGTTCCATATCAGCTCACTGCTGCCCTTGTTCGTCTCGGTCCTCATATATCAGCCTTGAGGCAGCTCGCGGAGGTCACCAGCTGGTCGTCATCCTGGTACGACAGCTGGCTCGCTATCGCTGCTTGGTGGGCGCTCTGTTTGCTGCTGGAGCTCACTGTGCAGTACGTCGCCCCTCATTATTTTGTCTCTTGCTTTCTGACTGCCACGCATTAGATATCTTCTTCCTGTGACGTTTCTGTTTGTGTATTTTGTATCTAAATGGACAACACCACGACGGGTATCTGGTCCGCCAGTTACCGAACAAAATCTTCAGGCAACGATCACAGATCTAGTCGTTCTGCAGTCTCTCTTGCCATCTATTCCATGCGAACTCAACGAGAGTTCTCTTTCTGTACTGGTCCGCGTATGCGCTATCTTGTACATCCCATATCTTGTCATTACCCATTGTGTTTCCCTGCGTGTCCTCTTCGGTATCGCAGGCACTATGGTGCTCTCCTGGCGTGCTCCATGGATCCAAGCTCTACGCACAATACTCTGGAAAAGTGCATGGTTCCGGTGGGGTGTCTACCGAGCATGGTCCAGGCTTTCTGGTCGACCACTCCCCGTTCCCACAGTCAGCACCAGAGACCTCACGGTTGAACATGAGCGCAATTCGGCCCGATTTCTATTCATGGTTTACGAGAATCAGCGGTGGTGGATGGGGCTTGATTGGACTGCTGCGCTGCTCCCGAGCGAACGCCCTTCGTGGTGTTCTGCATCTTTGCAGCCTGTTCCTCCACCAAGTGCAATGACACTCCCTGGTGACAGTGTGGTGTATGTGGGCGACGGGAAGGGCGGCCGGGAGAAGCGGACCGCCAAGTGGGCATGGGAAGAGGCGGAATGGAGGGTATGTGTCCGGCGGGAGGGTTCAGCTGTGGTTAGAGTTGAGAAACCACTACCCACCCCCAAGGGGGATGGCCCTGGGGAGAGCCAGTTGGCTAAAGTAGATAGTAAGATGAGAGAATCGCAAGACGCTGGCGGATCTGGAGAGGAAGCTCAGGAGGATGACGAACATGACAATACCGATGAAGATCCAGAGACTGACGCAGATGGCTGGGTATATGGCGATAACAAGTGGGAGAATCGGTCGGCAAAGGGGGGAATTGGAAAGGTGTGTAGATGCTTGCCACTTTGCTGCACTGTCTGATGTCTTTGGTATTCCAGTATACACGATACAGACGTTGGACACGCATAGCTATCGTTAACGAGACCGTCGAAGTCGTTGGGGCCGGTGACGTTGGTATAGAACAACGGCAAACTCGGCAAAGCGGCGCAAGTCATTCCAGAGAAAGCAGCGTGGGCAACGACAGAAGTAGCCCTCTACGGCAGCGATTGAAAAATGCTCTGAACAGGCAGTCTACATCTCCATCTTCGTCTTGAGCATAGTAGTCTTATTAGTAATACCTAGGTGTACGGTACATTTAGTGTTGGGCAAAGAAGACTAATTTCTTATTCCCTTGAATAATTTCTTGTGGATCAGATGGCGATGTCAACTTATGCATTCCAATTGTAATCGTCGGGGTCTCCCCTGCCATAGCTATTGTCTAGAAGTTTATTGTTGGTCCGTTCCATAGAATGCAGACGCAAAGGAGGTTTGGGAGGTTTGACCACACAATCCACTTACCGTTTTCTAGAGTACAAAGGTGCATTTATTCTTTACTAGTAGTCCAAGGTGCTTAGGTCGGGGGCCAACAGTATTTCAACCACTTTGAGCCTCGGCTGAACGTTGAACGTTAACTTAATAATGCAGGCGCTTCAGATTTTTCATGCGACACTTTTCATATAAATTTTCTAGAAAATAGGTCCCGTCCGACGCCAATGTCTTACCCTCGATTTCAATAGAAATGACGGAGGTAACCCGAGGAGGGGAACGAATCAAGTTCCGTCGAAATGGCGGAGGCAAACCGACAGGGGAAACGGAGGATTGAATTGGCACCCCCCCGGACAGCTCATAGCAGAATTACTTCGGGAGTAAGTCACCGACGGCGGCAAGCGTACAGCTTAAATAGCGATGAGTCTCGGCGATACAGCACTCCAATAAATACATATTATAATAATGATTCATCCCCCTTATGTATCTGTGTAGTGAGTACGAATGAACGAATTATTTAACAAGCCATCAGAGGAGCTGATTCGGCTCCTTGGGACTCGCTAGCTCAAGGAAGGAATCTGAAGGGAGAACAAACGTTGGCGCCCGAAAGTCTGGGTCGACGAGGGGCTTAGGTGATGGTAGAGCGCGGTCGTATGTTCGCGCTTTTGGCGGTGGACTCAGCTTCATGACCCCTGTCTCTGTCGCCGGGAGCACAGGCGCCTCCTCGACATCTAGCAACAATCCACCGACGTCCTTGAAAGACATGTTGTCGTACTGAAATACAAGCGTCCTTCTGGACGGCCGAAGGATCGTTGCCATAGTGTGTAGCCCTATCTTTTCAGGCTTTGGGGTAGTCTGGTTCCTGTAGATAACTCAGTTCCTCCGTAGAACTTGGATGATGGCTGAAATATTACCTCTTGGCAAAGGGTAATTTCAACTCGAGATTTAATTTCGGAATGGGGGCGAAGAGACGACGATAGTGTTTCCTCACGTCTTCTCCCGTACCAATGAGAGCGAGGAAAGCTAGCCCAATAATGAGAAACATCCACCTGTCGCCCTCGACACCGAACGCCGTACGAGGTACGGAGTGCCAGACAGAGGCAGAATACGTTTTCAGAATTGAACGCTCGGAATCACTGATACCCTCAAGATGAGCCTCGATTCGTCGCTCGGTGGCTTGAAGGACAATCATTGTGATATGGTACGCGGTATTCAAAACAGACACGACGACAGAAAGGACAAGAAGTCGGATGTAGCGCTGGGAGGAAAGTGCTGGGAATGATGGATCGGCGAGAGGGGAGTATTTGTGAGAAACAGGTCTGAGATATTTGTATGCACCGAGAGAGGCAACAGAAAACCCGACGGCAATGATGGAAAGAGTGAGGCTGGGCACGTTGACGAACGTGATGGAAAGGGTGACATCATAAGTGAATGGTAGACAGCCAGCGTCGAGGAAGACGTCGAATCGATGCGCTTGTGCGGCATACTCTATGACAAATTCAATATCAGCGGAAGCTACGCAGAGCTAGGGGGAGCTTACGCGTGAGGGTGCCGGCGACAGGTATTGTGACACAGAGGAAGACATCCAATATAGCACTGAGGGTCATCTTTGCGAATCATGAGAACGCTTTAAATGAAGAAAAAAATTATGCGCTAACCTGTGACGACGATAGTGGGCCATTGAGTTGGGAGATGCACCAGATACGACGAGTAATGGTCATGAGAGAAGTGGGTATGCCCACGGATGAAGCAGCCAGAAGACGCAGGCTAAAATCACACCAGTTGTGGGCAGTTGTGCCAACAGAGTCGACGAAAAGAATTAACAGGCTAGAAGCCAACCAAAAGATGAAGAAGAGGGTGCCGAGATTCCACGGGTGGGCATGGGACGGAGTAGGAACAAGGACAAGAAGGAAAAGGAGCACCGAGAGAACAGAAAAAGCCGTGTTAGAGGAGGACATGGGGGGAAGAATAAGAAGGGGCAATTCATTTCTTTCAGCCTTTATAGTCGAATTGGTGAGTCCTTTGTACTTAACGCGCCGAAGTTGAAATTTCGACCGGAAGTCGGCCCGATGAAACAACTCCGCCCATGGAAACGACCATCATCTTGCTCACCGTCGCTGCTCGTCTGCTCACGAGTTTACTTGCTTTTCTCGCATCCTACCTGCCACTGTTCGACGCGTCGCCCGTGAATTCATGGCTGCGCTGGGATGCGTTTCATTTCTCGCATATTGAAAGGGAGGGATACGTGTACGAGCATGAATGGGCCTTTTTCCCAGGGCTGCCCTTTGTAATTCGGCAGATTGAGCCTGAGAGCATCCAATGGCACATCCTCATGACCGCCATTGCTTGCGATACCTCACTCACTCTCTACCGCCTTTCCAAGTACCACCTTCGCATGCCAAACCTGGCCTTTCTCGCAACCCTGCTCTCCCTCCTTCCCAGCAGCCCAGCTACTCTTCGTCTTGCACCTTATGCAGAGCCTTTTTTCACTTATCTTGCCTACAAAGGTACGTTGTCGCTGCCGTTAAATGCCGTGATTCTCATGGTTCCTAGGTCTGCTGTATTGCGCTACTAAAGAATTCTATCACGCAACTGTGTGCTTCACCTTGGCAGGGTTTTTCCGGTCCAACAGTATTTTTCTTGCCGGATACATTCTGTGGGGACTCGGGCCAAGAAAATTGCACCTAAGTGTATTGCTCACAGCAGTCATTTTCTCTCCATTCATATACCAAAATTTGTCTGCATACTTTGCATTCTGTCCCAGAGCCGATTGGTGCAAGAACATCGTGCCTTTGATATACCCTTACGTGCAGGCCAAATACTGGAACGTCGGTCTCTTCAACTACTGGTCATTTCAGCAGCTCCCAAACTTTGTCATCGCTGCGCCACCTCTGCTGCTCCTCACGGTATACTCCATCCATATCCTCAAGGGACCGTTCACTTCGTCACTCGTTCCGCATGCCATCCACGCGTTAATTCTCTCTGCTACCCTTCTCTTCGCCTCTCACACGCAAATCATCCTACGCCTTGCTGTATCTCTTCCTATCACATCCTGGGCTGCTGCCTGGCTCGTCATGGAATACCGGATGTGGGGAAAGCTGTGGGTCGGTTGGAGTGTTTTATGGGGAAGTATATCTATTGTGCTGTGGGTGACATTTCTACCTCCAGCGTGAGTAACGTAGTCACTTTGCCGGAGTGGTTAACGGGATCGCCTGCTAAGCGGTTGGGCTTTGCCCGCTAGAGTTCGAATCTCTAAGGTGACGGTCTTTTGGTCCCGCGGAAGGTTTTTCTTTTATAGATTGAACATTGCTGAGGTTAGACATGCAGTTCCCGTATAAGCTTTCATTGGGAGAGGTAAAGTCAAAGTCCCTGATCCATTCGCGGACGCGATGAAGAAAAAAAGTTTATATGTGCAACATAAGTTTATGCCCGCTATACAAGCAAACCGTAGTACGCGAAGCACTAAACTGGAGTACTGATATGAATAAAATTACGATCGTAAAAAACATGAAGTTGTGTGTCTGTGCAATGGAAGATAAGCGTAACGCAACATGTCCGGATATGAATCACTACGGTAAGAGCCATCGGTGCGTCAATAGTCAGGATTACGGAATGTCAGTCTTAGATGCCAATGAATTAAAAACAAAAAGTCAAGAAGATGATCCGTTTCTCACCTTCCGAGGCCTCATAACTCCAGTACTGGAATCACCGATGTCAGTGGTATTACCGCTTTGCGGTAACTTCGTCGTTAGACTCCCAGCAACTTCTGATGTCGCTGCTGAAGATGTCGGAGCAGGAGACTCGTTCACTGAGCTCGTGTCCGTAGCAGCCGTAACTGGAGCTGTCGCATGCGCCACAGATGATGATGACGAAACAGTCGTTAATGTCCCACTAGACGAACTGTCCGAAGGTGCCGAAGTTGATGCCGTAGCTTCAACAGAGGATGCACTCAAGCTATCCGCCTGCACCTTCAGTTCGGCAACCGACAAATCCAAGTCATACGTCGTTGGCACATGATCCTGCACCAACTTTAACCATGGTACCTGGTACCCGCCCATCCCTATCCTGACCGTGTTTGCCGTAGAGACGTCGAGGTATCCCAATGGTATGATGTCTAAAGACGCCAGAGCACCCTGCGTGAGCACCACTCCATCAATCGCAGGAGACACTGTAGTCTCCCCAGGTAGAATGACAAAGTCTTCTCCGAACAAATGTCCAAAGGAGGCATAGACAACTCCTTCAACGGCTGCTTCAGACTGAGCGTACTCGATCACCATCGGAGTATCTAGTGGGTTGTGAATCGAGACAGTGACAGTGACGAGATTCGTAACGAGACTGTCGAGCGTGATGATAACATGAATGCTTGAGACGATGTTCGACTGCCCCATACCTGCATAAGTTGGATAATCAGGAGCTACAGCAAATGTTGCTTTCAGATACGAACCTGGAAGTGTCGTCGTCAGTTGTAGCCCTCCTAGAGCTTCCTGGAGTGATGTAAATGGTGTGCTTTGGGCATCGCCATGAATCGTCAGAGGTATATCGTCTCCAGTGGTCAAGAATCGTGTCAAGAAGGCCTAAGGGGGTCAAAATTTGGTAAGCACACGCAGGTCAATGACATTCACTCACTTCAGCTGTTGTATCGTTTGCATCTCTGGGCTGATAGTGGAACTCTGTAGAAAAAGCTATTTCTCCTGGCAGCAAATCAAACGACTAGGCACATCAGTCCACAGAAGACGTCAAGATAACTTCACACTTACATCAACTGCCGCCCTTCCAATCATCACACCTTCATACATGACCGGCAATACAATATCAATCGTATAGAGGGACACATTGGACGGATTCTGTATTGTCGTCGTCAGGGGCGAAACGATATACTCACTTCCTCCATCTCCCCCACTGCCAGAAACAGATACGTTGCTTAAAGTCGCCGAACCCCCGAAGGAGTTCATACCCCTCAAAGATGACGGCACGTCGAGGGAGATGCTAGAAATAGGTACGTTCCCGATTGCCGTGTGAGCTGTAACATCCGCCGTTCCTTTAAGTTTGAGACCTGCCTGGTCGAGCAGGGTTACAGCGGCGAACAATGCTTCGAATGCTTCGTCGTTGAGGGATTTCAGGGGTTGATTCTCCCATTTAATGTTAAGATTCGCCACATTGCCTGTGGACACACCACCAACTACAGTGCTTTTCGGCAATGTAAGTGAAGCTATTTCCGTTCCATCCGATGAAGTCATCACAATATTCTGTGCAGCCTCAAACACTTGTAAAGAGAATCCGAAGGGATTTTTGTACGTCGCTGTTGTATTGCGGGAACCCGTTAGAGGTGCCCAAGTCTGGTCGTCACTTTGTAATGTTACTTCCAAATCTGAGAGCTCCACAGATTGTATGACCTAATGAGGTTGATAAGAACATTACAGCAAACGGCGGTGAGAAGAAAACCTACGTTGAATATTTGACCGGATAAAATAACATTAAGAGATAGAGTCTTGAACGCAGCACTAAGCCAATCCACCGTTGATTCACTGGGCTGGACAGAATCGCCGGTCGTTATCAAAGTGGAATTTTCTCCAGCCAAAAAGGCAGAGAACAGCCGTCCGACGGTGTTCAGGTCATCACCGCTTTGAGGCATTATGCGCCCAGAGAAATGTGATGCAGTCTCTGAGCTAGCCGTAAGAATAAAGTCAGTCGCTGTCAGAGCTAGAAGAACATCACGTTAAGGTGAATGAAGAATCTTCAAGTCGCAACGTACGTCCAACGAGCGTTCCCTCATAATATGATTGGAATACGACTGTTCCTAAGTCAATACCAATTTCTACCACGCCATTTTCAGTGTTAAGGTTGTGGACAAGCGGAGGGGTCACTCACGCGACGGTGATGGTACTGACACATCTGTTTCGATATGAATGCCCCCGTCTGTGTCATCGGATGGCAAGCCAAAGTTGCTGATTGTAACACCGGGTAGGTTATTGAACGCCTTGAAAGTGAGGTTCTTCTCTAGTGATACATCATCGAAAATAGTTCCTAATGCAATTAGCCGAAGTTTATCGGTTGATATCGTCCATGAGAATTCCTCGTTATGGAGTAGGTAGATCGCAAATTGAGTAAATCTACAAGAGTTTTTTCTAGTTAATAACTACAAATGGCAAAACTGGAACAGAGACGGACTGTGATTGATCTGTTATCGTTAACCTTGCTCGAGTCTCGTAGTTGGGCACCCCATCGTTAGCTGCTGCACAGACTAAAAGAGGAAATTCAACTTCGACTAACTGCGTAAAGGCCACTGGGACAACCTACTTGAATCAAGATCGATCTGCGCGATGTCGTGACCCTCCCAATTTATGCTAGTATCCGTGAATATTTTCATTCTTGTTGAAGAAAAGCACCACTTACGTAACTGGCTCTGTGAAGGTAATGAGCGCATCTAGCGGACCGGTCCCTGTCAGGGAACCACGCAGAGAAAGATCCAGCCCGTCATTCGAGATATTTCTGCAGAGGATAAAGATCGGGCACGGAGCATTCCAAATGCACTCACGAGATATCAGCCTCAAGAAATTGAAGAACAGAGGCATCGACTAGATTTTGTGCAATAGGTCCTGCGACAGCACCTATAAGGTATAGGGCAGTTTCATCGGTCTAAGAAGTTAGTTGAGACAGTCACCGCGCTAGAAGTGCATGAATGGGAGATCCTTACTATGGCTGGGACACCGTTTTGCTTGAAGGACAGGTCTACTGCGACTAACATGCAATATACGGTGAGATTTCGGTATATCCGGCTACAATTACACACATACAATCATCGAGTTTGAGTGACGAATCAATTGCGAGGTCGACTTGAAGATTTTGAAGTGCCTTTATGATCGCACCTGTGACGTCGAACTGGTTGCCGCTGTGAAGGAGAATTTGGACTTAGATTAGAAGTAAGAAAGTTCTATCCGACTTCGTACCTAGAGCAACTGGAGGCTTGAGTGTCCACAGTCGTTGTGACCTAAACGTATGTATGATATCAATAATTACGAGCCGTCAAGATATAGAACTTACAGGAGGATTGTAGTCTGGATTGGCAATAAGTAGCTGGAACATGTCAACTAGTGGTCCGAGATCGACACCGTTGGCCTGAGCTGTAAGTCCCAAAAACTGGACAATAGTTAACGGGTCCAAGTTATATTTCATGTCCAGCGACTGTGAATTAACGCTACTGTGTCCGTCAACGTGTATCGGATTGGATGACACATCTACATCTTTGATTGTGCCCAGTGTCAGCCCTCGATACGTCGCGATGGCACCGATTGTGAGCAGATTGATGCCAGCCGTAAATGGATTGGCGAGAGTGAAGGATGCTTGAGCGATGCCTGTGTCCACAACATCGATTGGGAATGTCAAGGAGGCACTTTTGATCAGCGTGTCGTGCATAGCAGGTATTGTCACGGGAGACAGGACAATCTCAGAAAGCGCTGTCTGTAAAGACTCGATCGGGGTAGAATCTGTACTGCCGGTAATGGAGGTTTCCGCGTCGACTCCTTGTATGTAATTTTCCAGGAGTGTCCGTCCTGCCGACGCTGCGTCTGATCCTTGCGGGAAAAAGTGGACATCTGTGAACAAGGAATGAAGATAAGAGAGCCGAGGACGCGATGGTGCAACGCGAACCTGTGAGATAGCTCCCGTTGCCAGGTGTGATTACCATGTCGGCCTAATAGCAGTTCAAAGGTAAGCCGAGCATACCCAAATCGGGGAAAGCGTACCATATTAGAGGTGCCAATCACTTGGTTCCTAGATACAGAGTGAGATATGTAAGAAGAAAAAAAAGCGACTTACTGGTAGGAGAACAAAAAGGAAACATCGCTTGTGCCTAGTAACGCGGTTGATTTATTACAACTTGGGTAACAATGCGCAACATACCAATAGTCAAGTTACTGAGCAAAGCTGTCAGACCAGTTTTTCTGGACGCTCGAGACTCACCTGGGATCGTAAAGTATACTGTTAACCTTGATGAGCAGGTAGCCGGGATAACCATGGTTAACATCCAGGTCACTGACAGTGACAGGTCGTGCTTTGAGACCTTGCAAGCCATCGATTGAAGTTCCCACGGAGAATGGGATTTCGCTGAAAGAGAGTAGGCCAACAGCGGTACTTGCATCGGCATTGGCTGACCCTGTCAAAGTCAAGGTTTCCTGAGATCCCATGGTAGTTGCTGCTAAGAAGCTATCAAAGACAGAATGAGCATTGTCGAAGACTGTGAAAGGCACGTCGCTGAAAGACAATGTGATGATGCGAGCATCCACGTCTGTGCTAGCTGGTGACTTCGGAATCATCAGCTGCGCGAAGTCTTGTCCACCATAACCAACAATAATGTTCTGTTCGAGCACCTGTATATCTACGGGGAAGGCAAAAGGCAGTGTGAACGCAGCCTGAGAAAAATCGCTACTTGTCGCCGGATTATATGCGGTATCATCTGTGAAGTCTATTTCCAACTGCAATAGATCAACAGACTGGATAATGTTTAGGACACCTTGATTAGGAAGGACTGATGCCACTTGCAGACTCTTGATGCCTTCGTTCAGCCAGATGACCTAGACATGCAATTAGAGGACTGGGCATGATAAGGGAGACGGAACGCACATCTTGAGGACCTGCACTATCACCGTGGACAATGACATTACTGTCTTTTCCATGAATGAAATTGTTGAACAAGGTCGAGACCGCCAATAAACCTTCATCCGAGTCCTGGGGGATCAGACGGCCGACAAGAGAGAGATTGGAAGTGCCGCCCGGTGTCAATGTAAGGCCTTTCCCCGAAAGTATGGGAGCGATTATGACATTGTCGAAATAGGTCTCAAAGCCTATGGAACCGAGGGTAATGCCGACTTGGGACGGCTTAAACACAACGCGTTAGTGAAGCCAACTCTGGAATCAAAATTGATAACAAACATTGGTCGCAGTGACGTCCAAAGTGAGATGAATTCCACCGTCAGGATCATTCTCAGGCAGGTTAAAGCCAGTGATCGTGACACCACCATTCAGGTTATTCATACCCTTCAATGTGACCGTCTTATCGGACAAGGAAATTTGGTCAACATCGATGCCCAGCGTGCTGACTGCAACACAACACAGAAAGTAAGTAAAAACCGCCTCATAGATGTGAAGACACACCAGCCAAATTTTCACCCGAGATGATCCATTCAAAGGATTCCTCCGTCACCAATACCTAAAACCATATTAAGATTATGCAACCAAAGGAAAATAGCCATGCACACTTTAATGAACTCGGTTAAGTGATCGACATCGGCGACGGCGAACTGGGACTGGACATTGAAATCAGCCCCAGTATCACCAATTACAGTTATGTTATCCATCTCGATAGATCCCAGTGTCTTACCATTCCACGAGACGGATAAACCAGATGGGAATGTGATGACAGCATCAACTATGAAAACGAAAAGTTAGAAATACAAGACGTGTGTTGTGACTACTAGTAACGACGAACATGGTCCTGCATTGGTGATACTTCCTGTCATTGCAGCAACTGGGAACAACTGTTAGTTAGACCTTCGACGGTTGCTACGGGAGGCATACTGAAAGATTCTGGTTGAGGATCAGAAATAAGGACATTGTCGATGCTATCGTTCAATATCAGTCTCAATCACAGTGACGCCAGCAACAAAACGAAGAAACCTAAGTAGTGATTGGGACACCATCTTCTGAACAATCGGTTGAGCCAAGATAGGCAGTATGAGATCAAGCGAGTCATCGGTATTGGTCTTCACGCCACTTTGCGTATACTCGAGCGTGGTACTATAGTCACCTGTAAACTGTGTTAGAGAGAACAAAGATTTCGAGGCTGGGGCAGGTCACCAATCTTCAAACCAGTCGTAAGGTTGACGTCGGTTTCGAGCTTTGAAAAGGCCTGTTGAACAAATTGAGGGAGGTTGAACCCGCTGATTTACACCAAATTAGCGCTGGAACGGCTCCTGATCTTCCTAAAACTGACGTGTATATGTTCCTCTGAGTATCGCCCCTCAAAGAAGAGGCATCAACTCCGTCCACATACGAGATCCCCCCAATGCTGACGATTCCATCCAATTGGGCGGTATCAAGACCTGCGACGACCGCCAGCTTACGAGTCAGAGAGAATAAAACACTCGGAGACATATTCATGTTGAGATCCAGTTCAGGGGATGTGGCCGTAGATTTTCCATCTATGGTGAACGCACTGCTAGACTCAATCATTCCCAAAGTCAGGCCAGCAGAGCTGACGGTCGATCGGATATTCGTAATGCCAAGAGCTGCTGTGAAAGGATTCTGAATGATGACGGAAACGTGACTGATATTGTTCTCTCGTCCAGTGGTAGATAGGACTAGGGTGACAAATAAGATATTTGACTTACTGATCATGAAAACCTGACTGACCTTCAAGAGCGGCTTGATTCAACAAGGTCGTGTTCAATCCCGGGAGGACGACCCCGATGTCAAGGGTCCGAAACGCGTCCGAAAGTGAAGCGATCTCGGTGCTTCCATCGTAACCAACAATGGAGAGTTGAACATCTGCGTTGCAGAACATTACTAGCTGTGGGATTCTCGATATAGTGATGGTTACCTTTCCGACCAACGAAGTCATCCAGCGTCTGCAGTCCTTGAGGGCTATCGTTTGCCTTGAAAAAGGGTGTATGTGAGCTAATTTTACTCAGAAACAGACGGCCAAAAACTAACCGCAAAGGTAGACTGTGCCACAACGGTGTTGTTGCCCATATTTAGCGTCAGGTTGGGCATAAGGGCCGTACCCAACACTACGCCATCACGTTTCAATTGCATATCTGACATTACTGAACAAAAGCTTTGCATCGAAGAAATTGAGATCAGACGCACGGAGATCGCCGGTCTGCAAGTACAAATTGGACGGGTTGTAGATCATCACTGTAAGTCTATCAGAAAGCCGCATTAAATTATAGATCAAAACGAACCGTTGATACTGAGAGTGATGCCGTCTTCGGTGCCGCCTCGTACATCAACGCCCTCGATGTTTGTCAGGCCATTCAGGCCTTGCAAGCCTTTCAGTGACGACGTGACATTGAATTTGATGGGACCTAATGTTATTTGTCCAATGCTCGTATTCGCGATAGACCTTGAGTGGCCGATAATCTGAAAGTCTACTACTGCGTGACTAGTGATATTGACGTCTGGAGTCAGATCAACACGCTGAGTGAGAGAAGATGATGCTGTGTACTCACTAAAATCAGCAAATACAGGATGGTCGGGTGTCGCCAGTCTTGTGTCGGTGATAACAATATCGACTGGGCCAGAGGTGTTCTTTTCACCATACACCTTGATATGAGAGGTGGAGGCATCTAGAGGCTACGAAAGACAGTGAAAAAATCCTAGTCAATCTCAGAGAGTGGATCAAGCTTACAATATCCAGTCCTCCTACAACTCCTTCCGGTCTAGTGAGGTTGAATGAATTCTGAATCTGTCCTATAGATACAGAAAACCCGAAGGGTAGTGCTGCCACAGACAACACATCAGTCAATGTGAAAGAGGTTAAGTTTGCTTCGACTCACCTAACTGAGCTTGAACCGTCTTGCTGTTCGTTATCGGTGACCACGGTACGGACGTGTCGAATAGCAAACCCAGATCACCGATCTCGATTGCCTGGATCGGGTTAATGGCGCCTTGGAGGGAAACGAAGGGGATCTGCAACTCTAGTGCCTCCACACCCTTAGTGAGCCAAGAAATCGCGGTGCCGTCGTTTTGCAGAGTTGATTGTCCCTTGGCAATGACGGTTGAGTCGTCACCATTGAGATAGTTGGTGAAGAGTTCCGAAATGACAACAAGCTCATCTGCGGAATTATGCCTGATCAAGTACCCTCCCAAAGATATATTATTATCGCCAGGAACCTGCGATGATCATTGTCAGAGGCCACGAAAAAAAGGTACAGATTCCGTACTATCTTAGTGTCTTCACCAGTACCCACTCCCAATGCAATATCTTTGTAGAAGAGATCGAAAACTACAGTTCCCAGATTGAGAGAAAATGGGCTGTTCGTTACGAATAGATAATCGTGAAATCAGGCTGAAAGATGGGAATGCGTACCTGGGATTGAACAGTGTCGTGATGGTAACAAAGTTGATGCCACCATTTGGGTTGTCACTAGGAAGCTGCAAATCCGTCAGCTTGGTGTTACCATCGAAACTATTGAATCCTAGTGGGGTGGGTTATGAGGGTTTTCCTTTCGAGAGGACGGAGGGGCCTTACCGTTCAAGGTGATATATTTATTGAACTTGATTCCATGAGACAAGGGAAACTTTGCCGCTTGGACTTTGAGGTCGTCGCTCGAAAGCTTCCAAGTGAAATTGGTCCCGGTAATCATATGCTGAGCAAAACTACCAAAGGCATCCTCGTCGCTGATGTTAAAGACGGTCTGCTCATCAACGGCGGCTCTTTTATCTTTGGCAAGAAGTGTATGTAGCCACATAGATCCGATGGGAATTTCCGTGCCGTTGTCCTGAACCCAATATACGTCGGTAGGTTGGGTAAACTCGATTCTTGCCGATATGACGCCGGTGTGAGTAATCTATATAAAAGATATCAGCGGCGAGCATATAGTTAATCGTTGCCAAAGTAGGCGTACAACACCACTCAGTGCGAGGTTGAATGTGTTGTTCTGAAGCTCAGTGATAGAGGCGACATTGACGTTGATGACGGATTTATCGACGACCGACTGAACGACGGTGGTAACGACAGGAAAGAGCAGAATAAAAAGCAGTGCAATTCCTAAGGGAATGATGATAGCTTGCGAAATGATGAACTTGCGCGTCTTGTACCAAGGCATAGAAGGAGCCACCTTCTGAGGGGAGGCATCAGGCTGGTCAGCCGCGCTTGGTTGAGCGGTCGGGGTGCCTTGAGAAGGCTCAGGGCCGACGGGCACCCCGGCAGCTGTCGTTCTCAGGATTTCTGGACCCTCTGAAAACCGTGAACCAGCCGGCAAGGCAGCATGGCCTGCAGAAAAATTGTAATGTCAGAACAGAGACAGAATGGTAGCAATAAAAGGAGTGTACCAGCTAAGGACGCGGTCGAGCCTTCGAAATCGGGATCATGGTCGTATATGCCACTGCTTTCACGAGCAGATTCCATGGTACAAGGGGTGAGCTCGAGGACACAGACGCAGAGAGAAGAGACACGAGGGGAGGGACCGGTAAGTGAGGAAGCTTAAGGGAATAAATAGACTGAAAAATATAGCAGGACGCTGAAAAAAGCATTTGGACGGATGAGATACAAGAAAGAGCACATGGTTATCCGAAGCAGAAGCGCCGCAGAGCAATCATATTTCGCTGCCTCCCGTGCGCAATTCAGTCACCAGGTCTGATGAAAATCATCACGAGGAGAAGGTAGCGTGGGGGCCCAAATTCAGGCTTCTAGTTATCCGCAAGATATATTTTCCTGAAAAGAAACGGTCAAGCATTGAATGGTACCGGCATTGCTGCTCAAATGCGACGGTGCCTACGAGGCGGACGATGGCGGTGATTGCCAAAAAGAGGACGATGTGAAAGTTAGCCGGCCCTTAATTTCACGTGTATAGGCTGACAGGCTGTCAGGCAATTATATTTCTCGCGACGATCCTTTGAGGATTCAGCTGACATAAATTTCTGGAATATACGGATGTACAGAGAGAATAGACATGTGGAGATATAGATGGAATATATGGTGCGATGCTGTGGGTGTACAGAGTGAATCGTATGGGAATAGAACAAAAAGCAAGAATGTTCAGCAAAGGTATTCAGCGAATACTGGGGACAAGTTACGGGTCCTCACTGATCTCTCCCTCTTCCTTACTGCTACTTCGAACGCTACGCTTGCTTTCCAAAGCAGTCGTATCACCACCATTCGGTTCCGGCGCCTCCGTATCAGATTTTTTGTCCTCGCCTATAATATCTTTTTCTCTTGTTGGAATCGTAGCCGATGCTGCGGCAGATGTCGACGTGGCCTCGCTTGCATTAGAATCCCGTCGCTCGGGCTGGCCGCGAGACCGTGTCGTCCTGCGCCCTGGCTTTGACTTGTCTTCGTTACCGTCAAGTGCCAGGCCCGGTTCTGGAGTAGAAATACCCTCAGATATCGGCGTGTTCACAACTTCTATTGGAGAACCTTCTTCTATCTGCTGGGCTCGCGACTGACGCGTCCGTTTAGCTGGATATGTCGCATCGGCGTCGTCGGCGTCTTTCCGCTTCCGCTTCCCGCCTCCACCACGTTTCTTCCTCGGACTGCTGGCCTTTTCCTTTACTTCACGCGCCGGCACTGGTACGACTGTTACGGAAGCCGTGGCAGACGTTGCCGACTTGGTGTCCTCTTCTTCGGCACCCTGGGCGGCTGGCCGTTTTCCACGTCCCGGTGCCTGGCGTCCTTCATCATCATCCACAGTGATATCAGCCGGAAAACCGAAGATAGTAGGGTCTAGCGGAGGCAGCGAGAGTGCTAATGGACCCAAGGGATGATAAAGGGGCAGAGGTGGGCCCATGGGGTGCTTTTTTGACTTGCTTGGGGCAGATGCCGCGCTCACTGGTAGCACATCCCTTCCTGCGACATTAGACTTTCCAGGTGGTGCTATCCTCGAGGAAATGGTGAAAATGGAGGCTTTGAGAGAGCGAGGGTCCGAGAGTGGTGGTGACCGGTATGTGAATTGGGGTTTCCTGCGAATAGACGATACTGGGCCATTGGTAGCTAGTGCTGACACTATGGGACTTATGCTGGCCATGCTGGCAATGAAGCTGAAGGATATAAGTTTTATGAAGGAAGTCGTGAAAAGAGACATGAAAACGCACTACTTGTGGCCTCGACGTCGAGCGGCGGGGTGCAAGGGCCCAATAATACTCTGGCAAGGGAGAAAAGGTCACTCCCAGTGAAAGAGTGGCAGAGCACAGTCGACTGCTGCTGTCTGCAAGAGGAGGAATGCTGACACCGGTGGTCGTATGCAGTAAACACGAGCGGCTCAGCCTCCGGAGAAATAGGCCTCACGTGGCTCTGGGAAAACTAAATGACGCGGGTGTTAAGGCACATTGAATGCATTGTCAAAGTACAGATATCTATGATTTAAATACTATGCTTCCAAGCTCCATTAGATGCTTTTCGCAGATTGCTGAAAGATAAAACTCGTGCTCAGAATTATGAGGTTGTACCAAGTTGTGCGCGATTTCATGGGCGAGAGTAAAGTACCTATCTAATTATCAGCGATGAACTTTCATTGTTTGGGGGACTTACCAAGAAACAATCGCCGGATTCATATCACCCTTTCTAACCTGCTCGTCGTCTGTGCATCTCCGTGAGCACATGTCATTACAGTCGTGAACCACTTACGCCAAGCGATATAATACCGCAAATTCAAGAATATGCTACCATTGCGGTTGAACGCAACAGTAGTTCCTTCGTCTTCGCTGAAGATATGTAGATTTTCCATGGGAAGCTTATAGATTGCTGCCAAGATATTCATCACATGGATAAACCTCGCTATTGAGTCGTGTCTTGTAGAAAGAAACCCTTTGATACGGGTCGTGTCTGTATCTGTAATACTGTTGGTACTTGCAGTAATAGATTACGGGGATACATACGTTGTGGAAGATAAATCTTGACATCCTCCATGGACACTATTCCGTTTATTTTAATGTCAGACCTGAAATCTGGCAGGTAGACAATTCAAGTACTCACTGACGAGTTTCAATGTCCCCGAATGACCAGAAAGATCACAGTATCCTTCGTCCAGCGACTCTTTGACGAATCGCATGTGTTCCCGATTCTGGAGCAAGTGATTCTTCTCGGGTCTACATGCACTGATCGCCATATCGACATTTGACACTTCGATCACAGGTTGGTCGGACACATCATATACAAACGAGTTTAGGAAACGTACTGATAGCTGCCCTTGATGCACCACTAGGCTTTCCTGCAGATGGATGAATCGAGCGAATCTTGTCAGGTACAGGTGGAGGCCCAGCATCCGTAATATAATTTTCTGTCGGCTTCACCTCCTCGGCGACGGGTGGATAAGGAGTGGTCGTGTTCCACCTTGGTCCAATCTTGCGTCTCAAGTTCTGGAACGTGTTCCGCATACTACTAGCTGAACGCGTCAGCGTGTTATCATCCGATAATGTCTCGTCGGGAACAGAAGCAGAGTTGGAAATCCCAGGGGAAGGATTAAGCTTCGATGTTTGCTTCGACATCAGGGCAATATTCTCTGCTCCGGCCTTCGCAGCTTCTTGTGCGGCGGGCTTCTCTGCTTGCTGTTGTCTAAGGATGCGATCGACTAACGGAAAGTCAGCCTCGTGTCAGTGTCACGGACAAATATTGGTTTGGCACGTGCCATTGTAACCTCTGCGTTTTAGCGCACGAAGAGGAGTGGATAGTATGGTCATGAAGAGGAGCGCATCACTGGCCTTCGGGGACTCGAAAAGTAACCGGTTCAAGGAAGTGGCGACCCTTGGAAAAGGTTAGATCTTGGACACGGATCTAGGATCTGATCCACGTACTCATAATACATTTCATCTTGGCCACTGCCTGCGAGAAATAGCATGATCCTATTATTTTCGTGTACGGCATAGGCTGAAGCATCAAGTGAGCGGGACTGCAGATCACCAAAGCGAAGTTTCTTCGTGATAGACAGTTTACCAAACATTGCAACGACGAAATGATCCGACGAAGCCAGCCAGGTAAGCGTGAATTTAGTCTTCGAGTGAGTGTGTTCATGCAAGAACAAGGGGAGTCTCTCGAGTATGAGGTTTCGCATCTCGATGGCTGTTTTGCTGTTGGATACTGCCGCTGAGGTCTTATACGACACTTCAACTACAGAGCTCAAGCGGCGAGATCCAAGGGACATATAGAAGGCTGGATGACACCATAAATATCGTTGCTGATACATGAAAGTAGTGGCTTGCCTTCAAGTATGTCTTCTTGCGGTGCCGTAAACAAGGACTCACTGAAAAGCTGATGGGCGTTGGTGTCATCAGCAATAACTATTTCATCGGCTGTTTTAAGATCATAAAGTGTGTCCCACTCGTCATCATCGAAGTCATCGATATCAGTCTTCGCCTTTGCCTTTAGCTTTCGTTTCAGCCCCAACAGGATTTTTCCTCGTCGCATTTTTTGAAGGGTGTCCGCAGAAATCTGTTGATGGGCAATGGCAAGCTTTCGCAATTCTCCTATATAACTATTGAAAGCAAAAATATCAGTCGGTGTTGATATAGCATAAAAAATCCCCGGACTTTGTTGGGCTATTGTTCAGCGACTCGTAGAACTTCCCTGGGTTTTGTAATATAGTACGGGCAATTTCATCCACGCTAGGCTCCTGGCGAGTACCGCAGGCGGTCAAAAACGCGTTTGCAGCAGGTCCAAAATCGACGAAGAAAAATAGTCTAGAGTAATAGTCATCACCAGAGCTTCGACGGAAATAGCACTGGTTAGGTGGGATCCATTGAAATGCCATCCCGGCATTGCCACCTTCTTTGGCTGGTACCACGGGCGCCCTTGAGAGCGTTGTCAGCTGAAAGGTATCGAAGTCTTAGAAGGAATGAGTCTTCAGAGAGTATGGCATGCACACATATGCTCACCTGCTATTCTCCCCGACAATATTTCAAACCATTGCTTCGCTTGAGATTCATCGCGAGGAACGTTATTCAGGAGAAAGGATACTATGAGCTCGGAAGGTGGATGCTGTGGGACTTTCAGCTTGGCCACTATCTCCCTTGATAGTGTTGGTGGTGTCACTAAAAAGCCAAAGGCGGCCCAGTCCGAACTGGCAAAGACCTATTACATCTGAGTTAGAAGCTATCATGAGAAGAATGATGTTATGCACCTCTCCAGGGGTTCCTAGACAAACTTTGGAGTCTCGTACAGCCGGAATAAATGCAACCTGACCAAATTTTACAGGATCAAAGTTTTGATATTTAGTATTCATATTGTCCGTAAGGTATTTCAAGGCGATGGTTCTAATCTAAGGATTAAAGTGAGCAGTTGTAGAAGACAACAGCAATAAATTTAGTAAGCACCTTTTCGTCGGACCCGGCGCAAAGATTAACAAGGACATCGACCGGAGGACACTGACGTAAATTGAGAGTAAATGCGAGTTTAGCTGATAGAAGAGTCAGCTGATCATGAAGACTCGACATACAGCAAGAGGAACCACCTTCGGGAGATGATGAACGCCACTTGTTCTGTACTCCCCAGTCTAAGACAGGTAAACCTAGTTGTCGAAAAATATCCAAAGGTTCATACAGATCCTTGGCAGCATATCTCCTCGATTTTGCACCGAGAACACATTCTGACGTTTCTTGCTTCGGAAACACAGCCGTCAATCGTAAACGAGTGATTTCTTCATCACTGAGATTACGCGTTGCGAGATGTTTCATGAGGTCGTTCACAGTCCATTCGTTCGTTTTGATCATTCTGTGAAGGCACTCGATTCAATCAAACCTCCGAGATTTCTGGATGCCACCTACTTGTTGAACAAAGTTTGCAACTCGACATCTCTACGGACCCCAAGACCTTCCATCACTCGCTCGAGTGATCCTCTGATCATGGCGCCTGAAGGGAGAAGAACCACAGGAAGGTCGTGAAATATGTTCGCGCCTGGAAAGTAGACGTCTTCCGGGATTTTCAGCCCGCCTGAAGTGGGGATACACTTAAGAGGTTTCATCATGGCAATGATTTCCCCCTTCATCTCAGGTGAAATGATAGTCCAACTGCGACTGAGGACAATCAATACGTGTTCTGCCCAGGGTGCTGACGTTCCGATATCGTGGTCAAGGTCAGACCGTGTTTTAGCATCACAGACGTGTTGTATCCATTGACGTATAGTAAGTTCTGTCCATGGAAAAGACGACTTGATGGTAGAAGACGAAAGCTGCTTGCTGATAGCGTATGGGAGAACATGATCTGGTAGGGGATCGTCGGGGGGAATGTATCTGGGATCGACGAATGTCTGAATGATGTTGAGAGGCACAATTCTTTCCGTACCAGAACCTGGAAAAATGGTGGTCATGATGACTGCATCTAGTAGCTGTTTCTGGATGGACGACCTATCGGTGACATTGAGTTTTAGGCCCGACCACCATTTGAGACAGGCAACAGCCTCTGCCTCTGAGAGTGGACGTGACCGAAGCTCCTTAAGGACATCATCAAACGTGATAGTTTTAAGAAGCTGTCGGTTTTGCAAAGAAGTTATCATTGGTCGAGCCTCGTCTAGAACGTCTGTAGGTATAACCGGAAGTTGTGTTAAGAATCCGGAAAAGGTGGCATCGGGCATCCGAGCATCACCAATCTTACGGACACCAGCACTCGTTATGATCGAGAAAGGAACGCTGTTGGCGCACGAAAAGAATGCTTCCTCCAAGCGACCAGCAACTTCTCCGGAAGGTGTAGAAGGATGGAAAGTGAAAAACTTCAGCGAATGGAGAGAACGCTGAGTTAACCGATGTTTGATGTCCTCGCTTGGGTCAGATGATGGGGTCGAAGCGTCCTCCCAAAGGTTCCTAATGGTCGAGAGCTCAAGCTCATATGCCACTCGCGCAAGAAAACCGCCGACAAACAACAGTTCCTGATTCCATACTGTGAATCGTGAGACTCTGCTTTACGGAAAGGGTCCAAAACCTACCAGCAACGGCGCGATCCCTGCATAATATTTGTTAGTACGAAAGAAGATGGTAGCAGGGGGAAAAGTACATCAAGTCGATTGATTCTCGTTCAACAGTCGGTATGAATCGGGCCGCCATGTGACCGCCTATGGGTTGTTAATTAACACCCTAAACAGCACGTAACAACCTACCGAGTCCTGTCGTTTGACCAGTCGAATGTCCCTAAATCAAATAAGCACTAGTACTTGGGTATTGGATGCACCTTACTATGAATATACGAGCAGAACCCGTGCTTAGATTGAAGTCTTTAGATCATACCTCCCATAGTGTCGAGTTTGTCACCCACCCGTCGATATCAGCACGCAGGCCTTGAAAGATAGACTTCTCACTCCCTGCTTCACATTGCTTGCTGGCATCGTATTCATCCTTTCCAGTCTAACATGGCAGTCGGTTTCGATACACAGCATTGTCTCATGAGCACTCACATAGATGAGTTCATACTTCAACTTACTCGGCGGGTTCTTCTTCGTGGATCTATGAAGTTCTGCCGACAATTTCTTGTCTAAACGAACATCTACATCGGCGGAGTAAATGGACAATGATACACTTGTCACCCGGATCTGACGGGGATCGATAACTTCCTTGCGTTCCTCAGGTGGCGGCGGTACGGATCCAACGAGATTCGTAAACAGTGACGAAAAAAAACCGCCATTAGCTTGTGGCTTAACAGGTTTGGCAGCAGATGGTTTATCACTAGAGGATGTATAGACCCATTGCATTACTTGGGCACTAATATGTAGTGCTGCAGGTGTTGTGTAAGTGACATTACAAAGACAAAGTACCGACACTTACGAGTTGACTTGATACCCTTGATATGCATGATCGACTTCCGACTCGAGGTATGCAGCCCTCTTGGTATCACCAATCGCTCGTCGGCACCAGAACTCTTTGTTAAATGAATAAGGCGTTTCTCATCCATGTATACGCTGACTTGTGAAAGATAATTCATGAAGGTAATGGAAGACGCCAGGAACCGTGCAAAATCAGAAGCTGGCGGAATGGTGGCGTCTTCCCTTAGCACCATGTCAAAGGACGTCCATGGACTTGTCTGCTCCGCATCGGGAAGAGTACCACGACGAGCGAACAGCTTGGAGACATCAGATAACGGCGGGGAAACAGAGCAAAGTACGTACTTGATCTTTCCTGTCCTTCCAATAGAACCCCATCCATTCACCTTGCGCGTACGTATTCAGAGAATATCAGAAAATCGACACTAGCCCGACATACCTCCGGAGGTCACAAAAGGTTCTTCCGTAACAGAGAACAGACTATAAAAGCCTAAGACACCCGTGACTAAATGAATGCTTCAAAACAAAAAGTGGGACCATACCTACACCAAAAGCACCAATCTTCTCCTCGTCCGGGTTCCCTTCAGCTATCAGCCCGATCAATATTTTAGTAGGGTTGTAGCAGCGAGTGCCATACCGATCCTTTTCAACCTGCTCCAATCTTCATGTCTAAAGACTATACCATTGTTCTTAAAGGTCCACTGATGCACCTGCGAGTTAACTGAGAAATAAGATCATGGCTGATGTGGTCTAAATATACCAGAATTGTCGACAAGTCCGGCAGGGGAATATCGGAGGAAGAGCGATTAGAAATGCTGGATAGATTGTCTAGAAAATGCTTCGACTGAAAGTGTATTTCCACCGCTGTGGCTTGCGCATCGTCCGAATTTTGCAACAGTTCACGAAAGACTGTGAACTCTCCAGAGTATCGCGCGAGAACCTTGTCGATGAGAGCACGTTGATTGACCTCCACAGACTCATCATGACCAGTGGCCCACTACAATGCAAGTATCAGGCAAGGAAGCTGGATATATGCGTGCTCGTTTACTCGCCAAAGCGTCCCGGGTACCGGCCATGTAAATACGAAAGGAAATGGTGAGATATCGGCAAAGTACGTCGTCAAGGTCGTCTGTGTCAGACCGTCATTGTAGAGCCACGTTGTCCACGTTGTGGCACCAGTTTGCCTAAATATAGGGCATCATGAGACGCAGCTTCTGAGGCCTGCCAATTTCCGTTTTTTTAGCATAGGCACTGTGCCACTGAACCGTACGACGTTGAGCTTCCCATCCGGCACCGTGGGGACTACGACAGGCGACACAGCGACGACCAGGTGAGCACAGTCCAGGCATTCTACGGGCCAAAAATCATGACCAATACCAATTTGGCGGCAGCGTGAGAATTATCGTTGGCCAGCGTCCAGTCTTCCGCCATTCACCGGACTTTGGCACACTCTTCCTTCTTCTGCTCTGCCGTGAAGAGAAAAGAGTTAAAAAATCTCCGTTGCCCAGTGCCGTTCGCTTTTTTCTTTGCTTCGGTACTTGTTTTGTTATCTTACATTCCAGGTGCGGGCGTAGCTTTTTCCCTATTTCATACCGCCCTAAAACAGTAGCAACTGTTCTTACAGGTTGCGTTGCTGGCCTTATTTTCCTCGACGTCCCCTCTTCCGCCTCGTCCCACTGCAGGCTTTGCCCAGAACTCGAGATGTACCACCGTCCGTTACCAACCGTTCGCTCCCCTTCGCCATACGGCCAGCAAGGTTCGGTGCAGCATTCAGGTCCAAGGCTGACTCCGTTACTGCCGTCCGCGGGAATGTCCTATCCAAGCAAAGGATCTCTGCCAGTTAACACTGTCCCATTTGCCGGTTCATCCCAGGTTGAATCCACAAGTGGACCAACCGTGTTCGGGATGCCTTTGAAATACGTATCGTGAGTTTTTGTCTCCTAGTATCCCTTTGCAGACCCTTGATTACTTCTAGGTTGGTGACCCTTGCCGTGCAAAATGCCGCACTGTCCATTGTGATGCATTATTCACGCGTATCAACACCACCTGCTCTCTCCTATTCACCTGCATCCGCCGTTCTCCTCAATGAGCTGCTCAAGGGCTCTATATCGTTTGTCATAGCTCTGGCACGAATGAGGGACCCTTCAGAGACTCCTTGGCGCCGCAGGTCAATATGGAATCTAATCTGCTCCTGGCCCTACCCTTGGACACCCGCATTTTGGTCACTATGTGGAGAAATCTTTAGTCCAGACTGTTGGAAACTATCCATTCCCGCCATACTGTATGTGGTCCAGAATTCTCTCCAATTCGTTGCCATAAGCAATCTTCCCGTGGCATCCTTCCAAGTGACGTACCAGATGAAAATCCTGACGACGGCGGCTTTTTCAGTTGCGCTTCTGCGAAAGAAGTTGAGCACGACAAAATGGCTCTCCCTCTTTTTCCTGGCAATCGGGGTGGGCATTGTCCAGATACAAACCGCCTCCGTTGGTCATGTCGCACCGAAAAACACTCCCGTTGGAAGTGCGCACGACTCAGCACCTCTTCACATACATGTCATGAGCCCACTTAAGGGCTTTGGTGCTGTAACAGCAGCATGTTTCACGTCAGGGCTTGCCGGCGTGTACTTTGAGATGGTGCTCAAAAACTCCAAGGCAGATCTGTGGGTGCGCAATGTCCAACTGTCACTATTTTCCCTCATCCCGGCTCTTCTACCCGTTCTGTACAAGACTGCTCCCCCGAATTCCCAGGGATTTGCGTCCGATTTGCTGCGTAATTTTGGAGGTTGGGCGTGGGCTACAGTCGCGATTCAAGTGTTTGGAGGCCTGATCACAGCTCTTGTTATCAAGTACTCGGATAACATCCTGAAGGGCTTCGCAACAAGTCTTTCAATCGTCTTATCGTTCTTGGCCTCTGTTGCGTTATTTGAATTTCGCATCACGCCATCTTTTATTATCGGTGCTTCGACGGTTCTTTGCGCAACATGGATGTACAACCAACCTGCCGATCGCGAGACTTTGTCTATCGTTCTGACGAGCCAATCAGGGAAAACAGTCCCATTTCCTGGGACGCCTGTAGCTTCAGACGAGCCTATATTAGGCCAGTTTCCTCTCAAGAAGAAGACGTCGCCCTTTGGCAGTCCGCGCCTTATTGCTAGCGCATTTGGCCTAAGCAGCGGGGCCGATGCCGCTGCCATTGGACGGACAGATGGATTTTCAGACACTCTAGATACAACGAGGTACAATCAAGCACCTTACGGTTCCCCGTACCCCTCTCGACCCCCGTCCCGTGATAGGTCTCGACCACCGACACCTATTGCCAGAAATCCATCCAATTCCCTGCTACCAGAAGGTGGACTGTCATAACATTGGTAGTTCAGTATAACATTCTGATATGACGATGACTCGACCGTTTGTTGTCGAGGATGATAGACGAGACAGACGACACATTGACAAGGAGCATCATGCCAGCCCTTTCCACCTCTTTGGTCTTTATCTATTCCCATTGACTTTCTTCCTCATTTGCCACGAATCTTCTATACCCCTCAACTTATTACTTTTAGACCGATCAACGACGTAGCATTGAAAGGAACTATAGTACTCATCTATTCATCCCCGTACATAATGATCCGCCTATTGGCCCCCGTCTATTCTACTGCCTCAAGTGTTCTCAGTTCCTCTCCCTTCACGGACACTCATTTGATTCATCCTAGACTTGTGTTTGTAACCATCCTTGAATTAAGAGACCTTGGGCCTGTGGGTTTGAACGATGACAGTCATAAGTGGAAGCACGAGATATCTTATAGACACCAGTTCATGCAGTTGCCCGACAATGTCGCACATTCATTGGAATAGCTTTACTGACCATTCAAAGTGACAAGATCATGATGGGCTGCATAGGTACCCGACGAACTGCGGCAAGCGAAAGAAATTTCCATCCTGTACAGGCGAAGTTAGAAAAGCCTAAAATTGATATTAGTATTGACCAATACCAAGCTCCCACACGTGTCGAAAAGCGAGGGAAAGTCTAGGTGAATCTGTGTGAATCTGTGGAAAAGGTGTTACTGCGCGCCGGTACTCCACTGCCGGGCACTCCTAATCAGTTGTCCGTAGCAACGCCTTTTGTTGGCAAGTGATCCCAGGTGATCCTGGGCAAGGACATTTCAAGATGGAAAGAGTGCTTTCGAATATTTGTAAAGGTAAACCTGGTAAAGGGAGTCGATGTTGTTTTTAGTATGGTATACTTTGGGCGCTAAATATTATTTTATGATTTTATTTTCAGAATTATAAATCTGGCCACGTGGGTACCTCTAATGGCAATTATCCGTAGCCAGCTCGGTTACCACCACTTCCCACCATCCACCAACGACGGTCCATCTCTCCTTACAGTTTCATCTACCCTTCACGGCAGACTTTAGCACGTATTCCCTCTTTTACTGACACCAGGCTGCTGTTGCATGCCGTGCATCTTCCTCTCTTTTCATCATGGCCCTTCGTTTTCAATCCAATCACAATTTTACGGATGTCCCCATTCCAACTACACGGCAGCCTCCAACCTCTGGCACTACCATTCGACGTGCAAAAACTCTTACACGTCCAGAACGTAGTGTCGCTCCCGTACCCCTCATCAATCCGCAATCCGCTTCACCATCGTCTACTTCACGTCCAGCCAACGACTATAACGGCTCGAATGCATGGAAGTTATTTAGTCGCGCGGTCACATTCTGGGCGCCTGGTTTCCTTCTCAGCTCAATTGGAGGGTTGAAAGACAAAGCTACTCAACAAGCATGGCGGGAAAAGATGACGCTGTGTTTTTTGATCTCAATCCTTTGTTGCTGCGTGGGATTCATTACCGTCGGTTTTCAGAAGGTTCTTTGCCCATCTTCGAGCAGCACAAATAATGAGTTCATTCGATTGGGCACGCAGTCGGGCACAGTAGGCGTTCAGGGTCGTGTATACAACGTCACATCCGCGACGTCTACCTCCAATGTTTCGTTCTCATCGCTCGGCGAATCTGGTGGCCAGGATATCACGCAGCTTTTCACGAGGAGTGCCTCAGACTTCTCAGATTGCACAGGCCTCAGCTTTCGAGTCGCACTCGATGCCCCTTGCTCCACTACAAATCCATGCTCGCTCGGCGACCTCAATTCATCTTCCACCTTCTCCGATCTTGGTATGAAAAGTACGGGATATATTGTTGGTTATTCGTGGGAACAAGTCGCCGCTTCATCCAGCTACTTTGTCATTGATGGTGCCGTTCTGAATATGACCACCTACATAAACCTTCATCCTAATTCCATCTCGTCCGACAACGTCGATGCTGCCCTTCGTACCCTCTTATATAACCAAGATACGAGTTCGGGAAAGGATGGTACTCGTCTCTTTTCCAGCCGCTCCGACCTGCAGTCGTCCATTAAATGTTTGAAGCAGAGATATTACGCAGGCAACATCGACAAAGTTACTCCAGGATGTTTTATCTCTTCACTGTTTCTATACGCGGGTCTTATCGTCGTACTGGGACTCGTGTTAGTGCGTTTCGTCATGGCCTGTATTTTTAACTGGTTCCTGTCGGAGCGTCTTGCCGGTCCACCAAATAGCAGGGACTTGGAGAGATCTGCTATCAGCCCCGCAGTTATGCCAGAGGGTGCCAATGTCTCTATTGACAATAAAAATGGCACAGCACCTTGGGCTGCCGGGAGTGCGAGGAAGCTGAACAAGTCCAACGTGAACAAATCGGCCCGTTCATTCATGTCAGCCTCATCAGCGACCCTCACCAACTCTTCCTCAGATGGTTCCGTCGCGCCTGTCATGAGTTTGGCATCCATTGGCCGAGAATTGTTCGCCGTATGCTTAGTAACGTGTTATTCTGAAGGAGAGGAGTCGCTCAGGACCACTCTGGATTCTATATCACGAACGACTTACAGTGATCAGCGTAAACTTCTCTTTGTCGTGGCGGACGGTATGATCACTGGTGCTGGGGAGAAGATAAGCACACCAGACATTTGCGTGGGACTCCTTGATGCAGATCCGCGTTTCGGAAACCCAATGCCAATGCTGTATCCTGCTGTTGGATCTGGGGAGAAGGCGCAAAACAGGGCCATGGTATATGCGGGCCATTATAGTATGTTGCCCATTCTGTCCCCCCTGAAGTAACTGACCAATTGATTTAGCAACCGCTGGTCGTCGAACACCCACCGTCATCGTTGTCAAATGTGGCACGGAAAATGAAGCTGCTGCTGGAAAGAAGCCCGGCAACAGAGGGAAACGCGATAGCCAACTTATACTCATGAACTTCTTTTCTCGTGTCACTTACAACGACCGAATGTCGCCCCTGGACTTCGATCTTTTCCGAAAAATCCATGTTCTCATGGGTGTGACCCCCGATTTCTTTGAAGTCTGCTTGATGGTGAGTTACTATTCCTTCATCGAGTTACTGCCACGTCATGGACCTCTTCCTAGGTGGATGCAGATACCAAGGTTTTCCCTGAGTCCTTGGGCCATCTTGTCAATTGCATGCACCATGATCCGATGATTATGGGCGTTTGTGGGGAGACCCGCATAGCAAACAAACGAGAATCTTGGGTGACAAGCATTCAGGTCTTCGAATACTTCATTTCCCATCACCTGGCCAAGGCTTTCGAGTCTGTTTTCGGAGGTGTTTCCTGTCTTCCCGGATGTTTCTCCATGTTCCGCCTAAAAGCACGGAGAAGTACGGGCGATGACTGGGTTCCCTTGATCGTTAAGCCAGAGATTGTGAAGGAGTATAGTCAGAACGAGGTAACAACTCTTCACCAGAAGAACCTTCTATTGTTGGGCGAAGATCGTTTCCTTACCACCATTCTTCTACGGACATTTCCAAACCGCAAAATGATGTTCTTACCGCAGGCGCGGTGTAGAACTGTTGTTCCCGACACGTTTTCGGTTCTTTTGTCCCAGCGGCGACGATGGATCAACTCTACAATTCACAATCTTATGGAGCTGGTTCTCGTGCGTAATCTCTGCGGGACATTCTGCTTTAGTATGCAGTTTGTTGTATTCATGGACTTGCTTGGAACTGTAGTTCTTCCTATCGCCATTGCGTTGACATATATGTTAATCGTTGATATGGCGCTAGATCCACCGACTTCGTTCGAAGCAGCGATTCCTCTCATTCTCCTCGTTGCCGTTCTCGGTTTGCCTGCTATCCTTATTTTGATTACGACCAGGAAAGTTGTGTACGTCGCTTGGATGTGCATATATCTTCTTGCTCTACCCATATGGAATTTCGTTCTCCCTCTATATTCTTTTTGGCACTTTGACGATTTCTCTTGGGGAGAAACAAGGTGTGTGCACTTCTCAGGTCTCGAGCTCTAGCGACTCATGTAATTTAACCTTGTTCCAGGAAGGTTGAAGGTGAAGGAAAAGATGCCGGTCATGGAGGCACTGGGGGACATTTCAACGGTGAAGCCGTTCCCATGCGCAGGTGGGAAGACTGGGAAAGGTCTAGGCTGCGCAAACTTCGTCGTGATGAGCGGAGGCGGAGAGAACTCGAACGCTCGCATCCTGGAGGATACTATGCGGGAGATGGAGATTTGCTCAGCGCAAGGTCGGATGCCAGAAGCCAATATGACGGTTCTGACACAGTATCTCTGGCATCTTCGGAAGATGATCAATGGGGGACGCAGATCGGTGGCTACAATGAGCATAATACTCAGTATCCGCTGCCCCCCGTTGCACTCCTGCTACCCGAAGAGGAAACTCTGCAATCAGCAAAGACACTTGACGGTGCAGAACTGGAGGCCATGCTAGAAATGGGCTTTGATGACAGACCTCGTCCCGCACATCATAGTCCTGCTCCGCGTTATCAGCTCACGGGCACTTCCTCCACACAATTGATGAATGTTGGTGATGACAGTTATTCACCCTTATCACGATCTGCCTCGCCCGGAATACTGCCAAATCTGCACTCACCAACGTCACCAAGTATGTCCTCAAACGAGAGTTGGACACCTGCTGGTGGTCGGCCTAGTAGGCAGCGTGGTCCAGGCGACCGATACGGCCCACTTGGTCCTCTAGACCCTGCTACGAGATTTTGAACGAAACGAATGGACTTTTTCTTCTTTGGTTGGTGCCTCTATATATCGCTTTGTTTGCTATACCATCACCCATCTACCGCATATCATGTCATCCCATGCTTATGTTGCAGCTTGCACCCATGGAATACCTCAACTTAGATCACCCAGTCTAATCGCCCCGCTGTCGTACAGTGACTTATTCAAGTATTAGTTGGGCTACCTCGTCGATATTGTCTTGTCGCTCACTCTTGCATCCATAGTATTAACGGATCTTCCTTTGCTTTACTGTGTCTTTTATATTTCGGAGACTTCAATGGACGGTGAAATACAGGTTACTACCAGCAAAAATCTTTTGAATAGTGAGAGAAAAACTGCTGACGACAAACTAGTCATCAGGTCAGCCAATTATATAAGGTATACTTTAAATAAATATTATATTTATGAATACCCTTTTTGGCTGAGAGCGGACAGTGCTTCGATGACATCAGCGGTCATGACCGAACTACTGCCTGTCTAGTTTCGCTTCGTACATCGAGGTCGCATCTTTCTCTCTTACCCTCATCAATTTGCTTTCTTTACTGGACGCTGAACACTGAATCCAACGGCAGCTCTACCAGCGTCGCTCGGCCTCTGAAGGTACTGCCAGTGGATATACTATTTGTGGTGAAACCTACGATTCCCAGGGAGCCTTCTCTGTTCTTCCCTGACTATGATCTCATCTGAACAGGACAAAATGACTCCGCCATTCGATATCCTCTCAGAGAGCTGCCTCGAAAGTGCGCATATCATTATCGTGCGTCTTCATACTCACGAGCCTTTGTTCAGCCATCATCCTTCGAATACTTGAACTCGTACCATCTGCACGCATCGCGTTTCTCTCGTCGTTAGGAAAGCGTATCCATGAGTCGGCTGCTCGCGTACTGTTTCATACTCTAATTGTTCAGGACGATGAACAGACTTTGCTACCATCAGTGAATACCAGCTCTGCAGCCGTCATCGCGAACCCGAGACGTTACGCGAAACATGTGAAGAAGCTCATTGTCCGAGATTCAGATGCACTGATGAGAACGGCCAATATTGTCACGCTACCCAAGGATGAAAGCTCCTCCTCGACATGCACTCCTTTGAGTACCACCTGCCTGGAAACCCTTTTGAAGTTGTATTCCAATCTCGAAGCATTATGCTGGGAAGGTTGCCTTCAACCCCCCGACGGCTTGTGTGAGGTGCGTTACTATTATTGAGTAGATTTTGTCGACTTTTGTCAAACTCGGTGCTTAGATCCTTGTTGGTTGCAATCCTCGCTTACGTTCTTTCTCTTACGATCCGCCGGCATTACCCTTACCACAGCGCAAGAATCTGATCAAATGGGACGCGCCTTCCCTACCTCTTCTGGCTGATCTTCCTATCACAACGCTCCGCCTGTCATGGCTATCTCAGACAGGGACACGTACATTCACTTCTCTTCTTCAAGATCTCGGCGAGCATTCCACACTGGAAGATCTCAGTGTTGACTTCGTATGGCTTGACGACCCATTATGCGAAGCAATAGCGGCGAACGGCCGAAAGCTTCGTAGACTACGGCTCAGTACAAGTGGTACAAAGTTGACTGATAAAGGTATCATCGCGATACTAGAGGGATGTGATGCGTTGGAGGACCTCTTGCTTGACCAAATACAAGGTGACAAGCCTGATGAGTCGTACTCTTCCAAAGTTTTACACTGTGACAGGTCGCTTAAGCCGTGCTCTGTGGTCGAAGCCGACGGGCTTTCCTAAGTTGCGTCGACTTCACATAACAATCTCTGAAAGCGGACCTTCTCATTCTTGGACCACGGATCATCTCATGTCCTTGGAATATCTGCCAACTGCCGGGCTCAGCGAAATGTCTGTGACACGAACAGAAGCGCCTCCGCGCATATACAACGATGTTCCCATGTATGACCCTACCGTCGACGATACCGTCTCGCTGCAACCCTTACCGGCCGCTATGCAACGGCTATTTCGAGAGGCTAAATCATTTACAATCCTACAATGTGATTTCTGGATGTTTTCTATCACCGACATCAAAATGATTCTCGACGGTTGCCCCAGGCTGGAGGTATGCGCAACATGTCTTGATGAAATTCTGACATCCGCAATTTAGGTGAACAGTCTGTGCAATTCTGTTTGGACGCCCCTTTTTCTAAACTTCTTACCTTGACCTCGATCTTTGCTAATCTTTCAAACCTGAATCAGCTACGTGTTTCTGTGAATCACGTACATGCACCTGGTAAGCCACCGGTGCCCTTGCCGCCTCATGGTCCGCCTTCTCTTCCCACCCCTACGGATTCGCCTGTTCTCAAGTCGAAGGCCGTCTTGCCCCAACTATTGGACTTTGATCAAATGCAGAATCAGACATGTCTGGCGAAAGCCGATTTAAGTGATCCTTCGATGCCGCTGCTACGCGACATAAAGCGCTTTGTGCGAAAATGTCCAAAACTCGAAACTCTAGGTATTCCAGAATACATTTTTTTATACGTGAATCACTAACGTCTACTTTCTATCAAGAGTGGTACGGAAAGTTTGGACGAGGCTCGTGGATCGTGAAACGGGCGGTGAAGTCAAAGATCAGCATGAATGTCTCTGTCGAATATCGGCCTCCAAAGATTTCAGATTCTGTATGGGCCATGATGACTCGAGAGCAGGAATTCGAGATGAGCAACATGCGTTGGATAGAGACCGTCAGAAGAGGTCAGGAATGGACCGGAGAGAAAGCCGAACTTTTGGCGAAGGAGCGTCAAGTTAACAACATGGATGCTAGCGCTTGTGACGGTGCCGATGGTAGATCTGGACGAAACAGAGGAAGACCGAAGAAAATACGGGCCTCATCCATTTCCACGTCGTCGTCGAACAGCGACCTAACTCCATTAACTCCGAAATTATCAGATGGATTCCCTGTTCAGATGTTTTCGCCACTAACGCCACCGCATTCTGATGTGTCTTTTTCGTCGGATCAAGGCCTTCAGGAAGGATGCTTTGTAGTTCCTGAAGCGCCTGGCCCCGTTGCATCGGGAAAGGGACGACACCGAAGTGCGACCACCTCATCAAGCCAAGATTCCTGCGCTAGGGAAGGAATCCCCGTCAACAAGGGCAACAGGGCAAGAGGGAGGGGTAGCAGGAGAAATGCGAACACTTCCGGGATACCTCCCTCGCAAGGACAAGGATTTGGAAGAGGTGAAAGGAGCGCGAATTCCAGGCCACTTACAGCACGCAGTGGAAGGGAAAAAAGAGGACTATGACGTGAAAGCCAAGTTTCAATGGCGCTGTATTGCAAATGGATAGCCGTAACTGTACGAGAAGTGTACAATATCGCAAAGGGAATTCTGGTGTGACCTAGACCTTGTTACGTAAGGAGTGAATTAACAGCGGGCCCTCGTCCTGGACTTGACTTTGTTCCTTCCACCAATGACTCTCGTCGAATCCGCTGCCTTTCCCTACCCTCACCAGCTTGTTGAAGGCATAGAGAGGCTTCATTGTATGCCGACTGATGTTCCTACCGTTCCTCGGTTTGTAGAAGATACTATTCAGGTGGTCAGTTCGTATCAGCTTCTCAAGTTACCGCTAGCATTGACAGAAATTTGCTTCGACTTGTTGCCAGCTAGCTCGACTAGCATCTCAGCACCATGCTAGCGATTACAGCCGTATAAAATTTGGGCCCAGAGGCTGCTCGACTCGATATGTCCCGTTGTGCATACATACCCCGGACGTGTACCGCGAATTGCGCCTTCATCAAAAGGAATGCAACCAAAAGAACCCGTGGTGGTACGGCGAATTTCAGGGCACCAAAAGCGTCTCCAATTGCAAACTATCAGAGTCGCAATTGGTGCAGGAACTATCGGCCGCCATGGAAGAACCACTGGACGTTCCTTGCATTGCACCCGCTGCTCCTTCTGAGATTTCTATCCAGCAGCATATAATCAAGACTTCTATGACGCATCCAATCAAGTGCGTTTCCAGCCAATATCTACTCACCCGATCATTCACATTTTATAGCATATCTTCAATAATACCTCTAGAATTCTTAGCACTCATATCTTCGCATCTTTTGCTCACAGCATGTCCTCCCACCTGTATCTGCCATGCTATTCCAGAGCACTCAAGATCGTGCAGAATGAGGTCCACCATCTGCGAAATCACTTCATCTTTCTCACTGGACCGTCTTGTGTTCTCGGGCTGCCAATCGGAGGACGGACCGTCTATTCCCCCCGATCCTCCCGCCCACACGCCCTCAAAAGTACTTGATCAACCAACGTCTCACGTCCGAACCCGCTCCCATATGTCCCAAGCCTTGCAAGCTGCAATAAACTCCGGCTTCAGTACTTCCATACCCACTACTCCTCCCACCGCTGATGCGAGCCTATCTTCCTTTCTGCGGTTTGACAAGTTTTCGGATATATCCCAGTCGACAAGCGCCACTTTAAACTCAAATCATTCTTCAGTATCTCTATCGCTATCATTAAGACTTTCTACTTCTTCCTTGCCCATGTCGTCTAAAAGATCTCATCAAACTCTCCGGCGCACACTTTCTGTCTCAGAGCAAGGAGAGAGGGAGTGTCGATCGACTCCTGATCTCCTTGCAAATGGTAGCTCGGTATTACCTCCCGTTGTGTCTCCCTTCACTCTCGGTAATCTACTGTTGTCATCTTGCCCCGGTAAAAAAGGTGCGTCAAATCACCTACACAGTAACTTAAACATTATTGATTTCATGTACAGTCCGGCTACAAGGACCTGTTCGCGGCCGTTCTGGGGTGTGCCGCAATTTAGAGACGGACCTGCTGAGGATGAAGGAGCTGGGCGTAGGCTGCATCGTCTGGTAGGTTGTCAGTGACGCGACTAAGTAGTTTCACTAAGCACGCATATTCTTCAGTTGTCTGGACGATAGCGAACTGGAGTTTTTAGGCGCCCGTTGGCCTGACTATGAGCGTCTCACACGGCAGATTGGTATCGATGTCCTAAGGTAGGTTTCGTAAACTGCTCATGAACTGCCCATTCACAGGGGTTGTCGGAAGGTTACCTACACCGGAAGGTTTGGCCCCTTCGCTATCCGCTTCGTCATTGAACGAGCACCTCACCGTATTGATCCATACATATACACTTCGCGGCATCCCCGTTCTTGTACACTGTCGAGGTGGCGTCGGTCGTGCAGGTGTCGTAGCATGCTGTTGGATGATCAGACTAGGCTTATGCGGCTGGTTCACGGATGCGAATCGGTCTTCATTCCATTCTATGGTCCCCTCTTGGCTTTCCGGTGATTCTTATCACGGGTTAAACAGCTACATATTCCCGGTCAGGTGTGATACCCTTGAGATGGTTGAGACAGCGATATGCATCGTTCGAAGACGGAGGAGCGTTAAAGCGGTGGAAACCTACGAGCAAGTCAAGTTTTTAGTGGACTTCGTGGAATACCTTAGGGAATCAGTATAAAGGACAGTTATGTATTCGCACTTATTATATGTTGTCTTGTTTGTTTCTGTATTGTTCTCTTTTTCCAATCTCTGCATATGAACAGAGCGTTGTTTCGAACCAAACATCTCAGATGAATAGCAGAAATGTATGAAGTAACAGCATACATATCTCAAACTAACCACTCTGCATTCGGTTTCCAAGGCCTTGTGCAAATCGACCCCCACGACCGCGTGTAGTACCTGTGTATCCGTCAGACATATTGAATTGGGTGCTTTTGGATGATACTGACCTCGAGCACCACCTCGTGTACGCTCACCACGACCGCGTCGTTCTTGAGTTTGCTCTCCACGCTTTTCGCCTTTAGTACCATCGGCACGATCGCTCCATCCCCCACTACCACCCATCTTGACATCGAGAGTCTTTTCGTTTTGCTCCACCATAGCGTTGACTTTATCAGTGATGACCAACGCCAATTGCTGGGCGCGAGACACCTCCACCCGATGCAAAACGACAACTCCGCCCGACTGATCCAAGGAGGCGGAAAGCTCCTCCGTCCATATCATCTTGGAGACAATAGAGGTGACTGTACGAAGGGGCAAAGAGAATGTTCTAGCAAGCAGTGAAAGTGAAAGTGTGGTGTAATAAGCTGAATACGTGAACAAGAAGGTGCGTAAGCCTTGTTCCTGTATTCGCCTGTAATATGATAAGCGTGTAGACGACTATGCCAAGAAGTAACTTACTTCGCCAACATTTCCTTCACAGCTGCAGATTCGGGCATCAAACTCCAGATCTTGATGCTCTGGATCAGATCTCTGCACCGCTCCCATTCGCCATCCTGGAGAGCTTTGCTGGCTTGCATAATATGATCCCTGGTGCTTTCAGGAGGTCCGGTGAACACCTGCCTGTCTGCAAAATCAAGCAGGCGTCGGAATGGCTTAGAGATGGCTTTCCGCTTGAGCTCCTCAGAATCGATACTAGCAAGCAAAGGTATTTCCACCAGCATGCTAGACACGAGGAAGGCAGCTTCTAGCAGCTCTGTGTTGATGTGCATGTGGAAGGGGAGCTGTCGTTGCTTCTCTGCCTTCTCTTGCTCGGGCGTGAGGACCTGGAAACGTTGTTGATGAACGCCCTGCGCCAGAAGTTCTTTGACCCTCTGAGTCGTGAATATGTCTTGCAGTGTCGACTGGGCCTCTTTAATAAGACCACATCTGAATGCGCACAGACCAAGTTGCACTACAGTACGATTATACAAAATCTGCGTGGCAACGTCGGCAGAGTGGATGGATTCTTGAAGGTGCGACATGAGTAGCATGTCCCGAGCGGTGTGGAAATCGTTATGCAAGGCATGATGATAGATGTGACTTAGCATAGCACGCGTCCGAAGAAGCGAGTTTCCGGCACCATACAGATAAACGCATAGTTGGTGGATCAGAAGAGAGGTCGCGCCTTGCGACAGGTTCATTTTCGGTTTTATGTCAGAGGTGTCGACGCTTGCTTCAAGCGCTTGAACGACAGGGTCAGGCTAAGATTTTGTTTACTCAATCATAAAGTTAAGTTGAAAAATCTCGACACGGACCTTGGAGTAGATATGCTCGAGTCGTCTCATAATGACCCGTCCAAGCGGTTCTTCTTGATCTGTCTTCTCATAGAAAGCTTCCGCCCGGCAGATCGTGTAATACAAGACCTTCTCGTCTTTCAGTCGATCAACATATTCCGGACCGTGCGGATCGATGTTTTGCAGACTCTTTGTAAACTCATCGTCGAGTCTATCAACGAAACTGATGATACTGCCACGTATCCGCACAACGCCGTCCTTTTCAGTAGAAGGAGACCGTTCTACCATTTCATCGTAATCCCCAGTTATCTCCTGAACCGAATATGCAGAATTCGAAGCAACAACGGAAAGTAGCTGGTCGACTTCTCGCTGAGCAGACAGCCACAGCTCGACAGGCATATGCGTAGATACTGAAGAATTGTAATCGAAGCGCGACGAAATGAGGGCAAGAAGAACACGGAGTCGCTGGTAGGTCGTAGCAGCCACTTCGAGGAGCTTTTCGAGAATTCGGATTTGCTCAGCTCGGTCCGTATTCTGGTATACAGCTCAGATCATGTTTATACGCGTAAAACAAAAATATGACCTTTTTACCACGGGCTTCCTGTACGGCTTGAAGGTTCTTGAAGATGCTTTCTGATGTGAATTGCATGCTTTTGCCGCCCTTCCCCACAGTCGTAAAGTCATCAATGACCTCGCCGTCGGCGTCCACACTCCTAGATGTCGACCGCGCGGTTCCTGAAACTGGAGGTGCTTCACGAGTTGTCAAAGCCGCATAGTCCCGTTCAAATGTTTCCGGATCCTTCTCAAATGTCAGCAACACGAAACGGACACGAAGCGTATCACTTACAGTATTGTATTTAGAGATATCCTGCTCATATTCTTTCACACTCTTCTTTACTTTTTGCTTCATGGCGGTAAGGGCTTTGGCGTTTGTAGCATTCATCTTTTTCTTTGATTCCTTTTCTTTGGCAATAGCGGCATTGAGAGAGGACTCTAAGCTAATGAGAGCTTTGATGTAGAACGGAGGGACTGGTTCGGAAACGTTATGCTGGCGTTGGATCATACGCACGAGCTTGTCGAACTCTGGCGAGGGGCATTAATACGGAGGCTAATATAGAGATATCAGTACGCACCGTTGGAAATTGCAACCCAGTCATTGATTTTCAAGGCATTGTCGATAGCTTTGCCCGTCAACTCCATCTCCGCAAGACGCCTTTCCTGGGCGCTCATGATTCTTACACCTGCTTTCGTGTCCTCTTCTGAATCTTCATCTTCCGAGTCACTTCGAAGAGGCAGTCCAGTTCTCTTCACAGGTCGTGCATCGTCATCGCTGTCACTATCTGAGTCTTCAGACTCGTCTGAATCACTCGAACTCGAATCTGATCCAGCGGTACGCAAGAAACGAGACATTGCTGGCTTTGCAGCAGAGACCGCCGGTCTTTGGGCTGGAGCATCGTCACCGCTGGACATGGACTCATCGTCGGATTCCTCAGAGTCGGAGTCGGAGTCACCAGCCTGCCTGAAGAAACGAGACATTGTGGTATGTTGCGTATGGGTACGGTGCCGAAAGGAAAAAAGTGGGTAACGAAAATTAGAGTTGGTAAGGGTTTAGCACAACAGAGACAAAGCGAGGCCGTCGTCGGTGTCATACTTTCTTGTCAATGACCCGATAACAGCAGACAGAGTCAGGCCAGCCTCTGCCTTTTACCTCCAAGCTCAGATTTAAGCTAAAATATGCCCTCTCACCCCGATACCCGTCCTGCAAAGAATGGTGGAATATACAATGTCCTCCTTACAGGATTTGGTGTATGTGACATGTTCATTTATTGATGCTAATGAAGGCCGTCTCACGCTTCGCTCAGCCATTTGGACAATATAAAGAAAATCCATCCTGGCTCGCCGTCCGACCCCTGCAAAATACGCTTATCACCCTTGACCCCCATCATGAACCGATCGTTGCTGATCCCCATGCCAGTCCAGCCGCAGATGGCCCAGCGATCCTGAACGAAGACCCCAAACGTTCACCGCCTGCTGCAATCCAAATTTCGACGTTGGAGATACCAGTTGAATATGAGACGATCATGAAGATTATTCCAGGACTGCATGCACGGCCACCTGTTCTCCCCGAACAAGTACAGGGCAATCCTCTGTTTCCCCTTCCGCCAGAACGTGGATACGACTTTATCTTTCACATTGGGGCTGCCGGACGTGGACCATTACGGATGGAGAAGCTAGCGCACAAGACTGGCTATCACATGAAGGACGCGTCGGGGAACTATGCTCCTACATCCAACACCAAGAAGTCAGAGGAAGTGAATGGCGCGGCCACGGCCGCGGGTGTTGTAGCGATCCCAGAAGGACAACCACGACTGCCTTCAAGTGATATACCACCGGAAACTGGGCCGCCTGACAGTTTTACTTCACGCGTTCACAGAGGATATGGACATGGTTACGAGCGCTTTACGGAGGGTAAGATAACAGCTCTCAGTTCTTTTAGAGACTGAGCCTTCTTCGATCTACAGAGCTCCTGACTGATATCGACGTTACGCGCCTGGTGCAAGACATGAAGGTGGCAGGAATCGAGGTACGCGAATTTGCTGCTTACCACTGACCGTCCCTGACGATGCGAGTGGCTACAGCAAGTATATTCGTCAATGGACGCAGGTCACTTCCTCTGCGATTTCATCTATTACGGTTCATTAGCGGAGGCGCAACGCAACAGGAAGCCTTACGACAAGTCCAATCGTACTCGAGTGCTGTTCATGCACTGTCCACCGGTGAATCAGCCCTGCAGCACGGAAGAAGTGACGGACGCTATCAAGCAAATCATTGTATGGGTATGCGAGGATGGCAGCTCGGATTCGTGATAGGAAGTAGGTTTTGTTACCAACTGTTACCACCTGTAAGTGTTGTTGTAACTAATATGTCATATTCCAGCACGTATTATTTAATTAAATATTTTTGGCCTGGATGACGATAGCGACGTCATTGGAGGATATCATGATGTCATTGCGACTGACCCTCTTCCCAGAATCACTACAATGTCTTCCAATAATTCTTCGTATGCCTCCGCCGCCAAACGTGCTGTCGACGATAATCACCCGGATCCCCTGCCGGACACAGGTCTGCTCAACACTATCACCCCTTCAGCCAATCCTGTCGTGGACAACACTCTGAAAGTAAATCTCGTACCCTCTGACTTCAAATCCAATCTTGTCACGGCAGCTTCCGCCAATGTGCCTCCTCCAGACTCGTATTCGTCGCCTAACAAGGAGAGTTCCAGTGGACATCTTCGTAAAGTCGAGGAAGAAGGATATTACCTGTGGGACGTTGCAAAGGACTATCTCCTTCGTCCAGGTATCGCTGGCGGGATCGTTGGTGTAGGTATGCAAGACTTAAAAGCCTTCATCAGTGGTTGATGATTTCGCCCAGCTAATATCGGTATATTTGCCGGCGCAGCTCGCACATTTTACACCCAACCTCATCTGCGTCGAGACACAAAGGTCATATCCGCGGCTGTGGCTGCAACCGTCGCTCTTCTATCCGTGGAAGGATTCGTCGTCAAAAAATATAGTCAAACTCCAAGGGGACAAGAGGAAGCTCGTCGTGCCAAAGAAGGCAGCCTCATCAACCGGTTCCTTCGCGAGCAAATTCTTCGTCCCGGCGTGCTTGGAGGGATTCTTGGTATAGGTTCGTTATCAAAATTTAGGAGTGAATTCAGCTCTGATATGCTGCAGTTAACGCCGGTATCTTGGGTGCTATCGGATACTTCTCATACATTAACTGGGATAAACCTACATGGGATAGGCGAGTCGTGTCAGCGGTATCCGTCGGTGTTTTGGCGCTTTGGAGTGGCGAAAGGTTGGTCAATCTCCCCTTCTTGACCACGAAACATCTAATCGACTCTCATCTTTCTCCAGCGTCGTGGCAGAACACATCAGATCCTCGAGGCGTCAATGAAAGCACACTGGTGTCTAAAACAAAGATCACCATAAATCAAATAAATGATTGTGCATGTCTTTTTACTCAAAAGCAATAGCTGTATAATCGCCTCCGACAATGAAAACAAAACTTATTATAAGACATAATATCCTCAGCCGTTTCACGATCTACCCTCCCAATCACGACCGTGATTATCTAACAGTTCCCACTCCCGCAATGCAGCTTCGTCCCATATCTTACCTGACCTATCATCAACCTTCTTCAGAAACTCCTCACCTTCAAATTGGATTGGCATATAATTGTTGTGCACAGGATGGCTACAAAATGTTTCAAAATTTGAACAGAAGTATCGGCTGTAGACGCACGCGTAGTCAGGATTGTAATGATAATCTTTAGAACATCCTATCTCTTTCAAAAGTTCCGTGGGGGCATTACGAATCTGCATCGGGACCGGTATAGTCATATCCAGCTTAGCCGCGGCCTCAGCACATTTGTAGGCCTCGTACGCTCGGGTGGACTTCGGTGCCTCGGAGAGGTATGCCACGAGATGAGCCAAGTTGATGCGACATTCTGGCATTCCAATAGTCTGACATGCCTGAAGAGTAGCCATCGCCTTTAAAGGAAGTAACGAGTATAAATGGGTAATTGCTTGAGTACGAATTGAAGGTGCTTACAAGGGGTAGAGCATGGTTATCTGCTAGGCCGATATCCTCACTGGCACAAACAACCATCCTCCTGGCAATATACAGCGGGTCCTCACCTGCAGTAAGCATTCTCGCCATCCAGTACATGGCAGCGCTCCCTTGACCTCCTCGCACACACTTGTGAAGCGCAGAGATCATATCATATCGACTATCGCCTGTACGATCATACGATGTAGACACAGACTGTTTTATAGATGCTATGATGTCTGATTCAGTTTTGGATGGTGTATTGACGACAAGTTCCAAGAGCGACAAGGCCGTTCTGGCATCCCCTGTGGACATAGAGACCATAGAAGCTATGACTTTGTCTGTTATCTGAGGGAAAGACAGGGCGTCCGAATGTGATGGTTGGGATAAACATTGAGTAGACGATATCTGCCGGGGGTCTGCACCAGCAACTTTAGGTGATATCTTTTCAATAGCTTGGGATATGATTTTCTGAATGTCGTCATCTGTCAATCGTTCAAGCACGAACACCCTGAAATACGAGATAATATCCATGTACGGAACAAATGGATACATTACTTACCGACAACGGGAAAGTAGGGCACCTGTCAATTTGAATGACGGATTCTCGGTCGTGGCGCCAATGAGCTAAGTCAGTCGAATTAATAAGAAGTATAGTATGGACAATCCAGAACGAACCTGGATCTGTCCCTGCTCGACAAACGGCAAGAAGATGTCCTGGCCCAGGGCCAGACAATATCAACTGTATTTGTCTGAAAAAGATGTTTAAACTCACCTGTTGCGCCTTGTTGAATCTATGAACCTCATCCAAAAATAAGATCGTCCTCCTGGTCAAAAGATTAGCAAGGTTCAATAGGGAAATTTTCATCGAACAACCTTCCGGTCAAGGATAGTGTATTCTTAGCTTCCTCGAAAACGGCGCGGACCTCACTGATCCCCACAACAGTTGCACTTAGTTCTTTGAAGACTGATCTCGTCCGTCTCGCAAAAAGTCTGGCCAGCGTCGTTTTACCGCAGCTTTGAGCGGAAGTCATGAGGAGGTTTAGCAGTACGTTTGGAAGGATAGATGAACGCACCCTGGAGGACCCCAAAATATCATACTGCCAAGGGAACCATTGGCTACGCCGCTCATGAATAATGAATCAGGTGAGGTTAAATGAGAGTGTCCTATAAACTCTTCCAGATTCGCAGGGCGCATTCTCTCGGCCAATGGGGCCACACTCCGAAGAGAGGACGAGATTTTCGTGCGCTTAGATGCTACAGGAGTGGGTGATGACTGGGCTTCAGCCACAGAGCGTTTATTGTTGCGAGGTGTTCCAGAAGTAGTATTATCAGCCTTTATTTTTTTCTTCATCGTGAAAATAGGTGCCAGCTCCTGGGAGTGGTGCCCCTGTGAGGAAGACGGTGGATCTGGACATCCATCATCTATATGGGCGTTGATGTCACGTTCCAAGACGCGTCGAGAGCATATAGGACTTGATATTGTGAGTTAAGTAAAAAAGACACGCGTCGAGTGCGTACCACGTTACTATAAGGAAAGCCGAAAGGTAAATCAAGACTCAGATTGTACGAAAAGGATTCAACTAACCGGACTCTTCTTTCATTCCGACCGGGGGATGTACGTGGCAGAGCTTCAAGAGGCAGGTGGCAGCTGCAGCCCAACGCGTTCTCAGGGTTCTCAGGTGATCAACGTCACTCCACGATTTGATAAAAAATATATATTTACAAAGGTGAACAGTGTTTAAACTCATCTACTTCCGCGGATGATAAATTATTAGTACACGCCAGGTAGCAATCTACAAGGAACCTTTTCAGCCCAATCAGCCCACTCTTCTGGGAATTCCTTCTTCAGCGCTTCATCCTCCTTCGGCATACGTCTCAAGAGCCCCACAACTATGATCGTGACCAGAGTGAGAAAAGTGAGGGCCAAGAGTCGACAGGACGTTATTTCTAGAGCTCCACAGGTTCGTGTCCAGGAGCCCTACATATGGTTAGTCATTATGAGAAGCTGCACAAGAAGGACTCACGGATGAAGCGTGCCATAGTACGATACCCAGGATCGCACATATTACGCCAGAGTAGCCCGGGTGCCGGACTATAGCGTACGGACCCGTACGAATCAATTCGTGGCCTTCCCTGATGCTCATCTCAAATGTAAAGAGTCTTCCCAGTTCCTTGTAACAGCGGTACCGAATGTATCCCCCAAGAGTGGTTAGGAAAATGCCCAGCAAGAAGTGCGGCGTTATGCGTATCTGGTCAGCGCTTCCGGTGATAACCAAGGCTGAAAGTACGCTGCGAGACAGATCATTTTCGGGGACTGAGCGAGTGACAATTACTGTCGTCTCGGCGATTGCTCCTAGCCAACAAATTATCTTCATGTCGTTGTTATTAAGGATATTGTGGAAGGTAGCAGAACTCGCCTTTACTAGCAAGGGGCCAAGCCGTTGTTGTACGATAAACTCCAGGCCTGTTGACGGTGCTTTTTCGCTGCTACTGGGAGGGGGATGCGGGGGCGTTACTGTGATTTGTAGTCCTAGCGTTGCTAGAAATATGAATGGAATCTTGGCGCAAGACATTGCAGAGACTGCTGGATGCAGCACTGTTCATTACATCTGCTTTATAACGTCTGGCCGGACCACCACGCGGATCTTGCCAATCTTCTTGTGGAAACACACGATACTGATAATAAAACAGTTAGCTTGAGAATCTACATAAGAATGCCGGTAGAATACAAACTTTCTTCTTGAAATTCACAATCGCAAACTGAATCTCGAAGACCACACGCCAGAGAGTCTGTCCCGGAGGGAAAGTGGCGTCGTAAATCAACTCCAGACTCGTAACGTCTAGGTCATCAACCATGAACGACTCGAAAAAAAAGAAGGCAAGTGAATCGCCGCGGTGTGTCTGTGAGGTACCCACACGTACTTCGAAGTAAGGTAGATATTCTTTCGAGAGAAGCTACGATCGGATACCTTAATCAAGGCAGAGTAAAACCCTACAAGGGACACGATTGACTCACCATGTCAGGATCACCTAAGAGCAGTTGTCGAAGGATATACTTGCGTAACTTAAAAGACCAATATAGAAACGAAGCGTCGCTAGCATAACCAACACCAAAAGCCCGTCGAGTGAAGGCCAGAACACCTCATTGATTCCTACTGAGCAACCGGAGATGCAATCAACGCACATTCCTCGATTTCACCGCAATGAAGATGCAACTAAATTAACGGACGGATCAGCTAAGATACATCAGAGAGAGAAATTTTACAGAGCGTTGCTACAAATAGAAAATACTTCACTTAGAATAAAAGCATAATGACACGGTCGTTGCCCGGTGCTAAGACTACTTGATGGTCTCGAAACGGCCCCAAGGTTTCCAGAATCAAAGCGCACTCTAGGAGTACGAAGGAGGGCTTGGAAAGAGTTTTGAAATGCCGTGAAGAACTATCCTTATGGAACTAGCGGATATCACGCCTTCAGTAAATGACTCGTTGCGATCTTATGCATTTCTATCAGTACGACAGGACAAATTATACCGATTCTGAAGGTGATAAACCATCAGTACGACCAGCAAATATGTATGAAGAAGAATACTTGCGTTGAAGAACGCTGTTAAGCTTGGTGACTCGGGATTGGACACTCAAATCGATGGTCTTGTCACCAAAATCGACTACGATACCGCCCAGCACAGTAGGATTAACCTACGACAAGGTGTCAAGAAAAAAATAACGGTTGTTATATTGACAACATACCTTATTGGTGATCTTGAGAACCTGAGCCTTTTGAGCGGCCTGCGATTGCTTCAATGTCGTCTCGAGTCGCGTCAAAATATCTCTCGGAAGAGGGGCGGCAGAAGTGACAATGACGGTGAGTTCTCCCCTGTGCTCTGCGGCTAATGCATTGAAGCTCTCAATCACTGCCTCCAATTCTCCCAACCTTCCGTTCTCCGACAAAACGGCCAACAAATTCTTGGTGATTTCGGAGGTAGGATCCTTCTTTGCGCCGGCATCCAAAGAGGAAAAAACAGCAGTTAGGGACGCTGCACGATGCTTGGCTGAAAGAGTAGGGTTGTAAACAAATTCCCTGACTTCGGCGTCGCCATTTATGAGTTTGGACACGCTAGCAAGGTCGGCCTCGACTTTGGTGAGTGTTTGGGAAGATTTTGCCAGGGCGGCACCAAATGCAGCGCTAGCATATTTAGTAGATATCGCAGATGCTGAGCGACGGCCAAATGCAGGAGCAGACTTGACTGCACGAGCAGCAGACGAAAGTAACATGGTGATGGTGGTGGTGGTGGTGGTGCGTCCTACCGGTTAGTCCCGACTGTGTGACTATAGTGTGACTGCGTGATGGAAATATCGCTGTGACAATTATCAGCAGTACGCCACTGCAGCCAGCGTGGAGCCCGCTTCGTTCTGTACTACTGACAGTCATATTTAGGAAAAAGGGATACAGACTTTTCCTCGTTTTGTTCCACCTCGATATCGATAATCGTTGGCAACAGTAACCGACGACGACAACCGCATTCAAGACAATAGTTTTTCCGTAAGTGGGAACAATGGCTGCAGCCCGTGACTAACCTTGACTGAAATCAGGTCCTGCCCTCTCCCTTCTCTCCTTATTTTTACCGTCCTTTCTCCTTATTTTCCTTTCTATCGTCTGCTATCCATGTCGCCTGGTCTCGCCTGGTTGCGAGCTATCGCTCTAACGACCCTATTGACAGCCTCTGTTTCATATGCACGAGACGAGATTTTGTGTGCGTGCTCCAGGCATATTTTACTTCCCGTTCTCCTGACTATTTCACAGTCACCTCTTCCGTGACCTATTGCGACCCTCCAGAGACTTTGCTGGTCCAGCAATTCGACATGGTGTATTTCAACAAGAACGAATCAGTTTTCTTCAACATCTCAGCATCCAGTGTCGTAAGTATGTGTATGTTCTGCGATCCAGAAGCTCTCATCCTCTCCCCAGGAAGAGAACGTTAATGTTACAGCGAATCTGCTACTTAATGTCTATGGCCTAACTCCTGTCAATGTCACCATCGATCTTTGCGACATCCTCGGTGGTGCCCTTTGTCCCCTGCCACAGTACAACTTCGTAGGATCTGACACCCTGTCACTGCCTTCATCACTAAACGTGGCCGACAAAATACCGGGGATAGCTTTCAAAGTACCCGACCTTGAGGGGTATGCTCAGCTATCCCTGTTAGAAGTAGGAACAGGCGATCTTAAAGCTTGCGTGCAAGCCACTCTGTCAAATGGGTGGTCAACACACCAGCCTGCAGTTACATGGAGTACAGCGGGTGTTGCCATTGCCGCCTTGATATCGGCGGTCTGGCAGTCACTCTCGCCCACAGCCCTGGCACCCTGTCGGTTTCTGGATCTGCTTTATTTATACCAGACGATTGCATCAAGTGCCCTTCTGGACCTCAACTACCCTTCTGTTTACCGAGCATTCGCACTCAACTTTGCATGGGCCATCGGCCTAGTGCCTTCATCCTCGGAACAAAACACCATAGATCATATGCGATACATCACCGGAGGCAGGATGGCAAACTCGACCTCCGGATCTGCCATAGCTTTCGTTAATCGCAAGCTGAGCCCATACAATGATCAAAGCCTCATCAGTACCAACACCGCGTCTTCAGGCTTTTCCCCCCTTAATCTAGGCCGCAGATCATCCTCAGGCATTTTTGAACAAATAAAGATTCTTTCTACAGAAGGTGTTGCGACCGTAACATCATCGTCTTCAAACGTCCTAGACGCTGGCGTCCCTATATATACCAACTCGATACACATTGCCACGGCCAACGCTTTCATGACAGTGTTTTTCGCCGCTCTCATACTTACCGCCATCGCATTAGCAGTTTTTGGTCTCGGATATGTTGGCTTGCTGGCAATGCATCGTTTCCGTTTAGGAAGGGCGGAACGACGGGTTGAACTCAAGGCTTTGTACTCATCACTCGTCAGAGTTTGGTCATTGCGACTGGTATGTATGTCGTTCTTGTTAGGAGCGCAGGTCTGACACAGCTTCCTAGGGTCTTTTATTTCTTTATCCCATCGTTGTTTTTGCTTTTTATCAGTGGACCCTCAAAGATTCGTGGCTATCGATTCTCTTATCTGTCATTGCGTTCCTTGCCGTAGCATGTGGCACGGGATATTCCGCCTTCATCGTCATGCGTACTGCGCACCAGTCCAAGGCGTACGCCCTCTATTCCCGTCCTGCAATCATTTCATCCCACGGTCCGCTCTATGCGCAGTACCGCACTGCCCGCTACTTTTTCTTCCTAATATCGCTGGCTTGTGTTTATCTGAAAGCGATCTTCATCGTATTTGCTAAAGCGAGCGGCTTGGCACAAATAATCCTATTTTTGACCGTAGAAGTCGGCGTCATGACGAGTGTTTTTGTCCTTCGTCCGCACAGGACTCGAGGCGCAGACGTACTCGCGTCGTACCTGGCTATCGTGCGCTTGGTTTGCACTGGCCTAATGATTGCATTCGTTGAGCGCCTCGCTGTCGACGCGATTCCAAGAGTGGCCATAGGCATCGTTATGGCTGTCATATATTCTGTGGCAGTCATCGTGGTGGTTATTAATTTTGTCTTACACTGCGGTATCCAGCAGCTATGGACGAAGCAGGACACTTCGCAGCATGAGGGATCTGCCAACGACGCAATGGTGGAAAAAGATGACCGTGGGTCATCATTCCCTGACCTCCTTCGTCCCAAAAACGCAACGCCAGAACAAAACATCCCATTAGATCCCGAAATTAACGAGCCGCATACGCCGTTGACGCCTCCTTCAGCGGAGGGCGAACAAAACGTGAACAAGCGCGACTCTGCTTCTACAAATTTTGGAAACCTTCTACCACGGAGATGGTCATTTACGCCATTAAGCTCTCCGGCAGATTCTCATCTCTCCCACCCTTCGCTCAGTAGTCCTTATCATACGCAAGATGCAACTCGTCATCAACATACATGATCCATTACGCACATAGATTTACTTTCTCGTGCACATTATTTTTCATAGAATATCGCATTTCGGGCCCCTAGGGACCTTGGTATATAGTCACTCATTTACTTGCAGCTCTCTAGGAGTCTAATCATCGTGTAGATATCATCTGTATCACTAATGGGATTCCAAGAACACTTCATGAAAGGAATTGTGGCGGAGTTGACACTTGTAACTGAACGGCTATGTCCATGTCCATGTACAGCTGCTTCCGAGCGACGCAGTTAGTCCTGGCTCGTCGTCTCTTGTCTTTCCACGAAACATCGAGACGTTCACTGGCTACGAAACCTAATTCCTATCCTTTCCCTCAAAATTCGAATCCGACGCCGCACCAAATATTTCACCTGCCGCGTTCTGCATCACCAGAGGATGTCAAAGCAAGATGTACGCGTTGCTGTTTCCTGACTTGCAGCAAACTGAACGACAGCCGCTAGACTATGAACTTGTCCGTCTGTACCATCCTGACACGGTAGATTTGTCCGTGTCCTCCGAATTGGCGCATGCTCGATTCCAATCCATAACAGACGCTTACAACGTTCTCCGTGGAAAGACGACGTCTAGGCTTGATGCCGTTAGCGGAGGCCAACAGGCGACTACTGCAGCACGGAGGGCAATGCACGTTCGGCGCCATAGTGAATTATACGAGGGTGGCGCGGTTGACGACCGCTGGAAGGACCGTCTGATAATTGTTGGTCTCATCGCAGTAAGTAGAAATGCCCAGTTTGTCTGTCTTTGCATTTACACCAGACCTCAGACTGTTATTATCATCGTTGCCCAAGCAGTCCTTGTGCGGCGAACAAAACTGCAGGAGGCTCGTACTTTGTATTCTAGACCAAGTCCCCCGCAAGAGGATTCTCGATTGTCATCTTCAGTCGACCCTGAATCATAGCAGTAGTAATGATTATTTAATCGGTATTCCCTCTATATATTCTCATGCAAAATAACTCAGAAATAAAGGCCTGTCCACCCTCGAGAATTCACCAAAATCTCATCCCCGCCATCCTGATCCCCGACATAGTGGGTCCAGGCTTTTCCGGATTTTCCATCACGAGAACCAGGTAGCTCTGTTGCAGACTGTAAACCTGTAGCACTGTACGAACCGGAATGGAGCGCAACCAAACCGGAAAATCTGGCGTCACGATAGCTCAGATAGATATCTCCGTTCATCGACGAAGTGTGGTCGCTACGAATGGGCCTGTGAGAAGATGAAGGGCTTTCGATATAAGATACATCTGTGCGACCAGCCCCGGTCACAGTGTCGAACGATGCGGGGAAAGTTGACGAGACTGGATGAACCCTAACATTTGCGACGCCATCGCCTCGTTGCGTCACAATAGAGGTCCTATTGACGACAGCAGCGTCACCGACGATCCATCCGCGATAAACTTCAAGTATCAATGCATCCGCCAAGAAACGTTCATGAGGTAAAATCAGGTTGTTACGCTTCGTGGCATACAAAGTAACGAAGACGCTATCCAGGTCGACTTGAGAATCCGGGTCGAATTGGACGTGAGTCAAAGTGTGCTATACTTGACGTTGAACAAAAATTTCGATTTTAACAATGCGTAAAGCTTACCGAGGCCACATGCAATTTCTTCAAGTTGGGAGGGATGTGCATAATGATATCAAAACGCATGCAAGATGATTCCTCCAGCCGCGGCGTAGAGACTAAGAGACGACTGTTCTTCATCTGCTCGGTAGGATACGCAAGGGACACGTGTTTGAGCAACGACTCATTGTCGGTTCTCATAGTAACTTGATAAGAAACGTCAGCCGAGTCTGCGGTACCTTCAGCGAGTACAATTGTTCCGACAGCACCGCCATGAATGTCGATGGAATGTTCAAACTTGTCGCCGACTGGAACCTGGACTGTGGTTTTGCCGCCTTCGAAGACATATGGAGCAGTAAGACATCCAAGGGAACTGCTGTATGCTGGCATGTTTTCAAGACCGGTAGGAGCAGGCTAGGAGTGGTGGATTAGTGTGTGTGATCTTGTAAAAAAAGACATGTTCACCAACAGCAACAGCCCATTTGATCAACTGGATGGTGTAAAATAGCCCAAAGCCTGTGAAGACAATTCCGAGTGCCTTCCAGAACAGCGAGCAACTGGGAAACGATTACGTTTTCTGAATTTGGCTCAAAGAAAGGACCCACTTCAAACCACAGCACATGCAACACGCTTTAGGTCGTTTGTGCTTCATTCTGCGGGTTGCGGCATCTTCAGTGTTGAGTAGACTAACTGCTTCTTCGTTGTCGTCATCTGTATACGACGGAAGGTGGTCTGCAGCAGCAACAGCAGCACCCTCCTCATCGCTAGCAACTTTATTGTCTATTTCACAATGGTCGATGTTTATCACAAGAAGGGACACGACTTGGGCTCACATTCATGGGCCTCTTTGAGCTTGAGAGCTGCCCAAACGATTGGAATCCATCCAAAAAATGAAGGACCTCGAATTCGAAATCCAGCACCAGTCTGCGAGGCGGACATCAAGAAAGAAAGAGTAATGGATGAAGGAGAGACGAATGGGCGTTGAATTCAGGTTGGCGGTCAGGATAGGCCGCATGTCGAGGCACATCTTGGACGTACTTATGATTACCATCTCTCCAGAGCAACCGGTGCAGTCTCACGCTGATCGCGGCCAGTTACTGCGCGACGACAATCGGATCAGTCTGCATAAATCATTCCGTCGTTTACATCAATTCACTACCATACCATACTTTACGCCAAAGATCCCTGATGAGTTGTTATGAGCACAATAGTGGTGACGCAGCGCTGAACTCACCATAGGGTCCCAAGGAGGCAATACGATTGCATTTCCCGTCTCAACAATCTTCACAAGCTCCTTGGAAGCGAGAGATTTGGGAACGACAACTTGGTACACAAATCTGCAAGATGACAGTAAGAGATGAAATTGCTCGTAGTATGAACGTAACATACTCTTCGAACCACTTATCAGTCATCAGGTAATAGCCTTTATTTCCAGCAGTCTCGCCCCAGGAATTCTCCACTTTGTACCTGACAGGTTTACCGTCCTGGTCTAAATGGACCGCCGTGATAACCATCGCATGGGTCATAGACGACTCATTCACTTGCAAACGCTGGGCCTTTGTAAGGCCAAGTGTGATGTCAAATGCGGTCTACGTATGTCACTGAGTGACTAGGGTAACGAGTTAGAGGGTCGTATCCGCATACCTCGTACTTGAAGAGGTCGGGATCCATTACACCCGCATCTCTATCTGAGAATTTCCCTACGTCACACCCGAAGAAGACCGGCAAACCTGCTTTGATCATCTGTCCCCATTTCGTTAGAATTCGCTGTTGACTTCCCAGCGATAAATTGATACCTTCACCACAGTGTTCTTCATATTCTCAATTTCCGTATTGATGTCTGGAGTCGAAAATGAAGCAAGGAGATAGTTGAAAGAGGACGTAAAAATACTGACAAAGCACTGGCCGACCGCCCCAAATGTTACCGAGCTTGTCCACAGTATACAATTTAGAGTATTCATTGCGGGGATCGTTGATCAGCGAAAAGAATTCTTTAGCCTGTGAAACCAAGCTTTCAATTCGGTATGCAAATAGGAAGAGCGTGACCTACAGGATATGGCTTAGACGCGTTCTGTTCCAGGAACTCAAGTGGTGTGCCTTCCCATCTTCCGGCCTTACTATCTGTATCATAATATTCCCAGACAAACAGCTTATCTGGCATGGGAGGCACACCAAGAGTGGCAGTCATGATAGTATAGATTTCTTTCATTAACTTTTCCTTTTCAGCGCGGAGGGTCGCCTGGATGGCGGCCGGTGAAAAAGCTTGAGCTTTCAAATCGCTCGAGAGAGCACGGAGAATGAGCGCGTGTTCGCGTAATTTCGTCTTCAGAAGGGCATTGAGTGGCGAAGAAAGAGAAGAATGAGTTGATTCGGGATAAAGAGCTTGGGGTACAACGCCGTAATTCTGTAGAAGGTTGACAGCCATATCGAACTGACCACCGTCGCTTACTAAATCTCCAGCAAGGTGGGAAACAAGCCGATCATCAAGAGGGCGGTCAGCAAGCTCGATGGATAGTTCGAGATAATAGTTGGCCTTGTTGAGTTTATCCCAGAAGAAGAGATAAGACTGTATTAATAACATACTGCGTCAAAATTTGCCGGGAAGGATATTGTAGAGAAATGATATCACCTGAGAAAGTTGGAATTCCTTCAACTTGAGTTTCTTCATCACTTCGTAACGCAGGACGTTGGTGGTTGCAAATAACCAGCATCGACCACTGGACTTCTGATTGGTGATAGGTCCAGTCTTGAAGTCTATCTCATTGTTAAAGATATAGGTATCAGCAATGACAGAGTCGCGAGAAATGAGTGCTGAACGGATGTCGGAATGAGAAAGAATGGTACGGGCAAGTTGGGTCTTGGTATCTGCAGATACACTTCCCTCCCATTTCGCTACATTGTCCATCAACAACGAACCACTGGGCGATAAGGCAGTATCTTGGAGAGAAACGGAGGCAAACGAGGCAGCTACACCGCGAACAGACTGCTTCTCGTCGTAGGTCCTCGTTTCCTGTGGAAGCGAAGGCGCTGCTCCCATTGCTGCAGGATTGTTGGCGTGTACGTTAGTCGCCCAGTGGTGGTGAACTGGTGAGCGGTGTAGATAAGGGCCCGCATGGTACGATCTGATCTAATCTCGGCATGATCTGATCCGTTTTTCAACTACCGGAACCATTAATAATAAATATTCAGCATTGACTTGAAATATCATGTCGATCCCTGAAATCAGTTCATGGCAAGAAGCGTTCTTTGCTGGTGATTTTGGTATGCATTATGCTTTTTCAGGTCCGTAGATGCTCGTTCTTACACTGGCATAGGACCTGTAGTACGGGTGCGACGGCTGCGGAAGCTGTGAGTACTTGTAGTAATCTACTCGCGGAGTCGTGCCGAACCTGGAAGCATTACATGATTTGGATTTAGAGGAAAGACTAGAGTATGAATCGCTAGCAGAGATCCTGCCCGAATTTTGGCGGATCTTGGACACCAAATGCCATGCATTCACTTGAAGCAAGTAAACGTTTCGTAAGGTTGTAACAAGTGATGGAATTATGCTGTCCGATTTGATACAGTGAATCATGGGTCCCACACGATGAAAGTAATATAAAGGTATTGCGATTTACTCAAACGGATTCGTCCTTCCACCCTGGGACGAAGGAATGAATTTCAGAAACGTTTCCATGTCGGAAACAGATACGCACCTGGATCGTGGAACTCTCTCTATCCTCGCCGCAACCACACAACCACTCATGCCACCACCGTCCGTCTGAAGGCACGTCTTTCTGAGCATTACCTTGACGTTCACTTGGAATCATGTTTGTTTGAGGTGACCTCGTTGCAGGCGGGGGCTTATTAACGAGCGGCGAGATACGTGGAGGAGGCAGATCAAGAGGACTCGGGGGTGGATGGCGTATATCAGATGAATTGACTGTTTGTTGGTCCACGTCCGAAAGCTCCTGCATCTGGTACGAGTCTGTAAACGGCGACACTGCCTCTGCAGGGGTTTCAAAAGGATTTTCTGAGGACGGAGCACGGCTGTTGGACGGAAAAGAATCTGGAATAGGAGAAAGAGCTTCTAGCGGCACGGAATCAATGGAATCTCGGGATTTAAGCACAGAATGATGATGACGAAGGTATTTGGAGCTGGATTTAGTCGCTGTCCACAATGAACTGGCACGCCGACTGACGCCATCGACCAATGATGAAGGCGGCTGGTTACTGGGAGCCTCGTGTGTCGTTGCCTGTCGTGCAGCCTTCCGTCGTTGTCGTTCAGCAACCTCCCAGCGCCGCAGGGTCTAGGAGAGCGTCATTGATGAGAAACAAGCATTCTTAGTTAGCGAGAGCTGCTGACCTCCTCAACACGTTTTGTCTCGAATTCATCCTCACGCATTGGCGGGTACGACGAGCCAGACGCCATTGGCTGGTCCGTGTCAGAACTTGCGGAGTCCTCTACGACGTCAGAGTAGTCACTATCGACGTCTCCTGCTCGCTGTTTGCCCTTTCGTCGCTTGTCTGCACGAGAAGACTCGTCCCAAGGTCGCAGACGAGTGAGGTCCTCCTCTTCCGTTGGCGAGGGAGGCAAGGACGGCGGTGCGTGAGGAGTGACCGTCTCCATTGACGAAACCGAGGCCATGGCCGTCTTGACTGTGCAGTGAAGGGAATGCCCGTTCTGGAATCACGCTCATGCCAAACAATATGAAAATTAAGTATTAAAGAATCCAAAAAAAAAACGGTCAACTACAACGTAGTGTTTATTAATCTAAAAGCGTCCATCGTCTCTCCTTTGCGCAAGACCCTCGTCGTAAAGGCTCCCATCGTCAGCAACATGTCGCAAATTTGATGCCTTCGGGCCACCATGCTGGAGAATGGGCTGATGGGAATCGTCGGAATTCCCACCGTCGCGGCTGTACATCGTGCTGCGAGTACTGTTTCCCAGAGACATAATCGAGTTGCGGGCGGCTTCGCGCATCTGAGCGAGACTTTGATGGAAAGCATTCTACCCGTTCGTGAACAATTGATGATCGTCAGTCTCGCGTTTTAACGAACCTGCTCTTTCCAATACTGCATTCGTTTTTCTCTCTCTTGTTCTCTTTGTGACCGATGCAAGAAGAACAATCCAAAGAGTGTACCAAACATGCCTGGAAAATGTGCGCTTTTTTAGAAGAGCGGATATAGGCAATGCAGAAACCTTACCTCCGAAAACACCAATGCATACAATCACATATACCCAAGCACCAAAATGACGTGGCGTTCTTGGGCTTTCGCCACAAATACCAGAGCTGAGGCAGTTGTACGTGGAGCACCTAGGCTGGTTCAAGAAGGAAAATACAAAGCGGTCACCGATACACCTACTCTTTATCGGCGTCACAACTTTGACCGAGATCCTTGTTCTTGATACATATAAGCTGCTGAGAATCGCAGTACAGACCTAAGCGACAGTTACCGCTGAAGAGCTGGTCAGCACATCCGTCACCACCCTTGGATGACGTATAACTGACCGAGATACGATGTCGATGTACTCTTGATTGGTTCCATACGCGATGTAGGCCGTGTTCTCGACCACGCAGGTTCCACCTTCAGTCACGTTGGCCCACCTGAAGATGCGTAAATTCAGGATGTCTAGTCCAGGCGGACTACACTAACATGCAAATGTTGTTGAGACAGACGGATCCATTGACGTTGAGGCCGAGGTTGCTCTCGTCGGCGAGCTCTTTGAAGTTGGGAGGTCCTTCACATTGGTCTTCGAATAGTAAATGCAGACTTTGTCAAGTGCAAGCAAACCGGATGAATTAAAAGTACCATCTCTATTGAGCTGACAAGGGCTGCCAACAGCAAGGACATCTAAACACTGGTCCTGCTCGTCGGGGCAGAACTGGCCGCGAGAGCACTTGGGAGGGAATGAATCAGGGTTCGTATATCCAAAGGGAAAATCGTCCTTTCTGCACCCTTTGTGGGCGCATGTCGAGTTGGAAGCACAGTAGGTCTGAGAATTGCAGTCGCTGTAGAATTGGTAGGTGCCAGCTTGGAGGCGATTGTCGCCCTGGGAGCAGGAATCGCCGAAATTGTTGCTGCCGGCATGGGCAGTAGGGAACACTAAGAGTGAAAGGATCGACAATATCTGCAGAAAGAGCATCGTTGAGACAGTGGGCAGCCACGTGGCCCTGGCCCACGGTTGGAGTATTTTTATTTTTATTTAAATAATTACAATTCACATGACTACACAAACATTATCGCGGTCAAGCCGGCGCACAATTTCGTCCGGCCCGACGCCTCCGCCTCTCGCTCCATTAAGGTGCACTACAAGGACGCCGGAATTTGAGGGGTCCAGCTCTGCGACCAACTGGTGTCTGTACGAATCAGGTCAGTTAAACCTTACAGCGGGGACGCTGACTTACTTGCGCATCACGTTCTCAACAGCTGGCCTTATTTTTGCTGCGCCCCCCTTGGAGTGCAAGCCTTTACCTACGATCCAGGGTTCAACTTGAATGAAACGGTTTGCGTAGTCTGTACGTACCGACGATGAGCCTAATTTCAGAGTCACCTCTTTGCTTCGCTTCTTCAAGGACAATATCTGTACGTGCAATGGCTTCTTTGACATAAAGGCCGTGCAGGTCAATCTCCCCAGGTTTGCTATCCTGAATAACGGAGTTAGCATGTTGGGCAACCGTGGCGCACAACCGGCTTACACGGTTGTTTTCTACTGATACCGTGAGGATGAGCATCAAGTGCAGAGTGGCTAGTATGTACTGACCAACGAAAATCCAATCACTCGCCTCTTTGTTCAACTGTTCCATTTTTTGTTGGTGTTTTTTCCCTTGGCTTGAGAGTTCCTTGGCTCTAGCACCATCACCGCAACTATAGGCTTCATGGCTTTCACTGAAACATTTAGCCATTTCATCCCCTTCTTTATTGGCGCGCGCACGAAGGTCGATGTAGTATTCATTCTGCTGGTTTTTCTGGTTGTCGTCCTGTCGTAGACTTTTCAGCGAGTGATCAAAGAGTGCTGAGTAAGCAACTCTGTTACCTCATGCTTTGGTGGTCTATGTGGTGACGGTGGATAATGTGGGGGAGACGGTTGATGAGGTGGCTGAAATACCGGTTGATGCTGCTCTGGCTGGTGAAATGGAGGAGGAGATTGCTCTTGTGGCTTGCTGGGTTCTTGGGATGATCCACCACAGAATATGTTAAATACAGCCTTGACAACCTTCAGCAGGGCAGACATGTTTATGCAGCAATGTTAGCCGTGCCAGATGGTTGTGGTCAACTATAGATGTTTGTTGATGGCTACATTTACAAACATTCAACTAAATAAACATGGTGATAGTGCGCGCGCTTTTTGAAAATGCGAAACAGGTACAAAAACTTGAGCAAAAGACGATAGTCCATCCACGGCGTCTAAATCTCCAGGCCCACCAAGACAAAAGCAGGATCAACGTCGAATGGAGGTTTGGTCACCACAGATCCCCCAGCGTACATGAGAGAATGGAGGAGCTGACTCAAGGTAGGCGAAGACCTTTCCAAAACGATGATAAGGGCAGAGCATGCCAATTGCTCATCGGCAAGATCCAAAAGGGCAACGACGCTAACATGAGGTCAGCACCAAGTAAAGGAATCCAGGTATTCCTACTCACCTCTCTCGAAGACTAACAGACTGTGCGCTCTTGCCATCGACATACAAGGTTCTCGGCTTGCCCGGCAACTCCAATACCATGCCGCTAAAATTTGGGCCCAGACTTGAGGCGGTGATGGTAACACGTTTAGCGTAGGGCAAGGCCTTCAATCCCTGGAATGGAAAGATCGTCATAACAAAGTCCAGCGCATCCTTCTGGTCGGCGTCAATGTCTGACCCGCTGGCGCTACAAACACTGCCGTCGTCGGGGGTCAGGGGTGGGGTGGAAAGCACAGACGGAGCCCTGGGTATCGTAACGGGAACAGCGGCGCAAGCACGAGAACAATCCACGGTCGTAATAGGGGGCTTGGCATGAGGATAGACGATATGTTTGTTGATATAATTAGAGTCTGAGGAAGATGAAAGGGTAATTGGAGATGAAGAGAGAATCGACGCCGGACTGCCTGTCACACGGTCCGACGACCCTCTGTCTGGAGGGCATTTTGGATTAGGGACGTCAAAAGCGCCACTAAGAGCCGACTTGAGTACCCAGATGCTACAGTAGATGTTAGAAAACTCACCCCAGGTCCACCAGAGAACGTAGTAGAGTAGTAGTACAAATCGTCAGTGCCCTGCATTTGGCAGACGGCAAGCACACTAGGATCGGTGTCGAGAGAGAAAGAAGCCCCATCTCCAACGGTTAGACGACCGTTGCTACAAAGACATACTCATCAATTCTGAACGGCAGTTAGACAGAAAGGAAATAGCGACTTACGTGGGGCAAAGACTAGATTTCCGTTTGGCAAAGTTGGACATGGAATTCAACGACATGGGGTGCCAACTTGGTACGATTTCAGCGGTAAAATTCCTGGCATATAAAAAATGAGTCACGCAGCACAGTTAGAGGAGAATTGAGCAAAACGCACAAAAATATGAAAAGGAGCCAGGAAGTCAGATGGGCGTTAAGGGTTAGGTTAAGGAGCGGTGGCGCTGCCGGACCAAGTTGCTGACTCATCGGGACTCGGCTTGCTCCGGCAAACGCAACTAAATTTTGAAGAACGAGAAGTGAAGGAAGCCTCTTCACCGTCAAAGACAGCGAGCTCAATAAAAGTGAGTCCGCTTTGTCCCAGGGCCCTCGTACTGTCAATGTCTACTCATATCGTGCTTTCTTGGGCCAATTATGAGCATAATTCGGCTGGATGAGCCTCTGTCTGTTTGGATAACGTTGACTAACCAGTCTTGTATTTAGAATTTTCAACAACTACAATGGCTGATGCTCCCAGAGGACGTGGCGGATTCGGTCGTGGGCGTGGTGACAGGGGAAGGGGACGAAGAGGACCCCGTCGTGGCGCTCGCAAGGACGATGAGAAGGAATGGTATGAACTGTCCTCTTATTTACAGACATCCATTCATCTCGCCTCAGGGTTCCCGTCACCAAGCTCGGCCGTCTTGTTAAGGATGGAAAGATCAAATCCATGGAGGAAATCTACCTTTTCTCCCTGCCCGTCAAGGAGTTCCAAATTATCGACTACTTCTTGCCCAAACTCAAGGACGAAGTTATGAAGATCATGCCCGTCCAAAAGCAAACTCGTGCTGGTCAGCGCACTCGTTTCAAGGCGTTCGTTGCCATCGGAGACTTCGACGGTCACGTTGGATTGGGAGTCAAATGCGCGAAGGAAGTCGCAACAGCTATCCGTGGTGCCATCATTCTCGCCAAGCTCTCTGTCATCCCTGTGCGAAGAGGTTACTGGGGTGCTGCTCTCGGTGCACCCCATACGGTGCCCTCCAAAGTCAGTGGAAAAGTCGGTTCCGTCATGTGTCGTCTTATCCCGGCACCGCGGGGAACTGGGATCGTCGCTGCACCTGCCTCGAAGCGTATATTGCAGCTTGCTGGTGTCGAGGATGTGTACACTCAGTCGAAAGGTTCTACCGCGACAATGGGTAACTTCTTGAAAGCAACTTTTGCCGCCGTAAGTTATTAATACTCTTATCAGTGTAACCTTGTGGCTGACTGTTTCACAGATCACCAAAACATATGCGTTCTTGACGCCAGACTTGTGGAGGGATATCCCTGTTTCCAAGCTTCCCTATGACGAGTACAGTGCACATCTTCAACTTACTGCCGGGAAGAAGTAGATTTAGTACTGCTGCCATGTCTACGTGCTGTATTTCTTTTCATGGTTTCCTTCGATCAAGCTCAGTGACGAAAGCGTATGCAATTCGTGAAGAGGATACACAGCTTAATTACATTACAATAAATGTACATGTCTAAAATGGATGATGGGTGGTTCTAAGATCATACAAGACGAACGAGGGTCTGTTCTTTTATGTTTTCTTCCGGGCTGTCTTTCCCCAACCAAGTATGCTGTTGCTGGCTTTCTGCCACAAGTTGCGGACCCGGTCTCTACCCGCATATGCAGATTTGTTGCGCGCTCTCTGTTCGGGGGTGATGTCTATGAAAGATGTCAAACCTATTACGCTGTTGTCCGCATCTTGAACAACAGGACGATGCCAAACCTGGGTCACCGGCCGTTTGGAAATTGGTGGATTGCAGTCCATCTGGCTCCCAGTGGACGGGCGGAGCCCGGCGAGAGGTAAGGAGAGAATGGACTTATGAAACGGTTTTTTGACGTTACTCGATGACGAGGTGAAAAGAGAACGTCCGTGGGCACTGGATCGACCCTTCTGAAATTCCATCGATATCGACCGACCACGTAGCTGGGACTTGGGTTGTGGTTTCGGTTTTTCTGACTGTGACTCAGACAATGGAATGAATCTCCAAGACCGCATTTTGTGGGTAGTTCGCGACGGAGCGAGGATACTGTTCTCAAACCTTGGAGATGTCATCAAGCTAACGACCCGCCGTATAATTCTTGGCATGCGGTTGTGAGCGGATGCCGATGCAGGATTTGTGTGATTCTGTTCATGAGGTAGGCTGCTTTTCGGTGTAGCGTGCGACTCACGGCTCCAAGGATGGACATGAGAGGGCAGATGGGGATCTGTCTTGGATGCTCGATGAGTTTTCTGCCAGCGAGCAGCGCAGCTGGTGTTGACCGCATTGAGTATCAAAGACTCGGGATCTATGCTCTCTTCCAGCTCCTGCAAAAGACCATCCGTTCTCCTGTCAGTAATCTGTAAGGTTGAAGAGAGCAGCGCCTCGTGGGGGGTGCCGAGTTGTTGCTCAGATGCAATTCGGCTCCAGGAACTGTTATGTCGGAATAACCGAGCAGGCACCGTCGTGCAGTGTCCGCTAAACGTGTGCAAGGATTCCGCAAAGGATGGCGAACTTTTCATGCGGCGAATCATGGGTCCAATTGAAGGTGGCCAGGGTAATTCAAACTCGATGTCTTTGAGCGGAGAAAGGTCTGATTCCGTTCCCGTATAAGTGTCCAATGGCGTAGAAACAGACCTACTTGTATCATCTCTTTCTTCGTGCTGGTATTTGGTCTGCACAAGTGCAGGTGTTTTAGGATGGAGCTCTTCTCTGCCGAAGCCAAAGTTCATGCAGCGACGACGCGATCTGCGGGGATCTATGGGGGGGTATCGAAGATCAAGAGAGCAGAAACCGATGCGCTGATCTTCTAATTTCGTCATGGTTGCAGACGAAATTCTAGCTTGAATATCACATCACTGCCTGCTCGCGCTTGGATCAGAAACTTACCTTTTGCAAGTATTTTCCAGCAACATGCCTGCAATGATGTCTTCGTCTCTGAGGTGAGGTGTACCGAGGTCACTGGGGATGGGTCCAGGCCGATGGGGGCTCGAAGCATACCAGCTTTGCTCTGCGGCAGACAACGGCGAGGAAGATGAAGATTTCGGAGATGAAAATGACATTGGGGCAAAGGGAATTGAATCAAAGTCTTGATACGCTAGTGACTGCATGGCCCAAGGAGACGACAGAAACTAAAAACGCCTTCGGGAATTCGAAATACCGTATGTGCCTCCTCGGATGTAAAACGTACCTGTATTCACAGAAACGTAGAATCCTATACAGAAAGGAAGTCGCCTAGGAAAAAAGAGAGAGAAACGCAGCCGTGAGCAATGAGGGTAGCCAAGACCGAAGTGGAGGATTGAACCAAGGAGCGGGGATGCGAGCAACTTGGTCACGCTAGTGGGACATTACTATTTATAGGCTCTATGTGGCGGCACGAAAAATTTACATAGAACGGTATAGAGACTCTCTCAGCATCTTGTATGGCATCGAGCAACTGTGCGGTAACGTCACGGAGAGGCCAATTACGACTGAGCCATGACCATATGCATCCAATGCTTAAATAAAACAACCTGTCTAGTTCAAGATCAGACAGACAGAAGAATTTTGCAATTTGCAAAGGGTAATCATGAACATAAATATATGGATCACAGACTGGTAGTTAATCATAAGAGCGGGGCCTTCAGCTCACCTTATGCAGTCGCACCGACTCCTTGGTACCCATGAGCAGAGCCTTGTGTCTGATCCCCACTAATACTGATCCCCGCCATATGACCCGACAAGGAATAATACGGTGACCGTCCGTATCCGCCGTCCATTTCAGCACCACCCGGGGCGGGGGAACCGGCACCAACGGCGGGCTTTGGTGGTGACGACATTTTGGGCAACACCCACGACGGTGTAGAGGAAGTAGCCACTGGGCTTCTTCCCCCTTCGCTTTCTATGACGGGTTGCTGTTGCTGATCTCTAGTAGGGAAAGGCGATGAAAGCGTCTCCACGGAGCCATACTCGTTTGTCTGCATTTGATGCTGAGATTTATGCTGAAGTGGTTGAGATTCAGGTTCAGGCGCAGGGGTAGCAGGAGGCGGCAGATTGTCCGTCACCCCAGGAACGGAGATGAAGTAAACACCGCCGGCAGGATCTTTCCCACCTTTGGCGTAGTACTGCGCCCACGCTTGCACATTCGGGTCGGAATAAGTCACGGTAGGATCGTAAACATAGGGAGCAGCTACTTGACGACCGTGGATTTGCTGCTGATGTTGCACCTGAGCTTGGGACTGAGGTTGCGTAGCCTGGTCGGCCTGCCGTGCTGCCTGCCCTAAAACTTGTGCTGCTTGAGCTTGTGCAGGTACATGCCCTTGTGTTTTTGTGGACATGTAACTTTGTGCTTGCGTGGGCAAGGCACCTTGCACTTGAGCAGACAATGCTCCCTGAGAATCCGAAGGCATGGATCCTTGCGTCTGGTTCGACATTGCTCCTTGCGCTTGGGCAGGAATAGAGTTTTGCGGTGTCTGAGCAGCTACCACTTGAGCCGGAGGGGATCCCGATTGGCCTTGACCTTGAACAAGATAAGGCAACGGTCCCTGAGGCCCATAAGGCTGAGGGCCATACGCGGTAGCCACAGATTGAGACTGGGGGCCATATGGTCCAGCATACTGAGGGTACGTGCCATACGCGTGCTGCTGAGGTTGCTGATTCCAGGTATAGGAGGCAGGCGCTGTCTGTCCACGAGAGTCCGGACGTGTCGCAGAAAATTGACTTGTGGGTTGATATGCCGCGGTAGGGGGCTGCTCATACATCGCACTGTGACGAGCGAGGCTTTCTTCCATCATACGATCAAATATGGTACGTGCGCGGACGAACGTCTCGTTCATTGATACAAGATCAGCTACCCATACGCGTTAGTCCTGATCTCGGCGGGCAAGGGAAAAAAAAAAGGTATACCTCGCTTTTGACTGTACTTGTCAATGAGCTTAACAATCTTGGGGCGTAAAGCCATACTCGACCGATATAGCTCCTGCGGTGACAAGACTTGTTGACGGTGAAATTGAGAATATAAAAGATACGTACCTGAATCTCTTCGTTGTCTGCAAGGTTATCCTTGGCTGGATCCAGTGATCGCAGCATGTTAAGCAGCTTCTCGACGTTAACAGCTTGGGCGAAGACAGCTGCTTCCTGCTCCGCTTCTTTTCCCAACTCGGCAGCAGTAGGTTCAGGCATTGCCTCCTGTGATGAGAGTCATTGGTCAGGATCCTTCGAAACTACGGCTACGCACCACATAGTTCACGGGGAAAATTCCGGTTCTTCCTTTAAGCTGGCCTCGCCACCAGTCTTTGTAACCACGATCTACCACCTTGATGATATCGCCCTTTTCAAATCCAAGCTCCCCAGGTTCCGTGGGCTCGAAGGTGTGTAGTGCGCGAACCCGGGTGACGATATTGGTTTGTGGAGGTGAGACGGTCGCTGGAGTAGAGGACACTGGGGCAGTACCAAATTGCTGCACTTGTTGCTTCGGTGACGGCGTCCGTGCAGGGGCATAGCCCGACGAGTAACTCGGTATTGCATAAGATGATGATGGTGCTTGGTACGAACTAGAGGAACCGGATGCCCAAGGTAGACTTGGCGAAGAGCCAGATCCACCTGCACTACTTGACACAACATCGTTGTACCGCGCCCACTGGTCTCGTCCGCCCTTGTCTTCCATAGATATTTCGAGGACGCGCTGAAGTTCCTCTTCCTCCTTTCGACGAATTTCATCGTCCACAGTTGGCGGCGGAGGCTCCTGCGGTGTTTCAAATTTGTAATCTGGAAAAAGATTGAATGGAAAGGACAATGCAAAAAGCGTGGTCAATATACTTTTCGCTTGTAAACTGTTGTAGCAGTCCTCCATCACACCGAGAGTGGAATCACTCTCGAACTCTGCTGTCCACATTGCGATTAAGCCTAGAGCCCTGCGACGTACTTTCTCATGTGTTGTCTACATCCATATGAGTATCCGCGGAAGTCAATAATGCTACAGGTGCTTACCCTGTCGGTGATAAGTTTCTCTAATCCCTGAGTAAATGCTCTGGACGCAATCTCCCTATGGAGCTCAATACTGCAGTTCTTAGATAGCGACTCAGACAGCGACAGGGCATATAGTTGTACATTTGGATTACGGTGAGCCAACCTTTTGAGCACAGCAGCCATGACATTGCGTGCCCTGGGGAGGCGTGTAAGCGGTGATATCGCTAACGACAAATAACGCACCCTTCCTGGCCTTCCTCCTGTACTTTGTCGCATAGATTGAGAATAAGCTCCCAATTTTCGCTCGTCAGATTCTCATCTGTCGTATTGGCTGTTAAGGTTGGTGGTCAGGTATGGCCATATGCAAGTAACCAGTATGGAAGTAGACGCACTGACGACCTCATCATATGGATTTGTAGAGCCTCCACCAAACATTTACGAGATTTAGTGCACTTTCTGACAAGGTCAATGTTATAAAGGAAGAGAGGAAGCTGCGGACGTCGAAGATGCGGTAAGGAGTTGCACTCAGGCTGGTGGCTGTACGGATATCCGAAAACAATCCCGTTTTCGGACCAAATATGTGATGAAATTCAGCATACGTATTTTGCCCATTACCTACGAACTAGTGATCATTGTCATTCTCCTTGCGATGGCGAAGAGTGAGTTCACTAATTCACATTCTAGCATGCTGCGACGCTGAAATCGATATCTATAGTCCCACGAAACTTTCGACTACTTGAAGAACTTGAAAAGGGTGAGAAGGGCATTGGTGATGGGTCGTGCTCGTATGGTTTGGAGGACGGCGACGATATCATGATGAGCAACTGGAATGGCACGATTATCGGTCCAGGACATGTATGTCGCGCTTTCCTGCCTGGATGAAATGCTGATCCCCCACAACTATGCAGACCGTGCACGAGAACCGTATCTACAGCCTTAAGATAACTTGTGGCGAGAGCTATCCTGATAGCGCTCCGACTGTTCAGTTCCTATCGAAGGTCAATCTGCCGTTTGTCAACCAGATGAACGGCCTGGTTGATCCGACCAAACTTCCTGTGTTGGCTGGGTGGACACGCAACCACAGTATCGAGAGTGTTCTCGTGGAGATGAGAAAGTGCGCATGCTTTACGATCTCCTCACTGATACTAAGAATTGGCATTGTAGGGAGATGGCATCGTTCCATAACAGGAAGCTTCCACAACCCCCAGAGGGCTCCATGTTTTGAAAGCATATACCAACATCCGGCATGGCCAAGGACTGATTGAAGGGGATGGTTAGGTGGAAGTAAACTTTGTAATTTCTAACTGTTTTGTAGCATTTGCAATCACCCAAACATCTTGTACATTCTGTGCCCAAGCCACTATCATTTGTCTTTATGCTACCGCCGAGTCAACGTGACGAGTCTATAAAACGGCTTGCCAAGCTGCATACTGGCTGGAGATGGCGCAAGCAAGTGAACTTGATCCGGCATTCAGATATTCGTCCCAGCCCTTGGCAACACCGTCCCTTTCCATTCAGTTTCTTCACTAGTATGAGCGGAGGCGGCAGCAAAAGTACTGTCAAAAAGCGGGGACAGGGACGATGAAGCAAATAGATAGATTTTTTCATAAACCACACCAGTACCATACAGACAGGCGCATCATTAACGTGATCTCTCCTACATCTCAGCGGTACTCCAGTAGAGCACGATGAACTGCTCAACAGACGACCGCTTCTCCGAATCGTCAAATTCTAAGCGGCCACCCGTAGCGACGTCTGTGGATACCGTCAGTTTTTAAACTGGTGCTACGCCAGACGTAGGAGGGAGAGGAAAATCGGCCAAGTCAATAGACACACTGCTCGTGCTGGATTCAATGGTGCTCGTACTAGGATGTGTAACCAGTATTGACGGCGCTTGAACATGGAAGAGGCTCGCATTCGTGCTGAGAGATACATATCGAGCTTCTTTGTCGACTGGAATGGTAGAGATAACGACTTCCGGGGTGTCTGCGACCGGACCAAGAGCTGACGCACGTAACACTTCCAATGTCAATAATGCGCCCCGTTGTATCTCCATACTCTGTGTCTGCGCTCTGTGAACTGGGTAGATTTCATCTTCGTGATCCTCGTCTGAAAAGCTGGATTCTGTGGCTACCGTAGAAATAGAAGTCATCGATGAACTCGATATACTTTGGGAAGACAAGCTATCTGCGAAGTCGACTCTTCATGAGGTAATTTCCGGGGTACACCTCTTCTTGACATGCACTGAAGTCCCGCCTGTATAAACATTGCGGTAGCGGTGTTTGCGTCCACATGTGCGAAAGTTGATAGCAAAGGAAAGGCAATGTCAACAGAAGACGTGCGGGAGTGCGAGAGTGTAATATCTTGTTCAACAACCCGAGAGAGCCTGCCAAGCGTAGAAGTATGAGCTTTTGTAGAGAGTTCATCGATACAGCGGGGTGTTGAAGAGGGTGTGGTGGACGGATAGTATGTGTCGTGAATCGCCTTTTCTGAATCCGAATTCAGCAATGCGTTGGTGCCGTTGTTACCGACAAACAAATCTCTTCTGACGGCTGTCTGTTTAGCTTGAATTTCTCGAATGGCAAAAATGAGGATGGCGATGACGGCGACGCTCAATGCCACGGTTAAAGTGATGAAGACGATCTTCTTGGCCGCCATAGTGCGATGAAATTTTGTCTCTATACAGCTTCATTTCAGCCACAGTTCCTATGAGATTGAAAAACATACCGTCCGACATAGAAAATGCAGCAAATGAATGAAGGTACCACTGTCACAGTCACATCGAACATGTCCCATATGTCATGTGCTCGTGAAGAATAACTCCGGAAGCCGGACCGATTCCGAGCATGCTTCGTTTTTTTTCCCCGCGTCGACCTTTGAGACTAGTCACATCTTTGAGACTAGTCACTCCTCCAACACATCGAACTCGTTCGTTCTCAAAAACTGGTTTTATTGCTCCTGATGTGGTAAGAAGCCAGGACCATAACCGGGAAGGGCGGCTGTGGACTTCCCATTGCGTACGACACGACTTGGAAAAGGGAAGTCAGAAGCACGAGTCCCAGATACGTGGAAAGGTGCTGTTTCTCACTTAATAAATCGGCTCGCATTCATAGTACACGATCATTCAGAAGTCTAAACATGCAACTTTGAATAACTCTTCGACGCCACTTTCGCTTGCAATCTTAGAAACTGTCCAGGCAGCCAATCTCGGACGTTCGGTTATTGCAGCCAGTGTATCGGAAAATGACCAACGCAGCGCCATTGCCGACCTAATCGACAAGCTTCCTTCCGAACCAGGAGTGTCCAGGATAATTGTCCTATTCAAAGAAGTATCTACTGCTAGAGATGTTCATACTTTCTTACGGGCCAAAGATACGTGGGCGGTCGAGCTCGTTGATACAGCTGAAGTGTCAGAAAAAGCCCGAACAGCAGATGTGTGCGTCTACCCAGGCTTATGCTTCTCTTCATTCTGACATTAAACCAGTGTATTGATCTCTGGACTTGATACTGTCACCTCTGCACTATCATGTTATGATGTTTATGAATGCAAGTCACTCATTCTTTGTAATTTTGAGCCCGATACAACGTATGTCATTCCCAGAATTTTTCGCATGCAATTAACATAACCTATCTTTCCAGACTTCTCGAGGCACTCGCTAGATTTAATCCAAGAGCAACGATGGGCACTCCGAGAACACATTATATTCCTTCCTCCGAGAGAACACCGATCATCTGCCTAACGAACATCGAAGAAAAGTTAAATTGGAATTACGAAAGGGCTGTCTCTTTCGTCGAGTGTTACTTTCAAACATGGTAAGATTATGTGCTTGTGAAGATGGTAGTGTGTTATTGACTGATGCACCATTTCGCAGGAACATCCCACCAAGTCTTTCATTCTTACCTGCCGATGATGGCGTCAACAACTTGGAGGATAGCTTCTGGACCTATATAGCAGACATCATCTGTAACGTCTCATCTCTCGGCATCAGACTTTCGCACCTAACGCGCATCCTTGTAGCATCATCAGGCAAGGCTGTAATATACACCTCTGATGGTGAAATGTCTCAAGAAGTGCTTGATGGTCTCTACAGAAAAACCGTGGCAGCGCGCGTCGTAAAATCCCAAGCTGACCTCGCCTACGATCAGAAAGTCAAAGCTGTTATAATCTCCTCGGATTCCAGTCAGTCTTGACCCATTCCCTGAAGTTATCCCTGATTTCCTTGATTCCAGCCTTCTTCGAGAGTGACATTACTCCCTGTGGGAATGTCATAATTTTTCACCCAGCTAAATCAAACGAAGAGTATGTCCATATGGTGAGTAAGAACCATGGCAGATTTTGTCGGCGCTGACTGCCACTTCTCCTACCCGAAGCACGCATGTGCCAGAAACTTTGAAAAGCGGAGTGCTCGAATCGTGGAAGTGGTCCCTTCAGGCCAGATGAATTTCGTCTCTCTCAGTGGAATTACTACCACGATACCTATAGATATCCGAGGTTTGTGCAGCCATTTTCCTCCAAAAGTCTAGCTACAGACCGCGTTTAGACATCACACCCGACCTTCTTGCCAAAGTACAGCACGGACACGTGCCTTTACCCGACGAAAAAGATCTTCGTGCCGCGAAATACATACAAGTATCACATGGCGGTGCAGAACAGCGCCTCCGTACCGAAGTTGCAACTATAATACAGGAAGTACCGAAATTCGCAGACGCTGTGGCTCAAAAGCAGGTAGACGCTTACCTCTCGGGCGGAATCAAGTACAAGACAGCCGGGACTTTTGGGACAACATTCTTTCGCCAGCAACAAAGTTATGACTCGAGCTCTGTACAAGTAAGAGTGATTTCAGAGGAAGGTTCTGACACTGAACCTGGTGATGGGCTTCCTCTTGTTGAAGATGTTGAGAAAACTGCTGCCGAGGAGTTTCGCAATGAGGATGAGTATGGGCGGGTTGCTACTAAACAGCAAGATCGAGGGGGGAACTCCAATAAACAAGATAGATATCGTGGCAAGGATTACGGGTGGTCTCGGGCCAACCGTCGGCCTGAGAGAGGAAGCTGGGAACGAGGCAAAAAGGGCCAAGGTTGGGATAAGCAGAGGAGCCCGCCTCGTACCTACGACTCAGACGACCGCCAACCGCCAAAACAGGGCTGGGAAGAAGGAAGGAGGCGGCGATCTTGGAATAACCAGGAGAGACCGCCTCTTACCTACGACTCAGACAATCGTCGGCCGCCGAAACAAGGCTGGGAGGGAGGAAGAAAGCGGGAACCTTGGAATAATCAGGAGGGAACTTCATCTCGTTCTGATGCATCAGAGAACGGTCGGTCGGGATTGCGTAATACAGGAGCGCATGATCAAAGGTCCAGGAAGGAGGGTACGTCTTGGAGCAAATCGGAGCATGGAAAATAGACTGGGCTTTTATATAGATTGAAGCTTGAAGCCTAGCACTTGCCTACTTATAGTTTTAGTTGCTCTGTGTAGCGTTCACTAATAATTACCGCTCATCACGAAAGGCCGTGGAATCGTTGCAACGGTGTTGATACAATACTGTAAGAAGGCTACATATGTAAAGCAAGGTGTATATACGTGATAGGCACTAGCAACTCAACAAAGACCCCAGAATAAATTACGAAATATGCAATGAATGGACGGTGTCGTAGGCCACCAACTGCTGGAAAGTACGCGTACGTATGTGGTAAACACGTCGCGTGTCATTGACATCGAGCGGGATTCAAAATACCTCTAACATCAGGTACCGAGGTGAGGTCAATCAGAAAAGGAATGAGATCCACCAGCTCTGCGTCGTGTGGGTCATTGAACCATGAGGAGACAGGAACCGCGTTGTTAGGATGAAAGATATAAGAGGCAGGGGAGTTATCCAGAATTATGGTATCTGTGATAGCTCTCCCTAATTGAGAGAGGTCCTGAAAGGTTCCACAGGGTTGAGCAGGGTTGAGAGGGACACATATAAAGTACGAACGCACTTTAACGTAGTTACCGTTATGGCTATAACAACTTTCTCGGAACAGGCGGTGGGCCACTGCCTGGTGAATGTCCAATTTATCTAAGACGGGATCGGCATACTGAAAGGCAACGTTAGTTAAGGCAGCGGCAAGGCCTGACAGAACTTACCTTGCTTAAACTCGCCGTGAACACGACGACCTCGTACAGTTCACCCATTTTCTTAAGAAAAGCATCAACTCCTGGCCGTTTCAACACATGGAACTGATGCCAAGTATATTCAATCTCGACGGGGACAATAAAATCAGCGTTTTGCACGGCCTGCTACACTCAGTAATAATCAGAGCGATTACAGAAGAAAAGAGTTAAGTCACCCTAAAGCTGCTATGCACCAAAGTCTCATCAAGGTCGAGAATTAAACACTTGCGTCCGACATGATGAGGAGCTATGGGTGGTAGAAGGGGCTGGGGCATACCGTCCTGAGCGTCGATGAAGAAACGCATAAGCACTGAATATTAAACGAAAGCAAGGCAATATGTACCGGCCCGATGGGTATTCCACATCCGCCATTCCTGATCAGACGATCCTCTTCAACCAGCATATCAATTTGTGTATCATCTCCATCATCGTCCATATAACTAGTGGCTTCTGAATCATCAGTGTCTCTAGTAGGCGTTCGTGCAATAGGTTCTCCGGTAGAACCTGGGGGCTGGACCGCACCCGAGGTGACACCGTCGGTCTCGTCCTGAGGCAACAGATAGACGCTGGGAGGTGGTGGTACGATGACATCGGAGTCCTCCTGTGCTTGAGCCATTAGAGAAGGAGAATCTATGGCTGGGGTATTAACAGGCTGATTTGCGACATCAGAAGGTAAAGATCGGTTGAGATGATTGGGAAATTGAGATCGCTGAGCAGCTAATGGATCGGAGGGTGGCGTATCGGAATCTGGCTGGGGAGCACTGGAATCGGGTACGCAGGGAACGACTCTATGGACGACACGAGAAAGGAAAGATGGTTTTGCGCGTCTGCGACGTGTGGGAGGCTTGATGATGGAAGAAAACAGAGCTGCATCTGACTTGCTGCTTCTGCGCCGATAAAACGGAACGCGATGAATGTTGGCAAGCGTAGTGTTCAGGGATGCGTCGTTGTCTCTATCGGATACAGAAGATTCTGAAGAGAGGGCACTGAGAGCGCTCGAGTCTGTCTGAGGATCCGACTCTGGGGTTAACGTCGCTAAATGAAGATTATATATATTGAGCAATAGAAACATGAAATACAGGAACTGCCAGTACTTCCGGATGCATCCTGCGAATGCTGCAGCGACTGCGACGGAGAATCCTTAGTTTTCAAGAAGAAACGCTGACGCAGAGATGGAGACATGGTGGAAGGAACTGGGGAAGGGGGAGGCCGGGGTGAAGGGCGACGCGTTTGTACATGTTGTCCAAGAGCGTTGACCTATTTGGGGAGCTCTTAGTCAGGCTTTGTCAGGCTCTTACAAATACTTTGCGGTCCTCGAGGGTTCATAAAGAATGATGAACTTTTCAAATCTGTCGAGCAACATTGCCAACACGGTGCAGGGAACTGGTCAGCAGCCTGGTCAGTCGACAAATGGGCAGGCTCTTTCCCAGACTATGCGCCTGCGCGACGACCCGCCAGCTATAACACCGCCATCCCGTAACCCACGGAAACGAAAGTCACCTTCTTCCACGACCCCAGACTCTTCCCAGCCCCAGCCCGTCACTCAGCCCCAGCCCCAGCCCCAGCCCCAGCAGCTCCAACACGTTCTCCCGCCTCCCCATACCATCATGCATCAGCTTCCGCCAGGCGCTATGCCTCCGTACCAGTATGCCGACTACTCGCCCGGTGGAATGCCGCCGCCTCCCCCGAATTCCCAACCTGACCCATCCGGCCCTACGTCGTCAGGCCAGCGTCCCCTCAGCTCCAGCAAACGTGCAGAACAGAACAGAAAGGCTCAGCGCGCATTTAGGGAACGGCGAGACCAGTATGTGGAATTAATGCATTTGTTGAACCACCTGCTTACCTGGATCCAGGCATGTCAAGGCCCTTGAGTCTCGCTCACAGCTTCTCGATGCTGCCTTGGCCTCAGCAGACGAGGCGAATCGCCGTTGGGAAGAATGCCGCGCATTGGTTGACCAACTGAGGGTCGAAAATGCCGCCCTTCGTGCGGCCCTCTCCCAGGCTCAGCTGCTATCCTCTACATCCGTCGCTCAGCAGCCGGAAGAAACCAAGAAGGAAGGGGCATCGGAGAATACCAATGTAGAGTCCAACCAGAAGGAGTAGCCATTCGATTGTACTTGTACTTGCACCCCGATTCTTGTCGAGCCAAGTCTACGTAAAGTCGTGTTGTGTTCTGTTGTCGTACAAATCGTATAACTGTGGTCGGTAGACGCCAGTGGTCGTGAACGTTTTGTCGCATTCCATCCGTCGTCGTGGTTGAAAACAAAACGAAACGATCATGCCAGTGCTAGTTATGTAACCCAAGGCTTTGTCATCGTTCTTCTCAAAATCCACGGGGAAGGGTCTGTTCGATGAGCAGGTAGACAATCTTGACGACAGACCTTAGATCGGTGGCAAAATCGCTGTAACCTTCTCACATTTAATCCTCTTGCACGGATAGTTTGCCTCGTCGACTGCCACTGAAATGTAAATGCTCGACTAGATCCAACAGCCTTGGACGGTACCCGCCAGCCTTGCAAATATTATTTCTTTATCAAAAGTTGCACTTTTCTTTTCATCTCAGGTCATTTCTTGAACCAACCATGTAAATGCCGACATCGTCGCTGGATAAGACGGCAATGAACGGCGCGAGGCTAAGTACATTTGTTGGGTGACATGCGCTCTATGTGTCAGCGGCTTTGTCAGCCACTTCCGTGACCGTGTAGCCTCAGCGCGTCTTGCCTCAAACTCCAAACTCCATCTCTCCATGTCCACTAATCTTACTCCATGGATTCACGACTATTTAAAAGACATTTCTCAACGACTTGGCGTCAATTACTTCAGTACAGTGCCTGCCACCAATCCCAAGAAAGTGCAATTGCTTGCAGTGCGTCGTCGCCTTCGCCTGAATCCAATTATTTAGTCTTATTGGTGGCAGTTCCGTGGCTCCAGGCCTATGGATAATGTCTCGTCGCTCATATGGGCGGATGTGTCTGACAAGGCTTTCACAATTCCTGTGGTGTTCACTACAAAGGCGATAGAATCATACAGACAGCGGTCTGTATCTACGCGGTACTTCTTTAGAACAAGAACGCTGACGGCATAATATCAGTTACCCAATTGACCAGTGTGAAAAGGCAATCCTGTCCATCAAGTCCTTCCGTCCGATTCTTCGGCGCATACCCTTGCGAAGCACTACAGGACTGACAGACAAGGCAGAGCTTGCACTTCAATGCGATACATTCTCCGTTGCAGAAAAGTCTCTGACAGATACATTGGGTCAGCCGGCAGAGCTTGATACCAGCCCAGACTTAAATGATTGGATAAATGTCCTGAGGCGGGCGGGTGGCGGTGGGTCAGCATAGTTCCGCTACAAGACACTCCTTGTGCTGATAACCGTATTAGCAGCACCTCCTCCACCAGCACTATCTCTCAAAAACAAAGCAAGGCCCAGCTGGATGGTCTTGTTTTCGCCCCCAGAGAATGTACGCTTCATAATAAGGCTGAATCGAAGGGTACCCTGAACGATGGTAAGGAGAGGGCCGGCCTTAGGGAGGTGATGTCTGAACACCAAGATGTCACAAAGATAATGCGCGAATACGACCGTTGGTGGTGTAGGGTACATGTGTTTTCCATTCTGATAAGATTTGTGGCTGATGAGCAATTTAGCACCTGGATAGGAACAACCAACTCGAGCATCTCAGAAGAGTCACGGTTAACGCTGAAATACGGCAGAGTGGTGAGTCGTGTCTTCTATAACATGAAGTTTGATGTCATTTCCCGTGTACAGACTTCAATTCCCAACCAGCAAAAGAACGTCAGGATGTTTCTGGTTCAGAATCTTCAATGATTTTTCATCCCCTGACGGACAGTTGGTCTCCAAGTCCAAGGAATAGTCGGACAAAGCCCTTCGAACAGATACGAAAATCTCAGAACCAATCTGTTGTAAAAACAACTGTATCTGCTCAGCGTCCGAAAGCTTCCTCAGGGACAGCGCCAATTCTGACGAAGTTCGCAAGAAAAATAGCAGACTCACTGGACGTTGGTGGCAGCGAACCTGGGGACACGTCGTTGCATCTTTCCTTGCCGACCCGTACGCAACGACCGAAAAAAACTGTCGTCCCCAATCGGATAGTCAAATCGAAATCCCCCTTGCTCAGTCTTGATCGGTCAGATGTAATGGTCAACCCAGAGAACCGTAGTCACATTTACCTGTCCAGTCCTCCGTCGCAAATGCCTTTGTCCAGAAAGTCAGCCACCCAATCGGCAGCCTTCTCCCCGAAGCATTCGACGACGTTTACTGATATTCAGTCTCACAACCTTCCATCCTCATTCACCCTAGGCCATGATGGTTTCTTGTCTTCTCCATCTCCCGGATCATCACATGGCTCTGTTAGTCGACTGTTAGCCGCTGATCGAGTTCGCAAAGTTCCTCCATCTGCCCAACCAAATCATCTCCCAATCAATTCGCAGAGTACTCCCAAGATTTTAGCGCCTAATTCGGATACTTCATCTCAGCCATTTTCACAGTCGCAACTTCAGTCTCAGTCATGGGTACATTCTCAATCCCAATCCCAAGAGTGTCCTCCCTCCCAGCTCCACCCCTTATTTTCTCAATCACTATCACAATCACAATCTGAACTTCATTCGCAGTTATCATACGATCTGCAACCTAACGTCAGCGCCCAGTTCTCAGCCGAAGTCAAGCCACATTCTGAGCCATCTCTGCGACTGCCGCAGCCCTTTTCTCAATCATTTGCTCCTTCTGGGGTTTCACAGCATGCGGATGTTACACAGGCTGTGAATCTGCCCCCGAGATCTGAGCAAGATGCAGGGGATATCGATGAGCACGATTCTCTGTTTTCTGCAGATGATTACGACGATGATTTGTATCGAACACGGTCTTCCACCAGAGAAAATACTGAGAACGGCTCTCTTTCCGTCAATCCTCCGGATACTCAGAACGATATGGATGTGGATGGTTTGTCAGATGAAACGTCGGAATCGGACTTGGAGTCTGATAAGCAATCTTCTATGAAATGTTCTAATGGTCAAAAACATGACGGCAGTGACACAGAGAGCCCGAACACCGGAATTAAGTTGGATTCGGATGACTTCCAGACGCAGACAGACCTCTTTGGCTCTTTACAGAAATCGCAGTTACAGATGGCTGTACGTTCTAGACGGGAAAAGAAACGGGTTTCGTTAGGTTTCGACGATCTCGAGGAACCAACACTATCGGTTTCTTGCTCTCGGGCTAGCATCATTCATCATAGCCCATCTGCGTGGGCAGCTCCTAGTTTCATGCGCCAGACCGTCGCTCACGAATCAGCGGAACCATTAGGATCACGATCGAACTATATCCGCCCCGACGACACGACAAGACAACAAGATAAAATAGTCCTTGGCGCCCCGCAACGCGGCAACCCCCAAAAATCTCGGCCTACAACTAGGATCATCGGAGAAACGCTTGATGAGATATCGAGGACCCGGAAGAAAGATACCATCGCAACAACACGACAAACCTTACCCCGTGAGGATGCCGATAATCAGATGGAAGGCAGCGTGGGCATGAAACGACCATCGGGTAATAATCAGCCCCATCGACCGTTGAAACGGGGGAAAAGGAATGCTTCGCAGAGTATTAGCGCGTTCGGATCCGGCAGTGCCCACACTCACACCAAACTGCTTGGCTTCTCTGTAGCTCTGGACAAGACGGGTCTTCAGAACGTGGTTTCTTGGAGCAGGATGAAGAACATTATTCTTAATACGGGTAAATATCAGTCAGTATTGCGGGAATGAACTTTGACTTTGTACTTTACACTGTTCGACGGTACTCCTCGTGCTCCACTGTTGGTCAAGTGACAGACCTTGCCCCTACGGCGATGCTGTCATTGTCAATGGAAGAAAGGAAAGCGTGGTATTAAATATTAATGTGTGGATGTTCGGGAGTGGGTTTGATAAAAGTGCTGCCAGTGATTAACAATCATGATTAAAATACGAGCTCTAGCAGGCTCTAGTGTAGCAAGTCGTCAAGAACGGCAAGCTCGAGGACCGGGGAAGAGTGATGAACGCTGAGTAGTTAGTCATCTAGAATTTGATCAAAATTGAAGTAATTCCCGTTTAGTCGACTGATTAGTCAGCTAATGTGTATTTGCGACAAGTCACATTTTCTTTTCGGTTTTGGCCGTGTTCCAAGCCTTCCGTTGTCGTCGCCCTTGTTGTCTACGTCCTCAACATCGTTCTACACGTTCCCAACGCATCCTCTTTCTTAACCGGGTCGCCGCTCGCGGCCCACTGACAAACCTGTCCGTCCAAGCTCACCCGGAGAGCCCACTCGCCACCACCGCCGGTTCTACCGGGTTTATCTCGAAATCTCGTCGCAGGGACTCATTCTTTCTTGTCATGAGTATCTCGTTCGGTAGTTTGGGTCTCATGTCCCTTCGCAATCCCTTAGCGGATGCAGTGGGCATCCTTTGGGGCAAGGGTGACATTAGGTCCATGTTTTGGCTAGTCGTGTTTTACATTTTTTTCCTGATTTTGGGTGAGTACTGACATGTATCTCTTGAATGCGCCACAGAGCATGCTTCCATCCTTGTTTTTTGACAAGTTGAAGTGTTTTCTTCACCCCTTTCAAGCTGCACGACCTGCATTACTGATCTGCTATTGTTCTAGCTTATCTGACAAACCCATCGGAAACGTCTTTTCGCACCTTCCTGACTGAACAGTCATTTCGGCAGCACCTCAGTCGACTCGATGATAGCATCGACGACGATCACGATCCTCATGGGACGAAATCTTCGGTTCGACGTGGTGTGAACAGCATCACGCACACGCTCCCTTTTGACAACCGGTCTCCTTTTCATTTCGCTAACCGTGCTTCAGTTTCACTTCGGACACCCAAGCATGTTTTTCATACCTGTGGTGTCTTTACCATTGCAGTAATCCTTCCTACCTCGAAGTCGGATCGTGACCCAGTCGATCGACGTTCCGATAGCATAGTATCGGTCATCTCCGATTCGTGGTACCTAGGGGCCTTTGGAAAGTGGTGGCGCGGCGGAGTGCTGGATGAATGGTACCATAATGTGATTGCCGGAGGTGATGAGGAAAGCTGGAGTTCGGGCGTACTTGGCATGAAGACTTCTGAGAGACATCATGAGTACAATGGTGGTCAGTGCAATTTATTTGTTTCTTGCTACTAGTGTCTGAGGTGATTACAGCTCTACCAGGTCTTCCATTCACCACTAAGAATCTCCCTCCTCATTTATTATCGCGCGGTTCTCCTCCGAGACTAAGGAATCGCGATAAGTCGTCCCAACGGTCTAGCTCACTACCTATCCGCAGTTCCACACCACCACCTCTTCCCAAATCAGTTTCTCTGCCTCTGCACGCGACACGGTCTTCGCAGGTTTTGATGGATCATAGTGTAATAACTCAGCACCCCAGTCAGTCACTGCCATCATTCCCTATTGACCCTGTCAATGCCGGCGCGCAGCTACCTTCAACCTCTCCGTTAACTGTATTCGATCAATCTCCTCATGTCGCAGAGCTTCTCCGCCAGGTCACTGCATCCACATCATCCATTCTGGACCTTCGCAATCAACTCAGTGATTGCAAGATCAGCGCCTCTCAGTCACATACTACTCTTCAAAGAGAATTGGAGTCTTGTCGGGAACGAAAACGACAGGAGGACTCCATGAGAGCAGAGCTGAAATCCAGGACCAAAGCATTGGACGACTCCAAGAGGCAAGCTGAAAGTATGCGAAGGGACTCTGAAAAACGTCTTAAAGCTGCGTTCACTGCTCGTAACGATACTAAACAGCGTATAGAGCATCTTGACTCTGAGATCCTACACTTACAAAAGTGTCTGGTTGACGATGAAGCATCGGTTCGACATAGCAAGGACACTGAGTCGCCAGCGGAGCAGACCATCAAAGTTTCCTTGGAGCAGAGGAGAACAGAAGTCAAGATCGCAGATAATGTTGTCGTGGCACTGAACATTCGGGCTCGCGAATTGGAAAAGCGGCTCACAATCCAGAAGGAAAGGCTACAGTCATTACGAGAGCGCTTTCAATCTCAGCAGCTCACTCGATCTCTTCATCATGGTTTCCATGTAATTGACCCCCCTTCTTCCTCGTGGTCGCTCAAGGATTCACCATTCGACATCATACATTCGGCTACTTTATCTTCGCAAGGTGACTCTTTGCGTGACGACCAGACGTCAGGGCACTCTCCAGAACCTTCTGAGTTGATCATTGAAACTCCTAGCGACCATGTTTTGACTTCTGTTCCGATTCCTTTGCGAGGCAATGCGTACACTAGGATGGAGAGTGATTTGCCATCTCTTGCTGTTCAAACATCGCAGCCCGTCGGGAAATTTGCACCATTCGCAGAATTTGATCCACATCCATCTCAATCCTCTATGGCAGTCTCTCCGACGTCATCTTCTCTAATCCCATCAGGCCTTATGTCCTCCCTTGCACTCGACAATACAGACAGTATTTCGCGGTCTTTCCAGTCAGAGAATGATGTTTTCCTGGACAGGCATTGGCGAAATAATGGTGTGCACGGGCATCGCCAACGGTTACATACGGATGAGCACAGTCCCAAGTACGGGACGATGACAACTTCCTCACCGACATCTTTACATGCTGTTTCCACCAGTGACGCTGATTATGATCCGTTCGAAGTTCGCATGCTGACTCCACGTGAGCGAGAAAGATACTCTTTACGTTCTGAGAGCGCCATGGACATGCAGCGTGCATCATTGTTTCACCGGAATAGCTCATCACCCTCCTTGGTTCACCCGTCGTCTGAAGAATTTGATCCGGCCCCTGGCACTGATAAACCATCAGCTCCTCGTCGTTGGTTTTCTAAAGTGAAGGCTGCAAAAGGTCTCAATCCTGATGCGAAGGTGTTTAGTATTTCCGGATCAGCAGATTCACAGAAACAGGGTCATTTCTCGCAGATCTCTTTCGACGCATTGAATCCTCATGGCCTAGGTGCTAATGTTATGGCGCCCACGTCAGACAGTAGCACCTTGCTGCGAGCTTTTGCTCCTTCGCCAGCAGAGCGTGAGGTCCTTCAGCGCGCATTTGGGGGCTCTACCAATACTAGTCTTGAACGTCTGCCAAATTTGAGCGATGTTGGTAGCATACCTCCGTCTCCGTCGCATGTAAATGCCCATGTACTAACTGTCCCGGTGCACGACAGAATCCCGACGTGGCTTCAATCTTTACCCAGGATTCGTAAGCCTAACTTCAGTCCATGGGATGACGAGGAGCCTTCAGCGAATAAAAAAGTACTCACGTCGGATGAAGGAGGTCATGGAGGTGGTCGGACGGATGTGTGAGCTGGTGATTTCACGGTGGTTATTTAGAACGGTGGGTGTGGGACGAAGACTCTTGTGTGTATCAAAGTAGTTCCATTCGCTATGAGTGGACAAAGGAGGGCATTTGGTCCTTGATGTTTATATAGCAATGAAATCGTATCCGTATCATCTGCGTGAGTCCATTACTCAGTTCCTCGAAACTTCGTCCAAAATGTGTGTATTTCTGTCATCATAGCTCTCATACCAGGTTCGTCAATACAGCATGGATCATCTGAGCGATAGCAATGAAATGACCTGGTAAGACACGACTGAACAAGGCATACAGCCGTTCGCAATAAAGGAAAAATTTTGGATATTGGCGTTAATGGGCTCACAAGTCCGTGGATGCGTAATGTAGAATAAAATAAAGATCAAAACAAAAAGAGCGTGTACGAGCCTCAGTGTATTCGTTACATGGTTTCTGAACATGGTAACGGTTTGAAAGCAGATGGTGCAACAGTGGTAGGAAAAGGTGATATGGATTATGGATTTGCTTGCGGGGGTATAATGAAGGAGTATGACAATGCACCAAAGAAACCGCGAGAAAAATGAGAAGAGGAATCACAAGCGACACTTGATCGGCATGTTCCCAAGACTTTAGCGGGCACCGTCCAGGACGCCTCTCACGTCGTCCACTGTACCAAGATCGGCAAGGAAAGGCACAAGATCGGTAAGCTCTGTGTCGTGTGGGTCATTGAACCACGATGACACTGGAACGGCATTGTTGGGATGAAAGATATATGAAGCGGGCGAATTGTCGAGAATGATGGTATCGGCTATTGGTCGGCCTAGTTGCGACAGATCCTAAAAAAGAGTGGTCATAAGTGGTGTATCGAAAATTTTGGTATTACCTTACCTTGACATAATTGCCTCTGTGATTGTAACAGCTCTCTCTGAAAAGACGATGCGTTACAACCTGATTGATGTCTAATTTGTCCAACACCGGATCAGCATACTACGAGAGTTCAGAAATCAGCGGTTACACCCTATTCAATTACTCACTTTACTCAAACTCGCCGTGAATACTACCACTTCATATATCTCCCCCATTTTCTTCAAAAAACTGTCGACTCCGGGTCGTTTGATCACGTAGACGTTGTGCCAGTGATACTCGATCTCCACAGGAACAACATAGTCAGCTTGCTGTATCGACTACACCAAAACGTCAACATCGGAGCGAGTGCAAAACGTATGAGACCTACCTTGAAGCTGCTATGCACAAGTGTTTCGTCGAGATCCAGAACAAGACACTTTCGTCCGACATGTTGTGGTGCGATAGGTGGTAATAGAGGTTTGGGAACGCCATCCTAAAGCCAGTAAAAATTCATCGTACGCAAAAAAGGCCAATAACTTACGGGACCTATGGGTATACCGGCACCACCATTGATGATCAACCTTTCCTCCTCATCCTCCAATTCATCGGCGTTATTGACATCGTCCATGTCTTCGTCTTCCGTAAAGCTGGTACCCTCGGATTCATCTCCATCACCACCTCCAGCAGTCGGAACGGCAGAATGCCTTTTGTTTATTGTACCTGTGGCTCCAGGTGGGACAACAGCACCAGAAGTCATACCCTCGGTCTCCGACTGGGGAAGTAAATGTGTCGTTGGTGTCGGGGGTAAGATGACCTCACCATCAGGCACTCGTGGAGGAGGGCTGGTATCCAGAGGCGGGAGATCGCCTGTAGACGCTTCCTTTGTATCCTGAGTGTCTGCTGGCGGATCGGCTTTAGGTAGCGGTAACGTCGACGGGACATCGGTAAGGGTCTGCTCGGGAGCCTTCGCTTCAGGCTTCTCTCGTGACGAGGGCAGGGGAACCGAGGGGATATCAATGTCGACAGACGCGGAATGAGGGGAGCTGGGGATGCAGGGAATAATTTTACGTATGAATCTAGTGAAAAAGGACGGTTTAGAACTCCGTTTGCTTTTGGATACTTTTGGACCCTTCGCGCCATTGGAAGGTGAAGAAACAGGACCCTCTGTTGTCGATGACGCCTGCGCTTTACGACGCGATGTGGCACCATGAGGATGAGTGCCGGTCAGAGTCGTCGAAAGCGAGCCATCCTCAGGCTTCTCAGGCTCTTTGTCGTCGGTCGTCGCAGCATCTACATGATTCGGAGAGACGACCTTCGGTTCTGCCGGATTTTGCACTGTCGACGAGGGAACCTGCCCTTGTTCGTCGCCTGCAACGGCGAGATGTGACACTACAGCATCATCAGACTCAGATACAGCAGTGATACCATTGGCACCATGAGATGGACTGTCGACCTGCACGACACGCCACGGACTCTGAGCAAACCGTGAGGGCGGGGCCAGTTGGAGGGACATTACCTTGGTCGACGACGACGGATCTGACGACTGCGAATCAATTTTATCCTGCGCCGTAGGAAAGTCAGGCGAAGGCACAGAGGGCGCGGCCATAGAGTACAGAAAGAAGGAAGATGCACGCTAGCGCCGAAGAAACGAGGCACGCTGCCATTATGATTAGGTAATCGATTTTCACACGATACATCTAGTCTAGTACTGCATACTTCTTCAAATGTTCAGGTATCGAGTCCGACAATCCCTTCGTTTCCAGCCACTGTTTTGAAAAAAGACGACTTTGATATCTATAGGCTCCGTCACAGAGAATAGTGACGACTTTTGAACCTGGCAAAAAAAAATTAGATGCGTTCGAGCACAAAGGACGATCAATACCTTTGCCGAGCTTTTCTGCAAGCTCTACGGCAGCAACCACGTTCAAAGCAGAACTGGCACCAAGATACAGACCCTCAGTATCCAAGAGATCGTAAAGCATGGCGATGCTCTTCGTATCTAGTACAGTGAAGGCGCCTGATAGCTCATTCACAAGGGTCCCCAGGTTGTTAGTAATCCTTCCTTGACCGATGCCTATACATTAAGCATTGAGTCAGTGATACGAAGTGATATGACGGGAAAGGCAAACAACCTTCAGTGATGGAGCTTCCAGTTCTTTCTGTAAGCTTTCCTCCACTGCTGACATAGCTGGTCAGGACGCTCCCCGGAGGATCAGCCAGCCAGATTTGAGTTTTTCCCCCACTTTTTTCCTTGAGATACTTGCCCACGCCGGCTAACGTGCCGCCTGTACCCGTCGAGCAAATGAATCCGTCCAGGTCACCACCAGTCTGCTCCCAGATCTCGGGGCCAGTAGAGACGTAATGTGCGTTGGCATTGGCAGTATTATCGAACTGGTCTGTCCAGAGAGCATTCGGAGTATCTTTGGCAAAATCGCGGGCTTGGTGGTTATAGTTCTTGGGATCGTCGTATGCTACTGCAGGCACAGGATACACCTCGGCTCCAAGCATTCGTAACAGGTCAATCTTTTCCTGACTCTAGACTGGAGATGAAAGAATGACTGTATTATCATTTGCATAGAAGGATATACCTGTGTGTTCGGCATGAAAATCACGCATCTGTAGCCTCTCGCCCGACAGACATGGGCCAGTCCAATACCGGTATTACCTGCTGTACCTTCGACAACAGTACCGCCCGGCTTCAACCTTGATGCGAAGATCGGTAAGTATATACGCCTCGAACCAAGCACGATACTTACAGACCCCGCCGCTCAGCATCTTGGACTACACCTAGTGCGGCACGATCCTTGACGCTACCACCGGGATTCTGGAACTCGGCTTTGCCAAAGATACTGGAGCCAGTTCGCTCAGAGAGTGTTTTCAAGTAGATCTGGTCATGCTGAGTGAGTGAGAAGCCGGAACGCATCGAGCCCGTACTAACCAATGGGGTATTACCAATGGCCCCCACGAATCCGTCGACGGTACTCATGGTGAAGGGGCGACGTATACTCGCTCTTGCAGTAGAAAGCATCGAAGAAAGAGCTGGTGAATGCACCTGCCGACCTCGGACACCATTTTGAAAGATGTAGCACAAAGCACGACATTTTTAGATAAGCTGCCTTCCGAGTCTAGATCATGCGATATTCAGAAAATAAGACGACCAAAATGCAGGATTTATGCGACGTTCCAAAAAAATCTACATACAAACAGTTGATATGAAGCGCTGAGTCGACTAGGCAACGGTATGGCATTAAATGTGTGTAGAAACCGCCCAGATGAAACATGAAAGAGATGAAAACATAGAAATTGAGATGATAACAGCTGGAACGACAAGTAAAAAGGGCATGAGGCTATGAATGAACATCCATTCATCCATACATTCATACATCGCTATGTCGTAGTTGCACCTCGTGCAGGCCGTGAGTAGTAATGGCAGTGTCGGAAGGCAAGACATGAATTGTATGGGTATCTTGAGGGGCATTTCTAAGAGTGAAAGAAGAGGGCCAGGGGCAACTACTGTTGGCGCTTCTTGACATTTTGTGAAAGCCACTGAAGACCTTCAAAAAGACCTTCGCCGGTCGTTGCACAGCTGGGACAAACGTTAACATGTGCTCTCGACGAGGTTGCTATACCTTGCCTACCTTGGATGAACATACCACGACCTATCCCGCATTCGGTGTAGGCCGAGTTTCTCAGTAACTTCGGCGGGTGACATAGCTAGGGAAGCATGAAAATGTAAATCATAGCGGGGTCCAGTTTCAGACACTACACACCTCCCGGAAGGTCCTGCTTATTGGCGAATACAAGCAAAAGACATTCCTTCATTTCCCTGTCGCTTAATATCCGGTGCAGTTCTTGCTTGGCTTCGTCAATTCGCTCCCGGTCTTGGCTGTCGACAACGAACACCAGACCCTGTGTGCCCGTATAGTAATGCCTCCACAATGGCCGAATCTTGTCTTGGCCTCCGACATCCCAGACGTTAAATTTCACATTCTTATAAGTCACCGTCTCTACATTGAATCCGACTAGAGAAACACCGGGGGTTAGAAATGAGTCAAGACCACGGAGAACGGTTGAGGGGCGATGACACATTGTCATCGGGATAAAAGCGCACCTGTTGGTATAGTGGTGACAGATTGGTTCAGTTTAAGTTTGTACAAGATAGCTAATGGGATTGTAGCATTAGAATTGGGCAGGCTAGTATTCGCTCTGCACTCACTTGTCTTCCCAGCAGCGTCCAACCCCAACATCAACAATCTCATCTCCTTGTTCCCGAATATCTTCCCTATGAGAGATTGAGAGTCCAATGAACAGAACGCCGAAAATTAATCGTCAGTACTGTTTCCTTGTAAACACAGCAGGGGCATTCTCACCCAATGCCTTTGAGAGATTGGCACCCATTATAATTTCTTTGGATGGTTTCAAAAGAAGAAAGTAAGGAACGACGTAAGGGCGGATAGCGGCCGCAAGCAAGGAGATAAAGTAGTGGCAAGAGAAGTTTACCCGATAAACCAACAGACGGTTGCTTATGCCGTGACAAACAACTGTCACATTCAGGCGATTCAACTTCTGGCTGCCCAACACCATTCTGGGTAATTAATAGGTATACCAGATTACTGTGAATAGATAGATAGTCATGTATTAGTACAAAGGAATGGCAAAATCCAAAGTGCTGCTGTGTTCCAGGTGAATAAGAGAAAACGATTGCTAGTGCTGCAAAGAAGGTGGAGTCATGGCTTTCATCTGCGTTTGACTAAAGACCTTCAACCACCCGTCACCCATATCCTTCTTCAATGCCTCAATCCTGCGCCTGTAAGCATCTGCGTTATCCTTGATCTCCTCCCCGCTGACCTCCTCTCTATCTGAACCCAAGGTAGCAGGTTCATATACAGACGCAGTGACACGGGCACGACGTACTGCCGATTTGAAAGACAGTGTCTGTGGCTCGCGTGTCCGCCGAAGAGACTGTGAGGTGATGGAGTTGAGAGACTTGGATTGTGTTGTTGCAAGAACATCCGGGAAACCAAATGATTCGGCTGGAGAGACTGGAGCCAGCTCAGTGTGATGGCGACTGTGCCTTGATGGGCGAGTGGGCCGCTGTGGTGAAGCCTGTACGCTCGATGATTGTGCCTCCTCAGGATGGGGATTGAGGTTAATATTATCTCCTGCCACGGTTTGACCCTCCTCTTTCTCCAAGAGTGTTTCAATCTGACTCCATTGCTTCGTCGGGCCGAAAGGGTTTGTGTCTCTAAGCTTCTTGGATTTGGCCTTCGCCTTACTCGACCCATCAGATCGAGTGCGCCGATGAGAGAAGCTCGCCGTGCTACCATCACTAATGTCCCCGTCTAGATCGACTATCCGTTTCACTTTTTTCCGACGTGCCTTCCCTCCGACACCTACAGCTCCTATGGGGGCAAGATGTGGAGAAACAGGGGTTGAAGTAGAAGGTGATGATTGTTTTTCAATGCGAGGTGCTGTGTTAGGCGATGAATGATGAGAATGAGGGTGGGCATGGCCAACAGCAACAGTCGGTGGCGAGTGTACTACGGACAGTGGACGAGACGATGACATTTGCTCTGGGGGTGGCATAGTTAGGTTCCGTTTCTCGTAAAAGCTAGGAAACGATCCGTCAAGGATAATGCTCTTCCCTTCTTTCCAGAAGAAGTCAAAACAGGAGATCCTGTATCCTTCATCCTCTGTAAAGGGATTGCCTTCTACCCAGACTTCGGTAATGTTAGGTAGAGGTGCCAACCTTCCGATCTCTGCACAATCGTCAAGGGAGTTGTGACGTAAGTCGACACGCTCCAACCCATGCAATCGCTCCAACCCACATATCGATTCGAGACGATTATGAGCAAGGTTCAAATGAAGAACTTGCCCTAAATTGTGATAAATACCAAGAACAGAGTCGATCATGTTATCCGAGAGATTGAGGGAGACAAGATTGTAAAGGGAACCGAGGCCAGAGGGGATGGATACAAGAAGATTTGAGGACAAATCCAAGTGGACCAAAGATGTAAGATGGGGTATTAATTCCGCTGGAAAGAAGGCCAAGGCATTGTCGGCAAGGGATAGATGTTTAAGAAAAGCCCATTTAAGGGAGGAAAGCTGGGGCGGCGGCGTGATAGTACCACTGTGAGGCTCAGAAGAAACTTCATGGTTAGGGTTCTCACCGCCCTCGTCCTCAGGCACGGAGTTTGGCAACTGAGTGGAATAGAAAGATGTCCTTCGTTCCGGCCCACGAGGGATCCTTCTATGCCGCTTCCTACTGGTGCTTCCATCTCTTCTAGCTTGGTCGTCAAGTACCGCCCCGATGAAAATGTCTGATATGTCCTCAAGCCCACTCTTCTTTATCTTCAAACTGCACAGACTTTCAGCAAGCCGATCCCACCCAAGCAATGCACGAGGATCGATATCAGCACACTCCAAACTCTGCAAGTTCTTGAATGAATTGAGGGGGATAGCATTTTCATTAGAAGACTCGTTTGCGAGCTCGGAGATGATTTTCCGGCCCGGGGCAGTGACGGATAAGGCGGGTAGCTTGGTGAAACTGCTGTAGATATATTTGAGCTCAGATTCGAGGGTCAATGGTTCCGGTTTCCCCCACCATCCACCCCCAAGAGAAAAGGCTGATACAGCGGACAGAGAGGAGCGAAATGAAGCCAGGGAAAGGGTTTCAGATTTGTCGGTATCGGGGAAGAGGTTTCTGTAACTCATTGGCCTGGAAGGAGCATCGACACGGACATCCAGGGTGCCAATATCGATACCAAGGGCCTCTATGCGCATGAGGAGATAGAAGAGATGGTGGGTGTCGATGGATAGAATGATGGGTTTGACTGGGGATGCAGCGGCAGGGTCAACGCCAAACCATCCTAGTGGGTTGAAGAGAGAAACTGTATCCTGAGCAGGCTGGCGAGGTCGACGTCTGCGAACAAATCCAGCTTCGGCCAGGTTCTTTTCATTATTACGGATGAAGCTGGCTATGCGTCGAATGTAGTCATCGCCTTGTTCGAGAGCCATTGTATTGGCTGTCTAGAATGCTGCAGCGACCAAATATCAGCTATATACACCAGAAGAATGTGCATAAACGTACAGAAAATAATGCTGGGAAGTGGATGGGCCAGCGACATCAATACATGAGGAACTACGACGATATGGACCACATTGAGTAACCCTGCCGAGTAACCTGTATATTGTAACGTCACGCAAGACTAACGTCAGGTCACGGTCACGTCCTATTACGCGTCGACCTTGCCCAATAATCCTGTTTCCGTACTACATCCTTCCATCCCTCGCCATCTGCTTCTCTACCTACTTTCAGACATGAAAGTAACCATAAAGACGACCCAGCAGAAGGTCTTCCAGGTCTGTTTCTCGCCACTGCCTTCTTTGCCATCGCCATCGAACTCTTCTCTAGATTGACGTCGAAGATGAAGAGACAATAGGTGCTCTCAAGAACAAGATCCAGGAGGCACAGAGTCACCCGGTTGCGAGCCAGAAAATCATATATTCAGGAAAGTTATCTGCTTCATCGCTGGCCCCTCCTGCTCATTTCATGCGCAATCGCAGGCAAAATATTGGCCGACGATAAGACTGTAGGATCATGTGGTATCAAAGAAAAGGACTTTTTGGTTTTGATGGTGTCCAAGGTTGCTTCTTTTTGTCTCTACTGTTAGATGTTATCGATTCTCGTTTGCTCAGCCTAAACCGACACCGACGCCTATGCCCCCGACGGCATCATCCAGCGGCCCCACAGCGGGCCGTACTGTACCCCCGACGGCAGTGGCTCCTGTGCCGGAAACGATGCAGCAGTCTGCTCCTGCTCCTGCTCCTGCTCCTGCTCCTGCTCCTGCTCCTGCTCCCGCTCCTGCTCCCGCTCCAGCACCTGCGACTTCCGCACCGTCCCCGGCCGCCTCCGCCTCCCCCCCTGCCTTTGGCGATTCGAGCTCTTTTCTTACCGGAGATGCACTACAATCTACGATCAACAGCATGACTGAGATGGGATTTCCACGGGATCAAGTTCTACGTTGCCTCAGAGCAAGTTACAACAATCCTGATCGTGCTGTGGAGTACCTTATGAGCGTGCGTTTCATTACTTGGTCGACCTTTCCTGAGTTCACCATTGCATGCAGGGCATCCCAGCTCATCTAGAATCGGAGGCCGCGGGAAATGCCCCTACTGTGCCTTCCCACTCTGCTGGTACCCCGGCTACTGCTCCGGCGCCAGCCGCCACTCCAGCTGCTTCCGCTCCGCCGTCAAATCAGCCCCAAAATTTGTTCCAGGTGAGCTCGAACAAGTACGTTTTGTCCTATAGCAACTTAATAACTATGCCTCTTAGCTTGCCCAGCAACAACAGCAAGCTGCTGGTGGAGGCAGCACCGGAGGTCTCGGAGGAGCCCAAGGAGGTCAATTGGACCTCGCTGCTCTGCAGAACAGCCCTCAGCTTCAACAACTCCGCGAACACATCGCTCAAAACCCCAACCTCATTCAACCTCTGATCCACCAGCTTGCTACGAGTAATCCTACCCTCGCTCAGCTTCTGGCCCAAAACCCAGAGGCATTGATGCAACTGCTTGGCGTTGGTGAGGGCGATTTTGAGGGTGATAGCGAGGGCGATATTCCACCAGGTGCCCACGTCGTCAGCGTAACGGAGGAGGAAAGAGCTGCAATCCAGCGTGTAAGTCAATAAAAGTATGGTTTAGAGTCCTATAACTTATTCCCCCCAAAGCTGGAGGCTCTCGGTTTCCCTCGTCAAGCTGTCCTCGAAGCTTACTTTGCGTGCGACAAGAATGAGGAACTTGCGGCGAATTACTTGTTTGAAGGTGGATTTGACGATTAAATAATAATAGCGACGTTGTGTATTCTTACTTGTCTGTCTCGTTTTCCGAATTTATTAATATAGCCCTCGTGTAAGATAAGTAGGAAAATGGGACGACCAACCAATTGAGCTTGGAGTTGCGGAAGCACGGACCGTGAACGGAACGCTACTGGTTGTCTCCACTTTGCTTCCGCCAATGTAACTGGCCCGCACGTTCGTTGGGTAGCTGATAGCTACCTTTGACTCGTGCGCATTCTCTTCTATGATTGGTCGAACAAAAAAATCTGCCCTCCTTTTCGTTTATATAAAATCGCTGGGGACTGCTTGAACGGAGTTGACCTTTCTTCGAAATGCCCTCCATACTGTCTGTGCCCTTCCGCCCTGACTGGACTTTCTCCTCTGCGCCGGTTATAGCTCTTACTTGCATAATCGTCCTTTTCTGTCTCGGGCGATTCACTGCTCAGCTACGTTTTATCTGGTACTGCTTCATTCGCCCCATTGGTGCCAATGACCACAAGTCCAGACTGGACAAGGTGCAATACATTCACTGCCTCAACTATGTTTGCACTTAAAATATCTACAGTTCTACCAAGGTCAAGCAGACGTGTATGATGCTACTCGTAATGGACTGCTTCGAGGACGAAGGACCTTGCTGAACCTCTCCGCGGCACATCTCAAGGAACTGAGGAAGTCTGATCCCGGTGAACGGCTGGTGTGGGTCGATATTGGCGGCGGTACAGGTGAGTGTCATTCAATCGTTCATTTCTTCTTTTCTGTTCCTATCTCACTAATAAATCCAGGATCCAATATCGAACTCATGGATGAAATTTTCCCCATCTCCGAATTCGATGCCATATATCTCATCGACCTTTGTGAGCCCCTTCTTCAGGTCGCAAGAAGCAGGTTTGCCAAGCGAGGCTGGCACAACGTCACTGTATTGTGTCAAGACGCTTGTGACTTTTACCTTCCAGAGTGGTCTGCCAAAGGCGTCAACCCGCAGGGTAGCGTTAGCCTCGTCACGCTCAGTTATTCGTTATCTATGGTATGGATCATGTCCACCTATATGTGTGTCGTTGCTGATAGACCCCTCAGATCCCCAATTTCTATACTCTTTTAGACAGGATAGATCATGTCCTCTCACCCCAACGGGGCCTGATCGGTGTCGCAGATTTCTACACCGCTGGTAAGCAGCCATTGCTTCATGAAAAAGCTATTGGTGGTGTTAGTAAAGAATGCGGCTGGCTTTCCCGATGGTTCTGGCAAATTTGGTTTGATTTTGATCACGTACAACGATCTGGCAATGTTCATGGAAGGGTTCTAACGAGTCTCGCTCACAGGTATCGCTCAGTCCGGCCAGACGCGCTTATCTTGAATATCGTTTTGGGACGGTTCGTCAATTATCTCATCAGAACACTGAGGCCAAACAGAAATTCTTCTAGATCAAGAGCTATAACGGACGCAATCGCTTCATCGTTCCCTTCATTGTCAGAATGTAAGCGTTTTACTTTTTCGTTCCTCGCTGCCGTTGCTCAGTAGACCCTGCAGACCCTACTATGTCTGGCTAGGACGACCTCGTTCGTGTGACGTCTCAAGGTTCTGCCATGCTTTTGAGGTCGAAGGTGGAAACATGATTGGTAACTGCTCCCCGTCGACGTTCGTTACGCTGAAAGAGACCGACAATGCCGTTCCTCCGCTGGAGATTGGAGAGCCTGCCATTTCTTTGGACAAGGAACAGACATCGAGTAACCAGGACATGGTCATTGATGTAACGCCTCCTCTGAGCTCCTTCCACTATCAGTTAAAGAAGGTAAGTAACATGACAACTGTGTTCTCTTGTTACGTTATAAATCTCGTCTCAGCCTTGGAGGTTGCCCTATTATGACCATCCGGTTCACAAAGAGTTCAGAACATTTATTTACTCTTTCACATGGGTAAGTCATTTCTTATAGGTTTTATTAGTTTGAAAGAGTATCTCCGCATAATTAGGAGGACCCATTTGACGATATGAAACATCTGCAATTAACCAGTGAGGACTCGATGTTTGTCATCACATCCGCTGGCGACAACGCACTACACTATGCCATAGCCGCAGGTCCGAAGAGGGTTAGCTTTTTTTGTGTTGCCATCGTTTCTGGCTCTTAACAGCTATTTTAGATTCATTGCGTGGATATGAACCCATGGTAAGTGCGGGTCACCCGAATTCATCGGTGCTTCGTTGAAATGCCCCTTCCTTCAGCCAGGGACATCTTCTCGAGCTCAAGTTGGCGTCTATACAAAGTCTTGGATATTCAGATTTCTTCTCTATGTTTGGAGAAGGCCGGAACGTCAACTTCCGTCACCTTTTGGATTCCAGAATATCTCCTTACATGTCCTCAAGCGCATATCAGTTTTGGCAAATCAACTCTGATGCGTTTTCTTCATCATTTTACCTTAGCGGATACAGTGGATGGGCGCTGAGGGTTGCCAAGGCAATCTTCAAACTGGCTAGGGTTGACCAAGATGTCAAGAGGCTATGTGAATGTGATACATTGGAGGAGCAGGTCAAGATTTGGAAGGAGAGATTGAGGCCAGTTCTCTTGAATCCGTTGGTTGTGGCGCTTCTGCGAAGTCCGGTCTTCTGCTGGAATGCGCTTGGTGTACCTATGAATCAGCGACAAATGCTTCTTGACGAAGGTGATGGAGACCTACGCTGATATGATTCAGAAGGGACTGATGCTGATATGTTCTATCAGGCAGCGTGTATGAATATGTGAAAGACACTTTGGACCCTGTCGTGTCTACGTATCTCTTCAAGACGTACAATTACTTCTATCTTCTTGTGAGTGTCCTGGCGGTATCTTGCTTTATTCCCAATGCCAAGCAGTATATCTTTAGGCTCTGTTGGGCCACTATACCCCATCATCATGTCCGGCTTATCTGACGCCCTCTGGGTTTAGTGCGCTGAAAGCCAATGATGGCAAAGCGTTGGATGCATTTCGGTTGCATACTGATTCTATCGTGAAGTATGTGATATCTCTTCGCCGTAATCCGGATGAACTGATTGTGCATAAGTGTCCTGCGCGGTCTTTCTTCTGATACCCTCACACGCGCGCTTGTCATGGATCATTTGGACTGGTTCGCCCCGGGGTCTCAGGATGCAGACAAGGAAATCGCTGAGCTGTATCGCGTGATGCAGCCGGGTGGGTTGGTTTTCTGGAGGTCAGCTGCGAGAAAACCTTGGTACAACGAAGTGTGAGTGTGGCCGAACAATGGAGTAGGTTCATGGCCTGATATCTCTAGTTTCAAACGCTCCGGGTTCGACGTGACGCCAGTGTCAATAAGAGGCAGTCCAGCACGGAAGGCAATTGATCAGGTCAATATGTATGTATACAAATTCTAGACCTATTTAGAACGCGTCCTCATGGTTTCTCCTTATCAAGGTATGCCTCATGCTGGAGGGCGATGAAGATGGAATAGCGGACCCGTAACTAGTAACCCCGGGTACGGGACCTGTACGTTACGAGTACCTGACCTAGCTCAGTTGTATAGTATACGGAGATGACGCGGAGAATGCTATTTACGCTTCCAGTGCGTTGGCAAGCGTGATGAGAGAAGCATCACCAGATGATGGAGGAACCAGGGCCGGCAGGGGAATCACAAATTATTCGCCACAGGACCTGCCAGGCTGCGACCTTTGCAGAGCAGTAAATAATACGCGTTAACATTGGAATTGATGGAAATCATCAGTTTGGTGGACTCCGAGTCCACGGTGGAGCGCTGCGCCGTTGGCACGCAGCAATGATGCGACGCACGGACCACTTCCGTTTTGGCGTGCACCGCCACCCAGATTGTTTGGTTACGACGGCTTGTCCTCCCGTATTATTCAAGGATCGCGCTCTTTGCTGAGCTCCTCGAGCTCGACAGTCTCCACGGTGACTTGCCCTCCTCGACATTCTCTTGTATTCTGCTGCGTTTCCCTCTCTATCTCCCGATATCATAGTGCCCAGGCGGTCTCCTATCTATCGCTTCTTCTCTCCAAGTTTAGCCCCTTTGGCCTCGCCGTTCCATTATCATGCTGGCCACAATGAACATATCCCAGTCGACGGCTTCCATTCACCAGAATGCCCATATTGATCTTCAGTGCGACCATAGCGAACATATCGACTTTGACAAGATCTGTCCTGGCTGTAAACTTTCCGTAGTGACAGACGACGGTGGTTTGGTGGTGGCATTTGGGTACGTGCCGACTTGCAATTTCCATGGTTTCTCCTCTATTCAGCTCTTCTACCTGCTGCTGGCTTTCTTCAGTTATAAATCACTATCTTTTCCTCCATGCTGATCTATCGTTCTTCTAGGCAATCCTTCTTTCACGTAGATTGTTTCAAGTGTGCCAAGTGCGGAGATAAAGTCACCGCAGACACGAACCTTCTGCTCCTTTCTGACGGTTCTCCTGTATGCGCCAATTGTTCATACAACTGCAATGTCTGCAGACTGCCCATCCTCGACGAGGCCATTATGACCGGTGACGACTCTTACCATGCACACTGTTTCAAGTGTAAAGTATGCAAGAACCGTATTGATGAACTCGTTTTTGCGAAGACCAGCCAAGGGATTTATTGTATGGATTGCCACAGTGAGCGGATGATCAAAATCAGGAGACACGCTCAGAAAAAAGCCGAGAGAGAAAGAGCTGCAGCAGCAGGCGGCACTGGCTCGAGTTCTTCTCGTGAAGCCAGATACAGAAGGGACAATGGTGTAAGTGCCGCTGGCTGTTTCGCTCTCCGCATCTCACAGCTCGTCTAGCGCATCTCCCCTGTCGTTTCTCACTCTCATGATGTACCGGGCTCTTCAAAGTCTCACCACAACCAACATTTTGATCAACCCTCACTGTCAAATTCTCGTCATCCAGTTTCTGCATCCACTCAAACTTCCGCTAAACGGCGATCCGGGCCGTACGTTAGCGACGCTTTCCAGCCCAGTAGTCAACGGTCCAAGTCGTCAGAGAAGACTTCTCCTTCGTATCTGACTCCGGCATTTCCCCTCCCTCCCCAGCAGTCAATATCTGTGACTATAGCCCCACCGGAATCGGATACCCTTCATCATTCTGACTTGTCTCATCGGCGACCTCTAGTACATCAATTATCTACGTTGTCAGAGCAGAGCTTTGAGCAGGAAACGACTGCCTTCCGCTCTTTGAACTCATCGTCGAAAGCATCGTCGGATGGACTGAGTGTGCAGACCTCGCGGCGCGACAAACGTCGATCCATCGATCCAGGCCTTACTCTCAGCAATGTGACGTCTCCTGCCAGTCCTGCCACATCTCCGCCACCTACACTCTCTCCTCTCTCTGCAACATTCACACGTCAGTCAAGCAATCGCTCTCCAACACCTCCTGCCCACAATGGCCGGGAATCACCTCGAATACCATCTCCGCTTCGAGAGCATTTCAATGAGGGGGAGTCAATATCGCGGCCGTCGTCTAATGGCTCATTCCAAAGCACTACGAGCCACATCCGTCCGGAATCTTCTGCTTCACACTATAACAATTTTGAAGATGATGTGTCACCTCAGATACGCACATTTTCGGCTGGGAATTCTTCGCCAGATAGCCGTCCAGGTGAAACAAGCACCCCGAGAGCCAGGAAAAATAGCTCACCAAATCCTGATCAATCTCTGGAAATACCCATTCGTCACCAAAGGCCATTCGAAGAACGTCCTCGGGAACGTCTCTCATCACCCTCAAGTCTAACTTTCAGTCGGACGCGATCAGGTAGTACTTCCAGAGCGCCCTCCAGAGCGGATGTCCCGCACAATGTGGAAAGTAGTACAGATACTGAGGCAGAGGGTGATGAACCGATTGCGCACCGGCGATCTGAGTCAAGCACGTCAGTACCACCGGCTTTACCTCCCAAATCAGAAAAGGATGTGTCCACCACTCAAATACCCTCCGAAGCAGTCTCTCCTACAAGCGATGTGGATCCTGACCCATCTAACCAGATGGATAGTGGCTCAGATGATATGTCGGAATCCTCACCGGTCGAACAGACATCACATGCGACTTTCATTGCACCGGCCTTACCACCCATCCGATTTTCATTGAACACCGCTGATTTCTCGGATTTGCTCAGCTCTGTTGGCGGGATCAACGCGCTGAAATCCTTGGATCAGTTAACGAGTATCTCTGAAAAGAACAAGGAGAACGACAGCGATGTTCCTTCAACACCACCACCGTCAGCTACTTCTATAAGAACGAATGGTGTCACATCAACCCCAAGTAGCGATGTCACTATTATTGGATCGCCCGCATCGGGCTATCGTAAAGATAGAAGTGTTTCGACCGACGACCTTCGGTATGTGAAGTCATCGTTCCTGGTCGGCACGTCACTTACGTTATTCAAAATTCAGTTCTTTTGCCGCAATATCGTCTACGTCGATCCATGAGCAAGGATTCTCCGAGTCGCATCCAAAATCTCTTCAAACTTTGAATGCTTCTGTACCCGAATTCAATGAATCCCAATCTTCTGGTCGTATCACCTTGACAACACTGGGGGCTAACCTCTCGAGTGTCACCAGACCAGATGATTCCGATTTCGTACTTTTGCGGTTACAAGAGGCAATGGCTGACGCCAAGGAGCGAGGTGCTCAGCAGTTGAAACTAGACCGCGCTTTTGTTGAAGCTATCATCAAGACCATGGATCTCAGAAAAGCAGCTTTTTTCGATCTGAAGGGCAAATTCGATGGTGTCAAGGTTCGTTATGCTCTGGACTTCCTGTCTATTTCTCTAAACATCATCGCAGAGAGCAAGTAAACAATACATTGAAGGGTTGACGGTTGCTCAGACGGAGTATGATCGTGAGCTCAAAGCACGAAGGGATGCAGAGGCTGAAGTCACTCGATTACGAGTCCTACTATCAGGCCAGGCAGCACGGCTTACCGCACTTTCTGGGGATTCTCGCCGACAAGAGCTTCGTCAACGGATGACCAAGGAACTTCACGATCAGTTGTCGGGGTTGGAGCAGGATCTGTCAAAACTCAAGGTTGACCGTGACATGGCATTGGCAGAGGTTGAGGAGATCTCTGCAACGAAAGGGTACGAAGTTGTCCAAAATTTCCTTTCTACCTGCTTACCTTCCCTAGCTCAAATGCGGCAGCTGACCAACGTACTACACATCTGAATCGTTCTCTCATGATGCGCCTTGATTCATTAAAGATACAGTATCAGAGGGACCTGGTTCCGTTGACCCATGAACGAGAGGCCTTGTCTCGAGAGGTCATGGAGCTCAAAGCTGTTCGAGATGTCTTCCTTGAAGAAACGACGGTTCTCAATGCTCGTAATGAAGAGTTGGCTCAGCTCAGCGCCCAGTACGCTCGCCGGATGGATACAGTGCCCGAAATATCATCCAAGGACGAGGAACACGTGGTGGCGCCTTCAATGGACAACGGTCGCAGTCAGCTTCACCAGCCACAAACGTCTGTGCAATTGCCTTCTCAAAATCTCTATGCCTCCACTACCTCTTTAATTACTGATGAGACGCTTGCCGATATGAAAACCGTCATCAAGATTTCGAAGCCAGAAACTGAACTACCCACGCCATCGAAAGGGAAGTTTATCAAGTGGCCAGGATCCAGGACAAAAGATACAACCAATCCAACAAGCGTTGGCGATAGCCGCGGTAAAGGACACTTGGAGCACAACTTCCAACAGCTCAGCGTGCTGCGATTCACTCGGTGTGATCACTGCGGAGATAAGATGTGGGGCTCACAGCTACGTTGTACTGGTGCGCTTTGATTGCAGTTTAGAGCGAGACCTGTAGCTTACCTGTCATGTCTTCAAGGCTGCAACATCTCCGTCCATGTGCGGTGCATAAACCATGTTCAGGTTTTGTGCTCACAGCAAAGTTCAAATCGTGATGATTCGCAAATTTTGCGTATGTTCTTCCTGCTGTATATAGTTTAAGAGTGAACTAACGCCGACGTTCAGGACATTCAATGTTTGGCCGCGACCTTGTAGAACAGGTGTACGCTGATGCCAAAGGGAGCTCGCGACAGGTTCCAATAATCGTTGATAAATGCATTGAAGCCGTTGAAGCCATTGGTATGCTCTATATTTATTATTCAGTGTCGTTATTCTGATGCTCTGTAGCATTGGATTACGAAGGGATCTATAGGAAAACAGGTGGATCCCGCCAGAGCAAATCAATCACACAACTCTTTGAGCGTGGCGACTATGATGCGTTTGACCTTCGAGATTCGGACCGATTCAACGATATATGTAGCGTCACTTCAGTGTTGAAAGCCTACTTCCGATCTCTCCCTGTCCCTCTCCTGACCTATGACCTCCATGACCAATTCATGGCCGCTGTTGAAATCCGCGACGCCTCTATTAAAAACAAAATGCTGCTTGACCTGGTGAACAAGCTGCCTAAAGAGCATTATCACACATTGTGTGCTCTGATGATCCATTTGAATAAGTACGTAGAGCTTTTATCACGTTGCACGTGTGCTAACGTTATTCAGGGTTTGTCAACGGAGTGAGAGGAACTTGATGAATGCTCGTAACCTTGGCGTTGTATTTGGCCGTGAGTCTCCTGGTAGTATCCTTTCGATCATACCTGATTTTCAATCATAGCAACATTAATGAGATCTCGGAACCCCGGTGCAGAGTTCAGCGACATGGCTGGCAAAGCGCTTGCCATAGAATGGCTAGTGGGAAATGCGCCGGAAATTTTTCCTGAAAACGCATCCCGATAGTTGCAGATTATACCACGCCCTCAGTCTTCGTTCACCGATTTGCCATTCTAGAAGTACTTCTTTGGGTTTATTTTTTATACTATCGCTCAGGTGATTTTACACACCTCTATTATTGTTGAAAAGTTTCGGATTTCATTTTTATCAGGGGTGTGTCGTAGTCTCTAATCATTGCCGTGCTTTCGTATTTAACACTCATCCTACTCGTATATATCTAACGCCTTCATTTACCAATACCCTTTTCCATGGTATCTCGGATGTACATTCATACCTAACTGGACCAGATTCTTCCATGCCGGACGCAAAGATGTGAAGGTTGGTTACATTAGTTCCCTTGATCTTCTGGTTCGAGGCAGCGTCTCGGGTTTGAGGGAACAGTATAAGAAGTGCCGTCGAGGTCCTGCGGCCACCGCTGCAGCTACCGCCACCCGCGTCCCCAACGGCACGGAGTCACTACCGCGCACACCAAGTGAAAACATTCTGTCGAAGACTACAGATACCTGAGAGCAGGTCTATTGAAGGGACAAAAATACTAACGCGTAGAAATGAAGGCTTTTGCCGTCGTCTGACAAGTCAGATGTGTGAGAGACAGTGGAGGACTGACGCCCTCGAGGTTTCGAAGATAACGGTATACCATAGACGGTTGAGGAGGACCTAGAAAAGATAAATATCCCACACTTCTTAAGGTGAGAGTACACACCGAAACGGAAGACTGCATGATAGGCCTGACGCCACTTTTCCTCCAATAGTCTGGCGCAGTTATTTGAGTCCGGGCACGTTGCACACTGCAAGATTACTATGTAGTTGTTGATAACATGCTCGAAGTCTACACTCACACATTCATACTCCTTCGAAAGGGCGACCAACCCAATCTTCAACACCCTTTCAAGGAACCAATTCCGACTTGCAAAAGTTTCAATTGAGCGACCAATGCTGCAGGAATCACCACGAACCGTTTCTCCAGTTTGAGCAAGGTTTCTTGGCTGAGTGTGTTCAACTCATGCTCAGACCATCCGCCAGGATTATCCAAGACGAAACGGCTGGATTCCCGATACAACTCTTCCTCCTCGAACAGCTCGGCGATTCGCATAGCCTTGATGGGCTTTCCGGCAGCATGTGTCAGAAGGAATGTTAGACACTCCCGTTGTAACGACGGGACGCAGAGTTTATGTGATATGTTCATCAAACTCTCGACGTTGTTCCAGGTGATTGTGCATTCCAAGCTGGCGCAGTGATGGGTTTGGTGACGATGCACGAGGTGTGAAATGACACCACTCACTGGGGATAGACAAATTTGAGAAAGTCATGGAAGCTAGATGCCTAGTAATTTGTTAGTGTTGGCGAGTGAGGGTTGAGAGGCGCAGACCCGCTCTTCCTTCAGGACTATGACAGCATCTGGACCATTCTTTGGACGCCGCTTGACTGTAGCCACTCTCTTTGATACCGACCTGACTTCTGGCGGATTGGGAGAGCCGCCTTGAAGCTTGGCCAGACTATCATCTCGAGCGCGCGCTTTGGCTTCCTTCCTTGACAACTCGACAGCGGATGAACTAGCGGTGCTGTCTTCACATTTCGAGAGGTCGACATCTGCTATGGCATCAAGGTCCTCAGCGTCGGGATCTGAATCCATCGGAGAGAAAGTCATTTCTGTGGGGACATCAGATTTGCTCCGGTCACCAGGAATCGAGGGAGGTTGGGAGATAGTGATAACCGAAGACATGGAGGGTGGTCGACCAGTTTCTGCCCAGTCACCGCTGAGAGCCGCTTCAAAGAAAGGTGATGCAAAGTATAGCACTTCTTTATGTGCCCTAGCGCTAATTGAGCTATTGTCACTCGGAAACATGAAGCAAAGCGTACCAGAATGTGGTGCTTTCGACTACGATCTTGACAGTGCCAGGGAATTTGCTGTTCTTTGTGAAAGTCTCATCGAGCTCGATTGCTTCGTCGTCGTCGTCGTCGTCGTCGTCGAGTTCGGAAACAATATCGTCACTCTCGCACTCTTCAAGTAGCCAGGTGGGTGAGCCAGAAGAACGGAAGATGCCAGCGGCTGCAGCGTGAGTTTCTGTGGGAGAACTGAGGGAGGCAGAGGGATTGTTAGGACCTCTTGAATTGCGGGCGATGAGAATGTGGGACGGGTTGGTGGTCATGAAGCAAGTGGCTGTGATATTCCGGCCCGGTCAGCCAGACTTTTTCGATGCTTCACCTTGTAGTCATAGAATGTATATTATTGAATGAAGGGGGTAAAATGTACAGCAATTATACGCATGCCAACGTCATGATGAATTTCCCACAGGTGAGTCGCTATGTGGAGGTCGTGGTCGTGGTGCACCTGCATTTCCCCCCGTTTCTACGCCTTGTAGTTCAGCTTCTATTCGTTCTCGGGCTCTTACAACCTTGGACTGGAGATAGTGGGAGTTCAGAGGAGTTGCTGATCGACCATGTATTGGTGCTCTCGGTACTTCCGCAGGGAGCGAGTTGGCCTTGAACAGATGTTCATAATTCTAGCCAAGAATGTCAATGCCCCAAGATAACCCTAGGTAATGGCATAGCTCACCTGCAAAATTTTTTCAAGCTCTTCGCCCCGCTTAATATTCAAAATCAAGTGTGCTTCGTCCAGCGTCATTCGATGCTGCCGCGTAAGTTGATCCGTTAGCGAACCCGAACGAGCATTGCCGACACCTGCGACGTCACTCCCTACAGCCTGTGGTGCAGCCTTGGCATCTGAGAAAATATGGTGAAGAAAGCACAGGCATGGGAGTGGTCATCCATACTCTTCACGGCTTGTCGCCCAGCTTCAAGAAATGCTTTGCCTAGGATTCGTGTTGACGTCAAGAGAATTTGTATGATAGCTCTAGGAGAAGACTGTAAAGAATAAGCGGTATAGAGAGGAGCAGAGGATAAAACTATACCATGGACCGACAGCAGAAGAAAAGCTGATGATCGCAGTGGACGGACTCGGAGAAGCGACAAAATTTAGTGCTGATCGTCCACGTGAGCGAGCAAAGATTTTTCTCCCTCACTCACCCATGTCGTCTTCAACCATTTCTCAGAAAAAACGGAAGAATACCTCGCCAGCGCCAGGCGGATTACCCGTAAAGAAGACAAAACGCGACAATGACTACGCAAACAAGAAGACCAAAGATAAGAAGGGAAAAGGACGCGAATCAGATTTTCATGTCGTCCAAGCATCTCTAGTCCTGTCAATACCTCCCAAATTTGCTGATAACCCCAAATCTGGTGTAAATGAGATGCTTGATTCAATGGTAATGAGGTGCGTTTTGAACTCCCACAGGCATACCATTTTCTTGACATTCGTTTCTTGTCAGATATATACCAGGTCTTCAAGGGGTTGTACTGTCTCATTCCAGCTTGACATTCCTCGATGACATGGCTTCCATTAAAGCCGATTGTCCGTTTCTTGTCTGTCGAGTTGCATTTGACGCGACTGTCTGGAGTCCTCATGTAGGAATGCGGCTCGGTGCGAACTGATTCTTCGTTTGCTGTTGTTTCTCATTCATATGCAGAAGGTCGAATAAATCTCTGTTCCCCGGATCACATATCACTGCTAGTACATCGCACGTTCAACGTATCTGTACCTCGTCATCATATACCTTCCGAGGACTGGGAGTTTGAATATGGTCCCGCAGAGAATGATCCTCAATTTGGACCTGATGCTGTGGAGAAGGATGCCACGTCGCCTACCGCAGAGAAGTCTGCTGGAGAAGGCGGAAGATGGACACACAAACTGACGGGCGATCTTATTGGCGGCAAGTCCGGGCACCTGGAATTTACAGTCATCGGGTAGGCCTTACAATATAGTGACATTACTGCCGTTTTGACGACGCATGTCAGGCTTACTGTTGCGAATGAAATGCTGTCGGTCGTTGGATCCATACAGCCAGACCCCTTCTCACTAGCTCATGTTGCAACATCGTCACACACTCAAGCACCTGAGGAGTCAGAGGGTGAAGGCGAAGGTATTACCTTGGTCGAAGATGACAACGCCAGTAGTGTAGATGAGGATGATACATTCGCGGCGCTTGGGAGGGAAGCGGAAAAAGCTCAGAAGAAGGCGAAGGAGGAGAAAAATCAGAAACGAAAGTTGAAGGCAACTACAACTGAGCCTAAAGGTAAAAAAAAGCAGAAGAAGAGTTCATGAGGTTTCTTCCTGTATTACTCGACTGAGACTCTACTCGATTTCATTGCCACAGCAATGTAACCGCCATAGCAATACATGCAAGCGAAACATACGGAGACAGGCGTTCTCCTATGTAGAATGAAGAATCCTGACATTTTGAATGATAGTAAGTGCACACACCTATTCGTGCAGACATGAAGAAAATTCCGAGAAAGCTAAACGATCGTTAATGACAAACTCTGTCAGAGGTAATGGGAATCGCTCACCCCTGCTTATTCCTATCCACAAGCCTTGGTGCAATGGCCCGAACGTATGTACATGTGCAGATCAATAGAAGGATGACAAGGAGCAATGATTGAAAGTTGAAAAGGGCAGACTTGAAGCAGTTTGTGAATAAGAGATCTTCAAGGCATGTAAAGGAACATATTCACCATTTCTCGTTTTTACTTTTCTTTGGCAGAATTTGCCTTCTTAGAAGTTGAGGCTTGCAATCGTGGTTGAGGGATCGAAGAGACTGATTTTGGGGGACCTCAATGGGCACGTGATACACGCGTACGTGACACTATGTGACATTCGGACGTGCCCGAAGTTGATTCCGAATTTCATGTTTCCCAGAGGCCCGAGGTTTGAGGCGCCCAAAGGTACGATGCCTCTTGTTATTCCTTGACAGCTGGATAATGTCTGCAGTATCTGATATACCTGGCCCTAACGCCTATAATATTGCTCTGGGTACGCGTCCGAACGATTTCGAAGAGCACTATTGACTTCTTTTGTTAGACTCCCAACTCGACGCATATAAACGTGGTGCTTTCTTGGAAAAGATGGACAGATTTTCGAAAAAGGAACCTTCTGATGTCCCCGGTATGACAATCACTGTCTGCAGGGTAGTATGTTGACCGCGCTGTTCTAGGACCGAATAGTTACAACACAGACACTATAGCGACTACCAGCAAACCAACTACTAAACCTTCTTCGAACAATGCCGACCGCTATGCCATTTTACAGAGGAAGGTAGAAGATTTAGAAAGACTACACAATGAGGACAAGAGATCCGTTGAGTGGCTCCATCACCTCCCCACGCTTTTGACTCAATTGATGTCTTTTTGTAGCACAACAATGAGATTGATTGCCTGAAGCTTGAGCTATCTCGCGCTCAAAAGACAGTTTTAGAACAAACTACCCGACTTGACAAACAGAAGAAACAACATGACGCGCTCGATCTTCGGATACAAGAACTCAGCAAAGCCGCTTCCTCTGATAAAGCTGAAATTAAAGGGCTTCGCATGAAGCTTCGTGTAACAGAGCATGAGCGTGCCCAACTGTCTTCCAAACAAGGGGACGTCATCCAAAGGAAGAATAAGTGGAAGGAGGAAATCAGGGAGAAGGATAAAAAGATCGCTCACTTGGAGAAGGCCTTAGAAGCAGCGAAGAAGCGGGGAGAGGAAGCGGAGGCATTATCGATGGTGATGAAAGTGAAACGAGACGAAGACACTGCAGCTGCACGAGCGGCCTATGAAGTTCTTCAGTCAGAAGCTGATACTGCCCGAAAAGAGGCTACACGAACGCGTCTCAAATTGGAGGAGTCCTCAGCTGAAGCAGACTCATTGCTTGAGGATTTGCGGCAGCAGAAACTTCTCCTGGAGACCGTCTCGAATGAATACAGCCGCCTCGCTACTGCTACCATCTCTAAGACGACATTTTCCCGTTTACAGAACAACCATCTAACGGCACAAATGTATGCTTTCCGCCTCCAGCGGAAGCTAGCTAACGCAGAGGGACAGGTCGTCGAATTGGCGAATTTGATCCGTCAAGTGAGGGATCAGAACCACCTTTTAGCAGATCGGTTACGCGAAACTGAGGAGGAAATTCGTTCATTCTGGTCTCCCGTCCTTCGATCACAGGTTGTCAGTCGGCGTCCTGTCGACGATACAGATGCTGTAATCGCAGCTGTTGAAAAGGATATGCACGATGAGTCTGCGCTGCGAGACCACCTCGACACAGAGATCGATAAGATGTTCACGGACTACTACTGCCTGCTCTGCAACGACATTCTCTCCTCACATTGCGAGGCGGATCTGGAACTGACGGACGTTGGGCAATCAAAGGAGGATTTGTCAAAGAGACTAGCGGAAGTCGAAGAATATCTTGGTACCGTATCGAGACAAGTTTCGCAGACGGAGGGGGAACGAGATAATGCTCGCCAATTGTTTAAGGCTGCCGAAGTCTTGGCTGAGGATCTATGTCAGCAGTCCGAGGAGTATAGGCGTCAAACAGCAGATCTGAAGGCGAAGCTGGAGGAACAGTCCCATACTTATAAGGAGGAACTCAAAGGAGAAAAGGAAAATGCCCAGAGGCTGACGTCCACCATCCACAAGCAGCGTATGGCTGAGGAAGGTCTTCGTGCTGAAATTGACCTGTATGTTGTCATTCTGCTGCATTTACAGGTTCGATCTGAACAAAACTCCCAGGCTTGGTATCGAAGTAGCCAGTGCTGAGCATCTTCAGGAAGCTTATCGTGCTCTATCTGAGGAGGTTGGCTCGCTTCTCGCAAAAAATGCCCTGGCCGAGGATGTCGCTCAGCAGCTGAGTAAATTCAACGCCGAAATCATAGGGCACCAAAACCATGCACAGAAGATTATGTATGTCGAACGGATACGAAATGAACTAGCTGAATCCAAACAGGTCCGCTCCTCATTGTACCTTCGTCGTCTTCTCTCCTGACCAACTGATTGACGTATCTAGAAACACGCATTATTAACGCGGGAGCATGAGGCTCTTGTTTCGCAGAAACGGGAGCTGCTGAACGAAATTGACATGTACAAGTCCGTTGTAGTGCATGACAAGCCAAAGACGACCATCACACGAGTACACCGACTGCCGCTGACCGACTTTAATCAGAGCATGAGTCATTATCTTCCCCAATCGAAGGATACTGGCCTCTATCCACGTACACTAGACACGATACCAGTGGATGGCGAATGACACTGGGTGAGATAATGTGGGCTTGCATTCCTATTTATATCGTACATATACATGTTCCGTATCTAGTATTGATACCATCAAAATGTCTGATGGGGTATAGGGCCTATAGCAAAGGAAAGGTGCAAACATAGGTCCAGGAAGATAACAAAACAACACGAGAGCCAATTCCCTCTCGGGACCAAACAGATGGAAACCGAATGTCACTGAGATCCCCGATACCCCGGTAGTTCATACGAGAAGTATGATGCATATGACGCCTCGGGGCGCACATAATCGGAGAATCTCTTGAGAGTATCATCCTCGTGCAAAGCACTGATTCTCTTATATTCCGCATTCAATTTTTTCTCCCGGCGCTTCCTCCACCAGATCCTGTAAGTACATCAGTGCACAAGGCACCAGCAGGGATGAAGAAAGACTCACAGTCCTCCTACCAGCAGTCCCATAAAGGCGGCCAGCCCTACCAACCCCCCGATGAGCTTGAACTTACTCTGGCTCAGAAATGTGGTAATCTTATCCAATCCTTGCGGATCCGGATCGACAAATGTGTACTTTCTGTCTGGTAATTCGGAAACGCTTGGTGGGTTCTGTGGATCGTAACAGTACTGCTTAAAACACTGCTCGCAAATCGATGAGCGAGCGATAGTCGCATTAGATGATACTTTGTAGCGTGCTCGGTCAACGGAAGCGCATTGCAAACATATAGGAAAGTCCGGATCGGCTAAAGTAGTGTTGGGAGTGAAACCTGAGATGGTGTTATTGAAGACTTGATCAAGGAAGAGGCGAGTATGCTTTTGGGTGTACGTAAGACGGAAAGTGGCAGAACTAAGGCAATCGTGGAAGTTAAGTTGATACCAATCATAAGCGGTAAGATACAAACTTAATGACTGGATCATCCCCATTGAATGGTGGTGCTTGAGGAATATAGATAACGAGAGGATATTCCTGAGGATCTTGTACAGGGTCACATCCAAAGAATGTGGGTCGCAAGTTGACACCCGCATCAATGAACGCCTCCGGTGTCTGAGGAATAGGCGGAAACTGTTGATGTGACGGCAGAAGTTGATTTGCTTGCCGCTTCGCACTGAACAGTAAACCCGTGCCGCTGTATGACCTGCCTTAGCTTTGTCACCAAGTCATTCAATATGTGGGACCTACTTTGGCCAGTCATTCACTTGGTCTGCACTAGAATCCAAGGTGACTATGACGTCTAACCCACGGACCTTGACGAACAGTGGACCATATGGTATATTCTCCTGATTTGAAGAGCCATCGATGAGCTCCAGCCAATCTTTATCTGAATCAACGAAGGTGTCGCTCTTTATGCCATTAAAAGGATTAGGCCAGTTGGCCACGTCATCTGCGCGGGTGCGTACTTCCTGTAACTGACGCGAAAGCACGTAGAGAATACCGCTGCTGTCGTCGCTGGAAAACCCATTCAGAGTGTTCCGAGCAAAGTCCAAGATTTGCTATGTTAACTTTACGTTGAGTATGACGGCGTCGTCGTGGCAGGGGAAAGCTCACGTTAAACAAGCTGGCACTGCTTCCCATCACGAAACCTGCCTGATCGAAACCGCTCACACAAGCAGATCCATTTTCCGGCTTTCCATTAGAGAGATGGGTACCCGCAAAGGAAAGATTGACGGCAGCTGAAAGGTTCGGATCGTATGAAGCTAGTTCAAATGGTGTAATCTAGATAAAGCCATTAGCTTGTTTCTATGTAGCCAAGAACCATGCTTACTTCGTACACCACCGCATCAAGATCCAAAGTAGTAGTTAGATTGGATCCAACGGGACGGGAATCAGCGACGACGAGAGGGAAGGGAAATTGGTGATTCTGAAAGGCGGGGATGTCGGGTATGTGACTCCATAGCTGGCCTGCACCGTGGCCTGTGTCATTCGTAAAAAAGTTCATCCGATCGGTTTGATTGAGAAAATGGTATGAGATCATGCGCGACCATGGGTCGGTGATGCTCGTGTCACTGTAACGTAAGGAAGCTGGAGGAAGGAACATTAGAGAAAAAAGAAACATACACCCCCGCGTTTGCTTTAGCCATGATGCTCCATAGGATGCTTCCGAAAAAGTACTGATTGTTGTCGGAGAATATGTCGGTACCGTCCGGTGTTGCGAAAGGAAGATCCAGTAGCCAACCGGCAAGGTCGTCACCATTTCCAAAGACGAGATCATTGATGGTGGGAAAGTTGTTGAAGAAAAGAGAACCCGTTACCCATGAGCCGCCTAAAAGATGTAAATAGGACAATAGACATGAATACCTACGAAAGCACACTGACCTGATAAGCCAGCAATATAGGAAGACACCTGCAGCAAGCCTCCAGTTCCAATAGATTTAGCCGTATCATTCCTCGCATCCAAAGCATTAAGCGCTCCTGCGCCAAACTGGGCTGACCGTAGACCACCTCCAGGTATTGCGATACCAATGGTAGGAAAGTGACCTTGAAATCTACCAATATCATAACCGAGCTGGGACCCGTTTCCGAGCCAGTCAAGCCATGCAGGAGAGATAACCGTTGAATTACGCGTCCGTATGTACTCCGCTTCTTGCGGGTGAAGGGTTTGATTCGATGGCGTGAAAGCGCGGATAAAATCAGTGTTCGTGATATCTGGGCACTGCTGATTCACCTTCGGAGCATAGTCGTCAACCGAGTCCTGCTCGGGATTCTGTTGGGCAAGGACGGGAACAATAAGGAGTAACAGGGAGAACGGGAGCATGGTGAATGGGTGGGAAAAAGAAAAGATGCTGCATGCTGCTCATGGTCATGGCTGTTGCTGATGATCACCATTATCAGTGTAGTGGCAGTGCTTGTTCGTTAGACACCGTTTCGAATTTGAATAAAGTACGCAACAATAAATGTATTCATTCGCCAGTAATTACGCTATGGTCACCATCCCTACTCGATGTGCATTTGGTTGGCTCGTGCAAGATGCATGACCTTAAGCCCGGGGCCCACGACAAGAGAGCACATCTTTCCCCGGGAGCTGTGGCGGTTAGTACATCTCACTGGAAGCCATACTTATCCTCTTACGTACAAAAGGTAACCATGCCAGTCCTGCCAACGAAGGAGTATCATCGAGACCTATCTTGTTTTGCCATAACTTAAGAGACAGACAAAACCAATGCAGGAGAACCGATCGATACTCAAAAGCCTAGGCAAAGCAACGAAGTAGACGAGACGGTGTGAAACGTACAGAGATGAGCAGGAAGAGTAGGAAAGCCTGAGTGTGTGCTCAAGAACAGGACAGTACGATGCTCAAAAGAGAGAACCAGAGTCCTGATGATACACATTACGGTGCAGACCAAAACTAGTGTCGAGTGTCCAAGTTCTGTTCATACATGACCTACAATGAGTACGGGCACACAAAATAAGGGTGTTTGGTTCGAGGAGAGAATGCGACAAGCCCAAAGAGACGTCGAGAAAGGAACACGCCCAACCACTACAGCATAGCATTCCAGAGGACTTGGGTACCCAGAGAACATCAATACAAAAGGGAAAAGAAGGAGGTGGATGAAATCCTCTCAAGTGAAAACGTGTGGGGGGAGGGGGAGGGGGGATTTATACGGCGAAGGTAGGACTCGGCGGCCGCCCCGCCTGGGATGCTGGGCACACAGACCAGCGGGAATTTCTTTACCAGGATGGCATCTCGTCTAACTTGATCAATGAAATTGACCCTATGACAGGGTGGACAACATGTTTCTGGCTTCGAATAAGCGCTGGGCTATGCTTAATGGAGCATTGCATCATCTTCGGAAAATGAACCATGAAATGGGGGTGTTCTGGAGGCGAATATCAAGGGGATAGGTACCTTTGGTCTTCCTGGAATTGTCCTGGTAACAGTGACTTGCCCAAATACAAGGACGAAACAAGACCCAGCCCGATCGAAGTGATCGTTCTTGTGTCGGAGTTTGCACGTGTTAGTCTAGGGCCCCCTTTTCCGCTTGCACCAACGGAATCGCATCTTGTCCTCATCCACCATGCTCCTGCCCGACGCCACCTACGCGCTGCAGGGCTTCCATACGCGACTAGGAGAGGCTCTGCCATCTAATCCACAGAAACAGGCATACATCGTTCGCTTATCACGCCAGACTCTTGACGCCCTCGATGCCTCAGAGCATCCCCAATTACAGTTCGAGCTTGGCGACAAGCCGGTGTGTTAGACTTGTGTCTCATTTTCGAATGCCAATCGGAATATCTTTTGCTAGGGAATCTTTGTCGATGGTGCCTTCTTTCCCATCAAAACTCAGCACGAAAACATCCGCCACGAACTCTACCTGCGTACCCCGTCTGCGCTCAAACCCAATGTACCTCTCAGATTACACGCAAATATCACCGGAAAGCTCACGGTTGAACCTACGCTTGACAAGGATCTTTCCGAGCAGATCCAGCAGAGAACATTGGATGCCGCCAAGCAGAAGGAGGTACACAAGACAAAGTTCATTGACCCGCCTCCCGATCTTGCGCCTCCAACAAAACAAAAGAAGAAGCAGCAAGCAGCCTCGTCGATGTTTAGGAGGCCATTACGTCCGTCTGATCAGACAGCACGACCGAACCCCACTCCCGCTTCAGCAGCATCGACTTCTTCTGCTCCGCCTCCACGTCCCAGATCTCCTCCTGACAATCCAGCGCGTGCTGTAGCCCAGTCGTCTCTTAGAATCCGTCTTATTCGATATCTGGCAAAAGGCGACCGCAAAGCTGACGACGCCGTCAAGGCTGTCGCACCAAGTTGTGATGCCACTCATCGACGAGAAATTTTGGATGTTTTGCAAGAGGTGTGCTACTTGATTTTGATGCTTATGCTAACTTATGATAATCACCATAGATCGCTGAACCTGTGTCCGCGTCGAAGAAGGATGGTCGCTTGCGTCTCAAAAATACGTCTTACCAGCATGTTCGCCCTTACGAATGGCCCGGTCTCTCAGATTCAGAGCGACACACCATAGCCCGGGCTGCAAGGGTAGCTCTGAGCTCCCTTGGAATTCCTGAGTCCGACCCCACCTGGACCCACGTCGTTTACCGCCCTCCGGCGACAACACCAATTGCGGGCGCCTCGGCCGAAGCGCCTCCAATGCGATCTGTGGTGACAAAGGCCGTGAAAGAAAAGAAGGGGAAAGCCAAGGTGCCTGAAGTCAAGACGGAGCCCAAAGCCAATACTAAACCGAGTGTGGCGCCCAAGGGCAAGGAAACAGACCTCGGAGCAGGTAGTCTGTCTGCTAGCACGCCTCCAACAAAAACTGCACCTTCTGCTCTTACTCGGAAGCCGCCAGGGTCGGGATACAGGGCGCCGAGGTCGGAGGACGGCAGTACTTCTTCTCGTGTTAAATCAGAGGAAGGAAGTCGATCTCGGGACCTGCCACCGAGCAGCACCGCTCCTGCCGCTCCCATCCAGCGCATCAAGAAACTCAGACAGTCAGCCGGAGATGGGCACGGTTCGGATTCTGAACGGCCAAGACGGGACTCTGGGGGTGAACGAGATAAAAACAGCAGAGACCTCGCATCGTCCACTTGTAACATCAAGCGCAAAAAACCTCGAGATGATGATGATGAGGAATATGGCAAGTCGAAGCGGCGGAGGATTGGGGAAGGCGCCTCGGTGCCTTCCGGAAGCAGGGAGTCCTCATCGAACAAGAAGCCGATGCCAGACTTAGCTGTACATCCAAAGGCAATCAAAAGAGAACCTTCACCTCTTCCTCCCCTTGCGCCTGCGAAGAAGGCTGCTCACCGTCCACCGCTTCTATCCCAATCCCCTCAGTTGTCCGCCCGTGTGACGGCAGGCGGCTCAGGCACTGCAAATGGACGGTCGCGTCGCCATCGCTCGCCTATATACACATCGTCTGAAGACGAGGGAGAAATCAAGCAGGAACGTCAGCACCGATCCCCTGGTCCCTTCCCTTCTCCCCCGACGACGACACCTTCATCTATGGCCTCGAATTTAACCAACGCTCAGGAAACCCAGCGTCCGCTGCCCATAGATCGTGCCTCCTTGCGCAAGGGCTATGTGGCGGCTTATGGGCGTTACATCAAGTCATTCACCAGATTGGTTGAGCAGCGAGATAGGGTGAATGCCCTGTTGAATGCGTTTGACGATTCTGCCGGGAGCATCACTGATTCTGATGGGGACGTAGAGTTGTTGGATGTGGAGGCGATGCAGAGACTAAAAGTCGAGTTTGCCAGACATACGGAAGAGCTAGAGTCGATCCGGAAAGCATTTGAAGTCGCTGCCAGATGAATGTATGTATTAGGTTCCTCGGAAATTATGTATTATATTATTGCCCATCTGTATTTATGATAATAAATTTGATTTATTCTGGTTGTCGTATCCGTACTACATGTAGAAAATCGGAGCGTTTCATAGGTTATCTGGCTTATCCGCGATATGTATAAGCTGCATGGTTCACACGACGCCCAGGCCCCGAGTAGCGCTGCTTTCTCTAGTACTCTATACTGCCAGTTGCGGCTACGACGTTGCGATGCAAGCCTGCCTTATACTGTGCCTCGTCGTCACCCAAGCACTAGCCAGCCCTTTTGCGGCGCGGCAGATCTCGAGCACAAATTCGAATGATATCTCTGTTATCGGGTTGACGGTAACCCAGGAGCAGCCAACGAGCACGACGACTGTGCTAAGTACCAAGACGGAATACACGGTCGTCACACCTCTTTCACCGTGGGCAGTAGTCTCGGTCGTCCCCTACACGGCTATCGTGTCCGGGTCGATAACACAGATCAAGTCGGCGACATTGACGCTCTACCCCGCCACCTACTCTGCTGAACCCAGCACCACGACCTCGTCATCGTCAAAGAGAGACGGGGCCATCGCTGGGGCTGTCGTCGGAGCTGTGGTAGTCGCTGGCATCGCTGGCATCGTGTTTATGCGGTCCCACAACAAGCGGTCGGCTCGACACTGGAGGAATCGGGGGCCATGGCTGAACCTGGATGGTGGTGATGGTGGTGGTGGTGATGTGAAGAAACCTCCCAGCCCGATCATCGCCACAGTTACAGTACCTTCACCAACGACTGCGGCTCCAGTTTTGGTCAAGGATTGCCTCTGATCCATTCTCTGCTGGCCCGTCTTCTGTGGGAGCAGCAGACAAACCTGGGCCGCCGTTGTCGAATTAGACACCGTTTTTTTACTCGTGGTGAGATTCTGCGTATAAACGTATATTGCTTGGTAGCGCGTATGCTCTACATTACTATTTCGCTCTCTCTATTTTCCTGCCCTGCACACGCTTTTCCTGGCTATAGAATTCCAATTGTAACCCACCAACATTGGCACGCCTTTCTAAACGCAGACCTTTGGTTCCCTACAACCTGTCCATCTTACATCAGAGACCAGTTTGTCCCCGAAAAGAGCAGCTCCTACATCAACAAGAGAAGGAATTTTTCGGTGGTCTACACTACGTGAGTAATTCATTAACTTTCCTCAGAACGGTATTAGCCACGGAGACAATCAAACTTGGCTGTCTTACCGTTCAAAACCAAACTTTTGGTGCCGTCAGTAGGACGACAGATGATTTCAACTACTTTCCAAATGATGGCTTACTGGGAATGGCGTTCGGGTCCATAGCGTGCTGCAAGCAGCCCACACTGTTCAAGAACATGATAGCTGCAGGCTTGGTGGAAGCTCGTATGTTTTCTGTATATCTCACAAGGAAGCAGGAGTCAGTCAGAGGCAAGTTTTTCCGTCACTCCAAAATTCTCGATCTATCACATTTTTCTGTAACTCTGTCTGGGATGTTCCGATACCACAAAGGCAAGGGAAAACCCTCTCTACATGGCCGTCAAATCAGAAGTACGGTATCCCAATCATTTAGCCCTTCTTGGATTGAATTGATTCTCCTGTAGACGTATTGGATCGTCTTCATGGATGCTATGATTGTGGAACAGAATCTATGATTTCCCTTGAACTTAATGCTGTACTTCCTTACCCTCTGGTAGATGTAACGCGGCCGATCCTTTCCAGGTAATCGACACGAGGACGACGCTCATTTATGCGTCTCGATTAGTGACAGATGAGCTCTATATGATGGTAATCATAAATGAGATTATTTTTATTGGTTTACGCTAACAAGATTTTCAAGATTGTGTACGTATTTTGGTTTCCGTGGAGATATTACTGAAAGGACGTGAACAGATTACACCACGTTCGATTATGGGCTGCGAAAAGGGAAAGCTCGTATCGGGTTTGCGAAAAGCATCAATCAGGAAATTATACAAGTCCAAGTTGAATGCGGGGCTCTGAGAGTTACTCTATCCTACTTGTAGCAAATTAATTTGCCTTTGTGCCTTTCCTCGGCCTCAGAACTTTTTGTCTCTGGACAATCATGTGCGTGTACATGACATAGAGACCTTGTAGAGATTAGATTGAAAAGGGAAGGGAAGTGACTGAAATATCTCACCTGGCCACCAGATCAAGAACAAAAGACCACGAATGTAGTCTGTGGGTTTCCACATACCCTGCGCCCATGACAACCAGCTAGGTATGGGGGAGGAAGCGGGAAGTGTAGCGTAATTGAGGAATGCTTCAGAGGAAGCGCCGAGAGGATATAAGACATAGAAGAGGGTATAACGGAGGTAGAGGAGCTGTTTGGGCTCATGACCAAGGAGGGTGAATGCATAGAAAGAATAACGGACGACTTCCGTGGCAGACCAGGCGAACACCATGGTCGTGTAGAGAGGATTCGAGCAGACAGATGGGAATGGCTCGGTGACGCCCCAAATGGCGTACAGTCTGCTGGCAACTTGCATGGCCGTCGTTGACAGTGGACTGCGCACCCAACCGAGCAGGACATGGACGACCTCGAGGATGGCGCATGACTGCACGAACGCGGTGATGGTTCCGACTCGCCAGTACGTCGTTGTCGCACGACGGTAGATGGGCTGCAGCAAAGTCGGTAGCTGGGTCTCGATATAGGAAGGATAAATTTTGTCAGCATGGACGAAGGAGAGGAAGCGAGAAAAGGCGGAGACAGTGCTTGGCTGGATGGCGGCAGATTTACGGTCAAGGTTGAATAAGTGGACAAGGGTGAGAATGAGGATCCATGACCAGCCAAGAGTGGAGAGGACGTTGTACGTGACAAGGTAATATTTGACAAACCCGGTCGGCTTTCTCGTGGTGGTCATTGATCAACCTGTTATGTCAGCATTTGATCGGATCGCCTGCTACCATCGTACTAGTACACTACTGAACCGATCTGTTCTCTCAGTTCTATAAAAGCCTGTCTCTTTTCTCTCTGCCATGTCGTCCGTCTGTTTCTCCCCCTCATGTATTCCTTGTTCCTCGCCGCTCTTTTTATCTCTGTCCAAGCTCTTCCTGCCAGTTTCACCTTGCATGACAAGTTCATTGGATCAGATTTTTTCTCTGGCTTTGACTGGAAAACATTTGACGACCCTACTCATGGTCGCGTCAACTATGTCGACAAGCCCACTTCCATAGCCACCAATCTCTCTTATGGTATTGCTTATTACTTATCTCCCGTCGTAGACCAAGTCACCAACTTCAACTTCATCCGGCCACAGCTTCAGCCGATAATACCAAGTTTTTTATGCGTGCCGACGCCCACCAGGTCGTTTCTGCCAATTCTCGTGGCAGGGACAGTATTCGCATTGAATCATTCTCCGCCTACGACCAATCTGTCTTTATTCTGGACGTCGAACACATGCCTGCCGGCTGTGCGACCTGGCCGGCCTTCTGGTCATTCAGCCAGTCGAGTCCATGGCCCCAGGGCGGCGAAATAGATGTAGATAATTTCTTCCTCCTGTTTTATTCTCGTCGGCCACTTACCATCAGCTATGTAGATCATAGAAGGCGTCAATCTCAATACAAACAACCTTGCTTCTCTCCACACAACCCCCAACTGTACCATGCCTGAGGTGCGTTTCCAGAGCGGGTAGGTTCCTTGCATATTTGGAATCGTTTCAAGTCATGACCGTTATTCAAGGCAAACTGAATCAACCAACTGTGACACAAACTTCAACTATAATCAGGGCTGCGGAACCTCCTTTACTCAACGCAGCTCTTATGGTTTTCCATTCAACAGTATCGGCGGCGCATGGTACGCGATGCGTAGAACCCAAGACACAGGCATCCAAGTCTGGTATTGGCCCAGGAACAGCTGGTGGGTGCCACTCGAGGTTCGATATCCGTTCTTCTTTACGCACATCGGCACCGAGAGTTGGGGTGAACCAGACGCATCTTTCCCTGTAAAGGAATGCGACTACTCCACTCACTTTGACAGTCACAAGATCGTGTTTGATCTAACTTTCTGCGTGCGTCATCCTTGTCATGATATTACCCCTTAGTCCTGACTTGAATCCCATAGGGTGACTGGGCAGGCAATGTATTTGCTTCTGCCGGCTGTGGCAATTCCACCTGTGTAGATTGTACGTTGAGCTATTTCAATCTGTTTCTGCCTTCCCTAACCACTTGTAGTCGTTGATAACAATCCGGAGAAATTCCAGGAAGCATACTGGGATATCAATTCTTTGTATGTCTTCAAACGTGTGTAGCCCAGTGCCATTACCGACTTTTCGATTCTTGCGTGATCATGAATGCTTTTCGCGTGGGATATCTTACGTCCCACTCACGGAATCGTCAACTATGGGTCTGAATGGGTATCTGGTATTTCAGCTGCATCATGCACCGTTGGGCAATGCCTGCGGCATGTCAGTAATATTTAGGACATCTATTCGAATGTAACCATAACCCGATGAAAGTGAAGTTGTGGCATCGCTCATCTTGCTCCTCATCTACATCCATTATCTTCATACGGTTAGAGACTACTCCTCATCCTCTCCTACGCCCCCTCTCTGCCAGCTCTGCTTCTCGGGAAGAGGGATGAGGATATTCCGGCACGGGTGTCGTATATCTTCCCCGAAGCTGGCACAGACTACCTCTCACTAGCTTGACTGGCCACTATCTATAGACTACTCGCAGACTGTCTGACGGATCAACGGTGTGGTCCTCGACCTTGACGGCGTCTGTAAGCCCAAGCCCAGGATCGAGACCCACTCCCGTCTGACCGTAAGTTCTAATTTTCAACTCGCGGTAGGGTGAAATGATGTGTTTAGTGTCATGTGGGGGGGGGGGATATGAGAGTTGCTCGCCGCATGTCAAGGCACTAAGAGCCACTTAAAACTATTCTCATGGACGATTCTTCTTTTAGATAATAGATACTGCGTACTGCGACTAATAACGCAGTATATCAATGGTAATACGATCCTGCTTCGAGCATCTCACCCTGGTCTGATGCTGATCTCATTCTAGGATGACCATCAGAAGGTCGCCCATCCGAACGACACCGTTTCCGAGTCATCTCACCGTTCGTGAGCTCCAATTCTTCCACCATAACACAATCGTCAATCACTGGGGTCTCATCTCGCTGCTGCTCGGGTGATTTATGCGGATGAGGTCACTTTGGGTATCGAGGTATCAGAGGAGGCATTCAACAATCTCCGTGTATTCTTCAATGATACTCAGCTTGTGCAGCAACTCCGGGTGATTACAGCTGGGTCGGCAGATTCGCTGTGACGCTAGATATCGATGGAAAAGCGAAGGTACCAGTGCCGATACCCCAGGGTTGAAACTTTACGTTGAAGCCGTGAGGATCAGTCTTTCATTATTTCTATCAATCACTTGTACTGTCGATCATTCATCATCCGTGACGCCAGTACGATGTCGTAAAGACGTTTAACACTCTGATACAGATACTCAGCGCATAAAATATCAATCACGCGTCCTCGCAGATCCTACTAGCCGGCACTTGTCTGGGGGGTTCCACCTGCCTTCTAATAGTTTCGTCAAGGTAGGGATTCCGTGTCATATCTCTGCACAACACACAGCGCCTTTTCCAATCTCAACTTCAGGTCAAAAGCTTAAGCCCGTCTACTTTCAATCGTCACCAAGTGATAGAACTGCTCATTGAACAAACAAAAACATACACTACACCATAGTAATGAACACAACAAGTGATAGCGAAAAAAAAAACAATAAGATACGGAGTGTAATGGATAGTGGACGTAAAAGGTTCGTAAATAAATCCAAGACATTCCAATAGATTGGATACGGTGGCATTCAATTATAATCCCATGGTAGATGCAATAGATCGCGCAACCGACGCACCGCGTACGGACGGTTCAGCAGATCCGTGACGCTGACGCTCCCATAATTTATCTTGGGCCCGGACTTCAATGTTTTCGAACGGCCCTGATTGCGACAGTTTGACGCAATCCCGAGTTCCAAGAACGAGCAGTTCGAAAAAGAAAGAAGCGGCAGCTCGACGTGATGCCTGGAATAGTCGTTATTAAGATCAAAAACCCAAATTCACGAAAGAGGTACCTTATCAGCCATCTTGCGGAAACTGATTACTTTCTCCCCTGCATCATCTTCGCCAGGCCTCAGCTCTCGCCTGATGACACCCAGTGCCTTCACAGTATTCTTGCTATAACCTTTGCCTTCTGTATCCGTTGGTTCTGCCTCTTTCTCTTGAGTCTGTGTCGATGGTCGGATATCAAACATAGCAATGGGGCACGTCAGATCGGCATAAGTGTCCGTGCCATCCTCCAACAAGTCACCGGCAGGCGTCGACATCCGACTTCTGTCAGTGGGTGCCGCCGACTTTTCGCGCACGTCGAGACCAACATCAAGATCAAGGTCCGGAACATCCAACTGGAAATCCTCCACGCCACCTGTTTGATCGCCGAAGTCCAGTGCATCAGGTCCAACACTGACACCACGGCCCACGACATCGCTCCCCAATGCGATACTGGGAGCCAGACTTTCCGCCCTACGGCCATGCTCAATCTCATCCTCATGGATAATCGCCTCATCAACCTTCCGGCGTTTGTTCGGGCCTTTGCCCGGAGAAATACCGCGTTTTTTCGAACCACTTATCGGTCGCATGAACATTTCCGCCAACTCAGGCGCCAACCCTGGGGGGCCAGCACATAAGAAAGTGCCTTGGGGAGTGATTCTAGTAGGAAGGAAGTACGCCAACGGGTCGCTACGAATCTCAAGCAAGCGCATCACAACAGAGGATCGAGGAAGAAAGTGGGGTTCAACAAGAATATCGCTTACATCCTTGTTCACCGGCGCACCTAGGCCATGTCGTCCTCGACCATTACCCGGACCACCTTGAAGCTCGGTCACGGCATCGATTATCTGCTTCTTTTCCTTGCGTTTTCGTTGTGTTTTAACAGGAGCGATCGGTGTCAGATCACCATTCATTTCGATTGGAGGTGGGGTAAGGGGAACATCGGAGAGAGGAGAAGCTAAAGCCGGCGGTGAGAGATAGTAATCAAGTTCGCCAGTGAACTTACAAGCTCGCGAAGACGATCGCGTCTGTCCAGGAGTCTTCTCACCCTCATGAGGAAGGTCGGAAGGTAGGTCGTTTGGGAGATCAAAACCAATACCCAAATCACCCAAGTCTACATCACCAAAGTCGGGAACATCAATGTTCATGTCCGCGTCGAAAGGATGTTCAGAAGCTTCACGGCTTTTGCTGCGACGAAGAAGGTCGATGTCAATGTCCATGTCTACGTCACCATCCAGCAGGTGAGCATCTACTCCAATGGAATCCCTGCCTGGCGCTGCATCTCGTCCAACACCGACGCTGCCATCGACGCTTAGGCCGTCGACATCCATAGAGTTGTTATTAACAGCACCGTCACCCCAGTCGAGATCTAAATCTATATCGAAGTCCTGGGACCCAATTCCATCGGTGGGACCCAAGTCGAGAGGATCATTGTAGTCAAACTGGCCAAAATCTTCAGTATTTCGTAGAGTGATGTCGTCGACACGGGCTTGATGATGATGCCCTTGTTGTGGTAAAGGGCGATCCTCAAAGTCCATATCCCTGTGCTCAGATGAGTGCATGGACATAGGTCAGAGCAACGGCATACCAGTTGACGTCGGGAATAAAAAGATTCAAGTCCAAATCGTTGTTGGCTAGTGTGATCGCGTTCTTGTTGGCCACAAGTTGGTCTTCATTCATGTCGACGATGCCTGGACGAAATGCCTGGAATGACAATGAAATACTGTGAGACAACAGTAATACGGGCTGGCGGACCATTTTGATTTTTAACAGCGCCTCATTGCAGTCATCTAGCAGATATTTGGCCTTCCTGCTATATATGCGTACAACACCGAGAAGAAGTTGTCCGCTGAGTCGCAGCGCCATGATTTCTATATCTTGACCCATTATGGCGCCTATTTTCATGTATTAAAGGGGATAGGGGCGACAGAAATTAGGGGCGCACCGACGGATTCTCCAATGTCCGTCTGCAGCGTCTGCGTCTTTGACAATTTGCGTTCCATGTGTGCAGCGAGCCATACTTTTCCAAGTGGACCGCGCCGCGACAAAATTGCCTCTGAGTAGAACTTGAGCGAGCGTGAGCATGAAAAATGTTTGTAACGGCGGCGAGAGGCTTACCATGATGGGGGTTTTCGCGAAAGAAGAATGGTTGAATCAGAACCACGCGAATCAGGTCACGTTATTTGTTTCTGCTTGGCAGAGCCATCGGCTACCAGAGTTGCCTTCTGGGTGTGCCGAGTTGTTTTCCAGGCCTCACAGTTCCCTACAGTCTACTAGAGTAAGTAATCCAGGCCTCACAGCTCCCTCTGAATCATTGAAACGGAATCTATCATGTTACAGTCTACATTATGCACAATGCTCTATACACGAGTGAACTCGGGCAACAACTCCATCATCAACCTCCCGATCGTCTTTGCTGCAGTGCCAACCATTTCCCTGTCGTTCTCACACACCAACGGCAGTACCTTTATAAACTTGTCCGGATGCCACCTCAACAGCTCTTCCTTGAGGATATCTTTTTTGCTCTTATCTTTGGAGTTGGGTCTGGCAGGATCCAATAGAAAGTCGCGAACGTTTTGAAACGTGAGGTTTACCTCCCCGGAGATCCTCTCAAGAGTTGGCCAAGGAAAGGTCATAAACGTAAGATGACCGATAGACATCGTGTTGCCTGCTTTTAAATCTGCCCACTTGGATTCGTACAAACGGTACAGCGTGGCGGAAGGTGACTCTTGGAAAGTCTAACAGAGCAGCTTCAATTAGGGGTCGTTATAGGACGAACAAGATACACTCACTGGCTTAAACGGTGGGGTATGGGGAGGAGAAACCTTGGCCTGCTGTGCTTCCCTCAGTTTGCGTTTATGTTCTTGCTCTAACCGCTCTGCTTCCTCCTCCTCCTGCTGTTTCTTCTTTCGAAGGTCATCCTGTGCCTGCTTCCTCCGTTTACGCTCGGCCTTTTCTCGTTCCTGACGATGTTTCAGCCTCACTCGTGAGGCAGCGGCGTCGCGGTCCTCGATCTTCTGCATCCGTTGTGCCATCACCTCCGGCGTGAGGTTAGTGTCGAAGGCCATTTGGCATCTGTGCGCCGTGAGAATGTAGAGGTGGGTAGAATCCAGAGATGCAACCAGCTCTTCCATATTATCTCTGTCCTCCCCATGAGGGACAGGCGGATTACTGTCGGGAAGTTTGGACGAACGAGAAACTCCAATGTTGTTGGAAAACTTGTGACGTCGAAGAGCCGACGCAATGTTCTCTACTCGGACCTTTCTGAACTGTGGCGCCATGCGTTTGGGGAGGTCGTTCATGAGTTTCGTGACTTTAGGCGTCTTCATCGCCTGAGTGTGCTGGTGGGCCCAAAACGACGCGCGTTTTGGAACAAAGGTGTCGAAGAGGGGGAAGTTTGGCGGGTGAGGGACCCTCAAGGGCTGGTAGTAGAAACTCATTGTGAAACGAAGGCAGAGAGCTGGCGGAGACACGAAGAGACGTAGGAAAGCATGTCCTGCCACTTTTTGTGTTTTACATTGTCGTGACAAAAGTGATTGCCATAAGGCGCGGTCATGTGCATTAATTGAAATTGGGTGGGCTGGAGCATTGGCCTGTCGCACGGCTGTCAGTGTGCTGAGCCTTGACTCTGACCACGAGTCAACTCCGAGCTATTTTGGACACAAATAGGCCCTCGGTATCCAAGATATGCCATAAAAAGGTGACGGTGAAGCGTCTAACGCTGGTCTTGTCCCTTTTGTCCAGTGCGCTTTGACCTGTAGAACAAGAAAACTGCAAGGTACTTGAATAATATATTTCTAGACAGTGGCTCTATACTAATCTTGCATATAAAAGAGGGCAAAACATCACAGCAGCAATCACTAAAACTTGCCTTTTTCCATCATGCAAACGAGAAGTGCTACAAGAAAGGATGCCCTGTTGCGCCCCATCTCGCAGGCGGTGACACCTTCACCTATCCCTGCTTCCGCCCAGCGACCGTCTCCCTCGATCGACAGCCGCTATTCCACTCCCGTAGCACAAACTGGCACATTCTACAGTTCTTCCGTCCTCGCTACGCCACGACCCAAGGGACGGAAGAACACTTCTACTAGTACCGTCCATAGCAGCGACGACCCAAGGGGGGCTGGGGTGCGTGGCGTTCGGGCCAGGAGACTCGACTTTTCAGCCCATGCCGCAGAACAACACCAGGACTGTAATGAGAACGTTCTGCCATCGATGCTGTCATCGCCCTTCCAGCTCAGTTCAAAGAACGCGACTGCGCTTGCACAAGCAAAGGTCTAGGACCTCATCGCCTAGCTGAACGATCCAGACGAATCAATTTCGAAATCCGGGTCGGGACTTTGTCTTGAATTCTTCAAGGAGTTCATTTATTTTCTGATATCTAATGATATCTCTTTTGGATTCCTCCGTCCAACACCCTGTAGCCATAATCGATCTTCAGTATATCGCTATATCACACTGTATCTCTTCTCTATCTATTTCTTCGTTGTGTATGCTAGTAGTTAGATGCTAACATGTAGATAATTTACTCATCTTTGCTTCTTGGAATGTACTCACATTTGAGGTGGTTACCGTTGTCGTCTGTCTTCGAGGAGTTGTTATCTGAGTCATGGATGATGTCCCCGATCCGGTGACCACGATTCACCCCTTTCCCCTCGACCACTAAGAGCCACTGTGATATCACAGCAATGGCAACCGACAGCAACTCTAATTCTGTAAACCAAGGTCCGGTTCCTCTCTCTTTCCCATCTATTCTGCGCAATGGGGCCCTCACGGACCGTTTCGCCTCAAAGAAGGGGAGAAGGAGGGACGACAACGGTGGGAAGAGGTGGATCAAGCGCAAAGAAAACAGTATGTCTTCCTCAATCCTGATTATTATAATATTCAGGTTATTCAATGGGTAAGCTTATAGCGTGCTTCGTCGGTAATCCTTATATAATCTCTGCGACAAAGAAAGACTATATTTTGGAACCGCCGTCCAATAAGACCACATTTCCTGAACCCTTACCATCGTATCTTCCTCGCACAGCCAAAGTTCCTGGAGCCCATCTTCCAACTAGAGACCCCAACTCAGCCAACGCAGGTCGTTTTTCACTCAGCCTTAAAGGGATGCGACGGGATCTTCGCAAGGCTGGTAGGCGCGCGCAGCTTCTCGTTCAGGACATAGAGCAGGAAGTCATCGATTGGTTACATGTTGGTGGGACGGTCATGTCTCCAGACACTCCTCAGACTACGAGTACGGGGGTCAGGAGAGCTATCGGCGACACCGAAACCATCTTCGAAGTGTCCCGTACCCCATTGCAGTTGGTCTGGTGCACCAACAATGATGCTTTCGGCAGATATGTTGTGCATTGTTGCGCCAGGTATCATGAGATTGTCAGCTACAGTAAGCACCATTTACCAGCCTTTTACTGTTATTGAGTACTTCTGTAGGTGAAGAAGTGGACGGTGAACGTCTTACCTACCTTCTTCGCCCCAACGTCATTCGTCCAGACTTCCATGCACCTTTTACCCTTCCAACACCCCCTGTTACTGATAACGAGACTTCCTCCCAGTTTGATACTCAATCAGAATTCACTTCTGACGTCGAATCTCTAAACGATGTTGCTACAGGTCTATCCGTTGTACCCGAGAATTCCCCACCTTTATCTCCCGTCGCAGACGTTGAACAAGACTTTGATGAAGTATGGTCGGTCCTTGGAGACTCAGATATCAAGGCAGATGAGTCGGGGGATGGACATAGCCTATCTGCGGGCTTGGCGTCTTTGACAATGGATCAAGACGCAGACATCACGCCACGGCCTTCATTACCTTTGCGTACTCGCTTGCGTCAAGCCCGGTCCGCCTCATCTCCATCACGTTCCCCAGCATGTAAACCAATTCGACTGCGTAGGCCGGTCCGGAGAAAAGCGCACGCGCCAGAGGCTCCCACGTCTTTTTATGCTTATCTATTTCCATAGATGTGCTACATAATCATCCAAAGGACATAGGGGTGTGTATATTATCCGCTTTGAACTAGTGTTGCGTTATATCATGATATCCAGTCTTTACGTCATTCATAATAATACCTATAAAGATATGTTACTTGGTCTACCCCGTTATGAGGGTCATGAGAAGATATATCGTAGATGCAATAAAGCGCTGAATAATCTCATCAGCACATCGAGACCAAGAGCAATGCCAGTGACGTACGATAGAGTTGGCGAACGTCGTTAAAACGAGAATGAAGGTCAGGTATGTCTTGGCACGAGTGTATCCCTCGCTAAAAGTGGCGGTAGTGTCACTGCCGCTTCCTAATATCAGTGCCAACAGAATACCCTGAAACGACACCATGAGGATGAAATACAAGTCAACACTTTTGGACGTACATTCGTCAAAACCCAAGTGAGCAGAACCTATAATAGACACCAATGAAATCCAGAAAGTTTTCAAAGAGAGATTCATTTACATTGGTGCGTATGCTTGCATAGTACTCTTTAGCTGCTTGTGCCTTCTCATGTTCAGAAAGCGACGTAGACTTGGGCTTTGAGACCGGAGTTCGATTCTTGAGATTTGCTATAGCCTCCTCATACAACTCATTTGTTGAGGCTTCCGTATAGAAATCGAGGTCCACCTGGGAAGCAGTAGGTCGCACCACCGTCCCTTCCGGCTCAACCTCGGCATCCTGTTTAGTCCCCCAGGAAATCTGCAAGACAATGCAAGTCTAGTGATCCCGAACAGATATTAACAAATACATACGTCGTCCAAATTTGAGAACGCATAGCTGAAGGGGGAAGTATCAAATATTATATGATGGCCGAAGCGTAAAGCTTACATATTGAGAATATTGATGTATGTCGGAGAAAGTAACATATATGGCAGGAAACTGGTCAACATATGTGACGGATCCAATGCGATCACGCTGCTGATAGCGTAGACTAGCTAATACGCATTAAACTTGAATATTAAACTGCTGCGAAAACTCACTGCCGAAAGTGATGATCACACTGAAAAGCATGATGACATTAGCGCTACCTCCTTGTGAATATGCTTTCATAGCGCAAACGACGGATGCGGTAAGCATGTATATCATGCAGATGCAAAGGGCAATCGACAAGGACTTGTACTTCCATTTTGCCCTGGCAAGCACTATTCAGCTACTTGAGCTAATGGCAATAGAAGGAAGCGTACGTTTTGGGTTTAATGCTCATAGATATGAAGAATAGGGATATTATGGTGGATGCCAGAAAATACTGTAGGGTATTGGCATTAAGCTTCAGAACCAAATGGATAAGACTCGCCTGAGCAACCCAATTAAGGTATTTGATTCCAGGTACTCCAAACGCATTATCTTCCAGAGAAGACGTTAGAACGACCTGTAACGCGCCGATATTAGATAACAGTTTCAGCGCGAGAAAGAAAAGGCGCACGAAGAACAAGTAAAAATTTCCCTGTGCATACGTTCAGCGGTGTTTAGAGCGCATATCAGAAAAGCCTCACAATGCTGAACCACGAGAATGTTAGATTCATGATATTGTACATCGTCTCAACTGTCAAACTTATTTTCCGCGAGAGACTGTGCCCGGAACGCCAGATTTGGGGGGTATGAGCAACGGCATATGTTGCAGCAAAGAACGATCCATTGAGCCATCGGCGACGCTGACTCATGAATTCTGGGAGAGCATCAGGCACATCCGTCTCTCCAATGGCTCCTTTGACATATCGTAGCACCCTATAAGGGTATTAGCAACGTAGGTCGACTCGAGAGCAACACAATTACCAGTTTGATTTCGCTTTCGCCACGAGCTCGAAGCAAAGGATACGCTAGAAGAGAAGGGTAAAATTTCGTCTCGACGAGATACAAGTTCCTTACGTCTTCGGCGAGGTCTATATGCAAAGTAATGATCAAAATGGTGACCTAAGGATGATCACAATAGAAACTTACACATGTTAGAGGTGAAGATGTCTGTATCACGGCCATGCAACACTTCCCCTTTAAAGTATGAAGCTAGAGGTCCTACACCGTTTTCATTTTGCAGAGCAAAATATCTAGGTGCATTTTTTATCAGCGTTGCCGGTAATGTGGCGGGTCGAGACATACCGGTACGCAGAGAACGCGCCAGGCTGGCCGGTGACAAATTAGTACACAGCAAATGGGCGCTCGTTGGACCTACCAGGACGCTAATATATCCGAACATGGATTCCGTGGGCTTATCCAGTATCGAACTATTCTTGTATTCAAAGTTCTGGGCAGCAACTAGGGCAAGAATTCTTCTTTGGGTTCTCCAATATCAACGCAGAAAATATTAACACTCACCTAACGGATTGAGCAAAAGCGACCATCGCTTCCCTTTGAAGGCGGCGATTTCACCACAAGCTCCACCAACGTTGGAATTCAGATCGAACGTTTTCCACAGACGATAAATGCTGTTACTTCCGGGACATGTTCCCACGTCCAGCAGTACACATACTTTGGGCTAAAAATGAATTAGGATGGTAATGGTTGATATTACCAGCTCACCTGTAACAGAGGAGCGAATGCATTGAAGAACCATCTATGGCTATTGATTTTCTTCTGGTTTTTTTCCTTCATACAGAAAATAATTTGGGTTGGGACAATTCCTTTGTCGGGGTACTTGAAATGCAAATTGGGATCAAGGCCAAAGGATGTTGTGTATTCATAAAGGTGGGCAGAGACCATATCGACATTGAAGCCCTTTCTCAAGCCTGTGATGTCTTTAGGAACCTCCTGGTAAACGCCAAGAAGCGTGAGGCAATCCAGCACTCTGGGATGAATTTTCTTTCTGCCGTCCGCCACTATGCAAACGACAACCTGATTGAAGCGTGAGCATTCAACAAGTATGCGGTGTATCGTCGTTTCTCACTTTTTGCCATCCATTACGTCCCCACGTCTTCGAATTTTTGCGTGCACACAGCTGAGATATGTTCCGCATGACCCCATACAACGTTCTGCAAAACAGAACCTCGTCTTCCTTGATTTTTATGAAGTCAACACAAAAGCCTACACTCCACAGATTCAACTTACATTATACATTGTTATGACAATAAAAATTTCTGTGGTCCGCTTCGATTCAAACTGCCGTAAACTGTATCCACTGTGTGCAAAGTCATCCGGGTCACAAGTCACTGCTGAATACCGGGTAAACAACGTCTCTGGGGATCCTCGCCATGGTAGAACGAGTTTGGGTGGAATCGGGAGATCGGTGACGAGATGACCATTCTTCAAAGCAACGGTCCTTTTCAGGTGTCGGCGTTCCGTGCGACCTTTTGGTGCGGTACCAAAATGGCGCGTTTCCACTGGTGCTTCGGGTTCGCTAGCAGCAGAGTATATCGATTCCTGCTTTGACATTTGGACTGGATAGCGACTGTCGTATTCTTCTGGATAATTGGGCTGCCCATGATATGTATCGATGTATTCCCCTTTCTCCGGGTCTTGTGAATCTCCCGTATAGTGATAACTCTCGTCACCGACAACATGATAGTCTTCATCATCAACAGCGGGAGTCGGCGACCGAGAACGAGGTGGCTGGTAGGAAGTACGAGTGAGGTACCCAGAAGCGTAAACCGCGTCATCAGAGTGGTATGCACCCGTTCCTGCAGTAAAAGGACTGGAATAGGTATCTCTAAATGGTGGCACATAGTCTTGGTCGGGATAGTAGCTGGATTGGACCGCGTAGTCAGCTGGAAATCCCGAAAACGGATCCGAAGAGGAATGCGGCGATGACCGGATCTCATCTATATTCAGCGTTTCTCCGGTCAGAATGGGGGCCAAGGCTTGACCTGGTTGGTATCGCTGGAATGACGACGTTGATTCCAAAGGCGCGTACATTTGATCAGGTGGCATCGGTTCAGTGTAGTGTGGTTGCGATTGGTGAGAGTGTGATGAAAGATACTCCGTGATTTCTGATTCCTCTTCGTAGTCGTCGGTGTCTTCGCTGTCATCCTCATTGGCATAATCCTGATAACAGTGTTGTTGATAGCTGGGCATTCTGTTCATATGCACCCTAAGCCCTTTTTAAGTAGAAACAGAGAAACAACAGACAGTATCCTTGTGGTTGAATCGATAGTCGAGAGTAGTGTCGAGGTCAACGAAGTCGGGGCAGCAAAGTGACTGGTCGACCCCGTCGCGACCGTCACGCTGTCACCTGATCGTGACAGCCCGGATGCAAAAACGCAAACATCCGAATCCCAGCGTCCATCTTATGCGCCTCGTGGCCAAGACAAGTTCCCTGAGAAGGTAACAATGAGGCTTCATCATGTACCATAGTCCACGCCAACATGGATAGCATCCTTACAGTTATAGCGGGTCTTGCGATCCGTTTCGCCCTCCAGTTCACTAGCGGCTCACAGAAAAGCAGGATCGGTCCCATGCTTCTTGGGTTCTGGGAAGGCGTTTGCGTTCATTACTCCGCCAATGCCTCTCCTAATCCAGGAGTTCCATACCTAGGATATCTGCTGCGAATATCCCTGGACCTCTTATTATCTGACAGTATTCTCTCAGTCTTTCTAACAATTCTCTGGACTCTCTTGGGGGTGTTGTTCTCGGAAGCTCTAGGCACGCACCACGGGCACGACACTACTCGTAAGAGGAAAGCTAGTGGTAGCAGACGAACCGTGTATACCGAATACCCCCCCCCCCACCAGCAGCCCCGTTCATCGCCTTCCTCGAGCAGAAGTGAGGCCTGGCCCCGTCAGGCCAGTGATTGATAGGGTTGACATTACTCGCAGTGAGGCTAGGACCTCTGTTTCAATACCAGTCGTCGCCGCTGGCTCTATCGGGCCAGGTCATCCCCCCGTTCCCTCCCCCCAGCTTCCTACCCCTCCGGCAACTCTGCTAAACGAAGTTAGCGATGGTCAATTACCACCCCCGCAGCAATCTTCATTAAACGCGGCATCTTCCGCAGCGCCACATGATTGCGGCGCAGTAAATCATCCCGCGCAGGTTGCAGATGAAAACGCCTCTGATCATCCGGGATCACCGATCAAAGATTCGTCTCCTCGTATTGTAATTCCCCTGGCCCCACAACCGCTATCCAGTCCCAATATCCTGAGTGCCATGCCCGTTGAGGTGCCCTTCTCTTCCAGGCTTGACAACCTCATTATACCACCACCCATGCTCCTACAATGTGAGTCATCGGATGATAGAAGTCTCCCTATAGGACTGGACGGAAATGTTATCCCAGAATTGCATCGTACTGAAGGAAAGATTGGTGTTGGCAATGAAGATGATGCATTGCAAACACCACTAGGATTTGACATTAATAAAGATGTTGCCGGGTCTGTCGACGATGACCTATTGATGACGCCTGTACATCTGCGCCATCCGCTGGCTCTTCAAGTCCTGTTATTGGATCGAGGGGCGGAAGAGTCTTTGCTGCAGGATCCACTGCACATTCAAGGTTCTAGCGCCTCGGTTAGTGTGTCTGCAGCTCGTACTCCGCCAGATCCAGATAACTTAGCGGTCGTTGATGAGCCTGTCACAGCGGAGAACCTGGATGCTATCCCTGTTCCGGCACCGGCCACTGTGCTACATCGAGGCATAATTCTGCCCGAAGACTGTAACTCTGCGTCGTCTTCCTCGCCATCGTTAACTAGCGCAATAACTTCTCCCGACTCGCCGATGCTTAGCAGTCGGGCCGAGGCGCTACGCAAACAAGCATGGTCATATGAGGCGACAAAGAAAAACTTGAAGATGCGTCTCAACAAAGCCATCCAGCAACAGAACCGAGCCCAAGAGTTCTTACTGAAACAGGAAATCGACGACTGTACACGAGAAATAGACAAGTTGCACGAGCGGGCAGCGCGAAGACATTATCATTGTAAGAATTTTAATCATCCTCTGGTGTGCTTGAATGACGTTTATTTTCAGCACGCAATCGTTCATTGCAGTCTAACACTATACCTACCATCGACTTACATGGACTGCTGACTACAGAGGCTGTAATCAAGACGGAGAAAGCTTTCAAAACAGTCCTTGAAGAAGGAGGAAATTCTCTGCGTGTGATAGTTGGCAAAGGACTACATTCCAAACAAAGGAAAGTGAAGTTGAAACCTGCGGTTGAGAAGGCGATGATGGGGTGTGCAATGCTCCTCTTTTACACTTTCCGCGATCTGATGCCTTTTGTAGCCACGGAATCACTTGTGCAGAGGACAAGAAAAACACCGGCGTTCTGATTATTTCAACGCCAGCAACTTGGAAGATTTAGGTATAAGATATATTCTTTGTTCCCGCCTGCGATTGTTTGAGATGGTCTTGGCGAGATGGGTAGTCCTAAAGCATACCTCAGGTCATCAGTCAAGTGTATTCAAAATCTTCGTCTGACACGATCATCACGAGCCGTCTTGTTACGAGTCTGCAGGTTATATTCGCAACTCGGTCCCTGATATCTATGGTAGCAAGTATCAAAATGCATTATGCTGTGCGAAGAACACAGACATATCAGTCATATTGAGCGCTTTCCTCTAGTTCCGCCTAGAGCGGATTTGCGCTTTCGAAATAGACTCGCCCCCTTCTCAGAAGTAGGACCGTCACCATTGATGTTGGGTTTGATGTCTAGCGCATTTTCTTCAACTTTGACATCCGCGCTGTGGCCCTCCTCATCCTTAACGAGGGCGTCCGGGCGTTTTTCAATATCCTCTGAATCTGCATTTATCTCCCCAGCCTTTTTCCACTTTGATATTGGGATACCAGAAGAACCCAGTGATTCTTTCCCAGAGGGTGAGGCAGCTTTTCCAGGAATATCCACCTCTGAGTCCTCTCTCTTCCGCTTGATGGGGATGGCACCAGGATCGTATATCTGTCCGAGACCGGCGTCTAGAGTGCGTTTGCGAAGCTGGAAGTGGCGAGAATCATCCTTGCTTGCGTGATCATCTGCTGGATGCTTAACCCCCGCGACTTGAGACGATGACGATTCAGTATCCTGGGGTGGGGTGGGCTCAACGACCTCCCAGTTCCCAGCTATACCTTCACTTCTCCGACGCTGAGCCTCTAGTAATATTCTCTCGGCATCGGGATCAGTATACCCGAGCGAGCTGGCCGTGGAGTAGTCTGCGAAAAGATTTGATGGCTTTGGCTTTGGCTTTGGCTTTGACTTGGGTGGTGCAGCAGAGGTTGACGGCTGTGCCGTGGACTGTCTGGCAAATCCGGCACCAACATCTACGGCGAATGCAGCTTGAGCAGCCTGATATGAAGTCAAGGTGGAATAATGAATGAATGGGATATGATCGCACCTGTTCCACCCTGGCCATTTCGCGTTTCTCCTCTGCCTGATCCTTCTTCCTTCTTTCACCCTCCTTGTAGAGCCCTCGAATGAACCTGTCCCGATTTCCCTTGTGTCGAAGACCATTCTCATGTTGTTGTCGGGAAGGAGCATCATCGGTAATATAAATGTCGCAGTACTTGCAAAAGTATTTTTTCTTGGAGACCCAGTATTCACTCATAGTGGTGGCAGATGAATGTAAACACGTCACTGAACGTTCGGCTGCCAGATAGTCGGGCCCGGATTGTTGCCATTTTAGGAAATCCAACTGGATCTTAACTATCCAGCCCTCGTCTGCACTCATCCTGCATGTTTCTGGGCTTGGTGCTGAGTACGAGAACACATTTAACAGTGTTTTATATGTACTATGTTGTTGTTTATACCAAATTGCATGCCTTACAGCCTTTTTAACTGCAAAACATGACTCAAGATTTCCACAGAAGTTCTGTTTTGCTTCATGATTTTAGGGCATGGGCACTTTTGGAATTGCAACTTCAAGTACATGCCGAAAGATTCCCGAACCTTTGATACCATCATTTTATCATGATACTTTGATATATTTAGTACTTTAGGTAGAATATTTTAGATACATTTTGTAGTATATAAGGAGCTCATCTCAAGCTCTAGTAGCTAATAATTTAGTATTCTCTACTTAGCAAGCCTCCCACTACATTATTCACAAAAGGCACCAACAGAAACAGCATTATATAGCTCAAGGCATAAAAGAAGCCAGCATCCAGATTTACTGGTTGACTAGATATGGTGTGAAGCAGAGTGACTATTCATATGATTCAAGTTCAATCAGAACCTAGCCCAATGATAGAGCATGGGATTTGTATGAATGTCAGTGGTGTATAAGTACAGCCAGTAGCAAGTCCTCTTATCTGCAACTTCAAGGTGGTGATACTCTGGCCCGATCCAGGTCCAATGGTAAGAGTTCACACTTTGAAGAGCTTTTGGGGTGGAAAGAAGATGTCATTCCTTTGTAAACTAGCTACTTATATACTACTTTATGAGTAAACTAAAGTCATTGAGAGTCATCTCATTCTACTGACTCTTTCTGACTAGAGCAACTATCCAGCACTCCTTTAGATATATCATTGTATCCCTGTGACCTATGTTTGGGGCTTCCAGCACAAATCGTTCTGAGGGTAATGTTATGTTCTCCGGATGCTAAGAATAGTCTTAAAATGGCAACTGTCCCGGCCCAATTATCTGGCAGCTGGACTGACCCTAATTACATGGCATGATGCACATGGCCGCTTGCTCCTATTCGACCGAGTCCCTGTTAGGCCCATGGGTATGCGGTAGTGCTTCTGATTCACGCGGTGCCCTCTGCTCTGATGAGTAGGAGCTCTGCCTGGTAGCTGCGGTCATCCTATCCTGTGTCAATGAGCGTCCACTCCTCTCAACAGCTCGAAAAGGCCGTCCTCGACCCAGATCTACAACCTATCAAGGATATAGAGCCTATCACCGTCACCTCTAATGTCGCTCAGTCTCCCCTCGAGTATCGCCTCTACAAACGGCGCTTTGTCGGTGTCTTTGGCTTGGTCTGCTTAATCAACCTTCTTCGTTCGGTTAGATATACCTTACAAGCTTTCAGGTTGTTCTAAACGTCGTCGCCGCTATGAGTTGGCCGTGGTTTGGCCCCATATCCAACGAAAGTATGTGCACGTCGTCTTCGGGTTGCATATGTTCTCATCGGCGGTCTATAGCCTCTCTGGAGTTTGGCTTCTCTTTAAACCGAGTCAACTGGCTGGGGAATATAGTCGCCTGCATCTACCTCCCTGTGGCAATTCTTATCCCGCCATTTGTATCTCGATATGACATTCGACGATGTGTGCGTATCATCCTGCTCGCTGGGATCTGCCTCCTTGACTATAACTTCAGTGTGATGTCGGCGCTTTGTGCTTAATTCTCTCTTCTTGGATAAGATATGCAGGGACAGCCAAATCTCTGTCTACACAAAGCTCTTATGCTTTACTCATGTTCGGTCAAGTAAGCCGAACAGTTAACCGGTTTCGAATTTCTGTCTCACTAGAAACGTCAGCTATTTGCGGCGGTTGCGCAGCCTATCTACCAAGTGCTCGGTCCAAAGTATTCTGAAACTTGGTTCAACTTGCAAGGGAGGACAACCGCTACAATGATCATAGCGATTTGTGTGTTTCCTCCTGTGGCTGATGCTTGTTGTATGCTAACACAGAGTCATAGCTAATCCCATCGGGGGCGCCATTGGCCAGCTTCTCAGCCCCCTCGTGGGTGACACTCAGCAGTCGGTACGTTAGAACATCTTTGACCGTCTTCTTTTCGTTAGCCTTCATACTCCAATTGATTGTAGAGTTGACAGATTCTCGTTCTTGGCATCATATCAACCGCTGCGACTCCATTCGTTTTTCTCATAAGATCTGCTCCTCCTACGCCGCCCAGTATGAATACGCCTGCTCCACCTTTTCGTATGCTAACAGCCATTATCGAAAGCTTATGCTGCATCCCGATCGCCTCCTTCTCTTCTCTCCTTTGTCAAACGGGTAATCGGTCTGGATAGAACAACAGGAGAGCATTACATGACTCTAAGAGAACGCTTTGATTTTGGGATCATATGGTTCATCTTCTCCGCGCTGGTGGCTGCGTAAGTAAATATTTCATCTGCATTGTACTATGGCCGAACATGGTTTCTCCTAGAACCAATGCTTTCGCCTTATTGTCAGCAGAGATTCTGGTCGGTATAATTTGTGCAACATGTGTGCTAAGACTAATGGTTGGGACCAGGAACCTGTTGGGTATTCATCTGATACCAGTGGACTGATGGGGGTGAGCCTGCATCTTGATTCCGAGATATACCAGTGACCTGACCTGATATGGCACAGGCCTGTCTACTTCTTACGGGCATCGTCGCTGCAATAGTCACTGCGCCACTTTTCGATAGAGTTTTCACTAGGCATCTCGCTCTCACAACGAAGATAGCAATACCCATCGTGGCCGTAGTGTGGTTATCCATGGTCTGGGCAGGTATGTCCGGTGAAACGCTTCTTCGATGCGTCGCTAATGATGGGATGTTGTCAAATAGTGAAGCCAAATAATACCGGCGGACTGTTCGCCATCATGACCATTCTAGGAGTCGGGTCAGTCCCCATGCTGCCTGTTGCACTAGAGTTGGCTTGTGATCTCACCAGGAACGCGGATGCAAGTTCTTCATTGTTATGGTTTGGGCACGTCTTGATCGTCCCATGTGTTTGCGTCTCTCACGAATTCAACAGAGGAAATCTTTTCGCTATCATGTTTATATTGGGTAGGTCGTTTCATCCTTCGTTCCTGTCAGCAGTCGCTCATAGACCTAGTGATGGATGCATTGAGAGCCGGTCCAGATGCAGAGCCGCCTCTTAACATGCGCCGCGCATTAATATTCAACGGAGCGTTCGTGCTAGCTGCAGCATCATTTGTGATTCTCTTGCAGGGAAGGCAAGTGAGAAAGGAAATGGATGAAATTAAACTCCAAGAGTCGACGCAAACAAGGAGAACAGACGAGGACTTGGAAGCTCCACCATGACACGCCGATAACTCTTATCCTCATCGTTTGTTAACCATCGCATCCAATTTGCTCGATCTATAAATTAAATCTCAATGCATTAGTGCATTCGCACAATCAGTTCTTAGATTTAAATCCCCGAAAGTATTTTTCGCGGAAGTCCTTGTGAGCTGGGACATGCTGATCTTCTGGACGGTCCTGTGCTTCGACCACGGGCGGTAGATAAGTAACTCTGACAGTTTTTTGTATAGTTACGAGCTTGGTATGAATCAGTCAGTCATACCATTGAAAACAAGGAAACACTGACCCTACGGCCCCATGAGCCAAAATCTTGTAACGAGTTCGCGATGACCTCCATCCCTGGACAAAGCATAGAATATATATCCACCTCTTCGTATTCGTCTGTCACAGTGGGAAGGAAAAACACTAGCCTCCCTCCAGGTTTCAGTAAATACCTAGAAAGCAGCACAAGGTCAACGGCAAGCCGTGAAAGTTCATATGGTTTTGTTGGGGGAATGTAAGGCTGATCGTCCCTGTACCTATGTCAGCTTCATCCGCGAGAAGACGATGCAAGAGTGATAAATACGGTCTAGGAGATGCCCTGTGTTCAAGGTATGCAGCCATTTTAGCAGGACTCAACTCTCGTTTCCGACCTAATCTTTTGGCACCGGCCCGGACACCATCTTGAGAGACGGTCAGCATGGCGAACGACTTCATGGATGAACATACAAGGAGGATCAGTTATAATGGCATCAAAAAGGTCTCCGCATCGCCAAGGATTTTGTGTGATGTCGAAAGTGCATAGATCTACAATTCTGGTTGCCACTCCATACTGCGTCGCTGCTCTTATAATGCCCGGAGTGTCACCTAGTACGAAGAAAGGTTAAGCCTTTCTATGCAGCATGTATGAGCAAAGGTTACCTTTTCCTCTCATTTGCCGTCCATCGATATCAGATCCAAATATTTGGGCGCCAAAATAAGCTGTCGGCTGGGTTCCTCACTGAAACATCGATTTGGACAAAGACTGAGGTTAACCTACATACGCCATGCTTCCTGTTCCCATAAAAGGATCATAAATCACCTTACCGGGGGACGCCTGTGGACAGAGTCTAAACGATTATGAAAGCTTCACCGACAAAATACCGACCAGTGTCTGATTGGCCATGAGAAGGGAGATTTCGGCTTCCATGCTGGTGTTCCCATAGTATGATCGTTTCTTCACGTCGAACATGGTTATCAGAGATCGAGCAGAGCCCATGGCGACCTTGAGTAGCACGATATGAGTGCGACTCGGCGTGTTACATGAAAAGATCTGACGCACTTGTCTCCCAAAATACACTTGTTTAAATAAGCCATCTCCTTCGTGTTTTTCCCGAGTGGTACCATGCCGGTCGATGTCTACATGAATGCATATCAGCAATGCTCACCGTGTGGTTATTAAACAAGACTTGCACTCTTCAAAACAAGCCAGCACGATGTCTGGATTCTTCATGTCTATTTTCCCCAAGAAGCCCATATAAGAAAAGCTTTCAACAATGTCTCTTTGCCGTAATTGAGGGATTTTATGATTGTATGCGGTGACAATAAACTTGAAGGACGTGTCTGGTATGTATCTGGCCCATTTGTTGCGATTGTTGCGATTGCTGAGATGGAGCTCTTCATACGTCGATCCATGACCGTAGTATTCATAGACTGATCTAGTAGCAATGTCAGACCAGGAGTCACCAAACGGAATGCGACACACTTGATCAAAATACTTCGACTTGCGAGCAATCGAGCGTGCTCTTCGCATTGGAGACCAACGATTAGAAAAGGTCGAGTGGGATCCTGATCCTCTGGATTTTCGGGCAAGTTCAAGTCAAAACCAAACATTTTCGAAAGAGAAAGCAGCTCTGGTATGCGAAATTCATGGTGTGCTTGGGCGAAGAAAAAAAGGTACTGAACCGTCATTCTGAGAGATGATATTGCACCGCCACGAAAACTCTCTCGATACGGAACGCCGGGCCGACAATTGCAATGCCCTAGTAATGTCACTATCCATTCTGCAAGTAGCAGATGCTATAATAGACTCTGTCGAATCTACAGGAGGTACCTTTTTCTTTGCAGATATGTCGTGCATAAGCAATTAATGTTTTCAGTGACGGATGATGCCCTACACCGACTCCAGGTGGTCTTTCCTGAACCATTAATCCTTGCCGCGCTCGACATCATTGACAGAGAGAACGGTAATCTCTCCTGCTCACCGATTGATTCTATCTGACTCTCCCTGGAAGTTGTCAAGTATGAAACAATCTCGGGGCATGTTTATTACGAAGTCGCTGGGTCTACAGGAACACACACAGTCAACATTGGTCTAAACCTGGGCCCTGTGTCCAGTTTTTGCACTTGTCCTGCATATATATATGCCGTCCTGCTCTCTAAGTCACACTTGATGGTCAGCATCTCGCCATTTCCCTCTTACATCGTCATTGACGGAGCTTCAAAGTGCAAACATCTTCTTGCCGTTCGTCTCGCCGAGCGTATCCATGCCTGTGTTCGTCGCCCGATAGGGCAAGAAGAGTTGGCTGTAACATTGCAGCACCGGTATACAAATGTATTTTGAGAATTATCTACGCCAACGTCAAGGTATCATAACAGACCGAGGAAAGAAATAATGATAAGTAACAGAAGCATTCTCCAACGAGCTGAAATCTATTCAATCTCATCCTTGCATCTCCACGCCAAAACGGTGGCATAGTCCTTCAAATTATGAACGAGAGCTTTGACAGAATTGCCATTTCTGACGGCATCATTGACGGTCGAGGGGCTTTCTGACCCATCTTCTTCCAGGCCTGAAACAATGGAAAGCCAATCCGCCAGCTTTCTGATGTCCTCAGGGTCCGAGAAGCCCCACCATTGGTCCATCTCCGTATCCTCAGCACTGTCATCTTCGTGGGTTAAAAGCATACCCGTCTTCGGCTTCTGGCCCCAAACAGCGATGAAAGACGACCAGTCCAACAGAGATGATCCGTCCTTCCCTGCGCGAGTACAACCTCTCCTTTTCTTGGGTTTCTTTGTCCCAGCTGCCATCGCGGAAACAAGCTGCATAGCGTATTGGCGATCGTTTACGCCAGGTGAGAGGGCCCAGTAGATCCTACCATCTCCGTCTGTACCCAAAGGACCCGAGCGCAGAGAGAAATCGTGAGAGGCAACTTTGAGCGCGCGGTCCAAGTTTTCGATGATTTCTTTATGCTCACGACGTTTCAGTCTGAGCTCTTGCACCTGTGATTTCCCGAATTCGGCATCGTAGACAGTAGGGTAGAAAAAGATGACAGACCTCGAAGCCTTTTTTACCATCTGCAGACCCTTTCATACCTTCCCACCGTTCGTGTTCCTTTCTCACAGCTTCTTGCTTTTCTCTAGTCTGATCTTTTCCAAGCTTCACACCATCCTCGATCTCGGCTCTAATAGCTTGTGTCTGAAGCACAGCCTCTACGAGACTGAGGACGATAGGAACTAGTTGTGCGGAAGATGCAATGAAAATCGAGTTGTAGGGACGGTTCGAACCTCGCGCACTGCGAGTGTTATGCGTTACTGCCGAGTCCGGACAGGGCAGAGGGTCGGGTATGAAGACAGTGTGCTTGATATTCTCGATAGAATGACGCAGGACAGCGAGAATATCCCACATTTTGTTGAGGTTAGCACCTGATCCTCGGATATCTTTATAGCAGACTTTGATCAGCTAGGAAAGGCTGTAAGGAAGCAAACATGTCAGAGAAAATATGTTCACCACCTTTACGATAGCCCCATCGCATTCTTCAGACGATAAAAGACCCAACAGCCACAAGAGAATGGACTTGACGGCAGGTTCGCTTATCCATTCGACCAATTCGTCATCTTCGCTTGCACATCCGCTTCCTCCGATATGAGCCATCTCTTCAAGATGCGCTTTACTGATACCTGATCCCGTTGACTGTGCAAAGCGTAGAACAAATTCTCTGATGAAAATCCGTGCTTCAGCGTCAACAGCGCTGAGATTTGATTTTATACTGGTCCAGGCTAGACTTGGCGTGACTCTCTTCTTCGTCTTCTTGACAGTAGTGGTACGGGCCTCAGCAGTGGTAGGTCTCCCGGAGTCGTTGTTTGCAGAAGAAATGGCTTTCGCGATAGTAGGTCCTAAAGATTTGCTGTCTTCCTTACGGGCAATATGTAGTTGGTTCCTGGTAGAAATTTGAACGGGCTGCATTGACAACATCGACAAAGGCTTTACCCAATAGGTGCCAGTCCTTTAACCTTTCTGCAGCGGGAACAGTTGCAAATGTCCCTACATTTATAGCATCTACAGGCCCGGCGCTTAGTGAGACGGGCGTGCCTTCGGTCACAGACGTACTTGAATACGTAGCTTGCTTCTTTAGTATGGCCCTCTTTACCGACTGAGCCATCAGACAGCTTGAGGGTGTCCAAATCTTCGTTGTATCGATTCTTGAGGCATGTACGGCAGAATTTCACGCTGCAACGACGCGACGCGGCTTGACCAGCACGCGTTTGTGTCGAGGTGCATTGAAGACAGTCTGAGGACGATGCTTAGCTGACTTCATACAAAGTCATACAGCTAATAACTCACCGATAGGATCGCGCTTTTTATTACACTGATGGCAGTACACACCTGGGGCACCCGTAGGAATCGATTTAGCTTTCTTGGCAGACCCAGCTGTCTCTTGATCATCTGCTTTTCTCTTCATCGTATAGTTAAGCGAAACTATATTATTACTGGGTATTCTTGAGAGAGCCGTGTTTTCTTTGATGCAACTGCTGGTGGTAGGAAGGGGGGAAGCAAAGGTAGGCCTGTGATATAGGCGAAGAGGAGAAGGAGGGATCTCGACGTGGACTTTCATAAAGTGACGCGCAGAAGATGCCGGGGTGAGCTCCATTGTTGTTGGTGGCACTGTGGTGGTCAAAGATGGCGGTCTAAGTTGAATGTTGGGACCAAGTTACCAATTGTTTTGTGATTATGTCAACGCGTATCTATCACGTGCTATTGTGGGAAAGAAACTTTTTCATTCCGATTCCCGAATCAAGCTCAGTGCTTACCCTTCATCCGCCTCCCCCACATCTCCCTTGGTTCTCCTCAATGGCCCACGCAGATCACTCCCGCGATCCCTGGCAAGCGTTTCTCGGTGTCATCTCACAAGTGCACTAAACATAACTCCTCCAGTCCATGGGTAATTCTCAATGACTTCGGTGGTGCATTCGCAATGGGTGCCGTTGGTGGCGGTATCTGGTATAGCATTAAGGGTGCCCGGAACTCTCCTAGAGTGCGTGCATGATATATTCAAAATAATTCCTTCTCATTGCTTCGTTCAGGGTGAACGGTTTGTTGGTGCCATATCATCCATGAAGGCCCGAGCGCCAGTTACAGGCGGAAATTTTGGTGTATGGGGAGGAATGTTCTCAACATTCGATTGTGCTGTAAAGGGCTGGAGACAAAAAGAGGATGCATGGAATGCCATCATATCTGGATTCATGACCGGTGGATGCCTAGCTGCTCGAAGTATGTTGCTGTTTCCTCTTCCCCTTATAGTAGCTGACTGCCCTCTTTCTCTGATACTTAGGTGGACCAAAATCTGCATTAGGATCCGCCATAGCTTGTGGTATCCTTCTCGGCGTGTTCGAGGGAGTCGGCGTTCTTGTATCACGAGTATTTAGTGAAGGACAACGGCCACAGATGGCCCCATGTGCGCTATCGTCTTTCTCAACTCAGCTCTTGCTTATAGATGTGATACACAGTGCCGCCGTCGATGGCTCCTCAACAGCCAGCCCCTTCATCCATTCCTGGCTTGCAGTAGATACCGCCCCATCAGTACACCGCTTGTCTGCATCTTCTTCTATACATTTAATTCTCTCCTGCTCTCAAAATACCGTCAAATCGATAAGATGGATGCGTTGATGCACTCCATATTCCTGATTCCTTCTTTAGTTATAGCTCGGAGGGACTTGGGTATGAGTGACATCTAGGCAGTAAGTACTGACTCCGACGAGTACAGTATTCTGGTTTCTTTTGGCCATAATTGACACGTAAAATTTCAGGTTGACGATGGAGCGACGTCATTCGTGTTCAAAGTCAAGTTGATGGCCACATGATGTCAGTCTCATTTCTCGTATATATATATATCCAGGTCAATCGCGTCGACTCCACATTCACCCCTCAATTATCCACCATGGCTACCATTCTTGACCCTTATACCGCAAAGGCCGAAAATAAGGACCTCACCTCCCAACAGAAAATCGAAGGTAATTCATATCACATGGGATCTTGAAGTATTGAGATTCATACTATGCAGGACTTCATGAGATCGTACAATCCGCGAGGACTGGTATGCTCACCACAAGGTCTGCAGATGGCCATCTCCACTCTCGCGCCATGATGCCCTCCGCTCGTATGCTTGCGGAATTGATAATCTGATCCATCTTGACTCGATGTCGTTGTAGCTTTCAGCGGAACTCAGTTGGTTCTCGCCTTTGTTGCCAATAACGCAAGCCACAAGTTTGAGGAAATTGATAATGATTCCCACGTCAACGTCAGCTTCTTCAACACTGACACTACGAGCTGGGCTTCGTAAGTTCATTATGTGCTTCGGAGGTGCATATATTCACTTCATCGTCCTTAGCTATTCTGGAAGAGCCAAAGCCGGCCGAGACAAGGAAACGATTGCGAAACATTGGTCTAGTAGGTGCGTTTATTACCTGCAGATCGATGCCACAATCAACGTTACTCAAAACGTATATAGCTTGTCTGCTTATTTCGGTGACCTCGGGGACGGTATCCACAAGGGCGATGAAAATGACCCTCGTATCTCCATAATTGAAGTGATCCCCGAAGAAATCAGGTACTGGGTGGCGACCAAGGGGTCCCTAGGACGCGCTATTGATACCGCAGTCAGCGCTGTCACCAAAAACTGCGCGGCACCCGGCGAATTGAGGACTATCTCAAAGCCAGAGGTAAGTCTATCAATGACCAGTATTGCTTTCGTGTTCTGATCATCATCTTTCTAGATTCAGCTGACACAGCGCTTGCAATCGACGTCCCGAATTTACTGTCGCGTTCCATCGGAATATGAAGTTTCGTGGATTTGGCCGTCATGTACTTTTAGTAACATATGAATCCTTTACGAGTTTGCCTTGTGGCGCATATTTTATAATTCTTTGAAGGGAATCATCGCAAACTGGTATCAGGACATGCGCGTGTCTATAACTTTTATAGCAGACCGAGTATTGCTCAAGAAGACGGTTTCACGATCCGCAGTCGTAGAATGAACTTGGGTGAAATAGGCCGGATGGATGGATGTAGGCATGTACAGTCTTCTACAAATCAACTCGTGGGCTAGATTCAAGAAAGTTGCCTTCATATGGTAAGCCGCGTTCCTCATCGTTGGAATTTCAGAGTGACACTTTTAACCGTTACCTCAACCTTTAGACCCTGTTTTCCGTCAGCAAGAGTGAACACGCCTCGCAAGTTCTTGCCATCATAGTCGACTCTGATGAATGTTGTGGTACGTATACTAATCGTTTTGAAAGCGAAATCCGTGTTGACCCCTCCGCAGGCAACAGACCAACATTCAGAATCCCTTGCAGCCATGTCCGTTAGGACTTCACTTTGTGCCCGAGAGAGACCTGAGTCTCTCAGTCTGTCAGGCAATGGTGAATCCCCGGTTTCTGTTCACTCCTTTCCCCCCGAAATACTGTCCTATATCTTTCTACTTGGTCAGGGAGAAAGTCGGGGCGACTGCGCGCCGATTTTGCTGAGTAGCTATCACGATGCTCCTCACGCCAATCTTCCTTTCGAGCTCACCATTTCCCACGTCAATTCCTACTGGCGAGACGTTGCAATATCTACCCAGCTCCTTTGGTGTCGTATCATCATTTCAGTCCACTCTCGGAGCGAGTGCGTGTATACGTACTTGAATCGTGCCGACGGATGCCTGTTAGACGTACGAATCGAAGCTGCCAATAACAATGGTTGCGATCTCGACCCTAATATTCTTGACGCCGTGTGTATCTGTATCCCCTCCTGGCGCCGTTGCGTCATTGAATTGGAGCTGGAGGAAGAAGCTCACCCCGTTATCACACGTCTGTGCGATGTCACCGCTTCCAATCTTCAATACATGTCCCTTACTCTAAATGATTTCGAAGGTGCATCAAGGGCGCTGCACATCTTCAGGGGTGGCAGTCCAGCCCTTTCTTTCGTCCGCCTGCGGGGACTAGCCGTGAGGTTCTTCCACCCACCTTTGAATGCTGCCACAACCCTTCACCTCGATCAAACGAACTTTACAGTCTTCCGCTATGATTCGTTTCGGCAGATGCTGATGTCTACCAAGAATCTGATACATCTATCCGTGTATGGAGACATCATTGGGGCCGTACCGTGGCCTGAAGCCAATGATCGCACCCTCATTCGGATGCGAACCCTAAAATCGCTACGTATCTGTGGATTCAGCGGATATGTATACAGTGGGCTTCTGCTCAACCTGGAAGCACCACAGCTGGACTCACTCATCCTCAAAGGTGCAATCGATAGCGATTTAGATCTCTTCCTGTCGTCATCCGTCTCGTCAAAATTTCCCGACCTCCACCACCTTACGTTTTGCGACTTGAGTCTTTCCGTCGAAAGCCAATACATGCAGCTCTTCGCATTGTTTCCTTCAGTAATTGAGTTCACCTCGTTGAATCCTGCCGTTCACGCTGCATATGTGCTCAGATATCTAGCCACGCCTCTACAAATTGACGGGTCTGCTCCTTGGCCGAATCTTCAGAGACTTAACATGATTCTCAATTTTTCGGAGCAATCGCTGATTAAAAATGTGGTAGAATGGCGAATCAATTCTGATCGCCCGCTCGCTAAGTTGTGCTTCATCGCGGAGCAGGAACATTTTTTGGATCTTAGTGATTTTGAATGGTTGAATGACCACGTCGATATGGAGGCTGTAGAGGAGTTTTCTGATTGTTGGCCGAGAGATCTTAAGTTCGAAGACAAGGACGACTATATGTTGCGCTAGGATGCCTAAGTACGAAATTCGTGGTTCGGGCCTTCGGCTCTCATTTTCGGAACAATACAATTTGTCTCTGTTTTATTGTAATCTGTTTTTGGCTCGCATTACATAATACAGGGTGTTGTCCGTCGTGAGTTCACTTTGCCACTTGGTGGTTAACGCGTCGGTCGCGCCATGAAACGTGTCGCTGAAAAACAACTTTCCAAGGATGATCTGGAGGAGGTACTCTCTTTTCATTCTGATTTCTGCATAGGCTGACTGTTTTCAGGATGTCGATGAAACGGAAGGTCAACAAGGTTTCCAGAAAGCCGATGAAGATACGTTAGCTACAAGAAAGTGCGCCACTCGCCCGTTTTCCAAACATCGCAATGTTGAAGTTGTTTCTAGGATACGCGGTCTTCCACGAAGAAGTACAGTACCTGCAATCCCGGTGATTGCATCGACAGAGGTGCGTCTCTTTATCACGACGATTTGTTTCTCTTTTATTTATTCTTGTTCAGGGGCCTGCTGCACCAGTTCCTACCTCAAAATTTGGGTCCTTTTCGGGATTCGGAACACCAGGGAGCACACATTCATTCACCTTTACGCCACCAGAATCCCCAGCGTCTGGGCTGGGTGTCTCTCCACCCTCGTCGCTTAATCCCTCCCCGGCACCAGCTTTTGGGAATATGTCATCGTTCAAGGCCCAGCCGTTTGTACCTCCCGTCATCGCCCCAGCTGCATCGAGTGCAGCAAAGACCATCGGATCCATAATTCAGAATCCACCTTCTTTCAAATCTGCCGAACCTTCAGGCGGTCCCAGCAGTGCCGCCCAGAAGTATTACACATCATTACGCGGCCTGAACAAGTCATTTATAGACGCAGTAACGAAGGCCTATGCTGATGACCCGCTCGCAGATTGGTCGGAAACGCATTTTGAAACATACAAGAAACATCTACTCGCATTAAAGGCAGAGTTTGACACTTCAGAGGCGACGAAACAAAAAGCAACTGCGCCAACGATATTTTCCTCCAGCTTTGGGAAATCCCAACCTGCAGCGGGTTCGACGCCTGCTAGTGAGTCTACGCCGAAACCCTCTTCATCAACAACATCTTCCGCTACTCCCGTCACCTTCGCTCCTCTGCCATCTTCTGCCTCCAAATCCGACGGTTTGTCTTTTCCTTCCGGTTCGACAACCTTTCCAGCCACTTCAGGTTCGGACAACAACAAACTTCCCTTTTCATTCTCTAAATCGGTGCATGCTGATGCTACCAATGCATCCGGACCCTCTTTGGCCCCGTCTCCGTTCGGAATCAAAGGCTCATCTTCATCTTTCACATTTGCGCCTTCTGATTCCAAGGACAATGGTATGTCCAAGAGTACAACAACAGGAGGTCCTGTGGCCTCCAACTTCTTTGCAACCCCGCCGACGTCAGCATCTTCAAATTTGGGGGCGCTCGGTGCATTTGGAGGATTTGGAAAGCCTCCTTCCGGTAGTATTGGCAACCCAGTTGGTTTTGGCTTCGGTGACTCCAATGTCGTTCCCTTTCGCAGTAAGTCTGATGACAAAACCGAAGACGATGCAGTGCGAGACAGCTCAAAGCCCGATGGAGAAGACACTGTTGCACCTCCCATACTATTAGCAAACAGCCCCCATGATGAGGAAGGCGAAGGAGAAGAAGACGAAGAAACGACGTACTCCATCAAAGCCAAGACTTATTGGATGAATAGAGAGACTGGGAAGTGGCAAGACATGGGCCATGGTATGCTGCATATCTGCACAAATCGGTTCATACTGACATACACTTTTAGGTGTTCTCCGACTGAAGAAGCACAAGGAAAAGGGAACACGTCGCATGCTTCAGCGGAACAGCAGCACGGGAAAAATCAACCTGGTTCGTTTCTTGCTCGATTTTTTCCGCCGTTCATGAATTCAACGTCTTCCATAGAATTTTAACCTTTACGCAGGATTGAAGCCGACACTGACGAACAGGGCGATCACTTTCATTGGTCACGATGAGAACGGCGTTGCTCAGAGTTACTCAGTCCGAACTAAAACTGAGGACCAGTTGCATGCATTAAGAGGTGCTCTAGAAAGAGAGATTTCCTTTGTAAAGGCAAAAGATGAATAGACTACCGTGTGTCCATCTTTATGACACATTTCTCTTGTACAGCGAGTTTTTTCTTGCTTCAAATCATACACCATCTTCACTGACACCCGCCGCGTCCTAGCTCTTCCCAATCAGGTTCTCAGGTTCAGATACTACGCGGCTCATTTCCCGTTGAAGTGGCTCTGGGCATTATGCCAGATAGAATTGAGAACGAAGGCTTCACTAAGGAGCATTTCAATTTCGTGGTCGGCCCAGTCCTGCGTCGGAAGTGACTGCAGAAACATTATGATACCCTTTCAATGATAAATAAGGGGATAACAGTGTGTGAAAGCAACTTCTCACCTGGAAATCCATCTGCCGCAATTTATCGCTCCACTTCACCAGGAACGCTGAGCAAACATACAAATGGAATTGAGAAAATGCATCTGGTCCTTCAGCCTGCCAAGGGTTCAACGAGGCTCATTAAATAAATGAGATAGGTCTAGCGCACCAGATATGTGTCCCACATCCGGATTGTATTTTGCACGCTTATTTCTCGCATAAGGAGACAGTTCATCCATCGAAACGCGAATTGCATGAATTCGACATTTTGAGCTTCTAGGTGAGCGAACAATGGCGCTAGATCAATATCATCATTAGTTGCGAATATTTAAATATACGATACAGGGAATGTTACCATCAATTCTGGCTACAAGTTCGGCCATTCGTCGAACACTCCTTTGTATTCCAGGTTGCGCAAATATGTAATTATCCTGGATGCCATCAAGTAAACGAGAGAGACACCAAAAAGAGTCCGCTTCTATTGCATCGAGAACTGGAGAAGGGAGTAAAGAGGGATCGAAATCCTCAGGATTAGAATCTAAATAACTTCGGTCAAGTATACCATGATGAGGGACACAATCCGTTTACCGATATATGCAGAAAGGAAAACCTGAAAAAAGGGAGTCACGAGGTCATTTATTCCCTGCACATAGCCGCTTGCCGGGTGTCGAATGGCCCAAACGTATAATATTCGCTCCAGACTCTGGAAAAGAGTTACCGTGAGCGTTGTAGGGTGCAGCATAACGTACTCGTTGAGTAGCAGCGTGCATCCAAAGCCTTACACCTGGTCGGGTTCTGGGTACATCGATCTCAATCTGGTGCCATATCTGCTGATCCAGACCTTCTCGGTCGCGGGCAAATGCCACCTCGACAAGAGAAAGATATTCCCCGCGCTTCCGGGTAAGAGTGGTCGTGCGTAGTGGGGTTGGCAAGGGAAGATAGCCCTAAAAATGAGCCAGTACATCTTAAAGGTGATGGCTAATGAAGCGTGTAACGCACAAGGAGGAGCTGCCACGACATGGGACGCAAATCATCTGGAATGCCTGCCCATGCAAGTTTCCGCAATTCCGCTAAGGTTGGTGTACATTAGTGTCAGGAATCGCGTACATTAGGGAAACGTACCAATGTTGACATCCTGATTCGATAAACACTCAACGAACTTGTGACGACGATTGCTTCGTATCGACTTTTCCCGCATCAACTTCTCTGATTTTTCCGGAGCTTCTATAGGACCTTCCTTGGGTATTCTGGAGGATGACGGAGATAGGTTCTTTCGTGAACGATGGCGTATGCCGTGAAGAGGATCTTAGAATGAAAGCGCAGAAGTAAATGAGCGCAGAAAAATGGCGTCATCATTAAGCAAGGCACACCGTTCAAAATTGCATCAGTGTCTTCTCGTATTGAACCTTTATCTGTTTGGGCTTTTCCCAGGGGTGGGTTTGGAATTTCGGGCCCTGGTGCATCGTACTCAAGTTCGCCCAATATCATATCACTCTCTCCATCTGTATCCCCTAAGCCTTCGGGTGACGTGATATTGTCGTAGCTGTCGTCCTGACTTGATGAAACGTATTTTTCGGCAGGCTTGTCACTTTGGGATTTCCTGACGATTGTCCAACCAGTTTTGGGCGCAACAAACTCCTCCGTACGAGGAGGATATGAGCTGGAGTTTGGGGCATTGACATGGGTATACGAAAAAGCCAGTGCTGACGAGGACGAGTCTGATTTGTTGTATGCAGGCATCGGGACAGCTCTTGGCGCACTCGTGCGCTTACCTGTGAGGGACAGGGTAGATTGTTTGGGTGATTCCGAGTCGGAAGCGCTGTCCCAAGCATCATCCTCGCCCCAGTCAAGAGATGAAAAATGGCTGGTGGGATGGATACCAATATGGGGGCGAGCAGGAGGTGATCTAGCCGTCATGATGGCGGTTAGTGTCCAAGGTAGAGGAGGGTGGGAAATTTAGATAAGATAAGCGATAAGATGTGGCCCTGGCATTTCTTTGGATTGCAACGATCATGTCCAAATTGGCGGATTATTCGACTTGCGAGATTTCAGACGCACTGATAAAACTTGGGAGCTCAAATGGAGGCTACATACCTGACATTAACCTGATACCTACTCTCCCGTCAGATACCACCGTCTGCGGTCCTGCTTATACCGTTCAGATCGTTCTTGCCGCTGACCAGTCCGCTCCAAAACTCTCTGCCCACTTCGTGGACACCGCCCCTGCATCTTCTGTCATTGTCATCAATGCACCTCCAAGTAAGATAGCTGCTGGAATTTCCTTCTCTCCCGGCTCACCCCCATCTCTAGAACTCAAGAACGCCGTTTGGGGTGGTCTGATGACTGCCGGCGCTCAGGCTCGTTCTGCTGTAGGCGTCATTATCTCGGGTCGTTGCAGAGACATTGGCGAACATGCTAGTCTCAACTATCCTGTCTTTTCTCGCGGCCATTCTACTCTTGGCCAGTCCCCATTCACACGCCCTTCGGCCATAGGTGTTCCCCTTGTGATTCAAGCAGAGGATGATTTCCCCTCTGTCACTGTTCACCCTGGGGATTGGATGGTCGGCGATAAAGACGGTGTCGTGTGTGTTCCAAGGGACCTAGAATCGAAAGTCGTCGAGTTGACGGCGAAAGGAAGGGAGGTGGACGCCAAATGCATGGAGGACATTCAAGCAGGAAAAGGGGTGCAAGCTTCTTTCAAGGCACATAGAGGTAAATTGTGATAGTATATTGTACAACCGTGTGCGATAGATAGAGGTACATAGCATATCTTTACCTTTTCCGCTTTCCGTTGAGCTTCGGTTTCGGTATGGAAGAAGTACCAATGCTTGCCTCAGCCTGCACCTGTGAAATGATATCTCGGCTCAGACAGAAATCAATGTGGTCGTTAAACCCTTTGTTATCCGTCGTCAAGGACTTGCCGCAAACCGGACAGTCCTGAGAAAGCGTCGCTGTGGACGACGATAAACTCGGGCGCGCTATAGTGCTTCGAGGTTTAATCGATATTCGAACCGGCTCTTGTGAAGACCGCGCAGGTTCGGAGACGGGCCGCCAAGAACGGAAGAGCGGCTCCACGTTCTCATCGACGTCTCCTTCATTGGCGTTCATGTCGGTGTCGTCAAGCTCATGATATCCAGGCATTTCATCGTCCCACTGGTCTTGATCTTTCAGTGAGTCTGGGGACCGGGCATCGTCACTGTCAGTCTTGAGTCGTTTGTTAGAAGTAGATTGGTCGCTTCCAACAGACTCGAAAAACTGCTCAGAGATCAGTGGTGTGGTATTTACGTTTACAATAGGATGAGGAAACCCACCCGTTTGATACCAACGGTCGTGTCCGAGACTGCGCGTAAATCTTTCAATTTCGTCACTCGTAGGCCGATCAGTCTGAGTTTCAACGGAAACTCGGGCAGCAGCAGTTCCTTGCCTATCTAAAAGAAAGTTGCATGATGTACATGGAAAGTGTCAACAGGTCCATACACACCTTAAACAACTCCTCCTTCTTCATTATCCAGCGATCAGACGACCTGGCACGAGTGAATACTATCAAGCTGGTCAGTAATCAATCAGGAACATTCCGGCATATACAACATACCTTGATACGTATCGAGCTTGAACTTCAAGGTGATCGTCCGGCCCGTCCATCCATCGCTATTCATGTCATCTTCCAGTTCCTGGGCAACCTCTTGGAGCTTTTGGAAAATTCTCTCTTTGTCGTCTAAGGGATCGAAAGTACTAGGATTTCACTCAGTATCAGACTCGTGAATGATAGAACCAAACGATACCGTTCTGCACCTATACTTTTTCGTTCTTCCCTCTGATGTGGCTGAACATTATTTGACGCGATGCCGAGGTGGGTGCAAAGGAGAAAGCGCAATCCGAAATGTTTGTCCATCAAGGACAGCATTGCTCGGTGAGTGTAGATGTCACCACACGTCTAAAGCACCGGAACCGTCAGCCGTTCAGCTACAAAGTACCCGATAACTGCCCGCCTTTATGCCCACAGATTCTAGCAATCGTTCGTTGACGCGCCCAATGCCAGGGACCTTGCGAATTGACAAGTCATGCATGAAGGCGACGATTTCTTGGCTGTCAAAGGGCAGGTGGAATTGACCATTAGGCTTATTCTGGTACGGACACACAATCAGCTTGTGACCGCCCAAAGAGTACGAGAAATCCACCTTGTCAGAACATATCTACGGAAGGATCAGACCAGGTTGGCCCATAAAAGTAGGAGACATAACGCACTTTCGCTAACATCTTCAATGGGAAAAGTCAAGTTAGCATTTCGTTGTTGTGAGAGTACGCAGTGTCACCTTATTAGGTGCTATGCCGGCGCTAACAGTCAAGTTGGTTTCTTTGAATACCTCTTTACGCATCTCTTGGACGCAATCGTCTGAAGTGATATCGTGTTCTTTGCAATAGGACGTTATGCTGGATATGCATATCGTCAAAGGCAAAGAGAGCTATGAAATGACGCCTACTTCAAGTACCCTTCATCACACCCCGCAGCACACATGTTGGGGTCATATCGCTCGAAAATGTCCATAACTTTCCGGGACATCTCGTTATATCTTGTGAAGTTAATCTTGACAAGAATGAGTTCAGGACAGAGTTTTTTCGCAATGAAGCCTGACAACTGTGTCACTCGAATTACATAGTAGACGACGATATTCCTTACCTGGCATACCCGAGCGGACTCCATATCTCCGAGCCTCGTATGACGCTGTAGTAAGAACACCATGACCTACCTAGACGCGGCCCTCAGTCAATCGTTTCCGGGAGGAGACGAATAGCATACACCAAAAGGTTTTCCTCTGAGCTCCGGATTGTGGAGAAGCTCTACGTTCTATACATAAAAGTAAAGATGATCAGTGACTAGTATACACAAGCGCCCTGCATAATATGTACGTACTGCGTAAAATGCATCCATATCAACATGAACAATGGTTTGACTCAAGTCTCGCCGCTGTTCCACCTCTTGAAGCTATGAAGGGCATTAGCATAATTTGCGCAGCTTCAGAGATTGCATCACGAACCAGGCTGTCGACGCTCGACTCAACTTTTTCTGAGTGGATATCAGCTTCAACGTCGGTAGCTGTGTGACAGAGGGCTAAAACAACGCACGCATGTCCACCCCTTTAGTCACCTCATCGCGCATCTTCAATATCTTATTAATCCTGTTCGTAAGGTCCTGATCTTTTCGTTTTTCATTCTGGGAGGTGATATTGATAGAGTTTCACGGGAGAAGAGAAGAAAGAACTTGTCATGCCTCGTAAAATTTGGAACCTTTCGAGGCTTCAGTGATAACGCGGTTGATTTCGGTTTGGTCTGCGACAAGTCTGCGCTCAAGATGAGAAGCTGTTTCGGAAGATAAGGGAGGGGGAAGGACTGACCCTGCTTTGCTGGTGGACGGACCAGCTAGACGCTTGACGAGACTTTCTGTGGCCTGTGATGACTTCGGAGCTGGTTCAGAGGTCATGGCATCGTTCAAAGAAAGCCACTGTTGCGTACTGAGCGTGTTGATCACCGGACCGGGCTCGCGCCACCACCCGTATTGTCGTTGTGTCAGATATTCGTGTGCAAAGGTTTATCGTATAAAATAGCATTATGTATGGCTCCACAAGCGGAAGTAGTGTGCAATCACAGAAGGCACTTGGATTGTAAGAATTACCTGAGGAGTAGGTAAGGTAGTAATAGCTACCGGTACTTTCAAGGTACCGAGCACCGTAATCCCACCTGCGGATTGAGTGAATGGAAGAAATAAAAAAGGTACTACATGGATTTGTCTTCGGGAAAAAAAAATATAGTATGACCGTAGTACTACCTCAGGTATACTACGCCATCGAATTCCGACCTCGGGGGATATAGGCTGTGAACCCATGTTGTGAGCACACCACCGAATAAGACTCAAGGCCAAGACTTACGAGAGCTTGCTCTTTGCGCTAAAAAATACCGTTGAAACACCTGCATAACAGCGACGGGCAACTGGTTATCTCTTCAGGTGCCTGCTCCTGATACGATGAAATCATGCTCTTCTCATCCAGAGAATAAGAGGGTTTAGGGGTTGGAAGCCTTCGTCCTTCCTCCTCTTTGCCACGGGTCCAAGGAAGGAGCACCGAGCTAGTAGTCGACAACCAAGAATTGGAGCGAGTCCGGCGATGATTTACGCGAGCCCAACACCCTGTTCCAATTTGAGCACTGTTGGTTCTACGACGAACAAGACACCACGTAGGATGCACCTCCGTAACGACAACGGTGCCAATGGATGGGTTATATGGACCGGAGAAGTTGTGAGAATGTATGGACATTTCATCGCCATTAATGATGCCGTGAGCCGGCCCAACTTGGACACGAAAGTGGTTAGCTTTCGCGAGCGGAATGTCAATCGAGATGTAGTTCTCGTCGGGTGGGAATGGGGTAGCATTAAATATGAGTCGAGTTTTGTCGGGCCCAATGCAGATGGGGCGTTGGTCTTTGAGGTCTTCGCCGGCTTGAGAGAGCATGCGATCTACCAAGTCATTGTAGGACGTCCGGTGCAGAGATATGCCTTTGGCTGCCTCAAGAAAGGCGGAGGTAAACTTTCCTCCGTGCTTCCCCTCTATGGCCCTTTGATTGAGTCCGCATGCAGTTACCAAGGTGTGAGTAAGAGCTTGTGCATCGTGAAACCCACAAGTTTCATGACACTGACCGTGTGCGCTTTGCCATAGCGAGGAGCGAAGATCGTCGGGCGTGGCTTTGTGAGTGGAAGTCCAACGAACATGACGGCGGTCGCGAATGTTTAGAGGAGGTGCGAAGGAACTGTCTACGATCAACGTAATGTTATCTCCTTTGGCTTGAGATAAGTCCCGAATGAGGGCTTTCAAGGATCGATCTGAAAGACCGGCAATTCGACCCTCTGGACCCTTGGTATCATGATCGTACGGGCATAAAACTTGTACCTTGGGTGGCGTGTGTACGTTTCGCGAGGACAAGATACCGCTATACCAGTCTGGAGGAGACGGCATCAGGCTGCCGTGCCCGGCGAAATAAATCAGGATAGCGTCCCCTCGCTGAATCGAAGAATTGTTGACTAGATGGCTCAGAAACGCAGCTTCAATGCCAGCCTTGGTGGCTTCTGTATCGAGAAGCAGGCGTGTGTTCTCTTTCGGTACTCGAAGGTCGTTCATCAGCCAGCGATTCATCCTTTGGGCATCGGACACGCAAGAGTCCAAGTCCCAAATGGAACCCGACTTGTACTTGTCGATCCCGATGACAAGAGCGAACATTTGACCTCCCATGGTCTGTCTGGAGACAGACGCTGGTAAGTGCAGGTGAACACAGATTCAGAGGATGACGCACAGAGGTGAGTATAACAGAGAGAAATGACGAGGGCAGAACTGGAGACCTCCTCACCCTCCAGGGCTGCAGCGCTGACTATTTATAAGGATTGAATGCGGAGGGGTTGTAAAGACGGGGTAAAACTGTTCGTGCATTCGGAGGTAGTACTGGTATGAGGGCATTCCAAAGCACAGCTAAGGACGCCACGACCTGGGGACCCACGAAATTAAGGACTCGGATTTGTATTCACCGTAAGGTAGTAGCCTGAGTGTCAGCATGCCGTGAACGGTGATCGAAGCTAACCACATTAAATAACAAAAGGGTTACGTTTCCTATTTGAATTTTCCAAACTTGCCTTTCGACAGCCACCAGCCAGAGTACCCTTCGCACCCAACTATACGCGTAAATCATCTTTCTATTCGACGCCATGAGTTCCGGAGGCCTTATATGTCAGCAATGCAAGGAGCCACTACAAGCACGTATCTGCGTCCTTCTAACTTTACCTTTCGAAACTTATGGGTGATCGTTTCTTAGTTGGATGCCTCTCTTGTCGATTTGGCTCCTTCTGCATATGACATGATCGTTACTTCGGTTTCGCCTGCGCAGTCATCGTCGCCTGCTCGTCTCACCTCTGACGCCGACAGGTTGGCTGCTCTTCCCGCAGACTCGACCGTCAAATCTGCATGGCAAAATTCCAAATCCTCCGCTTTCTCTTCTCTCTCAGCCCGTGCACAGGGGAAGCTGCCAGAGCGCGGCCTGGCTCTGTCGCCGCATGAGTCCTTCGTGCTTTTGCAGGACAGTATGATCCGTAATATCCCCTCTTCACCTTCATCTCCGCGCCCAAAGAAAGGCCTCATGAAGGCCCGGAGTTCTTCGAGCAAATCTCCAACGTCCCCTCCGCTCAAGCCTGCTCTCGATCAACCGAACCCGTCGCCATTGTCCCATCATCTACGTTCGACCACCAGACTGTTCAATTTCCTGTCTTCGCGGACAGAAATAGACCATCCTCTATGTGCAGAGTGCACGCAGATCCTGCTCACATCGCTACAGCGTCAGTTGGATGAAACAAAGAAAGAAAGAGATGGTTACATAGCGTTTGAGAAAGAGATTAAAAAGGAAAGGGAGCGAGAAGGACGTGGGATGACGAAAGAGGAAGCCGAGAGGAAGATTGATAAACTGCAGGGAGAGGAATGCCTTGCCATTGAACAGCTTCTGGAGGCGGAACGTGAGCGCGAGCAACTGGACGAAGACTTGCGGCTATTAGAGCTTGAGGAAAAGGATTTGGACGCGGAAGAAAATGAGTACGTCGATTATGAACACATGGATTACATTGAAACCCATTCGAACAGATTCTGGCGCGCCCACAGCGAACAAGTCTTATCCATAGATCAACAAACAGCACAGCTAGCAACACTTCGTGCTGCATATGCAGCAGATTCCGCGACTCTCGAGAAACTTGAACGCACTAATGTGTACAACGATGCCTTCTGCATTGGTCATGACGGTGTCTTTGGGACCATTAACGGGCTACGATTAGGAAGGGTACCTGGAGTGCCGGTAAGCTTGTCGCCTTTTTCTCAAGCACTTATTAGCAATTAAGAACGTACAGGTTGAATGGGCTGAAATCAATGCGGCTTGGGGACAAACCCTTCTTCTAATGTACACCATTGCTCGCAAACTCGACTACACGTTTGAGAAGTATGCAATTTCATTATTTTTATTTATAAGCTTTTTGTTTCTCATTCTCGGTCAGCTATCGATTAGTACCCATGGGGTCCTTTTCACGGATTGAAAAAGCTACTGGCGACAAGTCTAACTACGAGCTGTATGGCTCTGGGGATCTCCATTTCGGCCGATTACTCCATAATCGACGGTTTGATATAGCTATGGTGGCCTTTATCGACTGCCTGAAGCATCTCATGGATCATATCAAGTCACAAGATCCCTCTGTCGATTTTCCTCATCAGTAAGAGCAACGTGTTTTCTGAAAGAAGCTACTGACCGCCGCGGGCAGGGTCGTAAAAGATAAGATTGGGGATATTTCGGTCAAACTGCAGTTTAACCAAGAGGAGGTATGGACTAGGTCACTCCGCCATGTCCTTCTTGCTCTCAAGATATGTCTGAAATGGGCCACCAACGGTGTGAATGGATAGGGCAATATCACGATTTCATAATGATGTGTACCCACGATGGCTATAGGACGGATATGATAGGACCATCAGACTCTTTTGAGTCCCTAGATTACTCTTTTGACGCCGAGGGCAACCCGGTCGGACAATGTTAGCGATGGCGGCCTGACGTCTCTTTCCTTTCTATATTCACGTTTTGGCTGGTCCAGTCTGCCTGAAAATACTGGATGCTGCCAGACAGCTGCTGGTACTGAGGAGCGTGATGGTTGACGTGCCTTTCGGTTGGCCGTTTTCACGTATAAGGCTTTACTATCTGACAAACCGATTATGGCGCAATAGGAGTATCAGATCTTACAAATCGAAACTGCACTTTCCTTTATATCTGAATTCCCTCTGCTTTCCCCCAGGTTCCTCTTCTCTTTTCTTTTTGCTACCCAGCATAACTAGAACCTGACAATATCATGGGTCTGCTCTACCTTGGGACGCCGTTAACATGGGATGAAGCGAAGAAGTATGTCGATCATGTTAGATATCACGGAATCACCCAGTTCCTTCATACATGGGACCGTTTGAAGGACCGACACGGAGATGAGCTTCTCTGGGGCGACGAGGTCTGCTCTTCTTCTTCTCCTACTCCGACTCGCAGATGTTTACAGGCCGGCTAGGTTGAATATATGGTTGTCTCATTCGACGACGAGGCCAAGAATGCAAAGCTGTCTTTGCGTCAAACAGAGATCCTGGAGAAACTGTCTTCCATTGTCAATGATATATGCTCCGACTGCGATAACGCGTAAGGGCTTTGCATAGCATACTCGTGTTGCATTCAATGTCCAGTCTCCAGTGTTCCAGTGCCGACTTTTCATCCAGAATACGGTCGATATATGTTGGAATCTACCCCGGGATCACCTTACACAGGTTCGATTTCTGATCTACTTTCTGTGGAGGGCAATATGCGCTACAGGTAAAGGTGGCGTAAAACATTGCATATCGCGCTTGCTTACATCCAGTCCAGAAGGAGCTTGGCCCGTCAACACCTCAAACCAAACGAGATTCCCCTGACCTTCACATCATTCCCTCGACTGGGTGTTCCGGAACAATTTACAGAGCCTTATTTCGATCCTTCAGACGCGGTTTCCAGTCACAGTCTTTTGTTGCCAGAGGAGATCACCAATCCCCACGCACGCTTCCCGTCAGTGAGATGGATCGACTTCTGATGCATTGTTAGATCTGTTCGGCTGACTACGCCCTTAGCACTCTTACCGCCAATATTCGCCGTAGACGAGGATCCAAAGTGGCCATAAATCTACCTATCTTTTTCGATGAACACACACCGCGACCGTTCGTTGACCCAACTACCCCATGGGATCGTTCAATCTACCCTGAAGATCCCGGTACTTATCCTTATCTGCGGTGATGCGTTTCAGTTGCTGACCGCGTTTATCAGAAGCGAAGAATGGTGCCGCACTTCCTGATCATGTTTACTTGGATGCGATGGGTTTTGGAATGGGGTGCTGTTGTCTTCAACTGACGTTTCAAGCTTGCAATGTCAATGAGGCGAGACGCATGTACGACGCGTTGATCCCAATTGGTCCAATTTTGGTGTGTGGCTATCATTCTAACTGAATTAGCTTGAACAAAGTAACAAGGAAATCTTAGTTAGCACTCACTGCCGCAAGTCCGCTCTGGCGCGGTTATGTTACTGATGTAGACTGTCGCTGGAACGTCATTGCTGGCAGCGTTGACGATCGCACAGAAGAAGAAAGGGGTTTGAAGGTTCGGAGCACCCTTCAAGTCTGGTATTATTCAGATCCTGACTGTTAATTTTTAGCCTTTGAAGAATGATCGTTACAAAATTCCGAAGTCAAGATACGACAGTGTCGACTTATATATATCCACGGATTGGGCTAATCGTCCGGAATATAACGACACTTACGTACCATATGACAAGGATATATTTGATCGATTGATGCAGCATGGTACGTTTCGTACGAAATTTACGCACAAGCCGTCAAGTAAAGGGTACATTCCAGGCATTGATGACCTGTTATCGAAGCATATAGCACATCTATTTATTCGTGACCCTCTGGTTGTGTTCTCCGAAACCATCGATCAGGATGATGAAACCAGTAGTGACCATTTCGAGGTTAGTGCAGGGAACACAATGGTCCATTGTGCTAACGCGTCCATCGTAGAACATTCAGTCAACAAATTGGCAGACGCTGCGGTTCAAACCACCGCCACCAAATTCTTCAATAGGTTGGCGAGTAGAGTTTCGGAGTATGGAAGTTCAAATGACCGACTTTGAGAATGCTGCGTTCGCGGTGTTCGTGGTTCTTCTTTCCAGAGCCATTCTAAGTTTCAACCTCAATTTCTATACGCCCATATCAAAGGCATGATTCGTTCTGTTATACCGTGATTCAGTGCTCATTCAGTCTTGATCTAGGTGGACGAGAATATGTCAAGGGCTCAGCGAAGGGATGCCGCTAGATCCGAGAAATTTTTTTTCCGCAAAGACTTTTATCGAGAAGGTGCCAGTGGCTACTCCTCGAGTAACCCATCCTCCGGATCCTGCACGCCATGCAACGGGGTGCCTCGCATCAAGGACAAGAAAATGCGAAACTGTTTCCCTTCAGCTCCGTTGCCTGAGAATGGGGTTCACCGTGAGCCAGTGCAAGACGAATACCGTGAAATGAATATGAATGAAATCATGAATGGCGATGTATGAATATACGTTTCCTCATCGGAGAAAGGCTCACTCTTTTCCTAAGGGTGAAACATTTGCAGGGCTGCTTGGCGTCATTTCCGATTATGTGGATACTCTGGAAGTCGACGAAAGTGCTTTGGCTAAAATTAACCAGTACCTCGAGCTAATTCGAAAACGATCAAACGGTAACTCGATGTCCATTGTCAACGTTAATAGTGCTTTAATGCCTCTTCTAGGATCGTATGTAACCCCTGCGACATGGATGCGAAACTTCGTTCGAGAACATCCCGACTACAAGCGAGACTCTGTTGTGAGCATGGAGATCAACTATGATCTCATGAAAGCCGTGGATGAAATGTGTGTGCCAGCTTTTCTATGTCGATTTATCCTAATCGATTTCAGTGAGCGAGGCGTGAGACGTGCTCCGGAACTTTTACCAGAAAACTACACAGGCGGGGCTGAGGATCATGGAACTATCGGTCTATAGATGCATTATTTGTTAAATAAAATAAATATTATATTATATAATTGCCGTGGGAGATCCGGAAGTTACCGAAGTGCGGACCCGTAAACACACGACCGCGAGTTCAGAGTTAAAGTCATCATGGCTTCGCTACGTTTCCTTGCTACTGCGGCTCGACGCGCTCCTTCTACTAGTTCTTTGGGAAGACGAGGATATGCTGTCGCCGCAGACAAGATCAGTTTGTCTTTCGTCATGCCTCACCAAGTACGTCCTTTGTTTCGAGGTCGACGCTACTGTTGTTGAATTTTGTTTAGGCCATCTTTACCTCTGCCGACGTTGTGCAAGTAAACACTCCCGCTGCCACTGGTGACATGGGTATTTTGGCCAACCATGTTCCTACTGTTGAGCCTCTTCGTCCCGGCGTTGTGGAGGTCATTGAGGCTACTGGTGGTCCATCCAAGAAGTGGTTTGGTATGTGGCCAGTTGTCGTTGTTGAGCTGCTCAGTTTCATCTTGTTTCAGTGTCTGGTGGATTTGCAACCGTTCATCCTGGCAGCAAGCTCACCATCAACGTGATTGAAGCGGCGCCATTGGCAGATTTCTCGCCCGAGGTGCGACCCCTTATGACAGCCTCAAGAAAACCTTTGACTTTCCACTAGGCCGTCCGTATGAACCTGACCGAAGCGAAAAAGGTCGCAGCTGGAAGTGGCTCTGTGGAGGACAAGGCTGAAGCTCAGATCGAAGCAGACGTGTACGAGGCACTGCAATACGCCTTGTCGAAAAAATAATGGTCCTATTCATGGTTACATGGATATCCCAAAGACATAGAGGTCCATTCTGATTGTGAACATCTATATGAACGTAGCGTGCTTAAATCAAATATATTCAAAAAACAATCTACGTCGCTCGAGGGCCTTCCGGATTATGAGGCATCAATAACTGGGTCTGTCTCTCTGGGCTAAAAAAGGGGTGTCGTTGAGATGGATTGGGTGCCTGCCCAACGGGCGGCACCTGATACCTGGCATTTGCTGCAAAAGGCTGAGAAAGCGAGTTGTCAAGTGTGAAGTATAACGCAAAAATGTGGTACCCACTATGCCCTGTGTCTGTTTGGAGTAAAAGGCAAAAAGCTCGGTAATCTGGTTCTCCATTGTCTGTCGTTCCCGATAGAAACAGCCTATTTCTTGCGTCATTCCATGGACCTCGCGCTTAAGTTCCTTTTTGAACTCCTCTACATGAGCTGTTGGTGTCATCTGTGAGAAAAATAGGCATGTAGGGTGTTTATGTCGTACTTTGCACATTAATTTCGGTGGCTTCTTTTATGGCGTCGACAAATCGAAGTCTCTCGCCTCTGATCTCATTCAACAATTCTGAGAGGTGGAAGCTTTATGAAAGGCTTGTATGAAAAGACGGCCCGTCATACCTGCCGCTATTCCTCGAAAGAAATTTTCGTGTTCTTGATTCTGTCACGTCAGGAGTCCCGCAACACTGTCCGGGGCTTCAAGAGCATGTTCACAACGACCAAGTCAATGGTAATGTATGGAGAAAGACTTACTAAAGACACTCCTGAATTATCTATAGATATCTGAAGGGTATTTGTGCATGTCTTGCAATAATTGGAAAAGTGAACCTGGATCTCGGTCCCCTTCGATGCGACCATCAGAGGACGTGATGGATTTGCTCCACTGCCCCGCGCACGGCCTGTGTTTGAGATGCGCCGTTGGTTACAACTGGTTTTAACCACTAGAATCATTGCTCGGCAACATCGGAGCAGTCCACAAAGAAAAGAACTCACCGAGTTCAACCCATTCAGGTACCTGACACTATCAGTCTGCTGCTGCCCTCGCAAAGCACGTTGATTTCCTTCTTCTTGCAAAAGTTCCTTGATACTTTGCAACTGAAAGAAAATTAGCTGCGAACACGTTCTAAAACAAAATAGGTACCTCGGTTTTATCTTTCATACTGGTGAGAATAGCCTCCAATTTCTTCCGCATGACTTTGGCAGAGGCTGGACCGTTCAAATCAACGAGTTGTCTCCTGAGGGGCAGTTACGGGCTCAAAAGATCGCGGGTTTTGTCGCGTGGCATCCAATGATTCCTGGATCATGGATAGCTCTGTATTCAACGAGCGTTGCAGAGTCTCCACCACTTGAATGAGATGCCCAATTTGAGGATTCAACAGTGGGACAGAAAGGCCAGACGTCGCCACCTTCGCTGGTTCATTCGACAAGGTTTTCAAAAGGGTCTCTGTGTGTCGGAAGCGTAAGCTGGCGTCTCGAATGCGTTGACGTGTGCTGGCCAGTCCAGAGTCGACATTTTCCCGCAGGTCAATGAGTTGGTTGGATATTTGTTGCAGATCGTCTTTTAACGGCTGTATGTTATTGCCAGTGGCATCGGGAGGTCCCTCAGGCATTTTTGCCACGTGAATCGACTCATCAGGGAAGATCGAGTAGCTGCCACCATAAGCGTCGAAGATGGATTCAGTCGATGATTTCCGGTGCGTACGTTCCTGCACCAGACGCCTGGTAAGGGTTTTTCAACATTGATGGCTTCGATGCGGATAGTCTGAAATCGTGATCCGTTCCTGGGCCTGCCTAAAGAATGGACTGAAGATTCATAGGACCCGCAATCAGCCTCTGAGATACCATGGCCTGCTTAAGAAGGATTCAGGGAAATATCAGGTTGAGCTGAAGACAACGGAGACAGAAAGTCATGATCAGGCAGTGCAGGCGAGGAGCGCGTAGCCAGAGAGGGGGGTAATGGATGATCTTCGGAAGGAAGATCTTGGTCATGTAGGTAGGTGTATCGCTTTGCATGTGGCGACATGAGATGTCCTGCGAGGATAGAACGTCCCTGAATAGAGATTCGACCGTGAGCCCAAGGAAAGCTTGCACATGGGAGTAATATCATTCCTATATAGCACTAACCCAGTTCGCTCGCTGTCGGACTGACGCCGTAGTGAATTTCTCCTTCTCTTTGTCTCTAAAAACTAGTTCAAATAGCTTCAATTCGTTTGTACCGTCATTCCTGGGAGGAAATATCCGCTCTTCATCTTCCAGCTGAGCGACTGTAAGGGATCGAACATGCGTGCATTCTTTGAGCGACACAGAAGGGTATTTGGGAGACCTTGAGGCAAGAACGAGGACAAGATCATAGAATCGCCTTCCAGAGTTACTGTGCAGGTGGTCCATACTGGTAGTACCGTCGTATTTGAGGTGGAAAGGGACGGCAGATACAACATTGATCCTGACAAAGGAGCTAGTGTTTCGGTGCATAAGAAGACCTGTGCGACACCAAGGATTCGTCGTGATGAGATGCAGACGGCGACAGCTTAGCAGAAAAAGACATTATTTAGCTTCATTTTTCCATCCGCCTTTTTGAATAGACCTAGAAGATTTCGAAAAGATTGACGAACGGAGGGTCGATCCTTGAAGTTCAGTGATTTCGGGACAGTAGGTTGATCCTCGGCTGGAATAACAAGACCGGTCATGGCTTTATAGCGATTGATGAGTTGCTTCGTAACTTTTGGCGAGAAAGTGAAGGTATGTGAGTCCGTAAATCCATCATCCGGTGCCCTATCATGCTAGGTGATGTTGAACGTGATGTTGCTTCTTGTTTGCCAGCGCCTTTACATATCTGGGGAACCAAGTGCCACCCGGGGTCGCCATGATTTGACTGCATTGTCCAACTGATTCGTCACCTCCTTGAATCCTTGGGTTCGCTACAGGCTCGGGAAAAAATCGCGTTCTTCATTACTCTGATGACCGAAAATATACCCTGTAGTGGCCCGAATACATAAGTACTCAGAGGAAGATGGTTAGTTGTCAGAAGTTATCCTCGGACACAATGTTACTCAATCTTTATGTCTGCTTCTTAGCATGGTGACAAGCGTTAGCACAGACCTCGACTATGACAGCATTTGCCGACTCAGCTCCAACCGACCCTCCCTGGACGCCGGGTTTGGGGTACGTCCACTATCTGCTGGTTGAAAAATACACAGTGTGATTAAAACCTTGTCCCACTAGCTGGAACACTTAGAATGCGTATGGATGTGGTGAGTATTCTATGCTGCTCGCTATTCTATCTTTTCTTGTCAATCCTTCTTCAGATATAAGCGAAGCAAAGATTCTTGCAACCGCAAACTCGCTTATCGACCTCGGTCTCGCGGGCGTGGGCTATGAACACATAAGTATCGATGTACGAGTCTGGTATTCCTTTTTCGTGAAGATTCGCTTATTTTCTCTTGTTTCTCAGGATTGTTGATCTAAAACAATGCGCAATTCTACCACTCAGAGAATTGACCCTGACCCTATCAAGTTCCCGGACGGAATCAGCTCTGTTGCTGACCGGGTGCACGCGCTTGGATTGAAAATTGGTATATATGGGTATATATTGCATCTTTTCAGCATACAGACCGTGGCCTTATCAGCTATTTCTACCAGCGACACTGGAACTGCTACGCGTTCAGGGTTTCCAGGCTCCCTGGGTATGGAGGTTATTGACGCAGCGACTTTCAATGAGTGGGGCATTAATTACCTGAAATATGGTCGATATTCTCCATTTCTACTCCAAATTCTGCAACCTGATATATACACAGATAGCTGTAATGTCCCAGGTAATTGGAGCGACAGTTGGGTAAGTACGAAATTTAGCCGAAAATTTAATGCGTTGCTCATCTCGCTTTGCAGCAACCTGAAGACGGTGATTGGTAGTACGTCATTGCATCTTGACTCGATACCGTCTAGATTTTGAAATTTATTTCTAGCAACTCTAACTCTGCTGTTAGATATTGTCAGATGGGGTAGGTTCGACCTCAGTTTATTGTCTTTCGATCCGCTAACAAGACAAAGTGGTGCATTAGCGCAGCAGTGTCGTCCGATACAGTTTACCTTATGTAACTGGGGAAATGCCGATGTACAGGATTGGGAAGCGCGTGTGGTAAGTATTGCATGGTGTATATCGCATCGAATTCACGCTCTCTAGGGACATTCATGGAGAATGTCCAGTGATTCTAGGTACGTATGTGTCGTGATCAAATCACGAAATTGATGTGACTTTGGAAGCGCCTCCTGGTCGTACATCACTTCAATAATCACGACTAATGTCACTTATTTGTCCGCAATTGGTTTCTATGCTCACAGCGATGTGGATATGATGGAGATAGGTATGAATGGATAATCCGGGACTAGAGGGACATGGGTGAAAACTAACTGTTCCGCAGAAAATGGAGCCCTCACCATTCAAGAGCAGCGAACTCACTCTGCGGCCTGGGCATTTTTAAAGAGCCCCCATTATACTGTACCCTTTCTACTTTATTTTTTAGACTTCATACTAACTCGTTCGTTTGTAGCGGTACAGACGTCAGTAAGCCTTCGAACCTCGCGAATAATTCCTGACAGCAGATTTCTACAGTTGAACAAGCCTGACGATACTCAAGTGACGTTGATAAAGAACGCAGAGCTGCTTGCTTTCCATCAAGATACCACCAATGGTACTTCGGCGTATCCATTCACACCCTACGCTGGCGCACCAACAACTTCGCCGCCCGAATATTACTCTGGAAGTTCGTCCGCAGGCTCCCACGTGTTCATCATTAATACATCTTCGAGTACAGCGACGAAGACGTTTGCTTTTTCGAGTGTTCCGGAGCTAGGACAAGCAGGGACATGGAAAGTGCATGATATGTGGTTGGGCACTGACCTGTCTGGGACCTACACAGCGCGTCCTCGAGACTCTCTGTCAGCGTAGAAGCACATGATACTGCAGCCTACCGTATTACTGCTGTGTAACTACTAAGATTCTCTAAATAATATTATTCTGTGTAGGAAACACGTGCAGATCTGAATCGTGCTCCGACGTTAACCGCGACCGCGACGCGATATGCAAGCCACATTAGACGCTGCAGCCCTCAAGCGTAAGTATTTCGCGCGCGCTGCAATATTTGATTATATAAGCACCTGTAGCGTTCACCAAGGCCTTGACTTGCATCTCAAGATATGGTGACGAACTGACTCTGAATGCTACGCCGGAATGCCTCTCCTTGTCTGCTACGAACTCGTCCAAATCTGCATATTGTCGGTTCAAATACGAGAGACAATTCTTCCAAAAATACAAAGTTGGCTCCCCCGATTCATGGGCGGAAGACGTCGAAGAAGTTACACAGGTTACTGGTCAACTTCTTACCAAGGTATGTACATCAGTCTTCACTATCTGTACAATTTCGCGCTGATGGTTTTAAGTCACTTTTATCCATACTCAAGCACAGAACTGTCGAGAAAACCGTCGAAAAATGCGAACTATCTATCGTAGAGGGTGGCAACATGGACGATGAAACTCAGGATGGTCTAGAAACTAGACTGATCGTATGCCTGCATTGCAGACATGGTGGGCGACATCCGTTCTGCCATTATACAATCCATTTTACACCTTTATCAGGGGTCATAAAGACGCATAAATTACTGCTCTCCACACCGACGTCTTTACTGGCCCCTGATATTCCAGATAATTCGACAGAATCATTCTTAACAATAGGACCAAGGGCTATCAAGGACATGGTCGAACACTTTACATCCACAAAAAATGGGAAATCGGATCCTCAGCTCATCTGGAAGTTTGGACAACATGAGGTCGAAGTGAAGAGTTTAGAATCATCCGTTGACACCAAGGGTACCAGTTTTTCCCCCTTACCCGCGCATTGAGAGCACTGAAAATGAACTCAGGAAAGTCTCAGCTTTCGACAGAGCTGTCAATAAGCCCGGAAGAGTTCGATATCTACAATCTATATGCTGCTCCCACCGTCATTGCTTTTCATCTTCGCGAATTCAACGTAAGCACGTTTGCCTTTAAACGTGCGAAGTAGCTGGAAGATAAACGTTCAAAGGCTACCATTGCATTCACTGATTCAATATCAGTTACCATGGATTTACGGTTTACAGATCCGGCAGCGCCTCTATTCATAGACGTTGAAGGGGACGGTTTCACGTCCCTGTTCGTCATCTCAACTAGCCAAGTACAGGGCATGCCCAACAGTCAACCCCAGCGAATGCTTATTAACAGTAACAAACGCGGGCACGAAGAAGACAATGAGGATGAGAAACGATTTAAGAAATCCATGAAAGCTGTCCACCAGTCGGTTCCTCCTGTGTTAAAATCATGGAATGTGACTCCTGCCCATTCTTCTGCGTCTCGACCAAGTCTCGCACAGCCTCCTTCCTCTTTATTACAAGCTCCTCCTGAAGAATCTGATGCTGGGCCGATGCCACCGCCTTCTCCTGCTGCAACAGCACCACAGGAACTCCTGTTCTTCCCATCATCATCCCAGATCACGCACAACGAAGCAGAGAATGTGTCTGGATTAGGCCTAGACCAGATGACTGCAGAGGAGGTAGACATGATGCTTGATGGCAACGCTGATGAAAGCATGCTCAACCTTGAGACGGACGAGAGACCGATTGACTTGGTAAATGTTCCAGGTACCTCAGACATGATGGAGGAACAATCCTTTGGACCAACGCAATCTCACCACTTGGACGAGTCAAAGGTACGCACATTCATCATTAGCTGTCAAAAACAAGAGGCTGATACAAATATTTTTGCAGGCATTCCAGCCTCTCTTTGACGACTAAAACATTGATGGATGCATCCGATTATCTATGACATACACTTCTTTTCTACTGAAACCGCATAATTTAGAGCAACCAAATAAAATAAGATCGTTCAACGAAAGGCAGCCATCTGGGCATGTTAGGTCCCAATACATCATGTACGCATCCCGGATTTCAATGGCACAACTCCTCGCAGAGCGCCGAGGGCAAACCGAAGACCATTATGGCAAGCCCAAATAAGAGAAACTGTACGGAAGGCCATCAGCTTATTTATTCATTTGAAGAAATATAAATCCACGTACTGATCAGGATGGGCAGCCAGAAAAGTAAAAGCATTCGGTCCTCTGTATGTATTGTTAGACACGCTACCCTTGATATCAGTATGGATTATGAACAACACACGTTTCTTGGGTTGCGTTTTGGGTTCATACGTATACGCATCCACTTCTTGTTCCGTGACAGGTATCATCTCGTAGTTGTATATCCTCGAGGGAGATCGTCCTTCCGGTTGTGGGGCGTCAGTCGCTTCGGGGGATTCAGACACAGTCGACGACAGAGCTTGCGACGGCCCGACTTCCGCAGCCCTAGGCGTATACATTGGGGGGGGTTCACTGTCCTTGATGGGGCCCCCATTTGCAAGCCATCTTTCCCACGTTGCACGCAGTTCATAGGCAGCTTTTGCCCCAGCAAATTTGCTCTTTAAGGACCCATCGTTTTGATCATCGACCAGTCCGTCACGGTGTGCGTTGTCTCCACTAAGGAAGGCTGGTAGTAAAGGGACAACTACGGGAAAAACCATCGGGAGTTGTGGGAGAACACCCCAGGGAACCGCAGGCATACCAGGAATGTGAAGGTTAGGTAGCTGGGGAGAACCAGGAAGTTGAGCAATAGTCTTCTGAATGAGGTCGGTGAACGAGGGATACTGTTTCCCGTCTGCATCAGCCAAAACGGCCTTTTCGGACTTCAGAGAAGGAGAAGGAGGTCTAGAAAGGTGATCCGTGATATTATCCTTCTCCCTTCGAGGAGTATCGGAGTGCCGTGGTCGTCTGCGATTGCCGTAGCGCCTGTCCCTTCTTGGAATAATAGCGTCAGCATCCTCTTCGGCATCCCCCCATTCGGCTTCTTCATCTTCCTCGGTTTCAATACCTGACTCGCCATCATCATTACCCTGTGATTCTGCAAATATCCCGTCCATGGCAATCTCTCTAGGAGTCTTTCCTGATGCATTCACAATTTCCATGTCGGCGCCCGCATCCAGGAGATATCGAACACACTCCTTGCTACCCATAGAAGTAGCAAAATGAAGGCAAGTATATCCATTCCGATCGCGTATGTCCAGGTCTGCGCCATGGTCCACCAAAAACCGGACGAGAGACTCAAATCTTAGGAACGCGGCAAGATGGAGCAACGTTTGTCCACTGGGGCTCTGGAGTGAAATAGCGACTTTCGTGGGTATAGCTTTCTCAGAAGAGCCAACGGGTGCATCAAGAATGGAAAGGAAATCAATGATAAGACTTTCGAAATCCTCGTTTTCGCCTGCGCGGATAAGCAAAAGAGGTCGCAGGTCGCGCGTCAAGGAGGGGGAAAGTTCCATGGCGCCAGTAATATTTGATCCATTTTGAGAGTCTGATGGATCGCCGGCATTTCCAACAATACGCATGGCAACGTTCTTCGCCTCTTCAATCTTTCCGGTCATCTTCAGACCAACGACCTGTAAGGCCAATTCCATTCTGCAGCGGGTTGGATGAGACATACGTTTCATAAGATAATATCAGAGACTGTACTCACAAGGCTCTATCAGATTCATCTGTATATGTAAATAATGGTGGAGGGGCATTGCTGGGTTCCTCTATTTTGGGGAAACCTTCAAACCAGACGGCAACTACACCAGCTGCGGCTCTTGGCGGTAGCACACAGACCAATGTGTTATCACTCCATCGTTGTGTCGAACTAGCTGCGACCTCCCCAAAAATGCAGTTAAGAGTGATGGAAGGATGGAAGTTGGCTCCCAGGATAGTAACTTCAATGCCACCGTGTGTCGGCCCAGAGTTGGGTACAAGACGATGGATTGTAGGTAGTGCCAGAGGCGGGGCTGGTTGACATGGATCGAAGAACATGAAGGGCATGGGATTGGGATGAGCTGACATAACTAGGGCAGGAGGTGTCACAGGAAGAGAGACTGGAGAAGGGACAGAAAAGTCACTCTCAACGGTGACTGAAGACATTGGTATATCAAGATTATGCTCCGCTGGGGTCATTAATCCATCATGCGAAGATTCCGAATCAAAAGATGAGTACTGTAGCTGTGGTGGTTGAGACGACAGCGGGGTATCCAAAGGAGTTAGAGATGGAGGGGTTGGTGACCTGGTGGATGGGAGCGTCGCATGCGATGAGGAGGGTGAAGGTTCACTCGATGCGGGCACTTCTCCACCCACCCTGCTCGGCTTCGTGGCAGGATCATATGGTTTAGCACGCTTTCTTGTTCCGGTAGTATTTAACGGCGTGTCTTTCTTACGCTTCGATGGGGCACGACTCTCGATTGGCGACTCAATATGAGCTGGTCCAAACTGTGTCCACTCGTAATCACGCGTCGTAAATGTCGAAGCGAGGTCGTTATGCTTGCTAGACGATGTCTTATGATCATCCGTAATCATGATAGGGCGTGACGAGCCCGCCCCAATAATGCGACCGGTGTGATCCATCATCGTGAAGTGGACGTTAAATCCAACCTTTTCACGATGGTGGCGGCAATAGCAAGTAATACGCAGTGGAAGGACAACAGAGCCTGTGGAAAAATCAATGACCTCCGAGCAGTTGAATTGGATTATGCTGCTAGTATCCTCGCGTTGTCCGTTCTTGGTAGGGGGATTGTTGGGACTTTCACCGGAGTCAGAATCGGATCGTGCAGGGCGTACTCGCGCAGCCAGTTTTTTTGCAACTCGTTTGGCCTGGAAAATTATAATGAGAACATAGTCTTGCATAAGGAAAAGTATCGTGGTACCTCACGAGCACGACAACTGGAACAACTAAGCACTGTATTATGGGGTGGTGACGCGCAAGTTACACTGACGCCGAGATGGAGTATATCTTGCGGGTCGGGATCTGCAACAGAGTCAAACAAAAGGCCTTGGAACAGAAGAAAGGAACCAACCTATTTTCCCCTGTTTTCGCGTCCGCCTCTTAGTTGCTGTTCCTTGAGGTAATTTTAACCACTTCCACGAGCCAACGCGATCGTATTTGTATGGGTCCGAAGAAGAACTTGGATCGGCCAAGTCCACTGTAACTCGGACTTGAGTTTCGACGCGAGACTTAGTTCCGCCCTCCGGTATACTAGGAAACATGATAGGGAGACTGAGACAGATAAGACTGGGGGGAAATGGCTCGAGGGGTAACAGAACGTACTTGACACAAGATTCCCTTGGAGGATGGACGACTTTGTAGTTCATTAACAGAAAATCCTGCCGCCGACGTACAGAAGCTGGGGGAGGAATGGGTTTCGTCACAGAGATGGGGTTGTTGGGCATTGCAAGAGCAGATGGAGTTGCATGAACAGTCTGGACTGGGAAAGGCGCAGGGCGTTCGACGACAGTAGGTGAGATGACCGAAAAAGGTGACTCAAGACTGAGAGCCGGAGAGCTGAAGAGTCGGATTAAGCAACAAAAGACGGATAGGTGAGAAGCGGACATACTCGTCGTAAGCGTGGCTTTCAATGAGGTCATCGAGCTGCAGCATATTGTCATCCTCACACTTGGGTTGGCTCTGAAAGATAGGATCTGTCTCCCAAAAAGACTGGAGATATGCAGACTTGTCGTGCTCGGCATTGTACCAGGGAGAAAGACCGAGCTCATGATGGGCGACGTGTTCCAGGGAATCAGAAGAATCTGGGGTATGGGGGGAGGGGGAACGGGAGCCATTCTGTGTCGTAGAGCAAGACGACGACATGGTGGTGAAAGACAGAAGGCGGGCTAGAGGCGGAATAGAGGTCAGGCCGGTTGACCACTGGGAATTGTCTGTCACCTTAACCGGGTCCCCCACTCGGAGTTTGAAAGAACATTGTCTCGGACCCTTGACACTCTCACGGTGCTGATAACCTGAAAACTACCTGTTCAATTCCCAGTAATTCAATAACTGTCCTTATCGTGTTCTTGTTAGTGAGACTTTTGCGGTATTAATGCCATTCATACGGGTCACCGTATAAGAACAGTGAGCGTAAATCAGGAGTACCAAAAGAATCAGCTGCAGGCCCGTACAAAACGGGCGGACTCGTAATAACCCGAGTAATTTTAGCGTTCGCCCTGAGTTTGCCATTGGTCTGTATCATCCTGACCGTGTCGCCAAATACAACCAATGCAATCCGTTTTCCTTCCAGTGCTCCGTCTCTCCATGCAATCATGTCGCATTGCTGCAACGTCAGTCAGAGCACCCTCAATTAACTGTTTTTGTCGATATTCCAGGACATCCCTCAATTTTCGTCCCTTCTCGACCGTGCCTGCCCTGGACAATAGTCGTAGCACCATCTTGGCACTCTTGCACAAGACTACCGAGCTCTTACCCCGAGTTCTACCGTCGTGGACTTCGGAAAGCACATCGTTTGAACAATCGTTGAGTGTATGGAATGGCGTTTTATCTGACTCCTACAACAATCTTGCTTCAAACGCCAAGGATGTCCCTCTAAACGTCACTGGTCAGTATCTCCTTGCTCTTTGCATCGGTCTTCATAAGTCAATATACTTTTGCTCAGTGCTGGAGCTTGATCAGTGGTCCGGAGCAAAGGATCTTGTTACTGGTCTCTTACAAGAGCCATTCGCGTCCGATGCATCAGGGAATAACCTCATTTCGCAAAGATGGAACGACGTGCCTCCTGGTCAAGCAAGTCTCACCATTTTGTATGTCAAGATGGATCCACTCATGTATATGCCATTATGACCGAGACTTTTATCTAGGAGTGGAGACCCAGCGATGCGTGAATCCCACCTCTTTCCCTGCAAGTCATCCTATTTCCATCAATACCCCACGCGCATACAGATACAGGAGTTTCCACACATCAACTCTCCTCAGTCTAAGAACCATTCAGGCAACGAGCAACATCTGCGAGCTTTTCTCCAAGCTGATATTCCCGTCATCGTTTGCAACCCATTCACCACCTCACCAAGGGACGTCCTGGCCAACAAATTATTCCTAACTAATCCCCATACCATCTTCGTATTCACTTACGTGTCTTCTTCTGTTCCCGAACCTGATTGCCTTTATCGCCGTTATCTCTCTGATGACAACCGAATAAATGCCTTATTCGTTGATCCCGCACGAGCCTTATCTGCCCTTGATGCCTTGAGAGCGAATCCAAAGTCTCCATCAGCCATACAACGATACCAAGATGAATTCATCGGTTCCGGGACTTTGACATTGACACGCACCATCAAGAGAATCATGTCTGCGACTGGGAAAGCGTCTTCCGCAGATATATCAGCTGCCCTGCGGACGGAGACTTGTTTATCCCATATACGCAGTGCCCTCGCCATCGCCAGCGACCTAATACGGTTGGAAACAACCAAGTCAGACGTGCTTTTTGTTCAAGTTAGCGCGCTGCGAGAGCGGATTGAGGAAGAGCGGATCAAGGCCTCTAGGGAGGTCTTCGGTGTAATGTCTCCCGAAGATGAGATTACGGGAGCTGCTCAGAAGGAAATTTCCTCGGAAATGGGCAGATTGTCATGGTGGAGAATGATTCCCAGGGTGGACGAGATCACGACAACAGTCTCGACTGCAGTAGGGCGGTCAGGAAGAAATCTCGAGAAAAAGGTAGGCGTTCGTGGATTTGCTAGCTGCAGTTCATGAAACGAGCCGAAAACTTTTCTCTAGCTCATATATCATGCCGGGCGCCTTTCCCACACACAACAGACGTTCTCCGACGCAATCTTTGCACTATTCCCGAGGAGTACTAGCTCCCTCCATTCTTCGGTTTTGCATAATACTCTGCTTCAAATGCGATCAACGTCATATTACCCGTTAACGCCGGACAGTTTGGTAGGACCCCTAGCCATCCGACATGCTCAGATAATACAGTATCCAACAGCTAGACTGCATCTCGCTGGACAGCGCGTTGTACTTGGTATGGGCAGTTCTATCGTTGCCGGTGTTAGTATGGGCTGGGCTGGATGGCTTAAGTGGCTGATCGGTGGCAGTGAAAGTGTTATTGAATTCCTAGGAGTCGATGTTGGGACGGCTATGGGCGCCGGGGCTCTGATAACTCTTCTCGGTGTGCGTTGGGGTGTTGGGCATTGGGAAAAGGCAAAGCAGCGGTGGTGGGAGGATTGGCATCGAGTGGTTGATGGTCTGGAAAGGGACTTGAAAGTATGTCCCACTCAAAATAAAGGGTGAAATTACTTGACCACAGTTGATCAGAAAACCTTGGACAACATTGTGTTGGAGAAGGTGGTTGCTGTTGCAGACAAGGGTTGTAGTGGATTAAGCGCCCTGATAGAAAAGAGGAACCAAGAAATCGGCGAGGTTGCTGAAGAACTAGCCAAATTGTCCGACGACCTAAAATCGATAGATTCTCGATGCAAAGGTAATCTATAACTATTGTGCCAATTACAATCATTATACTTGTGGTGTCCATCCACGAGCCAATAATTTACCCATACATTCGATAGATGGTTACGAGGGAGTGACGAATATTTTTGGAACAACTACGTTCCCCGGCTGAGCGCCAGCGCCAGTCCCTCGTGGAGGTTCATCATCATCACTGTTATCTCCAATCCCAAAGAGCTCCTCTTGCTCATCCCAAACATCCGTCATACGCGTCGTCGGCTTGTTTCCTTTAGTGGCCTGAGTATTATGAGTTGGAAGGAGCTGAGTCCCTCTCAGCGGATCTTCATCGTCCTCGTCCGATAGAGGTTCCGTGTCGAGAGGACGATACAAACGGGCGATCTACATGAAATTTTTTTTTTAGGTTGAAATCGCAATGGAACACGCCACGGACCTCTCTTCGATGGCGGTAATACTTTTCCATATAGTACGCGGACAAGAGTCCGAGGGAAGAACCGAGTAAATTCGCCTGGATATTGAGGGCGATGAACACCGATAATATAGGGGGCAACACATGAACGCACAACAACATCTCCAAGCTGGAACTCCTTGTACTGGAACACAAATCATTATTACGTCCTTACAGCTGAGTTCGATGGCAAACGTACGGGTAGCAGAGATTGGACGACTTCACTAAGGACTCCACCACAAAAGAAGCACACAACAGCTGTGAAAATGAGTCCTGAATGCCTCCAGAACCATATGCGCCTTGCGTCTCTAAGAGATGATGGATTAGAAACTCTGAAGGAGGCAATTATTGAACCGTGACCCACTCTTCGACATCAAATATAAAGTAGAAAACGCCTGTTGCTATGCAGAAGCAAAGGAAATGCAATAGCTTATCGTTCAAAGGCAATGCTCTCGAGAAGTTGGTGAGACCAAGCAGGGCAAGTGCGACCATGATGATACACGTAAAGACAAAGAAATACTGACGCGTTGCGTCAAAGAAATGAAGAGAAGGAGAGCGAAATACGCATACAGGACGTAGCCGTATTGGCATATCATATTTGGGTATTCGAACGCGGTAGGATTTCATGACGGTTTTCATAAGTCTTGGAGGCCATTTTAGCGACGCCATGGAGAGGGAGAGGAAGAAGAGCGGTAACAAGCATAAACAACTGCGCTTCATGTCTACCTCAACGACCGCAACCTCTACCTTCGTCCTGCACAAATATTCTCGCTCTTACCCAACTTCAACCGCCTCAAATTGGCAGCATTTCACCAATCCAACTATTCGGCTCGTCCTTGATGCGAAAAACGCGTCGGGAGGAGAACTAGAATCTGTCAGGCTTCGCATCATCTGGACGATGGACAACGGCGACCCAATGGATACCACCGCCGGAAGTCAGGTTTTGTTTGTAAGTATATCTACGAGTCAAGTCTCGTCTGCGGTTCACACCCAGAAATATCCCGCAGGAAGACCTCGATCTGCTATCCTTTTCTTCCCTTCCCTTTCGCCAACATCAGAGGCAATCACAGGGCCTTCCTCTCAAAGCTGTTTACCGAGACTTGGTCGTTGGGATACGTTATCTTCATCCTCGAGAATACTCTGCCAATCCGGTAATTTTTCATTACATTGGACTCGCATAACCATTGACTTTTACGCAATCAGACTTACCGACGCTTTCAAATAACGTTCTCGTCGGTTGCTTCAGTCTCGCAATTCATCAATGCAATTCGAACCGTCTGTCCTTGCAAAGCTAATGTTGCTCCTGCCCCTGGTCCAGTAGAATCTTCTCTTGCACCTCTTCAACCACGTAGCACTCTTCGGCCTGCTCTTTTCCCCAGCGCTGTTGCGTTATCCCAAGCTCCTTATCTTCATCAGTATCCTGTTGCTACTCACATGCCTGCACTCAACAGCACGGACTTGTCCTTTGCTGCTGCTTCCCAAACTGAAGTTCCTCGCCTAGAGGGTCCTCAATCTAGTCAAGACATCCCGTTACATGTTCTGTCTTCGTCTCCGGTGTTTACGTCGCTGCTACCGCCAATTGTACTCAACGACTCTGTTTCCTCTCTGCCAACAAGCACACCACCCGCTCCAAAACCGACTGAGTCGCAACCGGCCCTGACAACCCATACGCCTATCATTCCTGTATCTGCATCAGTAACAGAGTCCAAGCCGACTTCGAGTTCTGCTATCAGGGATGCCGTCATTTCGTCTCTCCGTGAAACGACAGAGCTGTATAATCTTTCACGATCCGATCTGGAACGTTTGGTCGGTGACATAGTACGCGAAGATGGATTCTCGCATCTGGTAGGTTTCTTGCATATTCGTGTGGTTAGGTGCTGATATCGGCATACCCAGTTGACAACGCTATCGACAATGTGGAAGGTTAAGAGCTACTTGGGATGAAAAATAAAAGACTGTAATATACAGCGTTCCCTTAGGTGAGATGAACGTGTCAGTGAGTACATAGTTTACTAGTTTACACGAGCAAGCGAGTCATTGACAAGAAACAAGATTAGTCCAGGTCTTCCGAGATCCAGCCATAATATTTCCTCAGTTTCTTGCTAAATACCTTCAGCATCTTTGGATGAATAAAGGAATCAGGATGCGCTATGAATTGTGAGTCAATACGAATCATCGAGACACAAATAACCGCCTCACGTTTATGGAAGCTGATAGACTATGTAGACACGTCAGTTTGGCAATGCAAGGAACAGATTTTACACCGCGTACCCTGTCACGAGCATCTGGAGGGTCAAACCGTACGCTGGATCCCGCTGTACTCGGGACATAAGTAAAGCCCATATCTTTCATGACCTGGAAGGAAGTAAGTGAAATGTCGCAGAAGAGGTGTATCCCACCTTGACGAATGTATCCCACTTCATGCCGGCGCTACCTTTGGTCACGTCCTCGGATGTGTTCAAAATCTGGTGTAAATAATCCTTTGTCTTTCGATGCATCGAAGCAAACCAATTACGCCTCGTCGATTTTGATTCAGGCTCCTGTTTCGACTTCTCTCTGCCAACTCCCAGACGCCCTAGGACGCCTTTAGCAAACAAGGAAGGCTGGTCAGACCTGGACTTGACTTTGGTTTTAACGCCCATATTTTGAGCATAGGAGTGACCAGATTGGGCCATAGTCGGCTCTACGGGTGGTATTGAAGTAGTCGACATATATACCGAGCTCGCCACGGGGTTGGGCCTCAGTTTGGTGGGAGGGGGATGAGGTTTCTGTTTGGCTGCCGGAGGGGGGGGTGCACTAGGAACAGGAGCGGGAGCAGGCGCAGTTGGTAGCTTTGGAGAAGCAGATTCGGTCGCGGCTGGCTTCTTCTTCTTGGGCTTCTTCTTTTTCTTTTTACTGCCTGCGCCTTGTCTGACATCGTCTTCGTCCTCCACTTCCTCCATCGTGGTTTTCTGGTTCGGTGCTAGCAGTGTGCATTAAGATAAGAGATCCGAAAATTAGTCAATATCTTACCCTTCGCAGTGGGAGTGGGAATGCGTGTAGTTCCTTTGCTTTTGCTTGCCGCTTTGGTCGTCGGTTTGGCGCGGGAAGAAAGCTTTGGGCTGTTGTTGAACATACGACCTGATTTCCCGGTTACTACGCCAGTACGCGAACAAAAAAATAACATACCACGAAGAGAACCAAGAAGTCTCAAAAACGGATTACCCTTACGATCCTCTTGGTTGAACAGATTTTCAGACTCGGGCCCATCAGCGAAGAAATCTGCCTCAACAGCGGTGTCCATTGCCTCCCGCATCATTTCCCGGATTTCATCCTCCTCGTCAGTGTCATAGTCGCTCTCATCATCCTCTTCGTCGTCGTCATCATCTTCGTCCGTCTCACTCCAATCTGTATCAGACTCATCGGACTCGGAAACATCCTGAAGGGGAGGCATGGAATCGTCACTGTTTGCACCATCCGTGATGGCTAAGACTTTTTTCTTCTTGTCAGTCAGTTTAAGCATCCTGTCTGACTCCTCGTCAGATTCCTCGAGGATGTTGGGCAGAAGGAACGAGTGCCACGATGGGGTAGACTTCAAGAGGGCATCCGTTAATCCCCAAATACCGTCAGGGTCTTTGTTGCACACCAACATATAATTCTAATCCAAAGGTCAGGGACGGGACACGATCAGAAACTAGATGCGCGTGCCTGTTGGATTTGCATCCACATGTTCCTTAGTGCAGTGGTGTTCTGTAGTTTAGAAAGGGGATGGACAAGAGGCTCCAAGGTATTCCACTTATCCGAAGCCTTGTCAGACATGATTTCAGCGTTTGCCCATTGCTGGTATGCCTTGGGCATGGTGCGATTTGTGCTCTTCCAGGTTTTCTCATTCGGGCCAAGTAAAGGCGCTTCGAGCATATCCTGAAGCCGCACTATTTCCTGATAAACATGTCAAGACGGCGACGGATTTCGACATAGGTGACATACGGAAAGGTCCCCAACAGAGTCCCACATGGACTGAGGGAATCGTTTGGCCTCTTTAGGGGCCTCTTCGACGGCATCGTGTAAAATTTGGTACAAGATTGCCTTGGGATAAGGTGCCCGTGGGAAGCACAACTCGATTATGATAGAGTCCAGGAATGATCGGCAAGCATCTTTCAATCCAGCTCGATCAAACTCGAGCTCAGAAGTGCCCTCCTTCTCTTTGAAATAACGGGCGTAGTGAGCTATAATAGATGCTGAGTAAGTCATCTACACAGAGCACATAAACTGAAACATACGAGAAGTAGCTGCGAGCACCGCGAATTTGTGCTGGCAAAGGGTCATAATAACGTTGACCATGTCATACAAGACCAGATATTGCGACCGGAATTCTTCATCTTGCAGTTTGTAGACGACCGTGTCATCCGAGACACCAGTAAGTTGCAAGTCAAACAAATTGTCCGCGACAATTTTCCAAGCAGAAGTAAGCAAATAAGCATTGTGTATTCTATGAAACGACATAGAGGCCTTGACATAAACACTAGCAAATTGGGAACTGACCTGATAGCAATAGTGGAGGCAATGAAGGCGGGGTCCCGGGTCATTTCCTCTGGATTCTTGCTGGTAAGGGTGCGAGCTTTCAGCTCTGCTTCAATGATCGAGTGGAACAGGTCGGGATCCTTGAGACTGGTGATATCATCTAAGTAACCTGTAAAATATGATCAGCTAACACGATGCTACTTGATGAAGACAGAAAGGTACTGCTAAACTGGGATTCCGCAATCTTGAGGCATGTCTCCAGTCGGAATGGGGCCATCACTGCTTGCTTGGATCTTTGTACGAGGTCTTCTACATTTCTAAGATGAGACACGGTAGGCACGGGCAATTACACCTAGACGTACCAGCAAGCAAATCTAGCTTCTCCCTTCCTGTCAATCTCGACACGAGCATAACTTCTCCAGTCCCTCTGGCGCCATTTTTTCCGTTCCGTAGAACCAGGGCACGAGTAGTGGTAGGTCTCTCCTTAGAAAGAGCATCGTCGTCGCGCTTTCCACGCTTCCCCGTAAGATGCCTTGAACCGAGAGATATGAGATCTCTTGAGGCAGAAGGTTTGGCGTTCGTGCCCTTGGCGGATTTTGGTTTTGGCGGCATGGTTGCGTGGGGGTGAAGGGCGCAAAAGCAACACTCGGTATATCGGTATATCGGTATATCGCTGTTTGCTCGTGTTTCGCCTAAAAGGTGAATGATCTTTGGAAGGGACGACGTTGACGTGCTTGCAGTGACTTTATGTAACAGCCCTCTGTGTGCAGATTTGTCCATCTAATCTTCTACTGAGTAAGCACATCGCCTCTAAGCCATACATATATTTGTTGAAATGAATGCATGTCCACTGAGAGGCTTGCGGTAACCCGTGGACAGGCACCTTGGCGACGCGACGCGAGAGGCCCGAGATCAGCTCAGCGTGGCAACTGCATACGGCAGTCTCCGAAATTCAAATTCCGACATCTGGTCTCCGTCGCTATGAATCTTCGTCCTCTTCAATCCTTTCTCATTCTCGAGCTGTGCTCTTTTTTGCACTTTCACTTTCTTTTTTCCTACAGTCATCTCTCCTCCTGCTCGTTGAAGCTAGTCTTCCCTTTCGATCATTCGTGCATTGAACAGAGCTCTCCCTCAGACAAATCCTAAACTTCGATTCAGTCATCATTTCAGGAATGGGGAATCTCATCTGGCATGATCTCGCTCGTTTTGTCTCTATCTCTGCCAGCATTTGCAAGTTGTTCTTATCTTCCGTGTATTTCGATCTTCTGACATATCCTCAGATGCTGTGTGGTCCGCATTCTTTGGATTATTCTTCAGGAAATTCTTTTGGGACTTTGTTGGGGGCATTGTCAGGGATCCAGGAGGAATCCAGTCCGTGGCCGCTCTCTGTGAACTGAATGCTTTCTCACCCAGGTTTTAAGGCCTGCGCCGGGTGCTGCAGTGTTTATCAGTCTCATCGTCAAAGCGCCGGTCATCCAGGTTTTCACCATGATCATCGGTGCTTTCTTGGTAGTCGTGGAATATCCACTTCCCCAGTTCAGGGCTCTGGCCATTCATAGGAGCTTCATTTTCAGGATCGTCTTGCTATTATTCCAGTCCTTCTTGACGATCCTGTACTATCAGGTATGCTGCTGCTGCTTTTATGAAGCTCGACTCCCTACAATAACTCACTGCCAGGGCACAAATGCCAGCTTATGGTCTCTCATAGCGGTATTTTGTTACATTCGGGCTCAAGTACTCGGAGAGCAAATTGAAGAAGCGAAGCAGAATAGGGGAAAGGGTGGAGTGGCCTGATCATTCACTGCCATCGCCATCGCCTCCGGGCAGGAGGAGAGGCCTACTGGCTGGGCTTTCTGCTGCCGTTTAGTTGGACAAGTTTTTCAGCTCGGTCTTTCCCTAATATCTTTACCCACTTTTGTTACAATGGAAATATTTGGATTTGCCATAGCGCGGTCGGCAATATTTTACTTTGCGTCATCGCTCCTTGGCATCCGACCGCCACCGCATTCCATCTTTCTTCTATACTTCACGTCGATGCTTCCCACTGAGATAATTGCAAAGATACCATCCAGCTTCGACAATGCGGTCAACTCGGGAGATCTTCTCTTCTTCCCCTCCACCATCCATAAACACCCAGAGGGACATGTGGAGGTGTGTCACCCAAGTTCAGAGTACCCCGATTTCGTGTCGACTACTGCTCTACTAGTATGAGATTCGCCTGTGTCCTGCTCTACAGAAGAAACCGCAGCTTCCATCGTCCGACTTTCATGCCGCAGATTCAACTCCCAAGGTCCAGCGCCTTGATCCATTTAATCCACCATATAATCCCAATCTTTTCGTCGGATATCTGAGAAATGAGGAGCAGGAAGAGGAGTATGTTGTGATGGTGCGCTCCTCATTGTCATATAAGTTGATGATCTGATAGCTCTTTTGCAGATGAACAAATATTCTGTAGTCCGGGGCCACTTCTTACTCGTCACCAAAGGTCTCCTCTTTCGCTGCAGTGCCTGAAGCACTATATCTCATATCTCAAAATATCTCTAGAATTCAAGTCCCAGACCTTGCCACTTGTTCCGGATGACCTTGTACAAACGTACGCGCTTCTTACGGCAGCATATAAAGCGCGACAGAACATGTTCGCATTTTATAACTGTAAGGTCTTCCATTTAGCTTTTATAATCAAGAAATTCAGATGGGGCATAGGCGGAGACCTAAGCGGCGCCAGTCAACCTCACAAACACATCCAGTTCATCACCGTCGATGACGATGATGGTCCCCCGATCGAAGCTTTGGCAAGAGCCGTTACTCTGGAAGCGCCAGGTCAGTACATCCGTTACATTACCTAGAAGGGGTCCCTAAGCATATTCACGACAGACAAGCCCTTCTCTCTGACATCGCTACCCTATGCGAATCACGTCTATCGCTTTCCTCAACGTCTTTCGTCTATGCCCAGGGACAAGATCGAGCACGTATTGGCTGCGGCCTTTCTCTCGCTTCTAGATCTCGCGATTTCTACCATCAGACACGCGCCTGACTATCCTGCTGGGAAACCCTCTTACAATGTGATTATTACTTTAGAACATCTGCACGTTCTACCCCGACGAGAGGAGAACTTTGTGCTTCAAGAAACTGGCGATAATCTGAACGTCAACGCCCTTGGTTATGCGGGGATGCTTTTGGTGAAGAGTGAGAGAGAACTGGAAGCCGTAAAGAGCGAAGGCGTTGGGAAGATTCTCAGAGGGGTTGGACTGGAAAGTGTTCACGATCTTCAAGTTGCAGGCACTTCGCTAGAACCAGGAGACGTAGGTACGCATCTCTGATACATCTGTTGTCCTAGGTCGCTACTAGATATATATTCTCCGCGAATATATGTTAACTGAAGACTTTTCATGCAAGTAAAGAGCACGTCTTCCAGATACGAAAGACCGGAACTTGCTATGGATGACAAATGCTAGGCCACCCAGTCCAGAGAATTTCCATAGTCGAGCACTGAACGACGGAAAGGTATTCTTGTATCCAACCTGGTTCGGTGCTGTACCGTACAGTAATGATGATGATATACACTAAGATAGTAACTTGTCAATACTGCGTATCGTCTGGCAGTCTTGCTCTACCAAGGATCTTGATAAATAATCTTTAACAAGCTCAAGACTAGGCTGGAACCAGCCCCCAGGCATGCGATAGAGTTTTCCTCCAGGGATACAATACTTGTTTAACCTTTATAAAAAGTTAAACAAGATTTCTTGCTATGTAGAGGATGTGACATGAATGAGCCTGACGTGTATATTTTTCGAATGTTTAGCTGGGCCAGCAGACGGAATGGCTACATTTCTGGAGAGAAAGCGGAAGTTGGGATAGCGTCTAAGTTTGGATGTCACATAACGTCATGCCAACAATTGCCGCTGCTACCCACCAATTGTCTGTAGTACTTAACGTGCCACTTCCATGATCCTGTAAATTTCTTTCGAAATTCGCATACCAACTACTATTGCTCCCCCCATTCCCTAACAAGCTATGCCTGCCTTGAATTATGGTCCGTGTATCCTTCTCTCGACCCCAAGGATGCTCATCACCCGTCTCTTCTGGCAGTTACCCGTACCCTCAATGCCATCCGTGATGTCTCTTCATCTGAAGCCGCTTCTCTACATGGGTAAAAAATCTCCTATACTGTATCACTCTTAGATGCTGATAATATCGCCCAGGCAAAAGGCCAAAACACCCATTATTGCAGGCAGTATCTGCGGCGGTCTGATGGGTTTAGCTTGGATCATCGGTTTCACGATATACTTCATAAAAAGGTCAAAGAGAAAGAAAGCGAAACGTGCCGTAGAGGCTGGCCTTGCTACTCCCAAGAAGCCCAAGAAGCCTAAGGAACCAGAAGAACAAATTATCATCCCCCCTGACCCTGCGGTCCTCATCGGAATACGGAAGCCAGGCGAGCACGCTTTCCCTGAACGGGAGAAATCTTCAGAATTAGAGCGTTTAAACCCGGCTCACTCTCGTTCTGATATTGCAGTTGTGGCTCAGGATCAACCCCTCCTTCGTGATGAAGAGCGGGAGCAAGCTGGAGACTCGGACCACTGACAACATGACATCGTGAGTCTCCAATTTCGAAAAGCTGTCTCATATTCTTAGAAGGGTTTCTTTGTGACAGCACTATCGTTTTATTGTATTCTTTAATGAAGTTACCCCTGGCTTTCTATCACACATTTCAGTCACAGTATGCTCCAACGCTGGCCGGCTATGAGCACGTCAGTCATGAAAATGGATTCTGTCAGTGACCCGACTTGCCGCAACATCCCTTGCGTATCGGAATAGGATTCCTCTCTTCACGTTCAGCTCCTTCTTGTCCGAAGCCTCCCATTCTTTCTTGCGCCTTTCCTGTTCATCCTCACTGACTAACCAATTAATCGTCCTCTTCTCAGCGTCTATGACAATTAGATCTCCATCTTTGACCAGAGCAATAGGTCCTCCGAGGCGGGCCTCTGGAACAACATGACCTATAATAAAACCTCGACTCGCTCCTACAAAATCCTGTCGACGTTTCTAGACCTAGAATTGCGCAACGCCTACCGGAGAATCTTCCGTCGGTAATCAAAGCAGTGCTTGTACTTAGACCGGCACCCGCAAGAGCAGCGGTTGGCCCTTCGCCACTGGTGTCAAAAAAGACAACTGCGAGCGAATGACATGTCTCATACCTAGCATCTATCACGCCCTTCATCAAAAGCAGAGTTCAACAAAGATTACTGGAAACACACCTCTGGCATTCCCGGTGCACCTGTAGAGAAACCACATTTTGTCAAGATGGATGCCTACGACATTCATTGGGGCCCACCTTTGGGACCTTGATATCTGAATATCAACACCATCCCCGGCTTGATCTCGCCAGCTTCCAGTGCAGGGAAGAATCCTTCAAGGCTACAGCCGAAGCTTAGTAAAGATGATGGCTAACTGAATAAGGAGCTAACCTATCAAAGCATTTGGCCGTGCCCTGCGGGAAGATGTGCGTAATTCCAAAGAAGCGAAGAGCGCCACATACCCTGAAACATAGACCTTCCTTCCCAGTGAGTTTTGCAACTCCTGTCCCCGGTGCAAGATTGCCTCGGAGGATCGTTAGATGACCAGTTTTCTTGATAGGATTGTCAAGTTTCCTTATAACATCCTGGTTATCAAAAGAAAGCTCCTGAACGTCTTCCAAGTTTTGTGCGAGAGTTTTCCCGGTTACCGTAAGTTGTGACCCGTCGATTAGATCAGTATGATTAAGAAGGTACTTGAGTATCGCAGGGATGCCTCCGACGCGGTGAACATCTTCCATGTAATACTTCCCGGACGGCCTACGGAAAATTAGTATGTCACCATGTTGGGTGTGAACCTTACTTGAGGTCTGCGATGTATGGCGTCTTGTCAGAAATCGCTTGAAAGTCGTCCACTGCCAGCTACATTGAAACAAATGTTAACTTCAAGCAGAAGTTAACGTTGACAAGAGCACCTCGATATTTGCTGCTCTGGCCATAGCCAAGAAATGAAGAACCTGCCCTCATTAGAATCGTGTTACATCGTACGGAAAAAGAGCGACCTCACTGCATTCGTCGAGCCACCGAGTACATTGACTATGACTATGGCATTCAAGAAAGATTGGCGGGTCAATATGTCCCTTTAATTAGCGGAATGAATGTCAAGCAGACCGACACCTTGAAGTGACGTGCCTGGGTTTGATATCATGCTCCAGCAGCTTCTTCAGATACTTCGCTGCCTTGGCACACTCCTGCGCTTTCTCTACAACAGGGCGTGTCATATTGTTTGCGACAGAAGATAATCCACTCACCTGGATAAATCGCGGGCGTGCTCGAAGAGTATGGCAAAGACATGCCAAGAACCTCTAACGCGGAGCTCATGGTATTAGCGCTGCAGTGAGAACGGTGAAGAGGACGTCAACACAGTGATTCTTTGACGGCGTACGTATACATTCCACCACAAGCCCCAGCGCCAGGACAAGCATGACGAACGACATCAAATCGTTCCTCGTCACTAATTTGACCAATAGTAAACGCCCCTTAGTAAGATCGTAAAACTGCCCATCTCAGTTCAGCTTATGGATCACGTACCATAGGACTCGAAAGCGTCAGAGATGTTGACGGTTCCACCTTTCTTATAACCCATGGAAGGACAATCTCGATGCAACTGAGTAGGGCATACATGCAACTATGAGAAACAAGACACGAACCTACATGTCGTATTCCAGCCTGAATTGTACCACCATACACGATGACTGTTGGCCTGTTGTGACGCACAGCAGCCATTAGACAACCTGGCATATTCTTGTCGCATCCTGGGATGGATATGTTCCCGTCGTAGTGTTGCGCCTTCCTTGGTTGAGATTTTCCTTGAGTTAACTGTTAAACACGTACCATAACGACCTGGAGGCTCAGAGAATCAGCGCCGGACATATAATGTAAAAATCGGAGGGGTAAATACGGCTTCGATTGAGTCGGCAATAATGTCACGACTAGGAAGACTTAGTTTCCTGGTTATAAATCATAACTGGCGCACGAGATAAGTAGGACATACGAATATCGCATGCCTGATATTACAGAGAGTCAGTTTTTGGGTGTTAGTGGACTGCTGTCAAAACCAAAACATGATACCATCAGTGCCCATTGTGATCGCGTCGCTATACTTAAAAGTTCAGAGCATCATAATTACCCAAAATCTTGTACTACCTCACGCCAATAGTGTTGAATATCAGTCCAACGAGACCTTCATCTTTGCATCCTGCTTTGATAAGTTTCGCAAGATCGAGCTATGCGGTTACGTTTCAGTCCAGTATTCTCGTTGGAAACGAATGCAACATACAAGATGGGAGTTGCACGGATTCCCTGATGAGATAATGTAACCGGTCGAAGAGTGATAATAGTAGTATACACGAAGAGCACGTACCTTCCCACCATACCGAAGAGATTCCGATCTAAGGCATGTCAGAGTATTTGACTGGCACCGATAGAGAATGGCCATACTTGTGGCTTGTCCATGTCATCCTCCGTCAATCCGACGGCATAAACTGGCTGGCATATAAGTACGTCACACACCAAGCTTTGAAATTCTCGACTTACGCATGGCTTGCGCTCCACCTCGAGCCTCCAGTTGGAGTCAATCCTGACAGTTTTTAGATCTTTCATGCGATGAGACTTTACCTTATCCTGTGCGGGATTAGCTACAAATAAGAAATTGGTTGCTACTTACTTGTGTCACAGCACATGAGATTCTGTTTGACTTGACTTCGGCTGTCAAAGCTTTCGGGATGGTATGGCTGTAAAATAATCAGTTCATCAGTATCTCATGAAAGAGGGCGTTAAAAGCTTGACATTTCGACCGACATAGCAGGCAGAATAGGAAGAGCATATAGGAATAACAATCGGATAACGTCCGTATTTAAGTAACCACTGTAGTTCTCGTGATAACCTCACGTGTGTGTGTATTCGGACCGCCAGCGAACCAATCAAGGTAGACACATTTCGGAACCTCGCATGTTTTACATTGTAGACTGCGCAGACATTACGACACTAGAAATCGAAACCTTCTCTGCGAAAAGACTCAAGGCTCGTCCCCGCCTTGACCCGGTCAGCAAGGTCCGCACGGTCCTACGTGAAGATTAGAATATAGAAAGGGTGGTCTAGAGACGTTACTTGCCATCGACATCAAAGCTCTACGAAGCGTGAACCATAATTGGTCACTGGTTTCTCCAGCGCTCTGCTCTTGCATCGACAAAGCACTCAGGAAGTGCTCAGCAGCTTCTTTATGTGCACCAATGTTCAAACCTAGGGTAATTATGGGTGACTGTATAATATGCTGGGTAAGCGAAACTCACAGGCCACTCCCACATTGTATATTGCCCGCGTATACGTAGGCCTTAACTGCAAAGCCTCTCTATAGGCACCCAAAGCTTCCTCCGGTTTATTTCCATTGGATAATGATGATCCCAGTCTGTTCCACAACAGGTAGTCCTGCGGTCTTAAGGAAAGCGCAGATTGGAAACAATCTTTTGCCCTGTCATAGTCGTTTGTAGAGTAGAACAGAACACCCAAAGCAATTTGTACTTCTGCTTCCATGACACCTCGGTTGTGCTGCGTTCGTGCGAGATCAAGAAAGACTTCCGTTATTCGACTGTTAGCGTCCCATGCAGTATGCTGTGTGGCTCGGAAAGTGTCCTGAGGGACATGATGAGAGGGATATCGAGCAGTTATCCAACGAAGGAGCATGGTATGGGCGGCCCTTTCGTATGACTCGTTCGTAAAGGATATTGCAAGGGACTATGGATTGGATGAATGACAATCAGGTCCAGGAAACCATAACATTACCAGCATTCCAGCACCAGCAGCACCAGCAGCCTCAGCCCTCTTGACTCCTTCCATCAAGGCGCGCATACCGGCCTCCTCCCGTTCATCCATGTTACGAGTTTCTCCTAGCAATATCCAAGTCTCATATCCGCCTTCCCCAAGATCCCCTTTCTGTATAGCGGCCTCGAGGAGAAGAGCGGCTTCTGATAAAGACCCATTCCTTTCAAGCAGTGACTTAGCTTCCGCCAAGGGCGAGCTGGTCGATGTCGACGTTAGATATTTGTTGTTAGGTTCTATAAAGGCTTTTGTGTCACCGAATGATGTTAAAGAAAAATTGCTCATACCAAAAATGTAGTCGCCCAAGATAGGTATCCCCTCACTATCGAACCTGATTGGTTCGGGCCCTACATTTTCTTGCCGGTCGTTATCCACACCCTGTTGCCATGTATTCTCTATAACTTTACTGAAGTCATAATCAAGGTCGGCTTCTCGCTGTGAATTCATCAGTTGATTAAATTCGGCTTCCCATTTGGCTTGATCTTCCTTCGGCGGTGGAAGATCTGAATTTTGTAGATGGTCCCATACCCTGAAATAAAATTGGCCTTCCTGTGCAATGGGAAAAATGCAAATTCTGTTTCACGTACTTTCTGAAATCATTTCCAGGCTCTACTAGGGTAGGTTGCAGATGTGTTTGCTCTAAAGCCTTGTTGAGATCTGCCACATCTTCAACTTCAACAATTCGGGCTTCGGTCGCCTGGGTTGGGACGAGAGAGGCCGCCTGCTCAAAAGCAGCATCGAAGTCAGCGTCTCGACTCTTCGCCTTCCCTTTGTCCTGGTCCACCACATAACTTGCACTAGGGCCTTGGTACATATTCATATTCATATTCATGCCCATGCCCATCCCATACATTCTCGTCATTTGTGGATCGTATATCCTCATAGAGGGGCCATATGACGAATTTTGTTGGACTGTTTTCGTTAGTGAAAATGTAAAGCAGATCGTAGATCGACCTACAATCTTGTGGTGCGACGAGGCTCTGAGGAGCAGACGGACTCTGAGGGAGGAATTTAGACGACCCAAATTCTGTCGACCAAGCACTCTGAGCCTTCTGGGCTTCAAAATGTCGTATACGAGCCTGTTGCTCCGCTACCCATGCTTCATTGAACTTTGGTGGAGCCGGACCAGTCAAAGAGGGTCCGGGAATAGAAAAAGCGGGTCGCAACGCCGGACTATCACCATTTGCTTCGAAGAACTGGCGAGCAAGGGCAAGATCTTGTTCATTGGCAGCGGGGGCTGACGTTGTCGGCAGAAATTGAAGCTAGAATTGATCAATTTGGAGCCGGATGCAAGACGAATATCTGCTCACCCTTGATGTTGACGGTCCTGCAAGACGATCCTATGATAAAGTTCCAATGAATGATGTTTTTCTGATCAAGACTCGAGCAATCGTACTTGTTGTAGACTGCGATCACCGTCTGTATGCTTCAGGACCTGGTTGAGCGGGTTTGCAGGCGCAGCACATTCAGAACCAGAAATGAGCGACTGGAATGACATGGTGGGCAGAAGAAAATGATAGTCAGAAAAGAGAGCTGATGGGTAATATGCCTAAGCAGACCGCTACCGTGAGAGAATGGGGTAGCGGAGCTTGTGATTACTGCCCCGCTCCGAATGCAGAAAAGTACTGGTCCGATGAAAGCCGACTCGGCCCCAAACACCCAAACACTTTCTCCCTTTCACTCCCCATGTTGCGACTCGGAGCCGTGCGCTGTGCATGTCGCCCTCTGGTCCGTGCATACGCAACGCCAGCTTCGCCGCATGCCCTTGTTTTGCTTGAGCATCGTGCAGGCGTCCTAGATTCGGGCTCTCTATCTGCCCTCACCGCCGCGACCCACTTGGGTGGTCAAGTTACTGGTCTCATCATATCGGGTCCAGAAGGAGCGTCCGTGGTGGACAAGGCAAAAAAGTTTGTTTCATATGCCAAGATGCTGTCGGTTACATGCTAAACAGAGAGATGTAGACTCAAAGGTCTGACAGGGCTGCTGCACTCGACATCCGAGCTCTATTCAGCACCAGTACCAGAGGCAGTCTCGCCTCTTCTCACCGCAGTCCTAGGAAGCACACCATACACTCATGTCGTCTCAGCAACGTCGTCCTTTGCCAAGTCATTGCTGCCCCGCGTAGCCGCTCAGCTCGATGTTCCTGCAGTTTCCGATATCACTTCCCTTGAGCACGACGCTGCCTCAAACAACACCACCTTTACCCGTCCCATCTACGCCGGAAATGCCATTGCCACAGTCAAGGCATCTTCGTCAATACCCATCAAGTTCTTTACCGTCAGAGGGACTTCTTTTATCGCAGCCCCGTCCGACGACAACGCAAGCGTTGACGTCCAAGAAGTGGACCCCATAGTTGTTTCAGACTCACCCACTGAGCACGTCAAAACCTCCCTGACCAAGTCCGATCGTCCAGACCTTGGTGTCGCGAGTCGAGTCGTTTCTGGCGGACGTCCTTTGAAGAACGCTGAAACATTCCAGGCCACGCTTTATCCGTTAGCTGACGTTTTGGGTGCTGCTGTCGGTGCTTCACGCGCCGCTGTTGATGCGGGTTACGCAGACAACTCGTTGCAGGTGGGCCAGACAGGCAAGGTTGTCGCGCCGAAGCTTTACATGGCGTTCGGGATCTCTGGTGCTATTCAACACTTGGCCGGAATGAAGGACTCAAAACTTATTGTAGCCGTGAACAAAGTACATTTCACGTTGTCTTGCGAATTCATACCGACTAACCGTTTGTCAATCACTTTTAGGACCCCGATGCGCCGATTTTCCAGGTTGCTGACGTCGGACTTGTGGCCGATTTGTACGAAGTGATACCTCAATTAGTCGAGAAGCTGAAGCAGTAAATCTATGTATCCGACAACAACAACGAGTCATAATAGTCCACTGCCCGTTGCAAAACCTCTACTGGGTCCGTCTCATCTATCCAAGCCCATTGCTTCTCTATAGCAGGTCCGAGTCTGGGATAGTCATCCCCAAACTCGCTAGTGAACTCGTACATCATTCCAGATTCATAAGACCCACGGAGAACCCGGTTAGCAAGCGGTAGTCGGACATGTTGATAAGCCTCGCATGCAAGGTGAAGCGTTGATAACGTACAGATCTTAAGCAGACGAGCAAGAACGAAGGCATCCTAAGAGACCATGTCAGAAAATGGCGGACCACATGTAACAAAGAACCATCGTCCCTCAATAGCTTGACCAGCACCAGCACCTTGGTGGGGCGACATCGCGTGGGCCTTCAAGCAGCCCACAAGATCAGAAGGATGTTTTGGGATGTGTCCGATAACACGCACTGCATCCCCAACTAATACCACCTTTTTGTTGACAAAGCGAGGTAAAGGACGCAGATGATGCAGTGCCCAGCGCGTGGGGGTTTCAATATGCTGTCAGCATGTCAGTCCCCAGAAAGAGTGGGTAGAGATGCATGCTGACCTGAAGCATCTCAATAACCTCCGGCTCCCAGCCAGAATAGCAGTCAAGAAGCTCTTGCTGCGAGCATTCTGTCACCCATGTATCAGGGTAGGTGGAACCCTCCCTCTCATGGTCAGACCTAAAGGTGATGACATTGACAACGGATCCTTGTGAAATCGAGTAGCTGACGATGTGCTGCAATATGTTGGTGATGAACGCATATACGACTATCCACCTGTACCTTGTCCTTGCCGCAATACTACAGGAGAAATGAGAAAACAATTTGACGACACGGTGAAAGAATCACCATCATTGGTGTAGAAACAGTACGATGAACCGCTCCATCAGAAGAAAGGGCTGATACAGGAATAAGACCTCTGTATGCAATCGTTCCTGTGAACACAGGATCATGTCCGCCTTCCTCAGCAAACATTTGTTTGCGGACAGTAGACTTTATGCCATCGCAGCCTACAAGTAAGTCGCAAGCCTCTGTGGTTCCGTCCGCAAAGTTCAATGTTATGGTTTCTGCCTCGGAATCGTCAGAGTAAGCAGCTAGTCGTTTACCGAAGTGTGCTACTCCAGGAGGCAAACGGTTGACCAGAACGTCAAGGAAATGAGCACGATGGAAACGAATACATCCGTCTGAGAAGCATGTCAGAACAAAGAAGATAACGAGGTATATGAAGATCTTACATGCCATTTCGACGAGACGAAATTGGAACCCTTCCTCAACCTGGTCAGATCGTCTGTAGTCAAAGCCAACGCCTGCAAAAAGCTTAGTTTAGTATATATATATATATGCCGCACATGGAAAGTTTAGCCACCGATTGACCCGTCAGGAGGAGGATGTGCAATACGGGAAAAGTCTTCTGCCAATCCGACAGCCTCTAAGATTTTCCATGTCCGCGACCATATCATCACTCCCTGGTGGTGTAAAGGATCAGAAAACGGTCCTAGCCCAGGTGGCATAGAACAGACGGACAGCACCGATCTCAGCGAATCGACTGGCGCTTTCATACATGTCGACTTGGATACTAGGATCTCTGCAGAGGAGGACCGCAAGGCAAAGACCACTTATACCTCCACCACTGAGAATACGACATGAGATACCGTTTGATAAGATATAGTTCACACAGACCAAATTGCAACCTTGAACTTGGGCATTTCAATGGGGGGGGGGGGATTACCTAGTCATCGCCGTGAGATTGATCATGATAGTGTAAGACACGCTGCACTGACCGGTCATGTCTTTCTACAAACCAACAGTAAACGCAAATCTCAACAAGACCCTCATCGTTGTCTGTATTCCGTTTCTTACCCTGATTAATCTACTCACAGGTGTATCCAGCCTATCGTATCCACTGCTAACGTCTCTCAGCTCGCTGCCGACCTTCTCATCGCATCGCTTTCTCTCCATTCATTAGGGGCTTTTGACCCTTCTTTCTTCATTCCTGCCGTAGGCGGAAAGGAGGACGGTGACGACGGTATAAGCACACCATTTGAATGTATGTCCATCCACATGTCCATCTAAAACGACAGAGCTAAGCTGGACCTTCAAGTATACGGCAGGGATGATGTAGATCTGCTTGTCCTCCAGCAACGGTCTCCAACACTCAAAGTCGGTGCCCCCTCTTCTTTCTAGCACATATTTCAGAGTTCATCGACCGTTTACAGTCACGAAAACAAGAGTTCGTAGACGCTTTGCTCAATTTCTTCATTGAATACAGAGTCTCGTCTGTCATTCTCCTCTCTGGCGTTGACCTGTCGAACAGGACTGATGCCCAGATGATGTATGTGCAGACTAGATGTTTCGACTTTCTGCAAGTTAATACTAAATAGGACACCGATCTACTATATCCAACCCCAAAACACTCCTTCTTTCTCATTTCGCGATCTAAGGATACCAAAATACTCATCTCCGGTCCCACAATGGCCACAGGACGAGAATGACGAGCCGGATATCCCCTTTATTCCTGGAGGTGGCTTGACGCGTCGGACTCTAGCATCCTTACCTCGAGAATGGATCATTCCTACAGTGGCATTACTTCAGTTTGTCTTGGAAGGCGATAATAGAGCGGACGCGCATATGCTGGCCATCGTCGCCACAAAGGTGGCTGGGATAGAGTCTCATATTGGGGAATTGAAGCAACCCAGTAGCTGGAACCAAGGCCTATTTGGGACGCCGCATGATCAGACATTGTATGGATGAAGTTCAAGAATTTGCCGTACTAGAGAGCATAACTTGTACCGTGGTGCCCTCCAATTATTTACACGAGTCAAAGATGTATATTGTACCACACCATCTCTAGATGCAACGAAGAATGCCGTATCTTCAACGTTTTCCTGTTATACCCATTCGCGGCTGGCCCTTGTGCCCTCCTCGTTTTGACGCTTGGGAAAGAGTCAAATATGCATGTGGATCCAAAACACCCTTTTTTACGTCTCCGCCCGCTCTCTGTAATTCGAATTAGTAATGCGAAGCTGGCAGAGCGAAAACCCCATACCTTCGCTTTGAATTCGTGACCGAGTTTGACATCGTTCTTCCGTTTGGATTTCTGGACTTTGGCGGAGATGTCACCATCGCCCATCTCCACACCATCATCAACGGTGCTATCCTCTCGTCTCCGTTTTTTGGTGTCCTTGTTGAACTTGACCCGGCCATTAGGTCCTCGCTTAAAACCATCTACAGACGTGAGACTCTCGCGGTAGGCTTCCCCAGCGACATCTGTCTTTGCAGCGCCTGCAGAGTCATTGTCCGAGTCATCAATGATCATTTTTCCAGTGTCATCATCTGTCTTGAATTGCGAGGCTTCTTGTCCAGGCTTTCGACGGCGACTTGATTGTGCGTCTGTTAGAAAGCGTCAGCATAGCAGGGACATGAGGCCAAGCAAGAATACTGACTAGTAACACGAGACGCCGTCCCTTGGAGCAGATCCATGGGCTCGTCATTATCCATCCTCAGGCGAGATCCCTCGAATTTCCGTTGGTTGGTTGGCTCTGTCGGTTCTCGTTCATCATCACTATCCTCGAGCTCGCTCTCACTACCGTATAAAACATCTTCGAAAGAATCGCCGGTTGTGGCTTTAACCGGAGCCTGGCGAGGATATAAACAAACATTAACAATGTTGAATGATGAATCTACATACCTCATTGTCATTTTTCTCTTTATTGACTTTCTTGCGTTTAGCGCGCTCCTTCCGCTTCTTGATATTTATTATAATTTTTGCAGCTTCTTCTTCACCAGCACAGGAGTGCACTTCCTCCCAAGTGAATCTTCTCAGCATTCGTTCGAATATATGGCGGACCTTGGCCTTGAAGTGGTTTTTGTGATCATGCGACCAACCAAGCAGACCGGAAACGAGAACTTTCAGGTGTGGCCGGACAATTTCAACAGGAAGTGAGTGAATAACGAGTTTAACAAAGCCAAGAATTGATTTAACAATCTCTCGATTTGCAGAAGTGAGGAACATGAGAAGAGTGGAGAAAATTTCGGTATGCATGCGCGTCGAAATAGTATCTAAGTATTTGATTAGGGGAGAAGGACAACGCATAAATGCACATACCTTTGAACTCGAACACTAGACGCGATAATGCAGTTACAGTTGCACTGATCATGTGAGGCGTCGCGCCCGCAAGCCCGCCAGATATCATCATCATGAACTCTTCAATATTCGCAGTGGCTAACGATCATACGTTAGACGCTCTGCGGGAAATAGACAGCAGAACCCATACCATCTTCCTGTAAGTCTTCGTCCATACCATCAATCATGTTGCGTTTGACCACACCACCTTCACTCATCTTTTTACCCATAGCAATGATGAGATCGAATGCAGCATTTCTGGCTTTATCAGACGGTTCTTTTGTCCCAAGAACAGCTTCGGGTATTAAGGATGGAATGAGATGCATAGCGGAGGGTGGAATGCCAGGTACTAAAGAAGTTAAAAGAGTGAATCGGTCCTGTTGAACGTTTTATTGCTAGAATGACAGACATCTGACACGACAAACCTTCTTCGCAGCCGGAACAAGGCCACCAGTGTATTCTCCTAATTGACGAATCACGGATTCGGTGTCTATCGAAATGTCGCCACATTCAACAAGTCTACATAAAATTTTGTAGCCTCGTTTTTGCACTCCGTTGTCTTTTGAATATAAGACTTCTTCTGACAAACAAAGCGTGAATAGAGCATTGGCTTCGGTGGTAGAAAGATGAGATAGAAGCATGATTAGGAGATCTTGCGTAGTTATGATCGTGTTGCCATCACTAGAAGCATGAAGTGGCTGACGCAAGTTCGTCTTAAACATTTCGAAGACTTTAGCATAGGCCTTGGTTATATTCTGGCGTCTTTGGAATTAGGAGAGGCGTGAGATTGAGGAAAACAACATACCGATTCTCCAGCAATGGAAACCCAAGAGGCAATCGCGTCCCCGACAGAGTTGCGACTATCTCTACCAACGCTACCAAAGACGTTGAAGAATACCGCAAGCCAGCTCTCCGCTTGCGTTTGAAGAAATTCGATGTTGCGGTTGGCCGACTCAGCAGTGATACGATTTGGGTTCACTGCACTCTCGGTTGATATCGCAATAGCACGATTCGAATCCACCATAGTTCTCAGTGCTTTCAGAATAGCGGGTCTGAGTTCGACTTGACTGTACAGGAGCTGCGAGAGAAGCTGGGAGAAGGCTTGTGTTAGCGACTATATTTTTGGAATGTTAGTGACAGCTCCAGCACCAGCCCATGAAATTACCTGTTCCAAGTCCGGTGTACCGTGGCAATACCCAACAAATCCCGCCCATGTCTGCGCCACAAGTACGTGCCAGACTTTGCTTTCAGACTGTCGTCCCTCTGTTTCGGCCTTCTGCTCCAAATCGAACATCCGCTCGCTGAGAGGAACGAAATAGGACACAAAGTGGGAAAGCAACGACGGGTGAGGTTGTGCTAATAAAGGCAGAAGATAAGCCCGGGGCTCATGACCTGCGTCTCTATCAACACAAACATAAGAATGGTTTCCGTACTAACATCAACAAGGACAACCGACCTATCTTTGGGTTCCAGATTTAGTGGGAGGATGCTCAACAGCACTTGTGGTCCCAAAACTCGCATTACAGTGGTCAATGTCGAATCAGCAGATTCTCGGTATTCGAAGCCTTTCTGCGTCCGGAGTTGGCCAACCTGTCTAATGAGAGGAACGCACAGTTCCTGAACCAATGTCGGCGTGCTATCTTCAATAGAATACAAATTTTCAATCAAGGATGAAGTGAGGGTCAATAGTTCGGGAACCGCGTGGTTGTGCGACAAAGACTTGAGGGCTTTGTAAATCTGGGAGATGGCCTTGGCAACAACTGTCTTCTCGCTGTCTGCGACTGCCGCTTGTACCATAGATAGGCTGAAGCATCGTGAGAGGACCCCAAGTGTATGCGATGATTCTTTTCTTATGGCAGAATCTGACGATTCTAAAAACACCCATACTGTCTTCCATGCCTTTCCGACCTCAGCAGAACATTCGCCCTGGTTCGTTCGTCGATAGATTAGCATCGCTTCTCCAATGAGATGGATCCAAGTGCAAGATAATGATGCATCTGAGCGTGCCGGCGGGAAAGAAAGGATTGCCTTGAGGATATCAGGGATTGAAGCGGTCGTATACGAATAATCATCTTCCGTATTCAAGGAACAAAGATCTGACAATATTGAATACGCGGCTTGGGAAAGAAACGAGTTTCCGAGCCGGGGTAAGGATAAAAGTAAGGTGGATATTGGTGGTAAAGACTGAAGAGGTTATCTAAGTGAGATTTCCCGGAGTTAAAATTGGTCTTACTTACGGGTGGTGGAAGAAATGAGAGAACTGGGCGTAGGGATGCCAAAAGATGTATAGCTTGCTCTGCGCCCGGACTAGATTTCCCTTGCTTGGATCGAGAAAAGGGACCTTGATTGACTTCGACAAGAGCTGTCGTAACCCATTCTGCAACGCGGTCTGCAAATGGGTGCTGTAGTAAGGGTGTGGGAGGTGATGTGAGGACATCCTTTACAAGGTCAGACGCCCTTTTGCGGACTTTGGGGCGAGAGTCAAGACAGAGCTGCAATATAGTTGCAAATGCTTGACGAACATCCCTTATCTCGAGCTGAGAGCGATCAAAGGACGTGAATATTGTATGATAGAGCGATAGTTGAGATCGAAGAGGTGGTGCATGGGCGAGAAGGGAGGGAAACAATGGTGCAGTCAAGGATAAAACAGTCGGTAGGTTGGATCGAAGCACCGGCTGCGACACAAATGGGGCAATAGTCGCCAATAGATATAACAGAGCTGGAAGAATATCCCCGTCGCTCATTTCGACATTTTGTTTTTGAATATTCCCATCCAGCATTGTTAGAAGCAGGGCGAAATATGCTGTTGGTGTCCGCTCTGTCTTCTGCTCTTCGATGGTGGATTCCAGAGCAAGTAAGAGAGTTGCAGGTATTCTTTGGTGGGGTAGTGATGATAGTGTGTGTGGCCGTATCTTCTCAAGTGCCCGTTCCATCGTGGAGGAAGAGCTGAGTTGCAGCCTGGGTAAGATGCTGTATTAGTACTAGGTGAAAAAAAATATCACGCCGTGTGACCTTTGGCCGGTCCGGGATTCCGCCTATATTGAGTTAAAAAAAGAGTAAGTATATATCTCTATAAACTATTGTAACCTCCAATACAGTGTGATTCAGACGCTCGTGCTTCGGAATTTTCGGCCGACGTCTGGATGAATAATCCACGTCATAAGTTCGATTCAGATTAGCCAGTACCTGCATCAACTATGCGTGATGAACCAGCCATTCCTTGGGCATACACATTAATCAGGTATCGCGTGTTGGCAGATTCAAGGCCAGGTAACTCATCATGCTTCTGACTTCAGGCTCCTTTTCCGATTCGTACTAAAAATATTTTACGGGACCATCGTCATTGAAAATACGAACTACATTCCTAGAACTGGAAAGCCATGGTAAGACGAGAATTGAAGTCACCAGCTTGGGCCGTTGACTGATGTACTTCAGCATTGTTTGCGCTAATCACAGCAACTCACTCACCGATGCATTGTAAGCTTTCAAACACCCCCACCCCCGAACCGTCTTTCAATTTGCTTAGGCTACTAGTGACATCGATCCATCCAAGCGTACGAAGACTTGTTGCGGTAGTGCTTCCTGTCATTGATGTCGGTTCACAGGTACGCAATATGCTGCGGCTCACGGCCAAGTCTACTCAATTTGGCCGCCGCACCTTCACCAGCTGGCTCATTGAAGCAGCCGGTACGGTCCCCATAAAAAGGCGAAAGGACTTTCCGGATGGTGACACGGACAATAGTCAAGCCATGATGAAATTAGTGGAGGTGCGTCTCACCCTTCTTTCTCTCAAACATTACAGATCACCATACGCCATAGGCCTTAGAAGCTGGCGATGCAGTTTGCTTGTTTCCTGAGGGTATGAGTAGGTGAGATCGTTGTCTTCAAACAATGGCTTTGCTACATCGAGGCACAGATATCACCCTAGCATTGCCCCACTCAAGACTGGAGGTGCGAAAACGTTTCGACCTGTTGTGCATGAAATACACATGACTGACATATTCCATTCCAAGTTGCGCGCTTAGTATCAACTGTGCTCACCAAACATCGTGACCAACTTAATTTTGAGGTCTACGTGCTGAACTGCTCTATCACATACATGTTCGTCTCCAGACTTAGCGATCTAGGCTCTCTTTCCTAATTTACATACAGGCACCGCCAACATTTCCGTTCTGATGTTCTGGTAACATTCCATCCCCCAATGAAGTTCAGTCTTAAGGTTTGCTCGCTGTTCCATTATCACCACAGAAGTGATCTGACGGCCCAGCAGGACAATCCAGAACTTGTGGAACCCACTGACTACGCCCATATTCGTTCTGTGACCTCCGATATACACCGCCAAATTAGCTCTGGAACTTTTGACTCTCCATCTTGGAACCTTATCAGGACGAGTAAACTTGCTGCGCGCATTTACGCACCCCTTGGTACTCACATGAGCCTCGGTGATCATGTCCGCGTAGCGAGGACTTATCTGGAAGCGTTTAAGTCTGCAGATATCGGTGCGACCGAGGGCATTTCAGATCAGGAACAAGACAATGAAGAGCTTTTGCAGCTTCTCAATGACTTGAAGGTGAGGCCCCTTGTACTATGATGGTCAGCGTTGTGACAGCGAACATTCTGCCTTCTAGTCATATCAGGACAGATTATCCCACTGGGGCATCAAGGATGATCGTATTAAACGACCACTTCCTCGATATACCATCGTGTATCGTATGGTAATACGATTTTCCTGGGCCGTGTCACTTCTTTCATTGTCATTTCCTGGCTTGCTCCTGTGGACTCCAATCTTCTTAACAACATTTTACGCCGTCCACGAGTTCAAAAAAACAGGACCTATCTTCGATACTTGGGATGAGATTGCGCAGTATAAGCTGGTATATGGATTGATATCTGGGCTTGCTGTTTGGTTGTCCGTCGTCTTGATGACGCTTCCTATAGCGTTTTTCACATTCTTCGCGGTTCCGGGCTTGATGTGGATGTCGTTGCGATGGCTGGAAGATTCCATATCATCATTTCGCGCTTTCGCTGCTCTGTTTCGTTTGCTTTGGGTGGGAAAACCCACCTTGTTGGCGATGAAGGAGATCAGGACGCAATTGCACGGAAGGGTCACGGCGCTAGCAATTTCTCTCGAATTACCGCCAGACCCCGAAGCTTATTTTTCAAGAGCAGGTGGGAGGGAAAAAGGGCGCGTTGGTAGCTCTTGGGATAGTGGGAGGCGATATTTTTCTATCAGGAGAAGAAGAAAGAGGGACTGGAATGAAACGTTACGACTTTACGATAAGGTGGATTATCCGGATGAAGGAATGTAAGCCATTCCGTAGAACCTGGCTGAGTTAGCTTAGGTGTGCTGCTTTCCTTAGTGACGACGACTTGTATTTAACATGATGGGCTATATGCCGCCAACTTGATTTCCACCGGCGCACGTGTCCAGAAAATTATTGAGCATCAAAAAATTGCTTGAGCCCACATTGCCGAGGCGCACTCGTTAGCCCGACCCATCAAGTCGCCGGATCCCTAGACTTGTATAACCTTGTTCTAATACCCGCATCATATTGTATACTGTCAACGATCTCTCTGTAATTTTCACGACGCATACTCTCTCTACGCCAATCACCCAATGTCTCCTGTAGCGATGCCAGCACCTCTCGAGAATCCATTTACTCCTCTTATAGACAACCTCCGCGCTGCACCCACTGCACCAGGTTCGTTGTGCTAGCAGCTCTGTTCTTTAATTCTTCCTCAATGCCCTTTAGATGCTAAGGGTGCTGCTGATAGAATAGCTCGAGAGGTGGCGAAGCATGGCCTGCAGTCTCTCGAGTGAGTTTTTATGACATCCTCGCTGTACTTATCTTTATCCTCTTTGATCTTTATCATCAGAAACCACAACGTCCTACAAACTCTAAATGGGTTTGCGACTAACAAAAAGTCTGGTTATGAGCGAGAATCTGCAGCAATTGCCTTCCAATCTTTAGCCACTGTTCTTGGTGCAGGAGTAACACCTCTCCTTATCCCATCTCTTCCGATTATATTCGATCTTTACATGGACAAGGGCGACGTTGTTCGATCTGCTGCCACTTCCGCTGTCAAGACTCTCATGAAGCTATTTCCGCCAGAAGCTGTACGAGAGTTGTATGGCGTATTGACCGTCATCTTAGAAAATGGAAAATGGAGGACGAAGGTTGGAGTCCTAGATGCACTGCGTTCATTTGTTGCTTCGGCGCGTGACTCTGTAGCCGCTGAGCTGGGAACCGTATTACCAAAGGTCGAAAATGCCATGCATGATACAAAGCAGGAGGTATGTTGATTTCGAAGGTCATTCTTCTTCCTGATGACGATGCTTTTCTTGTAGGTGTCTACTGCTGCAATTAAATGTGCCACATCTTTGTGCACAACTCTGGCCAATCCAGATCTTGCCCCCCACATCCCCGTTCTTGTGAAGTGTATGTCAACGCCCGATTCAGTACCAGCATGCATCAAAGCCCTTTCGTCAACCACGTTCGTTGCCGAAGTAACGGCGCCAGCTTTGGCTGTTTTGGTCCCTCTCTTGATTCGGGCCTTGAACGACCGAAGTATGGAAGTTCAACGACGTACCGTTGTCGTTATTGAAAATTTGGTGAAACTCGTCCGGGATCCACAAGTTGCTGCGCTGTATCTTAGTCCCCTCGTGGAAGGAACACAGAAGATCGCAAAAGGGGCAGCGTTTCCTGAGGTGCGTCTTGTTCAGCGGAGCCGGTCCATGTCCGAACTCACCCATGTCAGGTTCGCGCCTTTGGCGAAGCTGCACTCCAAACGCTGCTTAAGTCTGGAGCCTCAGCCGAAGGCCGTCCGTCTCATCATCGGGACATTGAAGGAGAAACAGCCGCGGTTCTCACAGTCTTACTTAATCTTTTACCCGAAGAACTTCGAAGCCTGTCCTCTACTGCCAATGGACCTTTGGGCCCCAATTCGACACTTTTGGGCCACTCTGTTGATTTTGTTGCATCGTTGGTAGCCGACTTGGTTTATGACCGCCGATTCAAGGACAAGGATGCTTGGAATCGATGCATCGGTGTGTACATGACTCCGTGGCTGAATACAGAGAAGGCTTCTGCCTTTGCCAGTACTGTGTCGGAACATTTCTACGCCATAGAGAAGGTTGGTCCATGAAACTGCCAGTCATTGTTGTCGACTAACCCACCATACACCAGTCCAAATATACTGTTGTTCAGACCGGAGACGAGGAAGGCGAAGTCTTATGCGATACCCTTTTCTCTCTTGCGTATGGTGCATTACTGTTACTTTCTCATACCACTCTCCGTCTCGTCCGGGGAAGACGATATGGTATTCTCGGCACAAACGGGTCTGGAAAATCAACCCTCATGAGGCAACTCCGGGACGGTAAAGTCGAGAACTTCCCTCCGCAGGACCAGCTCTGTTGTGTCATGGTAGAACATTCTTTACAAGGAGAGGACGCTTCGTTGTCTGTGCTCGATTTCATTGCGGCAGGTCTGGCCTTCTTTCCTGCCCATATGGACTTTATTCTGACATTCTGCTACAATTTTTAAAGACAAAGCATTGGTTGATGTCACTCGTTCCACAATACGGGATCAACTATTAGAAGTCGGATTTGATGATGCCAGACAATCTGACACTGTTGGCGGACTTTCGGGAGGGTGGAAAATGAAGCTCGAACTTGCAAGGGCGATGCTATATAATGCTGACTTATTGCTATTGGATGAGGTGAGTGCTTCAGCCGTTACACCTTCGCAAAATGTTCTGACGCCATCTTTCCAGCCCACTAATCACGTTGGTGCTTATTGTTTTGTGTATTCCTTGATTTACTCTCTTGACCACAGCTGGATCGTGCATCTGTTCTATGGCTAGAGAAATACCTTATAGCACATGACAAGGTTACTTGTCTAATTGTCAGTCACGACTCTGGGTAAGTACTATTATTTTTCAGACTATCAACATCCTTTGAAAAACACGTGTACAGTTTTCTAGACAACGTGACAACAGATATCATACACTACGAAAGCAAGAAGGTGTGTCTAGAATTGGTGGTACTTGTGATTTGCACTCACCGCATTCTCAGCTTGTTTATTACCCCGGAAATCTCTCTACATTTGTCGAGCAACATCCCGAAGCCAAGTCTTATTACACTTTAGCAGCCACCTCTGTCAAATTCTCATTCCCGCCACCTGGTTCATTAATGGGTGTGCGAAGCAATACTCGGGCTATATTGAAGATGTCCAACTGCACATTTACTTATCCTGGACGTAGTTCTCCCAGTCTCTACAACGTTAGCTGTGCGCTGTCTTTATCGAGGTCAGTGTTTTTCTTGTTGCTGTTCACTCTACCTTATTTGTCGTGTAGTCGTGTTGGTATCGTGGGTCCCAACGGTGCTGGAAAGTCGACATTGATCAAACTCTTAACCGTCTGGTCTGCTCACTTGAATCTGATTCTATAAAGACTGATCGATAGTCCAGGGGGAGACTGTACCTCAAGAGGGAACTGTGTACAAACATCCAGCTCTTCGGGTTGGTTATGTGTCACAGCATGCAACCCACCATATAGGTGATCATGATAATCGTGTCTGTGGTATTGGGCTTTCTAACCACAACACAGAACGTCACCTGGAAAAGACTCCGATCGGTTACATTCAATGGCGCTTTCAAGATGGACATGACCGTATGGCCGACTCTTTACCTTTCTTTCATGGCTTGATGTGTTTCAGGTGAACTATTGGAGAAAACCACCCGTGTCCTGACCGATGAAGAAAAGAAAGTCCTCGACACAGAGTGGGTAGGAAAGGATGGGTCTAAGCGCAAACTAGAGGTTTGTTGTTCTCCTCTTGTATCTGAGTGGCATGATTCTCAATCCTTCATCAACAGCTTATCATGGGTCGACAAAAGCTGAAGAAGTCCTTCCAGTATGAAATCAAGTGGCGTGGTTTGGATCACAGATTTAATACCTGGGTTCCGCGTGACGACTTGATCAACAAAGGCTTTAGTAAACTTGTGCAACAATTCGATGACCTAGAGTCTTCACGGGAAGGTGCTGGTACTCGTGATACCGCCGCGCATCTCGTACGAAAGCACTTGGAAGACATCGGTTTGGACGGAGATATTGCCCAATATAATGAGATCTCTGGTCTATCTGGAGGTAAGGTGTTCTGATCTCTAGTAGCAACCATGCTGCGAATGGCTTACCGATGATCAGGGCAAAAGATTAAATTAGTGATCGCAGCATGCCTCTGGAATAACCCACAGGTATGTGCGGATTTTTGATCTTGGTACAACCTTTTGATATGGTGCACATCAGATATGTATCTTAGACGAACCGAGTAATTTTTTAGATCGTGAAGCGCTAGGTGGGTTGGCTGTAGCGATTAGAGATTGGGCGGGTGCTGTAGTAAGTGCGGCGTTTCTGTTGCTATATCATGACCTGAGCTATTACAGGTTATCATTTCTCATAACCACGAATTCGTCTCCGCCCTGTGTTAGTTCATTTCGTGCTGTAGATATCATTGAAACACGCTGATTCGCTTCTTACAGGCCCGGAAATATGGAACGTCGATGCCGGCCGCATGACCCAGCAGGGAAAAGCTGCTGTTGTTGAGGATGCTTTCCTCGATAAGAAGGGAAGTGGAACTAGCACGCCGGTCAGGTCCAGACATCAAACTCCGGCTGCTTCTGCTGCTGGGACCCCCGCCGGAAGTGGCACTGAGGGTGCAGGTAGCGGAAAAGTGACACCAGTCAAGAAGAAGAAGAAATTGACACGCAACCAGCTTAAAGCTCAAGAAGAGCGAAGGAGACTGCGAAAACTGCATTGGCTGACGCATGGTGGACCGAAGCCGGAGGATACTGATAGCGACACATAGTATTTGTTGGTTCCTATTATAGATATTTCGATAGTACCCTTATAGATAATCATCTTACATTACTGTGAACGTGTGTGTGAGTAAGGCCTGTGGTCCATTGATGTCTATTAATCCTCGGATCCCATTTCCACGGACAACTGCTCGCGCCCGCTGACAAATCAGGGCGGCGCGTGGCCCATGTGCTTCATCGACGACCTCTCCGCCTCCCAACTTGTGGGTCGTGGATATTTAAAACATGGCCACTGTATGGAGTTAGGTCTTTTAAGATCCTTTAAAACACATCAGAGAATACACCTTTCAGATTCGACGTTCGTAAAGGAATCAGATCTCCATCTGTTGCTTCTGTTAATAGAGGAAGTTGCCGCCCCGGACTCAAAAAGGTTTGGAAACCATGGGAGGCAAGTAGCAATAGACAGACGGATGTGTGTAGTGCTCCAGCACTCAATCATTCAATGATATCTTAAGTACATATGTAAGGTAAAATAATGTGTTCCTATCGAGAAGCAAACCATTGGGCGACGGCATCCTGTCGGTGGAATATTAATGAATAGGTAATTATTAAAAACCGGATTCATAGATTAGGACAGCGGCGAGAAGACAGACTAGTAGTGCCAAGGGAGCGGACGTAACAATATTATAGGCTCGGGAAGAAGAAATAAGACGTCTTGAAAGAAGGCTGAGGATAATCACGACTACTCAATATCCACGCGGCCACATTTGCCTCTGATCAGCGACTGCGGCGTCTTGGCTTCGAGCACGACGATGAGAGGCCGTGAGCGAAGGGGAGCCGTGGGCGTCCGGCGGAGGAGAACGAGACATATATGATGAACCCGGCATGGGTGCAGAGCCTTCGTAGCCACCAGTGGACAGGTGCGCCATGTCATCGACTAGGGGATCGCCCTGAGACACCATAGAAAAAGACTGGTGGGTACTTGATGATGACTGTCTGGTTTGCCTCATCGACTGTCTTTTATTTTGAAACCTGTAGAAAATTGAGGGCTGGTAAGTAAAAGGGCGATGATCGTAGCAAAAATAACATGAGTACCAAATCTGGACGCTTCTTGCAGACATATCCAATAATTTAGCCAACGCAAGGCGCTCTTCCGTTGACGGGAACGCGGTGCGGGCGTAGGTCTCGTTAAGAATTTTGAGTTGTGCGGCATCAGCACGTTTTCTTTTTTTCTTGATTGTTGGCGAGTCGTCAGCAGAGGTGGGGGAAACCGGTGGCGGGGTGTATGAGGGCGGTGGAACGTGAGATACATTTCGCCCATAGGGAGAGGACGAGCGAAGGTCAGCCATGCCTGTATGAGAATGAGAACTCATTGGGATGTTTGCTGAATCGGCCATCGACATGCCATATGCGTAGGAGCTCGATGCGTTCGACGGATAACCGTTGTAGGCAGCCGGATAGGATGCTGTTGGTGACCGAATATGACTGCCACCATGTATGGTCGAAGACGCAGAGGGATAGCCGGCATGTGGGGAGGTATTAAGCGGAGGTAATTTCCTGGAATCGACCGCTGTATCTGGGATCATGGGAGAGGTCCTGGATGAATACACCGGATACGTATGCTGAGCGCCGTATCGATTATCTTGAGTTTCATAATAGTCGAAAGAAGACGCTGAGTGCTCACGTTCAGTACAACGCTTAGAGGGAATTCAAAGACTCACCTCCACCATTTTGTTGCCATTGGCTCGAGTATTGAGAAGTATAATCGTATCTTCCTGGAGAAGAACGTTGTTGAGAATACTGGTTAGAATACGCCACGGGAACTAATCAAAATAAGACAATGAATTTCTGTTGAAGATTTGAACACTCATAGACACAGACCTGGAAAACGTGAGGTTGGAAAAGCAGAAGAAAGAGGAGGTAGCACAGTTCGCCCACCCTGACCCGTCTGGAAGAAGCCACCACCTTGAGAGTCCCCCACAGGAGGACTCCTTGATCTGCCATAATAACGATCCTCTTTGGGATTCGACATAAGTAGATAATATGAAGGATAGTTTAGAAGAAGAGAAAGTTGGCGATATTACTGTGACAAAAAAGCGAGGATGACCCCGAGTTATATACGAAAAAAACACGCGTGTCTACGCAGGCCGCTGTGAGCGACCAGAGGCGATGCGAGAATGTAAATAAATCAGGAACAGACAACGAGGGAGACATGTACCAGAAAGGCCAATTACACGAGGCGGGGCGTAGCTGGGCTAGGGGAAAGGACACGCGTTGAAAAGTGCAGATCCCGGTCCAGAGTGTGTGTAAAGAAACAAGTGGTTTCAACGACGTTGAGGGTGAGAGGTATGGACAAAGTACCCTCACAGCTTATTGAAGAAGGCGCAGTTGGACGATCAAGGTTCGCAGGGGATAATAGAACGGAGCTCTAAAATATAATAATCCGTAGACAAGCTGTGGGCAGGTATACCTAGTAACACCGAAAGAACACGCCCCGGCAGCACGAATTGTAGGTTACATATATGTCAGAACAGGGAAATGAAATCAGCGTGGGTGTCGGCTGAACTGAGAGGGATTTTTATCTCAAAAATCATTGCCAAAACTGCTATATCAAGTTCCCATCGTAGATTGGCGCCTGGAGGGCCGCTGGTAAGAAGTGGATTGCCGTACGTACTATTATTCTGCGTGTGCCATGCCGTGATGGCAGACCGGGAAAAGGGCTTGGACCGTCCGCAAGCCGTGGCTTCCCCCCGATGATGACAATACGACCAAGATCAAATGATCGGAGCTAGTTCGCGTTACATACAAATGAAAGAGATCGAGTCCAAGGGCAGGGAACTGAGAATACAGGCAGCGCTGCAGAATGAAGCAGGGCACGCCGTAGCCAAGATACTGGTGAGCCCAAAGAAGAAATACCAGGCAATGGAAACAAGCGGGGCATGATGTCCAAGCGCGAGCGAAGATCGGTAGCGAAACGGTGACGAACCAGTTGCCCTCTGAAAAATGTGTTTTTTTTGAAACGAACATGAGGGGGTGACTGCTAGGTCATCGATGCTATATTGGGGAAGCCACGTGCAATTGGGATTCCCAAATCGGGACTGCTTTGTCGTCTCTCCGACAGTCGTCCAGATCTCTCTTTCTACTACAGCCTTGCCGATTCCAATGGCTTCTCGACGTCCCCTACCGACGCCGCCAGCGCCGCCATTGGGATCCAAGTACAATCAGTATACCCTCTCCAGGCCAACCAACATGTATCCCCCAGGAAACCCCTATTATTCGCCCTACGATAGTCCTGATGCCTATGGTGAACCTACTACCACTCTACCGGGAGGCACCCTACTTCATAAAGGCTTCTATGATCTCTTATCTATGATACCTACCCCGTCGTCACCATCTCGCTTGTTGCAACAGTGGACTGTTCAGGCCCCCGAGCCAGTCGTAGCTGGTCCGCGATACGAGCACATAGCTTCTGGTCCTATGCCGGCAGACAGGCCCGCCCAAAGTCCCCCAGTCTCACCCAAGAAGGGCCGCAGAATTAGCAAGGACATGGTGTCGCGTCCAACGGGCTTTGTGTATGTCACATTCGACTGATATTGCCGTATCAACGCTCATCTCTATGTTACAGCCACCTCGTACACGCCTCAGACGCTGATCAGGCCGAGGCTCTGCTGACGCGGTGGGGACCTGATGGACTAGGCAAGCTGGGAGGTCAGGTTTCCGTGCCCTGTACACACCAAATGCAATCAAATTCTAATGCAACGTATCCTAGATCCCCGCTGGGCAAACCCCATTAAGAATCGAATCCGCCAAAACAACGATGCGCGGCCCGTCAACGAGGTAGTCAGCCCTGGGCAACCATCTCAGAGTACCAGCAAAATAATCGACGCCGGTGCTCTTGGCCCTCTTCGCGTCGTCAACGGCATGAGCACAACAACGTCCTCGACCCTGACCACTGCGGCACGAGAAAATGTTTCTATGTCTCCGCCTGAAGGCATCACTGGACATCCTGGGAACTCTACAATCCGCTGGGGGGGCGGCCTTGTCACACATCCTGAGGAACAGCACGAACATGACCATCTTCCGGGGAAAGACCTTCCTGAGGTCCCTCCAGTGTCCAAACCTATTACACCGTCTTTGCCAACTTTGGAAAAAGCCGTCTCTGCTCGCATCTACTTTGAGAACCTCTACTTCCCGTTGTTTCGTCATACACCTTCTCGAGAACAGAGACGATTGGCTATGGAGAGAGATATGATGGATATGCAACTCAGCATCGCTCAGAAGGAAAATTTGCGCGCTCGCTGGCGTCAGAATGAGACCGACTACTTGCGAGTGAAAAGACAAAAAGTTGATGTTACAGCATTCACAACGCTGAAGACGATCGGACACGGTTAATTATTTTTCGTCCAGTGTCGCTTGTGTTTACCGTGTCTTCTTTTCTTTTTTTTTTGTCAACAGGCGCTTTCGGAGTGGTTTCCTTGGTCAAAGAACGGGCCACAGGCCAACTATATGCCATGAAACAGGTTTCAAAAATCTTCCGCGCTTTCCTTTGCTGAGCCCTTGGCTGATCCTTCTTCAGCTGCGGAAGACAGATATGTTACGCAAAGGGCAGGAGGGTCATGTCCGCGCTGAGCGTGACATACTCAAGTCTGCTTCCTTGGTTGCTTCTCCCGGAGGCGCGGAGTGGATTGTGAGACTCCACTACAGCTTCCAAGATCGTGATAATCTGTATCTTGTATGTTATTTGTTCGACAAAGTTGGCATATCTGACTCAGGTGACCGTTCATTGGACTTCTTTCTTTCATCTTCAATGCCCTGCACGTCAATCTTCCGGTTTCACCCTTGTTATGGCCGCTCTAGGTTTTGGAGTATATGGGAGGCGGTGACCTTCTTAACCTGTTGATTGAGCGGGACATATTCGAGGAAGAATTCACTCGGTTTTATGTCGCTGAGGAAAGTTCCCCAGCACCTGCCTGATTATCAGCTAACGACCTACTATCTCTCAGATGGTCCTAGCCATCGAGTCGTGTCATAAACATGGATTCATTCATCGTGATATCAAGCCAGATGTACGTCCTTACTTATCGAGCTCTCAATTCATATGACACTTCATCGTTGCTAGAATTTTTTGTTCGATCCTGAAGGTCATATCAAATTGAGTGATTTTGGCTTAGCGTTAGTCAGATATCGTCAAATAGCGTCCGTCTACTAATACCCCAAAATATTAGGACCGATCTCCATTGGGCCCACGACACTTCTTGTACATTTAATCTACTTCGGTAATCTCTAACTGATCCTTATCTTCTTTTCAGATTATGAACAGCAACGTTTGCATTTACTACATAAACATGGGATTGATCTGGACGATACTAACGGAATTGCTGATGGACGAAAGACGAAGCGCATGAATCGCAAGGATGTAGAACTATTGATGGGAGGAGAAGGCGAGGGAGGACTCTTCACGTGGAGGGAGAAAAACCGGAGAAAGGTATCTTGCAAGTTAAGGCTTTTTGCACAACTAAGCCCTCTTCCTAGCTGGCGTATTCCATGTACGTTTGTTCCCTTATCCCCGAATCAAACCTTTGTAATGGTAACGATCTAGTTGTGGTACGAACTCGTATAGTAAGATTACTTTTTGCCTTTATTGTACTCGGGATTTGATCGGCTTTTTATGCTTCAGTGTCTCCTGAGGTGATCCGTGGGCACGGCTACTCGTACTCCTGTGATTGGTGGAGTCTTGGCGTTATCATCTACGAATGTCTTTATGGGTGCGTGGGCGGCTTCGTATTGTTGGAGCAGTAATCTCAGATGTCACGTCCCAGTCGACCGCCATTCGTCAGCAACTCGGTATGGTCAAGCTTGTCCACAAACTACTCTCTAACACATATTTTCCAGCGTCATATCACTAGACAGAAAATTTTAAATTGGAAACAGGCGCTACGCTTCCCGTCACGACCTCGTGTATCTCGTGAAGGAGTAGACTTGATCACCCAACTGCTTTGCGAACCTGAAGACCGTCTCGGATCACAAGCATCGGCGTCGGTTTCGAGACCCGACTCGCTCATTGTCCAAGCCAGGCGAAGTGGCTTCATATCAGTAGGCAGAAATGTTGACGGAGCGGATCACATCAAAGTAATTTTCCTCCTTGTCACTACGAAACATTCCTTACGATACTTATAGGCCCATCCCTGGTTCCGGGGAATCGATTGGGCAAACATCCGTCGTTATCAAGCACCATATCTTCCTGAGCTTCGGTATCCTGAGGATACTCGTCATTTCGAGGATGACATTCCTGCCCAGGTATGCTACACAATCATAGATCGTCGTACTCATACCAATGATGATTGCTTCAGCCACTTGAACCTGCTAACGGTGCACCTGCTGATGCTACTCGTGATCCATTGCTTCGACATGAAATTCACGGAGCCGAAATCTTGGACGTACGAAAGGCCCTTGCCTTTGCCGGATTCACTCACAAGAGTCCCCGGGCTATCAGCTACGTCAGAGCGGACAAGGCCTTCTACCCACAACCAGACACATACGGCCAAGAGCCTTCCAGAGGGCTGTCGACTTTGCCTCAACAAACTGTAGGAAGGGGCCGCGCCATTTCCATGTAGCCTCTTTCAGCCGGCATCCTGACTACTAGCCGCTTTCTACCTCATCCATTAACATTTATACCCCCCATGAACTGGACCGGCATCAGTAATCTATCATAATTTATATAAGTGTTTCTATCTCACGGGTACGATCGAACTTATGAAAATGATAATGATATGAATGATACAGTTAATCTAATGCCTATAATACAGCGGTCGAGCGACGAGAACGTTTAAATTCGGCAATAAATAAGTGGAAGGAGCAGCGTGGAAAAGCAAAGGAACGTCGAATAAATAAATGCAATAAATGATGGCGACTAACGGGGAGTGAGAGTGTACTTGCAAGTCGAATAATAAATAGTATGATGCGAGGAAGAAGATGCATAAATGATTGTCGTGGAGCGCAATCTCGCGAAATAGCTCCAAAGCCCAGAAGGAAATAAGTGTGCGATACGTTGAACATCATTTTATTTGAGATGACGACGAGTTCGTTTCTCTGGTCGCAGCTGATCATCGGTTTCATCAAAATCATCAGATGAGACGCTGCGACTTCTTCGGGAACTTGTGGTACTTGATGTAGATGCATTACTGTCTCGACGATGCAGCCAGTGTGATTGAGACGGCGTCACGGATGGTGCGCTGGAGGACTGCGAGATGTGTGATGATGTTGACTGAGGAGGTGATATTATCTCGCTGCTTTCGTCACTAGAGAGCTCCTGCTGTCTCAAGGGAGTCTGGGTGTGGACCCGAGCGTGTCTGCGCATATTGCTGAGAACACTGAAGCTCCTTCCACAGCTTTCAACGGGACAGACAAAAGCTTGTGAACGGGGAGTCAGAACATGCATGATAGCAATGACAGTTGGTACATACGTTTTTCTCCAGTATGACTGTTAATATGGATCTAGACGAACGCGAGTTTAGTACACACCCAGGAGATAAAAAGACATCAAAACATGCCTTCAGACTACTGGGGCGATTAAAGCCCTTGCCACAGTAGGTGCATTCATACTTCGAAGCAATCCCACCCATCAGCTCGTCATCTCTTTGAGGTGGGCGTCCGAATGAGGGTCCTACATCGCGGTATCGAGCTGTTGGCGTAGGATCATCGTCATCGGTCCGGCTTCTATCCACTGTGGTCGATATTGCCCACGGGCGTGAGGGATGAGCATCGCCGGGAACGCGAGAAGGTAAATCCGATGACGGATAGGTGTTAGCCGACGGAGGTTGATCTAAAGGATAGCGAGTAGCCGGAATCTCGCGAGAAGGATGGTGATTGACTAGGAGTCTGTCTTCCGTTGATTGTCGACTAAAATCATCAGGTTGAGTGTCGGGAAAGCGCAACCCGGAACCATGGGGATAATCCATCTGTGGGACGGTATTGCGATGAATGGGAAACCTGTTCGGGGAGGCAGTTGATGTTGGAGAACCCGTGTAAGATGATGAACGAGGCCCAGGAGATGGCCTTCCAGGCTGATTGTCGTAGATACTGCCAGAGGTTCTAGTTTTGGAAAAAGTAGACGTGTACGAGGATGTTAAACTCGATTGCTGATGATTGTAAAAGGGCGTTGGTGGGTCATGATATGGCCGTGACGCAGGATTGCCGTATTGGGCAGACGACTGAAAATATTGACGACTTTTAGTTATCAGAAGGGCTATCGTATGGCGACGTGACGTACCATGGAGTGGCGTCCAGTGTTGTATAGAGCCCCCGGACCTGAATAGCTCGAAGTATGAGGGGTAACCTCGTGATCATCATCGCTCATGCTAAGACGTGCCAAGGTCAAAGAGGGTGAATCGTGAGGAGCTCTCGGGGACCGGGACAGCTCGTCTGTTTCTACGATTAAAAATGGATCGTCAGAAGAGCTAGAGGCTCACCTCCAAAGAGATCACGTATTGGCGGAAGAGTAGGACGATCCCTTGAACGTCTCCCCTTGCCAGATGAGTACGACATGGAGATGGAAACGAGAGGGAAGGAAGAGGGAAGGAGGTAGTGAAATTCAATAAAGGCAACAATTTATTACAGGTACTATGTCACGCCGTAGTGCCTGATTCCCCAGTCGGTCCAGTCAAGATATTTTGACCGCGGTATCCAAGCCCGCTTCGCAGTAGCCAAGTGGGGTGATTAGAGTTACCGCACAGCCGACCAATCGTGAACGTTAAGACCACAATTGTACCGCATTCTTGTTCATCGTTGATATGCACTGTCTTCATGCGCAGAAAGCGGCAAGCGAGGGGAACAGGGAATTAACCTGCTAGCTCAGACCGCTTACACATTGGATTCTTGAACCTGAAGATCTCGGCAAGGCCACAACGGCAGCACGTGGTCGTGAGTTTCAGGTTTTGCGTCCCGAATATCATAGGAGGGTCGGGAATCCATGGTACCATTTCCTAGGATTTCACCTTGAGGAGTAATGATCGATCCGTGTTTCGATTATTTCAAAAGATAATCCAACGTGAAGACCTTTCTTTTCGGACTTCGCGGCTCGGCTCGACTTGCAATGATGAAAGTTCTGAGCTCACTCCGAAGAAAAGTAGAATACTTGATTATACGACGATCTGTGAATGAATGAATATCTTTATGACGGAAGACAATTTCACCATCAAAGAGCCTTGTTATGAAGGGTGTTTGATTGCAAAATCTAAGAAAAGACTTAGCGTAAACATATGTAGATTATAGATGACAAGTACTCACGCATTACTTATCAGGCCAACTTTCATAAATATGGAGATGATAACCATTGAAGATCACATCAGTTAATGTAACCTACTTACCTATTCGTAGAAAAACTATTTCTCTTGCCCAAGGATAAGTATTTATCACTGACGGAGTGCTTCTGGCGTCCGAACAAATCAGTAGACAAGATCTCTATGGACCGTCTTCCCACCGCCGTGCCAGAGTTAAAGTTTCATGTGATTGTCATTTGACACTCAGAAAATGCTTGACGATGAGAGGAAAGGTCTGAAAGTGGCAGTCGAAACAAGAAACAGCAGCCGATCTGTCACCGGTAAACCGGAACCCAAAGAGAACAGGACCAGACACCGTAAGTACGCTCAGAACGCCTGGCCACGGTGGCCAAGGACTGCCCTGAAAGCGATGTCGATTTGGATATTTTGGATCAGGGGCCAGCGGGGATGCTCTGAAATTATCAGGATTATTTAATGATACAATATACTTGACAAACATACACGTTGATCACTTTTCTAGGAGGAGCCTGCAAAGGTCAAGTATTTTCAGGAGAGCTGATTCCAGCCTGTAGGAGCGGTCGGTCAGGCAAATCAACGTTATCCCAACACGTGACGTCGTACACATGACTTAAGGCCTTCTCGGTCGAGATTCAAACTTGAGCATCTGTCATATGCATAGTATTCATTCACCAGTATCATCAGCTCACCGCTTCAGAAATACGTCCGCATGCACTACTGTACATTAGGCCAACGGATCGAGTCTGAGCGAGAGCCGGCAAACCCTCGACATCCGGCATAAAATAGTTAACTGTTGCATCATTCTGTTAGTTGTAAGACAAGGCTGGTCCTTTGCCCTCGCCTGCACTACCATCCTGTTTCTGAAGCACGTATTCGTACGGATACGAATCGGCCAAGTCATCCAAGGGAATTGCGTTCTGATAGAGATCCATAGGTATGAAACCGGTATAATGGCGCCTGGCGTTAGCTCAGCAGCGTCCCTCACACAAGAATACGGCGACATGGGACGAACCCTCCAAAGCCACCAACAAAATAAACACTCTGTGGAACATTCAGTACTTCATCGTTCTAGATACTAACATACTTCAGGATCAAACCTCGCCCAATAAGACTGGAGCCCATAACAGTGAGATTCAATGGCATATCAGCCAACTTCAGTCACTCACGAGATGCGCCCCTTCGTCATCGCCTAGTAACCATCTTTTGGCATCAGGATGTCTCTCCAGGTAGTAGTTCTTGATTTCCGTCAAATTGTTAAAGTGCAAGGAGAGTACTAATCGCATCGTTTATCTTATCTTCGCCGATTGTGTAAATGTGATATCAATCAAAATTCGACTCCGATTCAGAAGCTGCCGAGCTAGATTACTTTTTGCTACTATTTTGAAGGCTTGGCTGTTTCCTTTTTAGGGACCGCTTGCCCTACTACTACTACTACCACTTTTTGTTGACCAAGTAACCCATTTATGCGGCTTGCGAAAAAGTGCAATAATACAAATGAGCGGATACACGCTGTTGTATAGTAGCACCAGTATCGGAGCACGACACTCTCCGACTGTAACCATGCCAAACGAACTTCTGGACAGCCTTGCAGAACAGGGACGCGATGCTGCGAAGGCTGGAGCAAGGCAATGGAATGTTTCCTGCTCGGCCTTCTCTGCATGTCGGGCTACTGAAACAGTGCTGTGTACAGGACAGCGGAGAAAGAGTGGAAGTAACTTTATCCCCGCTACGAAATACTATAATATTCAGCGCGGATTGAATACGTGGCCGTAGAAGGTTCTGCTGTTGCCTTTCGCCGCATGGAATCTATTACTCTCGCGGAAATTTGGAAATACAAGGCTGGCAATCTAGTCTGTCGTCCGGAAGAAGAGAGGACAGGAAAGCCCTGTTTCCTGGCTGCACTCTTGAGTTTGGATATCGACGAATGTCTGAATTGACAAAATCGTACCTTTGGAGCGCCAGGTGTCAAGTTGCTTTATGAAATCTTTTGCAGCCGAAAAGAGAAAATATGGTAAGGATTGATGGTCCTCCAGCAGACGAAATACGGGGGACGAATACTTGACAGAAGATGGACAGCAGGAAAAGTGATGGGGAACGAATCGACTAGTGTGTTTATTAAGTGATGACGAACGTTAACGACAGAATTCGGCGATTGGATTCAAACATAGCAATTGAATAACTCGGTGCAAAGCGATGCTGGCAGTCTTCATTAGTAGGACATGCACTAGTTGGTACCTGGCCTTCTAAAGCAACTGGAAGCATTCCGTGTGTCGCGACGGACTCAGCCCATTGCCCGTTCACAAAACAGTATGTTGTCTGTAATATACAGCATTCCTGGTGTCCATGTATTGGGTGTTGCCTGCGTGAAATTCTGTCAGTAAATAAGTGTAGATGATGAATGCCAAGTTTGAAGGACTTTAGTAGAGTGACCTAACAAGTTCGACCTGATCTAAACCTTCTAGGGCTTGGACCGGGACTGTTGAAACGAACATAATCACGTGACATTCCATGTTTATCCCAAATCGCCGGTTGCATCCTTTTCTCAACAACTCAACATTTGGATTTGGAACCGCCAGGTTAGTTGTTTACAGACCTAACCAGTGGGGACCTAGGTAGGCGCTGTAGTTCTGTCGTCCTTAATTTACAAACCGAACATTTTCTATGCAGTAGATCACGGTCTTCAACTGTGGTTTCAGCATTGACATGATCAGCTGCAGTCCGAATCACATTTTATACCGATGGCCTCGCCGCCGAAAGCCTGAACCACTGAGCTGTCTGTTCTAAGCACATGGCCATCTCCGACAAAGTTAGACAGTAATCTCAATGTGATCCTGATGAGCGATAACTACACCTGAACAGGAAGCTGTTACCAGCGACGACACGCAGGGTAGTACACGACACTCAACACAAAAGGCAGTGCCTTGATTTTTCATCGACGTGACAACTCCAACGATCTGAGATGAGGGGACTAGTTTCCTGTTTCCATCCCTGATCTTAGACTCCTCCTTAGATAATGTTATTTGCTGTCCAAAATGGTCACGCTTTACAACATACAGGCATCGGCTGCGCAACAACAGGCTAACTTTCTTTAGGACGACCGACCAACACGCGCAATTTGTTCCACTCCTGGGGGGCCCTTTCCAAACCAGATCATCAGGCACAAATGAGCGCGTCAACTTGGCAGTCTGTCTCTATTCTGTTTCTGTTACCCTCCTTCCTAACTGGTCGTCGCATTCTTTGAACCCATAAACAGTTCTATTAACGCCCAAGTCTGCACGTTTTCTTCCTGTCGGCCATGGGTGACTATCCCTACTACCGTGGACACAACACCGGCCACTCGACTCAACAGAGGCTTGGCGAACAGTATTCCTCGAGCAATATGAACACGTATCCTTCGACATCCTACGTTTCTGCGCCTCACGATTATAATCCAACTCTTGGTGGCGTCAGCCGGCGTCCTGATGCATCATATTCGCATTCCGATGGACACTACTCTTCTCCAAATCAGTCCTACACCCAACCATCGGGCACAAATGGTTTGAGCCACCACCGATCGAGCTACCCCGCAGTGCCTGACCACTTCCCGCCGGCTCCTATGGGGCGGAGTTCGCATGAATATCATTCCAGTCAAGTATCACCACCACAATCGTCAGCTCAGCCGTCTCACGGTTATTCTCACCATCATACCAACTCTTCTTCTTATCCTCCCCATCCTCCTGTATATTCTCCGTACCCCCAGCCTTATGGACAGTCTCATTACGGGCAGTCTCAGGAGCCAGTAACGGTTCATTCTCCACCATATGACATGTCCATGTCCTCGTCCCCTCCCTTTTCCTCCGAATATGCCATGTCTCTCCCTCGCGCGTTTGGCTGTGACATGTGCTCCTTATCGTTCCATCGACAGCATGATTTGAAGCGCCACGAAAAGACCCATTCTGGTTCGAAACCCTACACCTGTAATGGTGGCTGCGGGAAAACGTTTACGAGAAAGGACGCGCTGAAGCGTCATCAGGTTTGGCCTTCGTCGCCTTTGGATACACTCGCTCACACGTTTACCAGCTTGTTAAAAAGTGCGGTACATTTGACGACAACATGATATAAATTAGACGGTGGAAAGGATGTAAACCAACACTTTTCTGATTCATCGACAGTTCTTTTCCCCCTCCTACATAAAGCCACGTGCTAGTTTGAAACCAGCACTCGAAACCTGGAAGCAATATTGTATTAGTTTTTTTCTGTACTAATAATCATCGACCTAACATACGAAATATCGAGACTGTAAACTCGTATCAAGCAGCTGAAATTGCCTTTTCAAGAATCCAAGCATCATGAGGGGCAATTTTTTTGTAGTAGTCTTCGTGAATCCCGACTTCCTGGAAACCATGTCGCTCGTAAAACCTCTTCGCATCACCATTGGATATCTGGACGTGAAGATATATTTTATCGATTTTCGGTTGATGATGAGATGATGCGGCACGAAGGACGAGATCAAGGCTCTCAGAGCCTAGCTTTCTTGAACGATAGGGCTACTTCCGTCAACGATTCAATCATACAGAGTGAAATGTTGAGACAACTCACTGCAAGAATACCCATCGTCATGAGATAGAGGTGTGTCTGATCGCCTTTGGTTTCCAAACGACAGCAGATCGTGCCGACTGTTACATAGAGTCAGCACCGCCATTTACAGACAGTCTAAACGGTAACGAACCTGGGACGTCATTATAGTACACTAAAAGGCTTAGTTAATGTTTCCAATACCGGGAGCAACGCAGACTAATCGGACCAGAGAAGAAACTAACCAAGCTTACAAAATTCCTCATAATCAGGATTCAATATGTCGTTGTAGAATTTCTCCGAGTATTTGATGGGAAACAACACAGAGTTCAGCTTCCTAACCGTGCCCAAGTTATTTGAAGACAAAGAGGCGAATGAAACACGAGAATTTGGTGTTGCACTGGACATCGAATATGAAGGTAAAACGGTAGGTTGGGTCTGCCGGCTGTTGCCGTTTTGATCAATTTCATCCCCGATCTCCCTGAGTCGGACCTTCAACTGGGTGCCGGCCCGGGTTCGTCGTGAGTGCCTTTCCCAATTTTCCAGTACTCTTTTTGAATTGCACCACAGGAATTGAGAATACTGCTTCTCAACATACCATATGTCGTCGTTGTCTTTAGAAACGTACAGTGAAGCTTACTCAGTACTCTCATTGAATGCCGCGGCCACGAGCCATGATCACTATATCATTGAAATATAGTTCGGGACCATTATCTACACCTTTGAAACGATCACGATTCTCTACTGAGCCTAGTAGTTATGTCAGGGGATCCATGGATCATCACGGAAATCATAAACATAGCCAAGTTTTAAAGTCGCATCTTGTGTGACCATGAAGATGATGTCCCCCCTCCTGGTTACCTTCCGAGATTTTCGCATATCCAGTCCATCATTAGGGCCCCATCATCATCTGTGTGCCTTGTGTATGATGCCTGGTCCTAGGTGAAAAGTGTTTCAAAATCATCTCCCAGATGGCTCGTATCTTTTGATAGCCAGCGGGCAGTGTCTTATCAGCCCCACTGGATCGTCAGCGACATCGTGTGTGTTCTGCATACTGTATTGCGTGTTTGATTGATATCATGTCTCTTGCCTTCGATACCAATGGACATGCATCGATCGCCAAATACATCCTTTCCGAGTAATTCGACCGCCGTACCCGACTGCATCATCAAAGAGGCATGGTCGTCACCTAAGATATGCTGCTGCGATATTTAGGTTCCGGCGCAAAGCCGCTGAATGACCAGAATCAGATATAGATACTCGTTGGAGCCAGCTTGAGGCCAAAAGCACCACATAGATACATATAGTGATGTGAGAAAGCAAAGCATATGGATGCAGATAATACAGCGGTTGTTCTAGCTAGTAGATATGACAAATAACAACCCAAAGGTCAATGCGCGATTTACAGTGAGTGCGGAATGTAGGTCTGTAAGGGGATAAGCAGAGGCATCTATCAAACATTTACGTTGAGTAGAATTACACAGACTGAATTATGGACTGATACCGTGTCAGGTTCCGTTACCTGGGTATTATGCCAGGCTTAGTCTTTTCCTGGGCTTTCGCGGGGAGCGGTGCAGACGATGAAGATAAACATCCCCATAACTACGGAATATACAAGTTCGCTGTGTTTTATCGTGGTCCTCAAGCATTGCCCAAACACAATGCCACCGCGGTGTCTCCTCAGAAAATTTAAAAGCGACTGCCAGATGTTTTTGATCCCATCTTAGATCATCCACGGGTCGATCGCGGTCAAGATTGTGCTTCCGCTCGAAAGCCTTGTCGGACAAAGTGACGAAGGCGCAATCAAGGACAGTCAGGTCCAGAGTTTCACCATTAGCAAGGATGCGGTCAAATAGAGGGTCAAAGTCTAGTGCCTTGGGAATGCCAGGGTGTGCGGGATCATAGCCATCGACGAGAATTTGGAAGGCGGTGTTGTCGCGAAAGTGGAGAGTCAGAGTTGGGTGTAGAGGTGAACGTCGAGCGCGAATTAGAACTTTTCCGATCAATGTTTGGGGATGAACTCTGTAAGAGAGTTATTAATGGGTTCTATTACAGAAAGGCCAGAGTACGAACCCTGGATGATCTAGCGCGACGGACAGTGGCGGCATGATGGAGGAGCGGAAGCAAGTTGAAAAAGGCGAAAGCGTGGAAAGCAAACAGGCACACACAGCAAGGGTTGGGTCATTGTCCCGTCTCATACAGACTGATACCGTTATAACGGCGGCTGTACTGGCAGTATTTCGCTGGCATCGTCGACCTGGGCAACGACTAGGACATCTTCCTTGCGACCATCATGCAGACTCACTCTCGCCCAATGGGGCCACGCAGCTTTCGTTCTGCCTCTCCAGCGCCTCCCGTAAATCTTCCGGAAACAGCACCTCTCAATATTCGGAAGCCTAGAATGCCGGATGCCCTTTCACCTCCTCGTCTTGTTATTCCCAAGGCATCTTCTCCAAAACCCGTTATCCGTGTGTCCATCCCTGCCCCCAATGGCTCGGACAATAGTACCTCTGGCGATTCGCCTATTTACGATTACTACGGCGGTCCCCGTCTTAATACCAGTACAAAGGCGCCTTATGGCCCCGATGACATGACCATCCGCCCCGCTTCTTCCGACACCACTAGGCCCGCTCTTACACAGAAACCCTCCGAGCCCATTGACGAAGTTCGCACCTTACTGACTGATCTTAAGATCAGAACAACCTCTTCCTCAGCATCTGATCTCCAGCCTGAGGATGATGCTATTCCTGCACAAAAATTGCCATCTCTGCCTTGGTCCGATGACGTTCTTGAGCAGGTCGCTTCACTTGGCGAGGGCGCTGGGGGTGCCGTTCATAAAGTCAAAGACAAAAGGACTGGCAAGATTATGGCTCGTAAGACCATAACCACCAGAGGGGCGCCCATGAAGCAATTACTACGCGAGCTATCCATCATATCATCCACAGAACATATCAACATCATTCTTTTCCACGGGGCATATATTTCTCCGTCGTCCAGCGAGGTCAAGATACTCATGGAACTCGGTGAGGGCGGCAGTCTCGAAGCTGTCGGTAAGCGGATCAAAGAAAGAGGCGCTGTCGTAGGGGAGAAAACAGCTGGACGTATCGCCGAAGGGGTGCGTGTTCGCAGCTCAAGTGTTGAATCCCAGTAATAGAAACCACCTAGGTTTTGCAAGGACTTGCCTATTTGCACAGGAAGAAGACGATTCACAGAGACATCAAGCCGTCGAACATTCTTCTCTCCCGAGAAGGAATAGTCAAACTTTGCGATTTTGGTGTCTCCGGCGAGTTGATAGATTCAATTGCAGGTACGTTTACTGGTACGAGTATGTACATGGCGGTAAGTGGTTGCTATAGCTATTATGTTCATCCCGCTCCTCATTGGTTTCTTAGCCCGAACGAATCTGTGGCCATGAATACACCATACGATCTGATGTTTGGTCGACGGGAATATCGTTATTGGAGCTGGTTCAAAACCGATTCCCTTTCCCTAACGATCTACCACCGATCGAACTGATGATGTATATCACCACAGGCGAAGTAAGTCATTTGTGCGTTCTCAAGGTTATATTTTCATCTCTATCTCTATTCTTGTTAGCCCCCTCGTTTGGAAGACGGGGGTGGTCTACAGTGGAGTGATGACATGAAGGATTTCATCAAGGAAACGTACGTACAGCAATATCTGTTATGATTCCAAGTGATGGATATCTGATCCAAGGTTGACGGTTGACGCGATGGCAAGACCAAAACCTCAAGATATGCTGGAACATCGTTGGATCGTCGGTGTCATGAAGCAAGAAGTGAACATGGCGCGATGGATCCGACAAGTTTGGGGATGGCCAAAGTCAAGCCGGCGGTCACGAGATCAGTTTAGTTCTTTCACTGATATGATGAGCGACAATCTCACTATTCAAAAAAAAAAAAAGGACGAATTCGCGGCCGTCTTCTAGTCAACGAACGGATTCTTCCGGAGGGTCACCTGGAGGGTTAGATTCTTCTCCCAACATATCGTCGACGTAATGTCGGACTGTAAGTTACCTATGAATGACCCTTTCTTGTGTTTTCTGATGAGTTGTCTTTGAAGTGTATTCCATTTGGATATCTGCTTTCGAACATTTGGTTTTTCTCGTAGTCAGACGTCGATCATATAGCATCCTGCATCTCGTCATCTATAATCTTTTTTTCTTTCTTCTGAGGTCGCGTTGTATGACCACAAGGGTTCTATGTAACTGTATATTTACACGTCAACTCGTCGTTCTGCTTGCCATTTTACTTGATGATGCACTGCCTACCCGTAGATACAAAGTCCCTAGCCACGCAATTGTTCCAATATCTCTGTTGCAAAAGAATTTAGTTTTAAATTTTCTTATTTGCACAGCCAAGTAGCGCTTTGAGTGGCTGGTGCCTACGAAGCTGGACTTGGGGGGGGGGGGCAATTTTGATGGAAAAGAGGTCGGGACTTTTTAGAGCCTGTCGTAGGTTGCTCATAAAATATTTGGAATTCAAGTGAACTGGGGAGGGGGAAGGGGAGGGGACTTTTCGAACCAAGCCCACGATGCATTCAAGGCCGGTGATTAGAAAGACGGATATTGAGCGTAGGCAAAAAAAAAGTCCGTGAATATCGTTCGAGAAAAATTCTTTTCTTGTAAAAGGGTTCTGACATCATTTGTGCTCGATTGTAGCACATGGGAAGGGCAGGTGGGTGGCCATAAGCATAGGAGGACTGAAGAGAGTCCGGGAACCAAACCAAGTGCGTCAGTATTCCGCGAAACGATTAAACGAAGAGATCGTATCAGGATCGACGATCTCGAAGCCGGGATGAACTGTAAAAAGTTAAGCGTAGGCCTATTTGGACGTGTCTGCTAAACGGACGGAGGCGGAGAGACGTCAACTCCCAGAGAGAGTGAATTCTTTACCATGCGGGCCGAAAGGGACTTTTATTATGTGGATCATGTTATTGCACAAATTGAGGTGAATTTTTGGGAAAAAGAGTGTACTTTGAACAGCCTCGCTGCCAGTGTTACCATGCGAAACATGCAACCTCTCCGTGTATGATCAAGGGTCGATTGTTCTCGTTGATAGTAAGGAAGTGAATAAGGGTTGGATGCGGATCCTATGAGCGGACGAATTATGATTGGGGAATAAGATGTGCTATTGTACCTGAACGGCAGCGTGCGCTCTGTTTGAAATAACTTATAATGCTCATAGCAGACCGAATTTGGGTCAAGAGTCTGTCCGGACCCACAGCCCACAACAATTGGATATTTTCTGATCGGGGAGGTACGGTGAGCTATTGATAATGCGTTGATAGAACGTGCTGGTGCTGTGGGGGGTGGTGGTCCATAGTGATGTATTTTTACGTTTCAACGGCGGCTCAAGAGTCCTCGGGGCAAAAAAGACGATATCCGGACTGAAACCCTCGGTCAATTTGTAGAGCGACGAGGTCCGTGGACATGCCGCGGTGTTGGATGACGGCCTGGAGCAGTGACTCTGGATGATTATTATTATGTACTTGTGTACTGAGGGTACGTCAAAATGTGCATGATTTGCATGCGGAAGGAATTTACGACATATCGAGGTCGAGAAATGTCGGGGACAACATTAATAGCGCGTGTGACGGTCCGGAATGAATGCCGCGGTGTCCGACCCTGGAAGGAAGAGCTTGGAAAATAGTAAAAAAAAAAAAAGTGTGTGAATATACCGGAATGAAAAAGTTGGATTTTGAAATTGATCGGGTTCACCCGACGAAATGGGACAGAATGCGACTCGGAATGCGCATCACACTGATCGAGCTTGCCATTGGAGTTTTGCGAACCACGCAGTCAGCCTGACAGAAAGAAGCCGAAGTGCCTCACTCTTTCCGTCATGAAAGGGGAGGGAAACATATCAGAAATATCAAACAATTATTCCTGCATGGCGCGAGCACCGACCCTTAGATCTCGGTGATCACCCCGGCTACCCGTGACAAGCCAGATCCTTGCTATAAAAACTTGCATACTACTACCATGCCTCGTCTACAGCGCCCTTATGTCCTAGTATGTCTCATCTTCTGTCGGCTCACCATTCTTCTCACTCTTTTTTTTTTTCTTTTCTTCTTTTTTTTTTTTCGCAGTTCAGCACAGAATTACCTTCCCCCGCCCCCCCAGTACTACCCGCCACACTCGCCACCACTCAATGATAGCCAGGCTCAGCGTAAACGACCGAAATACACCCGTAGCAAGACGGGCTGCATGACATGTCGCGTGAAAAAGATCAAGGTGCGTACATAACATGCATACCCAGGCCACTTCTCTCTCTCAGGTCGCCATCTAGTGTGACGAAACCAAACCAAACTGCATGCGCTGCACACATGGGCAACGTGATGTACGTTCTCGTCTGAACTGCCTGGTTGAATATTCATGTTTTCGATAGTGCACATGGCCTGACGGCGTGCCTCCACGGAAGAAACAGCCGGGGAGAAAGGACTCGTTTGACGGGAGACCCTCGACAGCGAGCTCCTCTGTTTCCGAAGATTCTGCAACACCGCCGACAAGGGACCCGACGCCTCCGCGGCGCACGGTGATAGACGTCGGGTTACCTCCCCTCGCTTCACGACGCCACAAGTTTGTCCTCCGCGGCCCAGTCTGAATCCACATTAATCTTCATTTTAGCGATCCATACCTCCAGCTACCCCCGGTTATGTCCCCAGAGTCTCGACAGTGGTCAGTGTTTTGTCTTCTCGCGTACCTCGTTCTTAGTTTCGTTTTTGTTCAGCGTCAGGTCTGGGTACGCACCAGAGATGGGGATGACACAGGATATGAGTTGTTACCCGCGGTATGAGCAGCCACAGCAGCCACAGCAGCAGCAGCAGCAGCAGCAGCAGCAGCAGCAAGATGCCTATTCGCCGATGCAATACCGGCCTGTTGCTAGCCATGCTCGTCAGGTGCCTGTTGCCCAGTGGAGTAGTACCTCCACAAGCCTGATGCCTCCACTTGAATCATATGTGCGTACAGCTTGCTGCCTTTTTTCTCTCTTTGCATTTTGACATGTCGTTAGTATCATTCAGCGCACGAGAGACCCATGGTAGGTGGACACGATCACCATCATCGATACCAATGACACTGTATACATACATATATATATATATATTATCGCTTTGCTAGACAATACGAACACTTTAAACAGCTTCTGCAAAGCCCCCATCCTCTGCGCACCAATGTCCCAGATATTGTAGTAATGCTTGAGCAGCCTCCCACCCACGAGCTCCAGGCCATCAAGGGCGCTGATGAGGGTCTGGCACACGGTCGGGTCATCGGCAAACGGACCTACGTTGAGCTCGGAGGAGGGAATGGTAAGGTTGAACAAGTGCCCGTCCTGACCGGTAAAGCCGAGGGATATGACGGCGACGAGGGAGGAGATGCGGTCACATGCGATGCCGTAGGCGCCGAGCTCTAAGGGATGGGGGGCGATGTCGGGCAATATGGGCGCGTAGATGGCCTCGTGATCACGTGATCACAACTTGATCAAAGTGGTACTAGTAGTGCGTGTGACTGTAGCTCTGCGGTGTCGGTGGAAAAGAGCGCGTTGCTACTCCCGCTGTCAAGGAAGATGCTCCGCGAAGTGTTCAGCAGCGCCGTTGTCGCTCCGTTCACTGCGACTCCTGGCAAGGGCAGCTGCCAGACACCGCTCGGAGGCGTCGGGAGTGACGCAAAGATGAGGTCACCTCGAATCAAGAGAAAATGAGTAAATAATCTGAGGACAAGTATAATGTACCTTGGAATTTCGTTTCGTCGATGCCGCCCAAAGTTAGTTCCGCGTTCCTGACTGCAAGTACAAGCTGAACAGGGCTGCTGAAATGTTAGGCAAAGAACCCCTTGTTCTACCAAAACGGCAAAGAGACCGGACGCCTGTGCGCCCATGCCCTGGATCCCACTGAACGGATCAATGTCAAACGCAGGCGTCTGGTTGGTGATCAGGAAAAGATCTACATTGGGCACCACAAAACCCCCGACAGCCATCGTGTCCGTCCCGCTTCGGAGCGTGAGTATGTAGTTGGCACCAACGACAGGGTCGACACCGACGCCCGTGGCAAACGTGATGCTGCCCGTTCTTCCACCATCGACAAAGGTGAAACTCTGCTTAGGGTCGAACCGGACCTGGTTGCAGGCGCTCCCACAGAGGGTACCTGTTTACATTCGTAGATGGGAGGATATATCAAAAGAACGCGTACTAGCGAATTCAAGGGTCCGGCTGCCGGTGTCAAAGACGACCTGAGAGACAGGCGGTCAGTGACGACAAGTCTCCTGTGAAGGTGTCCTGACTTGACAGATTCAATCAAAGGAAACGTGGATCGTGGCGATTACCTGAAATGTTGCCAAACCATCTAGGTAGAGTCCGAGAGAGTCTAAGAGGGGACTAGGTGCAAAGTGTAGACTTGCTGTAAATCTGTGCCTTTGAAGAAATCGTCGAGAGGGACATTAGAAGACTTGAGAACATTGCATCGTTCGTTACAGGGAGATGGAATCATATTTATTGGGTTCGACGACTCTCACAGTAGCAACCCGGTAAGTGTATTGCCGGATGTCAATAGTGGAGTAGAATCTTTATTTTGGATTGTCATCCTCTGACCGTCATCATGGGTGTGCCTCCAACTCCCTCTTATCACCACCTTATCAGCTAACCCAGCCCAGCATCTGCAGAAGAACTCGTATTCAACGACCCTCACCCGCCCCATCCCAATGCCATCCTCGCTTTTGGCAAGGTCCTTGGTCACATCAAGTTTGAGATCCTCAAATCGCGCAAGGACTGGGACAAGCATGAGCCCAAGATGTGGTCCAGGGCCCGCGGTATCACTAACGATGACCTCGTTGCCTTTAACCTAGAGGTGCATTTCGATTATGGCTCTCAGCGCTGTCTTACTCCCGTCTACAGGACGATCTTGTGCTCGTTCGCAGCGCACCCACCTCTTACGGCACCATCATCCTCGGAAAGATTCGCATCCCAGCCATCAACGACGATGAAGGAGAGGGTTACATTCATGTTCGGTACGTCGACCTGCTGTTTGTATGTATTCCTTTCTTTGCTTGACAAGGCGTAGCATCCATGATCCCCCTGGCGGATCCACAGACGACGTCAGGTTCCATTCCCTGTTTACAGACGAAGGAAACAAGAATGCAGATGGCCAGGCCACCACCTGGCGTGCCATCCAGACTAAAGATACTGCGCTGGAATTTTTCAATGAGTGATTTATGTACATAAATAAGTACGTGTACAGTAATATTGATTTGCTGCGAAATTCGGAGGCCGACGAAGCCCGATGATCCGAGTCAACGAGACAGAGTCAAGTCATGTCAAGTCATGTGACTATGCTGGTGGCGGTGTCTTGAGTCAGATGGCGTGGAAAAAGGGAGACGCTGAGGGGGGGCGCTGCTCACCGACCGACTGCTCGCCATCGCTGCTACCGCCTGTCTTCCATCTACTCGTCTCTCTCCAGCTTAATCGACACTATCCTTCCCTTGCAACAAAGTCTCATCGTTCTTCGACAAGACTTTGTTATCGGATCGTCCTAGTCGACAAGACTTGGACATCCGCCTCTGACTATATTGTCGCCATGTTCACCACAACTCCAATTCGTTATTTTCACCCAAACCTCGCTGTCATGCCAACTCTTGCTTTCCACTCTGTTTCTAACCGTACCCCAATTGCTTCCCCATTTAATGTCTACTCTATTACCATCTGAATCCTTGCTCATTCCAGATTACTTGGCCTTCAACTTGCAATATCAGTACAAACCCACCTCATCCCAATAACCACAATTTTGCTTCATTTTTTTGGCTTTTTCCCATCTCAATATCTCGGTCAATTTTGGCGCCGGTCTATGCATCCCTCGATTCATTCTCTCGCCCATCGGGCCCCGCCTGCTACTCGCACCAGGGTTCGTTGGCAGCCATATGCTTCAATGCCCTCTTCTGCTTCCACTCCCCGTTCGCCGCCCTCCACTCCCCCGGCTTCTCCGCTCAATTCCGACCTAGACCGCCCACGCCACCAATCTACCAATCCAAAGACAAAATATGCCTTAGGACTAGTCGGTTAGTTCTCTTTCACTTGCCAACCACCCTCTTTTTCTCATACAGCCGCCAGACCAAGCTGTAAAAGCACTATGTGACATATGGCGCCCACAAGATATTCCACAAGTTTACATTGCTTCCGGTGCTATATCCAGCAGCGATCTTACAGTCCTGGTCATGCACCCTACTCTATCAATCCCAGTCCCACCCACAATGGTCTCCAAGCGAAACACACAGCAGCTTCCCTCTCCAGTCACCCCAACCTACGAACCCACCGACGAAGACCCACCCACTCAGCAGGACGGTCCCAACAAGACTCTTATTCCCCTCAAAGGTTTCGTTCACGAGGTCCTCCGTCGTTCCAAGACATCTGGCAGCGTATTACAAACCGCATTATGTTATCTCGCCGCTATCCGGCCCAACGTCCTCGAGCTCGTCCAGCTAGAAAAAGTAGGCCATGGCCCGAGAGGAGAGCCGGAATTGGCTGAGAGGATCACCCCCGCGACTCAGGCCGAGCTCGAGCTCGAGCTCGGCCTCAGTCTCGATACACTTGTTGATCCGGGAAGCGATGTGATGGATACCGTAAAGATGGGTACCGATAAGATGTCAACCGACACACCACCTGGCAATAACGATGAACACAAGACTGCCTTGCTACCCTCTCCTCCCATGCCATCCCCGCTCCTCTGCCCCAGGCGGGCATTTCTCGCCTCGCTCATTCTTGCCTCCAAGTTTATGCAGGACAAGTGCTACTCCAACCGCGCATGGGCCAAACTCTCTGGGTTGCAACCGAGAGAGATCAGCCGGTGCGAGCGCGCCTTGGGCGATGCTCTGGGCTGGCGGCTTTGGGTAGGCAAGACACCTGTCGTCGATACCATCCCCGCCACCCGTCCTGTCGTGAGGTGTCGGAGCGAGAGTAATCTCACACACTCTCCGCCACCATTCTTGAGTGAGCAGACGTCGACTCTGACTGCGAAACGGGGATTGAAGCGTTGCTCGACGCTCCCGGCGGACGCATTTGGTGCTCACACACTTGAGCCCCAAGTGTCTCTGCTGGATAGCTCGCTTGCTTCATCTTCGTTTGATATCCAAGTCGACGTCAGTATTCCCGCTCTTACCAGTCAGGTGAGTTCTCTCCCCATTCTCTAAATATCTAATAACTAACCTGGCCTCGAAAGAACATGGCATCAAATTATACAAGCCCACCCACACCAGGACTCACGTACTCTCCCTCTTCGTCGTCTTCGACCTCATCTGGGGACCGGACGATCCAAATGTCGACTTTTTTGGACGACAACATGTCGGGCTCGTTCCATGATTCGACCTGCAGTGTCGAATCGTGGGACAAGGCCCCGGATATGCTTGGGTATGACCACGAGTCGGTTCCGTTCATCGAGTTTTGTAATGCAAAACTTGGTGATCCAAGTCCGATTTACCCTTGGAGTGCGCATGCGTTGTGTCAACAGTAGCATTAGACGTTCTCTCTCTCATCTCGTCTTTTTTTTTCCCCTGTACTTTTATCACTCTCTCTTTCTCCCGTGTTTATATATATATGACTGACCTACATGCGTTTTCTCTCCTCTTAAACCCGTGCGATGCTTGTGACTTTTGATTCTTTGACTGGGGGCCCATTTGTATGCTTGTTATGTACTTTCTTTTCTTCTCTTCCACAGTGTATATTGAATTGGTACGTAGGAATTGAATTACAAGTGTTTTGCGGGACTCACTGTTGGGCAGGATTGGTCTTGCAGTGACAGTCAAGCGCCTAATGCAAAAATGGGCAGCCAAGGTCCTGCTTTGCCTATTACGCTCACAAACTAAAGTCCATTCTTTTCCTTTTTACCCTTCTTTCCTTCGTCAGTTCTAAAGGCGATTTATTATACTCCCGTCGACACTCCCGGCATATCCGCATTCCTTCCGCGGGAAAGCCCCGCTGCGCCGTCCGACGTATTGATCTAACTAGTCGCAATTACTAGGATTTGACTCGGTCGTAGAACAAGCCATCGCCAAGCGTGCATAATGATAATGTCCACATTGATGTCCTTGACGGCTCGAGCACTTGCGGCAGCGATGCAACTGGTATGTCAAAGTCTGCAGTCATTCTTCAAAGTTGACGCTCGTTAGCATCGAGTACCCCTACTTCGGGCAGGATGGGAAGTATCGACTTTTTCAACTGTGGTATTGACGATAATGGTTGGACGCCTCCATATATATCGATCAACCCAGCGACCCCCTTCATGGCGGACTTGATTAAGGCTTTGAAGACACCTGGTAGTTCGTTCAGACCCTGCGAGCTGTTTCTCGACATGTTTGAGAAATATGCTCAGGCGCACAACGTTCCATCAACAGTCATAGCGGCATTTGCTTTGCAAGAGGTATGTCGGTCGCTCAGTGCTCGTTTCGTTGGCTCAGCCTCGGCAGTCTGGGTGTAATCCATCCATTACTGGTGGTGCGGGAGAGGCGGGGCTTATGCAGCTGACTCACGACAAGTGCTACGGTGCATCGGATGGGGATTGTTATGATCTCGTAAGAGTCTCTCATTCCACTATCTCCGTTTAGTTAACACAATACTTTACAGGACTTCAACATTTTGACAGCCACTGGGTACTTTTCGAAGAAACTTGCTGATAGTAACGACAACCTTGTCCTTACCTCTGGGGACTTGGATAATGGTTGGTACAAGGGAATGATTTATGTAAGCTATTTTCGGTCGTTAAGACGGCTGAACGATATCGGCAGGCCGAGGCGACTGCTGCTGCAGACGGTCCCTGTTGCCGATGCCAGAACAACCTCGACTAGTGCGTTCTTGCGCTGCGAATTCTTGTGCATTTCTTGCGAGCGTCCATCTAGCCTTCAGCAATTCTTCAATGCGTGGCTCCAGAACGTGGACGCGTATGAACCCGACTCAGCGTTTTGGAAAGTACTTTAATCTGGACCATTGTCAGTGGTAGAGACAGCATTAGTAGACTTATTTGTTACATTATACTTCAGTATTGTTGAGGAATTTACCAAGTCAAATTGGGGCAAGAGCGTGAGAAGGTCTCGACCTGTTTGACTATGAGCAGCACTTCGACTGCATCATCTGGACCCTCGTCCCCTTCAACCTCCGCCTCGACGCCGCCGTCGTCTGCCCCGTCACCTCATATAGCTTCCCTGAAGCTCTCCGACGAAGAAATCCCTGACGTCGACAAGGCCTTGGCTGTCGATCTCAAAGCCCAGGCCAACATTGCCTTCACCAGTCCGTCAACTTTTTTCCGTCCCCCGTGTCCAGCTGATCATTTCGACGCGGAAATGAAACCCTTTTTCATTAATTTTGCCTTTCATTTTCATCTCAAGGCCATGATTTCACTGCTGCTGCTCGTCTGTACACGGAGGCTATCGACAAGAACCCTCATGAACCTACGTTGTGGTGTAATAGGGCCTATGCTAGGATGAAACTCGAGGAGTTTGGGTACGCGTTGACGGACGCCTGTGGGTGGTTCTGTAACCCCCCCTGGAGGGCGTACACACTGACCTCGCCATTAGCCCATGCCATCCAATTGGATCCCAAATACGCAAAAGCGTACTACAGGTAAGGAAAGAAAAAAAAAAATAAACAGAATACCAAGGATCTGATCCCACAAACCCTTAGACGAGCAACATGCTACCTGCAAATCCTCCAGCCCCAAAAAGCCGTCCCCGATTTCCGCAAAGTCATCGCTCTAGAACCCAAAAATGAAACTGTCCGTGCGCAGATGGTCTCTACGCAGAAGCTTATAAGGAAGATCGAATTTGAAAAGGTGCGTTGGGCACGTTGGGTGGGGCTGGTGCATCGTTGAGTAATGTGGGATGTCAGGCCATCGAGGTAGAAGGGGAGAAGAGCCCCATCGAGAGATGCTACGAAATCATAGCTGAGGGTTCGTCTTGCAGACAAGGTGCTCTGTCTGGCACTGATGTTTGTCGATTCAGGCGGGTGCGACGTTGAGACGACATACAGTGGTCCAAAGCTCCCATTGACTGACGGGAAATACGGTATCACGCCCAGCTTTATCAAAGATATGGTAGAATGGTTCAGAAATGGCAAAAACCTTCCGAAACGGTATGTATGGGAGATCGTCCTTGGCGCCTACAATCACTTCCAGGCCGAATCAACAATGTTAGAGGTAGCGCTGGAAGAGGGCGTTACTTGTGACGTTATTGGTGATGTTCACGGTTGGTTGAACCTTGGTTAGTTGGTTCCATCGTCTTGATTTTGATTGGGTTGCAGGTCAGTTTTACGATATGCTTCATCTGTATTCGATGACGGGAGAACCGAATGAGAAACACTACCTCCTCATGAATGGAGACCTTGTCGATCGGGGATCGTGGTCAATAGAGGTTATATTAACAGCGTTTGCGTACAAGTGTCAGTGCAAGCCCCTCATCATTCATCTTTGTGAGCTAACAGTTGAGTACAATTAGGGTTGTACCCGAAATACATGTTCATCAACAGAGGGAACCATGAAGCAAAGGAGATGAATCGTACGTATGGGTTTGAAGGCGAGGCTAAGCACAAACACGGCGAACAGTCGTATAAGGTTAGGAAACTCTTCTGCTTCCGCTGCATGTAGTCGAACTGATGGCGTCTAGCTTTTGGCACATGCTTTTACTGCCCGTGAGTGCGTGTTTTTAGTCCAGGATATCTTTATGTGACCCCGTGTTAGTGCCCTTGGCAACGTTACTCAGTGCAAGTAAGCCGCCTGCGAAGAAGGATAACTCAATCTTGACGGATGACGGGAGGAAACGCTACTTTGTCGTGCATGGTGGGCTGTTTAGTAAAGACGATGTCTCCCTGGAGGATGTCAAAAATATCGACCGTATTGGGCGACAGCCTGGTCAGGAAGGGTTAATGTGTTTGTCTTCTCCGCCTTGTTACTACCCTGTTAGTGATATTGATCCCTTTTGAATAGGCGAGGTGAGGGATATCTCGAATGGATCCATCAAATCAAATTAAACCCGGCTTTTAGCTTTTATGGACTGACCCTCAAGTCATGCCCGGCCGCGGGCCTAGTAAACGTGTAAGGTCCAGCGTCCTACCTCCTCCGAACTCATCGTAAAAGGCTAGCTCCAGGGTGTCGGTATAGCATTTGGTCCTGATGTAACAAGAAGATGGTGTCAGTTCAATAAAGGTAGGGATCAGACCTCAGCATCTGAACAAGAGCGCTTGCTAAAGATGGTCTAGTCACGGGTATTATCCGTAGCCATGAAGTCCGCCAAGGTAAAATTTCAGTCGCAGGGGTTTGATCTCTCGTTGATGCCGGGTTAAACTAGACGGGTACGAAATTGAACATGGGGGATTATGTACGACGGTAAGTACCATCATGAAGCAGTTAGTACGGGCGTCGTTTGATCTTGCCCACAGGTTTTTTCTGCGCCCAATTACGTGGATCAGGCTGGAAACAAGGGGGCTTTTGTATGTTTTGCGTGTCTGGCTATTCAACATCATTGGCTCATCACTTTCAAGATTCGGATTGATTCGTCTGGTGCTCAAAACTATTTCCAGTTTGATGCCAGTCCACATCCTGCAATGAAACCTATGGCTTACGTGCAAGGAGGCCTTGGGAGTCTGATGATGTAGCCGCAATTGTATCTATTTTATACAACGTTGAACCTTGGGTGCATTCAAGGAAGGAAGAATTGGAAGACGACAAGAAAGCAAAATAAATTACAAATGAATACACGACGACGTCATGAAAGGTGGAGTCTTTAAGACCTTCTCTTCTTTGCTGGTCTCTTAGTACTCTTTGCTTCTTTCTTATCCGATCTGTGCACCTGGTCAATACCACGTTTCTACAGCTTGCTCAGAATTTGCATTCATCCAACAGCATGCTAACGCACCTTCCCCTTCGGTTGTAGCAATTGATTTGTCTCTGCCTCCTTCTCAATCAACCCTAGAAGTGTATGACACCGTCTCTGTAGTTCTTGCGGTGAACGGCTTTTGAGGAACCAATCAAAACGGAACACCGGAAATTCCGTGATGTCCTTTTTGATCTTCTCGTACACGTCATCCGATCGCATCCCATAGTGCCACAGTCGAAAGAGAAGATACCGGTCTTCTTCCTCACTGTACACTCTCCCTTTGGCCTGGGGGTAAACGATTTCCAGTTCCTGCATAGGATATCTGACGGTTTTCATTTTGTTATCCAGTAGTGTTTCAAGCGCATCGCGTTTAGATCTCTTGCTTTCGCCTTCAACAATACGCGCGTGGACTCGTTCATAATCTTACAGTCACAGAAAATAAGCAAAGGGAAGGTATTATTAACACAAAAATCCACGTACCAGGAAGCGCTTTCCATTTCTTTTCAAAGACTTTATAGTACTTGGCAATCTCCTCGGGACTCTTATCCTGGATGTCGGTGGCATACACTTCGGGTCGCTGACCCCTACGTCGGGCCATGTGTCACTACAACGTAGAAAAGATTTTCGAGACTCAAGAAACGTACCAGCCATAATTTTCCAGTGCCTTGATGAACTGTTGGTATTCACGCCGGCCCCAGGATTGGAAACCCTGAGCAGCATAAGCTTCTTTCTGCGCAATCTCGACTTCGGTAAGAGGTTCGGCTGTGATTTAAGTGTTCAACTGTTACGATCATACGTCATGAAGGCACTGAATTCAATCGTACCTGTATCGATAAATTCCTGCGCCGCTTGTCTCTCCTCCAACGTCTCAGGAGTGTCCTCCGGTCCTGAAGGCTCTCTCAAAGTCGCACTAATACCATTCAATCGCTGAAGAGCACATATTAAGTAGCTGCTTTATGCAAAACACGTCGTACCTTGTGAACAGCCAATTCTCGCTCTTGCAGTTCGGCTAATTGAGGCGGGAAGAATTGGAAATCTTGGCTGAATGCCAGGACGGAGACATGAGATTATACTGAGGGCTGGCGATGGTGAAAAGACGTACATCGCAATCTGCTTGGGGGCGCGCGGAAGTTTTGGCCCTTTGTCAGGTTTTGAAGGCCCTGCTCGAAGCGTGTCCTTGAAGTAGCTGTCAACTGAGTAGTTTGATTTACGCTCCCGCTTCGAAAGAGAGGAAAGTAGACTAAGACCCAAATTCTTTCGCTGTTGAAACTTTCATCAGCACACATGAACTCATATTCTGATGAGAATACTTACCCCGCTGCGGAAATCCTCGCCCTCCCACTGCTGAACAGAAGCTTCAGATTTAAAGTTGCTGAGATCCTCGAAATTTAGACCCTCGTATTTACTGTTCAACTCCACGGTACGCTCTTCACCGCGCTGAATAATGGCATCAATGTCTTCGGTGAAAAGTGCCCTAAGCAGTGCATTCTGGTCAAAAATACTAAAGTCATGTTCAGATAGTTTACTCACTCGTCAGACCCAGATGAATTTATGATCTTCTCAGCTCCGTGGGCAATCATTTCCAATAATTCATCCTTATTAGCAGCTATTGCCCCCCTAAGTCATCCTGAGTCAGACTTGTGGATTATTAAAAACATACCTTTGGTCTGTTGCGAGCGGCCCTGTTGGATTACAAGCTGATCTAATCGCAGTTTCTGAGCTGCACGTTCCAACATCCTTTCTTCGACGCTGCCCTCAGTAATAAAGCGAAAAACATAAACCTGCTTTGTTTGACCAATACGATGTGCGCGGTCCATGGCCTGGAGATCGGCTTGAGGGTTCCTAAAATACAATGATGGCGTCAACTCCACAGGCGTACAGACGAGGGTCATACCAGTCACTGTCGTAAAGAACAACGATGTCCGCGGTAGTTAAGTTGATACCAAGGCCCCCAGCGCGAGTAGTCAGCAAGAATATAAATTTCTCACTGCCTGGTTTATTGTAATCGTCAATGGCTAGCACTCGATCGTCATGAGCCGTGTTTCCGTCAATACGACAATACTCTGGTGTAGAATACGTCAGTGCAATTTCTCTGCATGAAAGATATGCTTACGATATTGCCTGAAGTGACAGTAATCCTCCAATATGTCCAGCACACGGCTCATTTGACTGAAAATCAGAACACGAGAACCCTTTGATTTCATAGATGCCAGTAATTTATCAAGGATGACCATTTTACCGGAATTTTGTATCAGGTGTTCATCGGTCGTGTAAGGAGGGCCTGGTTCCTATGTTAGATGTCTATATTAGCTGTATGATGTAAAACCATAGACATGAATCTCACAGCGCCATCGAAAAGGTAAGGATGGCATGTCACTTTCCGCAGCTAAGAGATAATGAGTGTCTGGCGCTGAGCCAGATATGCAAAACTGCCAACCTGCATCACCATGTTCATCAGTCTAGTCTTGCCTTCTTTCTTGCCAGTGAGCCCTATAGCATTATCTAAGCTGACCGAAAAACAAAATTTGGTAGTGGACAGACCGTTCACAGCATCGATATCCTTTTCTAAGACAGACCTGTACCATTTGCGCTGCATTTCCGTCAGGCCCACGTAGATATTGATCTCCTTTTCTAGAAACACAATCAGTGTCAAATTGCAAAGGAGAGCCAAGAACTGACTAGGCAGAAGATTCTTCTCCACGTCAGACTTAACGCGTCTCAGCAAGAAGGGCCGCAGAATTTTATGCAGAGCTTCGACAACCCTCTTGCTTTTCTCCTCCTCCTCGTCGGTACCAGCTGAATCCTTATGTAAGAAACTGTCTAGGTCTTTGTAGTTGACGAAAATTTCGGGACAAATAAAGTTAAGAAGAGCGAACAACTCTTTCAAATTGTTCTGCAGGGGGGTTCCAGTAATCAGCATACGCCCGCGAGACGTGAATGCTCGGACAATCTGTGATAAGATGGAGTCTACGTTCTTGATCCTATGAGCTTCGTCGATGACAATATATTCGAAGGAAAATTTTTTGAGCGCCGACTTCTCGATGAGACAAATTTCATATGAGGTGATGCAAACCTCAAAATCTTGTGGGATTAGGCAATTCATGATGATATTACTCCGCTCCTCCTTGGTGCCGGTGAGGACGACAGCCTTGACATCGGGGGTCCATTGTTCGAATTCACGTTGCCAGTTTTGCAATGTGGATTTAGGAACAACAACCAAATGTGGGCCAGAGATGTCACGGTAGTGTTTGAGATAGGACAGGAAGGAGATGGTCTGTAGTGTTTTCCCGAGACCCTTAACAGCAAAGTAAATGAATGAAAAAACGAACGTGAGATGACAACACTCACCATTTCATCTGCCAGTATACCATTTAAGCCATTATGATGTAAAGACACCATCCAGTTGAGTCCTTGCAGTTGATATCCGCGCATAGTGCCATTGATGACTGATCAAGGGTTAGGTGTCCAGCCTCTCAAACGTACGAGGAGCTCACAGATAGGGGACTCTTCAAACACGAAAGGTTGGTCATTTCCATCGGCAGCAGCCTCCCCGTCCTTCAATAGTTCTTCGTCCTCCTCCTTTTCGGACCGACGGTGACGGGTGTTATCGCTGAACAAGAGTCATTGTGAGTTGAGGATAGGAAATACTGAACAAAGACTCACGCGAGTTTCTTGCGACCTCGTCCTTTTGGCTTGGGCTGTGCGTCCAGCATTGCAGCGTATTCGGGATCGCGTGCTCTCTGAAGATACAGTAAAGAAGTATCCACCAGTCAGGGCGTAATTGTTTTACCTTGATGTCTACAAAGTGCTTGAAAAGCTCCGTCTGCCCTAAGAGGTACGTGTATCGTTTCACGGCGTCCGAAATCTATTATACCTTAAGAGAATGAACCTGCGAATGAGAACGCAACTCGCCTTTGCTTTGTCCATCTCCTTGCGCTGGGCCTGTAGTTTACCTTCCGCGTCCGCTTTTATTTGCTTCCTCTTACTTTTGTTGTCCAACGGGGGGTTCTACACTTATTTAGAAAGGAAGAGGAAACAACAGATTAGCATACCACATTTTCTTCTCCCTGCTCAGCGTTTGTATCGCCATCATACTCACTCTCTATACCTTGGCTGTGCTGCGCGACGTCATCACTAGTAGGCTTGCCGAAGGCGCGCTTAACTTACCTGGCGCGAAACAATGTTGCTTGGAACAACGTCGCTTAGAATGTCCTCGTCCATGCCAGCAGATAAGGACTACAGAGTGGAAGTGAGATTGTGAACATAATGCTGCAAGACTGAGCATACCGCCATCTGATGTCAAGCCGGTTGGCTGTGGAAAAAGAAACTAAGGTGCGTTAATGAGCGACGCGGTGTGACGGTGACAACACGCGACGGTCCGAGACAAACAACACCACATCTATCCTCCTCCATCATGGACAAGACCAAGTCCAAGCTAGCTTCCTCCAATTTGTCCCATTTTTTCGACAATGAAGAAGACGAATCTTCGTTCCCAGTGCGATGCATAGGGCCATTTTTCTTCTGTTTCACGCTTACCAACAATAAATAGTCTAAGACAGTCGATGACGCAAAAGTGAACCAGTACACCTCTGGAAAGTTGAAGAAATCACGCCGGGAGAAAGAGCAAGAGGCTGCAGAGGCAAAGAAACGAGAAGAAGAAGTCAACGCCGCCAAAGCCTATGCTGAATTTTTGGATGCATTTGAAGGCGATGACAGGAAAACTCGCTCAACCTTCGTCAAGGCAGGTACGGCGGCAGGGGCAGAACATACCTATGGCCACCCAACTACCGCGTCGGAGCGGAGATCTCATGGAAGGAATAAGGTCAGGTTTATCATTTCTTTCTGCTGGTATGGGGGTTTTCATTCTTTTCAGTCTCTCTCGCCGCCAAGCACAGCTCCTCCTAAGCCCAAGGGGAAGCGTGCAATGGATTCCTTCCTTGAAGAAATCAAAAGGTCAGTGCTGCCGGTACTCCGTTAAAATGCCTTATCATTCTAGAACAGGGAGCAAGCCGAACGCGAAGCAAGATATTCTCGTCACGGTAGTTAAAGTTATATTATGGAGCATTGCCAGTGATGCTGACGACTTACTAGCTCACGGACATGGTCGATCCGTTACTGCTCTTGCAGGTGCGTCTCAAGCGGTTGAGAGATAATGTATTGCTAAAAGCAAAGCAGCCTACGACGGACAGAGTGGGAGTAAAGATAGGGGTGATCCACAGGTATTAACATCCATCAAACCTCTTCATTTTATCAATTCTTTCGTCTTCCAGACCTCGAATGTTTTCGTGGCAAATTTGCCGCCTCATGTTACCGAACAAAGTCTAGGCGTCTTCTTTGCACGCATTGGACCTGTAGGATCGGTATGATATGAATGCGCGCGCGATTCTATGTCTTATCGTATATTTCTCAGGTCAAAATAATGTGGCCCCGTACCGATGCTACTGTGGGTCCGGGTGCCGATATGACAGCGTCTAGGCGAACCAAAAACAGCGGACTAAGTGGTTTTGTATCATTCATGAGAAGGAAGGATGCAGAAGAAGCCTTGCGTGAGCTTGATGGCTTTGACTGGGGCGGCTCTATTCTTAGAGTGGGTTGGAGCAAAGCTGTGCCCGTCGCGGCGAAGCCGATGTATGGCGAGTGTATATCTAGCCTGCTAAACGTTGCCCCCGTCTTTACTGTCTTTATCATCTCCAGTCTCAAATCTTCGCAAAACTCGCAGTCGAAGTCGCTCAAAGGAAAGAGGACACGGAGCAGATTTTCGCGATAGATCCTCTCGGCGGTCGCGAAGTTCATCATGGAATCGCAGTCGATCCAGATCCCCTCGCCAGATGCGGTCCTACAGTCGCACACGACGTTCTCATTCCCGTTCCCGTAGTCCATCAGCTCGGCGTCGTTCGAACAGCCCATCCTATCGCGGTCATATAGACGAGAGTGAAGCTGTGACGGACACGTTTATACGAGCTGTCGTCGCCGAGATCAAAGGCCAAGGCAGTGAGTATGAAAAGAATCTTCGGTCGCGGGAACAAAACAATCCAAAATACGCATTCCTTCGCCCAGACGTAGGTCTCATTGGACTCAGTATCTGCTCCGCCTAATTGGAGCCCTCTATTAGCATCGACGTCATGAATACTATCTCGATTTATTGCAAGATCAGCGTGAAATGTCACCCGAATTCATTGACGATGTACGGGGCATCCCAGTAGCAAAGTTTGACATCTAAATCAATGCATTCATACAGGGATATAACTCAGTTTATTCGACCGATTCCGCAGAAGATTCAGAACGTGAAAGAGTACGCAAAACTGTGCTTGGCAAGTTTGCACGAAAGCGATTCGAAGCAATGCTTCGAGCGTTGACAGGCAAAAGAGGTGAAATCGCCCGTTGTATGGCGTTTAGCCTTGAGCACGCAGAAGCGGCGCACGAGGTTAGTCTAGGTGAATTTTCGCTTCATGGTCCTCTAATTGACTACAGTCGCCTTAGGTTGCCGATATTATCATTGCCTCCTTACTTGTCGACAGTACCCCGGTGCCTCGAAAAGTCGCGCGTTTGTATTTGATATGTGATATCCTACACAACTCTGCATCCTCCGTACCCAGCGCCTGGAAATTTCGTCAAGAGTTTCAATCTAGGCTAGGGATCGTTTTCGACCATCTCGCCAATATCTATCACTCATTTCCGGGACGAATCACGGCAGAGACGTTCAAAAAGCAGATCACTACGGTGGTCGATATCTGGGATGACTGGATCGTATTTCCTGCAGAGTATACTGGGGAGCTTAGATCCCGGCTAGAAGGTGCTGTCAAGTCAACATTGATACCATCTGCAGACAAAAGCGAAACCCAGGACACCGGGCCCTCATTCAGCTCCAAATTCAAAACAAGCACTTTCCACCTTGCGTCTGCTGATGCGGTGAAAGGAGACATTGAACAGGATGATGAGCCTATGGATCTTGACAACGACGATGCCCACGGAACAGATGAGGATGTCGATGGCGAGCCGATGGACACTATCGATGGTGACCCAATGGACGATGTTGACGGTGAACCTATAGTAGACCACATGGACAAGTCGCTAGGGGTCACTGTTGATGACGATCTTGATGGTGTACCACTGGATAATTCAGATGGTGTGGACAGTGTAGATGGTGTTCCTTTGGAAGATGTATAGGGACAAATAGCACAACAACTTCAGTCACAGCTGGCTCCTTATGAATAGTGTTTTATTCCAACATCATAACTACGTTCCAATTATCCACTTAAATATCCAGTAATGTAGAGGGCTCAAGAGTGCCGACGTTGTGATCGACCTGAAGGGGTTGAGGACATTTTCAGAATTGCATCTTTAGCCGCGATTATGTCAGTTTCAGAACCTGAGATATTGGATGTCAATAGCAATGAGACGATATTGACATCCAGACTCACCAATGATGACAATCGTATTGTTCTCTCTACTAACAGTAATATCGGCACCTGTTTCTTTGCGAAGACGAGCGACATTGGCGCCTTTGGACCCGACAATTCTTGGGAACATAGAGCGGTCACGCAAAGTGAGGAATCCGACCGACGTCATTTGTGCAGCAGCATTCACAGCGTCAGTAATTAGCTGACGTGCTTTGTCTAACGCAGCTAGATCTTGGGCTTTGAGAGTCCAAGCCGAGTCTCCCTCTTCTACGTTCTGATAGTTGGGAACGACCTCCCAAACAGAATCAGACGTAGCATCCTCTTCTGTGTCTGCATCAATCCGAGCACTAGAGGCATCTGCATCAGCCGGTGACGGACGAACGGGAACAGCAGATTGCTGGGGCTGAACCGACTGATTAACCTGTACTCCGAACGTGCGAAGAGTTCGGAAGAATTGACCTTGCTGAGAGATAACATAATGGTATTTGAGAGGAACATTCACAGTATCAGTCACTCCCTCAGGAACAGCAGGTTTTACCAATGTCTTGAAAATCTATGAGTAGCCTTGACCACGATGAGGATAAAAATGAATCTACCTTCAGTTCCTCAACAGCTTTTTCACAGGCTGCCCGCGAACCAGAAACTTTAACGAGATTTCCAGGATCTGCATCGGCAAACTCTAACGCATTCTCAGGCTCGCCAAATTGTCCATATGAGCGAGAGCCAGGGAATTGGATATGTACGTTATGCTTGTTCTGCATCTTGTTCAGATTTTGTCCCCCACGACCAATAAGAGCACGATGCTGAGCCGCTGGAATGTCGACAGCCAAAACAACACGGTCCCGCAGAGCGGCGACCGCCTTTTCCAATTCCGCCTTGACCTTATTAACCAACTTCTGTTCACCGCGAAGGCGGACTTCGTCAGAAGGTTCGCCCTGTCGGGGGCTATTCAAATCGGTTTTAGTACGTTTCTTCGGCAGGTAAGATACCCTCACAATCTGATGAGACCGGCAAGAACCTTAGGGTCTGAGGGACCACCGCAACGAGCAACCAATTCTTTGAGGCCTTGACCACCACTACCAATAAGAGTACGATGGAACCTGCTTTCTACGACGATGGTGGCATTGCATTCCTCTGCAATCTGGTCGACGATGGCCAGGATAGTAGCCTTGGCCGCAGCTACTGCCTTCTTTGTCCCTCTGACGGTGATGTTGGTGACGGAGGAATCATCAGAAGCCTTATCGACATCGATCTGAGCGTCAGTATTATCCTTGATCTCATTGATGGATGCACCTCCGCGTCCAAGGATTCGAGCAACGGAACGAGTAGGCACAGTGAACTTAAGAACGTTATTCGATTCCCTCTCGAATTCCAGGGCCTAAAAAATGAGCATCATGATTCTAAAGGATAGTGCTGGACATACTTCGAGCAATTCAGCCTTGGCGCCAGCAACGCCTTTCTTGCCGCCTTTCACAAGGACTTCATCCGACTTCAGCTGTTCACGGGTCTTAGCTTCACCATTCTCAGTATTCTGCCGAGGGAAGGTGATTTTGACGGAATACTTCTCCTCGAGTCGAATGGCATATTTGCCGCTTTGACCAATCAATGAAGAATGGTATTGGTTTGGAATCTTGAGCACTTCCGAAGTTTCGTCGGCCTGGACATGGGCTGTAGTGCGTCCAAAATCAAAGGAGGGAGCACTCACAATGCGCTCCAGCTGAGTGAGAATCCGTTTTTTTGCCTCCTCAACATTCTCCTTCCTGCCGGTGATCTTACAAAGACATAAGATTTAGACAATATGCCCAATGGCACTACTCACAGTGACTTTAGACTTGTGATGGACGCCCTTCTTTTTCTTGCTACTTTCTTTGTCCTTCTCGTCATCGTCTGAAACGTCTACTTTCACACCAAGTTGGTCGCGGAGTTTGTTAACGCCGGCACCTTGGGCACCAACAATGCGCCCAACAAACTCTCTTTCAATGTCAAATTCGGTGGACTGGACATAACATCAGGTGGGCTGGGGTAAAGTTGCTGGTAATATATGCACATACATAACTGTTCACAATTTCGTCGTTCTTGGCATTTTCCACAATCTTCAGGATCTCCTTGACGGCTCGGTCGACGTCTGCACTTGCCCCACGGACAAGGATAACATCTTCGCCCGATGGATCTGCAGCATCGGCGCCGACCTTGATAGAGAGTGTCTTATCCTCCCCGATGATACTGAGTTTATTTTGAGATCAATTGACGGTCATGCGAGGTTGAGAAGCTTAAACACGTACGCATTGAGAGTGGTGCCACCTTGACCAACGACGGATTCATGCCAACGCTTAGCTACAGAAACGACTTCACTCTTGACATCAGCCGCATCTTTTGCCATCTTCAGCAGCTCCTTAGACACGTCGTCCAAATGCTTTCTTTTCTCGTCCGGAGAAGGTGATGCAGACGGCGATAGTGGATCATATACCAAGAGAACTGAAGACTGTTCCATGACCTCGCCAGGGAAATATACCGAAACGTTGTGGACATCATGGAACTGCTTGATTCTGTAGAAAGTACTTAATAAATCTCCCAAAAATGAAGATGTTCGTACTTCTTGGCATTCTTCCCCATTATGATGCGATGGACAAGCCAATCAATAGTGACTTCAAGAGTAGCGCCAATCAGTTTTCCAATCAGTTCCGAAACTTGCCTGACAACTACATCGACGGCAGACTTGTCACCGACAAGGTCGATCGTCAAAGATTGAGCCTTGTCAATGGCAGCCAAGGATGGCGTATAGACCGATACATTCGGATTGGCTGTCATGAGCGTCTTGGGGTAGTTGATACGTGTCATATACGTCAAAAGTTGTCGTGATGTTGCAATGGGTCCAGGGAGCGGGAATTCATGTATATATTTCGAGTTTGCCTGCTCAATGACCGCAGCGACACCACCCGCTAGATCATTGGGATCACCCCAGACAGTGATCTCGTCACTGGGTTCATCCGGCTTTGCAATGATCACAGCGCACTTGCTTTTCGTCATTACCTCTTGGGCCGCTGCGTCGGTGAGTAAACGGTGCTGGCGTTTGGGCAAGGACATTTTCAGAGAAGTCAATGCAGCTTTGAAGTTAACGATGGTAGCCCTGATCGTTTCGACGACACGTCCAACGGCTTCACGATCACCGCTGACGGTAATTTCGCGATCCACAATATTCAGCATCAACTTGATTTCCTCGCCCTCTGCCGCGGCTTCAAACTGAGCTTCTCGAGCGGTGACAAATGGGAGGATGTGGACGGGGATGTCGCGAACGCGTTGCGTAGTCTTCGAAGTCTTTGAGGAGATGATCTGCTTCAAAAGAGCCTCTGCCTCGTAAGCCAAGGGCTGAGGACCAACCAGAGTAACCGGGACGAGAAGCTCCTCTTCTTCATCGTCTTGAGAAGGGGTAGCTTTGCTTGACGAGTTGCCGTTAACATGCCCATTGCCATGTGGAAAGGCAAGCGCGTCCCTTCGGGGTATGTCGACCCTTACACTCGTTTGATCACGGATTTGTTTCAGCGTCGCACCTAGATAAGAGTGTGAGTAGCTAGCGTATGCGAATAAAATTTGTTCATACCCTTAGGCCCGATGATGCTAGCGATCGTCGAGGCTGGAGCTTGAATGACACGTGTAATCTGGAACCAGAAAGCGTGAACGGAGGATGACAGATGGATGTATGAGACATACCACCGGACTGAGAAGAGCAAGGAGGCTCCTCTTGGCCTTGTCGAGTTCCTTCTGAGTGTCGGCCTTGATGTGAAATGTGGTCTGACGAGTACGCTCGTTGCGAGATGCATCCAGCTTAACTTTGTACTTGGTCATAACCTGCCTCAGGACCTCACCAAGGGTCGGGGGCTTTTGATCCTTTCTAGAAGCGGTCAACTCGATGGCAGCGAGGGTGAAAGAGTCAGTAAAGACGGGCTGCCTAGCGACATTGGGCTTGATGCGAGGACCGGCGTCTGCTCCCCATACTGACTTTGGAGCAGAAGCAGCTGATGGAGATGCAGACGCAAGAGAAGGAAAGGCCGTCTGGGAATCAGTGTCCAACTGGGTGACAGGAGCCTGAGTCCTAAGCCTAGCTGGGGACTCTACAAGAGAAGGGAATGGGTCTGGGGTGCCTTCGAGCTCGTGCCTCCTCTAAATATGATAGTAGAATGAAACACAGAAAATTCGCAAGACAGAAGGATAACACACCTGGAGGTCAGCGGCAGAGAAGGCCATTACGGATGTCCGAAGTACGAAAAGCCCTTGACGGAAAAAGACCAAGGCGACGAGCGATTGACCCGTGCGCCAGTAATACAGCCAAGCAACGGCTGTCGGAAAGTGATGGTGAAAGGGAAAGGTTGATTCCCACCACCGTGCGACTTTTTGCGCCCGAGCCCTGACGTGACTGCAGGGTCTCTTGCAGGCAGACCATACATTTGCATTATAGCTGAGCTCCAGATTGGCTTGATACTGCTGCACTATCTGCTATATAAAAGACGGGTACCGGTAGCGAAGGGTAGACGGCCAGGGAGTAAGTATATGCGCATGGCTTGAAGGGGGATTTGCTATAGAAGAGTGGTAAAAATGGTACTAAATGTTTGTAACTAGGCGCGCGTTGATCTGACCTGGAGGAACAGGTATGCATGTCGGGTCTGAGTTGGTGGTGGCTTACTGAGACGCCGAGCTCGAGGCTGATCGAGAACAGCTCACGTGGTTCTTTCTCCTACGTGTAAGATGTGACATCCAGCACACTGGCAGCATATTATCCTTCTTCTCCGGCGTCACCTTGGACTGTATATCTACAAATTACCTCTTCCCCGCCGGCGCTGTATCATCTCCAATGGATCGTCTTTGTCGTGCCCTTCGTGTCGCTCTCATATTGCAAGCTTTCCTGCTCCCATCTACAACCGCAAGTTCCATCTTGTCCGAAAGCCTGACAAAGAGCGCCAAGGTTCAGAATGTCCACAGTGTTCTTGAATACCAGCCTGTGAAGGAGACGTCTTGCGAGAATGCGTCTGTATGACATGTTTCTCTAGCTCCAGCAACCATTTCTCATTTTTCGGGATAAAGCCGACCGGCCCCATAGACACAACTTTATGCGACTATGAAACAGTCGAAAGCGTAAATGAGGATCTGTTTGAGAATCTTCACGGATTAGTTGCAACGCCATTCTTCAAGTATTTCCAGGTAAGGTCTCCCAATCCAGCCAAAAAGAATAGGCTCTTTAATGATAACCAGGCAGACTTGTACCGCGACTGTCCATTCTGGGATGACTACGGATCGTGTAGTGATCCGGGATGCGCTATCACTTCTATAGATGAGGTCAGTTCCTCGGCATTTTGCTGTCTTCGTCATCTCTAACGAAATTATTCAAGAGCCTAATACCAGAAAAGTGGAGAGTAACCGTCCTAAGTAAAGCCATCCCTGTAGAGGACGTATGTTATCGTCTTGCCTGTCATATCCGTAGCGCTGACGATGCATCGCCTAGCTTCATGCACTGCCTGGCTGCTATCACCGTGATTCGGATTATTGTTTTCTGGATGACAATACAGGTGAAGATAGGCACATTACCTTGTTCTCTAATCATTTATATTTCTGTTGGCAGGAGGGGAATATTACGATCTTTCACTGATACCTGAGCGTTATACAGGATATTCTGGTGCAGGTGCAGGGGGAGTCTGGAGTGCTGTCTATCGAGAGAACTGTTTTGGTCTTTCTAAATCTGCCATCAGACCGGGAAAACCGTCTACTGCGGTTCCAGATACTCTCGCAAGCCAGCCCAATGAAGGTAGCAACGACCAGTGCTTGGAAAAGAGGGTGTATTATAAGATCGTGTCTGGTATGTACTGTTACCCAACCGTCACACATCCATTAACGCGCAGCAGGCCTACACGCATCTATATCGACTCACATCTGTCTGGAGTATCTTAATCAGACTACTGGTGAATGGGTACGCCTCTCTCTCTTGCTCATTTTTCTGCGTATTGAGTTTATGTCCTAGGGTCCTAATCTCCAATGCTTTGTAAATCGGGTCGCTGCTTACCCTGAGAGGTTACAATACATCTACTTCAACACGGTCCTTCTTCTCCGCGCAGTAGCTAGACTTGGCCCCTACCTTTCAGCTTATGACTACTGTTCAACGGGAAATCATGAAGACGATTTGGAGACGAAAGCGAAACTGGCCAACGTTCTCTCTATAGCTCAACGCGCTGGGAAGTTTGACGAATCGGTCCTATTCCGAGGTGACAACGCTAATGTGAGTAACTGATTGTCATGTTGTCTCCGTGTATCAGCAACCAACAATGATTAGGCCGTAAGAGAGGAATTCAAAACCCATTTCCGGAACGTGACCCGCATTATGGATTGCATTGGCTGTGATAAATGCCGACTTTGGGGTAAAGTACAAACCACCGGTGTTGCCACGGCTCTCAAGATCCTCTTCGAGATGGATGATAAGGCACTCGAGTTCGTCTTTTATATCTAATAGCTCTTCATCCGCTTACATAGTTTCAAGCCCGGACGCAAACTCCAACTTGCTTCAGCGATCGGAGGTTGTTGCGTTGATAAACACGCTGCACCGTTTCAGTGAAAGCTTGAATGCTGCCAATATCTTCCGGGGTATGTGGCAAGACATCAGTCACACTGAGTCGCAGCAGGATATCATTCGGGAAGTCGAAAATGTGCCCCATCATGTGGGTAATATAATCCAAGCATCGGCTTACACACCTGACCGAATTTTGCAGCCACGACCGTCGCCAGGGATCGGTCACGAATGGAAAGGCACCATGTTTGAAGAAGTACGCATGCGGTTCATGTCACTATTTAGGGTGTGTAAGGAAAGCACGGCTGAGTGTGTAGGAGTGTTGCTACGGTTCTGGATGCGAGGTCTGAGCGCAATTTCTTCAGTGTTCGCCCCATCTGGCAAAGAACACGGACCAGGTCAGTATGTAGAACTGTAGGTTCATCATAGGGATAATTTATATCCAAATGGATAATAATAAGTTAAGTAATATTAGGAGGCTCAGGGGGACATCAACGTTGATGCAACTGCGGATTAGTCATCTAAAGGGAATCCCTTGAAGCACTGCCCAGCGTTAGCAAGCCCATCGTCGCGGTCGTCTTTCATGAGCCGCATCCAGCTATGATCATCCTTGAAGAAGCTGACCAGCAGGCTAAACTTGATTCTTCCGTCGCTGGCCCGACTTTGCGCTTCCCAGACAGGGCCGTGGGCCGCTCTTCATCGCCTCTACCCGACTACGAAACGTCCCAAGCACAACACACCCTTACTACTACCCCCAAGTCCCTCCACAGCAAAGTCGATGCTCGGTTTTGGCGAGCTACATTATATGCCCTTGTCATCTATGTTGTTCTTTCTGTGGCGATTGGCGTCCCCTGGATAGTGACGGTGCGTCTGCTCCCGGATCATTCCATTCGCTTCGCTCATTTTCCTTCAGCGTCTTTCCAAGAAACATAGAGGAGGCCCTCCAGGCGGACCATGGTCCAATGATGATGGCTCTATATCTCCTCAAAACCTCGCCAATAACGGTATCTTGTCCTTAGAGACTCTGGGGTGTAATTCATGGGATACAATAGAGGACGACCCATTACACTCATTATTTTCTGCCAGGTGTGTCTCTTTTCCTGGATGGGATCCAATTTCTAACACAGCTTCACAGTACTTCTCATACCCTATCACCATCCGGCTCATTTTCGATTCGCTCTAATGTTTCCCACGAAGCTAATGACGCCGCTGGTATTGCTGGAAATCTTACAGTGGATATCAACCCAGATCCGTCAGCGAAAGATGTTCTGCTCCTGGTTTCCTTACAATCCTCAAGTCTTCAACTTCGTCAGAGCACCCATATATGCTTTGCAGATGTAGGAAGCGACAGAGGTGCTTCTCTTTATGTATGTATTCTATGTGTTCCGCCCTTTTCCTAACTCACGTTTGTTCATCGAACATCATTAGGTCCCTAGCCGCTTGGGTGGTAATGATTCCTTATCTGTTTCCATCACCCTTCTTTTCCCTCAGACGCCTTCCCCAATTAATATCGATTACCTGGCAACCTACCTTCCTATGTTCACTCAAGTCTTTGGAGATTTCGGTGACAATCTTTCGTTTACCAAAGTCAGCATCGAGGGGGCATCTATGGGTATTACTTGCGATGTGAGTCATCCCTACCTAGTTGGTTAGGAAGAGCGTTAAGTCCGCCTCAGTTTATGCAAGCACCAAAGATAATCGTGAAAAATACCCTTGCATCTATAACTGGCACGTTCAATGCTTCGGAGCGCCTAATGCTTGACAATGTTGGAGGGTAAGTGGAATTCCTGGCTTGCGATTGTTTGCTCATGCCTCGACTTTTCAGTCCTATCTATGCAAATATAACACTGGTACAAGATAAAGATCGACATCAACCTACATTTCTCTCTTTGGATACGGGGAACAGGTCTGTTCCTCTCATCTCCATTTTAGTGTTGGCTGAACTTTTCATAGTGAAATTAATGCTAGTGTTATACTTCTGGCACCAGATCGATATAACGACCCTTTAAATTTCATCGGCAGTGTCAAAAATTTCAATGGCCCGCTCACGCTGACTGTTTCCCACGACCCAACCACCCCCCCGGTATCACTAGACCTCCATGTACAGAATGCTCAGGCGGAATCGAATGTCACCCTCGACTCCAAGTACATAGGTTTGTTCGATGTACAAACCAAGCTTGCTTCCGTTGCTGTAAAGGAAAGCCAGATAGATCCTTCCTGGGATCCTTTAGGCGAAAATCGGTACAGGCAGTGTGTGTACGACCAATCTAGCTTCAATAGAGTCCGGGGATGGATAGGATGGGGCCAAAGACCCACCGGCTGGAAGCCGAGAGAAGGTCGAGTCGAGGTTGTGTCGTCATTGAGTCCCATACACTTGCACCTCTCAGGTCCATCTGATGGGGCATCATGACAAGGGGTTATGTGTAATAACAGGCATCCGCATATATTCCACTTGTATTTTATCTCTGGCAATCTACTACATATAATAGCAGTACATATACTTTTGGACAAAGTTTACCTTTGATACATACTCCGAGATCCAAAAAAGCAACCGACCTCAGCAGTGAGGGCAATCGCCGGCGTATCACATTCTTACCTGCCGGATGCGACGGTGCTGGCTTGCTAATAGTAAGAGACGATCGAATTTCTCTGCGATTGCGTGATTCTGAGCATTATAGTGTTATAAGCAAAAAATTCCAATAATGCCATCGATTTCTGTGTCGACGGTTCATAACTTACAGTGTCCCATTCTTCTTCTGTTGCTGCAAAACGGCCAGTCATGTCCAATACTCCTCACGGTGGTGTCCTTAAAGTGAGCATAACTATCCTTATCTCTGGTGGTTGCACCTTACGATACCCCCATTTAAAGGACCTCGTCACTAGAGATGCTGCGATTTCCCATAAACTAAAGGAAGAGGCGGAGACCTTGCCTGAGCTTGTGCTGACTGAGGTAGAAGATCCTTCATCCACGACTTCTCCTTACCGATAACGTCCTCTCCAAGCGACAATTATGTGATTTAGAGCTCATCACCAATGGCGGGTTCAGTCCTCTAGAGGGTTTCATGACCGAAAAAGATTACCAAAGGTTGGTTTCTGCATTTCGCTTTGTTGACTGACTGATCGTATTTTAATAGTGTTGTCGACACACTTCGCCTGGCAAGCGGGGTCTTGTTTCCGATACCTATTACTTTAGATGTTTCCGGCGAAGTCATTAGCCGTCTGTCCATTCAACCTGGTGCTAGGCTTAGTCTACGAGACCCTCGAGATGAAGAACCACTCGCGATTATAACAGGTCTGTCTTTAGCCTTTTAAGATTTTCGTCGCAGGTGTGTACTGAAATTTGACATGAACGATAAGTCGAGGACATCTATAAACCTGACCGCGTCAAGGAGGCAGCACAAGTCTTTGGTGCCGATGATCCTGCTCATCCATCCGTCAGTTATCTTCGGAGACGTGTGCAGGATTTCTACATTGGTGGCAAACTTCAAGCGATCCAAGCCCCCGCACATTTCGATTATGTTGCGCTGCGATGTTCGTCCCCCTATCCGTTATGTAGATTCGCTATTGATCGTTCATCATGTAGATACACCTGCTGAGTTGCGTTCTCATTTCAAAAAATTGTCCTGGAGGAAAGTAGTAGCTTTCCAGACCCGTAATCCTATGCATCGCGCCCACCGGGAGCTCACTGTACGTGCGGCCCGGCAAAGACAAGCGGTACGAGCTTCACGCTGCTTGTCATGACAGCTCATATAATACCTTTATATCAGAACGTTTTGATTCACCCTGTCGTTGGTTTGACGAAACCTGGAGATGTTGATCACTATACCAGGGTTCGAGTGTACGAGGCCATTATGGCCAAGTATCCAAACGGAATGGGCCACCTTGCCTTACTCCCTCTTGTATGTGTCCTATCCAAGTGGCATACTTCTGACTTACAATCGGACAGGCAATGCGAATGGCTGGTCCTCGAGAAGCTGTATGGCACGCCATCATCCGTAAAAATTTTGGCGCAACACATTTCATTGTCGGACGCGACCATGCTGGACCTGGCAAGAACTCACAAGGAAAGGATTTCTATGGACCTTACGACGCTCAGGATCTCGTCACCAAATACCATGAAGAACTCCAGATAGAAATGGTACCATTCCAGCAAATGACATACTTGCCCTCGACAGATGAATACCAACCAGCCGACGAAGTTCCAAAGGGTGTTCAAACCCTCGATATTTCAGGCACCGAACTTCGCAGACGTCTTAAAACTGGTGCACCAATTCCTGACTGGTTCAGCTATGAGTGAACTTCCTTCTTCTTCGTTCATCGTATCTCCGCTAATGGGTGTTCTAGCGCCGTTGTTAAGACTCTGCGAGAAAGCTATCCCCCTCGAAATCAGCAAGGATTCGTTTTGCTTTTGACGGGGCTGCATAATTCCGGAAAGAACAAGATCGCCAAGGCCCTACAAGTATCACTGAATGAACAAGGCGGCCGCAGTGTTTCTCTACTTTTGGGTGAAAATGTGAAGCAGGAAGGGTCATCAGGTTCGCACTTCTTACCTCGAGGAGTTGTAACTTCTTCTCATTACAGGTTCTGTAGAAATAGGGTTCACTGAAGCACAACGACACGAAAACACAGAGAGAATCGCTTTTGTTGCTGCAGAGTTAGCTCGAGCCGGCGCCGCTGTTATCGCTGCACCTATTGCATCGCGGGAGCGTACCCGACAAGCAGCCAAAGATACCATCATACATTCTGGCGGTGCCGGTGGTAACTTCTTCTTGATCCACGTGGCCACTCCTCTTGAGCATTGCGAAAGGACTGATAGGAGAGGTGTTTATGCCAGAGCTCGTCGTGGCGAAATTGTTGGTTTCCCTGGTGTGGATCAGGAATACGAGACGCCGTTGGGAGCCGATTTGACAGTGAATGTCGTGTCACAAAGTGTACCCGAAATCGTTCACAGTAGGTCTTGTTACACTTGCCCACTTTCATCTTTGTTTGACATGAACTATAGGCATTGTCTTACTGTTAGAAACGAACTCGCTAATATAAACTGTTCAAGATGTATTCTAGTTGTACAAGTGTATTACCTGCACTTTGCGCTGAAGAGTGGGAGAAAGTACGGATTGATTTCTTTGAGAAACCGGTGGCAATAGCATGGCAGGGAATTAGCACCAGCCGTCAATCAATGGTGTTAGCAGTAGATAGTATGCAGTCTGGACCGAGAGAATCAGCAAAATAAAACAAAACAAGACAAGACAACGCGTCGCGTCACTGCGGCTGCCATCCTGCCCTTGACCTACAGTCTTCACTGTCACAGTATCCCTTCACTTCATTGAGTGCGATGACGACGCATATTGGTATCCTTCCAGCAGGCAAGGTGTTTGGACTTCCAGTGGTTCCCTATTATATAACGGTGACGCAGCAGATATATTACAAGCTATAGCTCTGGGCGGCCCAAGTGACAGCATACTCCCTCCAAGCCGTTTCATTCGTCTGCTACATCCAAGAACTGGTCATTGGCTTTAACACGCTTCCTGCAGCGTTTTCTCATTTGATCTCTCAGGGTTGCCTTGTCTTTTTCTCTCTTACAACCAATCACCGCAGGCAACACAAATCCTTGAAGTGCAAGGTGTTTCACCTATAAACGCTCGTTCGTGGACCTTGGGTGAGGAAGTTATATCAGGCAAGATGTCCATTTAGTACATAGAATATTTTCACTCATAAAAACTTGCCAGATGGAAAGCTGTTAATCCTGACACCCATCGACCCAGCGTTCTTATTGATACCAATTCTGAAATCTACGATGCCTGTGGGTTGCTTGACGATTCTTCTATGCGATTCTCACTAGGACCCTAGACCGATGGTACGTCTGGCAGCTTTCGCCCCGCTGACGATATATTCGAAGACGCGATATCCAAGCTATCTGGAGAGTCAAACGACGTTGTTCCAGTCGTTGATATCACATCGTTTGTGGAGATGGATTGTGCTAGGAGAGCTCTTCGACGTGTCTGCGAAATGAAAGGGGAGTTTTGTTTGTTTCCTTCGCAGTGTTGACGCTCTGACGTGGCGTTGGGTAGAAGTGGCCTCAAATATTACAGTTTACAGATTTTCATCTGCCAAGGTTGTCGACTATGTCCGCAAGAAGGTAGACCACATGTCTTCTTTCCCGGTGATTGAGATGTCTCGCAGTATCACCAGAAATTTAGCTAAAGATGGGCTCTTCGACGATGGAAGAGAAGTGTTGCTAGCAGGTCTGTCCCAAGTCAATTTACAGAATGCGCCACGTAAAGCTCATACATCCAGCGGCCAAGATGAAAATCGCCTGTGACCTCATCTGTCAGTATCTGCCACCGCCCGAGTCTGCGTCTCTTCTAGCATCCTACGAGTAGGGCTGTTGTCGTTTTGTCTTGCCATGATTGACACAAAGTTCCAGTTTCGCTGACCTTACTGCCTTCATGAAGCAGCTAGAAGAGGAAAACTTGACGACGATAGCCAACTCGGGAAAGGGCACAAAAACCCTAAAAGAAACTAATGGTGACAAGAAACGTAAAATAACTAAGGGTTCTCAGGGAGTGGAGAAACTAAAGAAAGCAAATGTGAAAGGAATGGCTAAGCTATCAACTTTTTTTTTACAAAAAAAGCTATAGCATGATTGCAAATCAGGATCTCGGTACAGCGTCCTTCCATGAGGCCATTTGTATTGATATAATGATACTACAGACTCCATCTTCGTTGAATAACTTAAATACTACAGATAATGGACCGAGCGATAGAAGGCAAGCGGGGGCCATCACTTTCGCTCCGTCTAGTCGTCAGAGTTGACATCTCCCTTTAAAAATCTGGCGAAGACAGTTTGTGCAACTTCAGGTTGATATGCTGGCATGGAATGCCCAGCTTCAAAGACTCGGCTACATGTAATGTATAAGAACGGGAGGAGCATTGACGATAATAACGACATACATGAATGTCAGATTCGTGTCGACAACAGTTTTATATTGACCAACAATCTCTCCGTTGATAGTCAATGCCGATAGAGATGTCTCATTGAATACGGAACGACCCGGCCAATCCATCGAGGCAATGCACTCTTGAATACCCAGCCAGTTGGCTCTACAAACATTAGACACAGGTTAGACTGCTTTGCAAGCACTTACTTCATATCTGCATCTCCGCCCTAAATAGAGAACTTACATTTAGCCTCGATTTTCACGGCATTGTTCAGGGACCCACCCAGATCAAGAGCTTGACTTTTCCCTCGCTTGCAATTTCCGCCAGATTAGATAGAAAAGAACGACCTGTTTCTCCACTGCGGGAAAAGCGGGACTTGACACTGTCATCGCATTGATCGTACGACCCTTGAGCGCCGATCAGATCGAGTACGTCTTGGTCGTCGAGATAATCGAGGTAGAACGTTGGAGGGACAACATCGTCCGCGGGGGTCGAGGAATTCTGTCGCAAATCGTTAGGGTCTCTGTCTCCAACCGTGGGGTTGAACACGTCATGAGTCTGGGAAGAGCATTACTTGCATTATTTAATGAAGGAGGTATATCATCGAGGAATTAGCGTACGCAGGAAACAATAGCATCGTGACAAGTGTCGGCATCGCCATCATCATAGCAGTTTTGTAGAGCAGGTAGACAAGTTTCATTGTAGGCCGTTGCCACTTCCATTAAGACAGAAGTATTGACGAGCGGTCCATAGGACGGAGCATTTCTTGCATATTCGACTGAAGCCCGCATCTGGATTAAAGGATCGTATTTACCGCTTCCGACGAAAGTATGTAAGAACCAGAAGAATGCGAGGACGGAATCACTCACTCATTGATGAGCAATTTTGAGACTTCTATTTGAGTTCCATTGATCTCGCCGCTATCAATTTTGGCATTTTGTGAATGGAAGTACTGTGTAAAGACAGGACCAAAGCGAGCGCCATAGGACTCTGTTGCAATGATAAATCTGTGAAACAGAATTATATTAAACCGGAAGGGGGCCGCACGAATCAAAACCGTACTCTCTGCCTTCGAACTTGCTGAATTTTTCGTGAGCAAATAGGATCTGGAATGCTTGCCACATGAAGTCAGCCGCTTGATCTGTCGAATTAACCAAGGTCGATCCTCTGGAAAAACCCGCGCCAAAAGGTTGATCGATGTAGATCACTGTATAACAAAACATTAGGAAAAGGAAGGGTAATTATAAAGACAAAACTCTCTGTTGCTGAAGTTATTCCAGCTGTAGGGATTATAAACGGTCTCTGCGCTATCGTTGACTGTGCACGGTCCATTTTCTGTGAAGTAAGTATGAGCGATTGTCACTCCAAGTCATCTAAGTGAAAGGTACAGCACTCACCTTGGAAAAGCCCAATCATAGCCGAACACCCTGGGCCGCCGTTCAGCCATAGAGTCAAAGGTTTGGTGTCCGGATCGTCTCGAGCCTCAAAAAACCAGAACCAAAACGCGTCGTCGCTGTCGTCGGATATGTTTATGTATCCTGACACTTGGGAAACGCCATCTGTCGTTTCGCATACGCCAGAGTTAGACGTCAAGGAGAGTGATTGGGCAAGGGCTGGTGAGACTACCAACCCGGTAGTAAGTAATAATAGAGGCAGGAGGGTAGACATGAGGGACTGACGAAGAAGGAGATGGGGTTTGGAGCTTATATATTCTTGAAAGATTTTAAAGATGATGCCCGTGGCATCGTACCTGATATCACCAGACTACAAGATACAGACTGAGCACGCCGCAGCGCGAGTCGGTCGTAGTCCCCATGTGTTGACAGAAAGTGCCCTACATGCATTACGAAGATTCGGATCAGACAATTGCGGGATAGAGCACTGTACATCTGTAACACTTTCTGATGACTAGTGAAATTGGAATGAGCAAATCATTTTATGATGAAGGTGAGAACGCACCCCGGTAAGAGAGTAAAGGGAGTCAGGGCCATTGGCAGGCGATATACTTGTCAGGCAGACCTCAGAAGAGCTTTCATACATCAGCTTAACACATGCATATCTGTACGTTACTGTCATTAATTAACGCGAATGTCGCTTTCAGAATGTTGTTCTTAGGTTCTTGAGGCTTCTTGGTCCTTGAAGTCTTAGAGTACCAACACGTGTCCTCGGACAGGTCCGCCGATCGCGACGCGTTAGATATTTGCTCTTATTTGCTGAGCTCCTCTGCTTTTCAATTTCCGCCGACCACCTCCAACCATCGCTGTTCTCCGCCATCAACGACTGCAGCATCCGGCCAGCAACGCTGGTAATCCTTGTCCGCGTTAATGGCTGATGATCGACTATATGTCGACCGTGCCGTTCAAACGGACTCTGCCGTGCCTCCGCCGTCTTCACCAACCTCTTCGCCACCTGCAGTTCCTATATTCCAATCAGAACTAAGCGCATATACCGACATAAATGGTGCATCCTCCTTACCGGAATTTTCTCTAATCGTGCGCCGCCTTCAAAAACCTCGTTTACCCTTCAATGGCCCTTCTCGGGCACCAAGTAATGATCGCGTCGTGTCTCTGCCAGAAACCTCCCCTCCAAGCAGGGTAGATCCTGGGGAATTGGGCGCTCGCATTGTATCTCTTCCTGAATGTTCCAAATCTTCTCTTCCCAAGGATGATTCCTTTTCCTCCGAATGTTTCGAAGCCTCGATCTCTACCGATAACTCTGGCATTCACCTTTTAGAAAATAGCTTACAACGCACTCGAACGCGTCGGCTTCGCTACTCTAGTCTTCCACGAACCCCTTCTCCCCCTTCTTCTCCTGAATCTATCATGATCATCGGGAACGATGTTCAAGTCCCCGTATCTTTTCTCCACAAGACCGAGTCACGGCCCGCCTTTGAAGAAAAAGGTTAGTTTTCATTTCTTGCAGTGTGTCATTATATACACTCACAACATCTGTCTAGGTTGGTTAACCTGGGCAAGTTCTCCCCCAAGACCGATACCTGCATTACACGGTCCGCTCTCATTGCCCTATGCTCGTTGCCCATCGTGAGTAGCTGGCAATGTTTCATTTGCGACGCTAACTGTGTATGCGTAGCGGTGCAGAAGGCACCATTATCGAGGGAGAGGATATGTCTCGAATGATCTGGGGACTTGGTACCGATGCGCCTCTTTCTAGTGATCCTCGGCGGCATCCGTCATGTGGCGGAGAAAGAAAGGCCGTCCATCTTCCTTCTGCTCTTACGCAATCACAGGGGCTTAAAACTACAGTCCTTCAACATACTACGCGACAAGAATCTCAGCCTTTGCCTATTCTGACTTTGGCTCCTGCAAAACATAGCATGTCTGTGTTGCAATCCCCGCAGGTAAATTCGACCTTTGTTCAAGAGAAACGCAATTTGGGCGTAAGCCATAGCAATTCAAGACACGAACGGCGCTCGAACTTTGAGTTAACAAAAGGAATGTCTTTCCCAGAGTCTCCTCAGGACTTTTCAGCTTCTGACGACCATCTCGTTGGGCTTGGAATTCACTGGTCGGAAAATTCAGTCGCAAAGGATACAAATCATCCATATAACTCTGCTTCCTCTCTCTCTCGTATTAGCCCGGTTCTTCCTCGGTCTGGCCCCCGCCTCTTTGTTGAATCTCGCACAAATCCGCAACTAACCTCCCAAGTCATTATTCCTACTGGACCTCGTATGTCTGCCATTGATATCGCCCATCAATACCGTATCAAGCAACTCCAAAATGCCCTACTTACTCCGCCTAATTTTTCCGAACTACAATGGTCTCCTTACTTCTCTGCGAGTTCTGATAAGATGCTTTACCACGAATATAACCCTCCTCCATTCGAAAGACCTGTCCTTAAAGCCAGGAACTCCGATACGGAGCTGCGGAGGTTTGTTGTCGAGCACATGAATAATCCCGATATCTTTATCGATGATCCTCCTGTTTTGCCTTTGCGTCCCTCTCGACCGACAATCCATATATATTCCTCGGATGCGCAAAGCTCTTGTGAGATGTCCCCTCCTCCTGGAACCCCTCTCAACAGCCCGCTACCACCAGCACCGTCTGTATATAATCCCAAGACCAGCCGCAGTACTTCGACGCCTCCTCCTACTTCGCCCGAATTCCAGCGTCGCTTCCGCACTATATCCCGACAGCCTCGCTCGATCCCTCTGGCGCGTCTTATTCAACGCCGACTTTCAGTAGTTCCAGAAGAAGACATAGAAGGTTTCCTAGAATCGACTGCGCCCATGTCTTCCACGCTGAGAGATCATAATCCCCAATCACCACCGATAGCGCACTTGCGTCGTACAATCGAGACCTTACCGAGCCCTCAGAAAGCCGGGAGATCAGGGCCTCATTCCAATCCGTTTGTTCTGGGTGTAAAGCCGCAATACACATCGGCATTGAACAATACGGCAGATTACCGAAAAAGCAGTAATATCCCTAAAGGTAGCAAGGAAAATGAGGCAGAGGAGACTCTGGTCAAAAAGGGAAGGGCCAAGAACAAGAAGTAATTAAACCATTCGTTCTCTCTTATTCGCTTTAATGTTTTCGATTATTGTTCATGCATCCATGAACCAGTCAAATGTAGCTTTACGTATTTTATAAGGAACGGAACTCAGTCAACCCAAATGTTTTGCCACTTTGTAATACACGACGATGATAGCCAAGTTTACGCTCGAACTTATTGTGACTCCAGATATCTAAGGCTTGACGAAAAGATCGGTAAACTGATCAACTGGGAGGTTCCAGAATGAAGCATGATCGCCGGTGACTATGTCCAAAATCCTATATTGATGTCAGCCAAAACAGTATCAAAAGCAGACTATAGGACTCACTTCTTCTGGTGCGCTGCGCCATAATGATGGGAGATATGCCTTTTAAATAATCGTAAACACGACGAAGCAGCAATAGAAGAGAAAGATTACCTGGTGAACTTATCAATCAGAAGGGGAGTACCCTCATCCCGACGCCTCTTGTGTCCGACGGGGTATTCAACCTCGACCTCATCCAATACAGTACCGTCGTTCAACTCGACAAGGAGAGCGTTGCCAATAGACCGCTTGGAAGGTTCATGATATTCGACACTGAAACGCTTATCTTCAACGCAGTAGATTTTGGCACGCAGTTCATCGATACGCGGGTCAGCGGCAGAGGCGTCAGTGCTAGAGTGATGTGGGTGAAAAAAGTCGTTTCATAGACAAGAAACACGCGTACTAGCTTTCCGAAATGAGTTCACCGAAAATCAGAGGATATGCCACCATGTAATTGATGGCGTGACTATGTTAGAGTCAGCATAGAACAGTATACTGTGATATAGACACTGACTCTCGGTCAGCAAAGTTGTCGAGTGGACCCTTCTTGTCAATGATCCTGATAGCAGCTTCCTGGGTTCGGATTCTTACGCTCTTGATGTCCGCTGCAGTCTTTCCTAGCTCTTTCAGTTTTGCGTGGACAATGTAAGCAGCCTCAACGGCAGTTTGAGCATGGAATTCGGCGGGATAGGAAATCTTGAAGAGGACGTTTTCCATTATGTAAGAAGAGAAGGGGATCTGGAATTCAAAAGGCTTGCCCTGTATGGAGAGTCAGATCTTTCGTATATCCAGTTAGACGGGGCATTACCTTGAATAGAACATCATAGAAACCCCACGTCTTGGCAGTGAGAACGGACGGGAGACCCTTCTCGCCCTTCTTGACGAGAAGAGCTAGGTTGACCGCACGGGAGCAGGCATCACCGGCAGCCCAGGATTTACGAGGTCCGGTATTAGGAGCATGGCGATAGGTACGAAGCGATTGACCATCAACCCAAGCCTGCGAGATAGCATCGATAGTCTGGTCACGATTGAGTCCAAGCATCTTGGACACCACGGCAGTGGAGGCGACTTTGACGAGCACAACATGGTCCAAGCCAACCCTGTTGAAGGAATTGAGGAGGGCAAGACCTCCCTGTATTTCGTGAGCCTTGATCATGCCCTCGAGTAGGTCCTTGACGGCAAAAGACTGTCCTTGGCGAGCGAGATGGTCAGCGACAGCAAGGATTGCACCAAGGTTGTCGGAGGGATGACCCCCTGGAAGATAACAGTCAGATGATAAGGGGTGGTTGTTATGCTACGTACATTCAGCAGCTAGGAAACAGTCGTTGAAATCGAGCCATCGAATAATGGTACCTATGTTGAAAGCCCCCCGGATGGGGTCTAACTGATAGTTGGTTCCGGGTATTTTGGTGCCTGTGCCGAACGCGGGTTTGAAGGGGGAGATGAAGAAAAACAAAAAGGGAAGAAACCTTACCATTAGGAACGACAGTGCCGTCGACAACGGGCCCAAGTAGCTTTGTGCACTCTGGGAACCTCAGCGCCTCGAGACCACAACCAATGGTGTCGATCAAACAAAGGGACGCGGTCTTCATTGCCAACCCCGTGGGGTCAATTTGAAAGTTGTGAACATAATCGGCGATATCTTGTAGGACCTTGTCGGGTTCAGGTCTGAGGGTAGACTCACCACCATGAGTAGCAGACATGTTTCTAGCGCAAATGGAGGGAGGAGCAAAAGAAGGACGCTTGGGGATATTGAGGGTAGATCCACTGACAGTGAGAGGGATTTTGCGAGGGCAATACCGCAGCAGAAATTGGCTGGAGACACGGTTGAGCATTTGGGGGCGTTTCCCGTGATGGTAGCAGGAAGAGCTGGGTTGCGCCAGACTCAGCCTTGAAATACGGTCAACTTGGCCTCCGGTAATAGCCGGAAGAGGGACGCGCTTGGGGCGGTCACGCGGTCATGATTTCATCGCCGGTGGATTGCCGAGGGACATATATCAGACGCCATCTCAATAATATCAGTGACTTGTCCTCCCGCCCCATCATGCCCGACGACGAATATACGGACGATCCCTCGGTCCTAGCTGCAAAGAAACGTCGCCTCCCCGGCGCATGTGATATATGTCGCAAGAAGAAAAGTATTTATCTTTGTCGTCTCTAAGGGCATTTCTGACACATCTTTTCCAGTCAAGTGTAGGCCTGGTATTCGCTTCATCTCAGTTCCAACCGCTTCATCCATGTCCCAGGTGATAGTGCGACCATGCCAAGCGGTCGCTGTTCAAATTGCATCGCATTCGACTCAAAGTGCATGCATACCGATCCTATCAAGGTAGACTTCTTCGGCATGCATGTCTATCCTGCTCAACTCATCCCTGCAGAAGCGTGGTCCCAAAACAAAGTATTCTTTTCCACAACGTTTATCATCCCGTGCTTGGTCTCATTTTCCTTCAAGCAGCTATGTAGAGGAACTTGAACAACGCGTCAACAAGCTCGAGGATATGTTGAGGGAGGTAAGCACTGTGCACCTGCGTTAATCATCTTCTGGCGTGTCTAACAAGTCCCAGCTCAAGCCGGAAGTTGTGATACAAGAGGATGATGCTTATTCTCCGGTTCAACTGCATAACAGTCCCTCATCACTGCAAGACAGCACGGGCGAGTCGTCAAGTCCTCGTCAACCATCTGAGCCCTCAGATAGCGCAGAAAGTGATCTTCCGCATATTGAGCTGCTGGAGCACTTGAAAAGGATGTCCCTGCACACCTTTGGCAACAGGTATTTTGGTCCTTCTAGCAGCTTTTCACTCGTCAAAAGCGCCATGTCCATAAAATCCGAGTTTATGGGTAAAGAAGCTTCTCTGTGTGTGTCAGACTATCGTCAGTATTTTGACCTCCAACCAGTGAGTACTCCTGTCGATTTTCAACACTGGTTAAAAACTACTGACGATGTCAGTGGGAGCGAGAAAGTGCAGAACGAGAAACACCTCATTATGTGTTCCCAGACGATGATCTAATAATTTTACTCGTTGATATATACTTCAAAACGATTAACCCTGTCCTTCCCATTCTGCACCGGCCTACGTTTGACAAGAATCTTGTCGAAGGTCTTCATCTGCGGGATCACAACTTTGGCGCTGCATTGCTACTCGTTCTTGCCATTGCTTCCAGATATTCCAACGATCCAAGAGTCTACTCGGATCCGAATGCAAAACTTTCATCCGGTTGGAAGTTCTTTGAACAGGTACGTATTGTGAAAAACGCCATATACGAGTCGCCGTCGTTGTACGAATTGCAATATTACGCTGCAAGTTTACTTTCCTTCGGGCCTTTGTATATCTATTGACTTCGGTATAAAGCTAGGGGTGATATATTCTCTTGGTACTTCGGTCCCTCAGTTCGGCTGGACTATGGTTGGAATAGGAATGCGTTTCGCAGTCGAGATAGGATTGCATAGACGTAAGCCGGAAGGGTACCAGCCGACCGTGGAGGATGAGCTGAAGAAAAGGGCATTTTGGTCCGTAAGCCTCTCCCATCGATAGCAAACACTGATAGGCGTTCATCAAACGGCAGGGCTCTGATTACGCTTGATAGGCTCATCAGTCTATTTCTCGGACGACCTTCCATAATACGAGATGAAGAGTGTGTCTACTCTATGATTGTATTTCCAGTGTTAACAATTTTCCTTGTAGTTTTGACCTGGAAACCCCAGTCGAATGTGACGACGAATACTGGGAGATCGAACCCAATGGAAGAGTTCATTTTCACCAGCCCCCAAACACGCCCTCGAAAATAACATATTTTTGTTTGCACCTCAAGTTGTGCGAGATTTTAGCGTTTGTGCTTAGGACGCTATATTCCATCAAAAAGTCTCGTGCAATGCTAGGGCTTACTGGCAAGGATTGGGAGCAACGCCTTGTCGCAGACTTGGATTCGTCCTTGAACGCATGGGTTGACTCGATCCCTGATCATCGTACGTCTGTGTGAATTATTTGTTACGGGATATGGAGTCGTTAATGCAACGTCCACATGCAGTCCGATGGGATCCGCACCGTAAAGATTCCACCTTCTTGTTCCAATCTGTGGCTTTGTACAGCATGTACTACATGCTGCAAATACAAATTCATCGACCCTTTCTGCATACAGACTCACCTCTGTCTTTCCCATCTCTCGCCATCTGCACGAATGCCGCTAGATCATGCAGCCACGTGGTCGAGGTCCACCGCGCTAAAACTGGTGCAGTTATACCGCATATTATAGTCGGTGGCTATAATCTATCAATCTTCGCGGACATCTGACGCTTGATCACAGATGGGAGCTTTCATTTCGGGAGTTGTTCTGTCTATGAACATCTGGAGTGGTAAACGCGCAGGGCTTTCCTTGAATCTACAAAAAGAGCTAGCTGATGTAGAGAACTGCAAGGCAACCTTGAAATACGCTTCTGAAAGGTATTGCTCACGCCATCAGCAATGAGCGAACTGACGTTTCTATAGGTGGAATATTGCTGGTCGTCTATGGTGAGATCCATCCGCTGCCCACATCACCTCCCCGTCGAGGTTTTTACGGAACCAAAGGGATATGCTCAATGGAATCTCAACGAATGCGTCATTTACGGAGGAAAGTGTCACGTCTAAGAAACGCGCGCGGGAGAATGATATTTCTGACTATTTAACCGGGCCTGCTCTCGCTGTTCGAGCGTGGGACTCGTACGAATCAATGCCAACGAGCTCGCGAGATGCACAAACGTCTGGTAAGTATATACGCTGCCTGTGACGGGATGTTAATAATGATTATCGTGAAGTTGATCAACACTACTTTGACGAAGATCTGACACAGTCTGCCAACCAAGTTGGAGCCATTGACGATCTATTAAATTTCCAGGCCTCCAGTCATCCGCAGACATCGTTTTCAGGGCCCTCTATGTACACAGACTTCGGGTTGTTAGAGGAGGTAGGAAACAATACCATCAACATGTGGACTGGCGCTCCGTCAGGATTCGAGTGAGTCTTAGTGTATTGTGGATGATTTTGTGATCTGAAATCATCTCTAGCTGGGCAGAATGGAATACATACATCACAAATTTGGAGCCTAATTACATGTAAATTATGACGCTGTACCGGTAAAAATTCATCTTCATAATATATACGAATCACCTTTGCCCGTTGGTTGTGACGCCATTGTTACTCCTGGAAGGCTTGTGCGGTCGAAGCATTGCCGTTGTTGCGGATTGAGCGGCGGTGTCGCCCATGCTACAACCGCAAAAAGAGGGCGGTTATGAGCCTGTGGACTCTTGGATACACAACATGATTGGGGGTGTCGTGAAGACGCCGGTTGAAGGCATAGTTTGAAATGGTGCGAGTATAGATTGTAATAATGGCGGTAGAAGGTACTGGTAAGGAGCGAAGGTGAGCGACTGTCTTTGCAGCCTATACTGAGCATGGGGCGAATAGCATTCTCCTATTAAGGACGCTTCGCGTCCAAAATTTCAAATCCCGATGGTGGGATATCGATGACGCAATGACTATTCTCATGCACGGACCATGATTGCTACTGCTAGGCTAGCTCGCAATCTCGAATTTCACTTTGGGCCATCTTCAGAGCCCATACCCATAGCAGATTTTGTCTCTTCTGATATTCCTCAGCATGCCTTTGTTAGTGAGACGGACACGGATGAGTTCAGGTGTGGTTTACGCGAATTTCTGGCCCTCGTCACTCAAGCATTTATTCAGTGTTAGCGACATTTGCGATGCGGTCAGCAAAGTCTGGGACAATCCAGAGTTATCTGCACACATCCTCAAGAAGCATTATGCCGTTGTAGATGCTTTATATGCTACCCAAAGCACTGCCAAAGCTCGCCGTAAAGCTCAGAACACTACCGACAGTGATAAGGAAGACTCGCCGCAAGTACTTGAGTTGAACAAGGCACTTCAGACTATACATCTCTCCAGCTACCCGTAAGACCGCCAATTTCAGTTCAATGTGACTCTTATTTGCTTTCAGTCTTTGTTCAGAAGCTTCTCTTTTCATAAGGCCGCCCAAGAATTCAGATCAGAACGCCCTTGCCAAACTTGTTCGTGTGATACCTCGTACAATACACAGTTGATAACCAATATTCATTCCAGAAATCCTCCGACCCGAACGATGGCCCTTCCTTGCCGGATAGCACGAGATGCGCACTTGTTATTGTCACAATATACACTAAAGGATCCAGTACTACCATGCGGACATCGCAGCACGCACTTCTCTCTTCACAGACTTTGGGAGATATCGTAGAGACGATGCCTTGTGTGTCAAACGACCTTTCCAAGGAAAGAGTGTCGCATAGACAGGTCACCAGAGACCAGATTCCTCAAGACGTCAAAGCAAGTTCTGGCTCTGTGGTATGCATCGAAGATGTTCTCTATGGTGATGGTATGAATGAAACTGATTGTGCCGAGTACGTCCTTCCCGTCCATTTATCAGCATGATGACCTACGTCGTTGCGTCCTAGCAAAATGCTCCAGTATCTCGCAACGTATTCAATGAAACTGCGCACAGTGACCAAGGCGCCGGAGTCGCTGCATAACATCATCCTCAGCTCTCTCTCCCTTCGGATCAACGAACCATATTGGATTTTGCATCAAGGAAATTGCGAACACTTTTTCGTAGTCGATCAAATCAGGCATGCTTTCGTTCTGTTTCCCCATCCCATATCTGACACACATATAGACTGAAAAACCTCTCAGACTCATCATCTAGGTACCCTTTCACTCTGCAATTGACGCCAATCTCCCTAGATTTGTGTCGGGCATGTTACAGAATACCTGCAATTTGGTCTATTGTAGGTGATCTGCGATTGGGTGAGAGTCCGTGTATTTTATGTGGAATTTGCTGGGAGAGCATGGGAGAGCCAGATGATGGCGTTGTAGTGATACCTTTTTCCCAAGTATGAATTACGTTGGTAGGAATGGCGGTCCGAATCGTTGTTTGTATCTGTAATATATAGGAAATGCCATTGCTGGTCCCGACCATGACTGTTGCTTCATCATCTAATACCCAAGCATTGGATACTTTGTCCGAGTACGACGATGTCATCTCATGGATCAACGATACGCTACCAACGTCCGAAGACAGAGAACAAGACACCGTCGAGCTCTCTGAACTCGACCAACACATTACGCAGCTCCTGGCATCTCTCGACATTTCTTCGGAAGACACGTCATCCCAGCTGGAGAGAACCGTTCGTGATGTCTCTCGCGCCGTACCCAGACTCACCTACGACCTTCATTTCATGAAAGACGGTGCTCTCACCCTCCAAAACGGGCTCGTTCGTGTTCGCTCTCGAGCAAAGGCTGCAGTTCCTCTGTCTACTCAGGAGGCCCTCAATAAGCTCCACTTTTTAGATACCATAAAAAACCACATGGAGTTGGCGCGTGAGGTCCTGCGGGAGGCGGAGAGCTGGAGCACCCTAGAAATCGAAGTCACATCCCTTCTTTCAGACCACAATTACGCCAAAGCTGCTGCTCGCCTCTCTGAGGCCAGCCGCAGCATGGTCGTCTTTCAAAATACTCCAGAATATGATCCTCGTCGTGCTCTTATGGTCAATCTGCAGAACCAGCTGGAAGCGTCCCTCAGTTCTGCCTTGGTGGCCGCGATTAACGTTCACGACCTAGCAGCGTGCAAGAGCTACTTCTCCATCTTTTCAGATATTCAACGCGAACATGAATTTCGCAACTATTACAATGGTTCTTGCAGGGCAGAAGTGGTGGCGCTCTGGCAGAATGCACAGTTGTTGGATTGCGATGGGGAGGGTACACTGACGTTCGTCGAATTCCTTCCTAAATTCTACGAACAGTTTCTCTCTCTCCTCAATCTCGAACGCGCCTCTATGTCATTCATTTTCCCTGATCCAGCTGTTTCTCTCTCAGCACTTACCTCCTCAGTCCTGTCTGCTCTCCAGCCCACGTTTTCTCAACGGCTTACCTCATTACTCAGCCATTACGGCGATTCTGTTCTCAAAACTCTCATTTCTCTATTCAAAATGACGGAGGATTTCGCTGCTGCTGCAGAGAAAGTAACGGAGAAGATCAAGCACTCTGCAATTTCCATAGAAACTTCCGAGTCACCGACATCCCCCCCTCTGGCCCACAAGCGCCGACGTTCAATGCGGATGTCCATGTCTTGGCGCAACACCCCAACTCGCTCTCCTTCTACCACACAGAACATTACCAAGCTTTGTAACCTCCTTGAGTGGGAGCAAGAGCTCTTCCAGCCTTTCCTCGATTTTCAGGTTGAATATGCCTCCCTCGAGAGGCGTTTCCTCGATGACAATCTTCGTCACATTACCAAGAACGACAGCGTGCGCGATGATGCGGATCCGGATGGCGCACGTCTTCTGCGAGAACGAGCCGTAGACGTGTTTGGTGCCGCTGAGGAAGGTGTCACACGCTGTGTATCTTTCACACATGGATATGGTGCAATGGGGCTTGTCCAAGCTTTGGACGGCTTCTTCAAGTCTTTCGTTGATATGCAGACCAACGATCTGCGTAAAACATCTTCTTCCTCTTTTTCTACACCCACTTCTACCGAAGAAGGCCTATCTGGGCTAGATTATACACCACAGGATTGGGCCGAGTTCCAACACTACCTTCACCTTCTATCTTCCGCTCGAAGCGTCTTTGAGCGACTACTGTCTTTTGAGAATAAGCTTCGAGCCAGCCTCATTCAGGTATCCACTACCCTTCGCCTATCACGCGAAGATCCGACTATATCTAGCTCAAACCGGAGTCAACTATTGTCACAGTCGACTCTTCATTCTCCCGATCTTCATACCCTTCTGGAGTCTCGCCCCACTGATCCTCTTTTGGTCGAAGCACGCGCAGCAGTGTATCTATTCGCCAGAACGTGTCAAGAATGTCTTCAGCATACTATTCTCTCGCCGCTCATGAAGCCTTTGTCCGGGTATGCGTCTCTCCCTCTGTGGAGTGCGCCCGGAGACGGCAAGTCACAAAGAGTCAATGAACTCCAAGTTCCATCTTTCTCTTTGTCGCCCAGCGAGACAGTGCAACGTGTTGCGGACAACTTACTCAATCTTCCCCAATTATTCGAGGTGTACGTTGATGATGATGCTCTTTCCTTCTCTTTGCACACACTCCCGCATATTGACGAACCCGAGATACCTTTGGAACCTCAGCCGGTGTACGTAGGGCATGCACGGCGCCAGAGTATATCTAGGCCCTTAGCACAAGGGCCGAGTCCAGAGCTGGTGTCGTCTGCATGGCTATCGTCACTGAGTCGGACGCTGCTGACTCATCTGACGAAGGAGGTTCTCCCTCGCATTCTAACGCTCTCACAAGTGGGTTCTGCGCAACTAAGTTCCGATTTGGGATACCTTTCCAATATTGTACGAGCAATCAACATCGAGTTTGATGATCTCGAGCGGTGGCGCACATGTATCGACTCGGAGGATGGTGGGGCAATCCGGGACACAGTGTGGAAGGAAGTGAACAGAATGCGTGGAGTACAGAAGGCATGACACGGACACGTACGTTTAACCAATCCTTTTGGCCAGGCTATTCGCATCTCACCGTGCTGTTTCTTAAGGCACTTTTTCTGATTTTCCCAGATCTCGTCTGATCAGCGACGAGAGAGCTACGTTGCTGTAATGCATCAATCACCATGGAAGACAGTAATATTCAAAGCAAAACTGAATCTCCTTCCCGTCCTTGTCAATGGTCACCACGGTGGAAATCGATAAGAAATGACATGCAATTTCGCGTACAAGATATTGAGAAATCCCGCTCATGCTTTCCTCTCAGTTTGAATATGCGGCAATGGCAGTGTCAAATCCATTCCCGATCGTCGTTTTGATCTCATCAGCTTGGTCTACGAGGTCAGCCTGTCAAGAAGAAGGCCGTCAAAACTGCTAAGTGACAGCTTAACAACAGTTTCTCATACAGGGGATTTGGCAATCAATGCATCTGAAAAGGCCCCGGTCGCGGAGTTGAGGCCCTGGAGGTCTTGGAGTACCAAAGCAGGGATTCCACCAATAGGAAGAGCTGTCGGCCCAAGTACAGCTATCAGTACATGACCCAACACTTTGAAACCCTGACAAATCAGCGAACCTTCAAAGGCAGGCTCTTTCGCAACGATAGCAGTAAGAGCATCTAGAATGGTGGGCTCGAAGGCTTCAACGGACGCGAGGATGGTAGCGCCGTCGTCTTCACTAAAAGCGTCAGTTGCCTGCAGTAAAGATTAGTCGATTTCCCCGAATGTCAACACCAGGACATACAGTAGTGTCAGTAGTCGCGGTTTGAAGAGTGCTAATCAATGTAGTTGCGCTGCTGTGGATGGCCTTGAAGATAAAAATGTTAGGGGAGTTCGATATCATAGGAAATGTCTTACGAGTGCCGCGAGCAGACTTCCGCCAGTAGCCGGAAAGGCATTGATGGAACTGTCGAGTGCGTCGACTTGGGTTACAATGTCGGCAATGTCAGCCTCGACTTGTGCAACAGTGCGCTTTGTAGGAATTGCGGAGGTCGCAGTAACGACAGAAAGGAGAAGAAACAACCCAGTGGGAATTTGGACCATTGTGAATACGTTTGCTGCTTATGCGGAACAATTTGTATCACTTTATAGTCGAGAGACATACAGGCCGGGCTTCACGTTCGCGAATCGTGAAATCAGCTGTGAAAGACAATGAGCCCCCATGACTATTCGCTTCAGAAGTGGCTTGTTGCTAAGGAATCACAGATACTACATGGGACCAAAAGTTGAGCTCATGAGACCCAGTTGAAAGAACAGTAGAAACTGAAGAAGAGATGGTTCCATGTGTGCTACAAGCATTTTTCTCATGAGCAATAGGCTGTCAGCGGGATGAACGAGTGCACATGGTATGCTAAGCACAAGTAGCAATGAGGATGTCGCGCAAAAATATGTGCTTCTTCCTCAAATTTGTCTCATGTAGGTAACAATAGGCTTGTAGGCTCCGGCGAACTGAAGGTCACGATGGCAAAATTGGAAGAAAAGAAATTGCACCATTAGCGACCACATGCATGAACGCTTGCAAAGATCCACACAGTACAGCAGACCGAGTCTATATCATAGCTCCACATGTTTTCGAGGGCAGATCGAAAGGGTTGCGATTGAAAAACGGACGATCATATTACATACTTACCAGTATAGCTATACAGATTCCACCGTCATTGCTAAAACATAACTGTGGGGGCTAGCAGCAATGCAAGAAGGTACGTGTGGGAAGTGAGTTTTTGTTCTGGTCAATGTCCTTAAGTAGACTCCACCGTCCTGACGGAAGTGACGGCCGAGTCTGGAGTTGAGAAGAAAATGTCAAGAGTTCTCCACTCCACTGGGCAAAGAAAAGCCCGAACTGCGATGTCGTAGCTCAGCCGTGAGCATATACAGATTGGTTTGTGCAGTACTCTCGAAGCAGGAATTGTAGCTTATGCTTACGACGAGGATGAGAGCAAAATCAGGAGCTTGATCAAAACACAAGCATATCCCAGGAAGTCAGTAACAGTGGTAGAGACTGGGACGCATCCTGCAAGTGACCGAAAGGAATGCGATAGGTAAACGTGTGAGTTCCAATTATGTCAGGCTAAAGAGGTAGAACATTGACAACTTCCTTTTAAGTAAAGCTTTTACGTAAATTCCACGTGGCACCGGTCTATCATCGAATTGCCTCGAGGCAACCTTTAGAATGGCAAATTTTGTTCATTACACTCGTGGCGGTCGATGGTGAACGCCTGTAATGACAGTCTCGACGGCCCCTGCTCTCCTTCTTGGTATAGGTGCTCGCATTCTGCTGGATCAATTCACGCGCTCGAATGAGCCATCGTTGCAGGCCTCTTTTTTGGTGGGAGTTTGGCAGGGCGTTGCACTTTGGTACGCCTACAAGCAGCACAACCTCGGCATTCCGGTCGCTTTCGGCATTGCTGCAAAGGTCTATGTCGAATTTTCGTTCACCCAGGATGCTACGAAGCCCATCGTTACCCTCGCCGGTGTCGCTCTTGGAGTCATCTGCACAGAATTCTTGGCAGGAGTCTTTGACAAGCCAAAGGAAAAACGTAGCAAGAAAACTCATTCTACACTTGCTAATGGCCACACGACCCAGGACCGTGACCGGGAGCGTACTTCACGTCACCGTCGCAGAACCACCGAACGAGAACCTCAACGCCATCATACATCCAGACATACCACGTCCGACATTACTTCAGTTGATTCGAATTCAGAAATGATCGGTCCCAGAGGCTCAATGAGTCCGTTGGATCGCGAAGTGGTGGCGTTACGCACTCGAGCTTCTCTGGCTGACAGTGAACGCCGCCGTTTTAAGGAGGAAAAGAAATGGGCCATTGAGCAGGGTAACACTGCTCTTGCGTCACAGCTCAGCTGGCAAATAAAGCGTTATTCTACGCTTATGAAGAGTTTTCATCGCGAGGCTGATACGAAGATAATAGAGGGTGCGCATTTTTTTGTTTGAAATATTTTCATGGCTGATAAGATGTCTAGCGTCTCTGACCCGTGCTCGTTTGCAAACGATAGACGAACAAGAACCCCATGTCTCGACATCCGAAAGGCTTCCGCGTCGGGAAAGTGGAAAACCAGAGCCGCCCATTGTCAGTGTTGACATAGCACAATCGAAATCCGGTATTCGTGTGAATGTGCGATGATAGGTGGGTTATGTCACACCAAAACTACAGAGCTGTTACCCATGCCATCCTTAGCTCTCAAGATCACAGTATCTGTGGCGGACTTTACATCAGAGCAAGTCACTGTATGGGCTTTTGTACAATTTAGCCCCGATCCTTTACCAACCGTCCGACTCAACTCCCGAGTCCTCGTCATTCTTCATGACACGAGAGGTGGTTTCCGGGGAACCAGAAATTCTACAATGGATAGTACAAGGATGCAGGAGGACAGCGCAGGGAATATATATGATAGGTGTAGGGTGGATCGAAGAGACGAAAGAGGGTAACATACAGACATGACGTTATCGATGAGATTTACCATTAGTCCTAGAGGCGCTGGAGCCATTCACTTTCGATACAGTATTACTTGTTCGAGGCTTCTTGGAAGAACTTGATTCTGACCCCGCTCTAGGCGCACCCTCCTTCATGACCATCTTCGCATGTATTTCTTCCAATTTCGACGCCTTGACTTTCTTGGGCCAGAAAAGTGTCACGAATCTAAGGGAACGGTTTGCTTCGTCAAAGAAATGGATGGACACTGAACTCACGTCCACAGATGCCGTCGCCACCGCTCTCGGTCCTCGCCAGCAGCATCTTTGTTGTTCAAGACGGTCTCAATTCGACGTCCAATGGCAGCAAGGGAGTCTTTCAGTATCGCAACTTTGTTGTCGCGAGGCATGTCCTCTCCAGACAATTTGAGCTGTTTCTGGAGCAGTGTTAAGATTGTTGCACGTTATCCAAGTAAAGCCACTCACCAGCTGCTTCTTAACCGGCCGTAATTCTTCTTTGGTTGCAGCTTCGTCCATGGATGGACTAACATATCTTAATTTAGTCGAGACTATGATCAATAGGTGAACAACTGACCATTCATCTGAGGACTCTGAATCCGTGAAAGTTGGGGTTGGACGGCGTTTGCGTTTCCTGGAGCTGTTATCATCGACCGATGCAACAGCCTCGCTTTCTGCACGACGTTTGAGGCCATGGGATGTCGAAGCTATCGGTGGAGGGGACGCTGATGATTTGACTTTTGTGCGTATAGAGCTCTCATAGGAACGTAATTTCTCGTCGTGTTCTCGAAGAATGCCGAGTAGATAGTCACCGCGCCGTACAAGATGAATTGCATTTGGGATCGGGCGGCTCGCAGCGTCTTCACCTTTCTTGCCCTCTTCAAGAAAGAATTTGCCGTCAAGACCCAATTTCTCATCCTTGGCCATCGTTTCCCAATTCCCAAAACCGTACAGGTATGCGCCGACGAGAAGCATTGAATCATCTTGGGGACCCCACCGACCAGACCAATTTAGCGTCGGTCTAATATTGTCAACTGGTATTGACCACTTATAAGGGTCTGGAAGCTCTGAAAGAATGTCGTAGAGAGTCCGTAGATCACGATGTCGAGAGAGAACAGTTTCGGCGTTGATGTTACCTACGCCGCGACAAGTCACCAAAACCGCTTTACTCTTCTGAGCGTTAGTCAACGTTTCGCCGGCATCTATTCGGTGGCGCTTCTGCTCTTCACTGTCTTTGACAGCTTGCGAGCAGATAGCGATGATATCATCAGCAACGTCTAGCATCATCCCCTTGTTCTTGTCTGCAAGCTTTGCTTCGGTAACCTAAGGATACTCGTTGAGGATAAGCAAACTTTAAAGAACACCAACTCACTATAACATCGTATCGCTGCCGTATATCTCCCCATCGTTGCAAACTCCTAATCAACACTCGTACGTCTCTTTCCTTCAACTCCATCGCCTTCTGACTGGCTGACTTCCGCGTCGGTCCTGGATTTTTGGGCTTCTTAGGCGCCGAAGTAGTAGGAGGGTGATCTACATCCATGCCCTCGTAGGACACTTGGGCATGAGTACGCTTTCGATCCCGAGATTCCTCGGCTGCAAGTTCCTCAGCCTTACGGCTATCCTCCTCCTTCTCGAATTTCTGCCGTTCATCCAGAGGTATAATATCCTCCCAATTCATGTCGTTCTTCACATCGCTCACAGCTGCAAATTGTGACAGGAATCCTTCACCACCAAGGGATGTTCCTCCGTCACCGCCATCCATCGTTTCGTGGTCCTCTGCACGATTCAGTATATCATCGAGGTCCATCTCATCGAGTTTTTGACTTTGCTGAGAGTCATCTTTGTCAAACCTATGCGCTTTATGAGAAATAAGCAATCGAAAGGAAGCAGTACCGCACATTTTTTGGGCCCCGTATTTTAGTACCGCCGTCAGTTCGTCCTTGCTCAAATTTTCTGGTTTCGACGAATCCCGTAACTGATTGGCCTTGGAGCTGAGATGCGCTTGACTAGTGTCCATCTGGTTGATTACTGAGAGGAAATTGAGGTCTGATCTCTTAGAAAGTTGTAGTGTCTTACTAGCGTATTCAAGAACCATTTTCTTCTTGGCACGTTCCAATACATCTTCTTCCATAGTGTCCTTACTGACGAAACGATAGACACTAACGTGCGATTTCTGTCCAATTCGATGTGCACGAGCCATTGCCTGAAGGTCATTCTGAGGATTCCAGTCGCTCTATATCAAGGTAGGAATTCTGAGGAAGGCATGGTATAATGGGATACTCACATCGAATATGACAACAGTATCTGCGGTCTCCAAGTTAATTCCCAGCCCACCGGCACGGGTTGACAGTAGGAAAGCGAAATCCGGAGAACCGGGGGCGTTAAAGTGATCAATCGACTTCTTCCGAGCTTCAGAAGACACCATTCCATCTAGGCGCTGATGAAGATAGCCCCGGAGACTCATATAATCGCTCAGGATATCCAGCATTCTGACCATCTGGCTAAAAATCAATACTCGATGTCCGTCTTGCCGGAGACGGGCGAGAAGTTTGTCCAGCAGCACCATCTTGCCGCTGTTCATGACAAGACCTTTCAGAGTCTCTTCGTCGTTATCTGTACGAACTTCTGCTCCGTCGAACAGATAAGGATGATTGGCTGCTTTCTTGAGCTCCATGGCTGGCGCGATAAAATAAGCACAATGTCTGTGAGAAAGTACGGCTGGAAGCACCTATGTTTAACAGACTGATGTTGTTGTTTCCATTGGCACTTTTAACCAGGCCTTGGAAGTTCTATGACAAACATTAGGAACATAGGTATGAAAGAGCCAAGAAACTGTAACCTTCGTCAAGATGTTCTTGTAGAAATGCGTTTGGAGGGCACTCATTTCCACTCGCAAGATGCGTTCACTTTTGGACGGGAGAGACTTCAGGACATCTCGTTTTAATCTTCTCAGCATAAAAGACTCTAGCTGCTTATGTAGCTCCTGAATCCTTGACTCGTGGTCCACATCGTTTAGGTCAAACTCATCACTTAGAGCGACTGCGTCCACGAAAATCAGGGAATGTATGAGACATGAATGAAACGGGACCCACATTTTTCAGGCATTAAAAAGTGCATCAAGGCCATGAGTTCTGAGATGCCGGTGAGAGGCGAATATGAGAGCAACGAATGACGAACCTTTAACATTGTTTTGCAAAGGAGTGCCCGTGATAAGCAGTTTCGATGCTGCCGAAAAAGCTTGGAGGGACTCATACAACAAACTGGCCGAATTCTTTAAACGATGCGCCTGAGAACAAAAGTAAGCGTGGTGAATTAACGGGTAATTCTAGTAATAAAAGTACCTCATCAACAACGAGCGCCTGCCACTTGATCTCGCCCAACTGCTTGACATCCTTCAATGTCAACTCATAGGTCGTCAGTAACACATTCATCTTGAGACGTTTATTTGATGTTCCGAACTCATAGGTGCGAATAACTTCGCGAGCGGTGGTATTTCCAATGTATGTGATGACATTGATATCCGGCGCCCATAGAGAAAACTGCATTTGCCAAGCAGTGATAGTCGACAGTGGAACAACCACAAGAAATGGACCATACTGGTGCATTTCATGAAAAAGGTAGGAGAGAAATGAGACGGACTGCACAGTCTAGAGGGAACTGCTGAGCAGTTTATAAAATACAGAGGCCAGCACCGTACCTTTCCCAGCCCCATTTCATCAGCAAGGATACCATTCTGCCCTTGGCTCCAAAGATAGGCGAGCCAATTAAGGCCAGTCAGCTGGAAGTCCTTCAACTCACAGCCCGTCTCTGATATATAGTCCGGAGACTTGTCCATTGGTTGGAAGGTAGGGCGACCGTTTCTCGCATATGAAACGCTCTTGTACGGGAATTTAGCTTCCGCTTCGCGATGCCGATAGTCTTCGATCTGCTCTTTGGCAATGGGGTTGACATCTTTCTGTAGCTCCCAGGTGCAAGAGCTATAGTTGAGGTTGGTCCACTTGCAAAAGTACTCCACCTCGCCTTCTGCACCTTCGCGATGGGTAATGATTCGTTCAACGGTGCGGAAAGTTTCTAGATCTTCTTTCTCCCGCTCTTTCTCTAACAAGAGTGCTTCCTGTGTTTGAATCAGAGATCAAAGATCTGAGTGTGATATGTCAAAGCGGGCTACCTGATCTTCACTAGTTAATCCTGGCGCCAGTAGTCGGGCTTGCCATAACTTGTAACCCTTGATATAATTATCGACCCGCTTGAGACCCTTGAAACGCTTCAAAAATTCATACGTCTCATCAGTATTGTGTAAATGTGAAAAGTTTTTCCATTTGATATGGAAGCGCTAAGTCGAAAAATTAGTCATGGTCGAGAAACTGTTATCCTGGCTAACATACAATGTTGTCAAACCATAGATCCTCGGTGTCATTTTCTCGGCCTTCATCGCGACAGTGGTTCAGAACAAGTTCTATCTCGTCCTCTTCCTGATATTGGACATTGTTGTTTGCATAGTAGCCGTTGTCGTGGTCTTCCTCGTCAAACTTTTCAAAGTCTTGTACGTCGTCGACATAATTTGGGACCTTGTTACCACGACTGGAAACGCGCACTTCATCGGCAGATGAGCGCGACTTTCTCTTCTTCTTGGAACGAACACCGTAATCAGAACCAGAATCGGAAGGCGACGTGTGGCGAGCAGGGACTAACGGAAATTAATGGGATAGCAAACAGAGGGTGCAAGACATACTACGGGGTTTTGTGGCGGCAGGAGCGGATGGACGTTTCTTTTTTCGCGGTACTTTCTTCTTCGCGTATTCCTCATCGGCATAGGTGCCGTCGTCGTCGTCGTCGTCTTCTTCCTCTTCCTCTTCTACCTCATCTTCGTAGCCCTATAAGACAAAGAGTAGTTGAGAAGGTGGTAGGCAAAAAGAATGAGAGCGACGAACGGAATCCCCATCACGCTGAGGAGAAAGGGGCCGTAAGCGGCTGCAATGACGATGCACAAGTGGAAAGAAGACATACAGGGCGAGCATAGAGGCTAGGGACATGGGGGACAGTGTCGGCTACAAGATGCATGGCGGTTACCTCGTCGTCAGAATCGGCGTCAGCGTCGGCATCAGCGTCGTGGAGGCGAGAATGGTCGTCCGAGTCGACACGCATGTCGTCGCTGTCGTAGTCGATATGGAGGGCGGACATGGGGGAGGGAGGGTGATGGTGATGGGAAATGACGAAGAGGGAGCTGACCTGGGCGTCAGGCATCGCCAACGAATGGTTTTCGCACGCATCGATGGTAGCGACGCCGTGGTCACGGTCTCGGCCGTCCCCGGAAGCCCTGTCGACGATGTGGCTCCTTTGATGCCCAATTCGTCCGCTGAGCTCGAAATGATGTTACTCTTTGTTGTCCTCCCCTGTATTTCTATATTTCTCCTCTCTTTCTGTTTGCATGGTTGGAAATAATACTGCTACTCTGTACATACTGTGTATTCTAACAGTTCTACTACTCGTTCGACAAGATGTCTTCGCTGCCTTCATCAGATCACACCTTATCAGTACTCCAGATGTGGTTACCGTCTGCGGAAATTGTCTCATTTGGCGCCGTGATTCACCCCGTCCAGCCTATAGGATTCAGCCTGTTCTGCCGAAATAATTGTTCGAGTTCATCGTCGCCGTCGATGCCGACTTTGGTGTCTGTCTGCCCCAAATGTAACCGTCAGTCAGCAGGCCAGGGACCCTTCACCCTGTCTTCCATCCGCCACTCCGTTCAATCCGCACTCTGCACCACTGGCCGCCGTGCAATGAGCGATCCAGCGATGCTTCCGTCCCCTCAACCTAAATTTCACTCTTCTACTCCTGGGTCTATCCGCATCTCGGGTCGTAGGCGCTGACCGCGTGGGCATCACTGGCAACAATGACGAAAAGTACGACCGAGTCGCGGATCTCGCCGTGTGCAGCATACGGGAGAAGGCGGCGACAGATCTGATGGTCATATGGGGTGAGGAGAGGTCCACGTATGATGGCCCTCGTTGTCAACGTTGGGGAAGGGTAGATCAAGATCCATGTTCATTTAGCAAAAGAAAATATAAATTATTTAATTAATGCCCCTCGTCGGTCCGCCTCTTTCCTAATTCAGTCTTTCATGGACGATTCCACTGGTTCCCATCTGTCTGTCGTCGTAGACTTGTCCCCGACTCAATGGCATCTTTCTGGTCATTCCTCCAACGCATATCCCCTTGCCCTCAACTCTTTTCTTTCCCAGCTACTCGTTTTTCTCAACGCCCACTTGGCCTCTAAGCATGAAAATACCCTTGCTGTCTTTGGTGCCCTTCCCGGCAAGAGGTTGGCATACACATCTTCGCCATCGCAGTCTCTTATGCTCTTTAGCGTCATGCTCTATTCTTCAATTGACCAGGAAGTTGGCGCCACGATGCAAATGGATTCTAATTCATATCTAGCCTTCAAAATGGTTGATTCGGCTATCGTTCGAAGCATCAGAGACGAGCTAGATGTGCTCATGGACGACGAAGAGGAAGGTACGCACTGTGGCTTTACCTCGCGCCTGTTCTCACGGCCCTACTAGCGCCTTGTGGTCTGGTCGGAGCGTTGACTAAGGCCCTTTGCTGTAAGGCTATCACGCTGATTTTGACTGAGCTAAACCTTGTATGTTCTAGACGTTAACAGGGTGGCCCTTGCGTCAACATCCGACAACTCCTCTCAATCTCTCGAGGCCGGCAGTTCTACCGACCCTCGGATCCTCATCTTGTCCGTATCTCCGGATCTTACTACGTCTTACATTCCCATTATGAATGCCATCTTCTCGGCTCAGAAACTGGTATAATAATGTTTACCCTTCGTTTCCTTTGTCGGCTAACCAGTCGCAGAAGGTAGCCGTTGACGCTTGCCAGATATACGGCACGGACTCCGTATTTTTACAGCAGGCTGCACACTTGACCGGAGGCTCGTACATATCTCTGGAGCGACGGGATGCGCTTCTTCAATACCTGATTGTGAGTTCAGTATATGTGACTTGTTGCCCGTTATGCCGTTTCACCAAGACCCTAGATGTCGTTTCTCTCCCCACCTTCTATTCGAAAGGTGTTGTCTGTCCCCACACAAGACAGAATCGACTTTCGTGCGGCCTGCTTCTGTCACAAGAACATAATCGACATCGGTTTCGTGTGTTCGGTGTGCCTCTCTAGTACGTTACTTTCCTACCTTCCTTCAACGTTGCGTCTGATGTTACTTATTAGTATTTTGTCAGCCAGTACCGGTGTGTTCGACCTGCCGGTAAGCGCTAGGGATAAGCTATCCTTGCGGAGACATTTATTAAATTCGGTAGAACAAAATTTCCGATCAAAACATTGCAACGACTGAATGCAGCAAAGCCCCTCTTGGCGCAATCCAATGGCTCGGTCGAGCGCACACCCTCTTCCAGTCAGCCACCAACTCCGAGCCACTCAGGTTCTGTAGCTCCTTTCTCCGGCCACAATGGAAATACATCATATCAATCACTCCATAGCGCCTCTATTGGACAAGGCAACAGCAATGGGACTAATGGCGCGAGACAAGGACCTGGCTAAGAGACGACTGTATCGCTCTCACAATCCATCATCTATATCACTTTCACAGTGACCAAGCCGTGATATATACCAAAGGACGTTTGCAACCCGCATCTTTCTCACGGGGCCGCCGAAGTACGAGGCTCTATTAACGATCAGTTAGGCATGTTTTCATGGTAATAGGGTTCTACTTTTGGATTCGGATTGGACGGCGAAATGTAAGCAATAGCCATGCTCGCTGTTGTGAAGGCACACCATAGCCGCACTACTAAAGTATCAGGCACATCATCTTCGAAAAAAATATAGAACATGCCGCTCCTGGACTTTCCCTCGTCCTCAACTGTTAGTAAGATTATCCCTGCTTTCGGATTTTGTTCCCAGGATTCTTTGCATGCGTCTGCGACAGCGTGAGCCCCTCCGGATAATCAATGGTGCTGTAAGAAAAATTATACCATACAGATCTACCGTTAGCACCTTTTCTAGCGCGTTATGGATATCTTGATTAGAAGAAAGAGCATCCCCGGTGGTTTTACCAATAAGCTTGGCCAACGAAGACTTAATTATGTTTTCACCGGCGCCTGAAACGCTAGTGAAGAGCAACAAAAAGGCGATAGGGCCTGCAATACCTGAAACGCTGCACGCTATTCCTCGTACTAGTGTTCTCCCGTCTATAACTGCTTCGCCTCGTTGTGCCCAGCATCCGGCACCGTAGACGGCTGCCTGTAAGGAAAAGAGACGAAATCGGGACCATCTGCATCTAACGAGAACGCTCTTACCTCGCCAATCCTCCCAGAATGTTTCAGCAGTAAACCGCCACTGGGAGCATTGTTTTAGATAGCACCAGATATGAACGACGAACAACTGACCTTGAGACACCAGCCGCAATATCTGAAGGACCGCACCAGGCGATGGCGCCTACAGTGTCCTGAACATCGTGCAATTTTTTGCGGTTGATCACCTCTAATCCTTGGGTAGCCTGGTTCAGATTCGCGATCCAGGATTTCCAATTTTCAACAGCTTGTTGGCTTGCAAGGGAGGTGGGATCTACAATGTAACGCCTATCGAGATGATGTTCGGCAAATAAATTGGCACCTGGAGAAACAAGCGTTCTGCGTGATAGTGAGTCTTTGTGAGGTTCTTACGAGCAACAGAATGGCAGACAAAGGCGGGGTACGTCCTAGGGGATCGAGAATTTGAGAATGTTCTAGCACCGAACGCGCTAATCGAATAGGGTTTTTTATACCTAGCAGCAATTATAAGGGGTGCATCATTGTACGTTGGATGTTTATACCTGCAGTGGCGCCAACGCTTCCAAAAGCATTCCTCGCACCATCCATGATGCTTGCGTCACATTCAACAGTACCCTGAAGTGTCAGATTTGATCCAAAGCCTTTCTTGAAGTGGTCAAAATTGCATATCAATGAAAGACTATGAAGAGATATAGACCTGCATTGAGGCATGGATCGTCCTCGAGTGTGGATACAGCATCCTCTACGAGTTCTACCGCTGCACTAGAGGACCCTCTGGAAGCTCTTTTGCATGCTCTGAGGTCCTGTTAGAATATACTGTGCATGCACAGGAACCACACACCGTCGGAGGGCGCGTTTGACTGAGGATTCTGAAGATTCCCTATGGTAGCCAGCCCCACCGTGGACTACAATATAGTTGCCAGTCATGGGTGAGACTGTAAGACTGTATGAATTGGCCACCTCTGCTAATACAGCTCAGGTGAGGGGCAGACGAGAGTCTGGACTCCGGACCCTCCGATCATGTTTGGCTCTATTGAAATCGGACGTTCTTGCCGTGAGAAATCACATGCAAGTGTACCGCGATTATATTCTGCGACTCCATGCCACTGCTGCTTGCCTCTCCCAAGCCAGTAGACCCTAATCCTGGCTCTGTCGTAGCATGATTGACCATTTTGTAGGGCGCCCTAATCCCTCCTGGAAGAGAATGCAGGTAAGCAAATATTTCTTCGTACTACTTTGAAATGAAGTCACCGCGACCCTGGCCCAGGTCTTCCTCGTCGTCTTATTTTGGCTATGGCGCATTCTTCAGGGAAACTCGGGTCCGCCTCCGATCCTTTGGCTCAGCCGTCTGAACAGATATCTCCGTACTGTCACTTCCATCCTCCGAGCGTTATGGGAGGTCTAATATCGTGCAGGACGTTTCACTCCCTGGCAACTTATTGTCAGTACGTTAACAGCCATATACGCCGTACGGAATTTTGACAAGATACTTGGACTTCAATGTGAGGAGTTCGGCGTTTGTCATATTGACTCTTTCCTGATACATGTTTTCCAATAGCGCCAGAGCCTCTAGCTAACCTTGTCCGTCCTATAATATTTCCCTTGCTACTTTGATTGACACTGCAGCAGTATTCTCCGTCGTATTATCGTGCAACATGGATCATCACTGGTTTGGATGCAGGATTTGCAACAGCCATGTCAATACGACCCAAGTGGTTGCGGGATCTTTGTTCTGTATTATTCTCGGGTTACTATATGTTATATCCTAATGAGGCGGACGAGAAGGTAGGCTATTCAAGTAATGTATCGAAACCGTTATAACACATTTTCCATCAGCTACGACGATTCCGAGCTGTGCCCACTGTCGAGATGCTACGGGCTACCTGGGAAAAGACCACCAATCCATGGGTAAACCATCCTCTTACATGCCAAAATCACAGATTTATCCTTTACATCCTTAGATACGATCGTTCTCGCCTTTGCCTCCCGTCACTATCCGCCGGAAGATTTTGTTAGCGAGACCTAAAGTGTCTCCTTGTCAGCGACCCATCACTGTGTATCTTTTCTTTGCCTCCACGGATGCAAGTCTAAGCCAGTCATCTGACTTGATTCTGGACATCCCTGGGGGAGGGTTCATAGCCATGAATCCCGAACATCACGAAGACCGTCTACGAATGTGGGCCAGATCAACAGGAAAACCTGTTCTGTCCCTAGACTATGGAAAGGCGCCAGAATGTGCTGTTGAATTTAACGATCACGATCATCATACATACTGACTTTCTCCTCTTCTAGATCCTTACCCCTTCGCCATAGACGAGGCATTCGACCTTTACAGGCTGCTTGTTGATTCTGGTAAGTTGCAGTCGCTGTCATGAATTCTACATAAAACAACACCTGCTTAGGTGGTAGAATCATCGGCATGTCAGGCCACAACTTGAAAATCATAGTCACCGGGGATTCTGCGTAAGCACATACTATTTCCGAGTTCGTATTACCACTCACTTGTGTTCCTAAGTGGGGCTTGTATTGCGGTCAACGTCGTTTTAAAGATTCTCGAACAGCCGTGGAACCTTCTGACGCTTCCAAAGCCACACGCAATGGCCCTTAGCTATGCCGCGCTTGATTTCAATTTTACTTCTTGGATGACCCCAGATAATTTGCGCATTCTGCGATCCGAAGAGCCGTCTGGGGATCTTCCCGGATTACAGAACTTGTCTGAAGAATACAATGGCTTGAAACAGAATATCGTATGTCGGTTTATTATGATGTGTATTTCATGCATCTGATTGCTCCATAGAATCCCCTCAGTGTAGTCGGAGATAATAGACCTGGCGTTCCCTGTCCAAAACGTCTTAAGCGGAGAAGCAGCTGGAAAGATACTTACATGTCTGGTTTTGCCGGTGGTAACGATGAAGCTGGGCCTCGGTTAAAGGAGAAATCCCACTCACCAAACTCCACCCGCGTGTCAATGGGACGAAAATCGTTCTTACGGGCCCGAACATCCTTTGCTGACGAGAACCGGTCCTCAAGCGAAGAAGAAGACGATTTTTTGTGCAGAGTGGATAAGAGGCGATCTCCGAATAATGTAAAGTGCAACTCTCCTACTGTCCCTCCAACAGCACCGAGTGCTACCGCGTTACATACCGAACGACAGGAGGATCTATCCGCCGCTGTTTCTGCTGCAGATCATAAAGTATCACACCTCTCACAAGAGCCGAAACTACCCACAGGTACTCGTCTGACAATGGCAAGCAGGACAAGTTACTTTACCGACAGGATCATCTCTCCTACAATGGTAAGCTTGAACATAATTGTCATCCTCCCACACTAACTTCATATCATCAGATGCGTGCAATGGCTATTCTATACATTGGTCCGAATCACAACCCGGATTTCGCGACCGACTATCGAATATCCCCGGTACTTGCACCGAGTCACCTTCTCGCCCAATTTCCTCCCTTACTAATGCAATGCGGGGAAAAGGACCCGTTTGTGGACGACACTGTTGTCTTCGCGGGCCGCATCAGAGAAGCCAAACGAGCGCGTAAAATCGAACTTGACATGGGGCTTTCCGGTAAGAGCCCTAAAGTTGGAGAGTCCCTCCGGATGAGCGTTGCAGACGTGCCACTGGATGGCAGTCGTAAGCTTTCGATGAGAAAGGAAAGGGACCAACTTGGGCGGGAAACTGAGGATGATTGGGCTCAGATAGTGATCTTCTCAGAGTGGTCCCATGGTTATCTTCAGATGCCTCTAATCATGCCTGAAGCCATCGCTGTGAGTTTTCGTTTGTGATATTGTCCATACTACTAAAAACTTCTTAGGTCATTGAAGATCTTGCTGAATGGATCGATCAAGCGTTTGGGCGATTCAGCACTGACAATACGACGCCGATCCACCATACATCGCACTCTTCAGCGTATGCTGACTGTCCTGACCAAAGGCCAACTAGTCCCTTTACTTCGGAAACAGAGACTGATGATACGGGCATCACATTCGTGCCGAAGAAATACCAGGGACGTCTATCGCCTACAAGCCTTCCACGCGACAAGAAACTAGTAGATGAAACCCAGTCCAACGGGAATGGAGGGACTTCACCGCCGGAAGCAGATATCTCCTCTGAGGGGGAAACGCTCCTTGACCCCGACCGTGACTGCATGGTAATGCTGGGGCTCGTTGACGGCTATCAATCGCCTGCGAATCAAGACGTGCAGAAATCGAACGGACCGAGACAAACGGGTCAAACGATTAGTGAGACCGAGTTGATGCGTCGCCGGCGCCTATTGGATTCACATTTTAGTTCGAGATGATGTCAGAATTTATTTGTCTTACTCATTAGTTAGCTGTCATGAAACGTCGGTCTCCGGAGTACAGAATATAATTCTTTCAAGTTCCCAAATACCTTCATCGTTTCAAATATTCTGCTATTCTACGTACAGCTGTCGGCTAGTAGAACTGTATCTACCAGTAGAATCTCACCTTTAGCAGCACAGCACTTATGGCAATTGCACAGCATGGAGGGATGATTGGAGATGCCAAATTTAGACGCATTGCTGTGCATGGGCTGTGCAGCAGATCGGCAAAGGGGCTTCTTCCTTTCTCTTTGCCAACACGATACTGTCCTTTCCAACATCGGTCGGTCTGTATTTTGTGCATGAAACGGTCAACTTACTTCGTGAACAGGGCACCTTAGCTGTAAACAGAGGCTGCACAGGAACATCAGCGAGCATCAGCAGTCTTTCGGGATTGTTTCGGGCCTTGAATTTGATAGCAGGCATGTCCGCAGAGACAACATCAGGCGTGCGAGGGACACCCATACCGGCTTGGTCCTTACCAATGACGACGCCAGCAGCCAGCGGCGTCTCCGAGTCTTCGCATCCCCCACGAATTCAGAAACATCATCTTCAACAACACGCAGCAGCCATCGCACTCGATGCTATCAGCAGACAGCAGTATCCTGTTCAGAATATGTATGGCCAAGGCGATGGCGCTCTCATTCCCACAGATGGCCCTGCCACTGAACCGGATGGTCCCCGCACCTACACCTACATCGCAGCTCCCAACTCTGTCGCCTTTACCGTTCAGTCAACAACTACCGTGCCTCAAGACACTGCCAACATGTCTGTCGCTCCGTCTGAGGACGCTCATTCCCCCGAACAGCCTGACAAGGATTCAGAGATGCCGTCGTCCCGTCCGGGTCGCTCCTCGCAGAGCCCTGAAGCAAGCCCAAGCCAGGGTGGCGTCGGTGCCAATCATTATCCATCTGCCAGCGGCGTGCCCCGCCTTCCACCTATTCTTCAAGTTGAGAAGCAGCAGGTCACAACTTCCGCTACTCAGCTTGCCAGTGCGAACAGACGCAGAAACGAGGCCCATTTTCAATGTCCGGTACCGGGTTGTGGTAGTACTTTCACTCGTCGCTTCAACCTCAGAGGTGAATCGTACCAGTTCGCGTTTGATCATTTAACCTTACACCATTTATAGGCCATCTAAGGTCTCATACCGAAGAGAGGCCATATGTATGCCAATGGCCCGGCTGCCAGAAGGGTTTTGCCCGCCAACATGACTGCAAGTACGTCCCTGATACTCGCAGTATTTTGTCAAGGCTTCTCATCGCTGTCACTAGACGTCATCAGGCACTCCATACTGCCAAGGCACAAGCGAATGTTTGTCAAGGTTGTAAGAAGACTTTCAGCAGGTTGGACGCGTTGAATGTATGGCTCTATCTCATTGTTGATTTCTTGTCTGACCATGATCTCGCAGAGACACTGTAAGCATAATTATAAGCAGTATGTATTGACTGACTGATTCAAACAGTACGCTCCGATGGCGGCGCAGAATGTAGACGAATACATGATGCCAAACGGGCCAGCAATGAAGGAGCAATGGTAGCTTAGGGTTAGGGTTGTAAATTGTAATATCAATTTTAATCATTATGTCTTTTGCATGCCGCAATCGGCAACCGTTATAAAGATTTGGAGCCGTGCCACCACCATCCATTAAGCCAGACATGGCCCTACCGTTACTTGTCGGCGAGGCAGAATGCGGACCAGTGAACCCACTGCAGGGTCTTTCGAAACGGTTTGATCAGGACCGAGGCGTACAGCAGGTAAGGATAACCTTTTATTTCGGCCTTGTCATCCATCTAAAGTTGTGTATTATCAGGATCAGTTCGGTATAGGACGTGCTGGGCCTTCAAGACAAGTAAGTCTTGTATCCTCTACGCCTTCTCTCATATTCACAAAGTCGAAATGCTGTACAGACATTTCGCACTCAGCAAGCAGCTCCAATTGTCGATCAAGATGCTGCCCGTTTCTTCTCCGCGAGTCCGCCTCTACCGCTCACCACGAGTCGTGCATTCGATTTTTCCGCTGTCGGTTCTTCCCTTCCAGCGATACACGCACAGAAAGATAATCACCAACAGCCAAGTGTGTTGTCTGGATGGGCCGCTGATTTTATGCTCCAGCAACCCACCGCGAGTTCAGCGTCACACGAACAAGTTGCAGCAATCAGCCCGAGCTCTCAAAGATCGTCGACACCCCATTTACACTGTATTATTCCTTTCATCTTTCATTTGTTTTTATTGATTCATATATAGATTCACTACCATGGAACAGTGCGGCTGCACACGGCCCAGCTCAAAGACCCGCTTTTCTCCCTCAGTTGTCGATGAATATTTCGAACCCGCAATCGGCTATGCACGATACTCGTGAGTCACCTCCATTGACGGATGCCGCGATTGTTGAATCCTGTTATTCGAACGATCTAGAGCTGTCTTGGGAGAAAGAATTCGAGTCGCAGGAGCAACTACATGTACAAGAAGATCAGTTTCGTCAACTACAGGGAGAACAAGATGAGTTGGCGCGAACGGCTGGGATGCTCTTGGAAACTGTCCAGGGTGAACATAATCCCAAGTTTCAGAATAGTCAGTTCATGGGGTTGATGAGACAATTGAGGGATCGAACCATTGTTGTCGATGGGAATCAGATGGTAGAGAACGATGGAAGTTATGCTCCGACGACCTATTCTACGCCGTCTGCCAGTTTGAAAGGAAAGGGCAAGGCCGTTGAACAGCTACCAATGGGTCAAATTGCCTCCGCTTCTCGCACCAGGGAAAATCTGAATGCTATTGATCAGCTGGATATCAATGACGCCTATTTCAAGCAAGAAAATGCGGAATATTCTCAGTTCTGGAGCAACGTCCAAGCAACGAGACCCAACCAAGTTGCCGCCAACCCGACTTGGGATCGCTTGCAGAATGACTGGGATCGCCTTGAGGCCGAAGCATCAGCAATCAGGCCGTTGAATAACTATCAATTTCAGGAAAACAATCCATATCTTGTTGGGGACTCGACAAGAACGAGGAACCACAGAATGCATTCTGATGAGCGTCTGTCCGTCTTTGAGGTAAGTTATCCTTCTGTTGCAAAGACCCCAAAGGCTTATTCATCGATGCAGAGCGTGCTGGAACTCGAAGCGGCCGTACAGAGAGATATCACGAATGCTAAGGCCTGGTACGAGCTCGGTGTGAAACAGCAAGAGAACGAGAGAGAACAAAAGGCTTTGCAGGCCCTCGGCAGGGCAGTTGAACTGGATCCGGGACACATCGAAAGTTGGTTAGCTCTTGCTATTTCGCAGACAAATGATGGGAATCGTGGCGGGACCTATAGCGCAGTGTGGGAATGGGTGCAAAGAAATCCCAATCCTAGGTATGCATCCTTATGGAAAGAACTTCCTCGCCAGGTAGATGAGTGGACACCTGAAAGATGTCAGGCTTTGGTGGGGTGCCTGATGGGCATGGCACGTCTTGACCACGATGCTGGAGGGATAGACGCCGACGTGCAAATTGCTCTCGCTGTGCTATTCAATAGCAGTGAGGTAACGCTTATCCTCCCAATGAAGATCAGCCGTTGAATGATCATGTAGGACTATACCAAAGCACAGGATTGCTTTCGTACGGCGCTTGCGGTCAGACCAGATGTAAATTGCTCCTTTCGCACTTGGTCCATTCTTTGACTTTTATAAATGCAGGACTGGCTTCTGTATAATCGTGTCGGAGCAACCATGGCTAACAGTGGTCACGCTGAAGATGCACTGCAGTATTACTACCGGGCCCTTGAAATGAACCCTACTTATATTCGAGCAAGGTTGCGTTCCCCGTGAACATGGTGAACTCTTTTTAGCTGATTTCCTTTTTGTTTTGTACAGATTTAATTTAGGGATTTCGTGCATCAGTTTGAGGGTGAGTCAATCGGTCTAGCTGAGTGTCCGTGTTGTCAACCATTCACGTTACAGCGATACGAGGAGGCAGCACAACACATATTGGACGCACTGGCGCTCCAGGATGCAGACTCGGCCCCGGATAGCGAAAAGCTGAATGACAAACGAGGCATAATGAGTCGTGCACTATGGGACAGTCTAAAGACTGCATGTCTGCATATTCAGAGGTTGGATCTGGCAGTGTTATGTGACCAGAAAGATCTCCAAGGCTTGTCTAACTTCGTTTGCGATGTAAAATCTTTTTGACCTTCCACCGCTGTAGGTTTTCGAGACAAGTTTACGAACTTGGATGTGTAGAGGGATTTGAGTATTGCTCAGATATACAGACTTTACGCGAAAAGATTGTTTACGATAAAAATTGACCGTTTCGGATCACAGCAAATTCTGCGTGATGGTCCGACCCTCCTTGGTTCGGCCGTAGACGATGTACTAGTAGCAAGCTGTCACTGAAGGCAAATGGCGACTGTCCTCATTGGCTGTTGGGGCTTCATTGATGCAGAAATAGTACTTTACCGGCTGTCATAATTCGTCGCGTCGTTTGGCTGACTGAATGAAAGGGCAGACACTGCTCATGCTGCAACACCTCGAGGCTGAAGGTGTCGTCTTGAGCTGCCGACTCAGAAGCCTCATCGACGGTTGATTTTGTTTCGTCTCTGAAGGAGCACCTGCTCTTCTCTCGACGAATTCCCGTCGTTCTTATTGCATTGTATGTTGGTGGTCTAGTTGGACTACAAATAAAAAGGAACCTGAGATTTTGAAGAACATTTAGCTGGTTTTGCTCAGGAATATCTAAAATCCAGCAAGGTCTCCATAAGATATAGAATCAGAGGGATACATAGTGGCTATTCTGGCTGACAGAGTGTGCTCCCGTTCTTCCGTGCTCAAGCGCTCAATGTTGCAGAGCACTTAATTCCGAGATGTACTGGCCTCGTTGTCTGTCGTGCATGTTCTAACTGTCTGTTCACCGCATACAACACAAAGATGCGCACCGTTTACCAATCCTAGTCGTCTCTCCCTATCCTCTTTGGCAGCCTGCCATGCGGAAGCAGCCTGAAAATGCTCCAAAAGCTCCTTGCCACGCTCAGGACCGGGAGGAGGGCCCTGATATGTCTGCGCAATTTTACTGACAAAGGCGTTTCTAGTATCAGAGTCTTGTTTCTGTAGGGCGACCACGTCGCGAACGTCTTGCACATCGAGGTCAGACATACGAATGAGAGTAGGTGGGCGCCGAATCATAGCGTTGGCGCTATTCTGTGCAGTAGTAAGAGTAAGGAAACCTAGAGAGGGGCCTGAACGTGCCTAGGCGCAGTGATGATGAATGTTGCAGGCCGTATAATATTGAGGCTGTGCTACACGTACACTTTCACTTTTCGCCACCATCTACTTCCTTCGTGCAGCTGCCTTTTCTTCCGTTCCATCGATATCCATTCATCATGGACGCAGTGTTGCGAGTCACCGACGCTGTTAAATCTTTTCGCGTATGTTGCTTTTCTGTTTTACCCCGTTACACTAGATATATTTTGCCTGAATCAGGAAACCCGCCTTTCAGCAATTCGCCCACCGAGCGAGTTTTTTGACTATCATCGTATATCTAGGCCCGCGGACTTGAACCAGGCCACATCTGTATGTCCTTTTTGCTACTCATTGATAGCCTTCTCGCTCAACGTCCTCATGAGTAGAGAGTGTCATACAATACCCGGTACTTCTCAGGTCTGTGCAGATTGGAACACCAGAATGAAAAAGCTCATTGTTGTACATAACAGGAAACTACGGATTAATCATTGCAGTTCTGGCGGTGTATGCACTCATTAGTAACCCTCTTCTACTTATTGCGCTGGGTTTCCTCGTTGGAGGCTTTGCGGTAATCAACAAGTGGGGTGCGGCATAAATACCTCTTGTTCTTATTTAGTTTCACTAAAGTATTCCAATAGCTCCTGAACCTGTGCAATTTGGCGAGCATACTGTGACCCAAAAGCACTTGTATACAGGTCTGTTCGTTATAGGCCTGCCGCTCCTTTGGCTCGCGTCGCCAGTAATGACCTTCTTCTGGTTGGTTGGAGCTTCCGGAGTATTGATTCTTGGGCATGCCAGTTTTGTTGAGCCGGGTGTAGAGAGCGAGTACGCTGCAGTACAGGACACAGTGTAGCAGTCTCCGAATCAGAATGCAGGTTGTGTCAAGCTGGTTTCTATCTATGTGCGATTTAAATACTGATGCCATTTTGGTGTATGCGATGCGTAATGAGGTACAGGTATAGGAACAATGAAAAAAGAACACGCCGGAAAAAAAAGGATAAAGATACATCAGAGAAGAGGAAGCCATTGTCCTAAATAACGACTATTAGGTTTACGATATCGAAAATGCACGAGATAACTTGCCAATTACGACGCTTGGTAGGTCGAAGAGATCTCTCCGAATGCTAAAACAGAAAGTGGAGGGGACAGGGGCACCGGAGGGTTTTAGCAGAACACAATGAGAATAAACTGACTGTGTCGTGTTTTCAAAGGCGTGGGAAGCAAAATTTTCCCAATATTCGACGACAGATTGGTTCTCGAAGAGCTGAGCGAGGTTAGGGGGCAGAGGGGAGAAAAATGAAATTTGACGGCGTCACCTCGTAAATGTATTTTCTTTTGCCAGGGCCGACGAGATCCTCCATAGCCCATTCGGTGAGCATGCAGAATTCCGGTGCGACAAGACAAATTTCACCGGTACGTCGCCAAACAACGGTTGGTGTTCCAGAAAAGGACATAAGTTTGTCAAGTTCCTGGAAGGGAGTCAGTATAAATTGGGGTGAGAAAGAAATTCAAGCCTCACGAATAGTGATCTCTGGAAACATTTTTCCACAAAGACCTCGTCGTCGAGAGACAGAGGCATCTGCAGGGCGATAAGGGACGGGCGGAAGATAGCGAGGGCACGGACGATGCGGAGTATATCGTTCTTCTCGAAGCGGGTGGGCAAGTGTTTCATCAAAAAATGATAACCTTCGGTATAATCGTAAGGCTTGGTAATGCGGTCATTAATAGTCTGCAAGTTGGATGTGGGCGGGTCAAGGGCGTCAGTGAGAAAGAGAGGGGGTGAGCGGGGACGGGAGTCGAGAGGATAGCGGGGTGCGAGCGGATGGAGAGCCGGCGGCTCTTGTGCCGAAGGTGGCTCAGACCCGGGGTCTGGGGCGGATGGGGGGGGCGGGGGAGGTGCCGTCTCATCGGCAGACTGATACGGGTATGTTACAAAGGGCGGGTTATACGGCACTGACGGCCAGAAGTCGGGCGGTGGGGTGTTTGCCGAGTCCGTCGGAGACGGGTTGCCAAGTATCGCGGACAAAATTGAATACTCGAGGTTGGCCGCCTCTGAGCCGAACGGGAAATTGGCGTCGAAGGATGGTGCAAACACGGGTTCTGCAATCTCCTCGACTGGTGGTGCATCCACTGTTTTGTCCGTCACAGGACCCTTACTTCTTCGTAGCTCAATCAGTTCCTCGTCGTCAAGTAAGTATTTGGCCTTTTTGCGGTGACCCTCTGTGCAGCTGTTCGCGATACCACGTTTCGTACAGCGCTGACATGGACGTGCTGCAGATGAGTGAGTGAACGGACCAAAAAAACGAAGCAGTGAAAGGAGCGTACTATCATCGCAGGTCAAGTGAGCTTTTTGGCAATGAAAACATGCCCTGTTGGCCTTTTTCTTCTTGGGACCATGTCGTGGAGTGTTGCGAGCTGGCGCATCGGTGCCCGACTCGTCGGGGGTGTCAGTACGCTTTCGCTTCGTCGTCCGTCTGGACTTGTCGTCGTTGACATCGATTTGCGAAGGGTTGATAAAGGACGATACAGAGGGAGCCGGTGGTGCAGGAGCAATAGGAATCATGGTGCGAGACGAAGGATAGGATGACACTGACAGAGTTCCTGGACGAGGAGGCCTGATATTTGTTCCCGGATCCGATTCACGGCCCGATTTTAATCCGGCACGATATCCGTATTGCTATTTTAGTACATCGGACCGCACCCTTGCCCTCCTCCTTTTCCCCAAGGTTGCCTTGAGTGCCATGCCCTTCAACGCTATAGAATTATCTTCTGTTGCCATTGGTGGCCGTGTCCTCAGCGTTTCTGATGATTTCTTTGCAGAGGCTTATCATTTACTGCTTGTAGAGCCGGCAATCAGCCTCAAGGGTCAATTTGGACCCAACGGCGCTCTCTACAGTGGCTGGGAGTCCAGGAGGCACAATCCAGATCACGATTGGTGCATTATACAACTCGGTACCCCAGGCTCAATTGTCGGTTTTGACATTGATACATCGCATTTTAATGGCAACGAGGCACCCAGGGCGTCGGTTGATGCCTTCCGAGGTGATGCGGACGAATCTCCATCCAAAGATGATTCCAGGGTACTTGATATTGCTGATATGCTCTTCTTGTGTACTTACCGTTGGACAGTGGAAAGAGCTCTTAGCGCCCGTCGACCTTGGACCCAATGCACACCATCTGGTCCCCATTCCTCGGTCAGAACCTGTCAATTTTGTCAAGCTTAAAGTGTATCCAGATGGTGGTATTGCGCGATTCAGGGTCTACGGACACGTTGTACTCGTGATCCCGCAAGATCCGACACATGTCTTTGACCTTGCCCATGTCTTTGCAGGGGGCTCAGTTGTTGAAACAAGCGACCAGCACTTTGGTGTAGGCACTAATCTCATTCTCCCTGGCAGAGGTAAAGACATGGGCGATGGGTGGGAGACGAAACGTAGTAGAGAAAAAGGACACAAGGATTGGGCCATCCTTAAGCTGTATGTCCTTTTTCCAATACTCGACGTGATTGTAAATGACGGGTTCATAGGGGCATCCCAGGATATCTGCAGTCCATGGAGATCGATACCGCTCATTTCAAAGGGAACTTCCCGGAGAGCTGCGAAGCACATGCCTCGTTGGATTCAAAGGAATGGACGCTAATACTGTCAAGAACTAAGCTTGGACCGCATCGACAGCACTATTTCCAGCTCCAGAACGTCCAGGGACAGGCATATACTCACGTCCGTGTGACCATCCACCCAGATGGGGGTATAAAACGGGTAAGGCTTATGGGGTCCCGTTCCCCGTCTTCCGTCCCCGCAAACCCCAGTATAAACACAGCCACCCCCACCTCCACAATTCCAGTCCTTCCCCTGACTCCCGAAGCATTTGCACCGTTTGGGAACGTAGTCCAGGCCTATCAAGACCATGCTGCAGTCCCCAAGGACGTCACAGTCACCCCCGCCAATGGTGGTACCGCAACAAAGTTCCACAAGTTGGCACTGCTGGAAAATCGATACCAAGACAACTTGGGTGCCACTACCGGTCTGTCCGTCTATCGTTGCAAACCGCTAACTGTGCACGATGGAAAGATCAAGGTGAACGTGATGGAACGACATCGATATACAAATCAGGCATTCATTCCAATGGCCACCGCCAACGGAACAGGATACCTAGTCGTCGTTGCAAATGGAGGAGATAAACCAGATATGAAGACTTTGAGAGCGTTCTTGGCACGACCCGGACAGGGCATCGTGTATGATACCGCAGTATGGCATCAACCAATGACCGTTCTTGGAGACCAAGTAGTGGATTTCACTTGCGTGGAGACGCAAATCGGCAACGGCAACATCGAGGATTGTGAAATTGTAGAGCTAGAGGAAGACGATGCAGTCTGTCTGAGACTCTGACGACTGCTTACAGAGTAACTAGATTTTAGCGTATCAATAATGTTTGCTTTCAACTTTGCTTTGGTGAGGTACATAACTTGTCGAGTTGCATAGAAGCAAACGATAACATACAATGACAGCTTAACCCTCTGCATCGACATAACCCGCCATAGGGTCCTCTGTTATTCGCCTGTGCATCCGATACGCCTCTGTGAATTGATTTAGATCTCGTCTTTGGGATAGAAACATATGATACATACCAAGTTCTTCCTCCGTCACGTCATGACTGCCACCTTCCCAGCTACTCTTTGACTTCTTCCCAAGTCCATCGCGGTCATCATCGTCTCCCTTTTTCCTCTTCTTCTCATCTTTCATGGCCTGCATAAGGCGATCTTTGTCCAGTTTGATGTCCCCCTCTCCCATCCTCTTCTTATCGTAATTCTGTTGTATCATCTCTGTGGATGCAAGGCGTTCAGGAATAGACGAGGGTGGATCACTAGATTTAGGATCTGAGGACAAGAGAATCTGGGCACTTGAGCCTTTAGCAGCATCAATGCCTGCCTGACCAGAACAGTAGGAGATGTGAATTGTCGAGTGACAGCAAGCGTAGCCCCAGGTACCAGTCGCTGCATCGTACCAAGAACCCCAAACGGCGGCATGATTATTGACCAGAACTAGGAACACCTTAGCACGTTCGATTAGTCGATATAAAAAGTGCCAACATACCATCTTCCAAATATTTTGATTTGGCTTTTGCACGCTCACGACCTTTAATCAGCTGTCCGGAACGAGAATATTCCACATAATTCTCTGTTTGACCTTGCCGTAGTTCTTGGGGCGCTGCCTGCAGGTACTCTTCTCCCCCGTATTTTGCGAGGATGCTAACCTTGGAGGTCTCTTTGAGCTCTTCCTTGCGTTTCTTAAACTCTGAATGCAGCAGTTCCCCCTGGGTCGGGTTAGCATTCAGATGTACATCATTTCCTCGTGCAGCAGCTTGCCACGCAAAGAGTTGTAACTGCTGGACATCAGGGGCATCTCCGGAATAGCGCAGAAAGTTATCTCCAGCAAATTTGGCCTGTATTGATATATCATGAGCAGGAGGAAGGGCAGGGTGTTCTCAGAAACGCACGTCTTCAGCGGGCACGTTTTGCAAAGGAGCATCACGCATTGAGCGCGTTTTCGGGTCGTAGTAGGCGCTTGAAGGATCGAGATTGACGAGATATTTGGCAGTATCCTCTCGAATACGTAGATTGCGGACTGTGATACGTGTTTTGGCATCCAGCTTCTGTCCTACGGCGTCGGCGGCATCTGCATACTTGTCTTCATCTCCGTCCTCTTCGTCACTTGAGCCAAAGTCGGGGTCGACCTGTTGGTTTTCCACTTTGCCTGCCTTTGCTACCCTCCGAACTGCGGCCAGGTCAGTCGTAGTTTGGTTGTCGATCTCCTCCTCGCGCAGTTTTTGCCGTGCGGCCTCGATGGCAGCATATTCTTCGTACACCTGTTTATGATCGGCAACGTCATACCCATTCCATCGATCCCGCTTTGCAGCATAGCCGACAGAGACTTGCTGTACGACTTCGTCTGCTTGAATATCTTTGTTGGTAAACTTGGCGCCTTTCTTCCTGGGTCGTTCAAGACAGTCCCGCTTATTATGGGTCATAGCCCCACAGTTCTCGCATGCGCCTTTACGATACTTCTTAGCTGCAGGTCCAGCCTTGGCACCACGATCATACCAAGCATCAAGTTTTGTCGCTGAACGGTCGTCATCTTGTCGACGCTGATGTTTGAGGGTTGGGGCTCCAGTGTCTAGATACCATGGCACTTGGGAGATGTATTCTAAATGACGAGTGAGGCGCTGATAGCATTATAAGATAGAGCAGCATACGAGGAATATGAGGATTGATAGGTTTCCCCTCTTCATCCAAAGCGGCAGGCGCTGTACCAGCTTTTCGAGCTGCATCCAAATCTTTCTGACGACGAAACTCTTCCCGAGAAAGCTTTCCAACGGCTGATATGATGAGCAATAGAGCATTCGTAAAAGTAAAGTATGCATACCAGACGAAGAAGCCATGGCTTTATAGTACGTACAGTAAGTAGATCACAGTACGGAGAAACCCTTCATTCATTGTTTGGCTACTCTTTACATGTCAAACACGTTGCCGCAGATGCCGAACAAGCGTAGACCGACGCTGATATTTCCGTGGTCTTGCTCCATCTCATCTCTTTATCACAGCAATTTTTCCTTCTCATTATAGTCTATCGTACGGGCTGTAACACGCAGTCTGAACTTTGTTACAGTGCTCGGCCTTGAGGTCTTAGCCACAAATTTTAGTAATCCGCTGACGGAGTTTGGAATCCTAATTAGTCCGACAATTTGGCTTGCAATTGTCGTTCATTGTCTACCCTAATGGCTTCCAAAAAGCGATCCCTCAGTGGCGAGGGAGACAACCCAGTCACCAAGAAGCGCATCTTGTCTGGTGAAAATGAGGATCCCATTGTTAACGGCACTACAGACCCACCAGAACCAGCAGACAGTGACAAACTGGAGGTATTACGCTTTTCCCTGCAATCTGAAATTGCATGTATCTCATCTTTTCATACCAGAATTTTCGCAAAGAAGCCATATATCGTAGAATGAAACATTATTTCCGTGAACACGAGCGCAGTCAAAGCAGAATTGTGGAACTGGAGCGAAGGAAGAACACCTGTGAAGCTGGGTTGGCTGCTATTTCGGCGTGTTGGTCTCAGGTATGATGTTATATTCTGAGTTGCTTGTATCGCATTGACTCTTCCACGTCCGACTCAGCTTGTAGAGACTATACGGCTACTTGCGAAACCAGACGACTTACCTTCAGCGAATAATGGCGTGGAAGGTCATTCCTTTCTCCATTTCATTGTTATTTACGCTCACATAGTGGTGTGTAGAGGTTTTCGACCTCACCGCGTATTTCGAAGAGGAAGATGCCCAACAACTGCGAATCAACTTTGAGAATTGTCGGAATGCGACTCACGCCCTCGTCTCCCGACTGGTCGAAATGGGGGGAAACAACTTGCTTACCGATGAAACGTATCTAAAGTGGCAAAACGCTCAAACAGAGGTGGGTGGTGTTTGCAGTTGACGGTCATCGGGAGCTGACATGCGTAAGTAGTGTGCTGTTCTTAGGTCTCAACTCGATCTTATTCGTAAAAAATTGCAGGATAGTGAAGCTCTGACTGAAATATATCGGGAACACCTTGCCGCCGCAGAAAATCGCTGCGAAAGGCTGAAGAGCAAATCCGTTCTCGCCAGCCACTCGCTGCTATCTACCGAAACTAGACATGATGATAAGGGCGCACTCTCAGAGAAACCACCCTCTCCCATAGTGAGTGGCCTGGTTAATTGGTATTTCCCGCGTTTTGAGATCTAAGATGGTCTTTTAATTCACAAACAGCACGCGACTGACCCCGGTGGACAAGTCAACGGAAATATAGACATACCAGTGGAGAATAATCTTTCTTACTGGCAAACCGTGGCCGAGGAACGGGATAGACGCATCGCTGAATTAGACCGCCTGGTGACGGAGCTGAGGAAAGAAAAATTTGACTTAGTTTCTCAAGTACTTTTTTTAAGTCATTTTCATCCCTTTACATTTCTTTGATACCTTTCGCAGGTTAAATTGCCGTCCTTGGAGTTGTTGTCGGATAACCCGCATTTCAAGGCTGCGATCGAGAAGATATCTCATCTACAATATAACAACAATGAGTTGCAGTCTGACATTGCTAACTTGAAGGAGGAGCTGGCATTGGCAACAGAGGCGCGCGCTACTGCTGAGGACGCAATACCAGTGCGTCCCTTTGGTCTGTTTCTGTCGGCCTTCAGTAACTTGGTTCTCCAGACCGATTTTGGCCAACAAGTACAAGAATTAAAAGCTATGATCGTTCGTAAAGATACCGACATTTCTCGGCTCCGGGAGATTCGTGACCAGCAGCAAGCGGAACTGAACGAGCGGAAACAGAAGGATGCCACGAAATTGGCATCTCTCGAACAGTACAAAATTTTGGCTGACAATCGCCACGCAAGTTTTCTCTTTTTTTTTGCCACGCTTGACCCTGATTTATCATTAGGACTTTATTGAGATTTTGAAAACTCAGCTCAAGCTCTCCCATGCGCGACTCGCGGCTTCGACGGGCAAGGAGGATGTCATGACGTTCCTGCTTGGAAACGAATCTGACATTAAGTACATCCAGGTTCTCCAGGAACGCCTCACGTACGTATCTTTGAAACACTTTCGAGAGAGCACGAACTGAAGCACAAGTATTTCCGCAGTGCCGCTGAAGATGAATTGGCAGCGTGTCGTCAAGCAATATCGGCATATGAGACTGACCGCGCCGATGTTGTTGCAGTTCATGCCGATGTTTTGCGGCAACTGTCTCAGGCACGAGTAGAATTACAGAAGTATCATTCGGTATATGGTGATACATCGGTTTCTGCCGAATCCTCTGCTTTGATGGAGCGCTTAAGACAGAAGGAAGAAGAAGCGCATGCCCTTCGTTTGCAACAATCGCAGCACGCCGAGGTGGCCCTCTTTTTCTTCGGCTAATATGTTCCATTGACGCTTATTATATAGGCTGAAACTTCTCTGTATGCTGAATTGGACAAACTATCGATTGCGTGGGAAGGTCTAGATCGCCAACTCAAGAATAAGATATTTGACCTGTCAGGTTTAGAGGAACGTCTAGTGAAAAGCGGGCTTGACGTAAGTTTGGGACATGTACCGACAGTGTACTCTCTAATTCTCGATTTCAGCGTGCCAAATCTGAAAATAAGTACTATCAAGCGGTCCGAGAGAAGGAAGCAATAGAGGGCGAACGTAAATCTTTGCAGAGGGTTATTGACAAACATGAAAAGATTCAGGAGCGGTCTAAGGAAATGGAACGAAGTCTTCAGCAACAGCTGGTCAGTCAAATCTAAGATTGTCCTTGTCTTTGTCTAACTACGTCTTCATACCACAGTCGGCATGTAAACAAGAATCAGAGTACTATCTTGCGGATTACCGTGCTACCGCATCGAAATTGAGGGACATGCAGCTGGATAACGACAGGCTTCGTAATACTACCCAAGCCGTTGAGCAGAGTCTTGTCGACGTGTGTCTTTCTAAGTTGCTAGTTTCGTATAGCAACTGACATTTCACACAGATTCGACAACATGTCGCAGACCTGGAGAACCAACTGGAGTCCAAGAGGGCGGAGTTGCGCAAACAGGATGAAAACGTAGCGCATCTTAAGAAGGAACACGAGCGGCAATTGATGAAGCAGAAGATATCCGCTGCGGCGACGGCAACTAAACCTGTCAAAGATTCAGAGCTACAAGTTCAACTGGATGAGGCTATGGTATGATTTCTACACTTTGACTTGGACGCGTCTATTCATGATTCAACAGTCTCTTCTGAAATGCTCGACTTGTAAGCAATCGATGCGCACAATTGTCCTCAGTAAATGTATGCATAGTATGTCACTCTTATTTCCCGAGTCGCAGAATAATGACACTTCGATTGTAGCATTCTGTAAAGATTGTATAGACGCCCGACTATCCACGCGACAACGCAAATGCCCTTCCTGTAACCTGGCTTTTGGACAAAACGATGTTTTGCAGATATATTTCCAATGATGATGTTTATTTTGTTATTACTCACTTCGAATTATCTTATGTATGGGTTTCTTTCTGACCTTTATTGTATGTTTATTATCTTTAGTAAATACACCCTATCTCACGCGTTGTGCATGTCTGGGATGGATTTGTAATATCAAGTCAAGCCTCGAAACTAGCGTTTGACCCAGGTATACTGCAAACCACGTTGAGTGTAAAACGGACAACGCAGAAAGAACACCCACCCTCTTCCTGGCCTTGGCAAGACCAGTCTTTTTTCTCTCCACCACACGGGGATCACGCTTGATCAGATTAGCTAGACAATATAAGTAAGTTCAGGGTGTGCATAGAGGAGCAGGATAATTCACCTTTGCGCAGAACTGTTAGGAGTTCTTGGTCGTGAGCCAACAACCCTTTCGCGATGCCATGTGCAATAGCACCAGTTTGTCCGGTGGAACCACCCCCACGCGCTATAGTAAAAACATTGAATTTTCCGAGAACACCTGCGACCTTCAGGGGATACACAACGCGTTCCCGGTCAACAATTTTCGGAAAATATTGTGATAACGGGAGGTTATTGACAAGTATTGTCGTGGCGGGTACATCAACAACTTTTACGTTGGAATTTGTTCGCTGGGAATGCTGCAATGTCTGGATTCGGGTGTCTGAGCCGTCATGAATGAGAGGATGGTGGTCATCGTTGGGAAGTGAAGAAGAATCGTCAAAACCCTCGGGAATTGAGTCGTTCTGAAGTATGGGCCCGTCCTCGTCGACGAGAGAAGCCTGCGACGCATATGAATCGGCCGAGGTCTGCAAAAGGCTATCCAAGCTAGATCGGAAGGATGCCTGGGTAGTATTTCCCGTCTCTTCCGCTTCAGGTGCCTCCTCGAAGTCGCTGGACATGGAAGGTGAAAACGAGTTTGTGTCGGTCTCTGATGGCGACAACGGCTCTTGTGAAGAAAGACCGCTGAATAGGTCATGCAATTCTGTCTCAGAAATGGCCTCTGGAGACACCGTCGTTGTAGCCTGCGTAACGTCAGGCTCAGGTGTTGGTTGAGCGCTCTGAACGGGAATAATCCATACACGGGCAGAACTGGTCTTTCGTCTGCCCAGTGTGTACGAGCGGCCAAATTGATCCAATTCTGCTATTGTTCTCTTTCCACGAGACATGTACTCTTCCTTCTGGCTCTCCCCACGTTCAAACATGGCCACGACCTGTTCAATCATATCTGCAAACTCGGTGTGACCTGCGGTAGTGGCTATACGGAGACATTCATGCAGCTCATTCAGAACCACAAGAAGACGGCGGTAGCGAGTAGTATTGAGTTTCATTCCGACCTCGGAAGACATTTCCTCAAGATTCTTCCACAACGGGGGCATAGGCAGAAGACTGGCGCGAGCAAATGAAGGTAGAGGCAGGAGCTGGAGGGTCTTGAGGGTTGCTCGTATTTGGCCGAGGGCCATTTGAAGGGAGGTCACGGTGTCGTAGTAGGGAGCGCGGCCAGTGTAGAAGGAAGGAGACTCTGGCGCAAGTTTCGACTGGCCACGAATTTCTGGATCAAGCAGTATCTCCTTCATTGCATCGTCTGATATTGCAGCATTCACCTCTTCTGTTGTCGCTCCATGCCAGTCCGGCACCCCATTGGCGTCTATCGTTAGCTTGAGCCTTGGCTGCTCTGCCAGCTGGGCCGGGGGAACAAAGGGCGCTCCGGAATAGGCACGACTGCAGAGAGAATATCGGCTACGTCGAAGAATGTGCTGCGCTGGACTGCACCACCCAAGCTGTCGCAGGATACTCTGCATCGACCACGACACGATGAAACCAGAAAATGAAATATGTAGTGTCTGCATTTGTCTATTTTCCTCTACATCACGTGCTCGTCCGTCCTTGCACATTCGCCATGAGCTCAACGGAGCACAACTTCTCTGGTGCCCTCGCAACTTGGAGAGGTACTTCTATGACTTTCTAGCAATCTGTCATCCTGATTACTCTGCTTTCTCAAGATATAAACCTCTCAGAATTACAGAAATCTCTCGATGCGCAGGGCATAGAACTTGTCGACAACCAGAAAGAGAGTGTTGTTGGTCGTAAAGCCCTTGCAGACAAGACTAAAGGTACCCAGTTTCTTCTTTTCTCTTATCAATGCCTGACAGCCATGACTAGAGTTCAAAAAAATACCGGATGAAGGGAAACTAGCTGCATTCAAAGGCTTGCTCAAAGGTCACCATAACGTTGCCTCTGTTTACACCCACAATCTCAATGTTACTATTAGCTTATCAAACCGAGATAGATAATCTCACAAAACGCTCCAAGACTTCTGAAAATGCGTTTTTGAATGTCTACAAGGTTCTAGCCGAAGCTCCAGACCCATATCCTCTCCTTGAGGCCGCCGTAGTATGAAACACTCGAATTTCAAGGCCATCTCAGTTAACTCTATCGCCCAGGACCAGACCGTCAAGGTCGCAGAAGCCCGCGAACTGGAGACACAGTTGCGTCGTCTACACGATGAGAACGCAGATCTGAAGCGCCGCGTCAGTGAGACTGCCAGCATCGAAAATGTCAAAAAGAAGGCTGAAGCGAGAGTGGAGCAATTAGAGCGGACAGTATGTTTCCCAAAACAATGTCCTATGTTTCTGTGGTGCTCAATGTGTTTGCTAGATGGAGGATCTCATTAATGACCGTGTATCTCGGAAGGAAAACGAACTTAACGCGACTTACGACGAGAAACTAAGGAATTACGAAGAAAGGTACTACTTTTTAATCGCGTTACTCGCAACAAGTGACATCGTTCTATAGGGAACAAGACCTTCACCGGCAGATCTCCCTGACCACGGCGCAACTCCGAGACTTACGAATGTCCAATGACACTAACCAAGCAAAGCTTTTGGACCATAGCACCAGGCAAGGTAATTCTCCTTCATACGTCTGCCCCACTTCCAACGCTTAGGTCCATTTCCCAGATCAAGAAGTGGTGGCGAAGTTCGCTGAGGTCGACATGATGGTGGCAGACCTTGAACGTGCAAACAGTCGTGTCGCGACAGTGGAAAGGCGTAATGTGCGTATTCAGCCCCTAGCAACTTATTTCATTGTTGAATCATACGTGTAGGAGATACTTCGCGCGGAGATTGAGGTTTTGCGCAGCGGGAGTGACACTTCTGACCGGTACGACAGTTACTCTGACATCGATTTCACTGACCATAATGTCTTACAGCGCAAAGTCTCTTCAGGCCCAAGTGAAAGAGTATGAAGCCGAATTGGAACACACGTCCCAAACACTGGAATTACAGAAAGTCGCTGCCTCTGAGCTTGAGGCTCACGTTAAGAAGACAGCCGATGACTTTTCCAAGGAGATCCAGAAGAAGGTATTATTGTTCTCCAACTCATCGACCACTTCGCTTCCTTATCTGTCTGCAGGCTTCGGAAATTGACACCCTCAGAAACCGGTTGAAGCAGTTCAATGACTATGACGAGATCAAGCGCGAACTAGATATCATTAAGGTGAAGCCATTACATTATTTCCCAAGGTCTTTCTCATATATGTATTTGCAGTACGTGGAGTTCGCCGGTTTTGACGAAGACGTCGACGAGGACGGCGACCAAATTGATGGATACGAAGTGGGCTTACAACTACCCAACCCTAATGCAGACAAGACCAATGCGCAGCAAGGCAAATCTCTGGAGGCACTACTTGCAACCAAAAATAAACGTCTTCTTGAGGAGTTAACGAAATTCCGAGTACGCCCTTCCTTCTATAGTAGACTTGATGCCCATTTTCGTTTAGATCCTCCATAGCGAACTCGAGAATTCACTGCAAGCTGCTCAAGACCAGCTCAGCTCTACTGGTGCCGACCTGGAGAAGCAGAAGGCGCTGAATGAGAAGCTGGAAAATGATCTGTTGTCCATGAACAAACACAGAAGCAATGGCGACATTACTCCTCCAGAATCATCTGATGTTCTGACTGGCCTGGATCTCGGACGAAAAGCGGTGGGAACCTACGGTCACTGCGTTCATTTTTCTATATGCTTACGCGGTATTTAAGGACGTGTCCATCCGTACGATGCCTATACCGTTTGTGTCTTCTGCAGACACCTCCATTCTGCCCATCGTGACTAGCCAGCGAGATAGATTCCGTCAGCGAAATGCCGAGCTTGAGGAGGTGAGCATGTGCATGTTCATCGGGATTTTTTAACATTGAATTGAACGTGCCTGTAGGAATTGCGCAGGCAGTTCCAAATCATCTCCGACCTTCGATCAGAGGTAAAGAATCTACAGGCTGATAACCTTAAATTATATGAGAAAGTACGATATATGCAAAGCTATAGAGAGGAGGCCGGATCTCGTCCAGTGACTTCGCAGCTGGACCCACTTCCTACGCCGTCGAATAATTCTTCTGATGATCTAGGGAAGTATAGAGCCCGGTACGAAGAGGCTATGAATCCATTTGAGGCATTCCGGGGTCGTGTATGTGTCTATTCATCATCATCGTTATTCCACGTTTATGATAAGCTGTACAGGAAGCTACCCGGGCGTACCAAAACCTCAATGCTCTCGAACGTGGGGTTCTCACGATTACTCGGGCTATATTGAGCAACCGTCGTGCGCGGGCTTTCTTCATCTTCTATAGCCTGGGTTTGCACCTTCTCGTGATGTATACTACTTACGAGTGCACAACAACGTCGGGCACGCATTTACAAAAGCAGCCAGGACCCTACGGGCCTTGATATGTGATTACATGGTATTGTATTGTAATGGACACGTATTTATGGGATAGCTATGCAAGGTGTATCGTACATGATGGTGGATGCAGTAATAGCGGACCTCAGGATCCACGAGAGACCTTTTTATTACGGTGGAAAGCTAGTGCGCGGTCGACGGCTGTTAAAATGGGTTTCATAGCCTGGCACAGGCTTAGCCATTCTCATAGTTTGATAAAGAGACGAACATAACGCACTATTTCTATCTTATTAGCATCTAATCCTTGCTGTTGAGCGGCTCGCACAATAGCTTCCACTTTCTCGTGTGTTTTGGCTAAGTATCCGATCATTTTGGTTGCCTTTGCTGCTTTCTGTGCTGGGGTGACTGCGGTGGACAGCTCGTATCCAGAAGGATACGTCGCAGACCAAAACTGCCGCAGGAACTCATTGGCTGCCGTCTGACAGGTTGTCATTTGGCGGAAAAACCCGTTGGGAAGATCATCTGCCGAGGTATTAGCTACGACTCTTAAAATGACTGCAGGAACGTACTTGTTTTAGACCGAACGTCTAGACGAGCCGCAACATTTTGTGTCATGGATAGAAGAGCCGCATCACCGGGCTTCCGCTCCAACTTCAACTATACAAAGAGCGAGCGCAACCAAGATTAAATCGTTCCAAGTGCCAAGTCAGAACTTACCTGAGCAAGGTCTGCCTCCCATTGGCTAATGTTGGTTTTGGCCTCCTGGATGATAGAACCAAAATCGATATTCTTTTGCAGATATTGTCATTATAAGTGAGCGATGCGAAAAGCTTTCTGTTGTCAGTATACAAACCTTTCTGGCGTCGTCACTATTAGCCGCCTTTCTGCCCTCGAAGTATCGTTGCCTGTCTTGCATTTCAAGAATTATGCCGGTAGATAATTCTGGGTCATGCAAGTCATCAAGATCAATTTGGGCGTCGTCCTGGCATAAATAATTAGGAATAGATTATAAGCATTAATGGACGTATATACCTCAACTCGACGACGCTTTGTTGGGGGCCCGTCGCCACTTGAGAGATGGTCAGCAAAGCGATGAAAGAAGGATATAAATTGCTGACAGAGCAGCATTCAATAACCGCTCCGAATGCTCGTTAAATTTTCGTATCAGAGGTAAAGCACCGCGCTGTCGACCAGCTTGCATCGTGACGTCTTTTCCGTTCCCTGTCTTTCGCAAGTCGATCAATGGGATGATACACAGGGTACGCCACCGAGAGTACCTCTTCATGGTCTTCACGTGTGGCTGCCAAATCAACATAAAGCTCCACTTGGTCCGTCAGCTGTCGTCTAGGTTCTAGCTCTGAGGAAGGATGAAACAAAGAGGAAAAGGAATGATTTGATCCAATACACACCATCATCATCCTTTTCCAGATATTTATCGAAAATCGGGTCTGCCTTCACTACGTGTTGCGTCGCCGAAGAGCGAATAGAAGCACGATGGGCGTTGAAGAGCTTTGACTGGAAGTATCTCTTCCAAAAATGCTCTTCGGATAACTTCATTCACTTAGATGAGGACAGAGTACTTCAGGAACCAAGCAAGAGATTTGCCGTACTTTGTCAGGAACGGTGTCACTATACGCCTTTGCTACAACAGGGTATTCGTCAAAGATGTCATGGACAAGTTGAGGGGTTATGCGAATTTTGACTTCGCCACCCTCAACAGTTTCCGGGCGAGGATCTACCAACTGTCCGGGCTTGCCTTTTCGTTGGCTCTCTGCTGCCGCTTGAGCCAAAACAAGGTGCTATCATCGAGTGAGCTTGAAGCAGACAAGCGGAAGCTACAGGGAAGAGCATACCTCCCTCCCTTCCCAAAATTCTGCCTCGGTAATCTGCCCGCCAATGACTAGTTCCCTATGCAACGCCCCCAGCTCGGGATTACCAAGAAGAATAGTCTTTCGAAGCCTAAAATCTTGAGCAGGGTCATTTCCCGTGAGAATGGGTGTTGCTCTGTTGTCGCTGCTTGAAACAGAGGCGGCTCTTGACGTCGACGGTTTGGACGACGACAGGGACAGTTTTGTCGGAGACGCGTTTGCTACCGACGTGGACGCGGAATGGGTGTATGCAGAAACAGGAAGCCTGACTGCTGCACTGTCTGGCGCGCCTTTGTTCCTTCCGATGATGGTCGTCAGCTGGGTCTTGAACTTTTCGCGTTCATTTAAGGCTACTAGCTGGGGCGACGTGAAGGTGAAATTGTGGCCGATGTCATCACCCACGAGGGCCAGTTTCATGCGCACTTGTGCTGCGCCAGCCTTGCTGCAGAACAGAGCTGGAAGTCGTCATCAGCAGTGGCTCTTATCGAGGTGAAAAAGACAGACAAGCGGCATCGGCATTGAGAACTCGCACTGAGGGCACTGATTTTCCATCCTGGGTCCACTGGAGGTGGGTGTCGGTGAGCTGTAGGGTACCGGGTAGTTTCTTGTAGGATGCCTTTGCCGTGCAGACTGAGGTAGGCATATAGTCACGTCTATATGCGTATACCTTGTGGCCGACGGTCAAGGTCCATTAAGGTTAGGTAAGCTGATATAAGTATCCCTCTCCATCACCACCATCTACTCCATGCGACGTCTCATCGTATTCGATTTCGACTGGTCCATGGCTGACCAGGACTCTGACAGATGGGTATTTGAAGTCCTGGCTCCAGATCTCCGCCGCAAAATGAAATCCCTCAAGGACGACATTCAGTGGACAGACTTGGTGTGAGTTCCATACAGTGTTCTCACCATCCTTATTTACCTATTTTTCATAGCTCTCAATCGCTACGTGAAGCTCATGCTCGTGGCATAACCAGAGAACAGATCGAGGATGCCCTCAGGAACATGCCTTTTGTACGTTCGCGTTCGCCTTCCCCCCCATCTCTCAGTTGATCACTGCCCTCTAGCACCCTGGCATGGTTCGCGGCATCAAGCACCTCAAGGAAAATGGCAATACTACCTTTCTCTGTCTTTCAAACGCCAACAATATCTTCATCACTACCATCCTGGAGGTACAATAGCGTCCAATCCCCTACCTCCTAGGATTTGACGTACATTCCCCAAGACAAAAGGCCTTCTGTCTGCCTTTGAAGAAATCGTCACCAATCGGGCAGAATGGGAACCATCCGGTCTCCTCAATCTTCGTCGCAGGATTGATCCTCATGGTCCACAGCATAACTGTATCGTTGGCTGCAGTCCGAACATGTGCAAAGGTATCTTTTCTCCCTCGTAGAAGTCCGTGAGGGTTTCACACTGGAACAGGTGAAGAATTGGACGCATTCCTCGCTCGACATGCCCCTCTGTATGACCAAGTCATATATGTTGGCGACGGCTCCAATGATTTCTGCCCCATTTTGAGATTGCGAAGGTATGCTCCTTCTTCAACCGCATGCATCCCTAACATCCTTCCAGCCAAGATATGGTCCTATGTCGAAATTTCCGCGGTCTCCAGAAGCGTATTGACAAAGACGGTGAAAAGCTTGGTCTTAAATGTCAGGTCGAATATTGGGGTGGTGCATGGGAAGTCGAAGAAATCTTCAACGCCCTACCTTAGAAATAGAGGCTAACTATCCATGTTAATACAAGTCGAAGGTAGAGAACTTCGATGGTCTCATGATAATGAGGCGCAGCCAATTGAATTGTGCAGCAAAAGAATCAGATATAAAATGTGTGTAAGCGCAGAGATTGCAGAAATATCAAGGATAGAAAGATGAGAAAAAGCTGCAAATTTGTAAGTTGTGTCAATATGTTGCTATAGGCAAGAAGGCAGAAACTGCCAAATCATCTGGGCCAAGCGTCCATTCCACCGCCTCTCCTCGCATCCTTGGCCTCTCCCTGCCCAAACGGATTTCTGCCAGGCTGGCCAGCAGACACGACTCCCGCGCCATAAAACGACGGCGGAACCGCTTGGCTGGGGTGCCTCACACCACCACCAGCATATGGGTCTGGTTGCATGGGCACAAACATATTACCGATGTCAGTCCGTCGATCCACCGAATCAAACACGGTGCCCTGCTGTGTGGGTTGATAAGTAGCGGCATACCGATTGCCCGACGTCGTCCCGCTACTAGTGTATGTCTGCGGTGGACTGGATATTACCCCCGCCGCACCATACACGTCTCCCCTCGCAGCGCTCCGTACATTCGACATAACGGCATCCCTTCTAGTGCTCCCGTTGTCTTCTTCGTGTTGCGATGGATGATACGAATGGGCAAGCTTACTCGTCGGTGGCTGTTGGTACCGATTCGGAACAGCACCACCTGCATTCCAACTTGAAATGCCCGACGCGGCTGCAAGTTCGGCCTGCTGCTGCAAAAACTCGAGCTGAGGGTACGTCTGTGCAGGTTGCTTCCCTCCTGCTTGTTGCCTTCTTTCCCACTCCCGTATCCCATCGTCCCGATTCAATACGGGCGTTAGCGCGTTTCGACCGGCGATGACATCTTGATTCATATGTTGTAACCTTGCCAACGCCGGTGGCACCGAATCCATCTGGTTAATGGTATTTGCCCGTCCACGCGAAGGATAATAGGCATTCGAAGGCACATTCGGATTCAGGTGACCTCCGGATGAGGAGGAGGTCAAAGACGTCGTATAAGACTGCACGTTAGCACTGTTGTTCAATTGTCCCGTAGAATTTTGATGCGACAACCGATGTCCGCCGGGGGGAGGTGCAGTGGCATATTGCTGCGTTTGTGAGAATCCTGGCGTGGGTGGTTCCGTTTGATTGGCGTAAGATGGAGTGGCCTGCTGGGGCTGTGGTGGCTGCGATGGCTGTTGCTGATTCATATACGGGTTGCGGAACGTATTTGCAGCCTGAGACTGCGCCTGCGCTGTGTACACCTGGTGCTGCGCCAGATGGTGATTGTACGTTGCAGCATCCTGATAAGCTCTTGAACCCTTGGGTTGTGAAGGCACCAGTCCACCATACGGTCGTTTCGGATCTGATGCACCCGATGGGACTGGTTGATGTGCTTGGTTGAGACCATCGGGCTAAGATAGGGTTGGTAAAAGTGTAACATCGATATAGAATGAGACAGCTCACCACAAAGGGCTTCGTGTATTTTTCTCCGGTTATAAATGGATGAAGCCTGGCTTGCTGAGGCGTCCATCGTGTCACTGGGTTCAGATCCAGCAAACCTTGACAGAAATTGATGAACGATGCGCGATTGTTCAGCTCTGAGGGAAAAGATCAAACAGATCCTTCCAAAGAAATGCCTGTCAGTTTCGACGAACCTTTATCCACTTCTTGTCCCCTCCCGCCCGACTTGCTCGATGGCATTGGCGCAGTGTTGATGATGTCCGGTAAGGTCGTGGCTTTAAAATACTGCTTTCCTGGCTGCTCGTTTGTGTTGTGTTCCCGGGAATATTGTTCAATAGTCTTGAGTCTGTACTTTTTCTCATTGGCATTGAGATGAGGATTCCACACATCATACACATCGAAGAACTGTTGCGTCTGCTTCCCTGTATTGAGCATACTAAGCGGTGGCATGCCGAGCATTTCGACGATGCGCGTGAGCTGATTATACTCGCTTGTCCCAGGAAAAAGCGGAAGGCCAAGGAAAAGCTCGACGGCAATGCATCCGAGAGACCACATGTCGATGGAAGCGGTATACGCCATGCCCAAAAGCACCTCTGGCGAGCGGTAAAAACGCGACTGAATATATGTATATACAGTCTGGCGCTCATGACATGCTGAACCAAAATCGATGACCTTGATTTGTGGCGATTGCAATGACTTTAAAAGAATATTCTCCGGTTTGAGATCACAGTGGATGAGGCGGGCGTCCTTGAGAACGGTCATGGCATCGAGAAGCTGAGCCATAAAAACTTTGACAAGCTGGGTGCTAAGACCCTGAAACTGATTCTGCTTGATAAGTTCGTAAAGGTTGGAGGAGAGGAGTTCGAATACGAGACAGAGGTGATTACGGTGGATGAAAGAGTCCCGGAGACGAAGAATGTGATGCTGATCTTCGGGATCGCAACTTTTATTCAAGAGTTCGAGGATAGTGACCTCCATCATGCTCTGATTAAAGTAAGCTGGCTTGTTTTTAACAACCTTGACGGCGACGATTTCATGTGTCTTCATGTTTTGACATTTGACGACCTGGCCAAAAGTGCCCTGACCGAGGATATCAAGAATGAGGTATCTGAAGGGTATGTGAGGGGAAGAAGGAAAAATTGAAATGACACGTACTTGTGGCCATCTTCAGTCCCTAGCCAGTCGTTGACGTACAAGATATAATCATAGTCATCGTTGTCGTAGCCCTCGTTATGGGCGGGCTTGCTGGGTTTGGTGAGAACTCTACGAGGATTGTGAGTTGATTCGTATCTGAACTGGGGGTTGCAGATGCGATAAGTGTCGAGAATGTTGGTGGTAAGCTGGCGCAGAGGAGAGAGATATACGCCATCGTCGCCCATTCGACGACCTACAATGGGAGCATCTGTTCTGGGCTGGAGGTCACCAGAACCACGGACGCGACGGAAACCGGTGGCACGACGCTTGGGGGGCGGGTCGATAGGCATGGAGTCGTGGTGGTAGTAGGATGGAGAGGTAGGGTAGGGGAGGGGTGTTGGGGGATTGGATATCGCCGGCTTAATGTGGGGTGGCTGTGGACTTGTCGCGTCAATAGAGTAGGTCGGTGAATAAATGTGGTTTGCAGCTGTCGAGGGCGACATAGGCTCCGTCTTGACCTGCTGTGAATGAGTACGAGAATGAGCGTAGGGATATGCCGAGCTCGGCGAGTACTGGGCCTGCTGGGCCGCGTACGGGTCGAGAAGCGAGTTCGGGGTGCGGAGTGGGGACCTGCCGGTGCGAGAACTCGGCTGGCGCTTGGAATCGGGGGAATAGTAGAGGTCATTGTACGAGTCGGAGGCGGATGAGGGAGGCTGAGGGTTCTGGCCGAGCGATGGCGGCTGATACTGAAGGGAGGGGAAGTAGGGGCCGGCTTGGGCGGCTTGGCTCGGCTGGGCGGCGTCGTAGTGGTCATCTTGGTGGCGGCGAGGGCGGGCACTGTTTAGAGAAGAGCTTCGGGCGACGGTGGCTGGACTGTGGCTGGACTGAAGGTAGGTGCCGGTGTTCGGCTCGTCGGCGAGCTGCGACAGGCGCTGTGTTATGCGCTGGGGTGGTGGTGGAGGCGGGTTGGCGTAGTAGGCGGAATGGGCGGCCTGTGCAGAGGACGAAAGCGGATCGATGTGCGTCTGCCACCGTGGCAAGTCAAAGCCCTCGTTTGGGTCCGTCATCATGTACGCCAGTTCTGCCTCGGACATCGTCCAGCGGACAGCAACCTTTATTGTACAATAAATGTCAACCAAACGACGGCGAGCGATGAGCAATCCAGCCAGTCCTCGTCACTCTGATGCATGTCACGCTACTGTAATCACGCACTCCCGTATTTCCCTAACTATTTCCACTCACAATAACTGTCATGATTTTTTCCATATTCCTCAAGATACGATACAGTTCCATGTGAATATCGTTGAGGCCATGGACGCATCACCACCGACTTAGATCTCCTTTCGACTATGCTTTACGTCTGCCTTTCTCTACAAAATCCCTCATGCTTGGCTACTAACACACAGTACGCTTCGGTACCTCCAACTGCCCATCCGTGATACAGATCAATCCCACATTTATACACGGCAGATCTCCCTTCGTGAACATCCTCATGGAATTTCCTCTACTCGATATCTTCACATTCCTACACCTGGAGTATTGTCTTCTATTGAGGATACATTTGGGGTTTCCCTTTGGGTACCTTCATCGCGCTACGGCTTATCTCCAGCTCTACAACCTTTCCATCTCTTCTTACCATCCCATTCACCAGCCTCTGCTGCTTGGCATCGGTTACTACAGGCCTTCGAGAGTCTGCCTATTCATCACCTCTTACATGAAGACTTATCCCTTGCCATCCCCCCTCCACAACGACAAGTATTTACAGAACAACAACTTCTATCTCTTGTTCGAAATACTTTTAACCCCATTCCTGTCCCCAATCTTCCTGACCATGTTCTTGCCTCTGATGTTTCCATGATCCCTTCTAATCCCGCTTTTGGCCACTTCGCCTCTATTATTTTCGCCAGTATTCATGCATCCTTATCCTACGCTCTTTCCCTTCCTCCTCACTCAACCTTTCATATCTTACATGGAGAACCATATGGACTAATACTTACCGCTTTGCTTTTTAGGGCCAACCCTCATTCCGATCAATTTTCAACTTGGTCTGATCATTATAACGCTGTCCGCTTCTTTCAAGTCGCCCTTCGTACACCACCACCTCCTCATTTATGGAGCTCGTTACCTGCTCCATCCCTCTATAGGTGGTTGTACAGCATACTCTCCTCCTTCCCCTCCACGCCCACAATTCAACATGTTCGTGCTCATACAGATTTACAGGATATACCTTCTCGGGCGAATGACGCTGCGGATAGTCGGGCCTCTCGTTCCCAGACAGTTCACCCTCCTCCCCCTACTGCGCCTATCCCCACTTTTACTATGGATAAATATGTCCTTTTCCGAGATGACATCGGCTCCGTGGAGTCAAACATCGCTGGATTTGTTCATTCATGTTTACATCACAAAATCGCTACCAGCCCTCGCTTCCCACTGTCGGCTTATATGATCTGTCCTCTATACGATCCTTACTCCTCTCCTGCCTTCCCTTTACGAGGACTTCTCATGCGTACTCTGCTGTAATTCAACTTTATTCTCGTTCACAACAACTCCCGACAAGACACTCCCTTTATAGGAGATCAGGGGATATTTCCCCTTGGTCCCGTTTCAGATGTGGCGCTACCAAGACAGCTCATCATCTCTTCGTCTCTCGCCCAGAGTTCCCACCTCTTCGTGAACAATACTCCGCTCGTGCGCATGATCGTCTCAATGACATCGCCTCCAGCCATGAACACCAATCCATCTCCTTCCCTTCTCTCCACCACATCGCTTCTATCCTCTTTGTTGATGATGCCTCTGCGTGGCCATTGGCTCAGTCCTACTATTACATCGGCCTGGTCCCCCGATTAGAAGCATTTCTTCCGGCTGATGCTGCTTGGTCCCCAGCAGAGCGAGATCGCTTCCTATGCAGGCTAGCCCAATCTTGGCACGCCATTGCTGGACGTGCATGGGGATATGTACAGAGGTGGACTGCCTCCAACGATCGTTCCCGAATCTCTCATTGTCCTACTCAACTTCCCCTTCCTGTTCATTTACAACATTTACAGCGTAGAGTTTCCCCTAACGCCTCACTTCCTTATGATGGTCTCTTTCCTTAACCTTCAATTCCTTACATGCCTATGCCTATGCTCAACCATATGTTACTATCTTCTATGTCTTCCCTTCTCTCTTATACGCGCAAATGTAACTTTTATACGTTTCCCTTTTCTATTTTTTCTCCTGACGTTCTACTTTACAAGAGTCGATGAGTTAGAGTATACGTACCTAACTGAGTTGCTTATGTAACGTAATCGACCAATCGTAGCACTTTCACTTTCATTTATTTAACATCTCCTTTACTACCCTCTCCACTTCCACTGCCTTCTTTTCTTCAATATCGACAGACAGATGTATCGCTTTTCCAGTTCGTTTCGCTGTTCTTTCTATCAGTAATTTTTTATTCATTGCACTTTAACCTTTCCTCACCTATTCTTTGCGCCATCGATAATGCTACATTGCAGCTGTTACTTCGAAACAGGCTCGTTCCACTCGGTTCTCCTCCAATCTCTCTTTCTCTCAATGTTTGTCTCTTGAGTGGGTTTTCAATCGCTGACCTTTTTTGCTGGCATCGCGTACGCCCAGTCCCTGCAGAGCCGTCCTTCTACCGTCTCGTTTTCTTTTCTTGTACTCCCAACCCATACCATATACGAATCCATCATCTTTGTTATCTGCACCACCAGCCCAGTTTCTGAGCCATCGGATGGGCCAACGTATTTCGTTTCCACGAAGATCATCCTAGCTGTCACTGTCAACGTTCACTGTTAAAACAACTTACTGCAAAATAACGGTCACCACTGTCACGGATGTAACTCCCGTTACTTTGCTTCTCCAAATTGGTACGCCTCAAACTTCCATCTCCTTTTTCAATACTTACCCAAGGTTCAAGTAAATCTGTCCATCGCATGGGAAACAATGTAGCAGAGTCTGCAGAAGTGTATCATCAATGCTGTTGTCCTGTACAAAATAAACATATATATTTTGGTACACAAGGCAGGAACAGCACATTCCACTCCTCACACATTCAAGAGCAGATAGCTTCCCCAGGCACGAAACATTGTCCCCGTCCATGCGATGAACGGTGCTTTCGTAGGAGAGCTTGAAGAAAGTCGCAGTCTGAGTGATTTGTGATGACCCCAGTGACTGTGTAATACTAATACCGAAAGGAACGATAAACATCGTAATCAGGGCCAAAGAATGGCTGGCTACTCAGAGCGCGCGTCGGGCCGCTGGCAGAGCGTGCTAGTTCCGTTGCAGCCTATCATCTGAGAAATATCATGTAAATGGACGTACGGAATGTATTATGATGAATGGGACCGGCTCGGGAGTTTTGACTCACGAGTGGAAAGAAATGTAAGGAACATGACGTCTGGCAGCCTTTGGCTAGGTACACTGACCTTATATCAGTCTGACTATACGGAACTTGAATGGCTAGAAATTGAATACAGGTGCTGCCCGATCCACGTTGGTATGCGGCGTTATTAAACTACGCAAACGTGCAGAATGTTTGGGAAGAAATTTCTGAGGATGCTGACATACGGTCCTGGCGTCTGGCCTGAAAGAGAATGTGCCGAAAATCGTACTCTATACATACGGAAGCTGACGAGCTCCGATAAGGTAATATTTCACACAAAACCTTGAAGCTAAAACGCGTTTTAATTGGAGTTTTTCTCAGCTCTGGTGTCTTCGGCAATCTGAATCGGTTACAATTTGAGAAGTACCGAGGTCAAAAGCATGCCTGGCTATACCACTTGAAAATTAGATGACGATAACGCTAGCGAGATGGCATATGTCGCACAGAGAAAGATAGATAGATATTCTGCAAAGGAATATTAGAAAGGCCGTATATATCTTAGCCGGTATCAAGATCGATACCCGCGCACCGGTTGAACGTGCCTGGTCCCTAGGGCGCCAAGTCCAAGGTACACAGCTGTGTCTCTCGAAAACACGTAGGGTTCACGCGGCCAGCTTGGCAGTATGCTGTTCCTAAGTTTAAAGACTAAATAAGATGAGACGCCACGTAAGTTGTAGCTGACAAGAGCTGAGACATTTTGTTGGTCGAAAGAGTAGAGCAGAAGCTTAGCAAAATGAGTCTTTCTTTCATAAAGCCAGTCCTATTTGTTTCTCCATACATACGCTCAAGACGGTTCCTACCGCACTGGATACTGCAAGCACAAGGGCCTGACCACGGGTACATTATCCGACGCACTGTTCCACCAAGTCAGCGTCTAGGCAGAGCTAAATGTTATCTCAGTTTTGGAGATTCCGAATTGTTCACACAGTGGCGATATTTAGCCTCTAGGCCACATCGACCCGGGTGACTGCCATGCCGTCCTAGGTTCTGCTGATTCAACTTCGGGTCTTTTACATACGCCCTTCTCAGTGGTTTGACAAAGCGCCAGTTTTTTATAGTACGTCAACTCTTTGTCAAGGGACGTGTCTGCTTATTTCCAAGTGACGCTGTCATGTACCTAGTGTGTACTACATTGATGGGTCGTTTGTGGGGGACAGGAGGGGCAAAATAATGATGATGCCTTTTCGCGGGGACAACCTCAAGTCTCTTGATGGCACGCGTGCAGGTTGAGATATTATTAGATCTCGTATGTTTTCTTTTCAATCTTGCCAAAGCAGCTTCCAGGACTCGGAAGCTCCAACAATTCCATTCAATGGCGCCATTTAATAGAACCACGGAAACGGACAGCGTGCGTCAATGAACCTTACCCAGCAAAACCTTTTGAGCTATGACAATTTTGATGACTTCAATGTTCATTTGTATCGGGCATACCGGAAGCGTTGTATCCACCCCCAGATGAAGTTATGTGTGTACGTATATGCAACAGAACGTCATACAAAAGGCGTTCAGACGGCCGGTCGATACGTCGACATAGAATTGCCGTCAGGCGCCGCCCGTGACTTTCTGGCTGTTCGGACTTCTGATATCGTTGTCTCGTGTATCTTATGACAATAATCAATCGTATCCTTCCACCACAAGGCCTACGCCAAGACTCTCTGCTCTTTCGACAACAGCGCAAGCGATAGCGACATCCTGAAGCCCGACACCAACCGACTTGAACATAGTTACCGGGCCGCCGAAGTCTTCAACGTAGTCACCCCTTCTCCATTGCCTGATCTCACCTATCTCGACAACCGGGTCACCTTCTTCCAACTCCCCAGCTTCCGCAAAACATGCTTCTCTCGAGTCTACAAGCAGAATGCCTTTGAATGCCCTTTCTATCAAGGCGCGATCAACCTCGTGCATTTCCTTTTTGTAGCTCCCAATGAGTACAACATGGGTTCCGCTTCTCACCCAGCTCGAGGGGAAGAGCGGTTCAAGAGCGGGTGTAGCTGTGACAATAATATCGGCTGACGCCAGAAGATCCTTGACGCGATCTTGTGAGGCAGCCTCCAACTCGACCCCGGGACAGGTTGTAGCCAATCTGGTCATTAAACCCTGCAATCTGCTATTCATAGCACGATTGACAATGACACAGTGTTTGATTGTGGGTAGCGCCTTCACATGCAGCTCAATATGTTTCTCGACCTGTGTGCCAGCTCCAAACGCGACCAGAACTCGGGGCTCAGTTATTCCCACCAATGTCGTTGATAAAAGGGAGCCTGCCGCATTCCTCAGTGCAGTGAGCTCCCGTGCATTGATGACGGCCTTGACCGTGCCTGATTCCTTATCTAGCACCAAAGTACTGGCGGGCAAACCGCCACCACCCTCACGAGGAATGGATACGATCTTTAGCGCGGTTCCTATACCAGATATGCGTGCGGGCATGAACAACACTTGGTGACGCTCCGTGGGGATTCCAATACGAGGAGGAGCATACGCTGGATCCGACGACGATGAGACGACGGCAAAGACGTCTGCCATGAGAGACCGGAGATCATCAGCAGAGAAAGTTGAGGCGACTTGAGAGACGGCAGAGGCTGAGAGGATGAGGAGAGACATAGTGGTATGAATCAAAGGAATTGAAATTGATTATTAGGGTACAAACATTAGCCTTGTTCAACGTTAGAGTCAGACCTGGCTTTTCAACCTTCAGGGCTAGACATAAGAACTTCCACTCAACAGAAGAAATACATACTTCTCGTTTTCTGCTTCGAGCTCTTTGATCCTTGCCTCGAGCCGCTCAATTCTCCTCGCTTTAGAATCTCTGCCACGCTCTGCAGCAGATTTGAGTCTCCATATCGTTGCAAGATCGTCCCTCAGCACGCTCATGTCGTTCAGAATTGACTCGGCGGAGTTTATGGGGTTCGTTTGTATTGAACTGGGTGCAGGCAAATGAGCCCCAGGCTTAGGAAGGTTTCAAATCAAATCCATACGCTGAAAGAGGTCGAAAACGCACAACAAGTGGCTCATCGTCTGTCTCCTGCTTCACGGGTGGCAGCACGTATTCCCTTTGCCGCGATGACGACGACGGTGAGGAAAAGACGTTGCCGTCGCAGGGACTCTGCTCGAGGCGGTTCTTCTTGCTGTTTGAAGTCGGAGTTGTCGGTGACATAAGACCACTCTTAATATCGTCGATGCGCTTCTGCCTACTAGCAGGAGTGGAGGGAAAGTTGGAATGAGGTTTCCTGGTTGGGGTGGTAGGTGGCTGCGCCGTCCGGGTGCGCTTTGAAGGCGATCCTTGCTCAGTGTCGGTAGCCAAGTTTCGTTTGAATGACGGCATGATGGCTTCGTCCAGCCAGACTGACCATGAATATAACTTACAGTTCAAAGTTCGATCAAGGACGCAAAACCAAAGGGGCTCACCAAACAAGCGACAGAGGGTAGGGTCGTTTCGTTCCTTTGGACAACGAAAATAATCGCGGTCAGGATGAGCTATACCGCGAGAGGTGATGACCGTCGCTTGAAGTCCGCATTTGCATAGTGCGTTCCCGTGTTCGTCGATGGCGAGATGGTTTCTGGCAAGGGCCATATTTCACACGCTACCACCATGTCCCAGCAACGTCGGGTGCTCGTCAAGGTTGACGCCCACGGAAATATTCTCTGTAACTGTCACGGCGGCGTTCGCGCAGCTCAGTATACTTCACACAGCGACAAGAATCCTGGCCGGTACGCAATGAAAATCTCCATTTCATGATGATAAACTCATGCCTGTAGCGAATTCTATCGCTGCGCAAAAAGTCGGGATGATCCCAATCAATGTAGCTTCTTTGGTGGGTGAAGCAGCAGATTCTGGTTGTACAAGTGGCTAACAGATCTCAGCTTGGAATGACCAAGTCGTCAAACCATCGTTACCTTCTAGTCCTCCTAGCTCTCCATTGAAACGTAACCTTTCCGACTCCCCGCTAGATTCTCTGTCTAAACGACGACGTACTGATGATAACCCTCAATCTCATCCCAAATTCCCATCTACCACGATGAGCAAGAAGAAGCGAATGGACGATATCATGCAGGCTCTCGGAGAAGACGATGTATTTGCTGGTCCTTCGCGCCCCAAGTTCACATCTACAGGCAAATACACTCTCAGTCCCGTAAAGCAAGAGTACGATGTGGAAGATGGACTTGCGACACCACCAAGCTCGTTGCTGAGGCGGATGACGCCCGAAGCGCCGCCGTCACCTTCTCGCCCCCCCGTCACTCCATCTAGCCTCTTAGCCTCAGTCGCAAGTGACTTTTCAAGGCTTGCCGAAGAAATTCGTAATCTTGAAGAGCAGAAGTCTGCCTCAAAAGCAAGAGCCAGCCTGGTCGACAAATTAGAGACTGAAAACAAAACGTACGCTCATCCTTACCCACCTGACCTTGTAATTTTGACACCTTATTTAGGTTAAAGGAGTCTCTTCGCAAGTACGAAAAAGACATTGAAGAGTGAGGTACTCGTCCCCCATCAGTATCAGTCGAATACTCATGACTATTTCCAGCTTGAAGAATACGATCAGGTCATTAACTGAAGCTATCAATCATGGTGTCGGTTGAACGTTTGAACCCTTGTTGGTTGTGTAATGTTCGGAAGTTTGGCTTGAATAAGGGGATCGGATCAGTCATATCAATCCATATATGGTAACTATACCTTCATAATCACACTCAAGTTGGTGTATTCAATGTCTGCAATGCCTTCCTTCGTTGACATACGGGGAGTTTAGTAGGACCAGTCTGAACTGACGGGTAACGGCTAGCTTGGGAGGATCGTAGTCTTACCCGACTCTCAGCCAACTCCATCGACCCCTTTGAAACGGTCGACCTCCGACTTGGATACGCTTTGCCAGGGAAGGCGCCTTCGTTTGGATGACGACTCCTCGCAATCCATGCAAGCTAGTACTCAAAGCTCTTCCCAAAGCGCCATTGAGCATGACGTATTCTCGTCCTCACACTGGCCTCAGTCTCGACTTGAAGTGGAGTAACGCCGACTCCTGTCCGCCTAATGAAGGGCAAAAAGGAAGACTCTGGACTCTCTGCACCTCTCAGTTCATCACGGGACTCAACAATCTGTAGAAATCTTTCTCTGGAGGCCTTTGCCTCCACTGATCAATTTCCACGATGGCTTTTCTTCCCAGACGGGTACATACACTCCGTCAACCACATCGGACATAATTATAAGCCAGATAAAGGAGCACAAGTTGCAGATTCGCACTCTCGAATGGCAAAAAGCAGCCAGTGAGAAACAGCGAGACGCCAGAACCAAAAGGTTCTAGTATTGGAGTCTGATAATAAACGGTACCCTTTGATTCCGATACATGGTCCGTAGCGCGTGGTCTCAAGTCTAGGTTTGGGTTAAATGAAAGTTTCCAAAGGTGTGTGTCTCTTGCCACCGGTATGTCGCAATATCCATGGCTAATGTATTTACATTAGTGTTCAGAGTGACCTTGCAGAGTAAGTTTCTCACAAGTCACTTATGTATGTATGTGCGCTTATACGCTTATTTGTGACAGCCACAAAAACACCGTTAGGGCTCTCAACACTGCTGCTCCAACACTCTCAAGCCTCAGGGTCACCTGGTGGCCGCGATGGCCGACGATCCTTATTGCATATCGACTGGCAGCTTTCGTTTTATTTGTGCCCGACTTTTGCACCCGTTCTGACTCGTGCTACCTTGTAACATACCACCGGCGAACGATGGATAATTTCGAATATTCTTGCCGTTCAAAATATTGTGGCCCACGGATACCTGCGAGTGCCAACTAGTCCACCTGCGTGTAGTAATTCCCCCTACCAATGGTATCATTATGACGATTTTGCGCAATATGGATAGTCCATGCAATGCACGGAAAGCAATACCGCCAATGTCCTTTTCATGTTCCGTACAGTCCCCACGAGCAACTGTATTTGCAAGAGCTACCGCGGAACTACTGAACACTGGTCCTACAAAGGGTAGGTGTTGTCCCTGCCCAGAGGTACCCGGTAGCCGAAGGCTGTTGGAAAGGAAAAGAGCAACTTAGGCACGAAGGTATCGGAACTCCCGAAACGATATCCACAGGGACATTTAGGACTCATGCCAAGACCACATAAGGAGTCCCATGGACTGGTTCGGTACCGTAGCATCCTCATTTCTCGCTGTCTGTAATGCATATTCTGTAGCTAGTGTACATATACATTTGGGGAGCTGTAGTGCGGACCTCGGCACGCTTCTGTTGAGGAGCAAGGTCGGGTAATAAAACATCCTTCTTTCATTACCCAGTGAGTCAATTGATTGGAATCATCATGATCGGGATTATTCGTAAATTATAAAATGAATCTCTACCATTTATTAAGTTATTCGCAGAGGTGCGCTTTGCAAATTTGAAAGCCCGTCGGTTCCGACTTGTAGCATTACCGTTAGCCTGTGTTGCCTGGACTTCGATCCGAGCTAGCGCGAAGCAACGTCATGGTCTAGGGTTAAGAGAGGATACACAGCGACGGGATCAGAATGGAACATGTAATTTGCATCATTGGTGGAGCTCGGAACCGGGCGACATTCGGTCACTGACACTGGCAGTGATAAATTCCGTGTTTGTATTCAGTTCAACGCTCGCACCCGGACCACTTGGCAGAGCGCTTACTACGGATATACAATTCCTTTTGTTTTCCTTCTCGCGCCAAGAGGGACAGTCGCGGCCGACGGTTGGACAGCAACTCGTCCGTTTATCGCACCACGATGTAGCTCCACGGTCAAGGCACGAGTGGATGAAGACTCGCTCCTCGGGCCTGACTGTGGGATAAAGGCCGGCAACAAGTCTGTTTTAGCCTGACTCCGATCGAGGTGTGAAGCTGTGAAGGCAGATCATCGTGACCATTGGTACCTTTTAGTCCTTGATCAAGCAGAGGCATGGGACCATGCAGGTCATAGAGATACATTGCTTAGTGAGTCTTCCAAAGACCTGATGAGGAAATCTATCCTCCGCCAGATATCCACTAGAATAGATGTCTGGATGTGAGAGAAGCGTAGTGCATGGCACTAGGAACTTGACGGGGAGCCGCAACAGTGACCAAAGCCTTTCCAAAATAATACTTCCTTGCTTCCCATGATCAAATGAATTCGTTATACTTTGGTTATGCTCGCTCCACCATTGGTTCTAAAGGCTAAGAATGGTATCAAAAACTCTTTCGAAACAAGCCGACAGAGTCAGGGTCCTTGTACATTCTAATCTTAATCATGGGATGTCCTGCCTACTACCTTCGATGTAGCTGTTAAGTGCCTGTGGCGCAACATTGCAATGTCGGTAACCGGCAGGCAAATTCAGGACGGACTGGCTCAGAATCAGCATCGGGAACGCGGCGTCAACGTCGCAACAGCTACATGGCATGACAGTACGAATACAAATGTACATGAATTGTAGTATGTCCCGAGTCGCCATAAACAGTGAGATATGATAGGTTGTGTGCAAGTACTTCCTGTAGATGGTGCGAGAAATGCAAAACATTGAAACAAAATACTTAACTGCGGAAGATGCATGAAGGATACATACCGATGGTCCAAGCGCAGTGGGAACAAGTCAGAACAAGAAAAAGACAAAAGGTACGATGCATCTAGCAGAATGTCTCTTTCCACCAGAAGATAAACCTTGACCACCAACTGCCCTGCCAACCATCACTACGCTGCCGAGGACCAACCCACATGCAACCGGTTCCGAAACGGATTTGTTTTGCGTCCAGCGTATCCACAAATCCTTCCTCCAAATCAGTCGTGTGTGAGTTGGATGGTATCGGAAACCGAATCAAAGGACGTCGAGTCAGAAAAGAGGGGAACGAATTGAGTAGGTCACGGTACTCAGAATTTGGGAGGTCGGGCGATGTCCATACACGCAACAACTCTTCGGACAAATCATCGTACGCAGATCTGCCTCGAGGCGTTGGCGACACATACTCTACCTCATAGACAGAGAGAGGACTTGGAGGATCGTCTATTGTATCAGAAATCAGAGTCGTAAGTAATGTCGAGTTGGTATCAGATGATTGTGATAATGATGATCCATCGGAGCGTGAAAGCGCAGGTGTATCCAAAAAGGGATCACTAGGAGCCCGTGGACGTTTAGGCGTCACACTCTTCATCATATGCATAGGGCTTTGGGATGAGAGAGGCTGAGATTGGGAACGTGAATGTGCGCCGTGCGGGGCAGGATCATCGTTAACGGTAGATGAAGGCCGTTTGGGTGAAGATGTTTCTTCGAATGCTAGGACCTGAGAAGATGAGTGAAATGTCCATGGATCGTTTGATGTACATCTCACTCCTTTTAAAACATCTATTGCTTCAAGCATGAAATCTTTCCCACTAAAAAAAAAACAGCGTAAGCAAGACAATTAAAGAGGACCGGGAAAAGCCTACGCTGTCTCCTTAAACACAGCATCGTCGATCTCCCAGTCTATTCTATTGCGACCTGCACCCCCGATATTCTCCGCTATAGTTTGCAATCGCATTAATGCCCATACTGAAGGATAGATGCAGTCTGAGTGTCACCATTACAAAACCGCATAATAGTAAAGGAGACTGACATCCGTAAAAGAAAGGTTGCGGTCCCGGCATCCCTAATGTACACCATGTTCGCAGAAAGCGCTGGAATCGATCGAGACGTTCTTGAAAAAGTGCATGCATTCAATTTTCGCGTGGCAAGGGATTTGAGATTATGGTCAATACCTCTCTGTGCGGCAGGACTGCTTGGCTTTGCTCGGGAATGGGGCAATAAGGATCCACCAGGTTGTGTAGCACTCAAGTGGGCCTCAAATTCAGCGTGTCTTCTTGCAGTTACGGAACGGTGGTAGGCTGCGCGTGTGGACGCTTGCAACCTCGCGTAAGACGCACGTTGAGATGGAGCTATAGTCGCCAGAGTCTGGGTCATCAGATGTCCAGCTTTATCGTCTTGATTGAAATACCTTGATAGATGATGGAACTATTAGCTTTGCTTAACGGGAATCTCATTCATACGTACCAGGCTCTACATTGGTCGGTGAACCTTTCTAGGTCACTTTGAACGACTCCCAGCGGGGTGACTGAACGATTCCGACGAACCGGTGATGGGGTCGGTCTGCCGCTCCTAGGTGTTCTTGGGCGCCCAGGAAACGAGGGTGACGTCGGTGAAATGAGGCGTCCCTTAGACTTGGGGCTCGTAGGTGGCGACATGGATGTAGAAGAAGGCAGCTCGTAAAGGAGGGGGGGTGACTTCGGCGACTGTTGATGGCTGCTAATGACCGAAGATGGGGTAAATGACGAGTGTTCAAAATGCAAAGGGTCCGGACGCTGCCGAGAACGAGGTGCCTCGAGACGATACGACGACCCAGTCATCGTATATCTCTTCAGCGAACGGAGAGCGTTCTATAGTGTGACGATTCGGTAAATATCTACGTATCTGTAGGAGACTGTAAGAGATTGATTAACACCTCCAGAGAAGGACAGACCTAAAGGATAGGGCATAGAAATGCTGTAATAAAGCGGGTCTGCGCCTCCTTGCACTGTAATGTACGTCGACAGTATTGCGACCGTCTTCAGGGATGTGGAGGTCGAGGTCGAAATATTGCTATCGCCGGATCGAGCCACTAAAGTTGAATTGTCACGGCACCGTCACGCCTCTTTGCTAGCCCAGGCCAGCCCTGCCAGTGCTTCGCTGACACTTGGCTGACACGAGGAATACTCACTTCGGTGAAGCGCATTGTATGGACGTACCGGTTATAAAAGCAGCGATATCAGATATTACAAGTGCGGGGTTGCCAAAATAGTGTATCGGAAAGGACTAGCGAAAAGTGAGACGGAAAGGAAAAACATCCAGTACTGTTGCCGAAGCTGCTAGTAGCATCAGTACGTATTGAAAGGGTCCTCCGCTATGGGTCATAAGCAACGCGTATCTCCCCGTAAACAATATATAAGTGCGAAGATCTGCAAAGTAGCGATGCTCATAACATTTGCCCAGAAGTAATAGAGAAGATTGAAAATACTACACGCACCTGGGGATGAGACTTGTGTACGATGCTTGATTTCTTCACACACTGCGCGGGCGGCCGTAGCTAGGCCATGTCAATGATAGATAATTCTAGAATATCAGTTATTGGCGAAGTACGTGGTACCGTCGAAATCTGAACTAAGTACTCAAGAGTGGTGCTAGACGGAGACAATGATTGAAGCACAGGAAATTGTTACAATGTTAGTGTAGTGCAGTATAAGGTCCACCAAAGACTAAAGTCGGGCTACTATTTACATCAGTGAAGGCAGCTTGCAGGCCCGACCACCGATTCCCGTTCCAGTTCGCTTAGTTGCATGTGATGGTTTGAGCGTCTTATATACAGAAACACAGAAAAATAGGGCGGCCCAATCTCGCCAAATTCTCGATCGTATCTATGGTACCGCTTGCTGCCGCCTCGTGTGGATATTCGCGGTCCAGCGGTATCCCTTGCACTAGTATAGTATGCGCTCGATTCGCATTGTTTGAGGACCTGCCCCGAGATGTTTGTGGTCTTCAGGACAACGCTAGTCCATGATCGCTTTAGTTTTGCTTCTGGGATCCCTTCATGCCTATACATCTCCTAAGGGGCATCTTCATTTTACATCAGTATACTAGCCTGTCACGGCATTGACATGGTGTTAAGAGCATCGCTACTTTATGGCTTGGCAGCCTTAGTGGTCCCGGAATTTCTAAGCAGTACAGGTATGTGTTGGCTTTTATGTATCGTAGTTGGAACCCGGGAAATTGAATACCAGGCAGGTCTGGCTTTCCCATTCGTCCATTAGGTGATAGAGACTGGCGCTCATGTCGACGTATTCCCTTGACTGCGCAGGGCTTCTGGGTACCTGGCATCTTGACGCTTCCATCTCGCTGTCATTTCCCAATCTTCAGGGTGATGACGCGGCAGTCGGTACAGTTCCTGGTCAAAAAATTTGAACTTTCGTTACATTTTTTCGATCACTCACTGACTGTTAGCATCCTGCAATTTATATGCTAAATGATTTTCTCCATCCTCGGTAAAATTCCGATTGGTTTATGTTAAAGTCATTGATAGTCATTCAACTGGGACGACGCGGAAGGAATGGATCCATGGTCTAAAGCATTCTTTTCGTCCGAAACCTAGGATAGGGCTATGACGCATTCGCCCATTGCTATTGACACCGATCTCGAGTTTCTGTCGAATCTGTCCTGCTGTTGCATTCCAAACGCTTCTCAGAAACCCAGGGCTGCCAAAGAACAGATCTCTAGATGGGCCCGATAAAAACATCCGCCAGCGTCTTGATTGAATTAGTTTGCACTGAGCGACGGCACTTTGGCCGAGTTCCCGAGGAAAAAAACCATATGGCTGGAAGATTGTGATGCCACTACACCATTCGGAGCGGTCCGAGAAGAGAGTCCTGTAAGAAGAAAGGCCGCAAAAAGGAAAAGCATTCTAGTCATGTTTTCAGAGGACATGCAAGGCACAAGAAGTGTTCATGTCGATCTGAACTGGGGAAGCTGGAGCGCTATGTACGTGGACGAATCGTAGCAAAGCAGAACCCCATTTTCAATAACATTGAATTGTACCTATCAGAGGAGCAAATAACGTAAGTTGCAAGAACATTACTGGTCCAACATAGACCAATAAAATACCGCGTCGTCGATTAAAGCATCCGCTGGATAGAAACAGAGAAGCGACGCGGAGTCTTAATGAGTGACGAGTAGGAGAGCTGGTGGCGAAATTCAGCCACAGTGAGGAGACGAACAAGTCGAATGAAGTGAAGAGTGATACGTCGGGTCCGGAGACATTCAGTAGAGTAACAGTGACCAGGCAGATCAGAAAAGGCCGTCGAGCGGCAGAAACCGAGGATATTCTCGAGTGCCGCGAGATCACAACCTAGATCAGAAGCAAGTCCGCCGATACGGAATACCACAAGGCGCTGGGGATCTAAACTAGAGCCAATCGGGACACAAGACACAAATTCGGAGCGGTGGAATACGTTAATACCAGAAAGAACCGGTAGACCGAGGCTGGAGGACACGCGAGAAGGACACGATGACTGATTGCCCATGGCGGTAACAAATCCTAAAAAGACATTTCAAAAATCGTACACCGGATCTCTCTGATTCGGGACAAGATCTCCCGGCGATGCCGATACAGCTTAGCAGTTGTATAAAGGCTAAAGTAGGGGAGAGTGAGAAGGAATACCACTCTCCTTGACTGAGGATCCCCCACCTATTGCAATATCCAGCACCCAGCACGGAGAGACGTATTGGTTCAATTTCAAGGAACAACAAGGGACAACGTACAAACTGGTTTGCATGGCTTCAGCCTGGCTTGGTTCGGAAAATGCCGAACGCCGATCAGAATTTGTCAGTGACAACCCCGCACATTTCTACCACTTCGATTACTTTCTCTTCCTGACACTCATCCTCTCTTTTCTAGCTCTCTCTTGCGCCTCGTCCACTCCCTCCCCCCTCCGACATCTCTCGCTGGGATCTTGCTGATATACTCAATCCTCCTTCGGCCGCGTCTCGTTTTCCCTTGAATCGACGCAGGAACTTAAAGTTATCCATGGATTTCGTTTCCCCCAACCATCATCAGCCTATATTCTCGCCCCAGGAGCTGGACTCATCTTTCTCTCCGAATAGTATCGAACCAGTATGTTGTCCTTGGATTTTATGTATGCATTAGCACTCATGTTAGTCCAGGAACATAGCAGCTATGAACTCTTTGGTAGTTCTTCATCAAACGGCGCATTTGGATCTCATTACCGCAGAAACGCGTCTTCCAACTCGTCAATTGGCCAAGGATATGGAATGAATGGAGATGGTGTTTATTCTCAGCAGAGCTTCAATGATTCCGTGCCTTTCACTGGTTCCAACGGTAACAGTTACGATATGATCAACAGCCTACCCTCGTCCTACAGCAGTGGAAAGATCTCTCCACTTACTCCGAATGATCCTGTACATCCTTCTTCATTTCCTCCGCCCGCTGCTATAAAGGAATACAGTTCTCAAGCGTTCCACGATTTTAATGGCACTGAGCGTCGTATTCCCGGCATCTTACCCAGCAGCTACCAATCTGATCTTCCCGAAGACTACGTGATGGGTGGCGTCAGCAATGGCCTTTCATTTTCATCTTCTGCCATGCAGCACTTCCAAGAGAGACTTCGTCCTTATCAATCTGGTCATTCGTCTACGTCTGGCGTTCCGCCACACATCACTTCCAGCCGTAGTCCAGACATTCTGCGCACCGTACCTCCTCAGGTCACGCACAGTTTCAGGCCTGACAATGGTGTATCATTCGAGGACGTTCCTTCATATATGGGAGCAAGTGCGGCCTCGAATGATATGGCGCTCCGTATGTCCAGTGTGGATGAACAATTGGCCAGAGTTGGTCTACGTAACCACCCCATGATGGGTGTATCCAACGATCTGCAGACTTTCATTCGGTGAGTTTTTTCCGTTACACATGTAAGCAATTTCTAAAGTATTAATCCTAGCCCATATCTTGACCAATACGTACGAACGCCCAATCGGCTAGCATTCGGAGAGCGAACTGTAATCGTCATGTCAAGTAAAGTCGCCCAAAAATCTTATGGGACGGAGAAAAGGTATTCACTATACCTTGCGGCAGAAACAGTTGATAAAAAGCGTTCTTAGGTTTCTATGCCCGCCACCGACGGCGATAATGATAGGCAATTCCTGGTGGACTGATGTTGTTCGTCGCGGAGATGAGTCCAAGTTGTCACCACCGCGAGTTGTGATATCTATATCAGGCGAGCCGTCGCCTCAGGAAGGTACTGTCGAGTGGACGGGTTCTTCCGGGAAGTCTTTCGATGTGAACGACCCCCCGACTGGAACAACATACATTGGCCGCTGTGTTGGAAAACAACTCTTCATTTCTGATGTCGACGAGAAGAAGAAAAAGGTCGAAGCCCTAGTTAAGATAACATCTCCAGCGACCGAAGAGGAACCTGAACGGGTGATCGGTACTTTCCCGAGTCGCCCTATCAAAGTCATCAGTAAACCTAGCAAAAAGCGACAAAGCGCCAAGAATCTCGAGCGTGTGTGATCCTCTATATTCTTTCCCTTCAGTAGCTTATACTCGCCTAGTTTGCATCAATCATGGTTCGACGATATCCCTGTTCCATCGATTGCGATCCCAGACCGTTTCCACAAAGTATTTATGTGTGTCCGGTTCAGGATCCTCGTTTAAGGGATCAGATGGCGCACCTCTCATGGGCCTAGACCAGAGAACCAGGGCCAGCTCGCCTTCATTCATAGCCCGAACAGCCAGCTGGGGTGAGTCTTCAGCACTGAGTACATTCTGATAGTTCTAACATGGAAATCGATGTAGATCCTTTTGTCATGTACATTGTGGACGTGAACAAGCCTGCCGGTGGGATTGATGCACCGCCGCCACCGCCTCCTCAGCCAGACTATCCATCGCCTCCCCCAAATGCCATCCCGTTCACTAACAATGGATCACAAATACCGATATATTATAACCAAACAGTTGTCCTACAGTGCCTAACGTCGGGCGTAGTGAGCCCGGTCTTGATAATTCGGAAGGTGGATCATCAAACCACTGTGGTTGGAGGTGGTCTCCAGGACGGCGCGAAAGGTGTTGCTGATCACTACTGTGCTCTGGGAGAGGTCTGCGGTGATCCTGTCTCTCAATTGCATAAAATTGCCTTTGAGGTGTATGACGGTACCAAAGGGGCCCCAGTACCTGGTACACCCGGTGTATCTGGTGCATTCCTATCCTGCATGGGGGAGAAGGTGAACACCTACCGACCTATTGATGGCCGACAATGGAATGCGGGCAACGGCGCGAGCTCGCCAGTGCTGCCTGGATCACCTTTGAATTCTACTGGGGGTGATTATTTTGGCCCGGTTGACAGTGCGCCGGGCTCTCCCTCTTCTGCGTCTGACCTCGTCTCGAACGATGGTGGGCGTGTTAAGAAGAAACGATCAACATCAAGCGCAGGCGCAACCTCTCGCAACGTTGGTGGAAAGAATCGTCGGCGGCCAAGTTCTGCCGGTTCCATGACGTCCTCCACGCGTCGCGGGTCGTCAAGCGATGCCGGAGGAGGCTCTGGGGCATTGTGGCAAGTCGATATCGGTGAAACCAGTGTCTGGACCATTGTGGGCACGGGTGAGCTTTAATTTCGGCCATTTTTCTTCGTCTGGCACTGATGAACAAAAATAAACAGACCAGGTCCGTTACAACTTTTATGTACCGCCCGTTTTGTTCGACAACCAGCATGCGCCACAGACGGGTTCATTCCCGGTTCCATCCAAGCCAGTCACTCCATTCCCGGGCGTGGTAAAATATCTTCCTCCTGATCGTGCATCAGAAGCACCGAAAACGAATTGCCCTTCTTCTCGTGCTGTAATGGCAAAGCCTAATCCCCACCAGGCGAAGATGCTGACACTGTATGGAGAAAACTTCTCCAAGACAGATCCGGTGGGTGTATACTTTGGTGCGGATCCGTCGCCATATGTCGAAGTTCGGTGCACAGAGGTTCTTGGATGTCTTCCTCCCGATGGTCCATCCTCAGGCATCAAGCGCCGCCCGATTATTCTCATTCGGGGGGATGGAGTTGTATTCCCCTCTTCCACAATGTATCCGTGATACTGATACCGTATTTATCCCATCTTTTTGCGCTCCCTGCTCCTGGTACTATCTTGCTTTGTGTTGCTGCTTCTCTTCATTTTTGTTGGATCTGCTTTTGTATGTATTATTGTGGACTTTGGGTAATCTAAATGAAGTTGGCTTAGCTGTATGTTGCAAGTATGCACAGAATAGACACTAGAACTTTAGCGCAGTAGTCTTGCATATGACACGTGTTTGTCAGCAGCCTCTGCTTCCGAGTACCACGGGCACGGAGAACGGTGACAAGGCGACCGACTCCTTTGCCAGTCCCTTTGCAGTAAATGCTCCAAGTTCCATCCTCTGCTTTAGTTTTGGAATCCTTTGCTGCGTCGAACGGCACCTACGTTCCCAGTATTGCCAGCGCTATGAGCCCTTCTTTTCTCCCCCGTCTCATTTGGGATCTCTACCTCGAATATCTCTGGTATTACTCCCCCAACTCATGGGTCGCCTGCATTGCCTATGGCTTTCGCATCATCGCCATATTCCTTGTATCTCCTATTGTGATTATCACTCTGCTCGTATGTCTCAGAGTCCTTCATAATTCGCTTCTTTCTTTGCTCACACTGCTGTAGGATCTCGCGTCATATGGTGTTGCTCGCACCCTTGGCATCGTTGATGCCGTCAAAGCTTCCACCAGTGATTCTGCCTCAGCTGGTCTCAACGCTCCCGCCTTAAACGTCGACGATGTCACTCCGCTCGACTCGCTCGATACATCATCACCTCATGCCTATTTCACGTCAGACGAAAATAAATTGTCTGGGGTTGATGGATTATCACCAGTTGTTTCCAGAGCCACATCTCCTACTATCACTCGACGTCAATTGCCTGAGGAAGAAGCTAGAGTCATTAGTGGGGATGCTGGTGGAGATGAAGTACATTTGAGGAGACGACAGAACCAGGCGGAGGACACAGAATGACATGATGTGCAATGATGGAATATTCTACGAAATACATGGCAGTACAGTATGGTACATATATACATAAACATGTTGCTCTACCATCCGAACCGAAGCTGATCTCGAGTGAACGTCGGTGGTTTCCACTTAAGACACTCCGGATGAATTCGCCTTCGTCGTTTGTTGCGTGCCTTCTCGTGTCGCTCTAAGACTGAGTTTGTCAGACATATCATGTTCTGACCCTTGTAGTGCCTGAACAATTGCAGGGTTACGCATCTGGGAAACAGTCAGTTAGCCAATTGATGTTCATAAAATCAATTGAAGCCTACGTGTTTTGTACGTCGGCGTGAGTGATAGACGTCTTCTGCGCTATGTCGTCAATGCTCAATTCGCCGTCCGTATTGTTCAGCAGGAGCTCGATGATGGTTTCCGCCCAGTACGCTCGGTATCCCAGCAACCCCAGGTCACTCAATGGCTTCTCCGGACTACCAAGCTTCCCTTCTTTCTTGCTGAGTTCATACGAAAACTCGATGAGAAGTTTACCATAGCCATGACGCTGATGCTGTGGCAGAGTCAGGATACAGGCAACGTTGTAGCTTTCCGCTGATTCCTTCTCCTTGGAAAAGTAGCCAATGACATGGCAGCCCGTGGAGTCTCGTTGACCCTAGGAGTCGTTCAAGAGGTTGTATACACAAATTCCAAGAGGAGCTGACCATGACATAGTACATGAAGGGCGTCACGTCATAATACAAGGTCTTACTAAGATGATTTTAGACTTGATGTAACAAAGACCGAACATAGACACTCACTGATCAAGGAAACACTTTGATAGCAAACTGAGGTTCCGACACCAGGTCAATTGACGTTTCCCATCTATTTCATAGACGGAGATGTCTTCATGGCGGTATATTTCGTTTCCAGGAGGATGAAGCATAGTACACCTCAACCTGTGTCTGGAAAGCATCATGGGAGAGGGATAGAATGACAAGCAGAATTCGCAGATGTAGAGAATAGGAAGATGGGCATATTCCTTCGGATAAGGGCTGAAATACCATGCATCGACTTCATGTTTTCCAATCTGAAGACGGTTGAGATTTTTTACACGAGCAATCTCGGAAATAGACTGAGTCATGGAGCCTGAAGTGCGTAGCTTTTCAATCTCTTGTTCTTTGCTGAATGTAGAGGTTGTAACGGGGTTTTCTGACTGCATGGATTCAGTCATACTAAGATCGAACGTTTCAAGGTCGGCTTCTCCGTCGATATCCATGTCCCCATCCGCATCTGCGTCAAGATCCTCTGGATCCTCTTCTTCCTCTTCCTCTTCATCATGTGGAGTTTTCCGTTTGAGATAGGATGGGGCTGGAGAGGGGGAGGCTACGAATTCTGGAATATGGGAAGATAAAGTTGGTGTCGGGGAGCTAGCGATGGCGGCATTTGTGGTGGCTTTCCTCAACAAGCTCTGAGCGCGAGACGCCTTTCCAGGAGCCTTCTTGGCAGTAGTATTCTTCTTTCCTGCAGACGTCTTTGGACGAGGCCACTCGAGATCCCTGCTCAAAACGAGACGAGAGCCCGGAACCCAATCGTCCAGGCGTTTATTGAAAGCATCCCAATGAACAAAGAACTCCCACTGATCCTCCAGCCTCACCTCTGCATCACTACTCTGGCTGGCTCGGGTGCTGCGAGCATAGGGATTGACAGGTTTGTCACGAATGGAAAGAATTTCAGCGAGACGCTCTTCGGGATTGCCGTCCGAGTCAGTGCGACGAATGTATATCTTGCAGCCGACAGATACGGTCTGTACGCAGTCAGTATAATAAAGACAGGAGAGAATCACGGATGGCATGATACCTGGATAGAATAGGTGCCGCCTGGAGTAATGACGGGCGGAGTACTGGGAACGTCGGTGGGAGTGGAAGGAGACATTGGCTTGTCGGAGTTTAAATGCACGGCTCAAGGCTCGGCTATGCGGCAAGTTGCCAGTAATAAGTGACTTAACTATTGTCGCCCATGGTGGGACCAGCTCGCCCGCCGTCCCAGGGCCTCAAGCGCGTTGGCAAGCCCGTCCTCGGCAATTCTTCCCACTCTGGAGTTCCTGCCTTTCAGACATCGTTCTCTAGCTTCTCCCATATCGTGTCGGTCTCTCCCCTACAGCCGCTCCATTTCCTTCTCATCATCCTTACAGCGATGCTTCAGGCAGTATCAACTTCAAAGGCAAGGCGAGCATAAATGCGTCAGGCGTTAACTTCGTCAATGGCGCCTCCTTCGCCGTTCGTATGCAAGATTTCAAACAGCTAGAAGAGCTCGGCAGAGGGAACTACGGTACCGTGAAGCGGGTGCTCCATATGCCAACCAGCGTTGAGATGGCCATGAAGGTATGTCCTATTCATATCTATATTTCTGTATTCAGTAACCTCTCTCCTTGCAGCAAATTCGCGTCGAACTCGAATCTGCAAAGTTCAAGACGATCGAAATGGAACTAGAGATTCTTCACCGCGCCGTTGCGCCTTCCATTATTGGTTTCTTTGGCGCTTTCTACGACGAGGGATGCGTGCATTACTGCGTCGAATACATGGATGCCGGCAGTCTTGATACGCTTACTGCTTTTGATATCGATGAACGATTCGAACTGTTGGGCGAGTCTCTGATATGGGAAGGTCTTCCAGAGGAGGTTCTAGCCCGGACCGTGGGCAGCACGGTTCGCGGTTTGAAGTTCCTGAAGGATGAATTGGAAGTTATCCATCGTGGTACGAAGTCCTTGCCTATATTTGGCGTTTCTCTCGTTAAACCACGCTCGCAGACGTGAAACCTACCAACATATTGGCTAATACCAGGGGGGAAATCAAGTTGTGTGACTTTGGCGTGTCCGGTCAGCTGCAGAAGTCTCTAGCTTTGACCATAGTAGGCTGCCAGACCTACATGGCTGTAAGTGCTGAATTCTTGTATCACTCTTTGAATTTATCAATAATCCGTAGCCCGAACGAATCGAAAGTGGCCTCCAGCCCGGAAATGTCGCCTATGGCGTGTCTTCCGATGTATGGTCCTTGGGGCTTTCCACGCTCGAGATAGCTATGGGCAAATATCCCTATCCAGTCGACAGCAGAGGAAGTGCCATGGCCTATGTAAGTTCCTGGTCTCTCTTGGAAGAAATTCTGATTAGTGTATTCGCCCGGTGTTAGATGACTGCCTTGATTAACGGTGACGTGCCTGCGCTTCCGGAGAGATACAGCTCGGCCGCCCGAGCGTGGGTTTCACGATGTTTGGTCACTAATCCAGACGAACGGGCGAACTATGCCGAACTACTGGTTCATCCTTTTCTCGCAGAGGAGATGAGCAAGAAGGTTGATATGATTGGATGGGTAGCAACTGCCTTAAAGTTCAAGGCAGCCAAGGCCTTAAGGGGCAAGATACCTTGAAGAATCAGTGTTTCTATCATTATTCGAGACATGTAAGAAGTGGCGTGCTGTATGTGAAAACTTTTTCCCGTCTGCGTTCCTTGTTCACAATTGTTGCAATCAAGGTGGCCATTCTCTTTACCCACGCAGCCTGCCTTCTCCGAAGTACCTTTACATGCGTCGATGTTGTCCTGTTACGCCACCTTGTCTCTTGCCAACGCATTCCTAACCCATCGAAACGGCACAAATTTGCTCTGCTTGGTTGCCCATGACTGCTTGTTTGATAGCACGTCCAGCTCCCCCGTGGGCACTTTTTTTTTTGGGTGGGAGAGGCTATATTACATAGCCGCAGCTTTAAGGCAATCACCCATCTTGTGCCAATTCCTCTAGAATATGAGTACATCGATTATGTATAGTATACAGATAATAGGATATCACGGCCAGTAATAATAGCATATACTTAAAAATCTATTGGACACCACCACCACCACAAACCGCGGCTTGGTGTGACAAAGTAACCTCGCCTTCTGCGCAGTGGGGCTGAAGCTCTTCCTTCTGGATTTCTCGACATTTCAAAGCGTATGTCCTACAAGCTTCCCGGCTCTTGGCTAGCTCTGGATCTTCATGAGATAAAGCAAACACCACCACATCTGGAAAGTTATATTCCAGCAGTTCTTTCAAGACCGGAAGCATCTTAGAATCAGGAGAGTACGTTCCGGAGTTGTTGTCAATTATTAACTCCCACTGGACTTGATCGTCGGGGACATCATCGTTGAAGTTATCCCATCCCCCAGCAGGTCTTGGATGGAATTCACCACTGTATCGTACCGTCTCGGCACAATTACTATGCAGTGCATGCTTCGATGCAAAGTCGACGAAAAAAGCGGCTCCAGTCTCCGAGAAACGGAACGAATCATCGTCGGCGGAAATAATGTAGGTGTACACAGCAGGTTTTACCCGATGGGCAAAGTCGTTACGAGAAGTAGGACCAATATAACGACTATCCGTGGCGCCGTGTAGGAGCTTTATGAAGCCTCCAGCATTTTCCAGGAGGCCAAAGCCGTTGGTCGACTTGCGAGCATAGAGCATACGGTGACCTGCTTGAATGGTCGATCGCACCGCAATTGATGCTGGTCCCTGGAAAATATTCTGTGCAGCTTTGTAATTGACATTCCAATGCTGATAGGCATCCCTAAAAAACAAAGGAATTCCGATGACGAAAATCTTCCAAGTGAAATAGCGCCGCGCGTTATTGTCCAGGTTTGTCAGAATGCCGACTGTAGGGGAAGAATGACGGGAGTAGCGTATGGGGCCGTCGAAAAGATACAGACATTCGTGGTTGCTTTTCGATGGTTGAGAGTCAATCTGAAGAACGTTATGTGAGATTCAAGGTACATGTAGAAGGAACCGGAATGTCCCACCTTGAGCCAGAAGGTTCCCCTACTGCGCCTGAGCAGAGGCCCCTCGATCTCAGCCTCCTTTGCCCCGGCAGTGATGGTGGTTTTGAACTTTCCAATGTAGTCGTCATGGGGTGCCCCGTCGTCTTTGTCGAAAACTTCGACCAGAAGGTCTGCGGTAACAGGAACATTCTTCACCCGCCAAACTTCATTCCATACTGGTGCCAAAGTATTCGTTTTCACCGTGGAACTACAAACCGGAGTCAGGGAATTGTAAAGACAAGAAAAGAACTAAGCCAGCGTACACAAGTGAGATCTGGTCATCAATCCTTGCCACGAAGTACGGGTCGGCAGTACCAACCACATCCATTTTGGGTAGACCAGAGGCCCCGATGAACTTTGCAAGAAAATTAGACGGATACGAAAAATGCGCTGTCGTGACATACCTGGATGCTGACATCGGCATAACGGACGTCGAATGAGTGCTCGTCGCCAGGCGACCAGGTCTTAGTGCTGTGAATGACGCCCTCAATCTTCTCGACAATGCTTGATATACTTGCCGGATTTCTTCGATGTCTGGTCATAGGGAACGGCGGTCAATGCGTCCGCTTATATATTCAAACAAAGTCCGAATTTGGCAGGGCTGAAACTGTACTTGGACTGTATTTTATGAGTTATAGTGGTTGCCAAACAGGACGGACCCTTCAGTCATTAACTGAGACGAAATCAGCATTGCGAGCTTCATGGACACCCAATGCCAATAGTAATAACGCCAGAGGTCCAATGCACTGCAACTACATGATCACAACACCACTGAGACGCACTGAACCTGATATCATGGTCCCATGCCGTTCACCAGCTTCTCAAGCGCATCTCCCCCAGCGATCTGGAATTCAGATGTTCCACTGCTGTTCATTACACCACCCTTCTTGGATAAGCGGCCTTGAGAGCGCACAATCTCGGTCATGCGCGACTCAGTGTCTTTATTACGAGCGTCGCGATTGCTTTTTCCACCTGTCTTTTTATTTCGTGATTGCTTACTATTAGTTATGGTTTTGGGCGCATCTCGCAGTGCAAACGCCTTCGCCAGATGTCCAATATGAAGATGTCGCACATGGAACATGTGTTTCTCTGATGAAGGATGAGTAGCATATGCCCTCATATGTGACAAAAAGGCCCTTCGAGCGAGCGAGGTATTCTACCGTCCATCAGTAAAGAATCTTCTGAAACGATAACGAAAGCGTACTTCTTTCTTGCTGAGAACCCATCGTTCAAAAGACAGCTGTACATCGGTAGCGCGACCTTCAAATTCGCGCCCTTTACCACCAAACCCACTTTGCAGTAAAGACTCGACAGATGTACATTCCAGTGATATCTTTCCTCGTTTGTCGTCGTTCTTCATCTTTCCCTCTATCCACTTGACCCATTCAGCTTCACTAGGCGCGACTATACTCCATGCCTCGCCACCTTTCCCTGCCCTGGCAGTACGACCGACCCGATGAACGTATTCGGTCTCTCCTCCCTCTGTAGGCAAGTCATACTGAACTACCGCTCGTACTAGAGGAAGATCGAGACCACGGGAGGCCACAGAGGTACAAAGAAGAATGGATGATTTTAATTTCCCTGAAATTGAGAATCCGCGTAAAGATGCCAGACGTGTGCGCGTGTCCAAAGATCCATGAAGTCGATATATCGATGTGTCGGGCAGGAGGGGAGACTTGACTTCAATAGTCTTATTGTCTTTCGCAGCATCGACTTCATTGTGGTCATCAGAATCACCATCAGAATCATCTTCCTGTAGCTGCGGCACATCACCGTTCATCATGGAACCCCCAAGAAGCTGCCAGTGGAAGTCCACTGAATCCGTGCAACTAAAGAAAACAACCACTTGACTTCCACGTTGATTCTGCGATTGAGCGATGAGCGAGCGTAATAAGGCGATCAAAAGCACCAGTCGCAATTTGAGAGGAACGACGACATATTTCTGTGACAGCTGGGAAGGGGTAGTGAATTTCTCTGGACCAGAAGCAGCCTCAGGAGGAGCATCTTTGGAAGTTGAAGGCTTGTTCTGTAAGTCCTTTTCGATCCCCTTGATCATCAAAGGTTCGACGAGGACCACCCCAGCTAACTTTTGAACATCCTCTCGTATCGTTGCAGAACAAAGCACAGTTCGTCTGCGACGCTCCCAATCCCAACCACCGACATCTCTACCAACTCCTTCCTTTGTTGCTTGGATGGCAAGATTTCTCCGGCCATTCAGTCCGTTCAGAATGCCAGTAATGGTTTCTTCAAACCCTAGTTCCATCAGACGATCTGCTTCATCTAATACCAGCCAACGACATTTTCCGACGCTGAAAGACGAGCTGTTTTGCAGATGATCCAAGAGCCTGCCAGGCGTCGATACAATGATGGGAAGACCCTTGCGCAGACGGGCCTTTTCGTGCGCACGTGTGGCACCTCCTGTGAGTAAACCAGAAACAAGCCAGCGTGTCAAGCGCGTTGAAGACGCGTCGCTGGAAGACTCATCTTTTGGTCGTAGTCGCAATTTGAGTAGTGCTTCTAAAACATCCGATATCTGCTTTGCGAGCTCTCTCGTTGGTGCTATGATGATAGCCAGGGTACCAATTGACCGATCGATATACGAAAGGCTACTCAATGGCAGCAGGTCTTGGATTATGGGAATGAGAAAGGATAATGTTTTGCCGGACCCTGTTTGCGACTGGATGAATATATCTTTGTCCGCACCCGAGGAGGAAAGCATGGCAGTGAGGGTCGCGCGTTGTATAGACGTCGGTTTTGTGATGTCCATCTTATTTGACAGGTGTGCGTCTAGCAGTGGATCTACACCAAGCCTGGTGAAAGAAGAAGAGTCTGTCAAGGGGGCATTGCTGGGGGGAGCAAGGGATATGGATACTTTCTGTTTAACTGGGATATCGACCGTCGGATTGTAAGAGAAGAGGGAAGAAATTATTTGGGTGCTAGGACGAGAAGGAGCGGGCCGATCATGATTGGAAGGGACAACGTGGGACTCTGTCCGTGGTCGCTTTGGGGGGCGTTCTTCAGTCACCTCTGGCCATGTATGGGCGCTCTCGCGTTCTCCTGGTCGACTCTTTCGCTTGGCTACTCTTTTTACTTTTAGTCTATCCAAGCAACATTAATAAGTTAAGAATTGGAAAGCGAATAAGATGACTGACCTTTCTGTCCAGCGTCCGCCTCTCTTTACGCCACTTTTCCCCTTTCCATTGGGACTAGAATCGTCGAGGGAAAGGTTGAGGACAAGGTCGTCGTCCATGATCAGGCTGGGCAAGAAAAAATGATATTATGTGGGCAATATTCCCACGGATCCTCGTGTGCTCAGAAAGCGGACACGTCCTCCTTTTCCTCCACCACAATGATCTTCCGTCGACTCTCCTTGGTCATTTTCCTCTTTACTGCCACCGCGTTTTTCTGCACTCGGTCGGCCGATGCTGCCAAGGGTCCTAAAATAACGCACAAGGTCTACTTTGACATCAAGCATGGCGACGAGGAACTTGGACGAAGTATGTCGCTCATTCATACCGTTTGCTTATTTTCCTTCATTTCTTCTCTTTAGTCGTCATGGGCTTGTACGGTGGTGTATGTGACCTTTTTCAAAGTATTTAGCCGACTATTAACTTTGAAATGCCGTAGACCGTTCCTAAAACTGTTGAGAACTTCCGAGCTCTTGCCACTGGCAAGGATAAGGACGGAAATGAACTCGGATTCGGATATAAGGGTTCCAAGTTCCACCGAGTCATCAAGGATTTCATGTACGGTGTCACTTCACGCGTTCCCGTTTTAAATCTAATGTTCCCATAGGATTCAAGGTGGTGACTTCAGTGCGTTTATCTGCCTTTTAATTTTTTTTAGTTCGTATCTATAAGCTTCGCATTAGCCAAAGGTGATGGAACCGGCGGAAAGGCATGTTCATCACTTTATTGTCGATCACAGTCTGACTTAAATGGTACAGTCGATCTACGGTGACCGGTTCGCCGATGAGAATTTGTAGGTGTTCTGTAAGAAAGCTGTCTCTGTGATTAACATGTTGCAGCAAACTCCGTCACACTGGTCCTGGAACCTTGTCCATGGCCAATGCCGGTAAAGACACGAATGGTGAGAACATCTTTTTTATATATTCAAGCAGAACTTAGACATTCCTTAGGCTCCCAATTCGTAAGCACAGCACTTCATTGTCTATCTGTGATATCGAAGGTTCTGTCATAGTTCATTTGCACCGTGGTCACCAGCTGGTTGGATGGCAAACACGTTAGTACCTGATCGTCGATGTCTCAATTTCTCTCAAACTTTCTTTTAGGTCGTTTTCGGCAAGGTTCTGGATGGCATGGATATTGTACACCAAATTGGTATGCTCCCATTCTGCACGTTCTGCATCCCTCTTATTCTGTTCAAGAAAATGTTGCAAAGTCTCGAGACAAGCCCGTCGTCGATGTCATCATTGCTGATTCTGGAGAGGTAGGGCTTCCGCCGTCCTGTCTTTTCTCTTCTAACATGTGTCACTGCAGCTCGAAGTGGGGGCCGTGACCGACGAAGAAGGAAACCAGGTACCTCTTCATGCTGAGCTCTGATCGCTTTATTTGTGGTACAAGAGATATAAAAATAAATCTTCATCGCTTGCTAGGAATCCCCAGTCTCTCAGCCAACGACAAGCGCCGCGGCTGACAATTATTTAACGACTGGAACATTATCGGCCACAACACCAATGGCAACTGAATCAATCACAATCACCCTTGAGGCTGAAGTGACCTCTTCGACTTTGAGGAACGTCATTCTTGGACTCTTGTTGGTTGGTGTTGCCGGTGCTCTCCTCGCTTGGATGCGAACATTCCAATGGCTTCATCGCGTGATATCACGAAAGGAGCGCGGTCTTTACAGGAAAGTAGGGGACGAAGACATAGAAAAGTAAGGACATATATCTGTTATCTCCCACCATGGCAGTTACTTCTCGCTCACAGACGTGTGGAATAGTTCATAGCCAGGTAAACTATTGTTATTGGTATAGTGATGGATGGTCTACGAAGGATATCATTTTACTCATGTAGACATGGTGACAATCAAGTTACCCTACGTAACAACACAGAAGAATAGATACGAATATAATGATGGAGGGTGTAGCTCCCGCTGTTCGCGGGCTTGAGCTTGTGGTGGTATCAGGCCTGTTGAATCTCAGAACGGTCCCTAGTTCAAAAAGGAAAACTACTTGCGGAATACCATTGTCATCAGAGTACGATGGGCAAGTGTCGTTGGCACTTCCCTGCAGCGATTATCAGCGGCTACATTCAAGAAGATTAAACACAACAGTCGTACTGTAGGATTGTCAGGACAGCAAACGCTTTCGCTTCCTAGATACGCTACGCTTCCCAGTGCAGCCTCATTGCCCCAACCAGCCCAATTCTCACACGAAACTGTCTGGTAGCTGATATTCCAAACCCCAAAATCCTACATAAACCCAGAGCTTTACTCAAACAAAGACAACGCTGCAAATGTTCTACGTACGGTGTAACCATACAGCGATGCGTTCGAGGGGAAAAAGTTGTCCGGAATGGCGTCGGATGGGTAGGCCAGATCGAAATTCAGATATTGTCCCGAACTAAACAGAAAGACATATAAAAGAATCGCGCAGTCCTAAACCACAGAAATTACGGACGGGTTTGGTTTCGAATCAGTAGCAGAACACCAACCGTCGCCGCTTAGGGGGCACAGATCGGTTACTTTGATGACGATATGTTTTGTAACAGAAGGGTAGAATGGAGGAGTTGATGTCCAAGTATTTAATAGAGTCAAGTTGAAGCACTTTCCACACCCAGGACCTAGCGCTTTCGGCGTTAGGGAAAGGATGCCAGGAAGGAGCAGGCCACGGACCGTACGCAGTACTGCTTCCGTATGCCATCTGAGAGAGGGCAGCAGTCGGATAATGGGTACTCGAAGGTGTGCAACCGCAAGACGCGACGTAATTCTCTGGAAGTTCATAATGGGTCATCGTTGCTGTGCCGTCAGAAGTATAATTTATCCATGCAGCCGTCTCCAGAAGTATACAGGAGAGCAGTACCAAGAGCCACGAGAAAGAAAAAAACATATCAGGTTACTAGAAAGGCATGATATCCAAGTCGTTGGTAGCACTGGGAAGGTCGGGTCGCCGTCGGCACGTGCTCGCGCTCGACGGTCAACCTCATTGTACATACCGTTTGCTTTCGGCCATGAAATATGCTTATCCGGTCTCTCACGTCCCCAGTGAACTGAGTCCTGCTCTTTTATCACTCAAAATCGCTCGACATTCTCCCTGTACTCTCTGTGCATCATGCACTGGCCTCCATCCAGACCCTGACGATGAAGTCGTCTTTGACGACGAGGCCCAACCTACGTTTTCCATTGGAGACCTTGGACAGTATGGATCAGACGATGAAGATACAACTCCTCCATACCTCGAATTTTGTGGGTGCGGGCACGGGTTGAAGGAACATGATGCCACGGAGGCTGGCCTTGGCGTCGAGGAGTTCTTAAGAAGGAGCAAGGTTGCCATTCGTCTAGATGAGCTCTTGAAGGTCTGTTTTCATCGTTGTTCCGATGGGCTAGTCTCACTGATTAACCTAGGTGCGACTCAGCCTTACCGTCATGTTTCCTAGTCGCTAAGTTCTGCCACCCACAGGATGTAGGAAAGCTTCTGGACTTTGATTATACCGACGACGATATCGCTTCGCTCAGAAAACAAATGAGACTTCCAGTGTCTGTTCTTGCACCTTCTGGTTTGTGGACAGAACATTGCAGTCCGAAATCCCCTGACATATCTAGCTACTAGGTTATTCACGGAGCTCGGATGGTTCTCCTCCTACCAAGAGGCGTCGTCTGTCTCTTTCCTCTCTTAGTGAGGCTGACGATGATGACGATGACGACGACGAGGACAAACCTCTGGCCGCACGAGTGAATTCGAAAACAGGTTCGAGACCGGAAAAGACAACCCGGAAAACCGGACAGAAAGGCGGGAAAAAGGGGCCAGGCAAAGTTCCCAAAGGAAAAACAAACGGCCTTTCACGAAAGGGTCACAAGAGTAAAGGCGTGAATGGAATAAACGGGCATTCCACACGGGTTAAGGTGGAAGACAAACTCGGCGATGAGCAGATAACACGCCTAGCCGCAGGTGTACCGGTGGATGCTTCCTCTCCCAACGAAGTAGGCTTTCTTACCTGTTACGTGTGATATTCACTCAGGTCTCGAAGCCCGTCGTCCGTACAGAAAAGATGGCCGCCATTGAACTGCGAAAAGGAGTGATACAAATCACACCTGTGGAGAATGACAAGCATCCTCGATCGTATGTCATTCTCACCGGGCTCAAGACTCTATTTCAAAAGCAGCTGCCCAAAATGCCTCGCGAATATATCGCAAGACTAGTCTACGACAGGAATTCAAAGGCACTTGCAATCATCAAACGGGGTTATAAAGTTGTTGGTGGCATTTGTTATCGTCCGTTTCCTCGTCGAGGGTTCGCCGAAATTGTCTTCTTCGCAACAGCATCAGTAGATCAAGTCAAAGTATGTGCACTATTATCTGGGTGTCTCCTTCTTATATGTCAGCAGGGCTATGGAGGAACGCTTATGGATCACTTCAAAGCTCACATTCGCAAGACGTATCCAAACATGATGTACTTTCTGACTTACGCGGACAATTACGCTGTTGGCTACTTCGAAAAACAAGGCTTTTCGAAGGAGATCACTTTAGATCGTTCAGTATGGGCCGGTTACATCAAAGACTATGAAGGCGGAACTATCATGCAATGTACAATGCTTCGCAAGGTGGACTACCTTAACAAAGTCTCTATCATCACTCAGCAGCAGGAAGCCGTCATCTCGAAAATTCGCGAGATGTCGAGGTCACATATCGTCCACCCGGGTCTGCCGCAATTCCAGGTGGGGACTGACGAAATTACCGTTGATCCTAAAGATGTTCCAGGCCTCAGTGAGCACTGTTTTTCTTTTTCGCTTAATTCTTCCAACAGTACTTCAATTGCAGGAGAGTGTGGGTGGACCCCGGAAATGTTGATACAGTGCGTTTAACAATGCGGTATTTTCTCTTTGTCAACTGAGGCGATCTTGCAGACCGTTACGTGTTACACCTAGAAGTGCAGATCATGGTTTCATGGAGCAACTATTGCGGGATCTGCAAGACCACGGAATGGCCTGGCCTTTCCAAGAACCAGTGAAAAGGGAAGATGTACCTGATTACTACGACGTCATCACAAATCCAATGGGTCTGTCTCTTTCTCTACTTTTTTCTGCGACTCAAAAAGCCCATTCCACCACAGACTTCAAGACGATGGAACACAAATTGGAGACTCATCAGTACGGATCTGTGGATGACTTTGTTGCTGATGCTAACTTGATATGGGAGAACTGTCGGGCGTATAACCCGCCAGACAGCATATACCAGAAGGCCGCCGCCAGGTTGGAAAAGTTGGTCACTTCCCGAATGGCGGAGAGAAATAAGCGTGAAGATTAAATAGCTCGCATGCGTCTTCCTTGTTTAACTTATTTGCTACTCATTTACAGTATCTGGCTTGTACTTGCATATATAGCTCACTGTATTCTAACATGCATTTCATGAAACTTAGTTTGTCATTTTCTGTGATGGGTCAATACAAGGCGGATTGGTCAACAGAAGTACATGGGTTTTCGCGGAAAGAATTGCACCAGAACAGACTAACGCTGTCCATCTAAATCCAAGTTAACACATGGCGGATAGGATGCTACAGGAAGTACACTTACAGGCCTTGGTCTCATATTTCCCGAGCCCGACGATGATATTTTGGGGATCCTGTGGCTTATTGGTGAAGTAGTTTTCTAAGATGTTCCGCGTTCCCAAAGCATAGCGAGCTTGAGCGTCGAGAGTAGTACCAGAATAGTGGGGAACCATGCCGTTTCCGCCTCCCAAGTGGTTCTTCATGGTACGCCAGACGTGATCCTTGGGGGCCGGCTGGACATTCCAGACATCACCTGAAGTAAACGTTTGAGCTATTGACGGAGTAAATGCAGAAAAAAACACGCACCGGAGTAGCCACTAAGCTTGCCGCTCTTCAATGCTTTTGCGACGGCATCCTTGTCACAAATAGCACCGCGCGCGGTGTTGACCAGCCAAGCGCCGTCCTTGAAATGGCTCAACAAATCGCCGTTAACCAGACCCCTAGTGCCCTCGTGAAGAGGACAGTTGACAGTAATGACATCGCACTGAATGGATTCAGCATCTTATCACTATATCGTGCGACGTAAAAACTTACCTGGGAAACGAATTCCTACAATGGAGAGGATAAATGAATTACATGTGATGGAGGTAAGAGCACTGTCGTACCTTCAAATCTTCGACACGGCGGGCTTTGACTTTTTCAGCAGCAGCTATGATAATATGACTTAGCATCGAATCGAGCACAGCTACGTGACTACTGACCAGCCGGGAGGGGAGCATAGTCATAGTACAATAGCTCTTTAGTGTCGAAGGGGACAAGCCTTTGAAGGACCCTGTAACCGATTCTTCCGGCACCGATAGTGCCTACGATTTTTCCTTCCAGGTCGAAGGCGTTCCGGGCGATATCAGACACTTGCCAGTCCCCGCGTTCGATCATCTAAATGTAAGGTAAGGTGATTGTGGGCATAAACAAAGAAGAAAAAGTTGACTTCATGAGCGGGTACGAAGTTGCGAACGAGTAGAAGAATGCTCATGATAACATGCTCTGCTACTGACACCACATTGGATCCAGACACCTGGCATAAGTATCAGCATGAATTCGACTTTGGGCAAGGTTGATTCTGACTTCTAAAACTTGAATCTTGTGGTCAACCGCAGCGTTAAGATCAATATGGTCAGAGCCAACACCGGCAGTGACGCAGATCTTGAGGTTCTTAGCCTGGAGGTCTTTTAGTTCAATAAATTTGGTCAAGCCACTGTTCGATGTACCTTTTCGATCAGATCCCTGGTAAGATATCCCGGGTGGAATGGTGTAGTAATCAAGACTTCGGCCTTGGAAGTGGATGAGACATGAACTAATGTACGTATCGACATCGGACACGCACATCTACGATATGTTTCTGGAAGTCGCTATCGGGACCTTCTTTGCTGCTCGAGACCTGCGAACGGTGGATTTAAAAATGAGGGTACAATCTTTGCAGCTTCAACATACTGAATGGAGAATGAGTAAGCAAGCATACTTATGAGAGCGATGTAGGGTGCTCACCAATAAACTCATGACCCTGGGACGTCAACCACTCTTCAAGTCCGAGCTTGGGAAGGATGTTCAGTTCAGTTTCACCAACAGACGCGGAGGAATTGAGCTACCTTGTTCTCGACGGTGCCCAACAGGCGGCTTTCGGCCTCAGCTGCGGCATAACCGTGGTACAAGATGGCAAGAACCTATGAAGTTGTCGTGAGCAACATGCTGCATAGATGGACAGAATAGACGCGACCTTCATAACGAATTGGATGGTATGGGATGGGGGAAGAGAGCTGTAATGGACATCAACGCCCCATCCTCTCGTTTTATATATGCGTTCGCAAGCACGAGACGGAACAAGATTAGTCCATCGTCAGATGACGGCGACAACTGACCCCGGATGAAATGCACGAAATCTACAAGTGTCGGGGAGGGATAAAAACGGATCACGTGCTCGGTACCGGTCAGCTCCATTTCCACGTCTCTTTCCCGGAAACCGGTTGATCAATAAAGCTGAGGGGTGGCAGATATACCCGTTTTGTCCCGGTACTGCTCATCTTCGCACTTATCGTAGCCGTCATCCCCGATTCTTATGCTCGTCCTCGTCTAAGTGGGAATACATCGTGCTATCCTCAAGCTCACGTTAATTCCTCAGCATCCGCGCTTTGCACCAACTCGTAGTCGCCTTCGCTACCCATGTCCTGCTCCGACATCTTAATGGTTTCCCATTCCACCCGAACAAATACCCACATCCATCTACGAATGATTTCCGCGATTTCCAAGCAAAATATGGTAATGCTTCCGTCGCTTTTTGAGTGAAGGTGGCTGGACAACTTGATCGACCAAGTTAATCGAAGTACAAGATTGAGGAATATTAGAAGAGGGTATACGGATAAAGGATACAGTATTGTAGGACGAAGTCCATAAGGATAAGGTTGACTTGCACTCTGATGATGTAGTTCCGCAGGAGACTCTATCTCTCGTGCCACAAGGGGTCTTCCGGAGTGTAGATGTGGGAGCATCAAATGGCGAGGCAGGCGCCGTCGATTATGAGTATCGCCCATCGCCGTTGGTTTGAGCAATTCTAATCCCCAATCGTTGGTGATATCCCACCAAAAAGAATACAGAGAATTGATGGCAGCAAAGAGCAACCTAAAATAGATAGGTCATAGTGCAGACATCCGACTTACAAGGAAGACCTACCACAGGCGGAAAAGTGGATGTTCACCATGCCAGGCGACTTGTGTGACCTCATCACCCTTTTTTTGCTCCAGTTCCGTCACTACTATCCGTTGGGCGGCCGACAAAAAAATAACCGGGAAAGACGTTGCATATTTTGCCGCATTGTAGAGGGGTCGATGACTTTCGTTTGTAGGGGACGAATACTCAATTATGCATTGTCGAAAGCGTACTAGATACGGAAGGCTGCACAGTGTTTGGTAATGGCCATAGATATTATGAATAGAGTACTACCCACCTCATAATTGCAGGCATAACCCATCGAAGCCACCCATCTTCTCTTGGCGGAACTAGAACACTGTTTCCTGGAGACAACATGCGCATGCATAACCAGACGTCGCCCAAGACCTTGGCAAACGACGTAAAGACATCGGCGAACACAACATCTGCGAAATACACAGGACTATCCATCGAGGATGAAACGCATCGCCGAATAGACCTGAGGCAGTTTAATAGCCCGCCGAGGCAGCGAAAATAAAGGACACGTACAACAAAAATTTGTCCCGCTCTCGTTTGTGAAAGATATGAAAAGGGCAAATGAGAACGAACAAAATGATCAGTGTTGCCACTCCCGGTATATACGCGAAGACGTCGGTCAACACCGCGTTCCCATATGTCAGATAGCGAAACAATGCCCAAGATGTCAGACACCAGGAAAAATACGCCAAAGCCAGGCGGTAGACGGGGCCATAAATTGAAGAGGGTGTCGTTAGCTGCATGCCTGCTATTCGTAATGAAATCGGCTGCTGGCTGGGATCCACACGGAGCTCCATCGTACTGATGGCGTCCACGCCAAACATGTTGAGGCCATGGAGATTCGTTGCCCATCCTAAAATGCCCAGTCCGACCAAGACCATGACGCGGAAAGGGAGAGGAAAGGAAACAGCCCAATTGATTTCATCGTCGAGTCTTGCATCGTTCATTCTCGTTGGCGAACGCTAAGCCAAGCTGGAAGGTAAAACAGAGATACCCGCAGCATGAACTGCAGTAGTAAAGCGAAAGGCGGTAACCGCCACGTGGCACCGTCGGGCCTTGTAATCCAAAGCGACTTGGCTGTGATTCGAAACTAAGTTTTTGATGCAAGCCTAATACTCCTCACAATGACTTTTCCATAAGGACCATCAAAGATAACGAAAAATACCGTAGGGAATGTGATAACCAACGGCGCCGGCCCTCCAGCAGTCATTCAAGGCGTCGTTCAGAAGATACCGACGAGCCCGCACGCGAATTGAAGAACCACCGACTGAGGCCATTACTATCAAAATGAGAACAGGAAATCACCGTTCTTCTCCGTTACAGGACGGCGCTTTGGCTCCGAGCGGGATTGAAGGGAAACAGCGCTTATATATTAAACTAAATCCAAGGCATCTACCAATAGATTCGACACCGCGCGGTATAGAGATCGCGCACCCTCGGATGGAATAGATCCTGAAAGCGCACCTTCGACCACGGAGGTGAGGACCTCGGAAGACATGTCTTTTATGATGTCTCCCGATGTCGACTGCAATGCCTCCGAGGCAATAGCTCTCATCTCGTCCAACGTAAAAGGGACCAAGGGTAATATGGTTGTAACCCGAGAAAGGATGGATGGCTGAATATTGTGTCAGTATAGATTTCCAGATCAACAGGCGCAACATACACTAAGGCGCCTTGAGACGCGAGGCCGCAAGAGGGACATCAGCTTGACGTACTCTTCCCGAGACATGACCTTGTTAGGATGCTCTAACGATTCATGATATTCGAAGACAAGGTCCTGGCCAATGTTTGATGTTCCAAGCCATATAGTATTGTGAACATCGATGTTCATGGTGTTCGCCTCAAAAGAACAACGGCCTGTAGTACATCTATGATGAGGAGAGGGTAAAACTATGTAGGACGCACATACCAAGTTCCCATGGCAGAAGCAAAGACCATAGAACACTAGGATCCTGGGTCTTCTCTATCTCCTAATATCAATTATCAGCAGAAGAACAAAGGGCTTGAGCAGACAGTTGTTACGTCAAGCACGACCACACATCTTTTGCCTTCGTTGTTGATCAGAAATTCCGCCAGCGTGCAGGGGGAGCCATCCTGATAAATGTTCACCTAGCTGTAGAGGCATAATATTGTATCACAGACCTGATAACGACTTATCGAATAAGACTGCCATAAGTCATGAGCGGATCGTAGTGTTGTCATATTAACGGTGTGAGTAGGAACGTCAAGAAGGGGTCCAACTAGATGTGAAGAGGTAATTAATAGATGCTGATGTGGAGGGAAATAAAGAGCAACATTTCTGCGCCAAAAGACTTTTCCCGTGTCCGCTAGGACCTTCAAAATGATGATAAGCCAGGCAACCCAACACGATAGATGGAAGCAGCTAGCTCACCGCACAGCAATATCACAATGGGCGCTGTCGCCTTTTGATTATTGTGTATACTCAAGACCCTGAACAACTGTTCAAGAGCTCGATCTTGGCCGATGATCCCGAAACGAATGCGAGCTAGTGGTCGGAACGAAGAGCATCGCATCAGCGTAGAAGAGCTCTTTGTAAGGAATGCGGTTGTTCTAGAAATGTAATACCTGATGATACTGTGAATACCAAAGTTGACAGCAACGAGAGAGCACTGTACCGAGTGGCCGGGTCTAACTGATCCAAGGCAGAGCCTAGCGATTTAGCGTCAGTTCCGTGGGGTGATCCAAGTTCCTTCTCAAGCGAAGAAGTATCAGCACCGAAGGCTAGCAAGGTCTTTACGATCTCTAGCTTTTGTAACAACTGATCATTTGTAATAGCAAAGGCCAAAGCCGACTGGGGTCCTGCATTGTCATTCGGGCTGGCTTCCCCATGCTCCAGTACTTGACGTACTTGTTGAACATCATCACTGGCAATGGCAAACATAAGTGAAGGCTTAGGTGTCGTGATAGAAGATGAAAGAGGGCGAGGTGGTAGCAGCACAGGAAGTGTAGGTGTACCTATATGTATTGGTCGTCGAATGGTATAATCATCAATGTTGTGGGCCTGAACGTTCGTGCTGACTTCTAGGGAAGACTGAGGACTCGGAGGAGGTTCGGAAAGCCTACTCGAGATGTGGAAATGGCTCCTTCTCCCATGGGAAGAATGCAAGTTGTCAATCCAATCATCAGGGCGAACCAAAGGAGCAGATTTTGATTCAGACGCAGATGAATTGGTGACGGTGTGTACGGATGATAACGAGGTTGTGCGAGCAGGAATTAGATTATAATCGTGTTCCGACGTATGCGAGAGATGTGAAAGCTGTAAATGAATGGTTTATTATCAGAACAAGGCATCGCACAGGCGATAGTAGTGATAATACCGAAATGTTGTTCGACAATGAAGAATTCGATGTTACAGTTGTAGACGCTAACGATGTACGATGTGAATTTCCTTTGTCTTATTGTCAGTGTACGGTCCTTCTGGTTGATAAATCCTGTCAAACCTGGAATAAATGTGGAGCTAGACGGTGATGCAGATGGTGTTATAGATTTAGCTGTTAAGATAGTGGACTAGAAAAGCGATTCAAGCGGATGTTTTCGTTTTATCTTACAAGTACGCACTAATCTGAGAGGTTTAAGGCCAGTGGAGGGCGATTTCGGTGACTGATCTTGCAGCGATTCAGTCGCCAAGTCTCTTGACGGGCCGACTTTTGACATTCGATTCATCATAAGAGACGAGTTTCGGGACCCACCCTAATCAAAAGGTCAGTTTGCATTCCTGGGAGTGTACAACACGACGAACCAGTACAAATGATTTCCTGAAGCCAAAGGGGACCTTGGTTGAGGAAGACAGTTGACGTTGCTCATCATATGATGACCTTCCGCGACTCGGTAACTTATCCCCAGCGATTTCGCATCCATGACGAGAAGAAGACGATGATGGTACGGGGGATAAGGACACAGGAGATTCCATTGCTTCCAAAGCCGTTTCTAGGATTCCAGCCTGTCGGATCAAAGGTATAATATTTGACGACAGTGTTGGGGTCGCATTTGCCTCTGATGACGCACTACGAATCGAGAGATGTGGATCGATCGTTGGTAAAGTTTTGGAAGCAGCGAGATATTGTGGTGGAGAGTCGAGCGACGTGGGGGGTGACAATAATGGCGAGCTCACGACGTCATTTGATCGTTTGCGAGATCCTCGAGGTGGTGGTGTGAAAACTCGACTTCCCAAAAGGGTGGAGGTGGATGCTGTGATCAAGGGGGACAAGCTCTTTGATGAACTTCGTGTGAGAGACTTTGGACTACTCGCTATGTTCCTGTCCGATAAATCTGAATAAGAAGTGTACAGTGCGGTAACTGTATCGTCCTGACTGATTGAAACGGCAGGCTCATCAAAATAGGCAAGTTGAGCGGTCGGACTGCCATCGGAAAGGTTATTCTCGCCCAATTCTTCACCCAGCAGTTCAGTTCGGATCCTTGATGACTGCATTTCTGTTAGGTCGTGAGTTGGAGGTGTGCTCAAGGAAGCGGAAATATCACGGTCATGCGCCCATATGGCGCCTGATTGTTCTTCATTTGAATTGTCGTATTGATCAGGGCAGGGGCATCCCACTACGCCTGTATCTAGCTGAATGAGGGGAGACCCAAACACATCTACAGAATCCAGAGACGTTTCAACACTGGATGTGTGCACGTCAAGGGCGTTAGCACTTGACTTGTCTGGGCCATCAGACGTTGGAGAATCCAGTGCGTCTAGACTAAGGTCTGGTGGATCAAAGTTACCGCGATCATTGCTAGGGAGCGGAGAGATCAGATGTAGTCGATGAAAGAAAGCAGTAAAGTTTGGGGACATGATGCGTGATGAAGGAGAACGAAATGGGGACGATAGAAGGTCAAAAGTAGACGTAGGGGCAGGGCTAATGGGGGGAGACATAGCAAGGGGCATGGGCGTAGACCAACTGCCAGAAATGTGCTCATCACGAATGGAAGAGTCGTGATAGTCGCGGAAAAACGTTTTCAGTTGGAGGTCGGGAAGATTGACTGGGGAGAGAAGATTGGGAGTGTCCGGAAGGTGAAGCTCCGGATGTGGAAAAGAAGCAATGTCGGAAGAGGGACGTGGAAAGGGCATAAAGCAAGGTACCTCCTCCAAGGAAAGGGAACGAACCGGATGGATAGTGTCGTTAACGTCAAGCTCAGAGTAAACATCGGTACTGTTGGAGGTAAGAGGAAGGGCCGTAACAGGACCGGGAAAAATATCACCATGTCCATACGTTACGGGCTCGACCGAATCCGAGGCTCTTACCGGATTCTCCGTTTGCCAGTGCGCATTTGAAACTGTCATCAAAGTACCATCGGAAGCGTCCTCAATGACGTCCTTCAGAACGTGAAGCAGTTCGGAAATATGTACAGAATGGTACGAGGCATTTGCTGGTAGTTGGTCGAGGACCTTGCCTGGTAGTATCTGGGATGGGTATGGTTCCGGCGCGACCAGGATAGTCTCATGCGGACCCCATCCATTTTCGATATGAAGAAAATTACAACTGGAGGAGAAGATACAGTTCCCTTGCCGATAAAATGGGCACGGGCGTGCTGTAGAGGAGCATTAGGGTCGACATCAAGAGAAAAGGTGGACCCCCCTTACTCTTTACTCGCCATAAGGGTTCCTGCAAAGACATGACCAGACATTGGCCCGAAATGTACTTCTCCGTGTAAGAAGAGAAAAACGAAGACCTGGGTAATAATAAGCGTGCTTTACCGTGTTGAACAATTAGGAAATGAGGAAATACGAATATGTAAGTATGTCACGCGTGACACATGCTGTGATCGGCTCGTAATCAGGACAGCGTAATCAATTCTCACTTGGGGCATGACATCCAAAGCGTCGGATACAGACTTCAGGAAAAAATGGGACAAGGAAGAATATGCAGAGAAGGCACGGAAACGTGATCTAGATGAGAAGGAACGTATGCAAGACAATGAAGAACGGATAAAGCAAGGTGCGATTTTTGAGCCTAAGGTGCCATACTGTTCTACTACTTTTCCAGGCAAGAGACCACGGAAAACAGCTCGTCGCGACGATCTTCCAAAGCCAACAGAGCTGATGAAGCGACGAGAAGGGTCCTTGGAGCTTGACAAGAACCTCAATAAAACGATGGTTGTACAGAATCCAGGAGGACGAGGTCCCGGGCAGCCTGGATTCTATTGTGAGACATGTAATCGGACATACAAAGATACCACAAGCTACCTCGACCATGTCAACAGCCGAGCCCGTTAGTGGAAACATACATCCAACGACCCCGTAGCATCACTGAGATTCCCTTCCAGACTTACGGGCAATCGGACAGACCACAAAACTCGAACGTTCTACGCTGGAGCAAGTTCGCGCCCGCATAGTGCTTTTGCGAGAAAGAACAAAGGATTCCGTGTCAGCAAAGGCATTTGACTTTGATCAGCGGCTGGCTGAAGTCAAGGCAAAGGAGCTAGCTCTACGGGAAAGAAACAAAGCTCAGAAGAAAGCAGAGAAAGAAAAGGCACGTCTGGAGCTCGCCAAGGAGGTATCAGTAGGTCAAGACAATGACATGATGGAGTTGATGGGTTTTGGAGGCTTCGGTACGACCAAGAAATAGCATCTCAAGTTGAGGTCTCGATGTTACTCCCGCAACTCCTCCTGCTATATTTCCTCACTTAAATAATTCTATTGTAGTACAGCATTTCTTTCTCTGCTTCCGGAACTGGCGAAGTCTACGGCCTGACCAAGTACAGCCCAAATTTTACATCCGCCACCTCTTGCGCCTCTTCGATGAGCACTTCCCCACTCTCGCCTTCTCCCGTCCTCTCTACCGGTACGCTTCCTATGGTTCGCCTGATCAAATCCGCGTGTTCACGCAAGGCAGCTGTGATCTCTGACCCAGAGCCCTCGGGGAAGAGATAGAAGACATCCACATCATCCGTTGCTTGCAGGCCTGCTTTTTTTCGCAGCTTCTGAACCCGGTTGGTGAACTCTCGGGCCAACCACTCGCCCTGCAGCTCAGCATGAACCTGTATATCAAGCCTCACAACGACGTCATTATCTGTGTGCGTTCCGTATTGGCCCAGAGCACTGGACGGAAGCTCCAGATATCGTTGCACGGTAAGGTCACCAGTCACCAGCTCAATACCGTCAACCAAAAGGGTACCAGTGGTGAGGTACTCCTTGACAGCGTCACTCGATACGTCCGGCAATGCTTTCTTCACTCGACCAAGATCCTTTCGGAGTTTGCGTCCCAAGACAGGCCAATCAGCGACTGCACGGTATCGCACACCTGACAGCGTCTCATCAGTACTGAAGATGACATCGCGTACATTGAGTTCAGATTGGATATAATCTTGTAGGGGTTTCACGTCAGCGTGATATTGCGCCTCGGGATGGAACACAAGTAGTTCTTTCAACGGTGTCTAGGAGAGCGTAAGATAAATATCGTGGCAACGTTCACAGCGTACCTTCAACGAGAGATTGTTCTTCTCTCGAATGTTCCGAGTCAAGTCGATGACTGATTGCATACGTCTGACCTGTCTTTCAATCTCAGCATCAAAGTACTCCTCTTTGATTTTAGGGAAGCCGATGAAATGGATGGACCGATTGTCTCCAGCAGCCGGGTCCTCTGGAATGAATCTGCGGAGAGATTGGTAAATATTCTCCGTCAGAAATGGTGTATACGATGACTAGACGTGACATTTGAGCAACGACAGAGAAAACGAGTTGCTCACATACCATAGTTCGACAGAGAGTGAAAAGAGTTTCAAACAATGTGTTGAGGGCAGCTAAGGTGTCTTCAACCCCATTTTCACCCTTCAGGCGCTTCCGGTTGAAACGGATATACCAGTTCGTCAGCTCGTCTACTAGATCAAGCAGGCGGGGAATGATGGTGTATAGTCGGTAGGCAGCCATCTCTTCTGTCACCAATTTGATCAAGGACTGACAACGGGCAAGGATCCAACGATCCATGACATTATTCGGCAATGGTGCCTGTGCATTGTACATAAAGTCGACACCGCTGGCCTTCTTTAATAATGCGACTTGACCGAGGAAGAATCGGAAAGAATTGAGCCATGGAAGTAGGACTCGGGAGATGACTTCGCGGACTCCCTCTTCACGGAATCGGAGGTTGTCGCCTCTCACAATTGGCGAGTTAACCAAGAACATCCTGTCCAAAATTTGCACCCTAAGTCACATGCAATACTTCATAAATCCCACTTACCGGGTAGCATCTGCTCCGTACTTGTCGATGATGATATTGGGGTCGGGATAATTTCTCAAACTCTTGCTCATTTTCTTTCCATCACTGTCCGGTCACAGTGAAATGATCATGTTAGGGGAAAGGATAGCTGAGACTTACGATGCAAGCACAAGACCAGTTACAATCAGATTCCTCCACGGGGCGCTCCCAAAGAGATGCGTTGACAACACAAGAAGAGTGTAGAACCAACCCCGCGTCTGATCAATGCCTTCGGAAACAAAATGGGCAGGAAAGGTTTTCTCGAAAAGGTCCTGATTTTCGAAAGGGTAGTGGAGCTGGGCGTAGGGCATACTGCGCGAGTTCAAATACGCATCTTTGGCCAAGTAAAAGGTACAACGTACCTGCCAGACTCAAACCAGCAATCAAAAACTTCTTCAATGCGTTTCAGTACACCTTTTCCTTTAAATGACGGAATGGTGATATCGTCAATGCTCTCTCTATGCAGATCTTTAATCTCTGTCCGGCCTGATAGTCTTTCGAGCTCCTCGATAGACCCAACACACACAATCTGGAACAAAGTCAGCATGGCATCATGACACGGGACTGAACAAACCTCTTCCAGATCCTCACTCGCCCAAAGGGGGATGGGTGTTCCCCAGTAACGATTTCGGGATACATTCCAATCGCGAGCATTGGCTAGCCAGTTTCCAAATCTGCCGTCTCCGACACTTTGCGGAACCCTGCAACAAAGTTGAACGAGAAAAAATGACGTAAACACACAAAGCAGACCATAGGGTTTCTTGATTATTCCTCACGAGGTCATCAACAATGGGCGTCACACGAACAAACCACGCAGGCACTGCACGATAAATCAGAGGTGTCCCCGACCTTCAAATCATTCAGGAAACAGAGGAGTTGATTTAGAATAGAGGATACGCGCCGCCAGCAGAAGGGATAAGAGTGCTTCATTGTTGACTGCACAATGAGCCGACCTTTAGCCTTGAGGATCTTTTGGATTTTGCTATCTGCAACCTACGTAACTTGGTTAGATTACTTCCACATCTGTACATGTAACCCGACCTTGACGTGATCACCGGCAAAGTCAGGGACCTCTTTTGTGAACCTTCCGGCGTCATCAATCGGGCAAGGTGGCATTTCATCAGGACGAAGGACACCGTGAGCTACAGCGATACGATGGTCATCTTCACCAAAACCAGGGGACTGGTGAACGATGCCGGTGCCGTCTGCCGCGGTAACATAGGTATCCACAACCACCCTGAAAGCCTTATCTTCAAACTGAAGGGGTTGAGTACGCATCCGTCAACTGTCGCTGGGTAAATATGTTACCTTCTCGGTGAAATACTCAAACATCGGCACATATCTCCATCCTTTCATATCCACGCCAAGGAACTGCCCAATTTTCTTAAATTTGGCTTTCTTGGGATCTTTGTAGAGTGTCGACAAAAGCCCTTCGAAAAGTATAAAATTTTGATCTCTGTCCTGATCATGGATTTTGACATAGGTGAAGTCGGGGTGTACGCATAGGGCCAGATTGGATGGCAATGTCCATGGAGTGGTTGTCCATGCCAACAACGATGTGCTAGGATCATCCACGAGAGGAAATGCGACAGTGACTGTACTTGCAGTCTTAGAAGGGGATTTTTGCATCGAAAGAGAAATAACTCGCCTGCAGGATCGTTTACATCTCTATAATCTAAGCCTGCCTCAAAGTTGGACAAAGGTGTCGTGAGACCGGTTGAATAGGGCATGACTTTTAAACCACGATAGACCATCCCTTTCTTGAAGAGTTCGTTAAAAGCCCACCAAACCGACTCCATGAACGAGATATTCAGTGTCTTGTAGTCATTATCAAAATCGATCCATCGCCCCATTCGTTCTACAGTGTTTCTCCACTCTGAGGAATAACGCATGACGATGCTTCGACACTCAGCGTTGTATTTATCAATCCCAAGTTTCAGGACATCGGCCTTTCCAGTAATATTGAGACGTTTATCGATCTCATGCTCGACGGGAAGACCGTGAGTATCCCAGCCAAAGCGACGAGGAACGTGATAGCCGCTGGCATGAGCATGCCGCGTAACTATGTCCTTATGTTACAAGGGTAAAAATGAAAGCACACGTATAACAAAGAACTCACTTTGATGGTGCCAGCGAGGAGATGACCGTAGTGAGGCAGACCAGTGGCAAAGGGTGGGCCGTCGTAGAATGAAAACACTGGTTTGCCTTCGGAAAGCTTCATACTCGTACGAAACGCGTCTATCTCTCTCCAAAAGGCCAAAACCTTCTCCTCCTCCCTTGGAAAATCAAATTGGGCAGAGACTGGAAAATCTTGTTGGTACAATGTCCAGTCAGGTGTCAAAAGAAATAAACTGACTGTCATGAGATGGAAACGCCATCCTTGATATTGAAGAATGTATTCTTGCCGTTCGTCCAAAGAGAAGGTTGTCAATATCGGATAGAATCAAGATGACTCCGCAAAAAATTCCATTCAGTCAGTAGTTGCAGCCGGCGAATGCCGATCTCAGCAAAATAATTGTTTCAATAATGGTATAAGTCACGAGACTGTGACACTCGCGACGTTGAGGATCCGGCGCGCCTTAGCCACAACATTCATGTCCCTTTTCCAAGACATCAGATACTTCTTGCCTTCATCATTTCCAGAGGATCGTGCGGCAGAACTTCGACTGGGTCTTAGTCAAAATGGTGCCATCGCTGTCCATTCCATGAACGAAGCCACGCACATCATTACCAACACCAATCGCTTTGAAAGCTGGCAGGACGTTGACGACTCTATAGGCGTTGTAACGGTATGTATTAATCATACATGAAAGATCTTACTTTTTCAATCACGGGCTCTGTCGCGTAGGATCTATGGGTCGACCGCTCTTTGACGATGGGAAAGCTTCAACAGTAGGTCTCACCTCTTCTTCCCGAATCATCTGATGGTGGCTCTAGAACGGCTTATTACTCGCCAGATCCCGCCTTTCTATTCTCCGGTGTCGTTGCATGTTCTGCCGATGTGCGTGCATATATCTACCTTATCCACTTCCTGTTTAACTCGAAGCCTTTTCAGTTGTCAGCAGCAGACCTAGAAACACTCTCCGCTGGAGTCACAGCGCTGGGTGGCCAGTGGCGATTAGGACTGACTCGAGACGTCACCCATCTGTTTGCTGTCTCGTGTTCGTCTGACAAGTACAAAACTGCGATGCAGTATCAAGAAGTCACTCATATTAACATTATTCTGCCTCATTGGTTCGACGACGTCATTCGGCTGGGGATGGGAAGTCTTGATGTCGCGATTTATCAATGGCCAGATCCGTCATATCTCAAGGACACGCAACAGAGCAACTTGGATGATGCAAAAAAGATGCGTAAGTTGGATCCAGATAAAAAGGTGCTGTACAAGACAGCTCTTTTGAGACCAGACTCTGATCTCTCTGGTCTTCCTGTCAAAAACGTGTGGGAAGGACGCCACATCTTGCTAAGTACGAGTCTAGAATTGAGCCAGGGCAGACGCGAGGCCGTTGAAAAAAGCATCCGTATTGCCCAAGGGACTATCTTGAATTACCGCTCTAATAATGGTGATGGCGACGAAGAGGAAGAACTGACAAACGTGGAATTTTGCGACATTTATGTTACCAGGTTTCGAAGTGGGAAGGCATACTTCAAGGCTAGTTGGTTTTGCTTTTCCTGCATACTTTTGCCCTCAAGATGGTATTAGGCCGCGCGAGCTGGGAAGACGATTGGCACCCTCGCTTGGGTTTTTAATGTACAAGCGACTGGTACCCTTTCCAGACCAGTGGATCAACTACTCCATTACCCCATTCCTAGGAAACCTGTTGAAGGGTTTTCATCCCATGTAAGCATTTACTGTGGTGAGTCGGTACATATTCTGATCTCATTAGGTCGTCACTATCACCAATTACACTGGCGAGACGCGAGATTATCTCAAGAAATTAATAGATGCCATGGGTGCATCCTTCACAGCCAATATGACGGGTGCTAACACTGTGGTCATTGCGGCTTAGTAGGTCGATACCACTATACATTATTTTATAGCTCAATGATTTCTACTCAAATAGCCAAACCGGGGTCAAAGTCACGAAAGCTCAAGCCTGGTCCATACCAGTTGTGAATCATACTTGGCTGGAAGACTGTTTTATCAAATGGCGAAATTTAACTGTGGGATTGGACAAGTACATCGGGTTTGCGCCCAACATGGACTTTTCTCAGCTCTTAGGTCGAAGAGGTGTGGGAAGGGCGGTTGAAGATTTGGCCGAATTGGAACGTGAAGAGATAGAAGATCGAGAATATCTCCAAACATTACAGAAGGTACCCATCGGGATGGAAAACAGTGCCCGGGATGCAACAAAAGTCGCCGAATTTGTCACCTTGCCTGTACCCGACGCAGACGGAGACATCTCAATGGGCGCCCCTACAATACTCTGGAAACCGGATCGACAGGACACGTCAGAGCCTGCGTCAAAATTACGGTCATCCCCGCATAAAGCGGACAGTTCGTCTGTTACCAGGCCGGATATGATCGATAAGCCATCTGCTGATCACCGAGCAGTCGAAAACGGTGCAACGCCAGTACCAAGTCACGGAAACATCGATATCGCCGATGAGGTTCTGGACATCAGCGACAGTCCTGAACTTCAGATGAAAAGGATTAGGAAGCGGAAGCAATCACATCTGGAAATAGCCTTTGAAGAGAAAAGTGGACCCTCTAAATCGACCCCACACAAGGCTGCTCGTGCACGCAGGAAAGGCAATGCATTGCACGTCTCGAATCCCACAACCACCGCAACCGGCGGTGAACCAGAGGTATCAATACAAACTGCTTCTATCCACAGTGGTCGTCGTAGATCCACTAGGACAGGACCTACGACGCCAACGGTGGAGGCCAGTGCTGAACGACCACGAACTAAAACAGTTACCGCTTCAACACCTCCCAAAAGAGTGGTGTCCGTTCTGATGCCCCCGATGACAATCACGCCCAGGTCCTCTGTCATGAATACTGCGCCCAGCCAGAATGTACGCACACCTTTGGGTCATGATGCGAGTCTTCTCATCACTGCGGAGGAACGAAGAGGTACTCCAGCTTCGGGTTCAAGGCCGAAGCTAGCCGTCTCATCTCCGAAGAATAGTCCACCTCTCTCCGCCGTGCCGGAGATATCGCCTAGAATGAAAAGAAGTGCTGCTGCAAAAGCGTCACAGCAACTGAAGGATACAGTCATGCCAGATGTTGTTAATTTCCAGCAAGAGATGCGACGCAGGTCAAAGAAAAGCATCGTCAGTGACATGTCAACCAAAAGGAAACGAACATCTGGCGCACTTAGTGACAGTGACCACGAGAATGATTCCAGATCCAAGAAGAAAGGAAGGCTATCAACTGGTTCGGCCAAGGGCAAGGATAAGTCAGATGAATCAGGGAACGAGGAAGATGACGCAGCACGTCCTGCACGACGCAACATACCACAAAAGACCAAAGATAACGTCCACAATAACGACGATAGTGATGACGACGACGAAAAGACATCCGGAAGTACACTTCCTGCTCGCAAGCTGCTTGAGGATCCGAATCAGAAGTCAACCACGCATACGAAAGGAAAGAAAAAGATGTCTCAGAGCACACACAGGTAAACCATCCTTTTTTCCGACAATGTGAAGACTGAATTTTTTTCTCAGTGTCCCTTCGTCGCAAAAAGCATCCAGAGTTGTTAAGCTCATGACGACCCAAGTACCTCTGTCCGATGATGTTCTCAAGGTTGGTGATTTACAAGTCATTCTACGCCCATTCCTTATAAAGGTCCATAGCATCTAATAAAGCTCGGAGTCAAGTTAACTACTCGACCGTCCGAATGCACCCATCTCCTTGCACCACACGTCGTGCGAACCGAAAAATTTCTTTGCGCCCTCGCTGTTTCGCCTTGGATTCTGTCTCCTGAATGGGCAACAGGATCTGCAGCTTCTAACAAATTGCTTCGTGAGTCGCCCTGACGCAGTCACTTTACTCTTGATGGACCTTATTGTGTGACAGCCGAAGATAAGTATCTGCTACAAGATCAAACCAACGAGCGCAAGTACAATTTCCAGCTTTCGGATGCCATTGCAAAAGCGAAGACATTGAAAGGCACGTTATTTGCGAAGAGGATTTTCTATGTGACTGCAAAGGTGTCCGTGGATCATAAACTTCTGAAGAACGTTATCACAGCTTTTGGCGGCCAGGTTCGACTAGCCTTCTTCCTATAGATTGTCTTGACATTTCTTTACAGATATCGACCCAAACACCGACGATCAGAGTGCTAAAGAGCCGCTCAAATCGTCATGTAATCTCTTGCGCTGAAGATATATCTATCTGGAGACCCATAGCTCAGCAGTTCCCTGTCTACACCCAAGAGCTCATACTCACTGGCGCGCTGAAGCAAGAGGTCGAATGGGACAACAAAGTTTTTCAGCTTTCAGAACCGTGATACATACGTACACAATATTTATGCCTATTTTGTGCTTATTTCTTATATATATATTATTGAATAACAGGCCATCTCCGCTGTAACCCCCCCCCTCGAACTTGATGATTCTTCTGCGTGCTTATATGTTCAATAACGGGAAAGAAGATATATTTCGAGTCACGTCCTCTAACATGCTATTCTTCGCAATCGAGGCCTACCCCGCCTGCTGTGTCGGTGACAGGTCATTTCGGATTCGGAATAGCATTCGCTGCGGTGACAAGGACTTGCAGATCAGGAAGTAGAAGGCATGGGTAAAAGCTGGAAGGGAAACGGAAAGAACAAGCGACCAGTTCGGAGAAGGTATGATACCCTTTGGATAACAACACCACTATGCACAAGTCCGTATTTGCATAAAGACGGAATGTTAGTGCGCTGATCTGACGATGTGAGTTGAAGTACGACGTCGATATGTTATGAAACATCCAAGTACACGTAGACCGAAGACGGTGACCGTAATAACCGCAAGGGCATTCACACTGGATAGTGTGGAAGGAGAGACAGACATTTAAAATGTTGCATATGCTAGATTAAGCGCCAGTGGATAGTGTACATTGTCCTGTGAAAATGTCAAGACCACGATAACACGAAGTCTTTGTAAACATGGTGAGATATCCAGCTCACTTCTAACCCCTCGCCCCCGAAAAAACCCTATAAATGAGATCCAGAAAAAGGTGCAAGGCTTTGAACAGAGTCACCATGTATAGGATGACAAATACCCAGGAATGATAGACGAATATAGGTATACAGAAATGAGGCAGCGGACGCGATTCCTGTCTTGCAAACAGCGACACATCACAAAAACGTCCCTCGTCTGCGACAGTAGACTTCTTGCGATGACGTACTCCTAAGGTGATGCTTGAGACCATGGGTTAGTATACGGTGCGAACCTCGTCGACCGTTCCCTGTTTCCCCTATTTTCCCTGACCTCTCGGGTGCGCATCACAGAGTTGAAGCCTCCCCGGGCACCGACCGTCTCGATACACGCTTGGAGTCTCTAAATTTGATTGCCTTAGCAACCCACTGGGCGACATCCGTATCCTTCTTGTCCTCATCCTTGAGAAATCCGTGCTCCAGAAGTTCCGTGTACGCCGCTCTACGGTTTGGACTTCGTTCTAGACATCTTGCCACCCAGCCACAGGCAACATCACTGTATCCATCGGGAAGAGTAGGTATGTCGCCGTTGATGATGTAGTGTAGCTAATGTGACAAGGGAGATTGACACGAAAGTCAGGTAGAAACAGCCAAAAAGACATACCTGAGCAAAGACATTCTGATATGATTCTTGAGGGTATGGGTACTTCCCCATGGCGATTTCGATAACCGAGAGACCCAAGGACCAAACATCGGCGGCCACCGTGTATGCTCCCAAGTTGCCCCTAGTTTCACCATGAATCCGCTCGGGCTACATATTGACTATATAAGTAATCGAACATATAAGAGGTTGGGAGCCTACGGCCATATAACTCTGGCAACCGATATTTGTTTTCGCCAGCGACTTTTCTAGCTGCTTTGAAACGCCGAAGTCGCAAAGTTTGATCTGACCTTTTAAATTGACCAAAACGTTCGTCGGCTTGACATCTTACCAGAACTGGTGAACGTAAGCAAGCAGGGAATAGGCATAGAACTTACCACGATGCATGACCTCTCTTTCGTCCTTCAAGAACTTTAAACCGCGGACCATACTCCCTGCTATACGAGCCAGGACATCTTCCGGTACCCGTTCCCACACAACAGTCTCGTTACCAACAGTGTACGATTCACCAGCTTCAAAAGCAGTAAGTTGATCGAGACTACCGGCATCCATATATTCCATAAGATAGTAGACACAGCTTTCGACCGTAAAAGCGCCATGAAACTCGACGATGTTAGGCGCCGATGCGGATTGTAGTATTTCAAGCTCCCGGACTATGGATTCTAGCTTGTTGAGATCCAGTTCTAGACGGATTTCCTGCATTCAAGGAGCATGAGCTGAGCACTAGGGCATACACGGTAACAAACCTTCATAGCCATCTGTAACTTTGTTGGCTTGTGAATGGCGCGCCGGACAGTTCCATAATTGCCCCGTCCAAGTTCTTCTTCGATCTGAAGGTCTTTCATAGCCATAGAATACGATCTTCCGTTCGAGAAAATAACACCGGACGCATGTATTTGGGTACCACCAACGTTCAAAGCACCTGATGCATCACTGTGAAACAAATATGTATCTGGGAAAACAAACGACTAGAGACAGTGACGTACAGCATTCTCGAAAAGGCAGAAAATGGAGTGCCAACTGGAGCATGCAGCCGAGGGCCATTGGGAATTGGCGCTCTTAGTCCAGCTGCCTGAGGACCACCAAAATGAATGGGATCAAAGTCGCTGAGGAACATATTGGGCTTTGGCCTGGCCCGCCCTCGAGGAGCAGCAGGATGCGCTCGTTGAACTTGGGGCTCGGAGGAGGAACGGGAATTGGGGACGGCTGGACGGTTCTGGGCGTTGGCGTTGGCGTTGGCTACGGCGGCCATTTTTGCGCGCAAACTAGGCGGTATAGGTACCGCAGGGGGCGGGTTTGCGAGTAAGGACATGCTGGACCTCCGAGCAGTGGTGGTAGTCTGTAAGAAACCCGCGGTTGCGGTTGCTGCACTCTTTATTGACCTGTGTTTGAAGTGGGGCGCATTCCTGACGTCATTGCACTGCTTTCTTTCCACCGGCGATGGCGATGGCGATGGCTAAGCTTACGCTGAGCTCCAGTGTGCAGCTATCTTCTGGTTCGTTTTACATCTTCTATTGGAGTACTGTGGCCCATATCAATAAAGGATATCCTATGCCCCTTCTTGGCTTCGGCGTCTATCAGAACTACAACGCGACCCCTTCTGTTATAGAGGCATTCAGAGCCGGCTACAGGTCCTTTGGCTTCAATACATTCTGTACTACGTCGATTGACGCTTTCTTCTTTCAAGGCATGTCGATTCTGCCCAGGCGTACAAGAATGAAGCCGATGTCGGTGCTGCTTTTCGCGCAAGCGGTTTAAAGCGGGCAGATGTCTTCCTAAGCATGTTTTCTCTTCCCATCGAGATCAAGTATATCTTAATATCGACCGTCGTATTTCGTAGCCTCAAAGTGTGTGTCCAAGACCCACGGATATGACAGCACCTTGAAAGGTGTCGATGAATCTCTAAGCAACTTTGGAGTCGGTTCGTCGTGCTCCCTTCGTTCTTATCAACAACTAATGCGAGTGACAATATAGACTATCTGGACTTGTTCCTAATTCACGATCCCTTTTCCGGCACTGAACGTCGTCTTGCTACATACAAGGCCCTTCAGGAATGCAAGCAGGCGGGAAAACTTCATACCGTCGGCGTCTCTAACTAGCAAGTCTCGCGCCACTACTTCGCATCGTCGTGATTAATTGTATCTTGCACTCAGTGGTGTCAAACACCTGGAGGAAATAAGAGCGGCGGGATTCGATATGCCCGCCGTCAATCAGATCGAGGCAAGTGTCTTGATTTTGTCTTCTGCGTCGTGCCAGTTCTTGATTGGTACTGGCTCTAACAGCTCCATCCGTTCTGTCAACAAAAGGAAATCGTCATGTATTGCAATGAAAATGACATTGTAGTGCAAGCTTACTGTCCCCTCGTTCGAGGGAGAATGGATGACCCTGTAATAACCAGCATTGCCTCCAAAGTTTGTCGCCTCCTTATTCGCAGGCATATATTTTCTGAATTGAGCTCTCAGTATAATCAGGACCCTGCACATTCTACTTCGCTGGTCGTTACAGAAAGGGTAGCATTTATGCTCATCTCCAGTCGAGTGCCGCACTCATCTCTCCCCCACAAAGATATGTTCCTCTTCCGAAGAGTGCAACTGCAGAGCGTATTCGCTCGAACGCGAATCTCTACGACTTTGAATTAACGGCAGAAGAAATATCAACTCTAGATTCACTAGACCGCGGAAAGGACGGTGCAGTGAGCTGGAATCCTGTTGACGCCCCGTAATAAGAAGATCACAAAAAAGAAAAGTCTAATCTTGTATCGCAAAAGCGCTGCAGCCAATCATATCTCTTCGATGGCCTATTTTATAAACCAGCGAATCGCAGAGTTTGCTAAAAACATACTGATTTTGAAGGTCTGCGGCTCTTGGCCAATTACAACATATACATGGTGACCAATAGTAGGATGGCCACATGCTATGGCCAAGATGCCAGTGCCAGTGCATTATTGTCGAAAACACGCAGGCGCGTCGCACTATTCGGCAGCTCATCGGACTCGGGGTGGATAACTATGTAAGTATGTTATGGGCGCTATATCATCCCTTCCATCAATGGGCAATGCCAGCCAATCGAATGGTTCGGACGAAATCCACGGAAGGGAAATGTCATAAGACACAGTAAAAGCAAAAACGTTGATAGCGCATCTAAGTTAGTCGGCTCAAGCGCAAGATCCGTGTGTTCGCAGGAATATTTCAACTTTAAGCTGGCGAACCTTGGTGATCTAAACAGGCAATTGAGCTCTGAAGCACCGGGCCAGAACAAGACACCAAGCTTCTATCGCCACTGCCAATTAAAACGAGGGTACTCTCTGGACAATTCACCGCCCGTGTATTGGCTGGCCCGTTAGACGAATAGGAACGAAGATACAAAAGGCTCCTTCAGGCTTCCAATCAGGCTTCGTCCTCGACGACGGCCTGGGAGCGCATCCTCTCTCTCAATAAGGGGCGCTACGTCGTACAGTTGTTATCAATTTCAGCGACATGTCGTGAATGATCGGAAATAACAAGTTGGATGTATTTCCAGTTGGTGTCGCGCTACTACTACGCTGCAGCAACTCTCACATAATATCATTTTACACTGACTTCTCAATTCAAAGCTCACTTCTTCTCGGAGAGAAGGCCAGAAAATTACCTGTTTCTTCCGTCCGACACCGCGGCACACCCCCGAGTTTTTGAGGGTTATCATTCTGGGGGGCACGACGGATCTGCAATATCGGATACAGTGCCGTTATTTTCAATTTTGAGACCGAAATGCCCAACGTTTGTTATATCTTACAACGTGTTGCGCTGTCGTCGGTCGTCGCCTGCCTCGTGCACAAGTCCATCCGGGCCACGGTGCATGTGCGCCGCTCCCGCACTCCTGTAACGAGGTGATAGCCATAGCACATTTATATTGTCAAAGCAACAGCACATTACTGTGAGTGTATCATACGTGGTTTATGTACTGCAAGGTTTACACTACAGGAACGAGCGACGAAAACAACAAATAGATAACAGAAAGGTCCATAAGGCCTACGATAAATTACAACTACATATCGTTAAAATACCCAAAGCCACAAGGGGTGCCAAAGAACGGACGGAACAATAGACGAGTGAGTGCTTGTATGATAGAGCAGATCCAGGAGGCAAATCATCACGGACAGCAAATATGAAAGATAGTAAGATAAAGCAGAATAATCGAATCATGACGAATATGTGACAGAGAATTCAGTGTTGTGGGGTGGATTTTCGAGGGGCGTCGAGTTTGCAGTAGATCTATAAGGCCCGTACATCTCCTGAGAACGATTGAACGCTATCGCATTGCTGCTGTTCATTTCACCACCCTCGATATGGTTATTGTGAGAAGGGAAACCGCCGTCGACGGCATACACTTCCGGATAGTTCATGGTATAGTTACAATCGGCCGCCGGTAGTGAATGTTCTGAGGTATCAAACCGGAAGCTGTCGGGAAGCTGGCTTGAAGACGTTGACGGTTGAAACGCGGGATCCGGGACGCCGTACACGAACTGGTGTCCACCAACATTTGACGCAGACTGCGACGTGTCATCAGCGATCGAGGCGTCTGTGGCCTAAGGAAAAGGCAACGTATCAGATAGAATCCTCAGGCGTAGCCAAGATACCCACACGTCGATGGTTGTGCAACGCATACGCCAGCTCACTCGAACGAGAGAGAGGTAAATTTGAGGATGTGCCCTCGTTGACTAGAGACGGAGTGCTTCCAGGCGAGACTGTCGAGGACGGCGACGGATATGTGCTTGTTGCCACATCATCACCATCTGAACGATCTTGAGTGGCAGCGGCGCCATTCCCGTCACCTGGAGGTGAGAATTTATCCAAAGGGCTTCCCTGGACTTCAGAGTTACCCTGAAGCCCACTGACATCCAAATTGGACATCATACCAAGGAAGTGGTTGGATGACCTAGACACAACGACATCAGCCAAAAAGTTGCCTCTAGCGAACGAAGGCACTTACCCCGATTCCCTCCGACTAGCATTTGGGGGAATGTCCTGTTCCATGCAGTCAGAATAATATACACTGGCATTGCTCGTGTCGCTCGTGGCAACTGAGGCGATAGAACCAAACCGGGACAGGGCCTCGTAGGATGACGTGCGGTCATCCTCAGAGTCTTCGCTTTGAAAGGTGAAGCTCCGATTGGGGTCTGGAGAGCTTCGCTCGCTATCAGCTGACGACGGCGGTGTCAAGGACGGCGAAGATGTGCTAGCAACACCAAACGAAAAGTCTGGAGACGGAAGGGGACCGGGTATGGTGGAAGCAGCCATGCGTGACGAGAACGCGTACAAATGGTTATCGGGTAGAGAAGCACGGGCGGCATGGAACGAGGAAGACGAATACGAGAGAGGGATACCCTGTGATGTATAATGGAAACCTCGGGAATCAGCAGATACATGACGGCCATGGAAACTAGCATTCGACGGTGCGGAGGCTATATGTGGGAGTTCTGGACGAGGATAAGGAATGCCAGAGACACGGTTCAACGGATGGCGGCCGTTAGAATGTGATGCGAGGCGGGACCCATGGCCAGTAGTGTTTTTTGTTCTGGCGAGGTGAGCGTACGGATTAGAAGCGAGACGATGCAGACTTGCATCGACGGATAGGCGACGAGCGAAGGGATCGAGATGACCTACAAGGGGAGGTCCCTGGGACGAGTGATCTGAATGAGGTACCATGTCAACGGGAAGTGAACCTCGCCGGAAACGATGGGCATCATTTGGGTCGCCAAGCTGGCCGAGGAAAGCAGGGTCCTCTGGAGTGACGATAGGCGAGCTGTGCCATGATGAACTTGTTGAAGAGTCAGCCCCGGTGAAGACATGCAGACGTGGTGGAGACGGCGCGACGGGGCTAGACTCATGGGAGCCACCTAGTCCTGCTATGTCGCGAAGATAGGATGGGAGCTGAGAATCAGAGATGCCGTCTGGGTCAGAAGGCGAAGAGGATGGGTCGGCATTCTGGTTATCGGTAGATGCTGCTGCTGCTGCTGCTCTGTTGGCGGCCTTGCCGGCCTTGGTTTTCTCTTTTGCGCGACTGCACTACGTGTAAGACAAAGAATGGATGGAAAGAGCGACGCGTACCGATTTTGGAACCAAACCTAGGCTCAAAATGAGAAGAAAGACGCAGGAAAAAAAAAGATAGACATACCTGGACGCCTCTTGGGGTCATATCCAATCTGGCCGCTAGTTCATTGCGGAGAGCGGCATTGGGCTTGGTGTCGCGCTTGAAGATGCCCTCGAGAATCTTGAGCTGGTCGCTGGTTGTACGTTTACGATGCTTGACCTCGTTGGGAGTATATGGATAGAATGCGCGAAAGTCGACGGCAGATGGGTCCATGGGGGGTGCAGCCATGGACGGAAAACGGATGTCAGTAGAGGGCGGATAGGCAAGGGACTGGGGCGTGGTGGAAAGAGAGTGGGACTTTGCAATGTGAACGGGAGGGAGCATGGTTGAAAAAAAAGAAAGGGATTAAGAGGCGGGATAAGAAAGGGAAGAAGGCAAGCCAAGAGAAGGAAAACAAAGATTTGAACAAGATTTGAGATTTGAGATAATCGAAATAATCGAAATCAGCAATCACAACTGTTTACTGTGTTACTCGGGTAAGCAACCTGCGTGACAAGGTAGTCACACGGTCCACGCTGCAATGGCAGTATCTGTTCGTATCGCAAGAGATTACCCTCAGATCCCGTATTGCTCCCGGCCGTTGCCAGGAACCCGCTGAGAAATTGTGTCACAAGTGCGCCAACCGTTTTAGGTTTAGTCGACCATGCTGCCGTCAAAGGGCAAAGTACAACACCAACACGAAATCAAAAAGAACAACCTGCTCTGCGAACCAAGAAATCAAGAAATTCAAGGGCTGTTGCTTCCTGGCGTATCTGTTCTCTATCCTACTCAGCGGCTACAGTTCTCTGCATTTGTTACCAGCAACGTTGTTACGAACCTTGGTTGTCATGTTCGTCGTCGTCGTCATCGTCGCCGTCGTCTCTGTGCCGCTCGTTCTCTCTCTGTACGCTTGCCATCAGATGCCGTATTCTCATCAGATTCATCGACGAAGCACTCTGTATTAAGTAGCCGGCGTTACCTACCCAAGTAGCACAGCACACAACAGCAAGCAAAGCTCAACTCCCCAGCCTACCAGTCCCAGCACCGTCATTCCTCTTCTGTACGTCCAAGAAGGATACCCAACGCAAACTGTCTTCGCGCTCTTCGACGCGCACATGCCCCAGCATTCGTTGCGCCACCATTTCAAATCCCATACCGCCAATGGGGATCCCGCGAACAAGGAAGAACCCCCCCTTCTATTGCCTTGCTCCCAACATCTCCATCTTCTTCTTTGGCCGGCCACGGGATAACAATAAATAGTTTAGATCCTTTGCATACCGATACGCTGCATACGCCCTGCCGGATCCGTCCGTCATCCGCTCGGACATTACTGCACCAGCGACAACAGGGAAATACCCGATGCCAAGTTCCTCTGTCATGCCATAAAGTCAGCTTCAACGTCCTTCACCAGACGGCGCGTGCTTACCCATTCCTCAGGTACTATAATATTCGAAGCCGTTTCTAACATCGTCATGCCAAAACTGTGCGTGTCGTACGTGACGTGAGAAAAACAAATACCGTTGGGACCGCGGGACATACCAAAACACTTCCGCTACCTGGCAGTTCCTCTGCCGCCAAATATGGTGTTATCCCCTTGCCGCTCGAGGGCATTGGTCAGACAGGTCCCAGGTCACCTAGGGTCGTAGCCCCAGACGCCATTCCGGACTCACCGATCGTGAGCCCATCGGAGCTAACAAGAGCTAACATCCTTCGCTAGCTTCAGATCGTGCACGATGTTTCCGCCTTTGGGTACCACTGCAAACGCGTATGTTAACTCGATATCAGACGTTAGCAGCCGATTTGCAGTAATCTTACGTTACTCACATCTACGATGCAGCTTCCAAATCCCAGCTCCATCGACTTGCGGAATCCATGCTCGTGCTCTCATGAGGGGTCACTGATTTTACCGCACGAATCCGCCCATGCAGCCTTCTTTCTCAACATTTCAATGTCGTGCTGTACCTCTGACCTGGCACTAAACTCCCTCTTCCATAACCGGCACCTAACATTCATCAAGATCACCGGGAAAACACCTCATCGACGAACCGAGGACGGCACCACACCACAGAAGGCACTTACCGATGATTGCCCTCAATCCTCTTCGATAGCTTCAATAAATAGCACAAGTTTCAGTCATCGCCTCCCTCGAGTCGTACCTTGATGGGTAGCCGCACCAATCTCGTCTCGTTCAGCCTAGTCATCTTGACCGGGTTCCTGCGATGACATTGATTAGCGCGCTAACGAGAAAGGACCGGACTTGTAGGCGCAACGCGTGCAGGGATTATTTCCTCAAAGCAAATTAGGAATTCGGGTATGCCCTGATGTAAAACGAAATTGATCACCCTTACAATCACCATCAAAAGGTAGTCCATACCTCTTTCCCAGGAGTACTAAATATCACTCCGGAGTTCCTGCCGTAACGTCCTACCCAAATGGACTTCGCTGCAAGTCTCGCTTGGGTCCAAAGAACTTGGGACTTCCGCATCGGGTACAGCATCACGCTGCGGTCACCTCCCCAGCAAAAGAAAGTCTTTCCGCTTCCATTCTCAGCTCCTACCATCGTCCGCTCGGTCATCCTGAGAGTCCAACGTCATGTTGGATTTGACGCTGACATTTATGTCCGAATGAGTCAATGTCATGATGAGGTCAAAGCTGACCGCGCTTTCCATTCAAATTTCCTCGTGAGAGCGCTCGCTTCGCTAGGTTGCGATTTATTCGGATGCCCGGTCGAAGGGATGTCGATGGTGAGAACGAGAGAAAAGCTCGGAGAACGGCATGAACAACCAACATCGTCCTCATCGGTGCCGGTAGATCGTAAATTCGATTTCGACAAGGAGCTATATCGATATCAAGGATCGCGTTCAAATGAAAAACCCGAAATCTCCCCCGGTACCGACGTAGACGAAAGGCAATATACCGTGTTGTAGAATGCGCTAGCCGTTGAATATGAATGACAGAAAGATTAAAGTTTTAACCCATGCGTTGCAAATGTCGCCCGTTTTGGGGTGGAGAAATACAAGGCCGATGCCTGCTGCAGCCAGCTGTGAGTCACAGTACAGAAGCTCCTGTGTTCGACGTCAAGATATCAGACAAATATACGCACAAATAAACGAGACGTACCGCGAGAAACACGATGAACAGAAACCCGACAAGCGTTTCCGTCCAATCCCCGGAGACCTTTCCTCCTTTGTCCTCGGCGCACTGATGTGACGAAAGAGCAGTAGGATAGGTTCCAAAAGGTAAGAAGATGTACAATCAGGTAAAGGACCTTTCTCGCAAACGAAGTATACGCCGACCACTTCTCAACAGTTGGGAGGAAAGGAATTCGCCCTGTAATTTACATCATGGTACTGAAGATATAGAGAAACGGGCGTGGGCGTGTCGTAAAAGAGCAAAGGCCTATGAGGGACCGACGGTCCAGGCTAGTTCCAGACTTTGTTCAACATGAGTCACATGATCGTGAACTCGGCGAGGGAGTAGTACTTTGTTGATTCAATTAGGCAGGAGAGCGCACAGCTAACTTGCGTCACATCGCTTTGCTGATTGATGATCCGTCAATAGTTTAAAAGCGCTTCCTCCAATATTCCTCTGCCTAAACGAGGACGTGCCAAGTCAATGATTTCAAGATGCCATTCAAGATACATTACAACGCTATAAATCAAAAGAGGGAATTTACGAAATGGCAACCGCGAGTACTCGAGATCCTAGAACGAATCGACAGAGAATTGTTTTCTTGGACTCTGCACTTCATGAGTTGCAAAAAGGACAGCTAAGGTGCATCGACCTCATAAGTGACCGATCACAATATCGCAGATGTCGTTACCACCATGGAAAATGAAGTGGAAAATGAAGACGTAGTAATCTATGTCAGGCTGAGTAACAACTGGTACTAGGGGGGCAGCGCTAAGTCTTGACACGGAAATTTCTCCACGGCGCACACTGCCATGTTACCAACACGTGAAACGACTTTTTACATTGGCTGGATTGTCTGCTTGGAAAAGAAGCGTCTGGGTGAAAAGGTCGACACCCGGGCTATTAATACTATACTCATCTAGAAATGAGTCGACAACGTTGAGATCGCCTTGACACTACTCTCTGATACCTATACGCTTTATGTACGCCTTCCGCTCATAACAGAAACAAAAGCAAGGTTGTATCTGATTATTTGACCAGACTGATACTCAAAGATACTGTACCATTGGCATGATACCTGGTATGGAGCTTCTCCTGCGAAGTCGGACGATCGATGTTGATAACTGTCCTATCATATGAGCTTCTTGGACTCTAGAGGCCAAACCGGCGATGGTAGTGTATGCCCAACCGGCGGTAACACTTAATTTCGGTCGACTTCTGCACATAATTAAAACAGGGTAGAATGGAAACAACAGAATATCCGAGAACGACACATTCGAGAGAAACTCGCGGGCCTTGGAGGAGCGGCGCTACGCATGTCAAACTTCAAAGCTCCTGCAATGCCAATAGCCATGAACTTCTAATGACAAGAACACTTATCGGTTCGGTACTCACGATACTCAGTAAATTGCCTGACACTAGCCCTTATGAACAATGCATCAGTACCTGCGTCCGAATACGCCTCAAATAATAGTACTCACTGTTCTCAAGTATGGTCCCATCAGGAACGTCAATCTTCTGACCATCCTTTGCAACGACTATGAGTTACGATCAGTGACAGTGTCCTCGGATAGCGATGTACAGAGAACCAACCGATGACAGTTCCCCGAAGAGTGACGCTTCGACCAAAATAGACATCTCCTGCAACTGTCAAATGATCCAGGTCGACGATATTGGGAATTTGTTTAAACCGCCTCTGAAACTCGTGGATCTGTGTATGTGTCAGCTCGGTGAAAGTATAGATAACGACACAATCCGCGACTGACGTTCTTGAAATGTTCACCCAGCTTGATAACGGGAGTCGCGTTGAACATTCTATTCGAGTCTAATACTAATTGACCATTCTGAATATTGTATATCCCGCTTTTGATGAGAAGGAGATCTGAACAGTTCTTCACAGGTAAGAAACGGCTTCTAGGGACATTGACTGCGTGTGCGTTCTCAAAATACTTGATCGCAGCTCCTGCAGCTGTTTCGAGCTACCAGAACAAGTATGAGCGAGTTTGTTGGATCGGGAGAGTAGCGCTGAGATACCTGAATCACTGACTGACCATCGCTGGTAGCGTTCGGAGTGACGATGATGTCCAAGTCCATGCGGCCCTTGTCCATGATCCTCTTCAAAGCTAGGCTGGGGGATTAGATAATTATCAGCGTTAAACGCTGATGACACACCCCGAAGATTTATCCACAGATTGTTCGTGTTCACGATGCCGAACTTACGCACTGTAGACATGTAAATAGCAAAAGGACGGTGAAAATCTCACTTCACGCACCGGATTGAAAATCTTCTATATGCTGGGGTGGTACCTGCCCTAACTCAAGTAGGCAGAGTGATCCGTTGAGATCGACCAGAGTGCCTCCCTTGAAAAATCAGAACATTATATTGAATAGCCCAAGGTTAACGATACCTGTAAGTCGGCCTTCGTTTTGCCCGTCACCTCCATGAGAAATTCAATTTGCTCGTCGATCATATACTGCATAATTCTTGTGTCGACCCTAGACAACGGTGAACAAGCAATGCAATCAGACTGTAGAAAGGGCCGACTTACGTTGCGCCCAAGTTATCAGAGTTAGATACAAAAAGATACTCTTTTCCATCCTCTAGTAACTGATCGAGTACGCCAGAGTGGAGTAGAGCATTGTATAGATCGCCGTGTCCAGGCGGATACCAGTTCTTCTTGTCGTCGTCCGCACGCCTGGGAGAAGGCAAAAGTGTGTCCTGAATGATTCGGGGGTATCTGGATTGGTTGAATGTCGTGATACGAACGTTCTGATTGGCGTAGTTCCTGACAATCCGCAAGGTATCGTCCTCGGTATTGAAAGATGTCATAAATACCAATGGAACGTCAACATGATGTGTTTCGTTGAGATGCTTGACTTGCATAATCGTTAGGTCAAGAAATGTCAAGTCGTCCTTAACGGTCAGCGCGCTCTTTGCTCCAGTCATTCCTATACAGTGCGATATCAAAATACGTCTGATGTGGATACTCTTGAAAATGCTTACCCATAGATGTACCTAAACCGCCGTTCACTTTTAGAATGGCAAGCTGATTCAGAACAGTAAAATTGACGCTGGGATTAAGGCAATCCAACTGGACGACATCGGGAACCCTGATAAGATCCCAGTTCCTAAAGCATTGGCGTCAACGAGGGGTATAATAACGTCAGATGTAAATGGCTAACAATTCCGGACACTTGTTACGTTCCTGTTGATATCTTGAGAAGAGCTGAAGAAATGAACCCATTTCAGAGTCGAACTCCTAGGCATAAATACCCATTAGACTTCTGTACATGAAGTGATATGATATTGACAAACCTTCTTCCTCGAATGGTCTGGAATTGTATCTACGAGCCTACGGAGCTCTCCCGACATTGTCGGAGGCCCAGGAGGCGCGTTAATAAAATAATTGCGCCTGCGAAAACGTCGAGGGGAATATTTGAAGAACGGTGACATAGTAGTATGTAAGAGTGCAAGAAGGGAGAGAGTGTACCTATAGGCTGGCAGACATTTATACCATGGTTATCGCACAAGCACACGCCTATACCGTGAGGACATCGTGTTTATGGACTGCGCGAGGAAGCAAGCAAGCATCCTCGTTTCCTTCACCTGAGAAATTAGAGTACTAGTATGATCGGTATGTTGTCCTTTGGAAGAGGAACCCAGGCATATAAGACCAGTGTCCATTCAGGCGGCTCTGGGTCAAGCCACTACCGCCGTCGGAAATCTGGCGAGCTGCTGCTCGCCCCTCCCCCCGCCACTACCCGGTAATACTGAAGATGGTTCGCATAACGAGGTTGGATACCAGAGAGCTCATCATCATCACCGAATACAAGAGACAAGGTGCTGTATTCGCTGTTGCATAGTGGAGTGTGCTACGAAGGGAATGCGCACCCGTCCAGCCTGATGCCATTCCAGCAAGCATACTTGCCGTCGAATATCGTCTTTCAACGGAACACGCAAATGTATTCTCTGCTGCAATGTTCTGTGAGCTGGTGGGATATCATTACCTGGTCAACATCCATATATCTCCTAGCGATGCTATCGCGAGGGAGACTGCTGAGGGGAGTCCCGCTCTCTCGAACAAGATAAATCTTCCCGTGCCATTTTCATTGTAGTAGTAGGGGATTGTACTACCCGTGCTGCTATCGTCGATCATTTCTGAAGCTCGCGGACTATGATTCCGGACGTAAGTGTACGTTGACAGTAACTTAGGATAGCGGACAGTAGTAAACTACAACGTGACCGATTGCACGTGTAACGGTAATTTCCATCGGAGATTCAAAAAAGTAAACCTTATTCTGAGTGTACCCAAGGGAATCCACAGAAACTCGCCATCTTTCCGACCTCAAGATATGGGTATGTCCATTTTCCTGTCGCTCGGCCTCTTTGCCCACAGATTCGTTAACCTGTCCGCTAGGTATCTCGCGCTCATCAAGACATAAGCGCTCTGCTTCGGGAGCCCAGCGTGCCCACTACCGCAAAAAGAGAAAATTCGAGCTCGGTCGTCAGCCCGCTAACACCAAGCTCGGAGCAAAGCGCATCCATACCGTCCGTGTCCGTGGTGGAAACCACAAGTACCGTGCCCTTCGTCTTGACACGGGCAACTTTGCTTGGGCTTCTGAGCAAGTCACGCGGAAGACCAGGATCATTGGTGTCGTATGTGTTTGAATAACTGGCCATCGTTCTTCTCTGACATTGAGTAGACGTACAATGCCTCGAATAATGAACTTGTGCGAACGAATACCCTCGTCAAGAGTGCCATTATCCAGGTCGACGCGACGCCCTTTCGGCAGTGGTACGAAGCCCATGTACGTGTTAAGCTTCCCTAATATTTTACTTGTCTTATTTTTAGTCCTATAGTACGCCCAACCTGTGACTAAGAAGGGAAAGTCTCAACCTGCCGCGGAGGATGCGGAGCCTAAAAAAGTATCTAACCACGTCAAGCGTGTATTGGAAGAGAGGAAGAAGGGCAAGTTGCTTGCACGTAGTCCCTGTGTAACCGTCCTCATTTTTCCCCAGATGCGAAGATTGATCCTCTTTTGGAGTCTCAATTTGCTGCTGGCCGTCTGTATGCTGCCATTTCTAGCCGACCGGGGCAGTCTGGCCGTGCTGACGGCTATGTTTTGGAGGGTAGAGAACTCGAGGTAATTTTTACCTTTCTCTTCTCTCTTCTCAAGCACGTTCTCAATACTCGCATACAGTTTTACCTCAGGAAGATTAGGACAGGCAAGCAGAAGCATGCGCATGCTGCTTAGATTACTCTGGTCTATCATTCGCGTCTGCGAGGGAGGATAACATTGCGTGTTGTGATATCTTATACTCCGTATGCCGTGACCTACTGTATGAAATCTATTTGCTTGCGCTATGCTGTCACAATACAATATGCTCGTTATGGTGTGAATGTATTCTTTGATACGGCTTCTGTAAGAATGCGATACATTTTGTATCTTGGTATAATCTTGGTTGCAAGGCCCGCGCCTGTTGAAGTGAAGGACTGTTTCTATGGTGTATAATAGGGAGGAGACCAAGGGTTTCAAAAAAGTCCATCAATTCTGTCGTGTATGCTAACGAGTGAATGCTGTTTCCTCTCGACCAGACCAGTAAATAATAGTGGCGGCGATAAACCCCAGATAAAAGGACGAAAAGTAAGGAATGTAAAAACTGAGACGAAAAGCTATGGTATCTTGTAAGAGTCTGTTTTCCTCTCGTTGTATCTATGGGGTCCATTAACGTAGTAACCTTTTAATCTTCCGTCTGGGGGTATACGCAAACCATCGCAAGAGATTATAGCTCCTGAAGGTCGAATGAACAGGTGAGCAATCTCGATGTATGACAGAAGAGGGAAACTTACAATCATATTCAAGTTACCAGAGAGGAGCCCTAAACAAATGTAAGCAAACCGACCAAAAATGATGTGTGACAAAGGCATACTGTTTTCGAGGATACAGCCGTCAGGAATGTCAATCCTTTGACCCTCGTTGGCAACAACTGGAAGAGATCGTGAATTCGAAATCACTAAGTACACACTATCTACTCACCAATCACAGTTCCACGAAGAGTGACGTTTCGTCCAAAGTACACATCACCAGTGACAGTCAAATGATCCAACTCGATGATCTTCGGAATCTTTTTGAATCGCTTCTGGAACTGTTGAATCTATTATGAAAGATGTGAATGGGTTGTTATTAGGATCGAGTGGCGACATGTAAAACGAACCTTCTTGAAGTGATCCCCCAGTTTGATAACAGGAGTCGTCTCGAACATTCGTTGCTCGTTGATAACGAGCTGACCATGCTCCAGGGAGTAAATGTCACTCTTAATGAGGAGAAGGTCGGAGCAACTCTTCACAGGTAAGAAGCGCTTTCGAGGAACGTTAATGCCGTGAGCATTCTTGAAGTGCTTGATAGCTGCACCTGCGGCAGTCTCGAGCTGATATGATGCCGTCAGACACGTAACTCGACGAAAAGGACAGTGGATTACCTGAACGACTGCTTGGCCGTCATCAGTCATCTTGGGGTTGATGATGATTTCAAGCTCCATTCCTTCGGTCTCCATGACGCGCTTTAGGGCTACAGGCGGCAAGATTAGGTCAAAATGATATCACCCAATGCATCAAAGACACGCACCCTTGAGGTTGATCCACAAGTTGTTGGTGTTGAAAATCTTGAATTTCCGCACTGCACAGTAATATTAGATTGGAAAACTCGGAGGCTGAGTTAGGACCTACCGGACTTGAAGTCTTCAACGTGCTCTGAAGGAACCTGAGCAATTTCTAGGAGTCTCATGGACCCTTCGTAGTCGATCAGGGTCCCACCCTATATGTCCCCTTGATATGTCTCAAGTGCTTGGATGTGTGGAAAAGAACATACCTTGACATCGGCCTTGGTCTTATCCGTGACCTCCATCAGAAACTCGGCCTGTGTATCGATCATATGCTGCAAGATGTGCTCGTCAACACTATATATAGGCACAGATGTAAGCCATGATTTAAAGGTAGCGCAAGAGTGGCTTACACGGCACCCAAGTTGTCGGAGTTGGACACGAAGAGATATTCTTTCCCCTCGGCCAATAACTGGTCGAGGACCCCGGAGTGGAGCAAAGCGTTGTACAAGTCCCCATGACCAGGAGGGTACCAGTTCTTCTTGTCATCATCCGCACGCTTAGGGCAAGGAAGGAGGGTCTCCTTAAGAATACGGGGATATCTTGACTGGTTGAAGGTCGTGATGCGAAGCTGCTGGTTGGCATACTTCTTAATGATACGAAGCGTGTCCTCGTGCGTGTTGAATGACGTCATGAGAATGAGAGGAACGTCAACACGATTGGTGGTGTTAAGGTGTTCAATTTGACGAACGGTGAGGTCGAGGAAAGTCATGTCGTTCTTGACCTCAAGCGCACTCTTAGCGCCAGTCATACCTGGATGCACACGTTAGCGATAGTAAGAACCGGACGTGGCGTTTTTTTTACATACCCATGGAGGTACCAAGACCGCCATTGACTTTGAGTACGGCGAGCTTGTCGAGGTTCTTGGTGTCGTTGGGCTTGGAAAGGTTGGCGTATGGAACAATCTGGTCGTCGGCCGGAGATTTGATGCGATCCCATTGACTGGATACGGATAAGCGGGAGAGAGAGAAAGATAGGGGAAGCGCGACGTACAGATCCTGGCTCTTTGCCCGCTCAGCGAGATAGCGTGTAAAGAGGAAGAAAAAGGACTGCATCTCCGTGTCGAAAGCCTGCAAGGAGGTGATGAGGAACGTCGATGCTGCCGGAGACAACGATGCATACCTTTTTTGTGGCTGGGTCGTCAACGGTCGCCACGAGATGGCTGATTTCGTTGCGCATCGCCTTGGCAGCGACGCCGGTCGTGGCAGTCTTGAAATCGATGTGACTGGTGCCGCGAACACGGGCATTAAAGGAGTCGCTTCTGGGCATGAGATTCGCCATTTTGCTAGAGCAGAAATAAGGACGAAGAAGGGGAAAGGGGGTAAGAAATAGCGAACCTGAGGCTGTTTATTTGTATGGGGACAGTGGTGGTGGTGGATATAAGTTGAGGAGCAGAGGTGGTTCTTGTGAGCGGAGCACGGGGTCTGTGATGACGCTTGTGTAGATCGAGGTCGTATTCCCGCTCTGGCACTAGATCTTCCTCTATGGGCTCACACCAGGACACCCGGTGGCCAGTAGATGCAAGTGCAGTTAAGAGTGACGGCGTCGTGGATGTTCGTCGCTTAAAAGCGCAATGTTTCTCCGATGTCTGTCGACGTGGAAACTGATTCGTCCTTGCACACAAACGTGCTCGATCCGCTATCGTTATATATCCTCTGTTCCTATCGGCCCTATTGCCTGAATCGAATCCCTGTTCGATTTCTCGTTGGCATGTGTGCTGGCACAGCTTGTATACAGGTGCAGAGGGGCATCTGATAGCGGCCTTCTGCCGGAACAAACATTCCTTTACAATTCTATCTACAGCCAGCCATACGTATCCGCCCCCTTTGACTCCGAAACACCCCTGGTTCAAATGTCCTGCGGATGAATGCCTTCTTCAATCCAGGTGTCTGTCACCAGCTTGATAGGGTGTGTATGTCGCAGTTGTTGCAGGGGGCATCCGCGCTCATCTGGCGGCGTTAAGATGAAAAGAATATAATCCTAGAGGCACTTTAGATCGAAGCGCTCGTAAATTTTCAAGGGCAAGGGGAAGGAGAGCATACGTACCTGTACTGTTACATTTCCGACATTAAAGCCCGACGTTTTAACATCTGATCGGCATCGCACTTCTCCCTCCCAGTCTGCGGTCACCTCTTTATCGGGGTCACCATCCAGAACGCATCCAGTTGGAGACGCTAACGGCGGCTTCGCCCACACTTTCCCATCTCCCAGATTGAAATTTCGCCACGACGTTTTCCCACTGATAGTAACTGATGTTTGTCGGATCAACGACACACGGACGGTTGGTGTTCCCCATGCAGTCCTTGATCTACTCCATCTTTTACTTTCTGAATGTGCATAGCCGCCGACAAGTTGACTAGGGGGCAAAAAATGACGGAGAGATTTTAATGGCCCAATAAGCTGTATGTGGACCGGAATAGTGTCCGCGAGACCGAAAGTTTGCACAGAAGGTATCAAAAACTAGTGGTGTACATTAAATAATAGACAATACCACGACAAAAATTCAGTTTGCTTACGTGACACTGTATCGGATCCAGGCCAGACGACGGTCGGAATTGCATGGCCGTTATAACTTGATACCATTCCTCGGGAACATTCTTGAGCATTGAAAAGATTGACGGACACCGGAGAACTGGTCGATTGGGACGCGCACGGGGCCGATAATTGACCTGGATCCGATACCTTGACCAGTCCTAATGTTGGTACAGAATTTCTGACACGGAGCAGAAAAATACTCACGTCTTGGTAGGTTTCCAAAGTGAGAATCGTGGCCGTTTCTTGGTGATAGTTATGTTCAACATGTACACACATCTGACACAAAGCGCAGAGATGCCATAGAAAAGTGCCTCGTAGGACGGAGGTAATTTGCGCGTCCGATTATCGTCTACGAATGTGGCAGGGAAAGATATTGAAAATGGTATTACATTGGGGCAACGAGGAGAGGAGCTTTCGTTCCGTTTGAACAGGATATACTTCTCGGAAATGAGCGTGATAATACTAGATCCTGCATCTGCAATCGAAAGCGTCAAACGGCCCTCCAACTCGATTGACACGTCAATAAAAATATTGGAACACAACAAGTGGTCTCCATACCTTGACCGATACGCTGAACATTTTTTCCCCAGAAACCCCCAGCTCTCCATTGATTATTGAATTCTTCCCGTATGAAGGCTGTCGCTCTGATAGGTCTTGATCCTTCAAGATGAGCGTAAGTGAATTCCATTTTCTCACAATGCTTCCAAGTTCAGGCGGCTCGCCTGGCGTACGCGGTGTGGATTCAAGCCTCGCTTCGTTAGGCAATGGTGAAGCAGAGTATGATGGGGCAGGTCGTGAAGGCGTATAGGTGGGCAAAATCTGGCTCATAGTCAGTCACAGCGTGCGAGGTTCACCTTGGCGTAGCCCTTTTATCAACGACGACCTTTGATCTCGGAAGGGTGTGGAGACATATGGTAACATCATGCTTCAACTCGCAGCGAAGCTCGCATTCACGTGTCACAAGTATTTTAGAACGTATCAATGCCAGGTTTGGTCGACGACGGTGACACTCTAAGTCTTAGTGTCAGCAACATGAATACATAAGATTGAAAGAGTGTATATACATGCAATGGTCCATTTACATTCCTCCGGGAGCTCAGGGCTCTGCACTTATCGCTTAAGAGAATATCCATGCGACGATCATGAATATGGAGAGCGGGAAAATGGCCACATCCCTGATGTCTCGTAAGAAGCCGCTGATGAAACCTCTTTGTTTACTAGCTCCGACACGTAGAGGGGCCGCAAGCGAGCAACACGCGTATTGCCATTTTATGTGACGCCGCCGTCCAAGATTGGACGAAGTAGGTAACGGTAAAGACAAATTGTTCCGGTCACTCTGATATGCAAAGTCCTTGTCTTTGTCGACGTCAAACCTCGACCGAAGTGTTTTGAAGAACGGCGATGACGCCCTGCCGACATGAAAGTTTTGGTTAGTAGTTATGGAAGGCCTGGATGTCATCCATGGCGGTAGGCGTCGTGTGCGGGAAAGGTTCACCACAAGTAGCAAAAGAAGCGAGAGTACGATCAAGGGAATGTAGATGTTCAGATAAATGCCTATCTGGTCAGGCAAAAGACAGGGCTTGTTGGCGTGGCTTGATCTCGACACCTCGTTAGGAGGTACAAGGGATAACAACTGGAAACCAGGTCTTCGTACTCCCATCGCCATAGAAAAAGACTTTACAGTGACCTCCTTTACGTGCCGCAGCTTGCCATCTAATCGAAACTCGTGATGGTAATCGCAATAGTCGTGATCGTCGCCACTACAGAAGATCTGTTAATGACAGTTTTGTTTACTGAGTAGAAATTTCTTAACCTGAAGATCAACGTCGGGCGAAAGCTGTCCATGAGAAAGGTGCTCGTCTGTTTCCCGAGCGTGTTCTGATATCCAAGTCCAACTCCACGGCGAATGGTGCCTCTTTCTCGAAGGGGACCACAGTTAGAGCCGTCGGGTCTCGACATAGGGATGTGACTAAAGAGAATGACAGGCTGCATGTGCTGACCTTTAGCGGCATGAGATTGGGTCTATCGAGGCAGGCCAACAACTTACCAGCAGAAAAGGACTTGACGAATTGTATAGGACCATCAGGAGCGGCTTTCCAATCGTCGAAAGACTGGCCGCGCCCATTCCTGCGGTAGTCTTCTTCCACGAGAGTCGGGGCATCCAGAAGCACGAGGGTGTGATTGGCAATAGAGAACTGGCTATTCAGTGGGCCAAAGTGGGAAATGTAGCGCGCACGGGCATCATGGGAAAAAGTCGCTGAAATACCCAAACTGAAACGCGGTATGAGAATGGACCATAATATATGCCATAGCCGTACCCTGTGTCGTGGTTTCCCGGAATGAAATAAGCTGGCATGTCGGCGTTCAAGCCAAAAATATGCATAAATCTGCGAAAATAATCTTCATATCTAATGGACACCAGTGGTAAATGGTCCTTGCGGTGCAGTGAACGGGAAACACTTACTCGGAATCCGACATCTCGAGCCGCCCCCCATCCATCATATCGCCCAGGAACACCACGGCATCAGGCTTCTTTGTTGCAACCGCCCGCCAGCTTTTTCGCAGATTCAAATCCGTGAACAGTCTTGAGAGAAACGTCAAGAGTGCGGAACGACCGGGGTAAGAACGGTGGTCCAGAATTTGTGGGTCAGCGACGATGAGAACATGCTTGGCAGAATCCTTCGGACCCTAGGCAACATTTCAGTTGGAAATGCAGGAATGGAAGCGTGGTGAGACGGACGGCGACGACATCAACATCAGGCCATGAACATCGGCCAACAACGTAGTAAAAGGTGCCGAACTCGAACCATAGGATAGTTAGGATCCAGAGCGCTCGTAGGGCACTGACCGCGAGCCGATTTCTGACAGGGAGCCTCATACGGTGGTGGTAATGGTGGTAGGAAGATAGGAGCTGGTGACGTGAGGCATAAGTTTGACACGCCAGATCTCTTGCTCAATTCGTTCTCATGCTCTTAGTAATCTCTCAGCTGTTAAACAGTACTTCATTCGTTCTACGCGATGATATTTCTTTCCGTACTTGGCCTGCACAGAAACCCAGTATTCTGTACTTCCCCAATTCCGTAGCGTCAGTGATGCTCCTCGCCATGCGCTCCATGCTCGAGGAATGGGTGATTGCCCTGACAATATTCAATCCAAGAACAAAGATCACAGCTTCAAGTCCCACCAGTAATTTTGCACTCCCATCCTTTCTGTAAAGTCCTTAACAGTGAAGTCAAATGTCCGAGGGCGCTGGACACGCACCTAGCGCGATAGAAGATGAAGAACCACATAGTTGCTCCTAGCGCTTTGGCAAGAAAGTTGTGTTTGAATCCCGGTAGATGGGGATTGAATCCAGATGCTGAGATAAATGAGCTTCAGAACGATGTATAGATGACCAGATACTCCACATACGATGTGCCCCGGCCATGGTGGTAATTGAGAAGGCGTTATTTGTCGTTGCTTGCTTGCGATAGCATGCGCGAGCACTGGCAGCGACGCGACTCTTCCACAATACATTCCGTTCTAACTTTTCACTTCTTCGTGCGCCATGGTGCCTAGTGGAAAGAACGAGCCCCGCTCTGTCATTACTTTTCACTCACCGATCAGGACATTCAATCGTATCTTTTCTGGTAAGCTGAATACCCAGGCTTCTCCCAGCTGTTAACTTGACATAGTATTTCTCGTGTTGTTGTAGAAGATTCCCTCCAGGAGATGAAAGAGGCTGTTCGCAAAAAATTGGGTCTGTCTTTGGCCTTGCCCATACATCTAGACCACCTACAAGGAGAATATTGCATAGCCTTAGAAGATGGTGAGCTTACTGGTCATGCGCTAAAATTAGTGCTCTAAGTCTGCTCGTGACAGACGATGATTTCAATGCATTTCAGCAGCTTGCGAAGTCCATGGCATCCTTGATTGTCCGTGTAACAGTGGGAGGCACGACTGATGAGGTGAAATATCACAGCTTGTTGTTTTTATCTCCAACTTACTCTCAGCAGACACGTAGTGATGAGTCTATCATTACGGCTATGCAACCCCCACCTATCAAGGACATTCTTAATAATACTTCCTCCGTTTATTCCGGGGAGCGAAGGGCGTCCATCTCCAGAACAGGTTCCACAAGCAAGAAAGTTCGCGAAGTTGAATATAGGACCTCCACGGTGGAAACCTCAAAAAGCGGACTTGCAGAACGGGGCAAACGAAAACACAGCGCAGTGGATGAAGATAGCTCGAATTTGAAGACCACTCCAGACGGCAATGTCGTATTCGAGCCAGCACCTGCTGATGTTCCAACCAGTCCAAAACGAAAAAAGCTGAAACGGAGTGCTACCACGGCGGGAATTTCAGATTCGGTCAACGGTATGGACGTGCTTGCCCCACCCGAGGAATCGCCTTCTGTAGCCCCGAAAAAAAGGAAGAGGAAAGTCGGCGATTCTACATCCAAGGACCCGGTCGTAGTCGACACTACCCAGAATTTGTCTGGGCAGCTAGACAAAAAGAGCTATGTCGCTAATTCTGGCGATCTCCATCGTAATGCCAAACCTGCGAAATCCGAGAAGAAGAGAGGGAAAAAATCGATTAATGATACAAAACCGGATCGGATGGAGGATGCTGAAAGGGACAGTCCTTCTGCAGCATCGGAGGTACGAATTTCTAAGAAGAAGACAGATAAGAAAAAAGCAATCGAGATGGAGTCTCTTTACAGTCTACCTCCGTTGACCGACCCGGGAAACTCGGGGGTATCCAAATCCTCTGCAGGCACGCCATCGCGCGTCGCAAATGCCATCAAAAAGAAAACTCTCCTTTCCAATGAAGACGAAGCCGAAGAAACCGTGGCAGATGCCTATGACAAATTTTTTCGTTCCGGTAAGCATTTAACTTTAACACTAGCGCTGTTGAGCTGAAACCCACGAGTTTAGGTCAAGAATCAGATCACGAGGAAACCGAAGTGTCCAGCCAAACAGCCATCTCAAATAAGAATGCTAAGAAGCGGCCTACAGAAACAATTAAACCCGACGAAAATTTAACCAATAGTGCGTGTACTGGCTTGTCGACGGGCCTGAGTATCTATCTAAGAGCGTCGATCAGGCAAGCGTGTGGGACAAAGAAAGGCGAAACAATCCGATGGTAATGTTTCTTGGCACATCTCCTGCGCATATCTTGATCCTAGCCACAGCAGAAACATCGAAGAGGGCCTCAACTGCTGAGGAGTTAGAGGCCGCTCAAGCCACGATCAGGGCTGCCATTGCCCAAAATTCATTGCGAAGAAATCAAGCTACAGTTAATGATACAGCAACTGCTGATGCCGGCCTCTCAGCAGCTATTTCCAAATTATCATCTAGTATTATGGGCGGGCCACCCACTTACACTTCGGACACAGTTCCCGCCACGGAAACTAGACCTTCATCGTCTTCAATTTCTAAGGAGGCAAAGAGTCGCCGGTTGAAAAAACTGCCCCATGTTAATGGACATTCTCACACTACTTTGCATGCCCCTCTGGAGCCCCGTAGCTCTGCGGCAGTGTCTACCATCGAAATGGATGTTTTCGGTCCTGTTACTAACCCTTCGTCTGCGGTAAAGAAATGGTCCGAGTCTGGGCCTAAGAATAATGGTCGCGAAGGTGATAGCTCCCTTGACAAGAGCAGCCCCAACGGAGGCGTAACTTTGAAAGAGATGATTTCTGGAGATGATGAAGAGCTTGGGGCTTTGATCAGAGGACCCCAGCGTGGGCGCATGAGCGTTGGTCAAATTCTTTCGGTGGCCATCGCAGGTAGGGATGAAGACGATGTTAATGGAGAACTCGAAGAAGATGAAGAAATTCAACCGAAGTATCGTAGCTTTTCTGTTGCGGATGCATCCTCATCGGAAGATGAAATCGAAGACGGTGCCTCCTCCGACGCAGTTCCCGAAACAGGCCGGCAAGCCTCTGTTCCTTTGGTGGCATCTTCTATCCCGCAGGAACATCGATGCGCTTCCCCAGCCATGGGGTCTTCTGCCGCTGATTTGAAGGTTGTCGTCTCGAAAGGCTCAGAACAGCCTGCAGGAGATGATGACCATCCTGTAAACGGTGCCCTTGTGCCCGCTGCGCCTGAGGAAGAGTCCCATGCACCTCCGATTTCTCCCAAGCTCCCAACGAGGCCAGAACCCGATTCACCCATAGAATCTTTTGATGAGCCACAGCAGGCATTTCAAACTCACATATGGTCGCCTCCTCCTCGCACCAATGGTTTGCTCAAGAGGATGAAGGGTAAAAGCGTGTCACTTTCCCCTCAGAAGCCTCGTCTGCAACCACCAATGCTGTCAAGAAATGGGAAATTGAACGGAGTTTCAGAAGAAGCTGATCCCGAGGCCCCGAAAATCGCATCTCAGTTGCCGTCCACGCAACTTACAGCATTGATGGAGTCTATCGATTTCGACAGCGCTCCAAAGCCTGTTTCCCCTACGCTGCGCCGGCAATCCTTGGATACCTGGGCGATACTCAAACCCTCTTCTCCCAATACTGATGCCGATTCATCTATGAATTACGATGAACTTGTTTCAATGAATTATGAGGAACTTACATCAAGTACTCGCAACGATCGTCGTCTGGCCTCGCAGGTGACAACGCAACAAACCGCTGAAAGAGCCAGCCCATCGGACTTTCATGACTCCCAACCAACCGACGATCCTCTGTTTCTTCCTTCGGAGTGTCAGCATCCGTTTCCCTACTCTCAGTACCAAGCAGGGACAGATGACCAAGCACTCGACGCCAACGATTCAGAGGACGAAGATGAGGTCGAGGCAACCGTAAAATCAGAACGGGATGTAACTGCCAGCTCGTTTCGTAGACTGACAGACATCGGAAGTCAGAGGAACTTCTTTTCAAACCAACCGCTCGGGCGGCAAAAGGCAGCCTTTTCTCGTCTGACGCAGAAAGATTTGTACGGCAACGAGATAGACGATGATGAGTCTGATTCTTCGGATGGAGATAGCGACCGTGGTACTGAAAAGACATCTCATATTCCTCAGTCACGTCGAGCAGGAGCAAAGTAGAATATTTTTTCGGTATTGTTTCTTGAGAATGAAGCCATAGTACTGTCCTGATTCATTTCTGACTCGTGCCCCATCACATGGCCTGGCTTTGTCAGCAATGCTTCGAAAAACTCACCTCGCGTCCAGACGACATTTACTCAAGGACCACCACAGTGGTGCTGTATCTCTCCAGTTGATGCTCTTCACGCAGAACACGCGCGACGAGTAAGGTCGATTCCGTTCTCGTTTTCTGCATCCTGACCACCCTTCCAGTTATTTGAGTGACCTCGTATTTTCTCTCTTGACGCATTGAAACATCCGCCCGACATGCTCTTTCGATCTATCCGCCATCTCCCTCGACTTCATCGAGGTTTTGCCACCCAAGTCGGCCCTGTATCGACGATACCTGCGTCAATTCATCTTAAAACGGGACAATCATTCCATGGACGTTCTTTCGGCGCCCCTAGGAGTGTCTTTGGAGAGACTGTCTTCTCAACCTCAATTACTTCCTGTATATTTTCATCTCATTGGTTTCGAATGGGTTTTCACCAAGCTTTTTCAGACACAGAATCCATGACGGACCCATCCTACCGAGGACAGATACTTGTCTTCACCACGCCTCTCATTGGAAACTATGGTGTTCCCGCTAACGCTACACCGTGTGACTCACAAGACGTTGGCGTCGTCCTTGAGTCCAAGGGAATACAATGTTCTGCTATTGTAGTCGGCGATGTTGCCGAGCAATTTTCTCACCACGCTGCTGTGGAATCTCTTGCGTCATGGTGCAAACGTTATGATGTCCCCGGAATTACTGGCGTCGACACCCGTGCCATTACGCGGCTGCTTCGTGACCAAGGTACAACGCTGGGCAGACTTGCCGTTGGGCCTGACGTATCGCTCTCCCCTCCATCCGCCGAAGAATACTGGGATCCGACGGCCGAGAATCTGGTCGACCAGATCTCCACGAAAACTCCCTATGTCCTCAATTCTGCAGGCTCCATCAAAATTGCAGTCCTAGACTTTGGCGCCAAAGCTAACATTATGCGCTCGTTGGTACGCCGCGATGCTGCCGTCACTGTTCTTCCTTGGAACTATGATTTCAATGATGTTCGGGATCAATACGATGGATTATTTTTGACCAACGGGCCAGGTGATCCTGCTCATTGCATGGAGGCCGCGTTGAAGCTTCGCAAGACGCTTCAAGAGTGGGATAAGCCAGTTTTTGGTATCTGCATGGGACATCAAGTCATCGGGATGGCTGCTGGACTGGATGCTTACAGGATGACATTTGGAAATCGCGGTCACAATCAGCCAGTGCTTGCCTTGGCCTCTGCAGGATCTATCAAGGCCGGGAGAGTATATGTTACCAGGTCCGCTTCGTTCTTGCCGTATTTTCTGATCTGCACTAATCGTCTCTCTAGCCAAAATCATCAGTATGCTCTCAAGCTCCAGGATCCTTTCCCTCAGGGCTGGGAGCCATTTTTCATTAACTGCAATGACTCATCCGTCGAAGGGATAAAGTCCACCAAGGAGTCTGGCAAAAAGGTGTGGGGTGTGCAGTTCCATCCCGAAAGTGCTGGGGGTCCTTTGGATACAATTGAAGTACGTTTTTCCCCTCAGACATAACGCTTGTTCTGATAGTCTATTAGATGTTCAGCGACTTCGTTGCCGAATGCCGCGCACACAAAATGCAATTCCAGGAGACAGCCTTCAGTCATGACATAAAGGCTGCTCGGCTTGGAACAGTGGCAGAGCCCTGACGTGTTGCCGCCTCTGCTTGAAAGATAGATACAAATTTTGGAATAGTGAATTTTGGGCAACTTCATATGATTTGCTTACGTCACTCGATTTTGTTGTAACAAATGTGAAATGGCACCCTGATTGCAACCGCAATGAACTTCCTTGACCCGTACGACCTTTCTGCTGCGGGAAACAGCACACCACCACCTGGTCAGCCTGAGCAGAGTCTTAATGAAGAAGTTAACCAAGTCATCGGCCAGCTGAATCGCTTCTGGGGTGGATTTCGGAGACAGGTACTTGCGGCGTTTTCTACCATTGCTAACCTTGAACGACATTGGGCAGAGCCAGACTGCCATCGAGACGGCGAAGAAAGATTTCTCACAAGTCGTCACCCAGGCTCAGAAGGAACTGAACAAGTACACTGGTGCAGAGCCAAGCGCAACCGAGACTGAATCACCCACTGAAGCTGAACCAGAGACAACACCCTCAGCCTCTACGCCGACAAATCGCGAAGAGCCTGCGTCGTCATCTACTTCCTCCCATAATATATTCTCTCGCTTGCAGTCGGCTCTTCCTCCCAACATCGTCGCGACCGTGCAGGACCATATCCCGGACTCATTGAAGCACGCCTCCGAGAATATCGACTTTGTCCAGCTACGAGCGACTCTCTCCACTGAGTTCCAGCGTATTCAAGGCGTCACACGGTCTCAAGCAGAGGAGTATGTACACAAGAGCGAGACCCTGCTCAAAGAGGCCATCAAAGAAGCCAGTGACGTGCTAAGGGATGCTGTCAAAGTCATTCCTCCCGAGGACTCGAATGGGGGCGGTCTCATATGGGATGGATCAGATATGTGGATGCTTCCAGCAGATCCCTCAGAAACCAGCAGCAGCCCCGACAAGGGGAAGGGAAAAGCAACCAGTCAGCGTGCCGTTGCTACCAGAGCTGAAGCTCTCCTCAGGAGACTCAAGCACGATTCCGAAATCATCAGACGTGACCCGGAAGTTGATCAAGGTTCGAAGGAGGTGTATTTTCAGTGGCTTGCTTCCGACGTCAGCAGCAAGGAGGGTGGTATTGATAATGAGGACTGGAAGGCCAAGATCATTGCCGCTCTCCAGGATCCGGTCGACGGTGCAGGGTTAAAGGCTAATGAGGATACTTTAGGCAAGTCAACATTCATTCCAGCATCTACATCTCTCTTGACGCCGCCCCATCGCACAGTGCCGTTGGAAATGACAAGAGAAACGTTCTGGACAAGGTTCTTCTTCCGTACGCATCAAATTGCACGCGAAGAAAAGAAACGACAAGCCTTGATTCGAAGTAAGTGATCTTCAGATTTCATAAGGCAATCAACTTCATTATCGATACTCTCCTGTCAGGGTCAATGGACAACGAAGAGGACTTCAGCTGGGAAGATGATGACGAGGAGGAGGTTCCAGGCAGTGCTCTGAAATTAGATGCCCTGCAATCATCTGAGGGCACGATACACCCCGAAGGGAAACCAGTCGTGACGAACACATCTGTACCGCCTTCGCGGACACACACACCTGCAACGATGAGTCCCAGAGAGAGCAGTGAAGAAAGCTACGATCTTCTATCATCGGGAAATGTAAGCGAAACGAAGATTAGTGGTAAGAAGGCTGTCGATTCCTCTGATGACGGTGAGAGCGATTGGGAGTAGGTTGTTGATTTAGCGTCAATGATGGATTAGTTTTACTGAGATGTACTACGTATTTTTACGATCACGATCGCAATGTGGATACTGGCATAAAACAAAATGTCCTTGGGCAGCCACATAAGCGTACAATCATTACCTATCAGCATAAAGTACTCCAGCCGCTAGTAGCAGTGGATCAACCGACATCGTTAAGTTTGGAACCGGTACGAAGGGCTTGTTGACTCTCCTCTTCACTTCCTTTGGTCGGTATGGTGCTACATTGATAGTTAATGATCAGACAGGGCACATGTCAGTAAGGCTGTAGAACCTACGTGAGATCCTCTTCTCTTTGACTAGCATGAAATCTCTGAAGAAGATCCATCACATCGCCAATCAGGGACAATTGTTATTACTCACACATCCTCAAAAAACTTATGCGTTTTTATCTGCTTAATACTGTAACGATCTTTAGGTGTTTGCACGAGAAGCTTCAAAACATAGTTAAGCAGCTCCATGGGCATTACAACATCAAGAAGACCTACACGTGAAAAGACCAGATCCCTTGCAGCCGGTGTCATTTTCTGGCATATGTCTATCCGGCGACGTGGGTCCTTATGGAAGGCAAACTAGCGAAGCACGGATTAAAGTCAACTCACAATAATGTGATACAACCAACACACGCTGTATGGGCACTGAAACATGGAGAACAGTACGAGACCATAACACCATATATCGGCAGCAGATCCGGAGAAGAGCCGCCCCGCCCCGATTTCAGGCGCCATCCAGTCCTGAGTGCCTACGATTTCGTCGTAGTAAATATGGCCAAGGGCGTTGCTGGCGGGCAGGCTGATGCCGAAGTCAACTAGTTGTATATGGCCTGATCCGGATATCATGATGTTGGGAGGTTTTATGTCCAGATGGTAGTACCCTAGGCCATGCAGCCCTTCTAATGCAACCAACTGTGAGGCGACGGAGAATGAGAAATGGAAACGAAGAAAATAGTTACAGACGTACGAGTTCCGCGGCATAGAGCAAAAGTTGATCCCGGTGCATTGCAAGGTTTCTCTTACACAGATAATTAAGCCTGTTTTGAAGCGTTTCCATGCACAACGGCTAAGAAATGTCAGTTGAAGCATAGACAAAAGCGGACAGATAGATTACTCACCATAACCATATAAACAAAGTTTTCATCCTGAAAAGAAGCCGATATTTTCCCCAGAAAGGGTAGACGCTCGCGGGTGATTTGTTCGAGGATATTCCTCTCATCAATAACACGCTCCGATTTTAGTTTATGAGCCGTTTGCCCGTCAGTTGGACCTGCGAGCCTGCTCTTATGGAAGACCTTGACAGCTACTGGTTTTGGCTCTTCGTAGGGTTTTGCTCTTTTGGCGTATAGCACGCGAGAGTACATTCCTGAACCGAGTTCATATTGGAACGTGTAACGCTTGCCACTGAAGGTTACTGGTGGTAGGCATTCCTGTAACACAGGGTCACGATCGCGAATCAAAGGCTTTGGCTCTAACAGTGGCGGTTTGGGCTCGGCCTGGCCCCAGTCTGACGTCGGTAAAGGTTTGGGACTCAGAGGGGGGGATGGAGCGGTCTCCGTCGAGGGTCGGTTGGTCTCCATTAGAAATTGCGGCATCCCAATGGAGGTGGATGTCAATGCGACTGGCTCTAGGTAATTACGGTTGACCTCATCGGATTCGTTTCGGCCTAGCGGCTCGGTAAAACTACTGTCTGCCTCACTGGCAACAGGGACTGGGTGCAGGTCACTGAGAGAAGAAAGGGGGCCACGGGGGTAGACGACGTCAGAGAAATCACCGTCGGCAGTCAACGGTATGGGTTGGACTTGCATCAAGCGGCGGATACGAGAGAAGAATTTGAGAGTCATGTCAACGAGAGAGAGATAGCAACAAGTTCACATCATATAGAAAGAGGAGGTTCATGATTTGTTCGATTATTGTCCTATCCTGGTCGAACAAAGGAACGGAATCCGAACGGGTAACAATAACGGTTCGTTAAGGATTGCTATATTTAGGGTGATAGCCGGCGAGAAGACCACAAGTGCCAAACAGGATCAAATGGCCGGTATTTCTTTCTTTCGACAAGACACGTTGTCCAGCTGAACGATTTTCCGGCGTACCGAGCGCATTTTATTGCTGCTGTCGTGCAGCTGGCGACAAGAAAGTCTCCAATATCTGCACGAAATGGGTCTCAAGGAACGCAGAAACCTCAAGGCTTCGACCTACCTGCGTTTGGCACGCCCTGTCCTTGTCAATGGCTTGAGGCTTTTCTGGGCAATTCTCATTTTCTGGGGCGACTTTGGCGTCTACTTTTGGAGTTTGGCGTCCTGCAGATGGCCCGACTCTTCACTGGTCGGTATTCAACACAGTCCCAACCATTCCATTCTATTGAACTTGTTTCCAAGGCGCGTTCCAAGGAGAGGCCCACTCACGTCATGATAATATCAGATCCTCAAGTTAGGCATCCATCCGTATTTTATGAAGAGACCTCCCGGTTAGGCTCTCTCCGCCAGCTTATATTCGACCTGAACCTAAAGAAGAACTGGAACGTAGCTGCGCATTTCAAGCCCGACGTAGTTATCTTCCTTGGTGATATGCTTGCCAGTGGAAAACATGTGCGATCAGAGAAAGAGCAAGTTTGATGAAATCTTGTCATTTTCATCTAACCCAATGCGCTTGCAGGTACCAACAGTATTTTGACAAGTTCCGGTCTGTGTTCTCTCTGGACAGCTCAATTGCGGTCCATTATGTGCCTGGGAATAATGATGTTGGGTGGGTAAATCCATTCTGTCAGCCTTTTCGCACCAGTGGCTCATGTTACACTTGACAGCATGGGCGTCTCTCGCGCGCTGTCCAAGAAGGTCCGGCAGAATTATTTTATCACATTTGGGCCTTTCAATCATCAGGCAACCGTACGGGGTCATCAATTCTTGTTTCTTGATGCACCTGGTTTGGTGGATGAAGACTACCAGCGATCGGCTGCAGGCATCCCGTATGATCTTTGGGATCCTGTTCCCGAAGGCCCGCTGGAATTTGTTAAATCTGTCGTCATAGGTAGTGAATAGTCTTTGGCAACAAATTGTATTGCTCAAGTGTGCGCTTTAGATTCCAGCCCCGTCGTGTTATTCACGCATATACCGCTCGCTCGACCGGACACTGCATCCTGTGGTCCTCTAAGGGAAAAGGGTTCTATCCGTAGAGGAGCCGGTCATGGCTATCAAAACACCTTTGGAAAACAGACTACTTCCTTCCTACTGAAGACCTTACAGCCTATCGTTGTCTATAGGTCAGTTATTCGCCTCATTGTCAGAAAATCCTTAATTTGACTGTCTGAAAAGCGGAGATAATCGCGATTATTGCGACTACAAGCATAAACTACCTTCTCCAGATCGTGAAGCTGAACATAAAAATGATATCCAGGAAGTCACCGTTAAATCGTTTTCCATGGCAAGACATATCGAACATCCAGGATTCCAGTTACTCTCCCTTTCCGATCCCTCGGCCGCCTTGGCAGCGAATATACCATCGTACGCCGACGCCTCATGCACTCTCCCTGATCAGAATGGGATATACAGTCATGTCTATCTCCCTCTGATGTTCCTCAGTTTCATCGGACTGTTTGTTTTCAACCTGGCTCGACGACGTCGAATGAAGTTGCTCCTACCACCAATTTCAATATCAGCCGGAATGCTTCCTACTAGCCCGTCACTTTCAAACACTTGTTGGGTTCCTATAAGTCCTACGGGCTCTCTGCCTTCTGCACTAAGGACACCTACTTCTGCTGCGGGACCAACATTCCGCGCCGCGTCGCATCCTGATCCACAGGGAACGCCCTTGAACTCTCCCTTATACTATCCGCAAGATAGAGAAGAAGAAGATCCGATGTTCCCTGTTCAATACGCTACAAGGGATACCCGTCTCATGCATGACGAGTGGTCTCCTGAGCACTCTGTCGCTACCGCTGATTACCACACATCTTCCGAGTTCGAGTCATCATCGAGCTCAAGACCTTTCTCTCATCATGCATCCCGCTGGTCATGGTCGTGGACCTTTGCTTTGTTCGGAAGGCGGAGACGGATCACTATCCGTCTGCCGAGGCTGTCTTGGGGTGGGTTCCGTGGGATCCTGGCATTGTTGGTTGAAGGACGAAATTCAGACGCGTTTCTTTCGCGAAGGGGCGTGTTGCAGAGCACACTCGTGGATGCCTTTAGCATCCTATGGCCTTCGCTACTGTTTTGGACGTTGATATCATGGTGGACCTTTTGATTGGATAGACCTTGCATCATAAGTTTGTACAGCGCACCGAGGGCATTGAGAGACAAATTTATAGACATTATTACTGGTATCCATAGCGCTGGTCGTGCTTCTAACATTACTATTGAACATTCTAACTCGAGTGTACTCTGTCTGCGCGTACCGTGTTCGCCTTCAACAGAGACGGTATTTGAGTGATGCCAAATGTCATTACGCCGAGAACTAGATATATCAGCGCAGGAAAGCATCAAAGACCTGAAGACCCACCATATCCCGTAAATTTCTCTGAAGGGGAGTGAAAATAAGCACTCGTTGTAGCACTAGCGAAGAGCCATATCGCAATTAGGGTTACGTTTGCCGCGACGGCGTATTTGTGTAGTGTAGACCAATGGGTAATCGAATGACGAAGGGATGGACGAAGTTGGTCCGCAAGGAAAAGGATGGACATGGTAAGGAGAAAGATGTGCCCAGAGACATCATGGCCCTTCCTCAATCTGGGCTTCCCTACCCACCCTGGAGGGGCAATGAATGACGCAGAGAATAGGTGGGGCCGTTCCGCAGGTGTGAGAGTCGACTTGGTGAAACAAAAGCCATGAGGAACCGTCATGATCTCACCAGAAGGAAGCGAAACGAAACAGTCGCCACCAGACGCGATGATGGCACGGTCTAGCAGGGCCGGTCCGAAAAACCAGCTGGTGAATACGAGCCATGCCGCCGTCTCGGTGACCCATTTGAATATCCGGGAAGCTGTTCTTGTGTCTGGGCTGCTGGTAGCCCACGAAAAAAGAAATGCGGCAGACGTCCATCCCCAAGCATACTTGATAAAATACACGTTCAAAAAGTTGGACTTGGTTGCCCAGTAGATGGACTTGGCCATGTGATGAGGAAGATGGGAAAGTAGAGGATCTGAGGTGTCGATATAGGTTCCGTAGACTACAGAATATGCGATTGCTAGAAAGATGACGGACGTTACAGCAATAAAGGCTGATATCCGTATGTCTGCCATGATGGTGGTAAGAAAGAGAACCACGTCGCATGATCCGAGGTTCGGAGTCCAGACCGAGAGCTATTTTACTTTGAAAACACGGTAAAACAATGGTAAAACACCATTCTTGTATTACTTGTACAACATCTCTAACGATTCAAAGGTATCATAATAACCCCCTTTTAATTTTCAAGCCAGTCCAAAAATTCAGGTGTGAAATAAGTAAGAATAAGAGTTGCACCTAGAGAGACAAACCATTAGCACCGTCCAGTCACTGAGCACTGCCAATCACGCACCAGCACGGATCATACTATCCACAGTTTCAAAGGCCATCGTTCGGAGGTCATATACACCAGCTCTTGCCCCAGCTACGACCATAGCGAACTCTCCACTTACTTGATAGCAAGCCAGAGGATGGTCTGGGGCAAGTTGAGCAGCATCAGCGATGATATCGAGATACGGTAGAGCTGGTTTAACCATTATAACGTCGGCACCTTCTGTAGTGTCACGTTGCTATACCGTGGTCAATGAATGGCTTGGAGAGAATGTTTGCGTCTTACGATAGCTCGCCGGGCGAGTCCCCGAGCTGATGGTGGCAACTGGTAGCATTTTCGATCTCCAAAAGAAGGTGCGCTCCCTGCGGCATCCCTGGTGGCGCGTTAGACCGGATCTGACGCGAATTTGAAGCTCATGCCCACCGAAAAGGACCGTACAATGCGCTGGCAAACTTAGCAGAGTAAGCCATCAAGGTGCATTTATTCCCTAGTCCAGCGTTGATGAGACCTTGTTTTATGCCCTTGATACGGCCGTCCATCATGTCACTAGGAGCTACGCAGTGGGCCCCGGCCTTCGCATAGTTGACGGCAACCTCGGTAATACGATCCACAGAAGGAGCGGTATTGATAGTACCATCATCGTGGAGCAGACCGCAGTGACCGTGGCTTGTGTACTCGCACAGACAGACATCACAGGCGATGTAAAGAGCGGGGAACAGTTCGCGAAGTTTCTTGATAGCAAGAATGACGGGTCCAGCTGGATCGTCTGCTGGCGTTCCCTTCTCATCCTGCAGTAGCCATTAGAACTGTTATATGCGCGAATGAACAATAGGAACCTTGATGCATTTCAGTGGTACTCCGAAGAGAATCACGCTTTGTAGACCCTTCGTGACCAATGGACCCAGGAACTCCTCCAATCTGTTCACTCCCCATCGCTTCTGTCCTGGGAGACTCTCAATAACGTCGCTTGCATCTGGGTCGTCCGTTATGAAGATGGGGTACATAAGCATTGACTTTGTGAGCTGGCGCCTGCCTTGCCATGATCGAGACAGTGGATGGTGGTACCCGCCCTGGAGAATCGAGCTGGAAAGTAGACTGTCGGTGGCAAATAAAAGTACCACACCATGTATGCTCACGAGATATCCATGCAAGTCGAATGCTGGTGCAAGGGAAGCTGAGGTAGGAGGGAGGGAAGAGTGGGAGGTCGTTGACTAACGAAATTTCCGGATCAAATTGTTCCTCCACCGGCGGTCAACGGTATACCCAGTATTTCTTCCCGAACTCGTTGCGTGGGTAGAACGACACGTATACACATGGATGCGATCTTTATTTCATCCATTGACAAATGTTTTGTAATTTTTAAGTCACTGTGCCTTCTCAAGTTATCTCAGGCCTCAGCAGCTGACTGGTCCTACTAATAGAATAATGTATGGATGAAATATATGGCCGTACTATGCGCTCCCTACATATCGTAAAGCTTCGGTGTTGGAACGTCGAGCGTGCGTGGATCCGACATGAAAGAGGACCACTCATTCCGCCTTCGGATGTTCGTGCATCAGACTATGTATCGTCGAAAGGGGGTATGATATCCAACGGTTGTATAAATGGTTCGTTCGTTATATCCGGATGGATGGATAGAAAAGACGACATGGACGGTTCCAGTATGGGGTTGGCATGCTGATCTTGAAAGAATGATGGTGGATGCATCGGGAAATCTATGCTCTCGAATAATGAGGGGTCCTGAAGAGGATCATTAAATGTCGTAGGGACGGGAGTAAATGCGTTGGACGTGTATGTCATTGATGAAATATCGTCAGGTTGGTTAAGCGTATAATCACCTATGTGCGAGATCATGTAATCGACAAGCGACTCATCCGAGATAGATTCTTGTATGCAGTCCATCACAGATGTGGGCGGCTCAGCGGCCTTGAACGTGCGTCTTTGTGAAAGCACTTTGCTTACGATGACTTTGGTGTGTCCACCAAATATTTCTAATTCGAGGTCGGTGGCGGCATTGAAATCATGAGAGTCATCTGGACAGCTGGAGGCACTGGGATCTTGTCTCTGAGAAAAGATAGAAACAGCTTTGTCACGCAGCGGTCGGAGTATTGTCTGTATATTTCATCAGAAAAAAAAAATAGGATGAATAGATAATTTGATTATACCAAGCCACTGCGCGCTCGCACTGAATGAAGTGCACCTTTCTCAAACCAGTCAACGACCAGGCCTAGATCAGCGAATGCTTTTGATGCCATCGGTGAGGGCGGAGCTCTTGTGGCTATCGTTGCTACCACAATCTGCAGTAGTTACGGTAAGCAGACCACGGCAGATAAGTCTAGCAAATGAACATACAGCAGCAGAAAACACTGCAACAAGGATCAGCAAGGTCTATCAAATGAAAAACGAGACTTACAGCTACTCCAGACAGTCCACCGACGCATCAGCAACAACGGAAATTTTGCAAAGTGCTTGACATGGGACTGGATGATGCCGGACGCGCACCGATAGGCGGCAAGATACGACGCCACGAACGGGCTACATAACGGATCTTCAGGATGGCCAAGTATAGCTTGAACAAAGAACCCTCGATGTATATACAGACCAGCTGGTCATAAAAATGAGAACAGCTGGAATATATTCACTATAACTCACTGATTCCTCGTAACCGCGATAGAAAATGTCCGCGCATGTACTCTGAGGGTGTAGATATATCATCTAGTTTTTGGTACTTTGCACTGATATGGCGCGGAGGGCGCATTTGACGGAATTCTTTGTCCAATTCAAGGATAGTTTGATAGGATGGGGGTTTTGCACCTAGCACAAGTTCGACAACTTTGGTAACGATCTAGCCAAGACATGAGTTTAGTGCACAATTGTAGAGCGGTAGCGCTACCTTCGTCGTAAAAATATATCTGTATCGATCCTCTGTTGAATGGTGTCATCTACAGGAAGCCTGAAACCGGAAGACAAGATGAACTTACGTCCTGGTAAGCGGTTGCCGTCATTATCAAGAGTCTCTTCATGGTCTGTCGGAAATTGACAGTCAACATAACTGAGGCGGATTGACGGAGGACGCCCAAGAGTTAGACTCATAAAAGTGTCTATGTAGAAAATCTCCCAAAACAGCTTTCTTCTCTTGTGTAACGTCTTCGTGTCCATTGTCCTTTGTGAGCTTTCTCGATCTATAAAAATACGTCCAGATGCATGGCTCTACTGGAAAAGACAGCCTACGGAGACCAAGCTTTAAGTGCAAATGTCAGTAAATTTTCAATCGACAAGAAAAACACTAACGCTTTGCGCCAACTTCGCAGCCATCGAAGATAAAGTCCAGGCTCCATCCCTGGTATATCTCCGGCCACCCTGCGAGACATATACAGCCATAAGCAAAACAGCTTGTATAGTTGCCAACTCGGGGCTATTGAATATACGGTGGAGATTCAGCGCAGCGCAACCAAGGTCAAAATAATTGTCCGCCTCAGTATTGTAAGGCGGAAGAGTTAAATCAACCAGAGCACCCAACGCAAATATAAAGAACAAGACGGCCAGTTTATGGCAAGACAAAGGTGGGGGCTTCCTTGGGCGATGTTCCTTTGCATCTCCAAGGTGCCGATAGATTGGAGTGAGGAGTTCAGCAATAATTTCACTTCGCTCTATGACCCGGATGCCTGTGGTGCCGTGTTCCTGGAAAGTTTCACACAAGCTCCAAGCACGGGGCTTTGGAGGAAGGAAACCATAAAGTATTTCCAGGGATTTTTCAACGTCCCAACCTGAATTTTTGAAAGGAAAATTGGGTACCAGCCGATGAACGACTCGTATAGAGTTGTCTAGGGCGCTCTCTTGCATCTCAGCACCAGCCTACAGTATACAGTATAATAGTCGTTAAACGCATGTTTTAGTGAGGCCTTAAGAAAAGAACTTGCCAACAACAGGCTCTAAGATGAAGTGGTCAAACTGACGTCTACGGGAGGCAATAAAGCGCACCTCTGTGCCCGCGGAGTGGCCAAAGTACTTGACGTCTCCATGTTCGCCTATAGTGAGCGTTCCCAGAGCATCCGATAAGTCCATAGGTGGGTTATCTGCGCTCTGCGTAGAAGGAAGAGACATTCCGGGTGGATATTTAATCATCAGCAGTTCTCGCCGCAAGAGCGGATGCGGTTCCTTCGAAGTCAAAGCTTGGAAGTCAGCCAAGGCCTCCTCCAATTCTCGTATTCGTTGCCCCATTTCTTCTACCTTCTGATGTAGGGTGCCAGTGTCGGATATCACTAACCTGTTTTTAGATACTTAGTATCGTGTACTACAAGTACATTGTTGAAACCGACAAACTTTTTCCCGGAGCCGTTTGACAGAGTGCCTGGAACATAAGGTGAGCCCAACCGATGCAATATATAGCGTGAAATGGACCTGTCGGGCATATCGATTCACAACCCCTACGAACTAGAACGGGATTTATGAGTGTCTGCTTTCCTGTCTGGCGTAGTGGTCGCTTACCGCACGAGGCGCATGGGACATGTTTGTCGCATTTTAATTTTAGCCTGGTAGGTGTGCGATGAGATCAGCTCCGCGATGGCGACTGAAAAAACGCACCTACGACATTCAGCACACGACAGCTAAAGAATAGTCAGCCATGGCTACAACATGTCGAGGCCAAGCCACGGTACTGAGAACGGTCAGCCTACCTGACCACGGATCCGTCGCATATCAATCTTTTCTTGGTTAGAGAGCTGGGTACAGATTCCCGGTGCCATATTAATGGTCCAATGCAGCGTCAAGGATAAATCTGGAGATCGACGTTGGTCGCACAAATGACTAAGACAGATTACAAGTTGATCGCTAAATCTTATCTTATCTCGTCAACTGGCCTTTTCATTTCTTCCACAACAATGGTTAGTGTCCATGTTGGTACAACTATCCTTCTTGCTGACCAGAAAGCAGCTCATTTTCTCTGTATTCAAGACCCTGACTGACCAGCAGGTTACCGTCGAGCTCAAGAATGACCTCTCGATAACCGGCGTACTCAAATCTGTTGACCAGTGCGTCTTCCTAGCGTCGGACGTTCAACCCATGAATAACAACGACTTAGGTTTTTAAACATTCGTTTGGATAATATCCAGGTCTTGGATCCAGCCAGGCATCCACACATGGTGCGTCGCTCTTCCGGCGCTATGCTCTCAATTTGACGCGCTGTTTGCAGATGGCAGTGAAAAACTGTTTTATTCGTGGCTCCGTCGTTCGTTATGTGCAGCTGCCTGGGGAAAATGTTGATACTCAACTGCTCGAGGATGCAACGCGACGAGGTTCGATAATGTTTTATCGGTCACATCACTAATTCTCAGATTCTTGCAGAGGCTCAGGCACAAGCCAAGCGGTAGTTCCAGTTCTAGATGCGAGACTTGCGATTTGTTCTGCCATGCTAGTGTATCTTACAGAGGAGTGCTATCCTATTTGCACTATTATACTGCTATTGGTGGACCTTCAAGCTTCCAAGAACCGAGCTCACTCCGGATGGCGCCATATCTTACACGTTCCATCAGCGCTGGCTGTAATCATCTCGCCCTCGCCATTTGGATGGTGCTCGGTCCAAGTAATGATTTTTCCGTGCACTTTCGGAGGAGGATTCGGTTGAAGCAGCTTTGCCTGGAAACCGTGAGTTCAACAGTCGCAACCTTACAAAATCAGACGCACATCCACAAGGTCCCAGGCCCATACCATTCCTTTCTCATCTCCACATACTACAGAGGCCTCGCCATGTCCAAAACATCCGCGACACCGATACGACACGTTGGTGTGCCCAGTAAAGTCGTTCAGCATTTTCCCCGAGGACATATCCATCAGCCGCAGATGAGAATCTAATGTGGTTACGAGAAGCGTTTGGCAGTCTTGGGTAGCCACAACCGACGTAACGGGTTCTGCTACAGCATAAGAATTAGCAAATATCGGTAGACACGATGCTTACGGCCTATAAAATCAGAGCGTAGTTCCCCTTTGCGCAAGTCGTAAGCTCGAACATTTCCATCTACGGATCCAGTAACGATAGTGGTTGAGTCAATGGAAATTGTTTGAATAGCATCTTTAGCTTCTTCCAGAACTTGAATGGCTTGACGGGATTGAGCTCTCAGGTCCCACAGGCGCACTGTAGAATCGAAGGATCCTGTGCAAGGAAATGAGTATTGATCATGGCATGGTTGTTGCGAAGAACGAACCACTGGCAACGACGCTCGCGTCCTCATTGAACTCAACAACATGGATCTTGCCCATATGCCCGGCCAGCCTACGAGTAGTCACTCCAGTAGCGACATCCCACACGAACACAGAGCGGTCCCCACCTGAGGAGGCGAACTTTGCATTATCATGGGCGCTAAAACATACAGTTTGAACAACAAAGTATGCAGGTTGAATGGGCGCACAGACACGGTGATGGATAGGACCTCGTAACCATGGGAGGCGAAGGCTTTTATTTCTGTCCCCAGATTGGCATTCCAGAGTCGAACTGTACGGTCCTGGCCGCCAGTAAGGATGTATTTCGCGCTGCCTTTCGCATAGCGAGCGACATTGACGGGCCCCTTATGGCCATCGAGGGTAACATGGAGTGTCCTTGCCAGAGCTTGAGTACCTTGAGTACCTCGAGAGGGAGCCATTATTGGGAGAGGGTGTACAAACTGGACTGACAGACTTGGCTTCACTTTTTACCATCATGACCAAACATCGCCTCTCGCCTGCATCTCTGCCGCCGTCCAAGCGCCTCCACGGTATAAATTCTGACAGTTCACATCCCTCTTCGACACCCAAGCTGACGTTCGAAACTGCCTTATACGATGAGCTCATTCTCTGCATCTTTTCCCATCTTTCCTGGGTCGACCTTTGTGCTACCCAGTCCACCAGCAAAACTTGGTGCAGACTTGCCGCTGACAATGAATTATGGAGGATCCTCTATCTCCGTGTCTACGGCCGTCCACGTTTGCGTGGTGCCAGGGGCTTTTTTGGCAGAGCAGACGGTCGCGAGGTCAGGTCCCTGCCCGATCGAGCCAAGATAGAAGACTTGAAGGACTGGAAATGGATGTTTCGCATAAGCTCCAACTGGCGAACAGGTATGCAAGGTCTCGCATATCGATGAAAAGTCTGGATTTACATCAACCTACCAAGGCCGGTGTTTAGTGGAACAATTTAGCGACAGTCCTGTCTTTCCCTCATTGACTCGCTTGGAGTCCAATTTTTCTCATGACGAGCGGACGCACTTACTATTGGCCGGGTCTCTGACTATTATTGCATCATCACGAGAGTCTCTGACCCCAGAAATTCATGTCAGAGCACCTTCAGGTGTTACCCATACTCTGCTGTGTAGGTCCTCTCGCAGCACCGCACCCAACAGAATTACGGCGCTCTCTTTGGACCAGTCATCTCCCGTGTCAGGTCGGGTGCATCTTGCTGCCTTTCTCTCCAGTGGAGAGTTCACAATATACCATATTCACCATACACATCTCGTTGGTTCAATAGCCAAGTTAACCTATGTCCCTACCACACAAACGACGCGGACTTGCCCAATTGTCCAATCTGTGTATCACCATCCACTACTCATTTCTCTATCGCAAGACTTTGCCCTTTCCATCTACGACCTTTCGGGTGATACCGTAACCCATACCCAAACGCTCACATCGTTCACTTCCTTTCCGCCTACGTCTCTGGTTTTATCTACCCCCTCGCTGTCCACGTATAGACTGGTCGTGGCTTATGCCATACCAGTATATCCAGCTCATTGGTCTGTTGGTGCCACAGAAGTCGTCATCTCGGGACATACATCTAGGATTTCACGTTCATCGGCCCTGGCCCTTGATACCGAGCCTATGACAGTTGTGTCTACACGAACAACTCGATCGTTTGATATACCCTCAGGGTGGATCGACGAGCGTAAAGTTCGCTCCATTCGGGAGCAATGGAGTCGAAAGGTATCGTTTATAGCAGATACACAGACTGACGGTAAATGGGTAGTCCTGGCTCCTGCTGGCGGCCTTTCAAATAGCACCTCACTATCCCCTAACAACCATCCTTTCACTGCTCCTTACATCGCATCTCCCATGCACTCACCCACAACGCTGCAATTATATCGTCTCTCACTTCCACCGATGTCCTCGGTTGCATCCAGTCCACCAAAGTTAACCTTTGCACGGAATCTGCACGGACAGATAGGCCCAGTATCATCTTTGGCTCTGGCTGATGGGAGATGTGTCAGTCTTGGACTGAATGGTAGTGTGTGGGTCTGGGATTTGGAAGCAGGCACTAGTGCTAAAGTCTGCGATCCAGAATCTTCACCACCCGTGTGTGGCAAGAGAACGTTGGTATTTGACGAACGAAGGGTGATTAGTTCTGGTCCCGAGGGTATCGTTGTTCGAAGATTCGACGTGTAAACACGATTCTTCTCCTTCTCTTAGTTGATGGTTAAATTTTTTGATCTCGTTGTATATATATTATGTAATAATTGTATTACAATATCCCTTGAATAGAACGTGCGGCGGCTCGCCTGCGGCCGAAACATCCTTGAACAAGATTGGTATCGTAGAACGCGTATCAAGAGCGTGGTGCTCTAGATGTCCTCTTGTCCAGACACTGCGGCTCCAACTCGATTGGCAGTCGTTGAGGAAAGGCTGGTAGGCCAGAAAGTGCGTCTGGCAGGCAAGTGAGTGGACCACACATGTAATAGCTTGCAGCTGATGGATGCTCGAGATTACTGTCGTATGATCCTGTCACAGGACTTGGAATTCTCCTGGATCATGATGCTGCCGTCCTAGTGGATGTGTCGCTCTGCGTCGATCACTGGTCGGGCGCATGGGTTCGGGAGCGACTGGGGGGGATTATGGTGATAGGGCACCTGGAGAAGAGTGACGTGCGTGTGCAGGCAAGTCAGGCGGTGGTCGAACTGACAGAATTTCAGGAGGAACTGCCGATACCGACGATTCCGTCATTTGCTCCGACACCTGCCCTTGATCCTCACTTGTTTCTTCGCGCAATACTTGTGATAAAGGCGGGGGACCTTGATTTAGAGATATGGAATCTGTCTATCGAAATGTTGACTGATTCATAATGAAAATGCATTTGTTTCAATGGCATGCATTTTCGAAAAAGACATCGAAGCAGATCTAAGATGCTGTCTCCCGACCATCGGATACAAAGACCACTCTTCTTGAATATTATATTATTGTCAGCCGTGTATGCATCAAAGGGCACTGTAGACAAAGCACAAAGGCATTTGCATCAGTGTTTTGGCAATGAGCAAGACGAACAAAGACCCCAGGGGGGGGGGGGGGGTCGCTGTTCCCAAAAAGGAAACCCACGTGGTCAATATATAAAACAGCCCGGTAAGTCAAAAGGTATATAGGCCCGCCACCTGCTTCGACTTGGCTTACCTTTCTTCTTCCTCCATCGCCGTCTCGGCCTCCTTTCATTCCATTACGTCCTATCATTTCCCTTGCGGCGTCCCACTGCCTCTGTTTCTTCTCTTCCAGTCTCCTCCAGTCGGGTACCCTCTTTCTCCCTCCTCAGTCATGTCCTTTTCGGATTCATCAGCCAGTCGGCTTCCTATCTCCTTCGCTCGCTCAGAGCCTATACCTGACACGACCCGGAAACCTCAGTCTTCCCTCAGCGGTACGATGACGCTGACGATGTCATCGATGTCGTCTGTCACCTCTGCACTCTCCCAGCCATCCACTACCACATCAGACACACTCACACAACATGAACCAACCCATATTCCAGGCCTTTGGAAGATTGGCCGTCATCACGTTCTTTCTGTAGAGTTTCCTCTCGTCCAGTACTGTCTTAACTTCGCGGAGAACAGTTGGAAGCTGCCGCAGGAGCTCCAAGATACCACCTTGCGCGCTCTGTCAGCGCTCTCAGTCTTTGACAGACCTTCGCACCCAGCTCATTGGCTATTTTGGGGCAGCAAGCAGGTCGATAATACTCTTGAATTGACACACAGGGTCATAGGTGAGTCGTGTGGCGTTTGTTATGCAATTCCCGCTTCAATTATTCTTCTAGATGCAAAAAATCCTCCCCTTATTAGATACTTCGGGGTCAGACCAAACATGCTTACTTTGTACCTTTGGCATTCCAAGGGCTGGCATCAAGTTATCCGTTCTAAGCTATGGTATTCCCAGCTGGCCCAGAAGCAGGCTCCCATTCCCTCAGGACCTCAAACTCGCAAGCGCCATCGCGAACCTGTCGTTGTTTCTATCTCAAGCTTCGCAGACGCCGACGTCAGTCCCGAAGGGGCGCCAGTTACCAAGCGGCCTAGGATGCAGACGCGACGATCTTGCCTGCGCAAAGCGGCGTCACCCCTTCAGACAGCAGCAACCCATTCCGCTAGCATATTGCAACCTTCAGGCCCATTAACAACTGTCGAATATACCTTCGAAACAGCACCCAATCCACCTGCCTCGCAGTGGCCAAGCACTTGCCAGACCCACAGCGCTAAACGAGTTGTGGTCATAGAACCAGCCTCAACATCATCTACGTCGTCTTCAGCATTATCGCAGTCACCATGTCCCGTCCCTCGTACTATTTCCTCATCGATATCTCGCTCTCGAAACCGATCAAGCTCCCAAATCTCATCTGAGACGCTCATCGCATCTAATAGGTCTTTATCTGTTGCGTCTACCACAACCGCGAACGAGCCGCCTGAGTCTCTGAATCTCAAAGATATGGCGACCGAGGAACTTGTCAAGGCGGATTACCAGGAAGAGATCATTTCAGCTCGGATTACACGATCCAAAGGTCATTCTGCAGCGCAACAGACACGTATGAAGAAATCCTCCCCCTATGCGACTGAAAAGACCGAACAAGTCAAGATGAGAAGGGGGAATACGAAGGCATTATGTGCCCGGAAAGTTGGAGGTGGCCGGAAATGATTTTCTTGGACCTTCTCTTTATGTTTTTCAGCGTTTGCGACATCCCTTATACATTTTTATCGACCACGGAACGGAAAGGAATTTCTTGTTTTTTTTTCTTACATTATTATGTGTCTGCTGAATTATGAAGTCCTCTCTCTGATTTCTTGTACTCTTGTCTTGTATTTCGTATCTGTATAGTACCTGTTTTATCATATGTTGTACTGGAATTCTGATAGTCTTTTTGTTCTGACCATGCTGTGATACCTGCAGAACCGAAGAAACGTGTCAACGCGTCTGCCAAATGGGTCATTGCGAGTGTCACGTGATCGCGTAACTTTGATTCCGTTCATCGGTGCCTGCAGGCTTGGCAATGGCAATGGCGCCCTCGTCATATCTGTCACTGAGCATCTCTGCTTGCCAGGTATGTTCAAAATCAAACGAATTACATCTTGCGTGGTCAAGACTACAAATGACGGACGGCCATCAATTGTACAGTTTCCTTCTACTTGGATGTTGCCCGATTGCCGTATAGGTCCCCGGAGTAACGAAGTACTTTTTCCGTCATTCAGCATCATTGACACGACGAGGTCAAAGTAGCTTGGCGTAACCGTTATAATTCGGCGGTAGCGGTACTCTGGGTTGTATGTTGAGAGGTCAGTGGAGATTAGAAATATGATAGGACCCAAAAAAGGGTCGAGACGGATACGATGCCAGAGATAGTTTAGCGTCTGTGCCCTCGACCGAGAACATCGGGTATGGTGAACTGAGACCAAAGAGCGTAAGACTCGGGGAATGACAGAACGGATGGGCCATGTTCTGGCTCACAATGGTGGTTAGCGCTTTCGGAAACATGTCGGGAGCAGAGAGGGAAAAAGTGTTTCCATACTGTTTCCGGGCCGTCGATCAAGGATCATGGGCATGGGAAGACTGGACAGTGGACACCGATGGCAAGGTTCGAGCCAGCTACCGCCCGTCTGAGAAACGCCGTCCGTGTAAAGGAATGGGTTGGGTAACATCCAGGAGGACCAGAATTGCGGTGATCCGAATTGTCAGGTGATATCTCCATATTCGATGTTCATGTGGTGCACCAAATGGAACTTTCATTTGAATGGAAACGTCGACTCGGCATAATGGCTGAGAATGGTCGGAAAGAATACATCCAGCTGGAAGACTCGAGTTTTCCACTGTGCGCTGCAAGGATCCTACTTGGCCCTGCATGGACCACAGAAATGGGATTCCTTCGCCTCCGGCCCCGGTTCCTGATCGAAACAATGATTAGATTAGATTTCCCCGTTTTGTGAAACAGACAGTAACGAGCACAGGATGGTCGCACGACGGTCGTGGGTCGCTTGATGATGTTTCGACCGAAAAATAGCATACAAGGCCTATGGCAATACAATGATAAATTATAACAATGAACGGACAAAGGTGACGCTAGGATCGGCAACCGGCGGCCCATTTTCCTGAAAGATGATATGGGACAGAGGGGAAACACAGAAAAGAAAGACCAGCCCGAATTTCGCTTCATTATAATGGATTGATTATTACTAAAGTTATAGAACTTCATTTCGCCGTCCGGCTGCTCTCTCAAACAAAAGTGACCCCAATTTGCCATTCCAAATGTAGAACGTGACTAAGCCGTGACATCGTCACACTAATCTTGGAAACTGCTGGCTCACCGGCCTTCAAGGGATCCTTCACTCTGCTTTTTACCACCATGGCGCCCTCTGCCTCTATGCCGCAGCACCCCCACTCGCGGAAACGGTATACTGCCTGGTTTCATTCTTCTGAAAGATATCTGACAGACATTGCAGTAGATGGTCGAAACAGCAGCTGCTACGGTACCTCGAGGTCGGTTAGCTTTACTGCATAGAGGCTGCAGACTGATCTTCGATTTTTCCACTCCAGGGGATTGGAGAATTGGCTACTCTCTTGGCGCCTACACTGCCACCGTCGCCACCAGCTTCCCGAGCGTCATCGCCAGCTCCAGGCTCCAAGCGCAAGCCAGACCCGTCACTCGCCCAAGAGCCCTCCAAACGTCCTAGAACGAGCTCAGTATCCAGCCGTTCCTACCCCCCATTGCCTCGTACCACGAACTCGACCCAGCCACCGCCGGTCAACCGTCCGTCTAACCCTTTACCTCCTGCCGACCCCGCCGCCCGCTCGGAGCCGTGCGAAGATGGCGAAGTGCGTGAGGATCTCCCTTTGGCCCCGCCGCCGCCGCCGTCATCGTCCTCTACTGAGGCTGTTAATGTCGTCTCAAGCTTCATGCCGGTGCGCCGGCCCAAGCGAGGAAGGCCATACACAAGGCACTTTGACCAACTGCACGACAAATACCACAATGCCGGCCGCCTACTCAAGTACTCTGGCGACGCACGTTTTTGGTCTACATATCCTTCATCACATAGAGAATACCGACCGCTTCCCAATCCTCCGCCGCTTAATTCCCCTTACCACAAATACGGTGGTCTCATCGCCAGGCTCGAGCTTGTGGATGCCCTCATCTGCTTCACCTATTCCTTATGGAACAAGGATTACAACAAACGCAGCTGTATTGTGGATTCTTGGACCACCATTACGGCTTTTTTGAGTTGGTGCAAGCAAAAGTGGCAAACCGAAGAAGCGTCCAATGATGGAGAAAAGGCTCTTCTCGGACTAATGTAAGCTCCAGTGTTCTCCTGCTCAACCTCTCCGGTTCTTGACGCGGTTCATAGCTTCATGATCGAAGGCTTCATTAACGCACGTAAAGTGGCGTATTCGCCCCGGCTGCTTGATCAGGAGCTGGCCCAGGCCGTCGACGTTGCTAGGAAAGAAGTTAAGGGCGCCATTAATCAAGCAGAGAGTATACCCAAGGGCGCCAACCCATCTCTACTCGGGGTCAAGACACAGAACCAAGGTACCCCTCAAATGTTACCTTCGCCGGCGAGTATAGCACCTGCAAACAGTGCAAACTCTACGCCTACTAATCGGGACGATGGTACCCCCAATCCCAATGGCCGATCTTCTTCTATCGCCTCCTCAGTAGCGCCACCACCTGCACCAGCTGTGGTCGCGCCAGCGCCACATCCTCGAATAATACCCTCTCGTTATCATAATGGTCAGATACCGGCACATGTAGCAACCGCGGCGAACGGCGTGACGGTTCCGATGGGGACACACTTAATTGGCTCGCTGAAAGATCATTTCTCAAACATAAGTACGGCGGTAGCCTCTTTAAAGATGGCTGAGCAAACTCTCACGCTTCCCATAATTGCTCGCCATTTCCCAAAAACATTCGCTCGGATGGCCTGTTCTACTCTCTCCTTTATGGATGAGCACGAGCCCGACATCGAGGATGATGAAGGTGAACTTTATTGGCCAGGGCAAGGTCTTAGTGGCGAGGGACTTGGCTGGGTATGTCTAATGGGGCAAGCAATGCTGAGAGAGTTCGGCAGAACATACGGGTACAAGGGTTTGGCTGGTGTTGTACCAAAGCCTAGGCCGGAGGATTCGGTAGAGGGGGGGAACAAAGCTGGCAAAACAGGGTCTCGTCCGGGTTCGACGTCCCACGGCCACACTCCGTCCATGTCGCGGTAGCAGCTGTATACCTGCGTGCTAGTCACATCGCAACCCTGATCTGTCTTGCATTCACGGCGTTTTTACTGGAATCTCTCATCAGGACTCAAACCTGGAACTCGGATTACCTTGCATTTTCTCTGCCACGTTTCGCAATGACTCCCTCTCCAAAATTGCTGCATCGCATTCCGTCGACAAATAGACAATGCGCTATCCTCTCGGGCTTTGGCGACGACTGACAGCTCGCCATCACTTTCGCTGTGTCCGCGATTTTTCGCTCGTTTCACCGTTTGCCGCTCTAATTCGGACTTTTGCCACCCCCATAATGTAACGTGCGAAGTGCGGTCCTTGGACACCTTCATCCTACTTTCGATGTTATCGCGTTCTCCACAGACTGTATCACTAGACACAAGCATATCTTTTCTACGTCCTGACCATTGTATACCATCGATTATCATCTATCACACCACCCTGCATCTCTCCCTGCTGGCATTTGCTCATTACCCACTACTCTTTCCATTCTATCGTCTATGGAGGTTTTTCAGATGCTGGTGTGGAGATGTTTAAAACCCCCTGTGACCTCATTTATATCTTCACTACTTACACCAAGTTTCTCGTTGTAATACTGAAAGTTATTTTCCTTTCCCGGAGCGCTTTATTAACTGTTAGTTGTGTTTTTTTTTCTTTCTCCCCGGCACTATTGTTTTGATGGGTTGCACGATTGTTTCGTTAAATATTCTGTACAAGGCAATGACAAAGGAATGAAGCTGGTCTACGTAGGGGCTGTAGCTCCATTGTTTCCAAAGATGCTTCGTAGCGTTTCGTCATGAGAACGAGGCTCGATGGATGGTGATGGCAGTGCCTAGTTGCTGCCTAGGCTCATCTATTTAGGGTTCTCGTCGACTCCTGCTCATCATTCATCTCGAAACGGACTTTCTGTCCGAAAATGTTCCGAAAATACGGATGTCAAGGACCTCGCCCAATGTTGTGGTGGGCGCATGACAAAAAAAAAATCTCAAGGACGGCAAATGCCCGTTACTCATTGAATTCATTCAAAGCAACGAAAAGCTCATGTTGGAACGCATAGAGCAATAAACGTCATAGGATTGAGACAGAATGCAATAGAAACAGCCTATACCATCCAACTTCGATTTTCTATCTCTTTCCCAGAAACCCGCGTCCCTCTCCACGACAGCAGGAAAAAACTGACGCCCGTACCAGCAATGCTCTCACCGATTGGATTTGGCAACACGCTCAAGCTCGTCCTTTTTCTGATATGCTTTGATTGAGCGGCGTTCAGACAATCTCGTGGAATGAAACTAAGTACCTTGATGGCATATGAGTTTGAGGAACCCTTGGCCGCATTGATAAGCTCATCAGCCAAGCACTCCGCAATAGACTTGACATTGCGGAAAGCAGATTCACGCGTCTGCGTTTCGAGTTAAATTTGTGTGAGCAGAGAGGCTAAGAAAGCATATAACATACGCCAATAGTAAGAAGCGAGATAGCTTGGTTCACCCGTCGGAGAGGGGAAACGTCAACAGCCTGACGACGAACGGTGCCCTGCGAACCGATACGAGTTGAGTCTTCACGAGGACCAGTGTTCACAATAGCATCGACGAGAACCTTTGAAATATTAAGAGATCTGTACCCGGCTGACGAAAAGTCAGACATACCTGGATGGGGTTCTGGTCTGTAAGAAGGTGGATGATCTCAAATGCATGAGCGACAATTCGGACGGCCATGACTTTTTTGCCATTGTTGCGACCATTCATCATCAAACTAATACCAGTATCAGATACATCCCTATAACGTAGAATTACTAGCAACACACCTGTCCACCAATCGCTCAACAATGGGCATCTGAGCCTTCTTGAATTGCTTTTTGGCATATCGGCCAGCAGTATGGGGAAGGTAGACGGCATGGCGGACTTGGATGTAATCCGTCAGGGAGATATCTTTCACTTCGACACTACAGATTAACGAGATATTGGCCAGCCGTTCCGGATCCAATGAAGAGTATGATAACGCACTCTTGAGCATCCCACTTTCCAAAAAGTTTGACCTCTGAGCCGAGTTTAGAGATTTCTTTGGGTAGGGTGGTGGCCGCCATGTTCGAAGAGAGAAAGTCTTGAGGAGGTCGGCGAAACTTTTTGATGTAGAATAACGCCCCAAAATTGCGGTCAGTGCGTCGAGACTTTGTTTGCACTTGATTACAATATTAAAGTTTGAGTAATACTTCGGCACCTGCCGTAAACTGTACAGTTTCTGTATTTGGCTAAGCTGGGACAGTGTCTAGGTAGCAATCTACTACAGAGAGTTCGAATCATGAAGTCTAAAAATGCAAACAAAAGCTGCATCCGTTATGCATCCAGGGAAAGGTTCAAGTGACCGTGCTCTGAGATGTACAACCTTCCTTCAGTCTCCCGCCTCAGCTGCCTCTCCCTATCCACAATCTCTTCCATCCTTCGTCGGGTCTCCGTTTCCTTCATCATCTGTTCCACAGCATATGCTTCGGACCGCCGGGCCGAGTCTCTTTCCCTTCGAAGAGTATCAAGCTCTCGTTCCATTCGCCGTCGCGTTTCGCGTTCATAGGTGATATCATCCTCCAACTGCCGTTTACAGGAGCGAACTTCGGAAAGGATACTAGCCTGCACAGCCTGCCGGTCTCTAAGAGAGCCAATTTCTCGCTCCAAGATTTTTTGATAAACGTTTTGTGGTCTCGGAGGCAATTCCGCATGTAGACGAGGAACTGAGAGGGAGTGATTCTGAGGTTTATTCTTTGTCTTCTTTGGCAAAGAGGGCTGGCGTGCAAAGGGTACGGGTGGCTTTGAGGATTCTACGATGCTGTCTGAAAAGATGCCATACACCTTCTGCAGCCACTTCTGTGCGTTCTGGCGATGCTGGGCGGTACTGGTGGCATCGTCCTGTTTCGTCTGTTTACTGAGTTCGGTTTCGCAGCTGGCAAGGAAGAGGAATGCAGGTTTGAGGTGGGTATCTGGAATTTGATGTCTGGTCATTTCTAAAAGTATTTGAAAACCATTTAGTAACGCGTCAAAGTTAAATAACGAATACCATGAAAATACCTTTTACCATGGTGGTTATCACTGTGATGGCCGCTGAAGGATTCCCAACGCGTCGATAGTGTAGACCAACAAGCGCCCAGTTTCCCTTGTCGCTGGCGGTAAGCTTCAGCAGCTCGATGATTTCCCTTGGATCAGGCTCCAGACATTGCAGATTAAAGGTGAAGATTTGGTCACAGAGCGACATTGCAATGTGACTACCGGCTGGTTCTGTGTTTGTCGTAGATATTGATGACGAAAAGGCACTGAATAGGGAATCCTGCTTTGAAGATGGATGGAAGGAGAAAGGTGATGTAGCACTTTGACGAGCAGACGTGATTCTTCCATTCTTTGGTTGGAGGATGTTGGATTGTGACGCGCCAGTGGTCGCGTAAAGTGGCTCATTGGTATCGAAGAGAAAAGAGTTGGGCATATTCGTAGAAGACAAGGGAGTGGTCATAGCGAGTAAAGACACACCCTAAAGTCGAATGCCGCCGGACCGGTCAAGGGTACTCATTGCTCAGGGCTTGGCTGTTGCTCACCTTTCGTCCCTTTTTACTCTGCTGCTCACACGCTGACAGCCACATGAAGGTGTGGCACATGCACCGTTGATGACACGGTCGCCCTTGGACAGTGCGCTGTGCTGGGTGCCACCGTTGTATCAGCACAGTCAGTCAAAATATATTGCTCTCAGTGGCTTTTGCTCACGCATCATCAGACTATCTTCAGGCTGTGTAGCTGCATTATCTCAAGTGTCTGCGAATCCAGACGCTTGTTCGGCAACGGAGATGCTTCGATCGTAGACCCCATCAATGCATGCGTGTCCAATGTTTGCTCAGTCAGATCTTGTAGCGACGATACCATCGCTGCGGTAGTGGGGAATCTCACCGCAGGTTGCGGCACAGAATTACATACCGTCGGTTTCAACGTGAGCGAGACCCATACAAACATTGCGGCGGCTTAAGAAGCATATTATTATGTCTACAAGAGCAAGTCTTCCATGTCTGCTATAAGTTTTGTCGCTAATTGTTTCACTATCTAAGTTCCAGTACATATTGCGTCACTGAAACGCTCAGAGGTATAGAGAGCTTTGTTGACGGCACTCTCAGCGTTAATCGCATTGTATCATTGGTCGGAGAGAAATCTGGCCTCAGTAACAACGTCACTTGCTCGAATTGTGCGACAGCGGCTTACAATGTATTCAAGGAGGCGTATCCTGTCCTGGCTAACAACGAAATGGAATCCATCCAAAGTCAATGTGGAGAGAGTTTCACTGGTAAACACATCTTTTTGTTGCGATCCTCACGCACGGCATTTAAATACCTCCTTCAGACGGCACAGCTCCTTCCGGGATCACCGAAACTGCTCAGAAAGGCTTGGCCTCCTCCAGTAAGAACAACGCCCCGACATACGCTCTGCAAACTGTTCTGGCAATAGGCTCAGACACTGTTATCCTTATAGCAGTAATGTTGGCGTAAATCCGGGAAAGGGGACGGGAGGTTCTAATCAAATTCGTGAACCGCTTTGAACTGACCTTTTTTTATAAGTATGAAGATCTTTGTTTGACTGACAGGATCAGCGACGAGATGCGACAGCCTCGAAATACTCATTCGGAAACGCGTCGTATATCACCCTGAATGGGAACATTGCCTTGGAGCGAAACTTACAAATGGCCCCCTTCCTCTCTATAGTAACACTTGTACTCAAACCTGTTATGCCATTGGCTAACCATCATTGCCAGCAAGCAACCACCATCGCATTTGATTCGTCTGTGGGTATTGATTATTGGTACATTTGTTGTTAGGCAAATGCACGATCATCAAACCGGCACATTGGAAGAGGGTAGAAGGCACGTGGTATCAACATATAAAATTGCCCGAGAACCCCTTACTTAGACAGCCGGTCTTTCTTTTTCCTTCCACCTCTTGCGATTCGTTCCTTGGCTTTTCTATTTCTTCTTCGGCGATTTCGCCCCTTTTCATCTTCATTGTTTTTCTACAGTATGCTTGGTCGTACCAACTCAATTTTTCTTGCCGTTGTCGGTGCTGGAATGGTTTCTGCTCAGTCGTGAGTCCTCTTTTGGATGTAAAAGAGAAGCGATAACCAAGATATTTTTGTATTGTAGGCTCTCATTAACGTCAAACTGCACAGACTCATTGAAAGCCTTGTTGACATCCCCTGATTCAGCATGTATGAACCCGTCGGCGTTCCTCTCTTTTATTGTTGGCACGGAGAAGTCGATTCCCGATACCATAAACAACTGGCTCTCGGGCCTTTGCTCTCAAGGGTCATGCACGGACGAATCAATCAAGGTGATGGTGACAAACGTTACTACTGGATGTAGCGAAGAACTCGCCAGTGTTGGAGCACCGTTGGATGTTCAAGACATCGTTCTCAATGCTGTGCAGCAGACATATCCGACTGCGAGAAACATCGCCTGTTTGTTTGAGTATGTTCCCTTTGACATTGATCGCGTCGCGTTGCAATAATCTGGCAAACTTCCTTTAGCACTTCTTCCAACGAATTTTGTGCGACAACGACCTTGTCGGATCTCGAAACTGTGATTGGACCGCTTACACTGGACGACTTGAGCTTCCTCAATATCACTAATGACCTCCAGAAACTCATACAGTCGGGCGTGGAAAACCTAGCCTGCACGAGTTGCATTAAGGAGGGATTTACGCTGGCTAGAGAAGCTTTTCCCGGCGTTGTCTCGCATATTGACAACGACGCCACTCAGCTCTGTGGAAACTCGTTTATTGGTCAGTACCAAGAAGATAACCGTATAGGTCAAAGGCTCATATTATATATATATATTCATTGTAGATGGAAGCGTTCCTGAAAACGTGTCGCAGACCGCTGTTAGTGGTGTGTTCACAGCTACTCAGCAAACAAATTCAGGAATCTCCCAGGGATTAGGAGGTGCAATGATGTTGGCAGGGGTTGCTGCTACTTTTGTTTTGCTAGGTTAGCTGCAGCCCTGTGTTTTTTAAGTCGAGTTATATAAGTTATTCAGTCCTCATGCTATATTTTTTTTTTATCGAGCCCAAAGGCCTAAAGCTTTATACTGACAATTCCCTATGGTTATTCCAAGCATTCCCCTGTATTTTTGAAATTTGAACACGTGCCGCGAGACAGCGCTGCAGCAGGCCTGAGCCTCGCCACTACCTCGACTTCTGCTTCGCACAACCCGTTGATGACCTCGACCTCAAACATATCCCGGTTTCGCCCAGGTGACATACCCAAGCCAGAAGATGGCTTAGCAGAGTGGGCGAACAAAATCAAGGCCATGCAGCAGCAAGTAGATGCAGATGAAGAGGTGGAACAGAGGAAGCTCGAACAGGAGATCGCTGCTTCACGGCTAGCAAGGCAACGGAGAAGTAGGGGTACTGGCTACGGCAGTCGCCACAATAGTACAGACTTGGGTGCGCTCCGGCTCGTTGGATGACGATACTGAACTCAATCTTCCTTCAAGCCAAGAACCAGGATTATATTGCATCTCTGAAGGACAGCACTCTGTCTGACGTCGACGATATGAAATCCGTTGCAGAGCGCCAGCAGAGTCAGGCTGCCTCTCTACGCAAACTTATCGGCAGTGGAACCGCCCCGATTCATGAACAATCCGTCCCGTCTCCCTCTGCATCTAAACAGTCATTTCCTTCCTTTGCTCACAAAGCCGAGCCAATTTCTTTGGCCGCTTTTATGGGTGGACGGGCTACTGGTCCTAGACTCAATAAGCACGCTCCCCAACAGGATGCACATGACCCGACGCAGTTTGAACAGCGAACCAAAATTGATGCACCCCATCCAGTGTTCGGAAGTGGCGGAGTTGCCATGCCTGGCATGGTCCATGTTGGGAAGAGTTCGCAGCGATTCGTCTCTCCCAGTGACACGCGAACCTGGAAGCCCAGTACACCGTCTGCGCCATCCCAGGTCAACGAGAGGCAACGTTCTATGTCCCCTCAAAAGACCGGCAGTCGAGACCGTACAATAAGCACACCGTCTCATCCTGCAAATATCGTGAAGTCTCAAGTGGAGCGCACGCAGGAAAGGGAGCGTTCTGTGTCACCCCAGAAATCTGCAATCCGAGTTCGTACAGTCAGCACTCCATCTCAACCTGCTGCTAGTGTAAAGTTCAAGGTTGATCAGACTCACGAAAGGGAACGCTCTGTATCGCCCCAGAAAACTGGAAGTCAAGATCGCACGATAAGTACATCGTCTCGTTCTACCAATAACGTCAAGTTCCAGGTGGAGCAGATGCAGGAACGGGAACGGTCTGCGTCCCCCCAGAAGACTGGAAGTAGGGACCGTACATTGAGTACACCCTCTGGTCTGTCGCACGTCGCAAGAGCTCGTGTCTCTTTGAACTCTGTCTCTTCCGCTCCGTCCTCGAGTACACCCATACCAGAGAAATTGTCAAGTACTCCTTCACGATTACTGTCTTCTCCTCCACCACGTCCTTACTCAACAGGCCGACTCTCCACGCCTTCTTCCCCTTCCATGAGGGCCGCGTTGGTTACCACGCCGTCATTGGCCCGGCCGATCCAACCAGCTCCGCGTCCGTCGTTGGGACCACAGATACTCACATCTTCGAGCCCATCCCCTGCATTCTTAAAGGCACCTGCCCCGAAAGACCCTACCCCAAGCATAAGTAGGCTGCAAGGGCGGGGTTTCGTTCAGAACATGGTGAAGGCCAGCCAAGATTTGGGAGGTTCCACCTTCCCTCCACCTCTCGAAGCTCACCGCACAGGAAGCGGGCGGAAACCGTCAGTTCTTGACCGGTGGCAGCCTGATAACATAAGAGAAACATCGCCTTCGGCGTCACCTCAAGCTCCCCCCATGTGCAAAGCACGTACGGTGGGTCCTACAACGGGAGGATTCGAATCTAAGGCACTCAGGACTGTGCCCTCTCTGCCCTCTCTACGCACCCCTACAGCTTCTCCTCCTGCGCGAGTCGACCCTCCTCGAAAAGGTACTCCTGGTCTAGGCACACCGGGAGTGGGATCTGCCACTACCATGATGATTTTTCAACCTTCTTCAACGGATGACAAGTCCGTTTCTTTCCCCGCTGTCGATGAGATTGGAGTGCATCGTTCTGGAAGCAAGGAGGTGCCCGTCTTGTCCAGCAAGCCTCTGGTTCATGTGCGTTCATTTTGGTGATAATTACGTCGGGTGTTGCTTACGGTGTCTACCTTTCTATCTGTTTTACTTGTTTTACGTTCACGTGGATCTTCAATTTTCACTCTATAATTCACGCATTGCAAATGCTATTCTTTTTGGACAGCCAACGAAAGAAAGAGCGAAGAAGCCGCGCAAAGTCAAATCATCAGGACCTACGGTATCAGTTGAACTTGAAGAGCCTTCAAGTGTTATAGAAGTTGTGCCTAGTGCAAGTTCCGCAGCAACCACTGTGCCTCTGCGAGCGATTGATAAATCGGGATCAGATATACTCGGTCCATCACCTGAGAGCAAAGGGCGCCCCGTTTCTCCAATGGCACGCTCTAATGATTTGCGAATCACAGATCGCTGGGCTAGTGAGACCGTCATTGGTGTCAAATCGGTTTCTCGTACCCCTTCAGTACCGGAGCCAATCAAAAGGATGGTGGGTCGTAAAGCTTTGCCTGGCCTGGCACCTACAGAAGTTAGTATCGACACTAAGCCAAGTCTTCCATCACCCCGTTACCCCAATGAAGATTTGACGTATTTAGGACCTGCATCAACAACCGTCGCAATTCCTTCATTATCCAGCAGCCCCAAGTCACCTGTACCTTCCCGGCATTCACGCATTCCTAGTTCTGGGAATAGGGCTACGATTATGGATGTCGCTCAAGCCTTCAACAAAAGTACTTCCTCCGCCGAAGCCGAAATGCCGGTGCCTCCTCTCCCCGCCGAGATAAATGAACAATATTCACCGATTGCACACTCGAGGCTGAGTCCTCAACCCATGTCTCCAGCAGAGAAGCGTAGATCAAGTTATGAAAAATACTCAGCTATTGCAATGCCTCCTCTGAAAGAAGAAGCAACACCGATTTCTTCTCCTGCAGGAACTCTTTCGCGGGGTATTGTCGAAGATGTCGTGGGGTTGGAAGGAAGATTTGACTCCCGTGTTTGCAATGAGGAAAAGTCGTGCCTAAACGATATCCCAAACGATATTGTACAGCTTCGTACGTGAATATTCATTCTCCCAAAGAGTCTCTTTCGAATTTCCACGCCGTAGACTATACTAACGAGCCGCTTCCCCATGTCGACATCAGTTTACTTGTGACAAAACCGTCGCCAATGCGCCAAAATCGAAGCATTAATACGATATCCGTCGACGTTTTGAGCATATCGGATAGTTCTGCGACCGCCATAACACAGGATCTCAATGTATTTTATGATACTGAGGTCCTTGCTATTGTCCATCGTTCTAAATCTAAGTTAAGTGGGCTTGCATCGACGACAGTTTGGGCTTGGCAGGGGAAAGCAAGTCAGTTCAAAGAAAAAGAAGAACAGAAATTGAAGGAACTTGGGTCTCGCTATGGATCGAATTACGTATGTTCTTCGTCTCGTAATGGGGCTGCCTCGTTGATATTCCTCGCATATGCAGATCGTTATTCCTCAATATGCAGAGCCTGCAGAGCTTCTGCAAGTACTGGAAAATCAATTAGCTATCAGACAAGTAAGCTATTTTCAAATATTTGGATCTTGGTGTCTGATTGTTGTCCAGGGCACTAGGGCTCATTGGACCGCAGAGAATACCACCATGCATGTTGTCCGTCAAAGCGGCGACAGCATTCTCATTGATGAACTTGATTTGGTAAGTCATCTTCGTCTTTCAACTAACTCTGCGTCTGCTTAATTCAATCACAAAGAGTATCAGAAATCTATGTTCTGGATTTAGCTACTGCGTATCTGTTCTCGAAACTATCTATGTTTGGCATGGCTGCGGTTCACTTGCCAAAGAACGCCAGGCAGCAACCCGATATGCGAAAGGCTTGGGATCGAATGTCGTGGAGCTTTCCAATGGTGAAGGCGAAGATGATGCTATGTTTTGGATGATACTCGGAGAGGATGATTATGCTCAAGCTGATTACTGGAAGTGGAGGAGCTCCTCTCCTCATATCGATCCTAGGATCTGGCATGTCAAAGCTACCCGCGGCGAAGATGCGGTGAGTATTTTTGGCATCATTTCCTTGACGGTTCATCTGATTTTCATTCAGGTTTTGAGAATATCTTCCTTTATACAGCAATCCCCGAAAACATCGGTGTTCGTAGTTGATTGCGTTTGGGAACTCTTTGTGCTGGTTGGACAAGATGCACGCATACAAAGACAAAACATCAGGCTGGCAATCTCTGTCGCCCAGGTGAGTAGTCCTTTTAATGTAATTGTTTTGGTCATTGACCGGGTCTCTCTATGCAGTCTTTAGCGAAACGGGTTGCTGATGATCGCCCTTACCTCCCGACAGTCCACGTCTTGATCCTCCCTTCTCAAATACCCTTGGATCTTCGTTTACACTTCCGTGATCTAGATGAAGCAAGATTCGTCAGTATTTCTATCGCTTGGCTATCAATTTTCTCTAACTTCGATTGACAGAATGACAATAATATACCAGACCATATGAACCTTCTGTCTGCGGATGAAGCCCTAGTGCATGTAAGTGACAAGTACATGGTCCTTGTTATCTCGGTCTGATTGTTCATTAAGCTTCAAACCAAGGCATGGCAAAAAATCCTCCTCAGCAATACGGCAATGTTACCTCTCGGCATCGATTCATCACTACTAGTGTCATAGTGGCGCACATGGACATCGTTTATGCTATGCTATGGAACTGAAATTCTTTATGTGTATAAGTACTACGCTGCTCACGACATCTTTCGAATACATAGTTCGCTGTGTTTTGAAAAGGAATATACAAGGTACTCATTAGGCCCTAGGATACTAGAGATTGTGCCTTTTCAAGTTAATACTGAATACTCAGCAAATGACCTCTTGCATAAGTAAGCAATGTCCCAGAAACATCATCGAATGCTAATGCTAACGACGTCAAGCGAATGCCGTCGGGGAGCTGCAGACTTCTCAAACCATCGATGGGACCGTCTCCCATTGCCAGGGAATAGAGAATATACACCCGATGCTTTTCCGCATACAGATTCATGAACATAGCGGATTGCCCCGAGGGGGCTTTCGAGATGATGAGTCGATAGGTGAAGGTCCCCTCGGCCAGTATGGATATACTGGGTTTATCAGGGACTAATGACCAGCTTTCCTCGTCAATGAGATAGGTATGAAGCATAAGCTTGATTTCATCGTCTACTTCATCGTATTCGTTCTCGTTTCGTTCAACGGCTCGAGAGAACACCTCGAACGCAGTGATGTTGGAATCGATGAGCCGGATCATCTGATGATCTTTCCACAGAATGTCCACGAGGTTAAGGGAGGCAACTGTTGTGGTTTTCAAAGTCCTGAAAGTCCACTCTCCTTCTATAGCCGGCATCTCCAGAGACGATGTATCATAAACCTCCAAAAAGAGAGAGGCGTTCCATGACAGATCTTGGATGAAGACGCGACGCAATGCCAGAATTAGCACACACTGACGACGTGGATGAAGGAAAATGTCATCGATGTCGAAACCCTAAAAAAAATTCAAGGGTTAGCGCGTATAACTTGTACGAGACTGGGGAATGGACAAACCATGTCGGTCGACGGGACATTACCGTTATTTGCACGGTCTGGGCGAGGTGATACGCAGATGCCTGACTTGAGGTTGATATCGATAAAGAAGAGCTCACCGCCCCCGTGAAGGCAGGCTACAGAATCCCGCAGAATGACGGATCTGGCAAAGCTGGCTGGAGGGAGACGGATATCTCCGGTTTTCACGATTTGGGGAGGTGCATCGTCTTGGCTCAAGGCAGTCGAACAGTCGATAGAGAATATTCTCAGATGCCTGCGGAGTACATTAGCTTATGTCTCATAAGACTTACACATCAACATACCTATGCACCTCGTCAGCCCCAGTTTGACCAGGTTCAACGATTGTCAAGAGGATGCTTATCGTTATATGTGCACCATTATCAGTGCTAACCCAGTCAAGGGAGTCCAAGCGCCCCGGATAATCCAACAGATGACCATGGGCAGTCTTCAGGTCATAGATACCGACATTGGTTGGGACATCTCTCATTTTACTGAGCCGTCCAAGGAGGGCGTACCGACCTCCAGGAAGGATATAACAAACTGTTGGTGAAATGGTCACCGGGCCTTGAGGTATCCAAGGTTCCCACGAAGGAAGATGATAAAGATGTCGAGCCTCTGAACATCTCAGGGGAGGAACGGAGGTGAAAGATCTCCACTTGACAGATAGAGAGACTGCTCGTGACGCATAGAAGGGACACAACGACAAGTCAACGGTATCCAAAGTGTTTCCCGGGGGAAGGGGGATGATGTGACTGTCGCGAGCATTCTTCCATATCTGCCTGTTGCATAGTGATATTCCTCTGAGATACGAGCATGTCTAAAGGATAAGTGAAGGGTCAGATTAAGACGCAGGACATGAACTGCATTCCCTTACACGCGTGAAATGGAGTATCTCCGCAACAGAGGCATGTCCTAGAATCTTCAATACCAACTCTGGCGGAAGATCAATAATACTCATTTCCGCAATAATACGGAATGAACAGACTTGCTAATGACAGTGAACTAGCGAACAAAAAGCAGTGCGATCAGTCATCTGCCGACGGCCAGTGGCGTGACGTCTATCAGCCGGCATCTCCCTCGGTCGAAAATAGTTCCATTAATTGTACAAGGTACCGCCCGCCATAGGATAGTAAATATAAGATAGGAAGATTAGTTGTGATGGGCGCATAATGGCGCCCATAGCGGCGCTCTATGATCAACCGTACCACTTGTTTCCAAGTCGTGTCCGAGCAGAAGCTCTCTGAGGAATCGTGGGCTCTTTTATATCAAAGACTTCTATTGCTCGCTGTATGATCTTGTCCATCAGATAGACTATGATTTACGGCAGTTTTTACAAGCTCACCCTCCATGTGGCCTCGTCGAATTCCAATACGATTTGATGTTTTCGCAAGCCATTCTCATAGTCCTCATCGGAAGGTTGTGCACACAAGTCTGTGATAAATGGATGAAGGCAAATTATATACTGAATAATGAACCTTACAAATTGTGGGTTCACCATCAGCCTCCGTGTCCAATGCGACTTTACCATCCCGAATCAAAAACGACAGATGGAATATATTTTCCACCGACTGGGCGAAGTCGTGGGGATTGATGACGAATCGGAATAAATTAATGGGGCTGACTTCACCCAACAGGGCTTCCAACTGCATATATGTTAGTCGGAAACAAAGAAATGACCCACTCCACACACAAGTGCGACGTTTTTGGTTGTCTCATTCTCGGATCGGGCAATGTCTTCTTCTTTTAGTTCTTGGGGCTTCCGTTGTTCCTCTTTATTCTTCTCCAATCTGGCGCGTTTGACAGACGCACGCTTTTTGGCCTCGATAGAAAGTGGGCCAAGCCTTGAAATTCGCCATTATAATCTGTCCTTGAAGCAGAGAGAAGGACTGACATAAAACTAAGTGCAGGAACCCTGTGACTCTTCGCGAGCGATTTTCGGCCAATCCTATCCCAGTCCAGAACGCTGTCGGGATCATCCTCTGCTGTGTCTATTTCAGAGTCACTGTCTGGAATCTGATCTCCAAACTTGCGACCACCCATGAAAGTGATGAGCTTTGAAACAAATTCGTCGACATCGAAGGCGCCTGCTCCGGACTTCATAGCTCGTGCCTTTTGGGCTCCCAGATTTGAGGCCATCAGTAAGAAAGCGGAATCAAGAGTAGCCTCCTGTGGACCCTTCACTACGAAAGGAATTTCTCATGAAAAATCGACCAATTATGACTTGATATGCACCGCGTACCTTTGTCGAACAGTTTGTCTGCCTTGCCGACATCCTTTTCAATCCGTTCTATACTCAGGTCGGCAAGGTTAGACTGATACTCTAAACACGCATATTTTAGTAAAGATAGTGCAGACACGGAGTCCACCAAAGATCACACCTTCCATATTTTTCGTAAGAGATCTGTAGTCCTTGCGAAGGGCGCGTTTTTCCTCTGCATCTTGATCAGGATCGTAGACCAGTGATTCTACCAAGATGTTAAGGCCAAATACAAATGTCACAGGTTACATACTGTACCTCTGCGCGAGGAGTTCATATTGGCGTCTGGCTTTGGCTAGCGCGAAGAACAATTAGGAAGTGCGTGTTTGGTCGTGTCTGCCAGGCACGTCGACGCGACGCACGTGATGAGACGTATTTACTCCAAATTGAATTTCCCCTCTTCTTGCTTTTCCAAAAATTTGCGCCCATCATGAGTGCTACGCACCAATTTGGCGTAAGCTTGTTTCTCTGCACACTTTTGAGTATCATCTCCAACTTCTATCTAGTACAGCAAATCGACTCGTGCTAAATGCCATGGCCCTTTGCCATGCAAGGTTTCTGGTATTCTCCTTCTTCTAGGACGCGTTATTGACACTAAGCCTCGTAGGGCACCCCTATAACAACTGGCACACTACGATATGGACAGACAGTAACCAATGCGTATGGAGATACGGTAGAATGGTGCCACTGGTCTGGACGTTTTCTATGTGGCGCGTCCTCCCTGACGTTGTTTCGTAGGGGCTGCGTTACACCAGCCATTCTTGGCCAACTTGCCTTAGAAAATCTGGACAACATTCATGGATTCCGAGATTTAAGGCGGGCTAAATTCTTTTCCCAGGGATTCGCCCAAATCAACTCTTTCTTCAGATCGGATGACCAGCACAAGATTCGCAAGGCCGTATTGGAAAGACGTGTCGATCCGGTAGATATCCCTCCATCTGCACAGACTGTAAATTCTACCTCCATGAATACATCCGCGACCAACATTCCCAGTCAGAAGAAGAGGAAGGCTCTGCAAGAGGCGGCGTCTCAATCTGCATCGTCGTCTCAGCGGCCTTCTTTGTCGGCATGCCCTCCATCATCATCCCCTCCTGTGGTAGAAATTCCGGCCGAAAATGAAACGCCAGAAGACGAAGCCGCAGATGAACTGTATTCCACGATGCGAACGAATGTTGTCGGATTACAGTATTATCCAGGTCTGGCATGCCTAGATATGCTCTGTGTTTACTGACCGTAATTAAGGTCTTGTTGGACCTGGTGAAGAAGTCATTATTCAGAGGGACTTGAACAATGCCTATGACGCGTGTGTATCATCAATTCTTTCAGACGTGAAGTATATCAGTCTTATGCTCTTTACTCTCACAGAAACGCAGTAAGAGTGATGAACATAGGGAAGGTCCAGGTAGGTCATATTCCCAGGGGCTTAGCTGCGAAGCTGGCACCTCTTCTGGACCGTCACCTTATCACTTGTGAAGGGGTGATCCATGACGGAAATTGTGAGATCGTCGTAACGTTTGGCTAATTCCCTGGCTAATCGTGTAACAGTGAGTGGGTTTAGAGGGTATACCCTGAAGATGTTAGTGCAAAAGAACCGTAGTGATCAACAGTGCTGAGTTCATTTCCAGGAGCCTCAAGATTTACGGGCCTTCTAACAAGCGTGATGCGCTTGAGCCACTTCTCATATGGTCAACCCCTGGCCAGCGCGGATTTAGTTCCCGGAGGGGACAGGTACCGTTCAGTCAAGGCTCGGCCGCCCAAATAACGGGGTCATCTCGTGCTCCAGGCGCCAAACCCACCCAGACAGAAGCTGCCAGGAAGCAACATGAAGCGCTGCAAAAGGCCGCTGAACTTCGCCAGATTCTCAACAGTCTTGAGAAAGTTGATGATGAAGGACGTCGAAGCTCTCTTCTGGATTCTGTCTGTTTCACCGAAGACATATTGAACTTACCGTTGCATCCCGCTCCTCCTGGAATCGAACGAGGGAACTTGGTAGTCGATTTGATGAAGCATCAGGTTAGTGTCTTTCTCATATTACAAGGAACTGTTTCATTGTACATTTTACAGTGCCAAGGATTGCAATGGTGCATCGAGCGAGAGTACCCAGTACTTCCCAAGAAAGAAATTGATAAGCCTGTCCAGTTTTGGCAGTTAAGGAAGGACGGGAACAAAGTGTGTACAACTACAAATTATCGTCAGATATACTCCAGTGCTCAACCGTTAATGAACAGACTTATTATTATAATGGTATCCTTCTGTTGTGTGCCCAGATCCATACGCTAACGGCCCGCTTGAAGTGGCCACAAAAACGCCTCAAACAAGCCCCCCCATTCTCGGAAGAGGCGCACTCTTTGCAGATGGTATGGTATGATGTGTTATTACATCTGTTTGATCCTCGCACTGAATTATGACAGGGCCTCGTAAGCAATCCAGTCACTCGACATTACAAGCTCCTCATATGATCTCCCGACGTCAGGGAAAGACGCTGACTATGATTGCTCTGATTCTGGCCACTAGAGACGACCATCCAGCCCATTTTTCAGGCAGCACTCTAATCGGTGAGGCGCAATGTATTACCATTGAAAGACATCTTCTGACTTGCGCAGTGGTCCCGCTCTCTGTACTTTCCAATTGGGAAAAGCAGATTCAAGATCACTGTGCCCCTGGCACGCTGACAGTATGCGTCTATTATGGCACAAATCGGTCTATGAGCCCACAGGAAATGGCAGGGTATGATGTCATTCTTACCACATACCAAACTGTCACTTCGGAGCACAATGGTACTTCCCCAAGCGATGGTCCCAGCAAGAAGAAGAGAAAGATAAGGAAAATCCTTTTTGAAGTACAGTGGAAGGTGTCCTACATTCTGCTTCGCAATTTTATAGTCGCTTAGCATTGTCATAGAGGATTATTCTTGATGAAGGTCATAGCATTCGCAATCCCAAAACAAAGATGGCAAAGGCTGTATGTGGTCTCAGCGGAGACCGCAGATGGGTGTTAACAGGCACACCTATAGTTCGCTTTTCTGTCAGTCGTTGTCCGGATTCGATTAACTCATACCTTTCCAGATTAATTCACCCAGGGTACTTCAGATGCAGATCCTTGGCTAACTGAGCATTGATCTTTCGTGTACCAGGATCTTGGCTCAATTCTGACTTTCCTTCGAATTTGTGGGCCGCTGGATCAAGAAGACTTCTTCAAACGGCTGCTCCTTCGTCCTTTGAAGGATGGCCATCCATCCGGAGGCGAACTACTACGGGTAAGTTGTGCGAAATCATACGCTGATCGTAGTATTCTCATCTCGGCGTATACTTAGGCTTTGATGGCCCACGTATGCATCAGACGCACGAAGGAGGTACAAGCCATAATTCTTTAGAATGGTTCAATAACTGACCATCCCCATAGATGCAGGACAATACCGGAAAACCTCTCATACCTCTTCCTTCGGTGAGCATCGCCTCAAATATATCAAATTGGTACTGAATTTCTTGTCGTTCTAGGTTGAGATGACGCTAGTTCCTGTCACCCTTCATGATGACGCTAGAGTAAGGACAGGACATCCTCATCAAAGTATCCATTACTTGACCGATCCTTAGGAATTGTACGATGAGATTGAGAGACTCTCGCAGCAACGTTTAGAAAGATTTATTGCTAGAGGAGAAGTTAACTCAGTTTGTGTGCTCCTTCTGATGTAACTGCCTCATTCTAACATGTCTGACAGATGCAATCGAATGTTTTAAGCATGCTCACCCGTATGCGGCAGATCGCTTTGCATCCAGGTCTCGTTCCTTGTGGTTATCTGGACCAACTAAGGTCTTTTGTTGACAGCGACGACTTGGGATCTGACTCCGTTCCCCAAGTACAACTGAAGCCAAAGGATAAAGCGAGATTGCAAAGATTGGTTCTGCAGGCGATCGAAGATTCCCAGGAATGCCCTATCTGTTTCGATGTCCCTGACAATAACAATGCCCGAATAACAAGCTGCACGCATGTGTTCTGCCTTCAATGGTACGCATTCCTTGTTTTGCTCAAAAGCGATTTCTCATTCTAAAGATCTCAGCATCACCGAAGTTCTAGCAAGGCAGGCCAAGTGTCCTATGGTATGACTATACCTCGCACTGCATCATTCTGTTTTTCATACATGCATCTAGGATCGCCGCACCCTTTCGTGGACTGACGTGATTGAACCGCCATGGCCTACTGAGTTTACGCAGTTACTAAGACCAGAAGACGATGAAGAAGAAACCTTACAAGCTGGTCCCTCGGCAAAAATTGAACAACTTATACATCTCCTCGCGCTTATGCCTCATTCTGAAAAGTCCTTGGTCTTTTCCCAGTTCACTTCATTCTTAGACAAGGTATACCTTGACTATACATTTCTATTCGCAATGCTGACAACATCTCGAGGTCGCGGAGGCGTTGGATAAGAAGAGGTAAATCTTTGCCCTTGAGGTTCTGACCTGGCCTAACAATACTATCAGCATTGCGTACGAGCGCTTTGACGGCCGCATGTCAGCCAAGAAGAGGCAGGAAGTGTTAGCACGGTTTTCTGTACCAGTCGTAGATGCCTTCGTTCCGACTCAAAACGATGCGTTGCCTCAAGGACGACGAAGGACGGGGCGGATCGTCGTAGAGAATTGCGATGAAGATGTTGTGGATAACCAAGATAGCGACTTTGTGCCGATGTCGCAAGATGACGTGGATGACTTTATTGTTTCTGACGATGATGCAACCCGCAAGAAAGAGGGTAAAGGTAAAGCCAAGACCAGAGTTTCTCTAGATCGCGAGATTCTGGGTGAAGAAGGAAATCCTAAGGTCATGCTGCTATCACTGAAGGCGGTACGTTCATATGTATCTTAAAAGCATCGATTGCAACGCATCCTTGCCTACTAGGGTGCCCTTGGCTTGAATCTAACGGGTACGTAGATTCATGCGACCGATTCCCGTGGTTTCTGACGGCGCTCAATTAAACGCAGTTGCCAATAATGTCTTCCTGTGAGCTTGGTCATTCTGTCATCACTTCAAACCTATATTAATGATGTTTGCACATAACTAGTATGGATCCGTAAGTCAAATAGTGCCTTTGCGTTTGACTTACTCATCCTTTTTTTTTTAGCTGGTGGCAGGTAGGATATACCACGGTCTCTCTGAGCCGATTGACAGATAATTGCTCACAGGAAGGAATTGAGAGCCAAGCCATTGACAGAGTGAATCGCATAGGGCAGAAGAAAAATGTCCACGTCTATCAGCTTATCGCTGAAAACACTGTCGAGTCGAAAGTGGGTAATAATTCTCATGGCATTCCGGAGAACTCTGACGTTCCTCGTCTATTTATAGGTGCTTGATATACAAGAGAAGAAGAAAGCGTTGATCAAACAAGCATTCTCCGGTACCAAGAGGACGGAAACGCCCCTCCAAAGGAAGGAAGCTCGTTTACAAGGTGCATAAATTCCTGGCCATCATTTGTATACCGTTACTAACGTAAGGCAGAGATAATCGAACTTTTCGGTATCAGGAACCAGCAGGCACACATTTAGCAGCTTATGAAATTACTTTTCTCTACCTTGTGCTGATAACAAACTTACTGTATGAACATAAGTAATCAGGACTCTCAATGCCTAACCACAACGTTGTCTTGACCTCAGTTACCGGTCGCATAAAGCTCATCCCCCCGCATCCTTCAGAAGATGAGGCGGTTGCCCAACTACGCACTCATCCAGAATTCCTGCGTTATCTTCCCATCTTCCCTCAGAGTGTTTCAGCCGAGGAAATGGGCCAACGCCGGGAAGCGCGATCACAGAATCCCAGTATCAGGGATTTTCATATCCACGTCGCGGACTACAAAGGACAGTGGGAGTTCGGAGGGATAACGGGTTATTTCAATTTGGAAACGGTGAATAAATCGTGCGAAATCGGGGTCGCGGTATGTCCTGCGTTATATGGAACAAGCATCGCAACGGATGTGCTCTACACCTTGTTGGTCCACGTCTTTGAAGAACAAAGATTGCATCGGGCAACGTTTCAAACAGCAGCGGCAAATGTTGCTATGAGGGGATGGCTAGATAAAGTTGCCGATGCGAAGCTGGAGGGGGAAAAGAGAGAATGTTGGAGGACAGACAAGGAGACCTATTGCGACGTGGCCTGCTATAGTATCTTAGAGTGGGAGTGGAGGGACAAAGTCAAAGGAAAACTAGAGCATAGACTACAGATTTAAACCATCCCTTCCATTCCAGCGCCAAGGATATTAGCCCTTCATCAGGTACAAGTAGTCGCGTAGGATGGTATGCCGTGTATGCACGATGTCCTCCAGCGTCATATTACATTCATGAATGGTCTGGGAGAGGATACAATTATGTACTAATCTGTATGGAATGTTAATGAAGTGACGGGCTCAGGAGAGTACAAAGAATCTCACAGCAGTAAGATACGACTCCGCGACAATCCGAGCTCTTGCGTTCAAACTAAGCTTCATATCGCTGATTTCTCGATCCACTTCTTTCATAAATCTGGGTTGGATTAAGCAGCTGATACAGAGTAGCAAAGACCTGATGTACTCAATGATGAAATCAACAATCTTGTGCTTCAGCATGGTCTCGGAATGAGTGTTGGTAATTAAGAAAGAGATATCATATCCCTGGAAATAAGATATAGATGAATTGAAAGACGCATATGGTAGGTATGTAGAGATGCCCACCTGTACAGGCCTTCGCCGCAGCACGATGAAACTCTCTGCTCTTTGCATCATGAAGCGAGTAAACTTGTGACAAAGAATGCGTTCTATTTCATCAGCTTGTTTGATCTTGATACTCAAGCGAATGGAGTTGATTGAGGGTTCGATTAAAACCCGTTCATTTTCGTTTCTTGAAATGATCAGAGGGTTGAGAAGGACTTCCTTGGATCCCCTGCACAAACAGAGTCAGTGAGCAAGCTATGGCGAAATAATGGCACTGACGAAGCCTCTACTTCGGGTTTATTGTGTCGTTCGACGACCTGGATGTCGGTTTGAGTAAAGGATAAGCCGACGATGTACTCAACGCAACGTACCTGCGATGAAAAACTTTCCAGAGTCAAGGCTGCTGTCAAAGTAGACCTGACGGCCGCAAGATACGGTCTAAGAGAGTTCGACTGCGAAGACTGTTGAGCAAGGCAGATGGAATCGTAGTGTAAGGCGTACCATGATCTGAGTCTTGGGCGTTGCTGTCGACAATCACGGTCACCGCGAATGCCTTTCAGTCGGCGCTTAAAATCATCGATCGTGTTTTTTTTTCGACCTTTCTCTCGACAGCCTCTTCATTTGTTTCTGAAGAATGGCTGTTACTCTTGCGCTCTGGTAAGTCAGAGCCCTTTCTACTCTCTTTGTGCTTACTCTTCTATGTAGGAGCATCAAGCTGGGACCTGGAAAGCCTGAAATCATCGAAGCCCAAACCGACAGAAGGGTCACTAACATTGCAATTGGTGACGACTCGGAAGCGCCCAGCAAATCAGGCAGAAGCACGGTCAAGCTGACGTATCCAAACGTTGCCTATGATGAGGACAATGATGACGATTCTGAGGAGGAAAACATCACTACCGTGTTATGTTCGTTGTCTGTAGGAAAGGTACTTGCGCGGGCTAGCTTATTTGCGATTCAGACTTGAATATCTTCTGACAGGTCGAACAAGTGGTTACCGATATCGTGCTCAACGAGGGTGGCTTGTACAAATTTGAAACTACCGGTGAAAAGTGCGTTACTGCGTTATGCTTTATCGTTAACTAACGTGTCTTTGCAAGTACGATATATGTAAGCGGGCACATCATCGGTATGTACCCGAGAAAATTCATTCTCGTGGGTATGCTGATGTCCACTCGCAGATCAGCGACCATTCGACTCGGACTCAGAGGGAATGAGCGACGAGGAGGAAGCCTATGACCTCAGAGACGTCAGCTCTGATGTCGAAATTGAACCAGAAGAATATGGAAGTGACGCAAGGTATTTTTTTTTCAACCTTCTGTCTACTGTCTAGTAATACTTACAGATTATTACAGTCGATTTGAAGAAGTCCATGATGCAGCTGCAGAAAAGTCCCTAAAACGACCTCGCCAGTCAACGGACTTGGATATTGACAGCTCGAAGCTCTCGAAGGCCGATAAAAAGAAAGCCAAGAAGCAAAAGGGCGAGGATGGGAAGCCTGTCCCAGTCGCAGTCAATGTCGATGCATCTGCCGACAAATCTGACAAACCTGGCAAAAAGGACAGGAAAGAAAAGGCTGAGACCAACGGCAAAGCCTTGGCTGAGAAAGAGCTACCTGGAGGTCTGAAGATCAGAGACTCAAAAATTGGCACGGGGCCACAAGCGAAGAAAGGCAATACTATTCAGATGAGGTACATCGGCAAACTTACCTCCGGCAAGGTTTTCGATTCGAACACCAAAGGAAAGCCTGTTCGTTGTTTTGTTCCCTTCTTATAGATAAGTGGTGTTCACTCATTGATCGTTCTTTAGTTTTCGTTCCATCTTGGGGCAGGCGAAGTCATAAAAGGTGCGTTTCTTTTTGCAGTATCTGAATCTGCGCAACGTCTGAACAACCGCACAGGATGGGACCAAGGTCTGGTCGGGATGCAGGCGGGAGGAGAACGTGTACTTACTATTCCCCCTGCATTGGGGTACGGTAAGAAGGGTCAATCCGGGATTCCAGGAAATGCAACGCTCATCTTTGGTCTGTACCATTCTATCTCTTGTTCTTTGTGCTGAATACTTGCTTTCAGAATGCAAGCTCATCAACATCAAGTAGATAGCAGACGGATGGGCCGAACAGTTCATAAAAATTTGGTGGTCGTGTATGACCGTCGTTTTATATCATTCAAATAATAATAGTCGTTCCATTCGTTCCCACCATGTGAAAGTGAAAGGAACGGCATCCTGGATGAGATGTCAGACTTTGAGGGTCGTTTAACCGTGTTATTTCCCGTGCAGCCGGTACATCGTTTAGTTAGGTGGCGTTCATGCCAAGACGTCGGCTTCAAGCAAGTTCCTATACGGACGGGACAGTCATGTACTGTTGCTCCAAAGCTGTTCGACGCGCAGCAAAAATAAATGCTCCTTTATTTGAAACCCTACAACGTCATATAACATTATCGTTTTACAGACAGGTAAGTATTCGTCAGGATCCCCCTGTAAAAAAGACTGATTGCTTTTGTCGCTGTACGAAAGGCGCAATATACGGGCTAGGAGTAATTGCCAATCGGCCGCCACGGAACTAAATTTTATCAAGCGGAAGCAAGACGGAAGCATATTTTGCAGCGCTGATTCGTGCCGACATGTCTCTCAGGCATGAACAATGCAAATTGTGAAGATCCAAAGTGGTAAAATGCCAGTCAATACTCATGTGGTTGAAGAGCTGAATTTACAATACAGCCAGTGACTCGACCACGAAGCCAATGGGATTGGTAAAAGTATATTCATGTACCTGAGTGCCCGAGCGGAATCCCAAGATTTGCCAATTTCGCAGGGAGGCAGGAAGTCCGCTGCTAGTCAGAAACAAAAAAAACAATGTTTGAACGACGGGAGCGCCACGAAGAAGCCTTAAGAACGAGGGCCAGCGGACTTATGGACATTTCCTAAATGTCGTTTCTAAAAAGGTAGCAGTGACTCAGAACTGTATCCCTAAGAACGCCAGGCGCACTACGTCTGCGCACCTACTATCTTCATCTTTTCTGATTTTAGCTCAGCCTCAGTGGCCACCGCCGCCTCCTTTGCAGATTTCCCTGCGCGCAGTGCCCTCCGTTTTCCTTTTCCGTTTTCCGACCTGATGATTGGATCTTGATAATCTGGATACGCAATTCGCGCAGGTTTCCGAACCATGGGGCGTGTCAATGAAATTCCATAAATGCAGCCGCTTGTTACAGTATAAAAGTCTGGCTGCCATACTTTGTTATCGTAATACTCCTTCCCTTCCCTTCCTTTGTACAAGTCCGTCGTCTTTGGCGTCCTGCATCTGTTACTAGAGGCCTAATGTTGATCACATATTCTATCCATTCTTTCGGTGTCAGATCTTCCTGACTGTCACGAAACGTCTCGTATGGGCGTCGAGGCTCATCATTGTCTGACGTTCTTCCTTCCCATCTGTACTGTGTTCGTGGCTTGAAAGAAGTCATCGATGCAGTACATACCATGGGAATGGAAGAAGTCAGACCTTGAATTGAGGAGCGACGACCATGCAGCGTGATTATTTGTCTCGCACTTCGAACTTTATATATGCTCCTGTTACGACGTCATCAATAATAACAGCTGTTTGTCCTCAAGGAACCTGGGCTCTGTACGTTGATACCACCACGCTTTCAAGATCTATTTCGCCAGTCTCATTGTTCCAAGCTTCGGCTTCTTGCCAATACAAGTGCATCAACAGGTGTGAGTTCACCATGTTCCAGGTTGACACTTCTTCTATATAGCGCCTAAGAGGAACGGATTTTTATCATGGCTTTGCTCTCTACAGGCTTTCATGTATTGTTTTTCTGCACACATGCAACATTCAATTTCTGTCATGGTTACATGTAAGGTACTGGGATTATTGTCCGATCAGTATGGACGACTGGTCTCAATTATCAGCCACGAATGATGCTGCGAATGTTGAGCTTTCCCGGCGACCATCAGATGTGTCACCATGAAGATTAATATTCCATAAATCAGATGTATAATTTAAACGACTAACGGTTGACCCACAATAGCCAAGCTTAAACGCTCAAGCTTTCTACTTGGGAGAGTTGAACTTAATAACAAAATATCGTGCCAATGTATATGCCCTCGTAAGGGCCAAGATGATCCACTATGTTTCCTTCAAGAATATTTGGAACCGTTTCAATCTGGCACTCTGAGTCAGTGGCGTCGTCGTTACCTGCAATCATTGCTTCGTCAGTTATAAAGACAAGACCAAGGAAATTCGACCCACCCGGACAAGCAACGGCGGAGCCTGGTTCGAGGATATGAATCTCGGTTTCAGGGTGAACATACCCGAGGCCTCTGCCAGGCAATATAGGGATAAGATCTGAATCAATCAGGACCAGCATTGTAAACTGAATGTATTGCCGTACCATGCTTGTTATTAATCCGCTTGAAGTTTGGTGTCTGTAGGTCAAAGGGGTCAGCACAAATGAAAGCCACTTGAACAAGTCTCCTACTTCAGAATCGATGAGCTCCGCAAAGGCCAAATTCCCGACACCTAAAAAGTTCCGGAATGAGGAAATTATGGAAGCCGAGATGCGCATCCGTATATGCCGCGAGGATACGTACGAGGTGTCCCGTAAGTCACTACATTGATGGATGCAGAAGGTATATTTAGAGCGAAGAAAAGGCCGTCAAGCTCGGCCAGAGCCCCCCCAAGTGAATGTCCAACGACGACTAAATTGTCGGTTCCCTTGGATTCGATGAGTGACTGAACTTCAGCGAGAATTTCACTAGCTGTCGAAGCCTGTGCATCTCTGAAACCGCCATGTACATAAACATCACTGGAGACACCGGGGAAAAGATCCGTGTCGAGGTTGTCCTGGAGTGCGTCGATGTCTGTCAAAACAGATTCACTGTATGAAAAATTAAGAATAAACCACTAGAACTTGGATGACGGAGAACAATCTTACAACTGGGTTGGGTCAGTGCCTTCATGTCCTACAACTATGGCGTCCTCGGATGGCCAGTACCCAACGAAAACTAGAAGAACATATGTCAACCTGACTATGTGGGTTGGCCAAACCACTAACAATACTGGACATCATCTCCATCACCACCGACAAGTGTAGGTTCGAAGTCGGACACGGCATCACAAGCCTCTGAAAGACGGCCCTCAGCAAGAGAAAAGGCATGGAGCACAACACGTACCCCCACAACTCCAGTCTTTCAAGGCGTCTGAACCGCAATATGCCGCTCTTGCGAACTGCGTGTACGGCGCGAACGAGGCAAGTTCAGCAGCGGATAACGCGGTGACGCTACGACGGACTGATTCCGAAGAGGTAGCATAGCTTGTGCCCATAGTCGAAACCAATAGGAATAAAAATGACGCGTGCATCTCGGTACCAAGGCAAAGGAGGGAATGGAGAACAGACACCTAAAGCAAGGTATGTGCTGTTATGCCGCCATATACTGAGGCCTTGCATTTTATATAGCGCGGCACTAAACCATATAACGCCTGTGGATAGATTATCCGACAGTATCGCCACGGACTGGAGCATGTGCAAAGCGGTATGCATCAGAAACGAACTGATCCAGCGCACGTAGTAAATGTCCACGGGTCTCTATCACGGGTCGGAATTATCTGCGAAAGATATACTTGGTATGTTGCGATCATGTGGGGAATTCGGAAAAGAGAGTTACATAGCCAAGAAGGGTTGTCTGATTGATTAACCACACTTCCGACGGTGCATTGGCCTGTGAAATCTGACTGGGATGATTCGGAACCCTGTGAGTAGATTCATGCGCATTGCAGATTTGTATGGTCTGGGTGGGATAGAATTACAATGATTTCCCGGCTATCAGTTAATGAAGGTTGCGCCGACTTACTAAATTTCCGTCTTTAACAAGGGTTGCAGGTTCTATAGGATTACGAAACTGAAAGAAACGACGGTGCCGATCTTACTAGCCTTTATGAGCTCACATTGATACCCAGGTCGCCGAACGTCATAAGGATTCGCAGACGCTAAGCGACCCATCGTATTCCTTGATAAAGTCCGGGTATTGTTGGCATTGTGTTCACCGTATAAAAAATTACCTTTACCTCTTGGTTCTCGCATTCATTTCCTGAAATAGCCGTATACTTATTGCGGACCAACGATTCCGATATTCAGTGAGGAAATACGCACCTGAGGCTCGTCCATTTATCGATCGGCGCCGAGACTCCTCCCGAAAGGGGGCCTCGCCGTAGCTCGAAACTCTAGTAAGTTCCATTGCAGGAACGAGAAACGTGACGTCCGGTATGAGTTCAGTGCTGGATGCAAACTGGTTCCTCCCGCAGCAGAACAGCGGAATCATGGCCATTGCGCACGTGTTATTTGCATGTCCTGCTTTCAGACAGTGAAAAATTGAGGGCAGACCCACTGCTCTCGTCTTACGACAGTCATGTCAACTGAATTTGTGGACCCACAGAAATCTGCCTCAGCGCAGTTTCCGAGCTGCGACAATAAAATGGAGTGAGTCGAAGTTATCATCTACCAGGCATGTGAAGTACCTGAGAATAACATGTCCCTAGCCTTCTCATAGAAGAAATAATTAACCTAATTCGGGATGCTACCTGCAGTTTCCCTTCAAACCTGAATCGATTTCTGGAGCACGACACGCTCAGGTCACCCTCTTCAAAGGGCCGTCACAGACATCCTTTGGGCGTGGATTCACGTGCTGGCGGCCACGGTGACTGGGAACGGATTACTGCGCATCTCGGACTGCTGATCGCCTAGAGCGTGAGATCTACGCACCGGGGGACGAGGCGGTAGCTCGTGCAGAATATACCCAAGTGCTAGCCAAAGAATGGTTCACGAAAAGCGCTGCAGCAGAGAAGGGTCGAAGCGAAGCGGACACGAGTGCAATACAATCGGAACTTAACGCTGCAAGGTACAAGTTGCAGTTGGAAAAAACACCGAGTCTGTCTTGAAACACCTTCAGTTCGAGACAGCTCAATTGGAGAAACGGTGTGCTGAGGCCGAGCGCTCTGCGGATAAGTAGGTGTGAAGGCCTGCACGAAGGTCGCGAACAAGGAAGCAACGAAGAACGCAGAGACGCGCTCAAGGCATTTGATAAATTTTTGGCAGAAGAAATAGATGGAAGTGAGGTACGTTTATTCATGAACGTCCAAGTACCGTGACCGATGTTCATGGCCAGCAGAGTGACTGGACTCGAAGATGGGCCGCATCAGTCGACGGTGTCACTTCCTATAGCATGATGAGACATTTTGATGGACTGCAAATTGATAGATCAGAAACAGAGGTACCAGGGCTTGTGAACGTACGGGTTGAAATTTCCACCTGACAAGGCACTCGTCATGGGGTGTATGTGCATATGCTAAAGATTCACCAGACAAGGATCAAGAAACTGCCAGTGGTCGTCGGAAAAAAAACGATGATACGACTGAAAAATTTCCGGGCGACTGGACAACTGGACAACTGGGATAAGCAGGGAAATAGTACATCCGCCTAACGATAGCGTCGTTATGTAACAGACCGGAGGGCGTGCGTTGCAGATACAAGGTCACGGTTGCGATGGACGTCTACACAGGATTGAAACGGAGGGACTATCAAAGATCCTACGGATCTCTTGCATCTAGTGTTGAACATTTGAGTGTCTGCATGATTGTTGCGATCTTCGCATACTGAAATAAGTTCTATCGGTCGAAATATAATTCTATTTCGGCGCGTCTGTGCATGTCGAGCAAAGGCAGTTGAAAGGTAGCCATCTCACCAAGTTCTAGTATCTATCACCAACTGTTCCTTTCGACGATGGCATAAAAACACAGTGATGATATCAATCAGGAAGAAGAGCAAGTAAAAGGCAACCGTTGCAAGTAACTGCATTGACGTTACGTTGAACTTTTACGATTATATTCCTTTCGGTTCCCTTTCAGTCCTTCATGGCCACTGCTCTTCCTCCTACTCCACCTTCTCCTGGCGTCGGTCTCCGTCGCAAGGGCCCCAAAAGCCTTCCGAGGCTCCCGCTGTCAGCTTTCACGCCACCAAACTCCGGCACATCCGACAAGTTTCCTCTGCCTCCCAGTCCAAGTACAGTACATCCCGAAAGTGTGATAGATGCAGCGGTGGCCGTCGCCAATGGCCTGGCTGATGTGAGCAAGTGGAGGTTTGAAGCAGGAGAGGTTCTAGGCGGCCGGATAGTTGGCATCGTGTTGTCGCTTTCCCCAAGCCAAGCTCAAAACGCCATCGAGATGTATGTCTTTTGCTCCTTTCTTTCAGACCAGCCTCACTACTCAAATCCAGCTTTGAATCTGCCAAATCAGTTGCATCCATCGTCTCTGTCGCCTTTCCTTTTAGCCTAGACTCTGTCGAGCATTCGCTACCCCAATCTGCACTACCTGTATCGCTTCATACCGTTTTCACTAAGGCTACCATCAACGGCGTCGAGAGCTTGAGATGGGCTCTGCAGCAGGGAAAGCCTGTTGATATCACCATAGAGGTGCCTCTCACCGATGCTCTTTTCGACAACTTGGAGGATTTGCTCTCCAGGGCGATCGATGGCTTATCCGAGGTACCACCTATCATTCTCTGTGTGTATCACATTTCTTGGTTCAGTCTGCATACTAACCCATAGACAGCAAACCTACTTCCTCCCCCAGACAATCTTGACCTTCCAATCGTCAAATTGATGAGCCATCCTGCCTACAAGGCCTTTCAAGCAAGAATTGCAGCTTTGTCACTTGTCCCCCAGGTCTTCATCAAGTACTTGCCTCCAGCCTGGAACTGCCATATACCTGCCATTACCCCGTCTGTTCTGTCGCCACAAGAACCAACTGACTCCCAGATGAAAAAGGAATGGAAACGCAGAATCAAGATGTATCGTACGTCCTTCTCTTTCTTTCTTGCGTAGGTTCCAGACCTGAAGCTCTTGATAGTTGGCCCAGTTATGGAAGCCTTTGGGGATCAGCGCATCATCTTTGGTTCTTCCATGGTTAGTGTAAAGGGTTTGACCGGTGCTGGGGATTGGTATGCAATTTCCCGCGAGTCGTTGGCCGAGTTGGGTGTTGAGCAAGAAGCGGTCGACGCCGTATTTTTCGGCACTGCGAAGCAAGTGTATGGTACTGGTGCTGCTTAGAGGTTCCGTAAGTAATCTTGCAAAATGTATATCTGGGTGTAATGCGTAGTACTAGTAACGTACAGACTGTACTCTCTTTTTGATATTTATTTTATTTATTTATTTGATGGAGCTTTTATGGCAATCGGCAACTAAGTTAGCCCCAAATTGTCAGCTAGATAAGGGATTTTCACCCCGCTGGACCAGGGTAGGAATGCATTTGCGCACGAACGGCCCGAAGACCGAACAGTGTGGGACTCACTACTATTCAGCACTACCACTAAACCTCCCAGTGAAGCTGCTGGGTTCGAACCCTGCTCTCGCAGACCAGAGCCAGACTGCTCAACTACTCTTTTTGATATTTATTCCTAAATTGGAGATTATTTGCCTAGGTACATACTTCGCGTTGCGCGTGTGATCGCGTCCACATGCATCAAGACGGCAGTCTGCCGGAGCTACACTAACCCTGATTCGACCCTTCTCTTCGAACCCTTTCATTCGTAACTGTCACTGTAGGGCTGCGAGGAGCCATGGTCAGGTCTGGCGACATAAATGAGGTGGGATATGGTCGCCGTAGGGAGGACGATTCATCGTAAGCCGTTTGCTTTATGCTGACCGGAATACTCATCTCATTTCCTTCAGAAGCAGCAGGGAATCGTCGCCACGACCAGTAAGCATGCCTTAGTCTCTTATCACGATGTCCTTTTATCCTTTAGCAGACGCAAAAACGATCCTTCAGTCCGACTTCTGACGATGGGGACCTCGAGATCCCTCCGCTTCCTGACGATGATACCCCTCCTCCTCCTGAAAGGCCGATAATCAGGCAGGCAGTCGCATTTACCACGATCACGCCTGCCAATATCGATACATATGAACCCACGGAAGCACCACGTCCCGCTACCTCTTTTCTTCCAGGTCAAAAGGTCAAACGTAAGGCGAGAAGCAAGAAGACTAAGCACAGCGACAACTACCCGGACCAGGTTGGACGTTTTCGAATTAAATCATATGATCCTACCGCGTCTACCGCACCGCCAATGCAACAGGGAAATGGCCCTTATTCTTCTATCTATCGTGCTGTTCCTTATAAAGAAAGGAATTTGGCATCAAGCGCTCATATCCATGCTTCCCCTAATACGCAACCTAGTCCAGGAGAAAACGCAACATCGACCTCTAACAAATCACCAACTTCATCGATCGGTCAGACGATTAGTACTCCAACACCTTCGACGTCGCCCTCCCCAAACGCTGTCTCATCGACGAATTCAACGATACCTGTGTCCACAGCTTTGACACGGCCATCCTTCTCTGGTGCATCGAGACCCCATTACCGAAGAGACTATGACAAAGACCCATTAGGCTTCGGCCAGTTCGTAAATGCTCAGCGAGGTTCTCCAGCTGGCAGTGACGCCACACTCGCTTCAGCCCCTGCGCATTCTCCCCTTCAACCCCAGCCCCCAGGAACTTTACAGAGGGCAGCTGCTGAGGCTTCTACAACCACTGGTTTGTTTCGATTGTCACATGACTTCGTCCGATCTATAACAAGATGTATGTAACAGACCTCACTTCAAAGGCTCCTCGAAATCTGCCGCGTATGGTCACCCTTCTGATCTCAGATATTCGGAGTGGGATCGTTGATCGTCAGCTCGCTGAAGTAAAGGTACCCTTGAAAATGGCTGATACTCCAGAGGATGGCTTTTGGGCTAATGCAAAGGACATTGTATGTCGCACTGAATTGTTTTGAAGCCTTATTCACTTGCATCGTCCATAGTGCGACAAGCTCCAGTCAGGCCCATCCAGAATCGATGGTATCTGATCCACCAGTTTCTAAATGCAGTATATCAACTAACGGGCTCGTACCACAGGACCTGCCAAGGTATATACCTTGAGGGGAAGGTATCGACAATTTTTCTTACGCGTGTCTGCGGAGAATGTCGATGAGACGATATCATCTAATCTGAGCATAACGAACCAACGAACTATAGACATTGTCGTCGAACAAGTTTGCGTTTACTTGCACTGCACTGCATACTGCTTACATCCTTTAGGGCCCAACGCCTGGACAAATACCGACGCAACCTCTAATACCTCGAGACCTGAGGAGTCCGTCTCCCGATCCTCAACAGGCGCAGCGGCGAGAACCTGACCTTGTCCAGCAGAGAGAACACGAACTAGTTCAGCGGAGAGAGCATGAAATCGCTCAACGGAGGGAGTACGAGCTACAGCGACGTTCTTACGACCATCGACGGGATTATGAGCACCGGCGTGAATACGACGTTGCCCAGCGTCATTATCCAGTCCCTTCTTCGTCTTCTCATTCTTTACACGCCTACGGTAATTCTAGTGGAGAGTACAGCAGAAGATCAGAATACTCGAAGAAACGACGCCACTCTCCTTCTGGTGACTACGACTACGATTACAGACACTCACAACCACCGCCACCGCCATCTTCAATGTCGCCACCTCATAGATCATCATACCCTCCGCCACCTTCTCCCTCCCATAGACCAGCGTACCCTCCCCCATCTCCCAGAGCATCATATCTTCCAATGTCGCCTCATAGTACATCCTCTTATCCACCGCCGCGCCCCATATCGCCGGGCCAGAGAGCATCTTGTCCCCCCCCGCCTTCGCCTCACGGTCCTAACAGCTATCATCCGTCTTTTGGTCATCCGCCCCCATTTGGACCTAACAGTTACCATCCTGCAGTCGGAAATGTTCCCCCAAAAAAGATGAAGAGCTACATGACGACTCAGAAAGATCCGATGTTTGCGACACCAGTTGATAAACACGGACGCGAATGGGATTATGAGTCACCCGACAGTGATGATGAAACAGCAGATGTGTTCGATAAGATCTGCAAGAGGGTGGATCCTTTGTTGCAGAACGACAAAGACTGGAAGATGATGTTTCAGTGGCGGGCTTTACCTCAAACCGTTGCCACAGTTTTGAACCAGTACAGATTTGTGCAACGGCTATTCGACAACTATGCAGGTAAGCGGGTACCTTTCAAGAATCCGAAGCACCAATATAAGATTGAGAGGGTATGTATAAAGTCCACTGATTTTGCAGAAGCTGATCATTTTGCACAGAAACATATCATCATCGCTTTGCAAATGGACCCGGACTCATCGCCTGAGAAGTGGGTGTCGGACTGTGCAGAGACTCTAACATTATTAGAACTTTACGGTCCTGGGGGTAGCCGCTCTCAGGATGATCGCGTGAGGAAGATGATGGACGATGAGACTGAGCCGGGATACAATGCAAAGCCCATCAAGCGATTCTTACGGCTGCTGAGGGAAATCGATCAAGAGTATAAGAAATCGAAAGGGTCTCAGGCTGGTGCGACGATGGATGTTGAAGCGGACGAGCGGTCATCCAGTAGTGCATAATTTGGTATCAATTATCGTTAACAATGATAATAATTTTTTTAAAATACCGAATTGGAACTCCGCAACTACACAGTTGATCAGTCAGTTCAGCCTCTTCGACGCCATATTCGAAATGGCGCCTGTCGCAGGGTCTTCAAAGGTGACTTCCCCCCATGATTATACCGAGGGAGCGTCCACCGTCGATATTGAGGAAGCCGTGACCAGCAGCAGGCGGTCCCGACGTGATTCCCAGCACAGTGCAGGTGGCGAAGGCGCTATATTCTCTGGCCCTGGCCACAGCGACTTTGTCAACCCGAGCAGCGTGTCAAGGATGTCTCATATAGAGCATGGCAGACGTAGCAGCGAAGGGCACTCTCGCAGTCGTCGACTCAGTCAGGAATCGCGAGTCTCGGGCCGGCAGAAGGTATCACGAAGAGACAGTGAAGTATCACGACAGAGCATACATCTAGAGGACGGCTCCGACGAAGGAGATCGCAGCACGATGTCGTGGGAAGGTCGTCGACCGAGAGCAGATTCTCCTGCTCCTAAAGCGAACGTATTCGAGAACCTCGCAAACCTCTTTGTCCGGAGTTCGTCACCAGATCAACCGCGGCGTCCTGCCCTCTCCCGACGGTCTTCACGCTCCCAGAGCAGACGTTCGCGTCACAGCAGGCAATCAGATGCAAGCTCTGACTACGCCGTGGACACCGAAGACGACGACGAAGAGCGCTGGGGATACTCTTCAGGGGAGGAAGATTCAGATGACGACTCTTTTGCGAATACTCTTCCTGACAATATTTCAGTATCCGCAAGTATGGAATATGATTCAGACCCACCGTCACCTGGTATGTCTCAAGGTCTGCCCCTTCTCACCTCGGACCAGATATTTGGCGGTGAATCACGAATTGACATGGAGATACCTTTGGCTTTACTCCCACCTCCACCGCCGGGTCCGCCGAGTCGGCAGACGATTCACATTCCTGACGAAGATAGTACTATACGCTTAATTGGATATGAAATAGTTGCCTGGCGTCAATGGGCTTGGCGTATAGGATGCGTTTTCTCGTTTGACATCCTAGGTCTCTTAGGCCACTGGTTTCCCGTACTCTGGCTGCGATGGTGCGCGCGCGAGAAAGCATTCATTGACGCAAGCAACGGGTTCGTTGTCGTAGAGGTAAGTGACTTCTTCGTTTGCCGTTGTAGCCTTATCTGAATTCAGTTTTAGTCGGCCTATAGAGACATCGCTATCTTCCCTATTCACACGATCAAATACCCCTATTCTCTGTCCACAGTATTCTCATCACCTCTAGACCCAGCATCTATAATAGACTCGTCATTGAAGACGGCCGACGGGCCAGACACAGGAGAAGATGCTTTGTTGCGCAAATTATCTATTTTGGATTACCGCTATTCGCGGTTCGCTTTGGACCCTAGAACAGGATTATTTGGTGTAGTAAGGTCGTCTACCCTCTATATTCCTTAGACATAACTTGCTGAGTGTTTTGTACAGGGATTGGCGAGATTCATCCTGGGTTGGAGTTGCGTCTGTTCAGAATGGTCTAACGGATGATGTCCGCAAACAGCGTGTTACGTTATTTGGTCCTAATGCCATCGACATTGAAGGTAAATCCACCGTCGCTTTGTTGGTGGAAGAAGTATGTTTGTCTCTCCATGCAGAGTTGCGTCTAGTTGACCTCCATTTTTCAGGTGATTCATCCCTTCTATGTCTTCCAAATTGCTAGCATCGTTCTCTGGTCATTGGATGATTATTACTATTATGCATTTTGCATTGCGCTGATCTCCGTCATAAGCGTAACAACGACACTTATCGAGACTAAGAAGGTATCGTATTGTCTCATCCTATATCTGAAGGAAGGCAGTAACAATGATTTTAGACAATTACAAGGATGCGGGAAATGTCCCGGCTATCGTGCAAGATGGATACTCTGGTCAATGGTGTTTGTACGGCATCACTATACTTTCTTGGACGCTGAACTAACTGTTTTGCCATCAAGGGACAGAGCGCGATTCGAGCAGCCTTGTGCCTGGAGACATTGTCAACCTCTCGAGTTCTGACTTCACATTAATTCCGTCCGATATGTTTCTTTTGTCGGGTGACGCAATCGTTAACGAGAGCATGCTTACTGGCGAGAGTATTCCGGTCAGCAAAATACCGATCAAAGACGAGGATCTCCTGAATTGGAAAGAAAACAAGCCCGAGAATCCAAAGGCCTATATGTATGGAGGAACCCGTGTTATTAGAATTCGCGGTGCTCTAGGTTCTGATGCAGGACCAGGAAGACCTGCGCTCGCTATGGTTGCCAGGACAGGTGAACATTATACCTGTTATCTTATGGTCGAGTCAATAACCATAACCAAGGCTTCAATACCACAAAGGGGGCACTGATCCGTTCCATGCTGTTCCCAAAACCAATTGGGTTTAAATTCTACCGTGACTCTGTTCGTTTCATATTTGTTTTAGCGGGAATTGCGGCTCTAGGATTTAGTACCAGTGCCATACAGTTCATCAGGATTGGAGTAAGGAACCATATTTCATACCCACAGTGCATATTGGACTGACTTTGTACAGCTCAAATGGCAGACCATCATCATACGTGCTCTGGATCTCATTACTGTTGTAGTTCCACCCGCCCTGCCTGCGACATTGTCCATCGGTACTAGTTTTGCCATTGGAAGACTTCGAAAACTAGGAATATATTGCATATCGCCAAGTAGGATCAATGTTGGTGGGAAAGTCAATGTCTGCTGTTTTGACAAGACAGGCACACTAACTGAGGACGGATTGGATATTCTGGGTGTAAGAGCTCTTGATCGCAATGATCAAAGATTCGGTGAACTGATCGATGACGTGTATGACATGCCGCTGGGGAAGGACAATGCCACGTTCTTGCATGCTCTCGCGACTTGTCATTCGTTGAAGATGGTGGATGGGGAACCTCTCGGTGATCTACTCGACATGAAGATGTTCTCGTTCACTAAATGGACGCTGGAAGAAGGACGGGTTTCTGGTACCGGTATTATTAAATCAAAATCTGGCACAATCATGGAACAAGCTGCGCTGGTCCAGATAGTTGTACGCCCTCCAGGAAGTGCCCAATTTCGATTAGAAGATGCATTTAAAGGAGCCACGAAGGTCAGTCAATTGGCTTCGAGACGGATTCAATATGGCTGAAGAATGCTAGCATGCGCATTTCTTGGAGTTGGGAGTAATCAGAACATTTGAATTCGTATCCGGTCTTCGACGAATGAGCGTTATTGTCAAGAGGCTCAAGAGCAGCAGCATGGAAATATATGTCAAAGGTGCACCTGAGGTTATGGGCGATATATGCGACCAAGATTCTTGTGCGTTCTCCCTAATAAGTCAATTGTATTGTAGTAACAGTCTCTTCTAGTTCCAGAAGATTATGACGATTTGCTATCTTACTACACAAAGCGTGGCTACCGAGTCATAGCCATAGCAGGTAAGAGCATTGAGGGTTTATCGTGGTTGAAAGCTCAGAGAATGAAACGGTAAGGATCTTGCGGCGTTGGCATTTCTGCTGGACCAATGTGTGTATCTGCAGAGAACAAGCAGAAAGCGGGCTTCGCTTTCTTGGCTTGGTCATATTCGAAAATAAGATCAAGCCTGGAACTGGGCCTGCAATCCACGCCTTGCGCTCCGCACATCTTGCATGTCGCATGATCACTGGAGATAACCCACTGACTGCGGCCAGTGTAGCCAGAGAATGTGGTCTTATTAATCAGGCTGCTCATGTCTTTTATCCCATGTTCGTTCGAGGTAATTATTTCGTCAACATTTCCTTTACTAGGGCTTACGTGAAGCCTGGCAGGGAACACCTTGACGCCGCAGTCTGGACTGGAATGGCCATGCATGGATGACCCTTCCTGGACACTCGATTCGTATAGTTTGAAACCTCTAGTTCCGCCAGCTCATCATACTGTTGAAGCAGTTGAAATCGACTATCACGACTATGCACTCGTAGTGACAGGCGATATCTTTCGGTGGATGATCAACTATGCGCCGTTCGAAACGCTGCAGCGGGTGAGTGACTGTCTCCAAAAATTTACCAAGTCGCCAATATATCGTTTCAGATGCTGGTGAAGACCCAGATCTTTGCGCGCATGTCTCCAGACGAGAAAAATGAGGTAGTAGAGCGGTTGCAAGCACTCGGGTATACTGTGCTCATGTGCGGAGACGGTGCCAACGACTGCGCTGCCTTGAAGGCTGCTGATGTAGGCATATCTCTTTCAGAGGCCGAAGCCAGTGTCGCTGCACCATTCACTGCGAGCACTCCGGACATTGGCTGTGTCACTGAGCTCATCAAAGAGGGTAGAGCTGCCCTCGTTACCAGTTTCAGTTGCTTTAAATACATGTAAGGGACTTTCCCTTTCGATCTGGATGGGAGGCTAATGAGAGATAGGGCCTTGTACTCAATGATCCAGTTCACTACAGTGACCCTGCTATACTCGTTCGCGTCATCTTTGGGTGACTTTCAGGTATGTGTGTCGAATTTTTTTTATAAGACCCTTGGTCCTGATGTCCTTGAGTTCCTTTATATTGATCTCTTCATTATAATCCCTGTGGCCATTTCAAGTGTGTATAATTCCATTCCTAATCCTAGCCATTAATGTGTTATCATCGCCTCTTTCTAGTGGGTCGTACTCTCCCCTATCCTCGTATCCATCCGAAGCGACCAACAGCGAGCCTCGTATCCAGAAAAGTCTTGAGTAGCATCATTGGGCAGATTGCAATCACATGTGTTGTGCAAATCTGGGCTTATCTGTGGGTTCGTGAACAGGAATGGTGAGGTGTCTCTATGCTTCTCATGCAGGCCACACTGAATCAACGACAGGTATACACCTCCCCAGGAGGGTAAAACTTCCCAAGGTAACAAGCTAGAGTCAAGGAATTTCGAGAACTCTGTCTTGTTTTTGGTGTCATGTTTCCAATATATCCTGGTGGCTGCTGTTTTCAGTATAGGTCCACCTTACCGGAAAGCTATGCAGACGAATAGTAAATAACATTCTTCCTTGAATGCCTTTGCTTGCTAATACCCCGATAGCTCTTTTGATGATGGCTATAGGAGTCCTCTCCACGTTTAGCTTACTAGTCTTACTGTTTGCACCGGCTGTTTTGACGGACTGGTTGACCCTGATGGTGCTCCCTCCGCGTGCCAGGATGGTGCTACTGATGGCGGTGGTTGTCAACATTGGCGTTTCTCTTCTTTTCGAACAATATGGTGCACAAACGGTGGCGACGGCCATTGGAACGGTTCTAAGTTGGCGGCGAGGTCGCCGGCGGGATAGAGACGGGAAGGTGTACAAATCAGTTGAGGGTGGGATGCGGTGAGCTTAGTCGAGTAGTTTACTTGAGTTTACGGTGGTGATGGTTGATATACTGGTTTCCAACTGTTATCCCCGTGGGAAATCACGGTGCTGTTGCTAAGAAATTGGACGGCGGTTGCCGAGGACCACCGTTTCTCTCTCTTTCTTTCTTCATCGCCTTCGCCCAGTGGGCACTTCCCATCCTTTTATATTTTTCAGGACGCCCGTCGTTCTCTTCACCGTCGAGAAACCGCTGGAACCGGGCTCTACGTTTTTTTCCAACAGCCCTCTTCGTCGCTCCTCGTCATGCTTCCTTTCCTTATCTTGCTCTTTCTTTCGCCTCTCCTTGCTTTGGTCTCTGTCGATGCGATGCCCGTGGCCCCTCGTCAGTTGGATGGAAATGGTACTACCACAGTTCAGGTGGTTCATGAATATCAGACGTACGTACGCTTACCCTGTCTGAGGCGCTTCCAATTTACAATAACCCCAGTACTGCGGGCCTAATGACGCAGACATGCACGATTACTCTTACCCCCATCACCGATGCGAGCGGCCAGTCAGCCTTCTTGGAGGTGGAGACTTGCACAGAGTCTATTAATTCCCAGAATAATGGCTCTTCCGGGAGTGCTAATACATCATCTATTACTTCTGCCACTGATGCGTCCACTTCTGTAAACACTGCGACAATATCATCATCAACTGATACCTCTTCACCATCAACTGTAACGGATGCAACGTCCACGACCCAGTCGACGGTGGGGGGTGGTGCGTTGTCGGTCAATGTAAGTCTAATGACAATTTGATTTCTATATTCCTGCCGACTCGACATGTCCAGGGCTTTTCTTCGGCTACTGCCGACGCGGCGGCGACCAGCAGTTCGGGTCCTGCCACTTCCACAGCCGCAAATAGTTCGGAGACGTCTTCAGCCTCAGCTGGTGGTGCAATCTCTGTCAATGTGCGCATTTGAGTTCTCAGATATCTGAAAATCTGACTTTCCGTGATTCTAGGGCTTCACCTCTGCATCAGTGGTGTCGTCGGGTGTTGCATCTACCGCGGTGAGTTCCCATCGATTCCCTTTACGGCATTACTAAAAGCATGCAAAGAGCTCTTCGGCTACGGCTTTGGCAGCAGCTTCAGCAACAGCAGCATCGGATACTGTATCTTCTGCATCTGCTGCTGCAGCAGGGTCTGCAGCAGCGGCAGAAGTATCAGAAACACAGACAGCCGCTTTTACTCTCCCGGGAAAGCACCTATCCGTGCTTCCCATTGGTCTTGGTGTATTTGCGGGCATTTCAGTTATCGCGCTTATAGTGGTCGGTTTGGTCACATATGAGCGGACCAAGTATCGCAAGGTGCGTACCGCTTTGATGTATCAGAATCTTCTGGGGCTGACCAATATTCATCTGTAAAGGCGTTCAGGCAAAGGAAACTTGCTGAATCTGGTGCTAACATGGGATACGGTGGCATGGCGTAAGTTAGTTCATTGTTTGATATCCCTCTAAGCTTACCCTCTTTCTTGTAGCCAACGTTCCTAGAGGACATACTGCTTCATCGTTGTGTTTTTAATTTGAAATTTCACGCTTCAATCTAAATTTGGGTCACCGTGTTATTTTGCTCTTACAATACAAATTTCCCTTCTCGATGTGCTGTAAGCATAGAGTATGAGTCAAATTATGCCATGTGCCTCCGAAGAAGAGCTTTCATCATGCCACAACCCAGACTCAGCAAAGTTAATAAACTGACCATAACATTTCTCGTTGACAACAGCATTGAATGGTTTGTCAGGTTTTTTGTCCCGTTGCTTGCTACTAATGAGTGCATCGTGTACGAAGGTTTACCAAGCTTCCTCCCGGTTTCACTCATGAACTGCCGCAGCATCTCCGATATCATAGTCCAGAAGTCGACAAGATTACTGGAGTCCCAGTCCTAGATTTCAATCGGTTTTGCTGCGGTAATAGTCTAACAGCACTGACCTTCAGGATTTTATTGACGCTTCAAGTTTCTCTCTAGGTGCCCACGGGTTTTCAGCTCTCATTGTAAGCACTTTAGTGAGGAATACCACTTCGATCTTGACATAGTATTAACAGAACACCGAGTCTCCGGAAACTGGAAAAAACCATTTGACACTATTTGATACTGGGCCGGATTCTACTTCTCTGATTCGCAATGTCTCAGCAATGCAAGTACCTGCGGATCAAGTAGAGAGGATTATCATCTCTCACTGGCACAGCGACCATTCGGGAGGGTTACTTTCCTTTCTCGAGCACAGAAATTCGGGTCCAGTGCCGATTCAGACACCTTGCGTTGTGGATGTACACCCTGACAGGCCCTTGGCTCGTGGAATAGCTCGTGGACCCAAATACGATAAAGTAATAGGTGCCCTGCCGCCTGATCCTACTTTTGACCTGATTGAGGAGGCCGGGGCGCTAGTCGAAACGCATGCCGAAGCGCATGTTGTTGCTGGAAATACAGTCTATGTGAGCGGTGAGATTCCCCGTATCACCCCTTTTGAACAAGGTGAGAAATCCAGACCCAATAGTATTTCTTGGACATGCCGCTCATGTTTGTAAAAGGGATCCTCGGCGGAATGAGATGGAAGGAAGGAAAGTGGACAGCAGAGCCGGTGAGTAGCTCTCATTCTGGTGATTGAGCAGCTGTTCACAGCTTAAAAAACGTTTTCAAGCATATCATGGACGAAAGATATGCTGCAATTGATATTGTTGGGAAGGGATTGGTCATCTTCAGCGCGTACGGGTTTATTTGGCTCCCGAGTCATGCTGGGGTACGCTGACTATTCTCTCCGAAGTTGCTCTCATGCCGGAATTGTGAACGTGGTCAAGCACGCGGTCGATACCTTCTCTCGTCCAATTTATATGGTGCCATATCCATGCTTTGAAGCTATCAACGAAAAACTTACTACGTCGCTACATCGTAGGTCATCGGTGGGTTACATCTGGCCACGCCGGATCTCGTTCCTCGCATAGAGCCTACTGTGCATTTCCTCTCCAAGCAACTGAAGCCTTCGCCCACATATATACTTCCCATGCACTGCTCTGGATTCCAATCCAAAGTAGCACTTGAGACTGCAATGGGAGAGGGTTGCATCCCCGCCGGAGTAGGTGTGACAATAGAGGTCATAGGCGACAAGGAGCATGACGCATGTTTGCTTGCATCCTCTTACTAGTGTTATATAAGAGAAAAGATATCTTATTAGAATAGAGGTGTAACATAAAAGGATTGCCATTAAGTATTTTAATGCGCTCATTCAGATGCGTTCAGAACACTTTATAATATTCCAACCGATATCTTGAATAGGCATGTACCGGGCAACCTGTGGAAGTACAGGAACAATATGAAAACGATGCAGTCTACAGGTATAAGATCCATTTAAAATAGACAAGTCGTTGGCCTCGTTCTCTGTGAGTTCTTCGGGTTTATCACCAGTGTCATTGCCCTCGTATATGTTGCACCAGCTGTCCACGTCAGTTGCATCAATCGGGCTATGCAGCAATGATTAGAAGGAGGATGTCCATAAACGTTCGAATAAAGTGGACATACTCGGTGTCGAAGATCGCGGTGTCACCGTCCTTGAAGATAAAAATGAGCGACACTCACACAAAAAATATACAGCACTTATGTTGGAGCTGATGCCTACCAGAATTGACCCAGACTCTGCGATAAAATGGTCAGAGGACATAGTAGCTAGTATAGACCAAGCTCACCCTTTCGTACATGCTACGTCAGTGTCAGCCATGCATGCCAAAAAACATACGTACTCATCGCAGTTGCCGCAGCTTCGGTAGAGTTAACCGAAATCTTGCACCTGTCGTAGCGTCAGCCAAAGTCATAATAGACGACGAGACAGGCCTACACAGAAATTGTCAATGGACAGTTCCACCTGGGTGTGTCCTGTCAGCAGAAGCAAAGAATGCAACACAAATTCGCTGACCTCCGTTGTGCTAAACTACTTTGTCATCGGCACCTTTCGCTCCACCACCATTAATGTAAGAAGTTCCGGAATCCTGTTAGATTGTAATAGCGTCCTGTCACGCGAACACTTATGATGAATATCTAAATGTCAGAGTTGGTAATAAGCACTGACCTCACAAACAGCCTCTTTAGCATAAAAATATAAGCAGTGGAATTTCCCCCCCTTGATCTGAACCCTGAAGAAGGAACATCAGTGAAAAGTAGCCCGCAGTGGACTGATGCGACCTACGATAATGACATTCTCGAGAGGCGCGCCTTCTTCAAGAAAGGAAACGGCGTCGCTGTCGCCACTTTTGGACTGACCACCACACTCAGTTCCTCGGTCGTATCTGATATTATCTCCCTAGAAAATGATAGTCACAAACGTCAAAAGATTCACCAGGCGTAATGATCATAGCCTCAGAGAGACTAGTGCTTGTAGCAGGTTCAGCAAGCTGCACGGGGCCTGGGTCTGGCACTGATGACAGCTAACAGGGAAAGAGAGACGGTGGTGAAAAAGACCGTAGCAGTAACGGAATGAAAGGGAGAGCGTAAGACAATGAGTGCAGTGAGTAGACTGAGAGACCAGGCAAGTCAGAAAATATTTGATAACTTCAACGGCCACCTTCAGTTTTATGCGCTTTAGAGTCGGCGCCCATTGAAACCTCTATATATAGCAATTGTGTTGGCTATTCTGATATTTTCGGACGAAAGGGCGTGCAATGCATAAATAGTGTCCAGAAGGTAAGTAAAGTCTAAAAGTCAGATATAAGCCATGAGAAGTATGAGACGTACATCTAACTAATCAACATCATCCCAGATATCTCCATATAAGATAGAAGCAGAAAAAGGTAAATACGGCACCGGCGGCGAAGATGTACATATCCTGCGTACTTTTGAAATAGCTGTCAGTGAGGATCCCACGGAGTCGGATGTGACGTACCTTCGTCTCTCAATCCACCCAATAACATCTCTGCTGAGCCCAAGAGTATTGGCCGCATCCAACAATCTCCGTTGCGTGCCTTTAAGCATGTTCCGTTGATCCACGAGGTTGTCGAGGACTTGCCTTCCCTGCGCAAGAAACTCATCTAGACGGTTCTCCGTATTCTGGATGAAAGTGTGCTCGTCTAAAGCGTGCTGCTCGCGTGAGCCAAACCCTGGCTGTGGGCTTACACCTCGAAAGGGCGATTCTGATACCTGGGATTCGGGACGAAGACCGGGATGCAACTGCGAGGTACTCGGAGTGTTTTGAAAGCGCCGTCGAGCATCAGAGGGAGAATAAGGGGTTCCAGAGGAGGATATCAGTTCCGCGCGTTGGTCGGCTTCTTTCTGGAAACCAGTCAATGAGGGTCGAGGATAGAGAAGAACGGGCATACGTACTTGAGCAGTGGCCTCGGCTTTGAGACGATCAAATTGAGTATGAAGTTCTGAATAGTCGGTTCTGAACTTTTGGACCCGCCTAGAGCAGAACGAGTTGAATAAGGTTGAATATAGAAAGGTAGTATCGGCAGTACCAAGTATGCTAACGTACATTTGTGCCTTTTCCTGCTTGGCTTTGATTATCTCACGCTTCGCCATTGAGTCGTAGTCGTCAATAGTTCTATGCATCGCCGCCAATGAAGCTGATATCTGCCCTAACGGAAACAATATAGCGTGTATCCTTCAGCATGATTGTCGTTGCCGTCACAGCGACAACGCACCCAACAAGGAGGCAGAGACGTCGCCATCACGTAGTCGCTCGAGGTCGGCTTGTATTGAATTTGTCTGGCGAACGCCCGAGGTATACAACGAGTTCATCGTGGAGTTAAGGAAAAGCAATGCAATAACATAATTTGCAATGGCGTGACATAAACGTGACAAATATAGGATAACAGCTCCTGCCGGACCGCAACTTGAAGCCTAGCGCCTGCTCTTAGTGCGTCGAGCGGCCTTTCCGCCAGCGAGCTCAGCCTTTTCTCGCCTTCTCGCACGTTGTTTCGTCTGTTCCATCTTTCGCACCCCTTTTGTTTGGTACCGTACTTTTGCCTTGACTTTTGTTTTTGAAGGACTCGGAGGCTTGGTCCGAGGAACTGTTGGTGGCGAGATGTCCGAGGGCACTGACGGAGCCGCGCCTCCTGATTTCAGTGGGCCGTGGATTAGCATGTCAGGGTCAAAGTCTTCAACGACGGCAACAGTGGCGAGGTGACTTTCATCCTCATATTCTTGCTCCTTTTGTTTGCCCTTTTGCTTTCCCTTAAACTCGGTTATACCATGCCATTCCTCCTCTTCGTCAACGTATGGCCCTTTTGTAAAGGTAAGCAGGTAAAATGACGGGTTGGCTTTTAATGGATCCTCACCAATCATTGCGCCATAAGCACTTTCAACCTGTGCTGCGTTCTCCGCCGCCCGTTCCCTGAGCATCCGACGTTGCTTACTTGGGGGATGAGATGGGATCCTGGCAGGAGTAACCAGTGGACATACCTCGCGCCGGACCTCTTGTCGCTGCTGTTTCTCCCGCTCCGCCGCTTTCTTACGCGCAGCTTCTGCCTTGGCTAGCTTGCGCTTGTGAAAGCCGGTCAGAAACTCCCTAGCTCAGAGAAAAATGAAGGCAGCATTCGTCTGATTGGAAGAAGACAGCATACCTTCTCGCCTCATCGTCAAATATGATTTCCTTTATTTGTTCCCGCTTTGCTCGTTTCTTTGCAGCGACTGCGGTGTGAGACTGGGTGAGCACGACCAAATTGGACGCCATGTTGGACAAGACAAGCAGAGAATCGAAAGGACGACGGAAATAAGCGAAATAAAATGATGGATGACGCAATCTATTTGATTTTGGATAATTTCTAAATATAGCCTTGGAGAGGTAATAATGATTTCGGGATTGTACTACTTATACCACCAACTGAGTTCTTTCTCTCCTCGGTCTCGCCGTGTGCTGCTCTATCCGCGGATACCTATCCCCAATGTATTCGGTGGCACCGTCGCCATCGTTCTCGCCGGGCACTGCTCGCCCTTATCCTCTACCCACTCCCCATGATCATCTCGAACAGTCCCTTCCTAACATTCTCTATGACCATTCTCATATGTTGGCCCAGCAGACATGGCAGACTCCACCACTTGACGTATTTCCTTCAAATCCCTACCCTTCTGTGCAGTCTCCCCCTTCTATGACCCTTAAAGTCTGGATTTTGGACTGCAAGTCGTGCGGTACTTTCCTGACGAACCGGGGCATGCAGGTTCGTTCTTATCGCATTCCTTTCCGATCTTTCATTAAATATCCCATGACTTTTCTTCTAGGCGGTGTTGTCACTTCGTCCGAATGTCGCCCTATACTCTTCTGATGCCCTCCCGGTCAACTGTTCCGCATACATGTCAAGTCCTGAGGCACTTCGACCGCCTTCGTACCGTCCGCCGTCTTCCAACTCATCCCAGCGTACGTGTGAATGTCTTACCCAGACATTATGCTGCCATGGCTGTGGCGCGAATGTCGGTTACATGATTGTCATCCCCGTAAGTGTTTGCCTGTTCCTATCCGGCTATAGCAACTCATCGCGTCTACCCAGTGTAATCGATGTACTTCTTCCTTCACTTCTTCCAATCGCGCAACAAATGGTCACCGTTTCGTATTCCATTCTAGCGAGATCATCGCCACCGATCGCCATTACATTCCGGACGAGCCTGGCATTTTACCCTACGAGTATCCTCCTGTCCCACCCATTCTTTCGCTTATATACCCTCATCATCATCCCCAAAATACGCAGTCTCGCCTGTTCAGCCCTCATTACCAGTCTTCTCCTGCATATAGGCAAGAATATCTTCCGACGCCACCTGCAGGTGCACCACTCGTTTCCTCCACGTCTGTCTCCTCTATTCATGAAACCTCCCCTTTCGCAGAGCAACATAATCGTTCTATCGATAATAGCCATGAATCTCCGCCGCATGCTCCCCGTTCACTACCTCATTTCGAACATCCATACCCCTTTGTATCTGTCCCTTCCCAATCTCCTTCGATTTTGCGTTCTTCTTTTGCAGATTCGGATAGCCCCGATGATTCTATCCCACCTCCACTCGTGTCACCTTCTTACCCGTACGAGCTACCGTCAGGGCAATTGGAGACACCTCCGCCTTGCATGCTCAAGCCTGGAGATGTGCTTTATTGGCACCATCTCATGAGACAAGGAGAGATCCCTGGTATGAAGGAAGATGTTCGTGCTCGCCAACGGAGTATCCCCGCAGTGAAACGCCTCCCGCTTGACCGGTGAGCGTAAAATCGGCTAGGTAATAATCTTTACATATGGAACCAGCTCAAAACGAACATTACGTCTTTTATGACCATTCAGAGGAATAATAATATTCTTATTGCCTTGTTGGCTTATCCTTATCTTCCGATTCTGTGCCTGGGTTATTCACTGTACATCGATACCATCCAGCGTTGTTTATTTCATTGTTCAAATGTAGCTCCTTTATGGCGATCAGTTTTGTATGAGTATGGGTCCTCTCTGAATTTAGACATCGTGGCAAACTGGAAGATAGGAAAAGTACCAGGTGACCGTGTTGCGGCTTCGAATAATGCATTGCTACATCAGATTGTATACAGTGACCGTCAGAAAGAATAGAAATGCATCAGAAACACGGAAACTGTACAAGGCACCGACGGTCACAGATCCAGAAGGGAATTTATTACAAGTTGTACCATGTCCACAAGTCAGATTTCTGCAAGCAGCAGAATCTGCACTAGGGAAGGCACCTGGGAGGCTTCACGTGATAATATTGGCTTCCGTCTCTACTAAATCGATATGAATTTTCAAAACAAGTGTGCGATCTCCATGGACGTCTGTTCCGCGGTATCAGGACGTACTCAGCGGCATCATCGGAAACATGTGATTCGGGCTTCGGGATACTCGAAAGTTCTAGACCTGTCGTGACTCAGCCAATTGTCACGTTGATAAGGACAGCCCACACTCAACAACTCTGTCCACAACCACTACTACCTCTCTTAGCTCCACGTCCTTGGCACCATGTATGTTCCCAATCGACACTCTGTTAACATGCCATCTTAATTTTCTTTCAGAATGCAAATCTTTGTGAAGACTCTCACCGGAAAGACCATCACTCTTGAGGTCGAATCGTCCGACACCATCGACAACGTCAAGGCAAAGATTCAAGACAAGGAAGGGTCAGTATCTTCTTTCTCTCCTTCCATCTTTGAAGCGCATTCTTATCGAGTCAAAGCATCCCTCCTGATCAACAACGTTTGATCTTTGCTGGAAAACAATTAGAGGATGGCAGGACCCTATCTGATTACAACATCCAGAAGGAGTCGACTCTACACCTTGTCTTGCGTCTGCGTGGTGGTATGCAGATCTTCGTCAAGACCTTGACTGGCAAGACTATTACTCTGGAGGTCGAGTCATCTGATACTATCGACAATGTCAAAGCCAAGATTCAAGACAAGGAGGGTATCCCTCCTGATCAACAGCGCTTGATTTTTGCTGGCAAGCAGCTGGAAGATGGTCGCACCCTGTCCGACTACAACATCCAGAAGGAGTCTACTCTTCATCTAGGTAAGTCAGACCAATATTCTCTGATATGCTGCGGCTGAATGGTTTCTTTAGTTCTCCGTCTTCGTGGCGGTATGCAAATCTTCGTCAAGACGTTGACAGGCAAGACCATCACCCTCGAGGTCGAGTCGTCCGACACGATTGACAATGTCAAGGCGAAGATTCAGGACAAGGAGGGTATCCCACCCGACCAACAGCGTCTGATCTTTGCTGGCAAGCAGCTCGAGGATGGTAGGACGTTGTCTGACTACAACATACAGAAAGAGTCGACTCTTCATCTGGGTATGCTTGTTCTTGTATAATTAATCATTTGTTGTCTAACACCGATCTGTCAGTCTTGCGACTACGTGGTGGCATGCAGATTTTTGTCAAGACGTTGACTGGGAAGACTATTACGTTAGAGGTTGAGTCATCCGACACTATCGATAATGTCAAGGCGAAGATCCAGGACAAGGAGGGGATTCCGCCCGATCAGCAGCGTCTTATCTTTGCCGGCAAGCAACTCGAAGATGGACGGACGCTCTCTGATTATAACATTCAGAAGGAATCGACGTTGCATCTGGTGCTCCGTCTTCGCGGGGGTATGCAAATTTTCGTGAAGACGCTAACCGGCAAGACCATTACGTTGGAGGTTGAGTCGTCTGACACGATTGACAATGTCAAGGCGAAGATCCAGGACAAGGAGGGTATCCCGCCTGACCAGCAACGTCTGATCTTTGCCGGCAAACAATTGGAGGATGGTCGTACACTTTCGGACTATAACATTCAGAAGGAGTCGACTCTTCATCTCGGTAACATCCTTCCCCGCTGCTCGTCATTGGCTTGTAGCTAATTCTTGACGCAGTTCTTCGTCTCCGTGGTGGCCTCTGAATGTCTGCATGTGAATGGTGGAGTTTTGTAATAATATGATGATTATGTAGAAACAAGAATACAATTTATAAGTGTACGTGTCATGATTGAAGCAGCCACAACCATTTATGTCCGAGTGAAACGTTACCAAAGGAATGCAGCTGGAGTGTTCTAGCGCTGGGATAAGCCGGGGGTGGCGGAACAGGTACTGAAGCAATCACGGAACCAGATCAATGCTTGGGGAAAAAAAACAAAAAAAAGGCCGTTAATTCGACAAAATAAGGAGGAAATACAAGGAGGGATCTGCGACAAATTACAAGAACAATAAGATAATAAGAGAGCTTGAGGCCTTGAGGATCCGAGACGTGACTACTATAACCGGAAATTCGGGAAACAAAGGCGACAGGGAACGTCGGAGTTTATGTAAATAGAGTGTGACGGCGTTACAGTACAGGTTAAATCTGCTCTCTCTCTCTGTCTGTTTGCCACATATCACCGTCGCTGCAGCGAGTCCCGTCCTTGTCCGTTGTCTTGTCGAGCATTGAGCACCGTGTATCGCTCATGGCGCCTGCCGCCTCTCCCGCTCATGCCTCGTCGAAAGACCAGCGTACCTGGCGCCCCGTTAAAGTCATGAATATGGGCGACTTGTCCAAGGACGACGACTTTCTCAGCCATCTGCTCGTCGAGAAGCTCGGCACCGGCGCAGTGCCTTTGCTCGTGCACAAGATGGATTCGTCACGTAGGCTACCCAAGTGTGATGCCCAGAGCTTGTTGAGGATAGTGCGACGCGTGCGTGCTGAATCACTATTTGATCCCTTGACCACTCTTTTCACGCGTTTTCCTCTTCTTTCCGTGCTCTAGCTTGTTGTTGTAAAGGGGCCTGTTCAAACCGCCACACGCCAAGCTGTCGACGAGCTACTCCTGTTCGTTTTTTTTTCGCTCCTGTCTTGGTTACCTGTTATTAACCGCGCCTCGTTCTACAGCCTGGTACCCATTCGTTATTACTTTGAGACTGAGGGCTACGACAACCATCAAATCAACGCGTTTGCCACGTGTGTACAACTTTTTTTCTCACTCTTGCTGTACTCACTCAGTACACCCCACCTGTAGTCATGCATCGCGGTATTTCGAGCTCTATCATCCTTCTGGCTCCATCGAGATATCTCATACCTCTCGCTACTCGCATAGGACCGGCAAGTCCGAGCTCTGCATCTTAGCGACACGCAATCTCCCCACTGGCACCGTGATAACCGAACTAAAGGGCTCCATGGCCAACCTTAGCGAGGAGGAAGACCGAGAACTCAAACGTACCGACCTTGTAAACTCAGACATTCGCAGGGATTTTAGTGTCATCCATTCGAAGTCTATGAAGAAGAACCATCTGTTCTTGGGGCCGGCCCGATTTGTCAATGTGGGTCAAGCCTCTCATTGCCCGGCTGTTAGAATTAACGTTATATTTGCAGCATGATTGCGACAATAACTGTGAGCTTTTTCGTGAGGGACGGTACATAACGTTTCGTACTCTACGGCCAATAGCCATCGGGGAGGAGATAACTGCACATTATGGCGATAGTTACTGTGCGTCCACTTGATTGCTCTCGTGATCTTTTTTTCACTTATATGTGCAGTCGGCCGGCGGAATAAGCATTGTCTATGCGAGACATGCGAAAAGAAGGGTAGAGGAGGATATGCCCCCGATCAAGACGACGACGACCCTGCTTCTGATTCTGACTCTGATATCGATGAACGCGATGTAGCCGAAAACGGCGAAGAAGGGGCCCCTGTGGATGTCAACCTGAACGAAAGACGCACTCGCCGTGGTGTCTATGCCATTTCAAGCCGACAGAATGAATCAGACGAAAGTGAGGAAGAAGGGGATGATGCCATACCTCTTGCCGATGCGAAGAATATTCCAGATGAAGCCGAGATTGAGATAACGACCGAAATCGAAAGCGAGTCTGACCTCACCTCTCTGACTACAGGCGTAGCAAATGACGAGCACCTGTCCTCGCTGTCTTCAATTCCGACCTCTCCCCTAACGCCTTCCCGGTCTTTGTCTTCTCTCAGCTCTCTCACGTCAGTAGAAGATATTTCTGCGCCCCCGCCACCGACCACGCCACAATCATCCAAGTCAACTCCATACCGATCCATTATTTCAACTCGACGTCAGAAGGCGCGGGAAGCGCAAGAACAATCCGGCAGCAATTCATCTAGCCCGTCTGTCACATCCAAGACACCTATGTCCATGGCCGATAAGCGTGAGACGCGTTCTGCCTCCTCTGGGAAAGGCAAAGGCAAGGAAAGGCCTATTTCAACTCCTTTGTCGACGCCCTCCTGCAGTAGCAAAGGTAAAGAAAAGGCCTCGCTCAAGGAGCAAGTTAAAGTTAAGAAAGAGGAGAGCGAGCCTCGAATTTTGCGTGCGCGCGCTGCTCCTGCGGCAAGTTCAAATGACATTTTGAAGGAACTTCCAAAGTTACCTGAGGTGCCAAGAGATGCTGATGGGAAACCCCTTCCATTGTGTGTTACTTGCCACAATATTTTGCCAGTTATATCTGTCGATTCAAAGGTTGTCTGGGGCTTGGGATTGGAGATATCTAGGAAGAAAAAGAATAAGCAGGATTGTCCCAGGTATGTCGTGACTATACTTACGCAAATCCTCCAGGACTCACGCCTACCTCAGATGTATGCGCCATTTTGCTATTTATGGTCAGCCATGGCCGCGTCGTCTCCCTCTACCAGGGTCCGCTTCAGTGTCCATTTCAACCCCGCGAGAAGCCTCGCCTCTTGATTCCACACCCTCCCATCGTGTAACACATAAGGCCCTTTCTGTTTTGGACCTCAAACTAGCAGCAGCCGCTTCGGTTTCCCCCCGAGGTCGAAAACGCCGCTCACCGGAGGATGACCATCCATCTAAGCGCCAGAAAGTAGAGCAAGGGGCCGCCAAGTCGCGGTCACTTTCCAATGTTCCTTCTCGTGGTCGCGCACCACTCAGTGGCGCCCATAATCGCGTTGAAAGCGCAAATGCTGGTGGCATCGAGAAGCGGCGTAGGGGCAGGCCTCGTTTGCGTAGCCTCCCCCCTATCAGTGCGATCGTGAAGCAAGAGCCAGAGGACGATGATGTTCTACGGGTTCCACCTGCGCCGTTCAAAGATCAACCACGAAATCACAATGGCCGTTTTGACAAGAAACCCGGCATGAAAGGCAGCCCGCGTCGCCGACAGCCCCAGTCGGTGTCTACTCCCATTTTATCCAGAGCTCAACGAGCCACTGAGCGAGAAAAAATGAAGTTGAAGCTGGAGCGGGAACAGGAACGGGAGCACGACACTGTTTCGTTGTCGGATGGTGAGGGCTCGAAACGTTCTCGTATCGATGACGATGACGATGAGCACACCATCAAGAGGACTAAACACGAACGTAATCCAAAACCTGCTGGCATGCCAAGTGGTTCTTTCGTGGCAAATCCAAATCCTCAGACCTTTGCCATGTCGAAATGGAAAACCCGGTGGAGCCCAGGTGCTACCAGTGAGTCGTCCGAAGAAAGTGATAAAGGTCCTGTCACCCCGGATGATCATTTTTCTCCTGAACCTGATGTCCGCATAAGCGTGAATTGGCTCTCAACGCCCTCATCAGTCGCGTTGACGTTCAAACCTACGCCTGGCAACTTCGCGAGGCATAAATTGGCACTAACGTTCTCGAATCCTTCCATGGACGGGGGATCTGGGGATGCCATGGAACCGGATGCGTCGTCTTCGTCTTCTTCCACTGAGAGCGACCAACCTCTCCACGCGGGGTTGGATGCGGTGTGGATGCAGGAAGGGGTACGTCGATAGCCGATGTTATCTGAGATCGTTCTTGGACTAATGAGCGGATGGTTTAGGCCTGTGACCCAAATCAGATATCTGAAATCGATGGTTTTGGTCGACTTCAGCACATATACACTGCTATCCCATCTCCGATAAAATCAGCAAATAGACTGGTCGGACGCTTATCCTCCTTTAAATGCGACATGCCCCACAGACCCCCTCACTTTATTAATGCTGGCTGGGATTCTTGCTCCGACTCGGGCGAGTAGTTGTCAAACACTGCATAAAATAACGGGTGCTTTACTACTTGCCTTTTTATTTACACTTAGGACTGTGTTGTCGTGATGCTATCGTTTCTCATCATTTCTCATCATTGTTTTTATTCTGTCAACATATTCTTCATGCAGGACGTTTTGCAGCATAACATTATTGTAACTTGCTAGTATACATAATACTCTATTTTTTTTGTTGTATTCAGTATGCTTGGCGAATCAGACCCATGGTACTTATAGCAATGACACAACTAGACATTTTCAAGCTACTGTTGACCTTCAGGCTTAAGTGAGCTGCGCCCAGCTCGTAAAATCTCATCCGTAGATAATAGGTTGATGGCAATCACGGAACTGCAAAGGATGTTATCAACACATTTTTCTATATAAGACTGTATAGCTAACATACCACGAGTGGAGCATTTGTCTCTTTACGCGGTAATTGTCCCATATACCTTCTACAGTAGGGTCAAACGGCTCGCCTGATTGCAGGTCGATACCAACAGTGTTACCCTCGGCTTGCTCCTCCTAGAAGCGTATTGAGTAAAGAAATCAATAAACAGAAGTCCTCTTTACCTGTAGTGCCACAACTACGTCCTGGACATCAAATCCACCGTTTGAGGCCAACGTTTTGGGTATAATCAACAGGGCGTCAGCGAATGCCTGGACACCCATCTTCACGCGGCCCTTTGCAGACTTCTTCACTGGTCCACTCAAGTGTGCTGAGCAGGCAACTTCAAACGCTCCAGCTCCAGGGATGAGAGCCTCATCCTCGAGGGCATTCTTGACAGCTCTAAGACCATCCCGGAGAGCGTCTTGTATCTGTTGTATGGTATGCGCATTGGGGCCTTTGATCAGGAGCGTTACAGACTTGGGTGCTTTGACTTCCTCGACAAAAGTGAATTTCTCCTCTCCCAATGTATGCTCATATACCAGACCAGCCCAACCAAGTATAGATGGATCGAGGTCGTCCACAGAGTTCTGGGCGATACCACCACAGACGAGCTGCAATCTGAGCAGATGTCAGTTTAATCTAAACAGATTCGTGAACACAGATTCGTACCGCTCCATATTTCGCCTCTTCGCTCTTCGTAGAGCGAGGATACCATTCTTGGCGAGGATATCGAGACTGAGAGGATCAATACCCTTTTGGTTGATGACGACAAAGTTTTTCTTCTTCTCTTTGCTGTCTGTGGCTTGGTCGCAGACAAGGTTCTTCAGCTCCACGATTTTCTTCACCTTTGCGTCGACAAAACGCCTCTCAGATTCAACGAGCTTCTCGCGTTGTTCCGCAGAGGAGTAGAAGAAGCCTGAATTCACCTCGCTGTTGCTTAGCTCAGACAATAGTAGTACGAATTTACTTGAAAAGGACGTACGTCTTTTCATACTCCAAACTGACGTTGAGGGTGAGAACGAAAGCGTTCTCCACGCGTTTGGGCATATCCGGATGCCGGGCACCATGGTCAAGAACGAGGCCGCGAATCAATTGTGTTTCCGAGGCGGTCCGGTGCTGCATTTTCATAATTTCAACCATGTGTAGGTCTATGGGATCGCGCCATTGATCCTTAGCATCTATATGGAGGGATAAGTCACTAAACGTGATGAAGAGACAGCACAGTACCCTTTGAAGGTGGTGGTGGCCGTATGGCAAGGACAGCATCAACGACATCTGCAGCTAGCTGTTTTGCCATGGCGCCATTCAATTTTGTTGCCAAAGACGTATTTGCGACGCTAATCAGAGTAGCACGATCTAATTTTGAGGGTTGTTTGAAGGTATCCAAAAACTATTGCATCGTAGTCCATCAACGAGGTGATTACCACAAATATTCGTTACGCACCAATAAAGACTCCTTTTTTGCCAAGTCGAATCCTTCGCCAATAACGGTGGGATGCACACCTTCAGATATGTATCGATCGGCTTGCTTCAGCAACTCTCCCACCAATAAGACTACAGATGTCGTTCCGTCTCCCACTTGATCGTCTTGAGCAACGGCGGTCCGTGCAATCATAGCGGCGGTGGGATTTTGGATTTGCATTTCGGACAAAAGAACTTTTCCATCCTTGGTCATCTTTATCTGCCCAGCACCATCGACAAGCATTTTCAGGGTTCCCCTTGGACCTAACACCTACATCTGAGCTTTCTTGAAGAATTACATAGATGGTTGACGCACCCAAGTTTCCCTTGACCACATTTGCAAGACCCATCGCTCCATTGGTGTTGACCTAATCTAGTTGAGCAAAAATGTGTTCGATAGAATTGGGAGTGAGTACCTGGAGAGCAGCTGCTCGCCGTACACTCTCTGCCTTGGGATTAATGAGCTCGATACTGGACGACATGTTCGGTGAATTGGAAACGCGTCGATATTCAGGAATGCAGAAACACGTTCCAAGCTCCGCTTCAAGATTTGTTGGTTGTGCTTGGCTACAGCATTTCCGGTCCGCCCTGCCGTTTTGAAGGAAATGCATAGCTGTTGATTCTACTCAAGTGACTTTTTTACTGGTCTAATCTCCTCACATATGATATATGTAAGTATGCTGAGTCACTGTACCTGAATTGAAGTAACCAGCATGCCATTATACTTGGATTCATCTGTGTTTCAAATGGTATTGGTGTTGGATTAGCAAGCAGGAGCTCCATCATATCCTGCCAGCTGAGCTCAATACCCCTTTATGTCAGGATGGACAATATATACTGAATACAGTCCATCAAGCACCCTCACCACATTTCTGCTTATCACTGTGCTGTGTGAGAGTGAGTATCTACTTGTATTACTTTGTATATCTTATTGACCAATATTCTGTAGTCTACATTATATCTAATAGTGTATTCTACTAGATGCTACAAATGTGCATCACTTTCTTAGAGGTTGTACAGCTCTAAGAATTACTCTATCCCATCCCTTGTACTCAAATGACTTCTGCCATTGCTGCCTTGACTACAGGCCTACCATCAAATATTCCTACACTGAACATGTCTGGTGACAACTGGTCCATCTTCTACCTTCACTTTTCCACTGGCATTCAAGCCAAAGGGAAATGGGATCACTTCAGTAGATCAAAACCCAAACCCTCTCTCACTGCATCCACAAGAGCTCTCATGGCTGAGCTGGATAAATGAGAGAAAGATGAAGCTGTAGCTAAGAACCTCTTGCTCTTGAAGATCCCTGACTCAGTTGCTATGAAGGTTTGGCATCTCTCCACAGTCACTGAAGCCTGATCAAAGATCAAAAAAGAGTTTACTGATAAGAGCAGCTATGCACAAACTAACCTTCAGCAGCAGTTTATGGAGTCACATTGCCTGGCCAAAGGCAATGTTTGTGAGTTTCTTGACAGTCTATTAATGAAATGGAAGTCATTAGCTTCTATCAGTATCATTATTGAGAAGAATGATTACCACTCAACAATTCTCTCCTCCATTCTCTTCTATCTTGCTAAGCATGCATTGACTCTCCTTATGGCAGCAAAGCTTTTCAGTTTCAATAAGGAAGTCAATCTTGAGAATCTGATCCATGCTATTTCTAAAGAATATGATCAGCTGGAGCATGAGCAAGCCAAGTGTAGTTGGCAGTCTGGAAAGGAAAAGGACTTGGAGCAAGATAAAGCCATATCTGTTTTATCAAGCTCAGGTGGCAACAAGAAGGGCAAGAAACCTGACAAGAAATTGTGCTGGGAATGTAAAAAGGAAGGAGACTTCAAAAACAAATGCCCCAAGAAGTCATCAGATAATAACAGCAAGGCTTCTGGATCAAAGGATGAAATAGCTAATGTGGCTGAGGAATCATCAGATTCAGACTGGAAAGCCAGTGGTGCATTTGAGATTGATGATGCTAGCAATATGGTATCACTGACTGCAGTTTCTGAATCAGATGAGTCTGAAGTTGAGGGCTTATCAGAGGACTCAGAGAATGAAGACAATGGTGCTGATCTTTTTTCAGAGGTTGATAATGAGTCATAGGATGAGCTGAGTGGTGCATTATCCTCAGATATTGACTGAAGTGATGTGAACTCCTTTGTTGATAGGCAATCAGATGCCATGTCTGACATGCTAACTTTGGAGGAAGTATCTACTTCTAAAGAGTCAGTCACAGCCATTATCAATGCTATAAACTCATCTGATGTTTGAATTCATACTGAACTTTATGACTCTGGCTATACATGCTATATTTATTCCTACTGTCACTGCTGGGGCCAATAGGTTTTTAGCATGAGAAAAGGAGATCTAAAAATGTTGTGACTTTTCTGAATATTTTTGTATGAGTAAAATAGATTCTATAAAATTAGAAAGAAAAGTATCTATTTTTAGTTATATTTTAGGGCAAGTAGATGAATATGTTTTTGGGATATTTTCCAGATAGGAAGAGGGACAATAAAAGATATCTATTTCCAGCCATATTATATCCATAAATAGAAGTGCAGTTACAGCTTGCAAAAGAATAGCTTTTTACAAGCAATTTTAGGTCTGAAAAAAGAAGAATAATAAAATTTATTAAAAAAGAAATCTTTTTTTATTATATTCTCTTTATGTAAAAACTGGAGGTTTCCAGATAAGGAAAAGATAATATAAAAAAAGTCAAATTTCATTGTATCTTACAGATAGTAAAACAAATTGCACACTGAGAAAGTCTCTGCATGCATGCTTAATTTGACTTCTTTTACATTATCTTTTTCTTATCTGGAAATCTCCAGTTTTTATATAAAGAGGATATAACAAAAAAGGATTTCTTTTTCAATAAATTTTATTATTCTTCTTTTTTCAGACCCAAAATTGCTTGTGAAAAGCTATTCTTTTGCAAGCTATAACTGCACTTCTATTTATAGATATAATATAGTTGGAAATAGATATCTTTTATTGTCCCTCTTCCTATCTGGAAAATATCTCAAAA